AAATAATTTCTTTCTTCTTTATTCATTGTTTATAAAATTGATTATCAATAAAAATAGAAGTTTCGATTAATTCAAAAAGATTAGATGATTTTGAAGTTTTTGTTAACTCGTTTTTGATAATATCTTTTAATTCTTTATAAAATTACGATTTTAGATAATTATCATTTCAGATAATATACCTAATATATTATTGAAATTTGGTAATATAAATCATAATTGATCTAGTTTGTTTGAATTGTTACAATACTTTTTTAGTTATATAATCGGGGTCTATTTCCCTGAATATTCTATCGAATTTTTATCTGAATAATTTATAATTGAAGAATAAATAATAAATCTCAGATTTCATATTTTCGTTTAATTGATTATCGATAATCTTAATTATTAGATTATTGAAAAATAATTCAATTCAATTGAATATAATTCCTTAGAAAAAAAAGATCAATTATAAAATCCTTTATATAAAAATCAAAAAAAATTGTCTATTAAAAATATAATAAAAATCAGTTTATATAATAAAAATTTGATATTTACTACAATCTCTATAAAATAGATCAGGAATAGATATTTGAATCGCTTGTTTGTATTCTATAATAATAACGATTTGAATAGAAGTTCTGATTAGATTGAATAAAGATAATTCGATAAACTATTAATTGGAAATTATTGTATTATATATAGTTTAATTATAACAATATTCAAAGTATAACAATCTGATTGAAACAATAATTGCTTCAGGTTTTTGTATAATTAATAGTTATAAATTAAGGCTAATAATCATTAGTTATTTATTCGAAAATGAATATATTACTAAATCAATTGGAATATAAATAAACTAATTGATAACTAAATTGAATACAAAACTCTTAAATTATAAAACTATTCTGATTATATACTAATAAATATAAAGAAGTTTTGTAAAGCTTTAAAGCTTCAAAAAGCTTTTAAAGCTTTAGAAATTTTCGAAACTCTTAGAACTCCTTATCACATGATTAGGATCAGATTATATGTCCAAGCTTGTTAAAGATAGGGAGACCATATGAGGCGATTATTATACAAATTTGTATACGAATCGCCTTGCTTTTCGATAAGGCCTAAGCTTATATGGACATGTTGACTGCTGCCCCTCAACATATCCTTATCTTAATTGTAAATCGTGACAATTATCTTTCAAACGAAATTCGATATTACAAAAGATGGAATTTTGTATATATTTCAAATAATATATATAATGTTTATTAAAGAAATCTTTAATATAATAACGATTCTTTTATCGATAATAAAAACAAAGAATTATTTCAATATCGATAGAATTAATAATTATAATTAAATATATATATTCTTTTTTCTTTCTTTGAATTAAATTATTAAAGGAATTAAGATTGTTTATAACAAAGAAAGAAAAATAAATAAATATAAGAAAAAACAAATTATCAAATAGAATCTGAAAGATTATAAACAATTAAAACAATATTTAATTAAGAAAAGGATAGTATTATAATTTATAAATTAAATTATAATAATATTATTGATATTGATGATTTATATACTAATTATAAAAAAAGTATGATTTAATTATTGTTTTCAAAAGATTTAATCATTTATAAATAGAACTTCAAGATTTCTAGAATAAATATTCTAAATAATTATATTAAAATAAAACAAATATTCTAATTAATCAATTGTAATAAAACAATCATTTTAAAGGATATCATATCCTAGAATTATAATTCCTAAAAGAAAACTTTTGAGATAAGTATTTTAGAAAAGAAAAGGCTTTAAGATTAATTATATAATAAAAGCTTTAGAAACTTGAAAAGCTTTTAAAACTTCAAGAGTTTTTTGAAGCTTTTGGGTTTTATAAAGTTTCTTTTTATTTATTAATATATAATCAAAATAGTTTTATAATTTAAAAGTTTTATATTCAATTTAATTATCAGTTAGTTTATCTATATTTCAATTGATTTAATAACAAATTCACTTTCAAATAAATAACTAATAATTAATAATCTTAACCTACAACTATTAACTATATAAAACCTCAGGCAGCCGCTGCCTCGACCAGATCGTTACAATTGATTGGAAACTATTATATTATATATAACTTAACTATAATGATATTCAAAGTATAACAATTTAATCAAAACAATGATTATTTAAAGTTTTATATAATTGATAATTATAAGTTAAGATTATTAATCATTAATTATTCATTTGAAAATAAATTTGTTATTAAATCAATTAAAATATAAATAAACTAATTGATAATTAAATTAAATATAAAACTTTTAAATTATAAAACTATTCTAATTATATACTAATAAATAAAAAGAAACTTTATAAAATTCAAAAACTTTAAAAAGCTTCTAAAACTTTAAAAGCTTTTCAAATTCTTAAAACTTCTTATTATATAATTGATCTTAAAGCCTTTCTTTTTTTAAAATATTTATCTCAAAAACTTTCCTTTAGAAACTATAATCCTAAAATACAATATCTTTTAAAATGATTGTTTTATTATAATCAATTAATTAAAATATTTATCCTATTCTAATATAATTATTTAGAATACTTGTCCTAGGAATCCCGAGGTCCTATTCGTAGATAACTAGACTCTCTGAAAGCAACGGTTAAATCACACCCCTTTTATAATCAGTATATGAATCACCGACATCAATAATACTATCATAATCTAAACCGTGAATCGTAACACAGGCCTCTAGTAAATAATATAAATAATATAATATATTATTATTATTTTCAGATAAAAAAAATTAATTTTCAATTATTAAAAACAAATCGATATTCTGCCTGCACCCTGATATATATTCAATATTTAAATTTTCATTAGATTGTCTCGAAAAGCCAGGGGTCCGGGGGGCGCAGGCCCCTGGTAGCTTGAATGTTTTTGATAAAAAATACTTCTTGTATCCTATTAATTCGATCAACGGAACAAAACATACACAAGGCAAATAAAATTTGCGGTAACAGTCTGAGCAAATTTAGTAACTGCAGTTTCGATCTCTATAAGAGTGGCGTCAGAACAGGTTCCTATCTCTGCAGCCAAAATTGGTGCCAGAGAGGCTCTTTTCTATTTTTAGCAATTAGAGAGTTGTTTGAGCACTGCATCGCCTGGATACACATTGCACATAAATTGCAGTAAGCCCACGAAGCCCCTCTAAAAACTGGCTCACCCTTTTTTTTCCCCTTACTAACTCTTGACTCTAATTTGATCTCCAGCGCGTTCGCTTAAAGATGAATCTCCAGATATTCTCCTTGTTTCCTCGGCTTCCATTTGAGATTCGTTTGGAGATTTGGTACCTTGTGATGACTCCGCGTGTTTTGAACATTACACCACTTTTAAACCCGCATGAGCATCCTAAACAGTAAGAGAACCCGTCCTCGTTACAGGTATGCCACGAGTCACGTACTGCGGCCTTGAAGCGATACGAGTTATCAACCGACATCGACAATACGTACATCAACTTTACCATAGACATCTTCGATATCAATAAATTCGCTGGTTCTCCTCTTTCCCCGAGTTAAGAGGATGCTGGTTTTAGATTGTTTGCTATCGACATCGAGTGAATCCAGTTCGTTGGGCCAGAGCGATTTATGGAAAAATTTAATCGGTGCCAAGAACTTCGGGAGCTTACTATTTTAGTTAAATTTAACCAGGTTATAAAGAAAGAATGCGAAGTAAAGCTGTCGGTAACCGTCGATAAATACAAAGACAGAGGCTGCCCGCCTCTTTGATCTGGCAGGTTACTGGACGATGATCCTGTTACACCCGATTTCATAACGTGTGTCCAAAACTAATCTTCAAATATTTTCACAACATCGTTTTAATCAAGAAAATCAAAAATTCAATTTATGATAATTTTATCATATGATATTTAATTTGAATGAAATTTATATCAATTAATAACAAATAAATTTATTTATATTATAAAAAAGTTTCAATTACTTCTATTTTATTTTTAAAGAAATCTAATTTTGAAAAACAAAAATTCAAAGATGTTTTCACTATTAAGTATACAAAATCATGTTTTTTTCAGACATATGTTATGAAATCGGGTGTACCTTTACCGAAATACTTGAAGCAATTTCTATCACGTGGGTACGTGGGGCTCGAAAGCACTCTATAGCCAAGGACAGATGGCCAGAAATTTGAGTGGTCGCTCAAACCACCCCTAGTGAATTCTGTAGATTTGCTTAGGTCTAGAGGTGTAAATTACACGACTAAAGCAGCTGATTTGACTCCTTGAAAAGCATACAAAATCAAAGCTATCTTCTAGGCTACCTGCGTGATGACAATATGCATTGCATACTTTTATCACTGACTAGTTTCGAGAATTCAAGAGCTGACAGGAATCTGTTTCGCGCCACGGCCGAATAGATTTTGTGCATCTGAAATCGTTGACGCTCCTTGATTACTGAAAGTCCTTAATGAGGTCGTTAGAAATTGGCGCCTTAGGTATGCCCCATTTCTCCCTAATTCTCGGTATTCCAGAACCCCTCTTGATTTCCTTGTTAAAACATTCCTTCACCCTTTCATCCTTGCAAGTATCCAATACATCATCTCTCAATAACAGCTCCACATAGAGATATCCGAAAGCCCAGTTGAATAGTTTCACCTGTTAGTTCCGTATATTGGTGTATTCTCTTTTCTCCAAATAAACCATAATAATGCTCCGAAGTAATTCGAGTACATTAGGATAGTATATGTTTCCGTCGACGTAAAATCGTGATTGTAGTGGAGGACCAGAAGGAGATGGAGATTCGAGTTTCGATGTCCGTTCAGAAGGGTTCAGACGGAGGTAGCTACTAAGTATAAGAATAGTACACTAGACAAACTTATTCTCATCAGGATAATAAAACCGAATTGTTTTCGTATCGAAATTCGCAAAAGCAAGTCCTATTTTTGCATGAACGCGTTGGATATTACAAGGATAGCCGTCTAGATCACATGGAAGTATTCTAGATTCTCGAGATAGATTTATAACTAAGCGTCAAGCAGGGACTTAAATAACAACGATAATGATATACTATTCGTAACTAATAATAGAGTATACTAAATGATTGATCTTGAGCACGAAGCTCTATACAAAGGAAATCCATCTTGGTTATATAGACCTTCATACTAATCGTCCCTTCGGTCCCTTCGGTCCCTTCGGTAAAGAGATCGAAGGGATCTAAGATACCACGTGACTTCATAAGTGGTCACATGATACGAGGCCCGAAGCCGTTGTAACATTGGAACACCTCGTCGTCTTTACGGGTGGCAGGATCTATTGTAGAACCAAAGGACCAGGGCTGACGGATGAACCCTACATCTGCAAGCTTCGACGCTGCTTGTTCCATTTCGTCATCGGCTACTCCAAGCATATAGCACTATAATAATGAGTTAGAACTACCCAAAGAATGATAGGTAGGAATAGACAGCAGCGAGTACTTGCCCCATGTACCACGGGAACGCCGAGATAGTGTACTGCGAGATCCCCCCACACTAATAGCTTGATAGACTGGAGGACATTCGCAACGAATTCCAATCCCGTTAATTCAGATTCGTATTCCGTCATGACAATAATTGTTATGTTGATGAGGGGGGAAGTTGATGAGCAGGGGAGCGATTAAAACGACAAAGAATTTTTGAGCTAAACTTATTCAGTAACACAGAATATATAGCTACCGACTCAACATTACCGAACTTATTCAACTATCACAATTCATATACATAATCAATAAAACATTACAATTTATACTTTAATTCAATTAATATTATATTATAATAATTTTTTTAATTAATTATATTTAAAAATTATTATTTAAATTTTTAATATTATATTATTTAATATTTTTAATTGAATAATTTTAAAAAATTAATATTATAATTAAAATTTAAAATTTTTTATATTTTAAATAATAATCTATAAGAAAAAATTTAAAGTTTTAATCCTCGATTTTAATAAAGAGTAATATAAATAATTTTGAATGATATTCTATTAAGTTTATTTTTATAGTTATCTATTTGTTAATATCAAAATCTTATTATATACAAAGTTTATCTAATATAAATAATAGAGAATAAGAAATTTATTTAAATGAGTTGTAATTCTAACAATTTGATTGATCTAAAATACATGCTTATACAGATTCTTTCGCTTGTTTGACGGGTAAGACAATTTGTGTCCACTTGGATCTACCTCAGATCATTTCACGAATCACTTTCCGCAAGCATGCGTGTGACTAATATTTTTTTCTAATAGAAGCTATCTAAAGTTCACAAAGACAACAACAAGTACATTCGAGTTATAAGTTGCAGGAATGTGCAAACATGAAATGGGACACGACATGCGTTGAACATATAGTCAATTGGCCTTATGGCTGAATCAATATCCAATGATCTCTCGTGTCTTCTGAATTACTCTGGGTGACATACCAAATACTGTAAGTGAATCAAAACAACATTTTCAATATTATTTCAGCTTCAAGCAGTGAATATATTAGAAACGGTCTCCTATCCTGCAGTTATTGACATGAGAATTCGTGGCATCCAACTTTCCAGCCATATATAGACCCCACACAGTCTTCTAGAACCCATACACTTTCCTCAAAAGCTCATCATCACACTGGAAGCCAACTCGGACTCTCTAAGCTTCAGGATCTATTAAAATATCTCTTCTTCAACAAACAACCTCATTTCGCCTCAAAAATGGCTGACCTAAACCTCAGTTACTTCGTTCATCGAATGACAAGACTCGTAAGCTTATTTTGATCCTTTCCTTCTCTACTCTTACATTCAAAACTAAGTAGATTCTTCTTACTCTTAGATTCTTAGCCTTGCAAGTTTGCAAGGCGGAGCGACCGACGAGTCACATGCCGATATCATAAGGCAGGTTGAAGAAATGAGGGACGAGATTAATCGAAGAGCTGCAATTATGGAGAGAAGATTTGCTATTATGAGGGCACTTTCTGTTCTTGAGAACCTGCGAGATATAGTTGAGGAGGCTAGAGAGTAATTCGATGGTATTATGAAGAGCAGTAGTAAATGGAATTGAACTTCCACAGCAATACGGTTCAATTATGGGACCACAACATCGATCATTCTATTGTTATTTAAGAGCTATTTCTTTGCGCAGAAACCTTCCATCTTCCCAACATCTAAGTCCCAACAAAATCTTTTCTTTATGACAGAAAATTGTCATTGTAACTTGCAAATATGTTTCAGATAAGCCAGCTCTTTCCCATCTCAAATATGGACTCTGTTCAACGCGCCGAGCTACAAGTTATGTTAGTAGAGCTAGTAAGTTTCATATTCCTGCTTCCCAAAATTCTCACAACCAGAGCTAATCAGGAATTGCTTCCACCAGAGGTCATTAATGAGAGAGATGCAAGATTTAGTGGATATCATCAATGGAGACATACTCTACAGACACGGATCCTCAAATAATGGCCAGAGTTAATCTGAGAAAGGTGACAATCATAGCACGCGTAACTCTTCGAGACCGCAATGTGATGATATTTAGAAGGATGAAAAAAAGTGAAATGGGTGCAAGCTCATTTCATACTTGATTTGCTCTCGAAATAGTAACGTCTATCATGTGGAGACACATGGTGAAGGGCAGAAATACGGGCTGTGGTTAGAGTGGGCATAAAAGCTCTGATTTTATATGAGTCTGATCATAACTAGAGAAATCTCTTTATCTCCTAGTTCTATGTGATCAAATGCTTTATTTCTTGAGAACTTAATTATGGTGAGTGGGTGCGTAAGTTGGGTGCCAGATCAGGTGCCATGCGATGTGATATAATATGACGAGTAATTGATGACAAGGAGGAACAGAAAGAAGAAGAATTGAAGGTAAGGGTTACGTTATAGGTCAATAAAGAGCTACAAGCTTTAGTATGCTGTAGCAGATATGCAACAAAAGTTGTTAATTTCCTACCACGTGCTTAGCTAGTTAGTTGTAATAAATCTAATGGAGTGAATCCTCGGCATTTTGACTTCAAAAAATCCACCATAACATTACTTAAAGACAAATAATATCTGAGATATCTCTGTGCTCTCATTACTTAAAGCCTTTGTAGAATCTAATCGCAATTTTCATAGGATGGATTTCGATCTTTGGCTCTTTACGCCACGAACTCGCTTATAGTACGCTAGTGGGCATCGGGTGTGTTGTCACGAATTTATGATCAAGTATTGTGACCGGAAGGAAAATTTAGGCACGAAAATAGGAGCCTTTAACTGTCGAGAAAATGGTGATTAAGCGATTGGAGGAATCGAGGGAGGAGGATACATTTAGACAAAAAGCGCGAGGGTGTGTGTTGTGGCAGAATTTATCTTCAGGTTATTGCTCTCTTCATATCTAAGACGCACTATTAATCTTTTTGCTTTGAACAGACCAAGGGAGTCAAACGGAATGAGGGAAGCTAGACATAAATGCGAAGATCACAGGCGTTACAGGGCAGGGGGAAAAGGCCATATCAGTAATTTCCCATAATCTTCAAAGTATCAAGCATTAAGCTGTTTTCGGTACAGGGAAATACTACTCATAACAGCTGGCTCCGAAGAACGCTTCTGAAAGTGAAACAAATTCTCAAATCCATCTGCCTCTCTCGTGATATTGACTCAATCTACTCTACTCCCATCAACGTCTCTTAGTACTCTCTAGTTCTCTAAAGTTCTCCAAATACTCGACCCACCAACACCTCGAGATCAAGGACTCCTCGACCCTCCAAACACAAATACAAACTCCAAATCCAAAATTGAATCTAACTTCACATTCCGAAAATGTCTCAAAAAAGAACCACTTCTCAAATGAATGGAACATCTGAACAAACCGGAGATAACCCCCTCAAGAGAGTAAATAATCTAATCTCTCATTTCTTCCCATGTTCATACAGATCTATAGATCACTTACTTATTTCCTGTTCAGGTAAAAGCGATGCTCGAAGAAAATGAAAAAAAGGTCGCATTTAGCAAAAACGAAACTGAAGAGTTTGGAGACCTCATTTTACAGAATAAAAAAGCCATTGAATTCTATGAGTATCAAATTAAAGATTGGGAAAGTAACATCCGGAGAGACAAACAATATATTCAAGGACTTCAGCAAACGAACCGAGAGTATGAGGAAGACATCCGAAAGAATAGACTGGAAGTTCTGGAGTTGAAACATGAAGAAGAAGCTCTCAAGGTAATTAAAAAACAAGGAGAGACACGCGAGAAGAGATTAAATGAAGCTGTGAATAGGATTTTGACGAAGTTTTTGGAGCCGGCATTGGAGAAGGTGGTTATGTCACCAGAGAAGGAGATCAATGGAGATGAGAAGGTGGCTGTAGGTGGAGATGGGAAGAAGACCACCTCGGAAGTTGATAACGTGACTACCGGTGAAGAAGATATAAAGAAAACTGAGGGCGATGAGGAGAAGAATATCAAGAAGGAAACCCGAATCCACAAACTGCAACGCAAGGAAGTACCTTCATTGTAAGATATCATTAATTCCTTTTAAACAGTACTAATATCAATATATTTCCAGATATTTAGCGTCAATGCGTGCGGAATTATGATGGGGAAAAGGGGAATGCTTATGAATATGGCTACACTGTTGGGATCTTCAAAATTTCACCCTATACTATACCAGCAAAGCTCATGAACATTAAATCCAATCTTGGAAAGTGAAATATGTGTTAGCACCATTTACTCAAGGTTCCTTTTGTAGTATTCACTCAGTCAACCCATTTTTATTTGTCTTTTTCGACAAACCTACTTTCTCTTGATCTGCTTCAGCCTCTTCAAACAACCCAAGCTCAAAACCAAAACTTAACTTCCCTCCATCTTGAAACAATGCCCCCGAAGAGAAGAGCTATCGAGATGACTGGGAAGTATAAAATGGACGATCCCTTCGGAAAGGTAATCAGACCCTACAATTCCTTTTCCTCATATCTGCTCCAAAACTGACGCTCAGGTTCTTTCTTAGATTAACGAAAAAATTGAGGAATGCCAGAAGTGCATTTTTCATAGTTCATGGGCATTGGAAGTGTGCGAAGGCATCATCAAATCCAAATCGAATGAAGTTCGAAAGCACAAAGAAATAATTGACAGACTTGAACAAGAGCTTCGAGCACATATTTATGACGGTGAAATATCCAGGAATAAGCTCCAGGACTTGGTAGAACAAGAGAAAATGTTTGTTGCAATTAAAGAGCGAGGTGAGGAATTCGAGGAGAAATTTACGAAGGGCGTGAAGAAAGACTTGAAGGAGATGATGGAAAAAGAATTGAATGAGGTAGAGATGACATTGCAGAAGAGGAGAAAGAAGGACATTAAGGAAATTTAAAGCTACGCATTGCAGTATAAGGTACATCACTCCATCTTTGACATATCATCTGTCTCATTTTCACTGAAGCAATACTGATATTACCTCCTTTCCAGATCCTTAAAAAAAATGAAGCTAGAAGCAACGAGAGTGAAACGGAAATGTGAGCGTGGGAAGAGGCCACATTGGATCTACGAGCTAGATTTTACTACATTTGAAAATAGAACTTCAAATTTAGCAAGTGAAATCTACCGTCTGAATAATCTTTGTTCTCTTATGATATTCACTCCATGTACCACATCCCTCGTATCTTGTCTTCTTCGCAATCTCTTCAATCTTTTTAATATCCCACAACCTCCTACAAGTTCTTACAACGACAACAACAACCTCAAATCCAAATTTGATATCTTCCACATCGCAACTATGCCACCAAAAAGAAGCGCGTCTGAAATGACTGGAAACTCTGAAGATGCGGAGCCCGGCCCTGTACAAATGGTAAGCCACTTTGAACTCCTCGTCCTTTATATATATATCCGCCTCTTGCGTAAGTAGACTGACTCGAAAAACTTAATCTTCAGGTCAAAGAGGCTCGCGTATGGAAGGAAATAGCCATTGCAGAGTATTCACAAATTATTAGAGAAGCAAGGAAAAGCATGCTGGAGAATGAGTCAAAAATTGAAGAACTTAGAGGAAACATTGAACGACTTGAAAAGCTCAACCTTAATCATAAACTAGAATGAACATGGACGCTCAGAATGTCTTAGATATACAAGATGAGGTAGCGGATTTGATAGATATCGAAGCAGAAGGAGAAAAACTCGAAAAGGAATTATTGTTTACTGCAAAGAAGACTTTGAAGGACAAGATGCGCGGTATGCTCAGAAGATCATCTTTTTGTGATGATACATTGCTGCAAACGAAGTTTGAGGTAGATTCAAAAAGCAGAGCAGGAAAAAGGAAGAATTAAAACTACTGGTTGTAGAGTAAGTAAGTTCCTAGCCTTCAATATTATTCCATCCTCATTCCCCTTCGCTTCCACAAATCAAAACTCACAGTACCTCGTCATATATCTCCAACATCGAAGCCGAAGATACTACGTGCGAAACGAGGTCCTAGAATACAGGCTCGATCATAGATAAGGAGTGACAATATTGGTACAGCCAAAGCAAACACATCTCATGATATCTAATCTTGCAAATCATAACATCAGATAACTTCCTTCTACCTCGAACATTCCCTTACTTGAATTTTGATTTGATGTGGTGACAGTAAATCATCCAGTAGTATAGCGGCAAAACTTTGTTCATATAGGTAACTCAAATAGGCGAAAAGCCTTCGCAAAAACGGTTTTAAAGACTTAATCTGCATGTGCTTCTTATTGCTTGATCAGCGTTTATTAGTCTGAACGCCTTGCTTCATCATTAAGAGTCTATTGACCACGGGATGATGTAGCTACAATCACCTTCTTGTCCGAGAATTTTTCGGTGAGCCCTATTCGCTTTTTCATGGTGACGGTGGTTTTTCGAAGGTTGTGTTCTTGATCGATTGGCTTGGGAGTGAACTATACAAAACTTCGCTATCCTCGCTTAGCCAATTATTTCATTTTGTGCAAGAGAAACGAGATTCAAAAATAGGTAATAAAATGTCCCTGTAAAAGAATTTATTATTCATCCAACAAATATCCACTGATCAAAACGCCGTTATTTCACTTGTCTTCGATTCATCCCTCCTTTCCCCGTCTTCTTAAGCTTTTACTCCTACTCATTTCAATACGCCTCTGAAGTCAACGTCTTTTTTTTTCAAATGCGAATAGATTCGAATTGCATAGCCTTACACATCAACAAGAATTTAAAAAATCACAAATAAAACTCAGATAATAACGAAATAAAAAACAAAAATGCCAGAAAAAGGAGTAAACTCCAGCTATTTTAGCCATACCTACCCTTACCCCTACCCTAATCCTCCTACTTTTTTTCCGTCCAAACAATCCCAAAACCCCAAAATCCAAATCAAAGATCTCTCTAACCAAATAGACCCTTTCAGAACTTACAGAAATACAACTCAATCTCACTGCGGTTGACAGAGAACAAGAGATTGGTAAAGGAAAACAAAAGGATATATTGGAATAACAGGTGCTACTATCACAGCACATGTTAAATGAAATAGAACTTTGAGGAGGTTTGGTTTAAATAAGCTAATCTTAGTTAACTTCAATAACAACAACAGTAATATATTAATTAACTCACCATTTTATATGAGCTCTTGACACGCATGTAATATGATACAACGCAGGTTAAATCGAACGCCAAAGAAGAAATACCGACTTAGCGATCGCTAGTCACACAAAAGATAATAATTCATACAAAAATCCAACCAAAAAAACTTTCTCTCAAATAAAAATAAAATCACACATGGGTATCCAATCCGTGTACTATTCTCAAATCAAATTTCCCCCTGATCCCAAATATAACAGTGCTTCCTTCCTTTCTTTCCATTCCTTTACACATGCGCCAAACCAGACAAAATGATATATTTCCAGCCCCCTTTCCTCAATTCATAAAAACAAGCCCCGAAGTTCCTCTACCTTTCCACAGACTATTCTAGCCCCATCAAACAGCCCGCAACCAACTTTCTAATCACTATTAACAACTCTCAACGTCCTCCTCGGATTCATGACCACATTAAAGAAACTGGGTTCTCTATCACCCAAAAGATCCTCCAAACTACTCGTAATACTCCCCTCACTCCCTGCACGTTTTCCATGACCCCTCCATCCGGCCTTAGCACTCTCACTTCCGCTTCCCATCATTATTCCCTCATCTACTTCACTGATCCTTTGATATGAAGCCCCTCCTGGCATTATACCGCCTCCATAAACATATGTTCCACTTCCGCCCCTCCTATCATCATATCCGATTCCACTTCCGCTTCCACTTCCACTTCCACTTCCACTTCCACTTCCACTTCCTTCATTCCCAGAACCTAAAAGGCCTCCTCCTTCAGACCTCACACTAGGAGTCTGTACTCCACCAGTTCCACTAATATCAGTACCAAATGGTCCTAGCATCATAGCATTGCCAGTTCCTACCACTTTCTCCCCATAATTTCCATCCCCGTTCGATCCATCTGAGGCTCTAAACATTCTATTAGCAGGAACAAAAGCTGCCCTCTGAGAGATCGCCACATGATCTTTATAGAGCTTCAACTGTCTTCGATATAACCAAGTACAAAACGCAAGATATCCAGCTAAGAAGGCCAATGCGGTGGCAATGACACCTGCGATAATCGCAGCTTTATTTGTTCCTTTTTTGGCCGTATCAGCAAAAGGTGCTGTGGATGAGGTAGGTGTAGCTGTCGATGTTATCGTGGAACGAGATTGTGTTACAGTGAAAGTAGGCGGCTTGCCGGTTGCTAGGGGACCAACAGTAGCTGATCCGACTGCGGGCGTACTAGCTGTTGCACCTCCAAGGGAAAAACCACCAATGACCGATTGTATGACGTCAGGGACGGTATAACCGGTAGAGGCTTGAACGATATCTGAGTCCTGATCTGATGAGGAAGATGAAGATGAGGACGAAAGTGTTGTAAATGAATTGGTCCATTGAAGAGACGATGCATTGAAGACGTATATGCCAGGACTATCACACGATATATCTGTTCCTACGTAGCCACCAACAACTACAATTTGTCCATCCCAAAGATTACAAGTGTGGCCCGCTCGAGCTGGCGGTTGAGATTGGTCGGACATATCAACTTGAATCCAAGTGAAAGATGGGATTGTAAGAATCCACATATCTGAATATTGAGTTTGGCTACCATAAGGAATAAGATTTTGTCCTCCGTATAAATAAACGTTAAAACTGCTACCGTCGGGTGCTGCAGCAACCACAGCGCAAGGGTTGACACGAATGGGAGGAGTTGCTCCGGAGGTGCTTTGCTTGTACCAAGTACTACTCGCAATGTCATACACATCGATGATATTCATCTCTGTCTGATAGATGTTAATACTTCAACTTATAGTTAAGGCTTCATTGCTTACAAACGTCGCATTAGTACCACCGGCTAACCCAAGTAAAAGCCCATCAACACCCCATCCAGGAACGTATACCAAAACACCATCAGCTCTTTCCGTAAAGCCCGCATCGTCTTGCAAGCCACCCTCTGTAATATTTCTGTATACACCACCAGAACCTGCTCCTCTCGTAGTTCCCAATGAAGCCACGCCAGTATTTGTATATCCAGGATGAGTGAACTCTAGAAGACTCTTCAAATATGTTCTAGCAATTTGATTTGACCATCCAGGTGTTGTGTACATATCTAAATATTAAGCGTTAGCTTTAGTCATCAAATTGTCCACCCATAGGGGTAGTGAAATGCACATGACACTAACCCAAATGTCCACCAAAGTACCAACTCCTCCCCAATTCTGGAACACTCAATCCCGCACCCTCCGCCGCCCGCTGAACATCCGCCGGCGAAACATCTGAACCGTTGCCTGCCACTGTTCGCGGATTTGAGAATTCAGTCCAGGTCGCCGATGCAATATCATATTTCCACGTTGCTACTGCTGAAGGGGAAGTTGGTGGACTATCTGAAAACTCCCCTCCATACAAAAATAACGAGTCATATGTATGCCAGAGAGAGCCCATAGCAACTGCTGGGGGACCGGATGGTTGTGGTAAACCGGATAGAACCGGTGATGCGATTTGCCAGGTCTTGGTGAGATCCAATTTCAGGAAGTTGTTGTCTGTAGGTGGTTAATGCTATCCCCAAATACTATGTAAGTAACCTCTTACTCCAAGTATCAGTAGTTTGCCCACTCCGCGTGGTCGCTTCTCCTCCATATATGTATAATGTTCCGTTGACGTTCGCAGCTAAAATTTCCTCAATTAGCCATACATCACCATACCAAGCAAGCAGACCAAAACATACTCATATGACTCCATCTAGTACAAATTGAAGTAGGACTATTCGCCCTCCCATCAATCATACCCCCGTTGTCCGCCAATTCTGAAGCCCCTATTACCCCCGCATCGGCACCGTTTCCTTTCATGACATGTATGTTATTGTGCTGCCTTCCTGTATATCCAAACGCAGGCACAACCACTCCAATCAAGAATGCGAGCAACGCAACTCTCGGTATTGTAGAAAAGGCCGTACGTGTATTTGAAGTCGCAATTATCGGTGTGCTAGTCTTTCCAAACTTTGCTGCCCTCGGCGCATCGTGTGGTTCTTCATTTTCTCTCTTTTCCCCTGAAACTTTTGAAGCCTGTATAGTCGTCGATGTTCCACCCCGCATACCCCGCGTCCGTAAGCTATTGCCAATAACAGCAAACTCCTCTCCCAAACTGCCAACATCCACTCTCACGATTAACTCATCATCCAACCCCTCCTCCCTAAATCTCGATTTCCTAACTGCTCTGACCCTTTTTTCCCCAGCTCTATCTGCCACATTCGCTGGGTGCGCAACACTGCGGAAAGGCACATGAACCGTCTTCGACCTGTCAATTGTAAAACCACTCATATTCGCTCGATCCTTTCGTCACCAAGGCCCCTAGAAAATCCAAAAATACACCGCACAATCGTATCGTACTGGTATAACCAGAAATGCGATTTGTGCACGAACCCAACACTCCAAAAGATATAAATAGTTAACCATCAAATCAATCTGGATCAAATCAAAGACACATAAAACGCACTGATATCCTTCGAAAAGAATTCATAAAAACCCTTTCTCTGGGAAGAAGGTAGACTGAGAAGAATTGGCATACACCAGATAATATTTCTTCAACTATCCAAATACTCAAACTGCACGAAGTAAATTATCGAACAGCACCTACATGATCATCCAAATTCCCTCGGTCCCGTCAATGTTCTTACATCATACCCAGTTTTCAGGCTTTTTGGCCACTCTCTCGCCAAGTGGCCCTGCAAATATACCCTATAAATGTGGTTTTAAAGTGGTGAATCCACAAGGATTTCGATAGCAATATTCCATATTGATTGGCGAATGTGGATGGAATTTGGAAAAGGAAAAGGAAAAGCAGGTTCTTACAATGTTCGGGACATGCTTTTAGCGAGCAAATGGGCTCTTTTTCTAGCACTGCGGAACAACCAAGGGGGTCGATAAATTTTAAAACGCCTTTAGAGGAAGGTTTTTCACCGATGATTTTAGCTCTTAAAACATTTGAAGGTATTTCAGTCATTCACAATTAAGTACGAAATAGTTATTACAGTATCCGCCAAAAACAAGATTCACTCTACAAGTACACAAACGGAAAATTAATTGTTTCATTGCCCTCATTGCTCATTTTACCATCCACCCACCCGACCCATGGGGAAGTCCGCCCACCAAGTAAAAAATCCTTTAATTCGCTTCGGTTCGAAATATTAGACGCATAATGATGTGATAGTACAATTTGCAGCCTTTTGGCTGCAAGTTAAGTCAAGATAGCTCATTAATCGGCTTACAACTCCTCCTTGACATAATCGCCAGCCTTTTGTGCGGCTTCACCGGCACGGTTAGTAGCATAAGTAGCTCCCTCCTTCACAGCATCGGCAGCCTTCTCGCCTTGATAAGCAGCTTGCTTGCGACCAGATGCAGCACCAATGGATAGTTGATCCATAACCCATTGTGCCCCATTGGAGAGTTTAGCCCAAAGAGTACCTTGTGGTGTGGTGGTGCCTGAATACTGTTAGTGGTCAATCGCAACTAAAGGAATGGAGTTCTCACCATATTTGAAGTAGTTGGCTTGGTTACGAACGAAAGCGACAAGTTCATTCTTGGTGCTTCCTTGTGGAACGGGAACACCATAGCTGTCAAGATAAGCCTTCAAATCCGAATCAGACCAAGTCTCGAATGTAGCGTCTTTAACTGCGTCAGTTTGTTTGGCGAGATAAGATGTGACGCTCGCATATGTATCACCACTAGCCTTAGAAGCAGAAGCATAGGAGTCTTGTGCAGCGCGGACAAGTTCATCACGAGTAGCTCCAGACTTCTCTGATGCCTTCTTGGCAGCAGCATCACCAGTGGAGGCGAGGTAAGCCCTTAAATTATCCAAAGTCCAGGTATCAAAAGTCCAAGCAGACCACCCAGTAGCAGCCTTGTGTTTGTTTAAACGAACTGCAGCGAGGATATCATCCTTCTTTCCTGATTGTGGAACGGGAACACCTCTAGCATCAAGGTAAGCCTTGAGGCGGGAATCGCTCCATGATTGAATAGCAGCGTTAAAAGCATCTTCAGACTTAAGTTGAGCATCATCAGTAGCTTTCGCATATTGATTCCCAGCAGAGCTAGTAGCAGCACCAAAAGCGGATGCTCCGGAGGCGCTTGCCTTGCTTGCAAAGTTCTTAGCGGAAGCGCTAGCAGTATCTCCAAGAAGTTGGGCCTTATGTTTACGTGCGATAGCCAACAACTCCTTTCTTTTGCTTCCTTGGGGAACCTTGATACCATTCTTGTCGGCCCATTCCTTAATTTCTACACTTTGTTAGTTTGGAATTTAATATTTGGAAGAAGGTGAAGAACAAACTTACGGGCATCAGACCATGCGTTAAGAAGTTGCTCACTCAATGACTCGGTGGCAGCGGAAGCTGAAGCGGAGGCAGATGCTTGGAGGTCGGCACTTCTAAGGCTAGCAACACGAGCATTACGTCGTACAGTAGCGATTAACTTGTCGCGAGTAGATGGTTGAGGTGCTGGGATGCCATGGGTATCGAGCCATTCCTTGAGGTCTGGGAAGATGTTAGTTTGTGTACACAAAAGGCCTGTTTTAATAACATACCGGACTCCGACCAAGTTTCGTAGAGCCAGTCACCAGGGTAGGCAGCAGTCTCGCCAGCCTTCTTTGCAATAGAATCATAGTTGGAACGAATCTTTTGGAGAAGACTGTCTCTTCTCCTTGGGTGTGGAACGGGAATGTGATGGTAATCAGCAAATGCCATAAGTTGAGAATCTGTGAGGTTGTTAGCGAGTGCCGAATACAATCTCCCTGCTTCAAGAAAAGCTTACCAGTCCAACTATCAAAGACCCATTCTCTAACATTCGACCAAGCATCTTCTGCTTTGTCTTCTGCCTCGTACCAATAAGCCTTAACTTGAGCAATCAAGCCATCCTTATTGCTTTCGGCAGTATCCTTAGCCTCAACACCCTTTTGTTTCAAGTAAGAGGTGAGTTGCTTGGTATCCCATTCATGATATGGTGATGCAACCTTGGTTTGCCAGTTCTCCTTTACTAAGTTTTCCAAATCTTTACGATCGGCAGGAGTTGGATATGGAACGTTGTTGTCTGAAAGCCATCTCTCAAGTTCAGTCTCGTGCCATTTGTTATAGACTGGAGGAAGAGGACATTAGCAAGGGCAATCATCAAATGTAAAGATGGAAGACACAACGGCGCGTGCAAGCCATAATTCAGCACCAAGGTTCCATTTGGAAACTATGAATGGCTTAAGGATTTCCAAGCTCAAGGAAGCTTGAATGTGCCAATTTGATCATGATTTAAATCAGAAACCATGAGAAGAAAGGACGTACCAGCGTTACTGAACCAGCTACTAGCTATCGTGACTTCAGCTGCCAAAGCCAGCACTAACAGCTGTGAAAAGAACTTCATCTTTTAGGATGGGCTTTAGTATTCCTATTATTCTATAACCTCTGCGGTTGTGAGTATCGTTGCAAAAATTAGAAGGACCCAAAAGGAATTCGTGGGTATGATTTTGAAGGATTTGTAAAAAGAGAGATGATTTGAAGTGGGAGGGGTTATGTATGATGGATATGTTGTGATTATGATGTTAGCCAGTAACCAGTAAGCAAAGATGTGGCTGGAGTAAAGCTTCCGCAAGCAAGAACTGTGACGTAGCTTTTCTTTGATAACCAATCGATTTATGTGTAAGAAGTAAACAAAGCAGTTAAGTATATAGTTTCAAGGTGATTGGTTGATTAACATAGAAAGGAATAGAAAAACCTAGATTTTCCTTGATGGAAAAGTTGGAATGATGGGATGGGATTGTTTAGCAGCATCATTGAGATTCTCATTTTTACGCCTCTTTTCTCCTCACTCCTCAATTGTTTTGTTGATGTTGATGTCATACTGGGATAATTGTGGATGATGTGCTCGGATGTGGCTTGAAAAGGTTTACACATGATGCACGGACCAGAATATACACCCATCTTGAAAATGTGGGGTAGCTATGGATGAGAGCTGTTCAGATTTGAAGTGTGAAGTGAAGTGATGTGAATATTTATATTTCTGACTCCGAAAAGCAGAAGGACAATTGACTATAGATCGATATGGTAAATGAATATCAGGGATAGCTTCAAATGATCAAAGTTTGCAGAAGCTTCTCAACGCACTTGCAAGGATAAACATATCCCAGTAAAAGCTAATTAGCATCTGCGTTCAGAACGGTTTGAGAAACTGATGAGCTGAGAGTGAAATTGAAATTGAACACAAAACAATATTTGTACAAATTATCGATATGAAGCATCGTCGTCATAAACCCAACATATCATAGCATCAACCTCACACTTCGTATCTGCCCCTCAAAAACCTATTGATGAACAATCAATTAGCTCCAAATCATGAATCTTGATCCGACACCAGAACTCACCACGTCAAAGCTTCTAATCAACCTCGTCCTCAAGCCTTTTGTGAGGCTCTATCATGACTCTCCTTAAACTCCCTGTTATGCTGCTCAACCTCAGCTTGTTTGCTCGAATTCTCCGGTCCCGGCTGGTCCTCCGAATGAATCTTGGGTGAAGCTCCATTGACACTTTTATCCTTCGGATTGGCATTCTTACCTCCATTTCGCTTGATGGAACCACCTGTTGGGCTGGATCCAGTCTCCTTTGCTTCCTTCGATCTTGATCCTCCGGACTGAGCCGATGCATCTTCAGGGGATTTTGAACCACCCGAACCACCTTTCGTTGGGCCAGCACCAGTTCCTTTGCCTTCAGAAACGGGCTCCGGACCAGGATGCTCTCCTTCATGCTTTGTGGTATTTGAGGCTCCTTGATCTTGTGGATTTTCCCCCGCAGGGTCGCCCTTTCCATCCCCATATCCCTGAGTTGCTGCGCGAAGTGGAGTAGAAGAGAAAGCTCGCATGGAGGTCGATTGACGGTATTGAATGGTTCGCATGGAAGTCGTTGCGCGTCCAGCAGAATGAAGACATCGAATGGAACGCATGATGAGTATTGAGCTTGAATGATAAGAACAATAGAGTTGTTTAATACTTTGCAATTGAATGATGAAGGAGAAGTATTTACAGTGCGAGAGTTCACCTGTCTGTAAACAGTGGACTAGCTCCCAGTAGTCTTGACTAACCTTTCGATCTAAGCAATAGTGACAAACTGGGCTACATCCGTTCAATTACATCATGACCTTGGCTTTTTGATCCGGTTGGCATCCGGCATGTCAACTTCCAAGACAGACCCTCGAGCGGGGTTATGCACGTGATAGTTCTAACATTCTTAGCATTCATACTACTCGAGTACTTTGCACTAAAGACACTTTTTAGCACAGGCTATTCTTTCGAAGTCAGAAGATCCTCAAAATGTGTGAAATCCCTGGACCAAAAACATCGCTATCACATCCGTACCAGACCCGTCACTCAAACCGGTGAACGAAGAAATATCAGACAAATGCGCGAAACACCATGAGTATGGTATTTCTGAAGCATTAAGAAGCAATCATTGATGAACAATTTTGGTATGCTTGCCTATACGCTCTTCCCTGTAGTCGATATTTTAGTCGATACAGAGTTTCCACACCTTGAGCGATGGGGAGCTAACAGGTAATGTCGAGTGATGGACTGCCTATTATACTGTTGACTCAAGGTGCCACCGGAACTTTTGTTAGTACATCCAACCTAAATGTAAAGTTTTTCAAGCCTATACTTTACTGGGTTCGTTATGGCACGTACTTGTGTATGGAAGACGGTTCTCCATGTGCAATCTATTTGCCAACTTGCGAAGCACTATCTTTCCAAGGAACCACTCCGTTGTGTAGAAAGATTTGTTTCTTTTCAACATTCATTACTCAACACCTTGGCCGTTCCTTAACATCACTGTCTTCTCATCTCATCGGTACTTCTTTCGCTTTGCTTGCGAAACGCCAACATGAAGTTGACATTCGTCGCCGTTCTCGCAATTGCTGCCAGCTTAGTCCCGGGTGCATATATCAACGGTAGACTCACCAATAGTACAATTGACAATCAATCCTCCAATGATACTGCCGTTCAAAACCAACCTGCCGGTATTCCAGAAGATGGCCCTTCAAATATAAACAATCAGATGGAAAGCTCTGGCCTGGACAGGTCTACCACCGCAAGTGAGGCCATAAAATATGGAGCGGAAGTTATAGAACATATTATAGAAGATATAGCAGAAGACATTGCAGAAGAAATTGAAGACGAATTCACCGATGATACCGACAGTACACCCCTCTCGCCCGGTAGACTCTGCTCCAAGCGCCGCAAACCTCGATGCTGCGAAAAGGGCGGAAGAATTTATAGAGATGGATGCGAACGTTGTACGTCATTCGTCACTCCATCTTGTATGCCCTTTCCAATAGAATAATACTAACAGTATCTTAGTCTCACAAGAATCACTTCCCGTCAACCGCGATGAATTTCGAAGCACATGTACAGAAATGGGAAAGAGGGCTATGTGCTGTGCTAATACCATTGATATGGTACGTTGTAGATATAGACACAAACTCCTATCTACCCTACCGCAAATTGTCTTCCTATCTCAGGACATTGGCTTATCATATCCATTTATATTCATAGGCACAAATAGGATTCCGCTGCCGAAGAGCAAGAAAGTGAGCGGGTATGAAAATCTATCCATGAGTTTAGGTGTAGGTATAAATAGGCGTCTAAAATAGAACAGCTCTCTCGTACCATAACGGAAAATCTATTAGGACTTCCTATCTATATCGCAAGAGACTTAATGGAGAAATATTCACATAATGCCTTCGTTGTTCTCCAAGTATTAGACACGACTCACCATCACATGGAGTAGAGAGTTGTTCCCAGTCGCAAGATTTCAAAGCAGGATTTCCCATCTTATTTATTGCCATTTCTGACATTCATCTCAACCCTAATCCGAATCTATCTCTCTCCGCCTCTTTTTTCGCTTCAATTTCCTTTCATAATTAACCTGATCTCACTTCCTCCCCTATCGAACCTCCCATCCACCTTCTATCCCACCTACATCCTATCCATAACCCCATCACCCTCCTCCTGTACCCCCTTCCCCCTCCAAAAAATACCATCCTTTAAACAACACCTTAACCACAGCCAATCCACACATAAAGCAGGCACACCACTCACCATCAAACATCACCATTCATTCTTCAACATTCAAAAACATAAATCATCCCACAAAAATATTGCCACAAAAATCAAACTCTCCATCACATTCATTAAAATTTCCCGTTCATCTATCATCTATCATCCATCATTCATTATCCATCCCATCAATACACACAAAAACAACCCGAATCGACCCAACTTCCTTGAACTTTTATCCGTTAATAGTCTACACTACCAGTGCACGTGTATATCCATATCTATAAAAACATACACCCAAGAACTTTTTCCCAGTAAAATTATTCCAAATCCAAGAATCTCTATAACTATAACTATAATCCCAACACCAACTTTTGAATGAGTACCTAGGTAATCGATTTTCGCTTTTTTATAGCACTAAGAGGTCGGGCACGTCGTGAATGCGGTGGGTGGGGCATTTCATATTTTTCCATGTATGAGATATTTTCGCATCAAACTTGCCAACTATGCTAGATGTGCCAAAGAATTGGGAATTTGGTTCCGGTGAATTTGACGTCTGGGGATATTGGGAGATTGAGAGTTTGGGAGTTTGGCGATGTGCACAAACGTGTGGGCTGTAGCTTGCGAGGCGTGCTGTGTGTAAAGACGGTAAGTCCTCCGAGCGTATGGTTGCCGTTGTACCGGTAGCAGTGTGGTGCAGATTTAATATTGGTCGCCATATGTATTTCTCCCGAGCTGCGTAGCTCCAAAATAGTTGAAGCTAGGATAGATGGATAATCATGGATCTCAGGGCATCGGGCAGCAGTTAAACTCGGCGCGAATTCCCATCTCCCATCTCAAAGGCCGTCACGTGGGATATTTGGTCCAGGGCTCCAGCAGCTGTCGGGAAAGCGCAATATGGCCAAGAATTGCACCCGAACTATTCAGATTCTCCTTCTTTCTCATCTCCCCTCAACCCGAATTCGAATTATCTGCGCAGGTGAACGGTCTCGATCCCCCTGCTGTGTGATATGAGGCGATAATTGCAACGATGGAACCGTATGTACCAGCAACCATCAAGAACATTCCAATAACAATGACGCAAATACTCCAAGAAGCCATAAAAATCCACCTAGACGATCTATGGATTTTTCCCAAACTCCAATTATCGTATAGCCACATGACACCAAACGGTTGGAAATTGAAAAAGGTACCGAAGAGAGCACCGATGAGGGAGATAAGACCTCCGAAGATGGGGATCGCGCTGGCAATTACGTAGGCGCAGATGATGACCGTAGCGGTACAGCTGAGCCAGACGACCCAATGGGTTTTGGAGTTACTAGTGAGATGCTTGGAGCCACGGAGGAGTCGAAGGAAGAGGAATTTGGCTGGAAGCTGTGGGGTATATTAGAGAAGATGATAAGATGGGTGGTTGGACGATACTTACGTGGGAGAGCAAGATAGTGCTGACCAAGAGACCGGGAAGAGCAAGGCCGTAACAAACTTTCTTCATGACGAGACCTGCGGAGCCAAGTGCGGGTGATGCAACATATGATCCGCAAAAGTAATAGACGACGATACCGATTGCAATATAGATTGCAGTGATAAGACTCTGACTAAAAAACACCGAACGAGAGTAACCTCTTGGATCACGCATCTCCGAGTGAATATTGAAGTAACCGGGTGTTCCCGCATAAGCAAAAACAAGCGAACCACAAGCAGATATAGCATCGGTGAACGATGGAGAGCCAAAAAGTTTGAAGTCAGACTTGTAAGGACCTACTGTAACAGGAGCATCGGCAGGTTTTCCTTGAACGCCAACAGCGATTGTAAGAGTAAGAACTTGCAGGCGTTAGTCAAATTTATCACAATGAAGATGGATTAGCTTACTAGAAGTAATGATGCCAGCAACTCCGATCCATGCAAGCCATGTGATTTTACCCAGTGTTTGAATACTGGCAAGAATGTAAGCAATTATGGCAGCGACAGCTACGAACACAGCGGTGCAAGTAGCATGGGTCGATAGAGCATTCAAGGCGATGGAAACACTGAGCATTCCTGAAGCCGAGACGAAGATCCAGACTAAATCAACAAAATCAGAACCACGCATATTTATGATCAAAAGGAATCTCTCACAAACAAAGAATGCAGCACCAATGAGCTCCTTAGCAACATTTCCAAAAATCATCCCACCAACATCTTCAATACCATACACTTCAGGATGTCGCCGCTTGAATACTCCGATCATGTACTGTGACCATCCCGTAATAGTAGCCATGGTGATGATACAGATGAGACCAGGAATCATACCCAACGTGTCGAAAACAGCTGGTATTGAGAGTACGCCAAGACCGAGATTCGTCTTGAGCATTAGGACAGTCGTGCCTAATCGTCCAACCTGTGATCATCAGCAAACATACCCTTTCCTGAGTCTTTCTGTACCTACAGCACGATAATCTGGCCCATCCTCACTTATCTCACCAAAGACCGCGTCATGATTCAAATCATGATTTTCTGCACTTTGCTGGCTTTTGCTGTCATACCCTGACATACCAGCATGGCGGGAGGATTCGAATTCGTCGTTCATTGCTCCCGTTTCCTAGAGCAGTATATCCTATTCAAAACTAGAGAAATTGCAAACTGTAGAAAAGAAGGTATAGATACGTGTCCGTAATACTTACTTGCAATGAGTCTTGCGAGTAAGTATTAATATTTTTTCTAGTAGATTATATAATGGCTTCCAAGAATTGGGGCCAGGTACCATGATATAAGCTTAGATCAAGTAAAATCCGGAGCTCTATACAATTACAAATTAAGTTCAATTGATTGAATTAACAGTGGTGGAAATGTACATAGTCGCGCATTACAGTCAAGATACAAGGCGCTATTATGTACAAAATCACCGGGATGGGTATAGAGCCGTGCTGATTGTATCCAAATTAGTCAAGACTCCTAGTTAGACGAAGTCGAGTCCCAAGCGAAAGCAAGCGAACACCAGCAGGTGGGCAAAAGAAGTAAGAAGTTGGAGAAGACATGATGGTGCAGACTGCTAATCTGGGGCTGTTCATGCACTTTCCGAAAGTAATTCTTCCTCCCCGCCGCCGCGCCATTTTTCCGGGGCAATGCCGTAACTTTTAGCAAGCTACTGCACCGACACCGGAGATCAATGGAAGAGTGTGGAGAATTGGTACGAGAGAAATATCATAGTATCCATATATCAATTGGCAGAAACCCAATTCATGGCACAGCTTCGGTATTGCACTTGGCATTCATCCCTCATCTCAACAGCCGTGCACATTGAATTGAAGCCTCCACGAAGATGGAAAATGGCAGGAATTTTCAATCAAAATAACATTGGAGTATTTCAATTCATACAATTTTACAGAGTTAAGTGTTTTCGTAACTAAAATCCAGTTACATGCATTTTAATTCAAAGTTGTTCAACCCCTTTTAAATCAGAGCCCCTAGATCGGATATGAAAATAATAAGAAGGCTAGAGTAGCTTCGAAAAGATTTTGCAAATTACGTAATTTGACGCAAATTGGTAACGCGCTACTTGGGTATATTTGCCATCAGTATTCTTAGTAAAGGGCTTATCGATCTGTTCGATTGTTTATATTATTTACATCATCGGAACTCATTGATCAAATTCGAAAGTTATATGATGTGGTGATGTTATGAGATAGTTCGCTTAAAGCAGTTTGTACACCCAATTGACGTCAACCCAGTGCAAAGAAAGCCTCATCTCGTTTACTCAACACGTAGGCAATAATTACAGCTTTCAAAAAGTCAATCGGTTTTCGAAGGACTAGTAATTGCCCCGCGTATTTCTCACCGCAACGGCTATCATTCATCCACTAGTATCTTGGGCAGGGGAAGCACGACCCTGCATCAAATGATCCGCAGCAACGAGTTCCTTCTGCACGTTCTACTCTATGTTTGGAAACAGGGTTGTTCTCGACCGGCTGAATGGTCCACTCACCCAGAATATAGGGGACGTATGTTTCCTGGACACGTGGTTGCCTCGCTGAAAATGACAACAAAAGCGACTGGAGTGTCAACTTTAGCCGCCGAAGCCTTGGACAGACTGGAGCTTATTGAAATTGATACTTTCTTTCGCGCGAGGCGCTCAGCCCAATATGATACCGACTTGAAGTTTACGCGATACTTAGAGGACAGCTTTTGCATCAATCGGTGGCTTTGGCTCGTCGATAACATTTTAGAGGTACTTTCCACGGTTCACGGGTCTCCTCAGACAACATAACTGAAGTCTCCATTCTCCTCAAGTCTTGCTTATCACCTGGTTCATTTATGAGCTTCGGAGTGCACGACGTAGAATTCCAGCCCTCCGGACGAACGCGATGATAACACCGATAGCTTCGAAGAACTAACACAGAGCAGTCTCTTTCTTAAGCAAGTGTTATGGCTAAAAGCCTTGCCAATATCAAATTCATAAACGCGAACAGAACCCGTGGAGGTCTAGCACACCGTGCATACCGTTTCTCTCATTGGCATATGATAAGTTCTGTTGAAGTAAGTAGTCCGGTTTCAATGATACAAGCTAGAGTCCAGAGGATGATGCATGCATGCGGGATAAGAGGTAAGGAAACGTACGAGATGGATTCACTCCAGCGAGCTCTTGGACGTGCTCGTTAATATAGCATAACGATTTTCGAGGAGCTCGCCATATACAGCTGCACCAGTAGTCCCGCAGAACGTCCATTCGCTGGTAAGATTTCTAGCTCCGTCCGTTGGCCCACCAATTTGTGTCAATGGCCGCATCCCAACAAACCATCCACCTGGAAACACTCAGCGGACATGTTGTAAGGTGTTAGGGCCAAACCCACTGGTGATCCTGAACCTCCGTACCACGAACCAGACGATTTTCTGGGGGTTACAGTCATACAACCACTGATTAATAACCATACTCCTCCCCCCCACGCCTTTCTCTCCTCATTCCTTCCTTCCACATACACACATTTTGACCAATCAGATTGTCAGGATCGCGTCTCATTTAAGAGAGTTTCTCATTTTCCATCGGGTAAACCTCGCGTACAGCAAGGTTATGGAGTCGGCAAGCCGATATTAATATATCATTTATGAAAAAAACAAGATTTATAATGATTTTGAAATTGAGATTATATAAATTTAAATATATATATAAAAGATTGATTATTATAAATAAAATAAATAAAAGTTTTTTTTTTTTATATTTAATTACAAAAGATTATATAATTGATTAATTAAAAATCTTTATATATATAACTTATAATTCTAATTTTCTTATAATACTTAAATACTTTATAGTAAGATATTACTACGGAATCATGGAAATAGACACTCCAGGTGTCAGTCCTTAGTATCTTCGAGAGACTTTCCGAAAAGTCCACCAACATAAATATTAGAGAAAATATATATGTTCCGAACTTGAAGCGTTGAGGAGGCTTCCCAAAGATCTTAATTGAATCTTCCTCTCGCTCTTAGACCAAATGAAAAGCATGCTTTTTATCAAGACACAAAAAAAAGAGGAAGGCTCACGTGTGTACTCATCGGTCAACCACAACTCCACAACTCAGCAGTCCTTCAATGTAGACTTGTAATGCCATCTGAATTATTGTCATATAACTCCATGGTTTTCGTTGAATGATATTATGCATGCTAGTATGCTGTCCATTCCCAAATCCCTGTTGCAAATGTTGAATTTTTCATCGCCGCCCTTCTTTTTCCTTCACCACCCTCCTGCACCCAAACTAACCCATGTATCAAGCAGGAGCAGTCCCACTAGTTCCTTTCCAATACTTGGACGGTACAAAAGGCATCTTAGTAACCTTTGCCTTCCTCTCTTTGCCTCTCACCACCACTCCTACATCTGTACCCGCCTTGTGAAATCCATCCTTGATGTAGCCCATCGCAACATTCTTGCCCAATGTCGGACTGGGACATCCACTTGTGATATTCCCAATTTTTTCTCCCTTATCATTCACAATATCCGCACCCTCGCGAGCTGGTGCTCCTTCGACTATCAGGCCGATTCTTCTTCTTTCTACTCCACTTCCACCTTTACTTTTCGGGGTGAGTTGTTTAAGAATAACTTCAGCACCGTGAAAGCCCCCTTCCGTTCTCCTCTCCTTTCCTACTACCCATCCTAGAGCTGCTTCTACAGGTGTAGTTGTATCATCTAAATCGTGACCATATAAACACATACCCGCCTCCAGTCTCAGACTATCTCTAGCACCTAGCCCCGCCAATTGTAGCTTTTCCTCGCCGGCACTCTTCAATAAAGATTCGGTCACCTTCACCGTCTCACTCTCTGGTATAGATATCTCGAATCCATCTTCTCCCGTATATCCACCTCTACTAACCAACAAATTCCCTGATATCGTCCCATCGACCAATCGAATCTTCATGAACCTTGACTGACCAAACAAGAAATCCTTAAGATCACCCTCCCCTGACTCCTCAACCACAACCTCTTTCAAAATCTCCTCACTTTCCGGCCCCTGAAGCGCTACCAAGCCCCACCCATCAAGCACCTCCCAGACAACCTTCTCTCCTCCTTCCTTTGCAAACGCCTGCAACTCCTCTCCTAAGTATTTCACATCCTTTTCTCTACATCCTGCATTTGTAACCACATAAAACAGTTCCGGGCCTAGTCTCGTAATAATAGTATCATCCACAATTCCTCCCGTCCCAGGATGCAACAAACAACTCAACCCTCCCTGATGTAAGGCCAGATTGGCAATACTAGCTGGAGTAATCCTCTGCAAAAATGCAGTTGCTCCTGGACCCTCAAACCGATGTTGAACCATATGGCTCACATCGAAAAGACTGGCATGTTCCCTCGTGAAATGATGTGAGGCGCTCACAGAGAGTCCGGAGTATTGGACTGGCATGTGGAAGCCACCAAAAGGAACCATCTTTCCTCCATTGGCAACATGTAGATCGTAGAGAGGGGTTTTACGGAGTTCTGTTGATGATGGCGAGGACGATGAAGCATGACGAATAGACTTCTGCTGTCTTATCGCTGCGGCAGATGTTGGGAATCGAGCTGTGGTCTTGAGTGATAAGGGAGAGGTCGCAGTGGAGGTTTGACGTCGGACAGCTGTTGAAAGTTGACGGGAGCATCTTGGTACTGCGCGGTTGGTGAATACCGTATCACAAATACCAGTTGCAGCTTTAAATTGTCTCATTTTGAATCAATTAATTGTTGTCAAAAAAATATATATTGTTAAAAATTATGGGAAGCTTGTGTTGACAAAGATTCAGGATAGAGGCCAGCCCGAAGTCGGCTCACTGTGGCCTATGAAAGTGGGGTTCTTCGCGGGGTACAGACCTATAAAATGTGAGCATTACAGGCCTTCACAAGGGATCGCGGGGTATCAACGGCCTATAGTCACCATACTGTGCATCAGTACCAGCAATTTTGTAAGACTTAGTATTTGATGCAAAAAATCCTCATCATTGTTTCTACACTAATTGTAATCGACACAATCGATTGTTTGCTGAGAGTTGGTTCAATTGCAAACGGTTGAAGATGCAGCCTCTCTCATGAGGCTTCTAGCTTCTCAATAATACAACTTATTCCATGGCCATAATCACCACGTCAACCCAATCCTTTACTTCGTCTCAAAACTGTATCTCAACCATCCCGAAAGAGCATTTAAACTCTCCCATCTCACCGTCTCGTCAGGCTCCGACATCAATTCCATGACTCTCGTCTTGAGACCCAATTTTTCTAATTGATACCTCTTCTCCGGAACTTCTTTGACCAAGTATCCTACATCATTGCAAGCAATAGCAAGAACTTGCTTGTCATTTTCCCAAGGCTTACTCATAATCTCCGCAAGCTTCTTACATAGCTCTCCTTGCTCATAATCGAGGATTTTGCGAGCGTTCTCAGCCCAAAATATTTGATTTCGATGTGGTGGTGACCAACGAAGATGGCCAGAGTTTACCTCTGCAGCATACTCATCGAATGTAGTTTGAGTCTTTGTGTGCTCGTCTAAAATTTCGCTCAGCTTCTTGAGATCCTCTAAAAGATCTTCGTCTGTGAGATGGCGTCCATTCAGATTTTGTAGAAGAGCTGGGAGACGAGCGAAGACCGCCACGGGGAGTAATGAACTCTGATTCGAAGAAAGGAGGTTGTATAGAGAGGAAATTAACAATCGAGTTGTCTTTTCCTTTGGTGAGAGTCTCAAAAGTTGCGTGTAAAGTGGAATAATGTCGTATTCGCTATGAATTAGTTAGTTGTGTAACTACGGATCACTCAATAGCTAATACTTACTCCTCAAGTCCTTCGCCAATGGCAGCACCCTCAAAACTCAACTGCCACAAAACCAGGAGTACGTGGTAGAGCAACTGTAGACCAACTCCGCAGCCTAACGTTCCTTCTGGTCCACTTCGAATACTTGCAGTACCACTCCACAATGTTGATTCAGAGTCACCATTGGTAACACCTGCAGCTGATTTAAGGATTGCAATTAATGGTTCGATTGTGTCAGACCTTTGATTCCAGAATAGCTCTCTTGACTTTTTGCCTTGTAACAATGATGAGTATTGTAACACTGCGATATCCTGTAACCCGCCATCAGAGCTCTTTGCCAATGTTGATAAATAATGCAGCAGTTTCGGCATTGCCTCCAAAGCATTTTGAGATGTATCTTTAGAGCCGGAGATTATGCTTGTGAGAACCGTAGAGGTGAGTAAGGGTATGGGGCTTTCAAGTTCAGGGGATTGGGCCAGTAGTGGGAGGAAAGGCCTGTATGGATCGTCGTGTTCCGAGAGAGTCTTTGATAACGTCGGAATATCTATCCAGTCTCCGTCAGTACTCATACAGTTCTCATTTGAGTGGCAGATATAATACCATCGAGTAAATCGCCCAACAAGACCAAAATATACTGAACAACATCTGGGCGCTTTGCTTTCGTTGCCGATTCCAAAACGCTTGATTCTCCTTCCGAACCAACAAAAAGCTTTCTATACGCATCCGGATCTTTCTCTACAATCTCCTTTCTTTGTTCTTTTCTTACTTTATCGACAGCTCGAATCTTGCTTAACTGATCATCGGTGATTGTGCCAGCTCGTACCGCGCCATCCCAGGGTATTGGACGTTGGCGGATGTTGTTCATCAACGAATAAAGGTAGGTGGGTGGATCGAGAGACATGATGAACTTACTACTCAGCTCCTCCGGGTATCAAAATGTTGTGGAGCGAGAGTATTTTATGTATTAGTAGAGTCGTGGTTGTTGGTTATACTCAAAATTGGTCTGTTGATTCAAGCTTCAAGGTAGCTCTTATCGAGGAAAGCGCTAGTGGAGCTAGCCTGCTCGCTACAGCGTGACTGCTGTGGCTACTCCCTTGAGCCAGGTACAAACGGACATCACAATATTAAGATCTCTTATTGCATCTACTATTAATGTTTTTATTTAACTCTTTAATGTTCCGATGCAATCATGCGTTGGAGATAGAATATTTGTTACTACTGTTTGCGCGATCTAATTATGTCTTAGATATTTCTATCAAGTGCATACACGGCACTCACATCAGTGATACAATCGGATGGGCTTGTCTGTAATTACTAGGTATAATATTGCTGCGATATTCTGAAGTACTCAACCGCCTGAAGCCATAATTCCTGCAAACCATGGCACTCGTCGTTTTATTCAAGTAAGAGCCTTGCCTAAACGCCTTCCAAACACCTTTGAAATGCCAATCACCAAAACTTACTCTCTAATGACCTAGTGGCGGGTGGAAAAATAGTCCGGCTCACTGCTTCCCTGAGACATTCCCGAACTGGAATCTCCATAACCATCATTTCCATTAACATCAGCTTCTTTGATTAGGCGAGGCACCTTTAATTTTGTACCTTCAAACATAAAACTCGTGGCTTCACGGTCATCTTTAGGACTTCTGAGGCTGACCATCTCCAATGCCTCCATTAATGTAGCGCCAGTTTCATCAAGAGCTGTTAGGAATCGTGCGAGCTCTTTACACAATTCCCAATCCTCTTCGTCTTTGGCACGAGAAAGCAAACGAACGAGTTGTTCTGAGCTTGAACTTAATTCTTCAAAAGTATGAAGGATAAGCAAGTATCCACCTGCTGTCTTCAAGGATCCTCTTTCTAATGATTCTTCAAATAGCTCTTGTGGTGGTGGTAGATATGTGAATAGCGTCCGCCATGACCTCACTTCCGTTTTACGAGTACATTGAACAACGATATCCAGGTATTGAGGAAACGAGGATAAAAACGATAACACGCCTGGTAATAAAGCTGCCTCAGGTGACGGCGGCGTATCTACTTCCTCGTCGAGAACATTATGTAATAGAATTTCGAGTGAGTGTGCAAAGTATTCAAGTTTTTGATACTGATGAGCTAGATGTAAAGCTGCTGGAGAATCGAATCGAGATAAGTGGAAACGTAGAACTTGTGGGATAAATAGATGAGTCTATATTATTTGTTAACGTAGATCCTACTTATGTTGTCACCATGCTACATACCCTTATGGTGAATTTGAAAAAGGCAAAATTCACATCGCGACGTTGAACTAGATCAGATTCAAGGCCAAGGAGAATACCTTTACCAAGCAGAACTGATAGAGGGTAGAAATCGATTTGAATGGAGACTGTCGACGGAAGTTCACGACCTAACTCCGATGGAGCTGAGCGAAGGACATCCTGAACCTCGGGCCATACTTTGATCTCATTTCCTTCAAAGAACCAAAGAGCGTCTCGCAAACCATTCCCTTGCCCATGATCCCCCAATTCCTCTGTAGATTCGGTATTTCGAGGTGGATTAGCCAAAGGTTGATCCCTCATAAGAGCATAGAATTCGACATTTTGTGCAATAACTCGCATGTCGTATTTAAGTTTGCGTTCATCATTGAGTGATGGCTGCAGTAAAACAAGTTTGCCATCAACCAAGAAGAGGACAGTCGCGACAGCCACATCTTGTGACGGGTCCCCCTCTATTATTTGTTCATCTGGCAAAATCCAACTTAGACCTCTCACTCTAGCTGGTGATCGAACAATCCCATGAAAAGCTATTTGTCCAACCTGCACAAGCTTCACTACGCCATTTGTCGTTGCAAATATGTAATGATACAGTAAATTGTCGTACGTATAGACAAGTAGAGAGTCTTCCCCAGATGGAGCAATGAGCACCACCGGTGCTGGAAGGTATTCAACATGCAACATGGCAGTGTTGTCAAGAGGAGCCTCGCGTGAGAATAAACGCAATTCGAAGGATTCCCCAGCTTCTACTGCAGCCACTAGAATGTGTTGATGCCAACACATACCTCCCCGTACCTGGAATTCGTTCTCCATATTTTCGTTGACGAAACTCTTCCATCGACCACTGTTGACGCTATAATGTGCAAGACCACGCCGGCCTGCCACCGCAACATATCGACCATCGGACGATATAACTGAACAACGGATGGGCCATTGATCCACCAGGTAACTGGAAGGAATTTGAGCATTGTGCCACAAAGAAGACTCAGCTGATATGGTAGTAAGATCAGGCATGTCACAACCTCGGTAAACCATAATACTCGAGGTGGTTTGAAGTAATGTGCGGGATATATTTGCAGAGGCATAGCATCCAGTAATAGCACTGCGCGCCATTTCTAAAGTCCATAGCCGATTGTCTTGTTGGCTAATAAGAAGGATCTCGGTCCCACCACCAAGCCAAACGGCTTCTTTGACACCAACAAGCCAGCCCTCGTTATTCTCTTCGCATATTCTTCGGTCTGATCCAAAGCTGTTTGCTCCTGGTTTACCAAATACACTCCACATTGCCCAGCCATTTTCGTATCCTGCGAAAAGGCTGTATCCGTCTGGAGAATAACTTAGACAAGTCAACTGACCAGATGATTGTCGGGAAACCGACAGACGATGAATATGCGAAGGTGGTACATTTCCGACATAATCCTTGGCGTTGTAGACCTGTATGGTGCCATCATTACAGCCAACAGCAATAAGGGAGAATCTAGCGTTAATAGCTGATTTGATTGCATGGCTGTCCTCATTGGTAGGTATATGAAAACAATAGCCTCGGAACAATTTCCGGTGCCCGTCCGAATCCTTGTGTCGAGTCTGACGCTGTACTGCGTATGCCATTCCATCACTAGTAGTCCAAGTGGAAAGATTCATCGGTCTATCATAAACCATTTCCGTTACACTGGCTTTCTTAGCTAGCCATTCCATCCGGCTGAATATCTCCGTACTCGTTTGGTTGCCTGTACTGTCTGGAGTCCATCTGATGCACTGTACTGCGCCCGGCTTTTTTGTCGCGACGACCAATTCATCATCCAATGCTAAAGCATTGCCGATACCAGCATCAACTTTAATGACCATCCGAAACTTTACGCTCACATCCCTTACACCACCTCCCTCGCCTGGACCCCAAAGGATCCTATCACCTCCCCGGCTTCTGTGACCACTAAAATTACTCTGCCTGCGATTCGTGTGATTGTCAAAATGCGGCTTGAAGACTCTGGAATCGGGGTCTGTGGCTAAAGTGTAAGTTATAAGGAAACCGTTTGTTGTCTGAACGACGAATATCATAGAGTCGGGTCGGAGGAGGAGGGAAACATTCGATCCGTATGTAGCAAGGGATTTGGAAGATCGAACAACGACGGCCAAAATGGCGGTAGGCTAGAAGAGTATATTAGCAATCGTCAACCGCAATCCCGTAGTGTTTCGGATCAAACATACCTTTGTCTGCCATATTGTCAAGGAGGTAGATGTAATAACCGCGAAAAGATGACCACTTCGAGATATCCTCAGTGCCAACAGTGGATCATTTTCTGGCCGACTCGAAGGAAAATAAGATGCGTCTGTGAGGGACGAGCTGTTCCACGGTCGGATGTGAGTGTCGTGTTCGACTGGCTTTATGCCCGGGGTGATAGGCGTTATGGGTGTGGATAACCCAGAGGTTGTCCCTTGATCATCATCAACTTTCTCCTCGGCTTCATCATCCGGCGCATTTATGAGAGATCCGCTGCCTTCTGTAGGTTCCCGCGAGTCGATATCATCATCGGTTTGAATAATACGATCTTTAGATGCGGCACTGCTTGCTGCATATATTCGAGGAGCTCCAATCGGCCAGTACATGGCTGTCCAATGCCACTAGAAGTTTCATCCATATCATCGCATATCCGCGAAAATTATTGACATATATTTTGAGCAAGTTTCTCTTCGTTGTGTTTTCAGATACAAGGTACTTCAATCAGAAGCGCATGATCTTTGAGGTTCATTGAAAGCACGGCTAATTCTCGGCACCGCTGTATATGCTAGGAATGTCTGTGTGAAGACTTCAATATATTATTATGTATTGATCACAATACAGCAAGTACAATTATCTAGGTATTTCTAGCCATGATCTTTAAATTTTCAAAGTTTTCATGACAAGACTACGCATTTCCTTCTTTATTTGAAGCAGATTCTCAAAAATTACATGATATTATACTACTTTCAGCACCCGCCACAAATCCCTAGTAACCACAAAAGATGGCGCCCCTTCGCCATCGACAAAGTCTCTCAAAGGAGAAGTTCTCCGGATATTTTAGCTCTTTGAAGACCCAAACCTATAACGACCCCGGTACAAGAGGTGCTGGCTCGCATAGGTATGTCCCTATTCCACTTGCTTGTTTACCCGTTCATGTGCGAAAATGCCCATGAAGGCACATGATATGAAATCGTGACCGCTGATTCTTTGTATAGTTTGAGAAGCATTGCATGGTCTCCAATGGGCAACCTGATCGCTACTGGGGCGGCGGATAAGACCCTGAGAGTCTGGAATCCTGAGAGACCTTCAGTGAATTACTCCACTCAACTTGTCGGTCACAGTGCTGGAATCGAAAAGGTGGCTTTCAATCCAGTAAAAGACGCTGAACTTGCTAGTGTGAGCAGTGATGGTGTAGTCAAATTTTGGGATGTCAGAACGAAAGCTGTGATCAACGAAGTCAAAGGATTAGGTGACGCCTTTACGCTCGTCTGGAGCCCTGATGGCGAGAGTCTTGTTGTTGGTAACAAGGTATGCATGCTTCTACCTGTATGAATATGTGCATTTCCTATGAACACAGCGTTCCCAATAGTCCATGCTGCAGTCCTGTAATGTGGTTTTCAATTCTTGTCTTCGATTGAAATAGTCAATTAGTTTTCGAGCATTAAAAAACTCACATCTAGACTGCGTGGTTCGGACTATTGGACCTCTGTATGAACATAGCTAAGCCGTTGTCTGACACTATTTAAGAAAGCTTGAGATTATGCTGTATGTTTTAAACCAGAGCTAATCATTACTTAGGCTGATAACATCTATATACTCTCCCCAACACAGTCAACTCCTGTCGCCTCGCATCAGCAGCCAGTGCAGACAAACCAGATCGCTTTCTGTTGGAGTGGTAACAAAATTTTTCTTACAACAGGAGAAGGTCGTATCAAGATTCTATCCTATCCAGACTTTAAACCTGTCTTTAATATGACTTTTGAGGCTTCACAACCTTTCACCTTAAATGGACATACGTCCTCTTGTCTTTCTGTAGAGATGCAACCAACGGCAAGATTCTTGGCAAGTGGGGGCTCAGATTCTATCATTGCACTTTGGGATACAACCGACTGGATATGCCAACGTACTCTGATTGATATGATAGGCCCCGTCAGGAGTATAAGTTTTAGCTTTGACGGAAGCTATATCGTTGGAGGTAGTGATGAAGGCACAGGACTAGAAATTACCCATACTGAGACTGGAGAGCATGTGTACACGGTCAAAGGTGGCCCTTGCCCGGTTGTCGCCTGGCACCCAAACAAATACATTCTAGCATATGTGGAAAACGGTGGCTTGAAGATTATCGGAGTCGATTTAGAAAGGAAGTAAAGACGGTGGTCTTAAGAAAGGATTAATAAGCTTTCTGCAAGGGGTCGACACCCATGATGGAAGCGCGGGGAGGCATACACGAGAAGAGATTTGGTTGAAAAGCCACTGAAAAGTTATTGCCGCAGAAGGGAAGACGAATCACTATTACGGTACCGACATATATGTATATTTTCATGAAGTATGTTGCTCGCGATGACCTTGGCACTAGCTTGTCCTTCGGAGGATTGGGATCATATGTAGTGCAATTTGAGGCGATATTGTCTAGACTCCAAGCACAGCACCGTTTACTAGCATATAGCGAATATCTAAGGTTCAAATATTCTTGCGTTCTTGACACCAGGCTTTTGGTTTATCTGCACGTCATTTTAGTTCCCAAAATATAAATATGATCGTTCCCAGAGATGTTTGTGGAGAATAATCTTAACTCCGATTCCGTACTCGTATAAATTGGTAAGTCGGGCAAACATCTAGCCGGATGACTACTTGGATTCTGCTCGTTTCCGTCGAGCTTAACCGTTTCTGGTTCCTTCACAAGGCTGATGTGCATCGTACAGACTAAGCAGCGGCGTTTAACATTTAGACTTTTCAAGAATGTTGAGGAGTAAAGGGGAAGGTGCCACGAACATAATGATATTTAATAAGCTTATGAACTAAAGAGAAACTTTAATGTCGGTGCCTTGAGTAGGATGAACTGGCCATTGCATATGTCGTTGCATATGTCGTTGCATATGTCGTTGCTCATCGATTGTGTATTCTTATTGTTACTCGTACAAAACAATTAATTTCTATCTTTTTTTTATCTTTCGTGCATTGTTATTTCATGCAGTCAGCCTTCCCCTAGTTCATTCCCCAGGTCCCACTCTCTCAACTCTTTAGAGCGGGATAAATCCTTAATCCCTAAGACGCCAAACCTTGTCATTATCAATAACAGACTGGTGGTCTCCTATCTACCGGTACCGACTCATGTCTACCGGTCTGCGAGCCATTTATTAGTATTGAAGAAAGAAAACTTACTGGAAACAAAACTTCCCGCATTTCCTAATATAGTAGCATACGTAGGTATTAGGTATCTATCCTGACTCGGAACTGCATCTGGAACAATTTTACAGACATTAGATTATCAAACGCTTGACCCTCTTTATTTTGTTATCGAGAAAGCTTGAGTAGCACGGGCAGCTTTGGTCCCTTTCGCATCATCTTTTACCTTTTTCACCTGCATCCATTTGTTGGCAGCACATGCGACTAACATAGCCTGATTTCTCAAATTACTAATTAACTCTGTCATTTCTTCATTCGGATCATGTCGAAGTTCGGCACAACTTGAGCTGCAAGAACAGGTTTGACGACTTACTTCCCTGCGGACTTTGCGGAATATCCACTGGTTCCGCCCTATCAAACACGGACAGAGGCCCGAACCGTTGTGTTGAGAATCGAAACACTCTTTCAACGTGAAATGTCATCAGCCTCCAATACACATCCCGAGGAGTTTTTCAACGATCTTTCACAACCAACAGGCAACGGAAGACCAAACAGCCTTCTGAGGGGCACGGGTGACATGGCAGGAAGAATTGACGGAAATGAAGGGGATTCGGTGATTCAAAGGCCAAAGAAAATCGCATGCATTATATGCCGAAAAAGAAAACTTAAATGTGATGGCTCGAAGCCAAGCTGTTCAACATGTACGAGATTGGGACATGATTGTGCTTATGATCCGGTGCGGAGAAAGTCTGGCCCAAAACGTGGCTACGTGAAAGCATTGGAGGAGCGATTAAGTAAGTCTTTAGGCATCTAGGTCCGGGGTGTCTAGAACGTGTGATGCATACAGTATCTCTTGGAGCTACGCTAACTTTCCATGCTATCAGAACAAGTCGAGACCATGCTCAAATCACAAGAACCTAATACTACGAATTGCAGCCAAGGCACAAGCAATGCTAGCGGGGAAAGCTTACGGACCGTCCCGGTCGCAGAATTCAACGCTTCTGGCCCGTCTGTCAGAGCAGATGGTGAACGGTGGCGCTATGAAAGTGATTCTGAACCACCGCTGAGTGGAATGGGATTCGCGGATACTGTGGATGTTGGAATGGGGTCAGAGGATTTTCCGTGGGAAATGATTGGGCTTGGAATTGAGGAGCCGTTACCCCTCCAAAATGCAGTGGATGAGTTGTATGTTTGTCTAGAGGTCATCTTACACATGAGCTTATATTGTTCAGGCACCAAATCTACTTCGATAATGTTCACCGTTGCATTCCAATAATTCACAGGTACCGGTACCTTGCTGCAATGAATCTGTGAGCAATCCTCGCCTCAAGGCCTAGTTGTATGTCGATCTAACAATTGTTCCATAGTCCACCAAATCAACGACCCCCCGTTTCATTGCGATATGCAATGTGGACGCTTGCAGCTTCTATTTCCGAGAAATACGGTGATCTCAAGGATCACTTCTACCAGCGCGCTCGAAAATATCTCGAGATAGATGCACTAAAAGGATTTGGAGAAAGCATAATTTCTGTCTCACATGCACAAGCATACATTCTCATAGCTTCTTACGAGTTCAAAATGATGTATCTCCCTCGAGCTTGGATGAGCACTGGATCTGCCATCAGACTATGTCAAATGTTAGTGATTCCTCCGTGTGAGAGGCTGCCCGCTAATCAGCCTAAAGGATGGGTTTACATAGACTTGATAAGCCAGGTCTAGAGGTAAAACAATGTCTTCAACCACCACGTGATTGGACAGAGAAGGAGGAGAGGCGGAGAACTTTCTGGATGGCCTTTTGTGAAGATCGATACGCTAGTATCGGAACTGGCTGGCCTATGGTGATTGATGAAAATGACATTGCATCAGACCTACCATCCTCTGACGAGGCTTTCGAGATGAGCAGACCAGAACCCTCTCAAACTCTTACGGAAGCAATGAGTCCTCAAGGCGCTTCTAAGCTATCGCCTTTCGCTGGGATTGTATTGATGGCTTCACTCTTCGGTCGAAACATCTTACATCTACATCGTTCCGATGTGGATGATCGGGACAATGACTTGAATGGAGAGTTCTGGAAGCGACACCGGAGTATGGATAATATTCTCTTGAACACTTCGCTCTGTTTACCTTTCCACCTTAGACTACCTCACGGAATGGCCAATCCTAATATTGTGTTTTTGAACATGAGTATTCATGCTTCTGTTATCTGCCTACATCAAGCGGCAATATTCAAGGCTGAAAAACATCGGTTACCTGATTCTGTCGTCCTTGAGAGCAAAGCCAGAGCCATTAACGCGGCAAACGAGATTACAAATACCATGCGTACGATCTCGCATATGGATTTATCAACTGTAGGTAGACCACACAAAGATACATCCAATTCGGCTAACACATTGATAGATGAATCCATTCCTGTCCTTCTGTCTCGTGGTGGCAGCACGTGTTTTCGTTCAGTACCTGGCGGATGTACCAAAAGATGCACAGGTTCTTGACTCTCTAAGGTTTCTCCTATATGCCATGAATGCTTTTAAGAAAAAGAGTCCTTTGACCGAGTCTTTTCTAGTACAAATAGACGTTGATTTAGAGAGCAGGGGTATGCGCCACAACAAGAAGTTTAAAGATGCTCCTTGGAACGAGGATTTGGTACGTTAATTGATTGTCTTTTGTCATTCGTAAAGCTAATGTACATAGATGGGATCTAGAGAGATTGTGGTCAGAGCTTGTCCAACTCCCGGAGGTGGAAAGTTTCCCCCTGGGTGTAACTTTATGATGCGGATCCCAAAGGATGGAGGTGGGAATGCGTCCCAAGTGGAAATCGATAGTCAGACTGGTTCCCAAGAAGGATTGGGCAGTATTCGGGCCGACGCCGAACAAGCAGGTGGGAGAACAACGTCAAGCTCTGGAAGGACTCCGCTCCCACATAATTTCGACATTGAAAAAAACAACTGGCGTCCGTCAAACGAACACGCACGAGCTCGAGATTTAGGACGAGGCGTATCTACTGGCCAAAACAGAGATCCGAACAGTAATCCCAACAGCATTGGAAACGTCAGTGCTACCACAGAAACCAGTATATCACCCAACGCCTACAATGCCTCTAACCATTCGACGCCAAACTCCTCATCTGGTTCTAAATCATCTACTCTTCCATATGCTCAAAATGGCACCAATAGTAGTCCAGCCCCAAATTCAAATGGTAGCATGAACGCTTTTTTCTCGACTAATCCTAGTTATAATAATACCCCAGTGGGGACAGCTATGACACCAAATACGTTTAGTATGCCGGAGAATCAAGGGAGAACATATACGATGCCGGGATGGACAGGTCCACAGGCAACGACGGGGACGGGGTTGACGCCAGTAGGAGAGGGGCTTTTTAGACATATGATGGGTTTGGGACCTGCTGGAGACCTTGATTCGATGGATATCTGGGAGGGGGCATAGTTAAGTTAGGATTTGGTTCATGGTTAAGCGATGGGTTTTGGAGTAAAAACCTGGTGTTGGGGGTACTTTTGACTATTTGGTCGGTTGGTTGGTTGGTTGGGATATACTACGATATGATATGGTGTGATGTGATATGATGTGATATATTACTTTGATCGCACGCGGATACAAATATGATACAATACAGGAGGAAATTTTCCGGAAAGGGAAAGAAACACCACTCTCGGTTTATATATTCGCTTTAGCGTCGGTGTTGGAATCATGTTTGGGAATTTTGGAGATGGAGATGCGCGGAAAATGAATGGATTTATTTGTGTATGATGTTATATTAAATTGTCGGTCGAGGTAGAATGATTTTGGGTTTTGGGTTTGGAGTCTGGGTTTGGGTTTAAAGGGAGGTGTGATGCGGTTCTTGGTTAGAGGCTGGATTTATATATGTATGTATGTATGTAAACTGTATATTAGATGATTGATTGATTGGTTCTGGTGGTTGTGATGGTTGGTGGTTGGGATGTGTAGATTTATACTATAGTATTTTGGTTCGAAATTTTAGAAGGTTTTGGAACCTTTTTTCTTTCTTTTTGGTGTGTGTTCTCTTTTTTTTTTGGTGGGGGGAGCGGTTGCGATGGGATGGGATGGGATGAGATGAGATGAGATGAGATGAGATGAGATGAATATTGGTTGAGTGATGATACTGATGATGTTATGTGACGTGATGTGATGGGCGAGAGTAGGAGTATGGTTGATCATGGTTTGTTGGTTGCCTTGATGATTTGATGATTTGAAAAGCCCCTATTATCAGGGATTTAGGATCCTTGGGATTGGGAATGGAATGGAAGACCGATGATTTATTTGAGGAGTAGTATATTATACTGGAGGTATACAATGAGTGATCGCCAAATGATTGTGTAGAAGAAAAGGAAATGCAAATGAGCATGTCAAGCGTGGAGGATTGGTAGGCATATCTTTTATTCCGTGTTTGATATTATACATGGTATGTAAAGGATACTTCCATATGTGATAGGGAAGCTACATAGTCTACATGTACAACTTCAATACAATGTGTATCATGATAATTGAGCCTCTACTTTGTTCTTCTCTTTCCGTGATTTCTTTCACGAGGAGTTACCACCCATTTATTAGGCTTGCGAACCTTTCTGGTTTTGTAACCTCCTTTGGCCTGTGGAAAGTAATGTTAGTATGAATCTTTGAGTTTGAAGGATGGATTACATACTGGTTGACCCCATGGACTGACAGGGTCGACGTTACCCTTCGATTTACCTCTTCCTCCTCCGTGTGGATGGTCGGCTGTGAAATTGGTCAGCATTCACCACTTAAATTGTAATTGAGTATAAGATACGTACCAGCGTTCATAGCAAGACCTCTAACTGTTGGTCTAATGTTCAACCATCTTGAACGACCAGCTTTACCAAGTTGTCGATGTTGATGATGAGGATTACTAGCAATGCCTACAGTTGCGCATGCATGTATACTAACCTTTCTCACCTCACCACTTTGCAATCGTACAGTGGCATACATTGGTCCTTTATTTTTGTTGGATGTCTCGTCATCTTTTGTCACCACAACCGCATGTGTTCCTGCACTTCTACAGAACACAGCACCTCTTCCTTTTGCTGATCCAACATTGTAAACACTTGTACCAATAGGGATCATGTGTAATGGTAAACAGTTTCCTCTCCAAGCAGTCTTTGCAGCCAACACACCAGGATCTATAAATCCTCCCATACTCTCTAATAAATCTCTTGGTATACCGGCTCGATAACTTTGTACTTTATCTCCAGCCCTCATACCCTCCGCAGCAACGATATAGCTCTTTCTACCGGTAGCTTCTTCATTCAATAATGCAATATGCGCACTCCTTCCTGGATCATGTTCAATACGCTCCACTGTATGTACTCCAGGTGTCATTCGATGAAAGTCCACGGTACGAATTCTTCTCTTATGACCACCACCTCGATGTCTAACTGTGACTCGACCACTATTATTTCTTCCTCCCTTTCCATGGCCCTTCTTAGCGAAAGTCAAAGGTAAAAATGGTCTTCCTTTCCATAAGTGGTCGTTTATAGGTCTCTTTAAATGTCTGACACCAGGCGTTCTTGGCTTATATGTTCGCATAGCAAAAGTAGCACTAGTGCTCTCTGATGAGGACATAGGAGGTGCAAAACCTGCTGTTACAGCTTGTGCTGCAGGGACTTCAGCCTTTACTGGCTCAACGACCGTTGCGTATGTGCGAGGGAATGGTCGAATGATGGGTAGGTAATTGCATGTTGCCCTTGGACATTGTCGCGCAAGTATCCTAGGTTGAAACATGATGGATTCTATATATCGAATTGATCACCGCAATTCGATTGATCTTCTCGCCACGGCGAGGGCCTCCGGAAATAGTAGTTGGAAGTTGTGGAAGTCGATGTCGTTCGTGCTTGAACGTATCTCAAACTTCTTTCGGAAAGGCTATCTCCCGATTGGGTTTAGTTTGAGTATCTGGAAGCAATCATATGTAGCAGAATATGAATAAATTTTCTACTTTCACTTCAGATGAAGAATTCAAAGTAGAATCTTATGAATGCTATGACAATAAAAAAAGTTATATCTATATAAATCAGTAATAGATTATATGTGACGAGGTCACCATGAAGTGAACTGATTCACTATCAGTTCAATAAGTTCAACTTTTCTAGGTGCCAGCTCTTGGAATCTATCACTAGCCACTAGCCACTAGCCACCTTCTACTCTCAGACGGGAAACACGGGATTAAGCCATGCGGGATCAAAAGTGGAAGAGTTGTTGCTTAGTGGTTGCCTAGGACTAAATGAAGATCAACAAAGCTATCTGCGTCAATCCAGAAAAAGTTGTGTCAATTGTGGATATATGAGATCTTGTTGTGACCGACCAAAATCCAGAATATTATTCAATTCTGAACATTTTGAAGAGCTCCATTTAATCAGAATGTTTCAAAAAATCTTTTTTATAAAAGATTTTCTTTTTTGAAAGATTTTAATTGATTCAAATTGAGCTTTTATATCGTCTTTTGCACCATTGCTCTCTAAACACAATCATCCTACTCGATACCTACTCGAGTATTGTTGTGTCGTATCGTATCTCTCTCTCCCTCTCTCTCTCTCTCTCCCTCCCCGTCTATTCGCTCTTTTTTACAAAAATCCTTGTTACTGTACCAGCCCAAAGCCACGAAAGGAAGCACGACACGCTAATTCCTACCCACAACAAGCGAAGTGCCTAGCAACCTTGGAAGCTCTGACACCTCTTTAGCAAGTCTTCCTCACACATTATTCCACCCTTCATTCATCATCCACATCCACATCCCACAACCCATAAACATCAACTCATCCTACCCATAAACAAATCAAAAGATACTACACCTCGACCTTTCGACCTTCATGTTCTTGATAGCCTTTTAGGTATTTGCCAGCATTAGATCCATCTCGGTATCTTGTTTGTTCAATCGTTCAAGTTCTTTCGGTTCCGTGTACAAATTCAAAAAAAGTTCAATTCTTCATCTGTCAACAAAGTCGATATATCACAACCCCAATTCTTCATATCGTCAATTACACGTCGGGATCCACTGGAGGTCTAACCCATCTTCATGTACGTATATCCCTCTATCTTATACATCTTGTTGTGGTCGTCACTTCACGTCTTCATGCCGATGTCTTCAATATTCATCACGCGCTTCCAACATATATATATAGACCGCGTCTTGCTGACCATCTTTCTTTTAGCGACCCACCCCATCATTCTCTCCACAACACTCCACACATAATAGTTAATATAACACATCGTCAAATATGCCAGTCGTATGTACCCCAGACACCACATAGTTCCATTCCCAAAACTATGAGTTCTTCAATTGGTCACAATTGTCCAATTGATTAGTGCTAATCATGTGTGCAAATAGAGTCGAGCAACTAGCCGTCGGGCCCCTACAAATGAGAACGATGAGAATGTAGCTGGTGTCACAACTCGTCTTACCAGATCTAAATCTGCAGCTTTTACCACAGAGGAGGTTACCGGTGCCGTTAAGAAGCCACTTGCAAGCAAGAAATCAACCGCCAATACACAACCACTCCGAAAACGAGCCGCATTGGGAGATGTAAGCAACGTTGCCAAAGGAGGTGATGCCGTTGAAGCAAAGAAGCCTGCTGCCAAGAGCGGACTAGTTTCAAAGGCTTCTCAGCCAACTGGCGTCACCAAAAGCAGTACACGATCAGCCCTCGGAGCTAAGGATGCAAATAAGAAGTCATTGAGCAAGGCGGCTGGGTCGGGTGTAATGAAGAGAAAGACTGCTGCAGCTGCAGCTACAATAGCAGCCTCAGTCAAGGAAGAAACACCCGTTGAAGATGAACAGCCATCCCGAAAGAAGGTTCACATTGAAGCAGAAAAGCGAATCAAGCAAAGCGAAGTTGTCGAGGAGAAGGAGAACGAATCAGAGGCTATCGTTGAGCCAGAGCCAAAGGAATCTGTCAGACTTGAGTTCGCCGAAGGTGTACGCGACTTGGATGCCGAAGACATGGATGACCCCTTGATGGTGGCTGAGTACGTCGTTGAGATTTTTGAATACTTGAAGAAGTTGGAGGTCGCTACCAAACCTAACGAAAAGTATATGGCACATCAAGAGGATCTGGAGTGGAAGATGCGCGGCATCCTTGTCGACTGGCTGATTGAAGTTCACACACGTTTTCACCTTCTCCCGGAAACTTTGTTCCTCTCTGTCAACATCATCGACCGCTTTCTCTCCACTAAGGTTGTTCAACTTGATCGTCTTCAACTCGTTGGCGTTACCGCCATGTTCATTGCCTCCAAGTACGAAGAAGTCCTCTCGCCCCACGTTGCCAACTTTCGTCACGTCGCCGATGATGGATTCACTGAGGCAGAAATCCTCAGTGCCGAACGTTACGTTCTCAGTGCTCTCAACTATGATTTGAGCTATCCCAACCCCATGAACTTCTTGAGACGTATCTCTAAGGCTGATGACTACGACATCCAAACCCGTACATTGGGTAAGTACTTGATGGAGATCAGTCTTCTCGATCACCGATTCATGAAGTATCTCCCAAGTCACGTAGCCGCCGCATCCATGTATCTCGCCCGCCTTATCCTTGAGAAGGGTGAATGGGACCCAGTGTTGACTCACTACTCCGGATACAGTGAAGATGAGATTGAACCTGTCTTTCAATTGATGGTTGATTACCTTGCTCGTCCTGTTACCCATGAGGCATTCTTCAAGAAGTATGCTAGCAAGAAATTTTTGAAGGGCATGTACTTCCAAAGCATTTTTATTCGAATATGACTAACATTTCCTAGCTTCAATCCTTACCAGACAATGGGCTAAGAAACATGCATCTCTTTATGGTATTGATGTTACTCAACCTTTAGAATCTTAATAGAAATTATGACACTTACCCTATTACTACCTGCTCTCCCCTGGATACACCCTTTGCTTTTTAATTAGTTGGGATACGAAATGGTACTTACGACGGATGATGGACCGGACTACCAAATATACCACACATTATCCTGGTCAATGGTCTGGCTTTGGTTTATGTCGATGCTTCTCGGGGCGTCGAGTGATATCTTTCTTGCTCAGTTGGGTTTGGTGCATACTCTTTTTTTAACATGAATCTGGCGTTTAAGTCTGTATGCAAATGGATCTTACAGTATCGGCGTCTGGGAATTTGATGTTTGATTCCACAATTTGCTCGATGTTTTGCAGCAAATGTTCTGGCTACAAGCATATAGCAGGAAACTATTGGCAGTTTGGCTCCATTGCTGTCATGAGGTGTGAAAAGTGGAGGGGGGGGGTTTTATTTCTTGTGTCGGTAACATGAAATAGCTTTTGTAGATATATTTTTAAGCGCAAGAATAACCATCACGAATTATAAATACATATGAATGGTCTCTGGCCTTGGTTCACAGTGTATAATCGAATCATTCGTACAACAATAAGGGCCCGAACCGAAGTTCAGTGTTAGTTTGATATGAATTTTTGGGATGGAATGGGACGGATGGACATGTCAGAAGAAAACATGGAGAGGTAAGGAGGGGTATGTGTAAACGGGTATGATGTATAAGGGTATGATGTATAAGGGTTCGATGTATGAGGGGTATGGTAAGAGGGGTGAGGAATCTTTTTTTTTTCCCTTTTGTCCTCCTGGTATTTGACACCTCAAATGTTCTACCCAATGGACATTACTTATAATCATTCACTAATCGCTCTCTTACTATTCAAGCTCTGGACAATTAACTAATCAAAAGCCGTGACAATGATTATCTAGACTAGATATTTTAGTTCCGATCGGAAGGTCCACCCTTCTCTCTTTCATGTACTTGTTTTCGTCGAAATCTCTTGGAGCAGCATTTTCCGGTACCATAACATTCCATTGCCATTATGATATCGCTTCATCACGAGAGTCAAGTAGACGAAAAAGTCGATCCAACCATCTCACTTTGACACTAGCGTAAGGACGACATCGCCTTAATTGTTTGTCTAAGCTATACTAGCGTTGTCAATCAATTGACCAAGTTTCCTTGGTGATGTTTTCTGGGATTCTTGCTACAATTGGAAGTTGCGTTTACTTCCTTTAGCTGCTTGCCTGCTCTCGTTGACTGAAAATCATAAGGCACGTGGGTTCACTCTTTTCTTATTATCTCGATAATCAGACTGGTATATCCCTACGTAGTAACGTTTCCCGAAACATTATTACCTATCAACAATTCATGCACCAGACGGGTGCTTGCAGGTCTTTGTTCCTGACCGACTGACCAACTCAACTTGGGTAATACCAACCTAAAATGTTCCCGCTAAGCAAGTGCAAACTCAGATATCGATGTTGATATCAACTTACTTAACCTACTACCGGATTAAATCAACTGACTACACCTAATATACCTAACTTATTTTGCACATATATAACATAATACATGCCATGCGCCCTTATTTTTCCCGGAGCAGAAAAGACAATTTGAAAAGGCAAAAGAAGAGAGAACTAACATGTACTGCTATTGAGAGGGAGAGAGAAAGTACTGTTCCGCTGCTAAATATGAATCCGTCGAGCTTGAGACAGGGGAATGAGGGGCATGATGAAACGAAGAATATAGAGGTTGAGGGCTGTGTGTCTCCAACAGGTAAATTTTTGGTTTTATTATATTTCTTCACTCAATTTGGACTGATATATACAAGAGAAATGTACTAATTGAGGGGCTACAGGCAATTCAAACGATGGTCGCATTTCCCCAGCCTCAAAGCTATCGAGTGACACCGGAGCATTGACCAGCGATTCTGTTTCGGATGGCTTGTCAATTCAGGATAAGAAAATCTTGTTGGTTGCGGCAGAGATTGATGAGATGGGAATGGGAAGGTATCAGTGGTATATATGGGGATTATGTGGTTTGGGATACTTCTTGGATCTATTGTGGGCGCATGCATTTGGTTTGATTGCACCAGTTATGCAGAGAGAGATGGGAATTGACGGTATGTGACACCCCGCTCTGGATTGATATTTGAAAATGAAGTTGGGCTTGACAGCGGTTCTGTATTCCCCATTGTGTCAGAGATAAGAGTTGTAACACAGAAATAGCTGGGAGAAGACTTGCACAACTAAATAAAGTGCTAATCAATTCATACAGATACGCAACTGGGTCGTTTATTCACAGTCGTCAATGCTGGTTTGACAGTTGGAGCTCTAGTATGGGGAGTTCTGGTCGATATTATCGGTAAGTGATCAGCACCCATATTATCTTGCATTCTCCAATAACTTCATCTTTCAGGTCGCAAATGGGCTTTCAATGGCACTGTCTTCATTACCTCAGTCTTTGGAATTTGCATGGCAATACCAAGCTCGTACACTGGTCTTCTTGTGCTGGTCGCTTTTACTGGTTTTGGTATCGGAGGAAATATTCCCATAGACACAACAATAGCTCTGGAATTCCTTCCCCAGGTGTGCCCCTACGCGACACTGTCCGAAGAGCAGCGTTTAACACTTATCACTAGAAAAATCGTTTTCTTTTAGCACTCTTGTCGATCTTTCAACCGATCGGAGTTGTCGTTTGCAGTGGCATAGCTTACGGATTTATACCCAAACATTCTTGCGCGACAGACCTACCATCATGTAAAGCAAAGGACTTGACGCCGGGGGCTGAATGCTGTTCCAAAAGGAACAATATGGGATGGAGGTATCTATTGTACACTCTGGGTGCAATATCTTTGTTCATATTCATACTGCGGTTCTTGGTCTTCACTTTTCAGGAGTCGCCTAAATATCTTCTCAGCAAGGGCAGGGACGAAGAGGCTTTGAAGGTGTTGCAGAAAATTGCAAAAACGAACAAGAAACCTTTGAGGCTTACCATTGAGGATTTCAGGTCCTTGGATAATACCGAGGCTCTTCTGTCTCCCACCTCGACAACTTCTGGTGGCGATCGTCTTCGGGGAAGGGTTATTCCCGAGGGTTTGAGTCTACGTCAAAAGATCAAGAGGGAGATCAAGAGAGTTGGGATATTATTCAAAACAAAGCATACTGCGCGAGTTACCATTTTAGTATGGTTAATATACGCATTCGACTACTGGGGGTTTTCCGTCGCAGGTACATATAGCTCTTATTAATTTGGTTACATGAGAATGTACTAACATCTAGAAGGCGCATTTCTTCCCACAATTTTGGCTCGAAAAGGTTTGGACCACAAAGTCGGATATGCTGAAACTTACCGCAATTTTGTTATCATATACATGCCAGGTATTGTAGGCGTAAGTTTAGGGGCTCTCATGGTAAAAGTACCTCGAGTAGGAAGACGGCTTTCCATGATCTTCTCATCTGCATTAATGGCCACCTCATTCTTTCTCTTTGCGGCAGTAAACACTCAAGCGGCCAACGTGGGACTTAGCGTCATGGAATATTTCTTTCAATCCATGTTCAACTCGGTATTATATGGTTGGACACCGGAAGCTTTCCCAGCGTCGGTAAGAGGAACAGCTAGTGGAATGGCGAGTTGTTGGGGAAGGCTATTCTCTATTTTTAGTCCTATAATTGCAGCGAAACTATTGGCGATGAACCTGAATGGCCCATTGTTTCTGGCTGGAGCGGGGACTTTAGTTGCGTGTTTGGGCGTTGCACTGTTGCCAGATAATGTGATGAAGGGGAATGAAATTTAGGAAAGGGATGGGAATGGTAATAGAACAGAATTTGATAAAGCGAGATGGGTATCGTTATGAGAATAGGCCTAAAGTAGATAGAGGTGGCCGTTGATGTGAATACTTAAACATGGTTGAAACCAACAAGATACCATGGAACCTTCATACGGTGGGGAAGCGATCCTCTCAGGTGGGAGTGACATCCAGCAGCAAATCCAGCATTAAGAAGACCTCTAATATAGAGCAAAGTTTGAGATGATGTTGTGGTTTTCCATTGCCGGCGTCAGTTCTAACAGATATGGACTTCCAGCTTCACCATCCTCCGGCACCGATTAATGTTTCTGTATATTCACTTGAATACATCTCATCTGTAGGGTGATAGACGGGGGCCATTAGATACCTTATCAAGATGTAATTACTAAGAGCTTAATACACTCTGCTCTATAAATTCTGATTTTCATAAAGGGGTTCGTTCCAGCCAATACGCAATCTGAGAAGAAAGAAGTCCGTGCGTCACACTTTCCTTTCCGCCTTTTACTGCCCCTCCAAGTAAACTAAAAGCAGAAACAACGACAATTCAGCCTTTCCACCTTTCGCAAAATATTGACCTGGCAAGTGCTGAGAGAAGCACATGCATGCTATAGGTAATTTTGAACCATACAATTATTTCCTGAACAGCATTTTCCCAGCAGCGACGACCTCGATTTTGTCACCAAGAGATTTTTATCATGGACGATTTTAATAGCGAAACTGATAGCGATTATACTAGTTACTGGAGAGATTGGGTATGTTATTCTTTTTTATTCTTTTGATTTGCGATTTTTGGGTTCTGGGGAGGTTTGGGAGGACGGACTGGCTCGAGGCTTGAGATTTGTGCCATTTCGTGCGCATCGCTCCTCCGCGTTTTATGGATGAGGAAATCGCTCCTTCCCGCCGATTACGCTTCTCTTCGAAAAGACCTTTGGTTTGCGGTACGGATAATGTCGAGGAAGGTATCGATCGATCGATATAGAAGGGTTGGAGGAAGCTTATGATAAAAGTGAATGGGACCACGCCTCTCGAAGATGATCTTCTGCGATTTCTTTTTCAAACTGCTATCTCACCGATCATTGTGAAAGTGGAATTATTATCTCTGCTCGACCACGCATGATGATCTCTGGTCTGTTTCATGCGGGTGATCGTCAAATCCTGGAATCAAGTCCATCACCAGGTCCTCTGCCAACTCTCTCACGCAGACGGGGTAAGAGAGGCAAGAGAGGCAAGAAAGGCAAGAAAGGCAAGAGAGGCAAGAAACGTCGAGCTTCAGAAGTAGAGGGTCTTGAGAGTCCAGTACGCAAACCATTTGGCTGTTTCCGTTCGAAGGCAAATATCAAAGTAATGGATAACCTTGATCTTTTGCCAACCATTTCCGAACGTGCTCTTCACGCAACAACGCCAGTTGACTATGCTCCGGAGAGTCTTGAGCGCGGCGATGTATCAAATGGCAGTAACCTCGAAAACGATGCCAGCTCTTTCGCCACGTACATACCTTACAAACATGGGGTTCTTGGCCATATTTCATATCAGTTTACATACATGGAAGGGTATATCTGCTAATACTTTCCTTTTTTAGTTTATTTCATCTCGCGGTAATGAGTACTTTTGCGAAATTGACGAAGATTATCTCACCGATCGGTTCAACCTTACAGGGCTTCAAACTGAAGTTCAATATTATCAATATGCGTTGGATTTAGTTACGGATGTCTTTGACTTGGATTGTGACGATGATATGAGAGAGACAATTGAGAAGTCGGCAAGACATTTATATGGTTTAGTCCATGCTCGTTATATCGTCACTACTAGAGGATTGGCCAAAATGGTGAGTACTTGATTCATCTTGACCTTAAGACTATACTAATCATAATATTTTCCAGCTTGAAAAATACAAGAAAGCCGACTTTGGAAAATGTCCTCGAGTTATGTGTAAATCGCATCCACTTCTCCCAATGGGTCAAAGCGACAATCCAAATGTCAAAGCTGTTAAACTTTACTGCTCTCGTTGCGAAGATATCTATAATCCTAAATCCTCTCGACATTCTGCAATTGATGGCGCATATTTCGGTACTTCATTTCATAATATTTTATTCCAGGTTTATCCAGCGATGATCCCAGCTAAAAGTTTCGATCGATACGTACCACGAATTTATGGATTTAAAGTTCATGCGCCTGCGACTTTGATCAGATGGCAAAATGGAGAGAGGGATGAGATGAGAAGACGATTAAGGAAGTTGGACATTGATAGCGGATTTAAGGAAGAGGATGGTGAGGAAGTAGATGATAGTGAAGAGGAAGAAGAAGAAGAGGAAGAACTTGATGCATTGGAAAAGACGTTGGAGAATGGACAAGCTGATGGAGATGTTAGGGTGGGAGCTTAGATTATGTGTCTTGAGAGGATATTCGAAACGAATGAAGGAATATGGATATGGATATGGGGATAAGAAAGGAATTCGTCTGTTTTATCCGTGTAAGGAAGTAATGTCTTTACTTCTTGAATGTTTCTAGGGAAAGTATGAGGTAGCCATGAATAAATAAATAAATGGATGCAAGGATGAATGGATGGATGGTTGGTTGGAAGGATGGAAAGATGCATTACGGGAGTCTAGAGTCTAGCTTGGGCGCATATTATATCATATTTCGTTCTTCCTCGTATGATATGATATGATATAGTATGCTATTGTATCGTATGATATCGTATCATATGGTCTTATTGCTCAAGTGGACAGGAAGTTGTAAGAGAATTACCTTGTGGGTGCATGGTTAGAGATGAATGGGGGATTGGGAAGGGGAAGGGAAGGAGGAGGGAAAGGGGGAGGAAGAGGGAGATGAAGGAAGATTGTGGATTGGGGAGTGAGGGTGGGAATTGAGGGGCGGGTATTGGGAATTGGTAATTGGGTTTTAAAACGTTAGCTACGTATATAGTATGTAGTATGTAATGATGATGGTATTATTTTGAGATGAGATGTTATGTTATGTTGTTTTGTTTTGTTTTATGGGGATGGGGATGGGGATGGGGATGTTGCTTGTTGCTTTTTGTTTTGAGGGGTTTTGGGGGGTGTGTGAGTGAGGGCATATGTGTGATGTGATATAGTTTTGTAATGAATATAAAAATGATGATAATGTAATTGATATATATTACTTCTTACCATACCTATATAAACTTATTTAATACTAAAGTGAGAAGATGATGAGAAGATAAAAAGATAATTATAATGAAATTATGAATAATAATAAAATATATATAAAATAAAATTAAAAGATTTAATATAAGATTAAGATATAAAATTAAGCCTGAGTATTACATATAAAATATTATTATAATTATATATATATATATTTTATAAAATTATTCTTTTATAATATTCTCTTAGATTATAATAATAATAAGATGTTAATTAAACTTGTTAAATTTCTAGTAGTTTAAAGATAATAAATAGATAATTAAATAAAATAAATTAAGATAATCTTATAAAACATCACTGGAAAAGAAGTATGATGTAACGATCTGGTCGAGGCAACAGCTGCCCGAGGTTCGTATGGTTGGTAAGTTGTGGGTTAAGGTTATTAGTCACTGATTATTTACTTGAAAGTGAATTCGTTATTAGATCAAGAAGAATATAGGTAAACTAATTGATAATTAAGTTGAGTACAAAGCTCCTAAACTATGAAACTATTCTGACTTATATACTAATCCCTTTTGGGAGCCTCGAGGAGTCTATGCTCCTAAAAGCTTCAAGGAGTTTGAGGGAGCCCACACTTCTAAAGACTCCATCATGTGATCTGCATCCTGGTAGGCTAATCCTAGCGATCCTGCCCTGCCCTATTGGAATTGCCTCGGGATAATCTTCTTCTTAGAATAATTGATATCCTAATGTAATTGTCCTAAAATAAATATCCTAGGATAATCATTATTCTAATCTATTTCGTAAAGTTAGGACATTTGTCCTCTTATATTATAATTGCTTAGAATACTTGTTCTAGGATTCCTGGGTTCCTAATCATAGCGATAAGGAACTCTCCTGTAGTCGGCAGCTAAATCACTAACTCTCATAATACCACTATAATCTGAATGTAGATGATTCGTGACATATGAATTATAATTATCAACCTCTAGATACATAGGTATACATAGATAGATATGTTATCAAATCCCTCTTCCTGCACCAACCCAACCCATCCATCCCATACTAATATCTCCTTTTTCATTTCCTCAAGCAATCCTCACCTCCTACTCTTGACCAAAATCACCCAAGAGTACTTCCCGCATCAACACGATACCAATTCGCTTTCGCGTCGCCTAAACATGTACCCACAGTTACGGGTTTGTATCCTTTCGCAATGGCGTTTTGGAGGATGTATTCGATGAGGATGGTGGAGGTTTGGTTGTGGATGTCGTGGGCTATTATTACTAGGAGGTGGGTGGAGGGGTTAGTGGGGTTTGGGAGGAATGGGGAAGGGGAGAACTAATGGTTGGAGGTTTTGTAGATGGGAACGGAAGAGAGAGGGGGGTTTAAATGGGAGACAACGGATTATACTTACGAGGGTGGTCGGTTTTGGGATCCGAAGCGTTGATTGCGGTAGAGAAAATATTTTGTGAGTTACTGATTAGAGTTGGTGAATCATTAAGATAATCTTGAGTATCCAAGGACTATGAAAAAGATATTAGTCAAATCAAGGGATTTTTCAAAAACAAAGAAAACGAAAAGAAGAAAAGTAGAGAGGACATACAAAATAAGTAATGTGATATCCTAACTCCTCCATATCCTTCTCACATCCACACTCTGCTGTACAACTGGAATATGGAGGTCTCATATATGTTGGAATAACCCCAATTACATTCCTTAACGCCATTTCATTCTTCCACATCTCATTTTTACGTTGCGTACTTGTTATGTTGCATAAATCGGCATGACTCCATGAATGAGATGCTATTTGATGTCCATTATCATACATACGTTTTATGAGGGATGGCCAGGGAAGAGATGAATTATCAATGTGACCTTTGCCGAGGTTGTTACCGGTTATGAAGAATGTTGCTGATGCGTTGTATTGGGCGAGGATATCGAGGATGTGAGATGTGTAGATGTAGGGACCGTCGTCGAAGGTTAGTGCCATGTCGCCAGGAGTTGCACAATCATAAATACCGGCTGAGCCATATAGGACAGGTCCTAGAGCTGAACGAGGAATGGTGGAGGTATTTCTGCCCGTTGGAATGGCGTTGGCGTCGCAGGCGGGACCATAGTTGAATTGACAGTCAGGGGCGGCGCAATATTCTAAGGAATGGTTAGGAGCTGTAGATTGGATGCAAAGTGAGGCTGGATGGATACCTTCGGTAGTACCACAATATCCTGCAAGAGAACAACATTCATCTGATGTACAACTACCAACACCAGCTCCACATCGTTTCTCTGTCTGGCTTCCTCCGTCGTCGCATTTTCCATATGCTGATTGACAACCCGAAGGAGTAGAACAATAATCTATTGTAGTTCCACAATATCCACTAAAGCCTTGTTAGTATCTAACTCTTTCAACTGTTCATATTCCTTACTTTTTTGAACAACATTCCCCCGTTGGACAAGTATATCCCTTTGTTCCCGCAAAAGTAACTCCACAAGTTTCATCTGGAGAAATTGCTCGGGAATAGGTGGATGGAGAATTGAATATACCGGCTGAGGTACTAGATACGAGGCCGAGTAAAACGGCGGAAGAGATATGGGGAAGATACATTGAAGGCCTGGTTTGAAATATCTGGAATATCGTCCTACTTTGAGGTCTTCCTCAGGAATTCTAGAAGAGGAAATAGAACGACAGGTAGAGAAAACGAATGTATAGATTAACAAGAGTAATAATCAACCAACGAAAAAGAAGCAAAAATGACAGAATGATCAGTCTGTATAAAGTCTTTTATCATCAATTGCCAAGCTTACACCAAAAGCCTCGTATAAAAGATCCAAGCATTGTACTCGAAACAGTACTTTCGACGATCCATCTAGGATATGACATTTTCTTTTGGTATGAGAAAGGAAAGGAATTGGAAAGCTTAATTCGGTGACTAGGATACAAGTATGAAGAGGTTCGAAGATTGTGAGAGTGCTGCAGCTTTGATGTTTTATATTTGTCGTGGTGATACTTCCTCTTGGGACTTTCGAAGAGGTCTAAATTCTGTTTCTGATCCAAGATGAGTAATCTTTAGACGATGAAACATGATTGATGAAGGTTATGGAATCATGGAAATCCCATTGTTATTTTGATGAGGATACATCGTGAGATTTGATTAACACTTGTTTTCTTTGAGGATGAGGAAGAATTACAATTATCTGGTGAAACGTCGTGATGATGGCTAGAGTCCTAGTTGTTGTGAACAGCTTGGCATCTAATCTCATATTGTCCTCTTTTATCTTGAGGCTCAGTACAACAATCAGCCTTCCGCGGTTCTTATGAATTAGTGCCTTGGCCTTTTTCTTCAGTAAGGCCAACATGTCGGGTTGCTCCCGGTGAGCTTGATATTGTGAGTTTGTGCCCGGTAGGAGAGAATTGTCATGGTGTTCTAAATTTGTTGTCCCCGGTGAACCATTAACCCGTCGATCCTATGACGCTTTGGTTTTTATTTGTACATGGAGTTTCTCGAAACGACTTTGTTATCCCCACTCAGGAAGATTTAGTCACGGAATAGCACGAATGGATTTCAAATCGCCAATACTTACTGCATTTACGTCATGGAAAGCAGAAGAGGGGTAGTGGGTAAGCAACATGCTGTCGAATATAAAAATGTAGGTCGATTTTTATTCATCTTTCTTTCCTCATCATAGCAATGTTCACTCGAACTCCTCCCTCAGTACTCAAAACATCTTCGCGATTATCACAACTTTCTTCACAAATTCAAAGACGAAGTATGGCCTCAATTACCACACTTAAGCTCAACACTGGAGCTACCATTCCCGCCATTGGCTTTGGTACATGGCAGGACAAGGATTCTCAGGAAGAGGCAGTCACAGAAGCATTGAAGGCGGGGTATAGACACATTGATACAGTATGTATAGTCGTTTGGATGAACAACTATTAATGAATAATCTATTAATTCAAGACTCTTTTCAGGCAAGAGTATACGGAACTGAATCAGCATGCGGTGCTGCAATCAAGGCTTCTGGCATTCCTCGATCCGAACTTTTCATCACCACCAAGTTATGGAATAACAAGCACAAGCCAGAAGATGTCGAGCCAGCTCTTGATGAGTCATTAAAAGATTTGGGTTTGGGTTATGTCGATTTATACTTGATGCATTGGCCATCCGCATTCAAGCCAGGCGATGACTTATTCCCCAAGGTCAATGGCAAGACGCAAACGGCAGATATTTCATACGTTGATACATATAAGGCTATGGAGAAGCTTATTGAAACTGGAAAAACCAAGGCTATTGGTATTTCCAATTTCTCGAGGGGTGAATTGGAGAATTTATTAAAGGAGACTTCGATTGTTCCTGCAGTTCACCAATTGGAACTTCATCCATGGCTTCAACAAACTGAGTTTTGTGAGTTCAATAAGAGTAAGGGAATTCATATTACTCAATACTCTCCATTTGGAAATCAAAATGAGGTCTATGATAGCGGAAAGGGTATTGGCAAGTTGATGGTGAGATTATTACAAGTATCATATCTCCCAAGCTCCGCTAACATGTGTTTAGGATGATCCAACAATCGTCGAAATTGGCAAAAAGTATAACAAGTCTGGAGCTCAAGTAGCATTAGCTTGGGGTATTGCACATGGTCACTCTGTCATCCCTAAATCGAAAACACCTTCACGCATCAAGAGTAACTTGGAGGGGGATTTCAAACTTGAGGCTGAAGATTTGAAGAAATTGGATGGTTTGGATAAAAAGTTAAGATTCAATGATGCTAGTGCGTCATTTGGATACAACTTCTATTCAGACCTTGATGGTAAGAGAAAGAATTAAGATGAAGAGTGACCCACATGTATTATAATAATAGTACTTTCTCATCAACAGCCTCATACTATCTTCTACATCTTGTCCTACAACATTGGCTTAGGAACATGTATGGCTTGATTCAATACTTCAGCCCCAATGCCGATGTCTCAACGCGCTATCAAATTTGAGAATAGGGAACTAAGAAAATGTATTCTCTAGTCACTATAGATCACCTCATGCAAACACTCATAAAAATACCACAACAATAAACACCACATCCCCAATTCCCTTTTCAATCTCGTACATAGCAATTCCCACCCGAGCCGCATCTTTTCACCTGCATAAAAGTTGAAAGCCTTCCTTTTCGTCAAAAGCAATTATTGGTCAACTAGAGTATCACAACAGATCCAAAAACACACAAGACATTTCCCTTTCCGTTATTGGGTGATATTCTGTACAAATAGTCGTACATAGCTCGTGTTTATTTTAAGGGGCTCGCACAACTTGCTATTTTTGTGATGGGGTGTACAGAATGATACAGAATGTGGAGATTTGAATGAGTTGCTTGAGGGTTATATTGATATGTCCGGGAGTTTTCTTCCTCTTTTTTTCTTTTCTGAAGGTTACTGTTTTTACTTGCGTATTCGAAAAGTTTTTGGAGATTTTTTGGGTTACTTTTGGAAGATTGAATATTAAACACTTTCGTTCACGTTACGTTCGGGTTTTGCAATATGTATATCGATCTTTTGACGCTGGCTAGTCTTTGTGCTGTGGTGTTTGCGGGTCCTCAGTTGAATATACGGGGAGATGTCGATACGTATGTTCTTAGTCTCATTTCTCCATTCTCAATTCCCTTTCATCAATCCCCACCCCAAAACCCCTACTAATACCTCTCCTCCAGCTCCACCATATCCTCTAGTCTCGAGTCTCTTTTAACTAGTGTTACTGCTGGTGTCACAGCTACAGCTACATCTGCAGCTACATCTACATCCTCACAACCAATCATCACATCTCCAGTAACAGGCATCATAAATGGCACAACGGCAACACTGATTCCCGTAGGAACGGGCGGGTTGACGATTGCGGGGACGGGTGCTTTGGGGGGGAATAGTACGGTTACGACGGGGAAATTGTCGAGTCCGACGGAGGGAACGGAGACGGGGACGGGGACGGGGACGAAGACGTCGGATAGGAGTACTACGGGTGCGGTGACCGGGAAGTCGACGCCCAGCCCGATCTCGAGTTCGAGTAAGGCGGGAGCGGCGCAGGTTACCGGGGTGGTTGGGGTGGGGGTTGTCGGGTTGCTGGGTTTGGTTTGCGTTTTGTGATTGGGTTTTGATGGGATGGGGATGGGGATGGGGACGAGGTTTAATGAGCTGATGGTGACATTGGGATAGGAGGTGGTGAAGGAATGAGGTGATGAGAAATGTTTTCCTGGGTTTATGTGCTGTGCTGTGCTGTGCTGTGCTGTGCTGTGTTGTTTAGGTATCAGATTGGATAAGGTGAGGTGATATACTTGCAACTATCTAGCAAGAGACAATAATGAGAATGGAACTGAAAACGAAAATGATGGTGGAATTAGTGAATATTGGATTTTGAATGTAATTAGGTGACATATCGTGATACGTAACTCAACTCAACTCAACTGGTCAGTGTAGAATCAGTAGATCATTTTTAATATAAGATTATTCTTCTTTTAGTTTCTTTTATATCTTTTAAAGATCTTTGATTCAAGATTTTCTTTTATGATTTTGATTTTGATTGTATTATTTGTATGTGAGGGTTTGGTGGGGGGTTTGAAATGATTGGGGTGCTGGCGAGTATCAAGAGATGGATGTCGAATACCAAAATCGAATACTTGTGATCTTGGAATGCTTTTTTCTGATATATGGAATCTGATAATCAAATGATTGGTTCGCAAGACTACTACTCAACGCTGTTCAAAGCAGAGTCTGACTTAAATTTATACCAGATAACCTTCACTTGGACTTTGGTTGTCGAATTCTTCTTCCAGTTTTCGGAGAAGCCTGTGTATACGTCAAGTCGAAGTATGATAGCAGGCATTTTCGATCTTTCTTTCAGCGAGTGAGCAATAAAACTTTTCACAAAGACAGTGAGTGGATAATAAAACAAATCATCTCTATTATTTTTCTACATCCTTAGCCACTGATTTAAAACCCTGAAAATAACCCTTCCTAAAAGGATTCAACTCATCCGCCGTACTACCTGACGCACCAACTTTCCTCTCGCGAATCTCCTCCGGATCTACCTCTGAATCTAGTATTCTTCTATATGTAATAAGTCTTCTTGACCCTATTTACATATTATATTAATCATCTACAGTTATGAGGAGGATGCGAAATAAGGTTAGGTTACGTACATTTGTTAAAGGCTTGTGTGCAGACACTTGTCATGTGTAAGCAGGGATGAGAAGGGATTTTGATTTCTTGATCTTCGTCGTTGGCGGTGGGCATCCAGAAGGATAGACGGCCGTTTTCTACGAGGGATATGGCTGCGAAATCGAGGATATCGTCTAGCATTGCTAGGAACGAATATGGTTTTTTGGGTGGGATATACGCTTCTTGTCTGGATTTCGTTAGTGTCGTTTTAGGTATTCATCATAGAGGAGGAATTCGTACAAATGATGAGGTTGTGTTTCGCCCTCTAACATTATTGGTACTTTGGGTTTGGTAGGATCTCTATTCCCCAGTACTTTTAAACCTTCTCGAACACCATATGGTGGATCACATAGAATACCATCGAATAACCTAGCACATCTTAACGGAGTATTTGTTAGATCCGCCACGAAGGTATCTCCAAATTGATTCGTGAGACCATATTGTACGAAATTAGAATGTAAATTATTCTTCCCCTTTCCTCGAATACTTCGTCCATCAATATCGCTTCCGAAAGCAAGAGCTCCAAAATGTGCACATGCAACTGGAAAACTACCCGTACCGACAAATGGATCATAGAATAATTTCCCTGGTGCTGCTAACGTAATATTTGCAGTGACCAATGCAAGTTCAGAATCCATAGAGGTGGTACTGATATATTTCCGTTTCTTGAGATCATACTTTCCCACAATATCTCTTTCGCTAGCACCGAGAAATCGACCAAAGGTTACTTGTGAAGGTGTGTTGATACCATTAGCAGCAGCATCAAGTTGCCATTCTTCCGAGATACAAAATTCTTCATCAGCTCCTTTCATCTTGATGGGTCCTGCAAATTCCAAATATCGAAACTCATTGATGAGTGCTCGTTGCTCGGTGGTAGACCTGGTATTTTGAAAACAATCCACGGTAAATTTGAAAGAGCAGTTTTTATAAAGAGGCCATGATTCCTTTGTATGTGTCTTTATATCATCATGAAGATCCTCATACGTAGAACCTGTTCCCCAAACTTCGTAAATGGCTTTGGAGAGAATGCTTCTTTTGATAAGTCGTGCAGCTGTTTCTGCAGACGGAACGTCTATGAAACAAAATGGTGACTATCAATTACTTAGAACTGACGGCATGGATAAATTCTGATAGATTCCACTTACATTTGACGCATAGTGTTCAACCTCTAAAGGAATATTCTCAAGCTCTGCTAAGGCTTGGATCTCGGCGAGACGAAACGTCTCGTGCGTTTGTGTGAATCTTATTAAACACTTCATTCTAAAGTATTGTTGATTGATTTCTCCTCTCGATAGTCCAAGAACGTCCCACAGGTTTCTCCTCGTCTCACTCCTACAGACCCAATACACTGGTATGGAGCCTTGGGAAAGCGAGCAGACAAGTGGTTTCGTCAAACTTCCAAGGTCTTGCGAGTTGGAAGAATTGACCTTTTTGGTATACGGAGGAAAGTATCAGGTCGAGCCTTGTCTAAAATCCGCTCAAAAGACAATTCCTCGAAATAGCCACCAAAAATGCCTGTAAGTAAACTCTGAAACCGCACCCAGAATAATTTTCAGCATGACTCCTACAAAAAAATAACCCCTCCGAAAATAATTACAAGGGCCAATTTTAGCGTGTCCTAGCCCATGCACCACACGCTAAACCCAACAAAGCACTATCAAAATAAATCCTCAAATTTCCCATCCACCCATCCATCCATTCATCTATCCATCTAACCATCTATTTCACAATCAAAAATCCACCCCATCACCATGTTAAACTTCCCCAAAGAAACCAAACACGAGCCAAAATGCTACGTGACACATGGTACCATTGGACATGTAGATACCAAACAAACACCTACAAGAAGGAAACCCTTTGTGAATATCCTGGGATATAAATATATCAACAAGGTTGAGATGATATTACCGCAGGAAATGTATGAGGTGATGAGACGGGAGATGGAGGAGGTATTTGCGGAGGATGGGGGTCCCCTTTATAGTCGGGTGGTGATGCCGTTGAGTGCGTTGATTGAGGGAGAGTTTTTTACAGAGTATATTAAGAAAGGTGAGGAGGGCGAGGGTGTTGGAATGATGTGGGATAGTTTCTTATGGGTTTTTAGGAAATGTTTTGATGCTTTCGAAAGGGAGGATAGGGGTTGATAATGTGTTTTCGTTGTGTGAGGGTAGGGTCTCAAGTCATAGAGGTTTTAGCACATAGCTCTACTGACAGCCTTGTAGGGATTTTGACCTTGCATTTAGACAAGGAAATTTATGAACGCTCGGGTTTAGTAGGTAGACCTGAAGGGGTAAAGGGAAAACGAGAACATCGACCTCGGTGGAGTATGTACTGTCTTGGCTGATGAGATTAATTTACTGATCAATTTACAGTTGTTGAGATAAATCTACGATTGCCATCAATGTTACATGGCAAGAAAGGCTTTCAAAGGATTGAATATGCATTCAAGAATGTATTGACTACTCCTGTGATGTGGCTTTTCTGCAATTTGGGAACTACAGGCGAGGATCTATATACACCTCTAGCTGCAAGGCTGACTCCTTCGCCAGTATTACCATCTGACCCATTATCTCCACATCATTCACATAAGATAACGTGCGCTCCAAGAGTATTGAGCGGTATTCAAGTCAAAAGACCTGATTTAAAGCTTGCAACAGAGAACAATAGCAGCTATGATGAAGACTTTCGGGAATATTCCGTCGGAATCCATGAGTGGCTTTCATTAATCTCATTAGAAAGCCCCCGAGTAAATTCAACCGACAGTATCGACACTTTCCTGTCCCGTTATGATCCACCAATAGGTTCAGATGAAACGGAGGAGTTGGTGAAAGTCACATGGACCGGATTCATTTCCCCTGCGTGGGCACATAGTACCTTTATCCAAGCTCTACTCACAGCACCAAAAGATTCATGGCTTTCGTATTATGTTGGCGGATTTAGTGAAAGCTGGAATGGCGGGAGCAAGAACAGTACGATACTGAAGTTGCCTGCTATCCCGAACGATTATATTTTGTGGGAAGTGGAATAGATGGATAATCATTCTGTCCTTTGACGAACTTCTCGCCCTTCTCCTACTTCACCTGTAATTGCTTCCGTGATGAGCTTTCTTAATTCTTCTTGTCCCGCTGGTGTTTGGAAATCGTCTCGAGCGGCCAATTCGTCAATTCGTCGTTTAAACTCGGGATCGATGACCTCTCCTACATCCTCTTCTGGATTCATAGTACCAATATCAACCGATATTCCTTCGGGTACTGGTGGTGGATGGCCATTCGACGTCACTGTAGGTGCTGCTGCTCTATTTGATTCTGACAAGCCCCCTTCTTCTTCAAGCTCCTTGATTCGAAGATATACCGCAACTTCTGGAAAGTCTCCTTCTGCCTCGATTCTCTCTCTCGCATTATATCCATCTTCCGCACTTCTGATTTTGTAATTGGCGTGTAATTCCTCAACCAGTAGCTTTGCGCAATCTAATGTTTCCGTCACGAATAATGCCGTATCTCCATCCTCATCTTTCAAATCGACATTAACATTAAACTCTGTAACAAGAGCTCGCAGAAGGTCCAGGTGATTGTAAGAAGCAGCAGCGTGCATCAAAGAATATCCGTGTTCATCTTGGGCAGAAGCCAAGGCGGGGTTCGATCGAAGGAGGGGTAGGAGATCTGGGGAATTATCGGCAGCGAGAAGGAAAGGATTGGGTTGAGCAGAAGTCATCGTGTCGTGTACTGTACTTGTGAATTAATAAATGTCGTATCAAGGTCTCTTCTGCAGAATGTGAATATCAAAATATTCAATGCTGGGCAATTTGCGACGAGTAGGCGGGATGGATGATATTATTGAATTTTCTGTGATGGAGCGGCCGCATCTCCCGACGTCGGGATTTTTCCAAACTTTTACATCAATCATCAATTCCATCTTTATTATTTTAGCCCCACTACAACACCATTACACTGTACAGTGACTACTCACTCCCCACTGCCGTACCCGCTCGTGAGTCGCAGCAGCAGCCATAGCCCTAAGCTACCCAGCCCTCCGTACCAAGATAGCTATTCGGCAGACCCTTTTTCCTCTTTGGGTATTGAGCTGGATAAAACGACTAGGTAATTACTAGGTAATTACTAGGTAATTACTAGGCAATTAACTAGACAATTACTAGGTAAATATCTCCCCCTTGACACTTCCTTAAATCTCGAATTTATTTCTTCGGTGTGACTGACTTTTTGGTGGATAAGCTCAGAGTTTTGTTAATGAAAACAAACAAAAGCTCACCAGACGTACGAATCAAGCTTTTGTTATGCTTTTATCTAGCAGACTATTCAAACCAGGCTTAGGATTTCTTTCAACTCCTAGTATACAAAAGAACTGTTCATCCTCCAGATTGACCAAAGAACTCTCACAATCTTTACTTAATATATGCCCCTCCAACTCCACTCTTACACATTTACGAAAATATTCCGTCGCTATGGCTAAACACGGAAACGTTCCTTACAAATCTCAAGATGTAGAACAGGTCCAACAACTTCTTCGAAATCTCAACGATAGCACTGGCAAGGGAAAGAAACATGGTTTTAGCTGCAAGAAAACTCCCTTTCAAGTTGATGGGTCTCCAGCAAAGATCGTCGTCGAATCTTGGCGTTTTCAAGATTGGGACTACAAGCGTGATGATTTACCAACATACGCACGAGGTCTTTTTACCGGCAAAAATGAAAAAGATCAACCAGAGATTGCAGTTCGTGGTTATGATAAGTTCTTTAACACGGAAGAGGTCAGTGCTACGAGATGGAGCAATATCCAAGAGAAAACCCAAGGTCCTTATGAGTTGAGTCTCAAAGAGAATGGATGTATTGTCTTTATTAGTGGACTTCACGATGGTACTTTATTGGTTTGTAGCAAGCATTCCACCGGCCAAGGAAGCAAGCCAGAAATGAGTCACGCAAAAGCTGCCGACAGATGGGTTGACAAACAACTTCAAGCCATTGGAAGAACTCGAGAGGACCTCGCCAGAGAGCTAAGAAAGAGAAATGCTACTGCAGTTGCTGAGCTTTGCGATGATGATTTCGAGGAGCACATTTTAGCTTATGGTAAAGAGGATGCCGGACTTTATCTTCATGGTATCAATATCAATCTTCCAGAGTTCATGACATACCCTGGAGATCAAGTTCATGCCTTTGCCGCGGAATGGGGATTCAAGAAGACCGACTTCCTGGTTATGGACGATATTAAAGTCGCTAAATCTTTCCTTGATGAAGTAGCTGAAACTGGGTCTTATCAAGGACGTGATATTGAAGGTTTCGTTATTCGTTGCAAGGCCCGTACCGGATCGTCAGAATCATACTCGGATTGGTTTTTCAAATACAAATTCGAGGAGCCATATCTTATGTATAGACAATGGCGTGAATGTACAAAGGCCCTGATTGCAAAGAAACCTCCTCGTTTCAAGAAGCACGTGAAGATCACAGAAGAATACCTTTTGTTTGCACGAAACCGACTTGCCGAGGATCCCAATTTAGGAAAAGAGTATGCACACAATCATGGTATCATCAAGCTGAGAGACGATTTCCTAAAGGAAATTAATCTGAAAGGTTCGGATATCATTCGCCAAGAATATACTCAACTAGGAGGTTCCCCAAATGAAGTGAGCAATAATGTTATTCTAGTTCCAGTTGCTACAATTGGTTGTGGAAAGACAACTATTGCACTTGCCCTTAGCCATCTTTTTGGTTGGGGACATGTCCAAAATGATAACATTACAGGAAAGAGTCGTCCACCTCGATTTACCAAGGAAGTTTTGACCCAGCTCGAAGAGAAACCTGTTGTCTTTGCTGATCGAAATAATGCTTCAAGGCATGAGCGAGCACAAATTATTGAAGATGTCCATCTTACTCACCCACACGTTCGATTGGTCGTGTTAAACTTCGTTCACGATAAAGGATCTCTCGATAAAGTTCGCCAAGTTACTCAGGATCGAGTACTTACACGAGGTGATAATCATCAAACTCTTCAAGCGGCAACAGATATGAAGAAAGTCGTGGGCATCATGGAAGGGTTTGTACAACGTTTTGAACCAGTAAATATGTTCGCATCACCTGATGATGGATTTGATTCTTCTATCGAATTGGATCCCACCAAGGACTCACGAGAAAATCTTGAGACTGTTATCGGACAGCTTTCAACACAATACCCAAAGTTGTTTACCGATTTACCTACGAGCGAAGACCTCGATGAGGCCATTCAACTTGCAATGAGTGATTACAAGCCAGATCTCAGACATGACCTTAGTCGTGGACCTAAGAACAACAATAAGAATCAACAGAAAGACAACAGAAATGTACGTGAAGATGAAGAAATGATACGAGGGAAAAAATGTACATGTCTCGAATAATGCTGACGGATAATTTTCACAGTTACCGCAGATCGGCAAGAAGAAGAAGCCATTAGAATATGTCTCAATTTCCCTCCCACGAAACGAGATCAAAGAGGCACTTGACGATGCATTCGGTCGTGTATCATCGGATAAGGCCAAATTTTACAGAGTACTAGAAAAATCTCGTCGAGTTCAGCCCGAATTTCACGTCACCCTCATACATCGAGCCAACTCGAAAAATTTTCCAGAGTTATGGCAAAAATATAGTGATATACACGAAGGAGTACAGGCTGCAAGCGATGCTCGAAATCCAGGCAAATTTGGTGATTGTCAAGTTATGCTAGAGAGAGTATGTTCTATCTTTTGTTTTTCACAATCAAAAACTAACATCATTAGATCGTATGGGATAATCGTATCATGGCTATCGTAGCACGATTAGTAGACGACGGTTGGGAATGCACTAATGAAATAGCACATATCACTGTTGGTACGGGTGGAGATCATATTAAACCTAAAGAAAGTAATGATTTGTTGAAGCGTTGGCTTGAAGTGGGGAGTGGTGATGAGAGTAAAATTGGGGAGATTACTATTGAGGGGAGGAAGATTGTCGCGGGTGTGGTGAAGGGTGTTGTTTCTAGGTGAGGGGTGAAGGGTGAGGGATGAGGATGAGGGGATATGAATATACATGCATGCATGCGTGCATGAGGACGGATGGATGGGTGGGCGGATGATGCGATGAAGAAAATACTTGAAGGAATGAGTTTCGCATTTGATACGATACGATACGATACCAAAATCTCTCGACTCCCTCTGTTTATGGATTCATAAACACACTGGAATCTCCCAAGATACAGTTAAAACAAAATAAAATATTCTCCTCTTCATTCGAGTAATTTTGTCCTCGTGTGCCTTTTCATTCTTGTGAGATGTATAAGATGTGTATAGAAAATATAACATAATGTAACATACATAGGTAATATAATGTAAAATTCCTAGAAATAGTGCGTATTCAGCTAATGAACTCCTATTCGAGTAGTAGGCCTGAGAAACTGTATGTATACTTATTAAAAACAAGCAAAGTTCCGGCAAAACCTGCCCAGGGAAATAATGAACACATTATTAAGAATAGATAAATAAATGATTTGTTGGTGAATTTATATTTGGGAAAGAGTTTGACGAGGAGGAGGGAATAGTTGAGGGTACTATATGAATGTAGGAACGTATGCATATAATTGTATTAATATATTCTGAAGAAGAAGCGCAGAAGCGCTTGGTTGTTGTTGATATATCTGAGGGTGTGTGTGATAGATAGGTGATGGATGATGTATATATAATATGATATTGTGGATACGTTTTTACTTTACTTTTGTTTATATGGTAATTATAGGGAGTATAGATCCCAATATCAACTACTGGTATCGATATCACAATCACATTAGCAACTATATAAACATCACGTCACTTCACTCACATCACAACACCCCAATCACACTCTACCCCTTCCCTCTCCCTCTCCCTCAGTCTTCAAAAAAGTCTTCAAAAAAGTCTTCAAAAAAAAAAACATCTTCAAAACAAGCAAACCTATCAATCAATTAACCAACCAACCAACTAAGTAACTAAGTAACTAACTAACTACCTACCCGAAAAAATGTCTTCAGCGGAGCCCATTTTCCCTCTATAGCATAGCATAGCATAGCATAGCATAGAACCTAGACGCATACGCATACGTATGCCCATCCATATCTCTATAGATATCAAATAAGCAAGGAGAATGTATTAATTATCTACCATCTGCGCAATCTATCTATCCTATCCTAGCCATATCAACCTCATCCATCCATCCATCCATCCATCCATCCATCCTATAATTCTTGATTCTTAATCCATAATCCAGCTACAAGGAAAAAAGAAAAAAGAAAAGAAGAGAAGAGACAGGATAAGATAAGATAAGAAAAGAAGAAGAGAAGAGAAAAGATATCTTGAGCGGATCTAATCTATCTATCTATCTATTTATCCATCTAACTATCTAACTATCTAATTATCTATATCTGCGAATACTGCCCATAAAGTGTATGGACGGTAATTGTAAGATCGAGACCGATTGAGACTGAGAATGAGGCGAAAAAGAGCGAACCGAACAAGCGAAACATGCCAGATGTTGAATGTTGAATATTGAAAGCTCCCGAGATATAATAGATAAATAGATCGGCGTCGAATCGATGCAAGATAGACTTAACGAAAAGGACCGACGAAAAAGCTAGTTGAACCAAAGAGCGCAGTAAAGAGATAGGTGATGAGCCTTAGGTTACTTTGTGGTGTGCGAAAAATTGAAACGTAGACGTAGATTCATGTAAACATGTAACGGGGTGCTTAATTCTCGATAAGACACAGGAAAAAATTGTCGTGGACACGTGAGTATTGAAACGATTGCATTGAGTTTGTCGAAGATGAAAGGTCGAAGAATGGTCATTGTGCAAAATCAAAATCAAATCAGGTCAATTGCTTAAGCATTGACGACGTTGACAGAAGGGTGTCGAAGTGGTGGGAAGACATTGACGCCATATTGACCGCCCATGTTTCCTAACCAAAGGGTTAGCAAAAAGATATAAATAAAAAGGTAAAATGAAGAACAAACCTGGTGGATAATAGTTGCAGACAGTATACCAAGCTGGCATATTTGGCCAAATATCCATAGGTTCACAAAGTTGGGTAGCACAACCAACAGAACTGGTAGCGAGCCAAACCATCTGAGTGAAATGACCCCACTTTTCAAAAGTGGTCAAGTCGGGATTATTCTGACCATAATAGGAAGGAAGGTATAGAGGTTGTTCTCCATTGTACCACATGTTTGTAGCAGCGACAGCCATTTCCTTATTAGCACCAAGAGCCTTAGCATTAGTGGAACCGTATGCAGCAATGTTTTGTCCATATCCACCGCCATTAATGTTCCTAAAGGGGTATTAGTCTTGGTAACACCAGGTGACCCAGAAAAGTACTCACATGCTGTGACCCCACTTGCATGTTGCAGCAAGAACCTGAGCGGATGCAACAAGGCTTGTATTCCATCTAAGAAGAGGAACAGAATGATTGGCACGATGAATATTGTGGTGATACAAAGCAGTCGAAACATAGTCTGTGGGAGTTGCAGTTGGAACTGGTGCCAAGGTAGTGGAAGGATAGACGGTTGTGGTAACACGAAGAATGGTTGTTGCAACTGGTTTCCCTTTGGAATTATAGGTGACTTGAGTGACATTGTAGGTTTGAACGATTTGGCGCTTGATACGATGAAGAAGTTCGGTGATCGGTGATGCTGTTACCATCAAGGCAAATAGCATAGCCAAGGCGAGTTGCAAACGCATCTTGACGATTTTCTGGGAATTTGATATATGTGACTCTGGTAGATCGAGAAGATGTGAATAAGACGTCGGAAGAGAAGAGATGAGGAGGAATGAAAAATATCTAGGTATCAAGCACTAGAAGAAGAGCTTGGTAAAGACTGTGAAAAGAGATTTGAAATCTGGTTGAAGGAATGTCTTGTTTTGTGGATGAAGAAGAAGAGGAGGGGAAAGACGGTTGAAGTTTGTTTGTTTATATTCCCAATATTTCCACGTGGATTTTGATAACAGTGTCGTCTCTTGGAGAGATTAGTTCGGCTATATGTCCCAATCAAGACTCCAAATAGGACAAAATCTAACGCACAACCTTAATCAGACGTTCGATTCACCTTTTAAGATAATATGAGGTAAAATAAGGGAAGATTGAGGCAATTTGAATGGAGATTGGATGTGATAATGACGTATTGAGTTCTGAGATCTGTGTTACTTGAATTAAAGTGATTCCGAGCGGGTGTCTTACGATCCGTGAATCTTAACAGTGATACCAGATTACTGTACTTATAATAATTTTGATGTTGCTCCTTCTACTTGTGAATCTTATCATGCGGGACAGGAAAGTACAATCACCATAGGAACCAATATACGCCATAGCCTTGGCTGGAAGTGTTTGGGTCACGGTTGATGAATGCTAAAGAATGGAATAATGACTCCCAAATTCTTCACTCCCTTGTGGCTTCAAGGTGAATCTCCTTATGACTGGCATGTGGACGTCACATGGCTAGTGACTTTATTGAATATCAAGAAAGCTTCATACCTTGGAAAACATTTGACAAACGAAATTACCTGGACGGGATATGAGAAGACGCTGGTTTAGATTGTGACTTGTAAATGACCTCGTAGTTTCCTTCTACTCAAAGCTTGAGGTAATGATATTACCTGCTACAATTGAAGTATATCCTATCTGCTGAACGAATTCCATCTCACAAATATGGTTTATTTTTGATTTGTTTTATATTTCCATTCCCCACATTCCTAGAATTGACCAACTTTAAAAGCAATCCATCCCCAAGACTCTTGGGCATGAAAACTTCTTCTGTCATTTCACTACATTCTCCTTCCACAATATGCTTGTGCCGGCCATCTGCACCGATTTAGAATCGGCCAATATTCTTGATCTTGGAAAAGATCTAGAATGCGGGAAACTTCGACTCCTTTGCCACAAATATGATAGACTTCTGGCGGAACAGCTGGAATGTGGCTCGGTCAGCAGTAGCCTTCCGAACCATTTTCAAATACATCATTCTATCCGTCGAATGATGTTTTAAAGTCCGATCTAGGTGTCAAGAGAACTTCACGGTGTGGATGACCCCTAACTCGAATATCAAGGGGTGATATGGATGAGAAAATGGTCTGCAACCCACTTGAGGCGCATCTTTTGAGATCATGAGTTGAGCAAATTCAGAGTGTCGATACACTAATGCAGAGGATCTGCAGAAGATCAAGCAATAATGGACTTCTCATGGCCCGATGTTGTGTTCAAAAGCCCTTGAAAGAATACAGTCAATGACGAACAGGACAAATTTTTGCCAAGCAGAAACTTCAATGACAAGATGGCAGGTGCAAACAGGAAGCCACCTTAGAAAGGGCAAGAGACCAACTGTTTTCCAAGTACAAGACAAACAGAAATGTAACAAGTATCGATGGACGCTTGTCCTTGAAATCAGATAATCAGAAGGAGAAAAGAGGTAGACAGAGGTGCGGTGGGTACTCTTTCCTTCTTCTCCTTTGATCGACTGTTGCTTAGTCGTTCCTTCCCAATAAATTCAGGTGCCGTATCATTATACCCCAGTTGTTGTTTGGCAAACCGGAGATCAAAGTATTTCATAAGAGCCTAGAACATTATTATATTGCTTCCAACCGGTATATGCACGCCGTTCTTGTGCGTCCCACCCCATATGTACAATTTCCATTACACCCTAATCCGACTTTCGATCTTTTGCTCTAATCATTAATCAACAGTTCCAAATTCCGGATATTTCAATCTTCCATCTAAGTCTCGGATGTTCGTGGTATATTCAACCCTTGCTTCTATAACTTGCCCTTCCCAATCGCCTCCATCTCTCTTGCCAATTCCTCTCTCAAGTCTGCAGCTAGGACCTTAGCCTCCTCGTCATCCAATTCACTCCTCTGCCCTCTTCCAAACATCGTAAACGATCGATTGCGTAACTCGGGAGTTAGTCCCGGTCTCGGGATAATATGAAAATGTACATGCGGTACGACTTGGGCTGCAGCAGCTCCTATATTTATCCCAATCCCATTAGCATTGATTTCTTCATTCCTTTGTTGCACCAGATATCCTAAATCGACCTAGCTACAACTTTAAATGTGCCGGATCTTCCAAGACACAAATCCCGGGTAACTCACCGTTGTTTTGAACGATATTCCAGTCCCACACACCGGTGACCTTGGCTAAGATTCGAGATAGTCTCGGAAGCCATTCACCCAATTCTCGCGCTTCTTCTACACTCACGTCCGATAACTTCTCGTTATGTTTACGGGTGGTGACGAGTAAATGTCCTGGAGAAAGTGGCATAATATCGAGAAATGCCATGCAGAGAGGTGTGCTGAGGACTACAAATGCGGATGGACTGGTAAGGTCTGGGTTTGCGAGGGATGAGGATGGTGGGTAATTGGATGCTATACTACAGAATGGACAAGCCATAGTGAATGCGGCGTCCCTTTTAGAGGACTATAGTGATGTTATCGTGATATGCGCATCGTGAGCTTTATAGTTGATGATTGTAAATTGTGGATGTAGGAGCTTGGGGACTTGCAATTTTACCGAGGCTATGATGCAACTTGCAACTTGCTTCTCTTTATAGGAGTATCGCTACCCCGGATTTCTCTTTCAAGGGCATCAATTAGTTATTTCACGATAATAGTTATATTAGATCGTTTTCAAACTCAACAATGGTAGAGTACGGACAACTCATCGATACTTTTTCAGCGAATAATTGTAAAACACGTTTTCCACAGTACAAACAACAAAAATGGTCATGTGAAGCTTGACATTCAATTACTTCATGGTATCTTTAAATTATAAACAACTAAATCCTCTACTCATCATCTCCGAAGAAAACCTTGATAGGTAACCAATCATCACCGCAGACCTTGAATCTATCTGGCAGGTTGTCCAACTTTTCAATTTCCTCACTAGTCAATTCCCAACCATCAAGCTCAAAGTTCTTCTCAACACGCTCCTTGTTGACGGACTTTGGAATAACAGACCATCCTTTTTGAATACCCCAGGCAAGTAGTACTTGTTGTGGGGTCTTACCCTTAGCCTCCGCCATTGACAATAGGGTCTTGTCCTTGTACAGAGGAGAGTTTGTGCTACCGAGACAAGAGTAACCGGTGCTGTGGATACCCTTGGATGTGTTGTATGCAACGAGCTTTGGGGAAGGGTTGTTTGGGTGGAGCTCGATTTGGTTGACGGCGGGAACAATCTAGAGAATAATTAGAATGGAGGTAAGCATTGGCGGGAGCTGGATTTGGGCATACTGTGGTTCCTGGGTCATTGAGAAGCTTCTCCAAGTTCTTAATGCCGAAGTTGGAGACACCAATGTTCTTTACTTTGCCAGTGGCAGGGAGCTTTTGCAACTCGTGCCATGTCTTAATGAAGTCCCAATCTGGGTAATGCTTCTTCAAGTCATCTGGGTCGGTCGATGATGGCCAATGCATAAGGTATAAGTCGACGTAATCGGTACCCAAAGACTTTAAGGAAGAATCAATTCCCTCCGTGACTCTCTTGTGCCATGGGTTGTCGAGTTTGGTAGTCAACCAGATCTCCTTTCTTGGTACACCGGAGGCTTTGATACCTTGACCAACTTCTGACTCGTTTCCGTATGCGAGCTAATGATCGATCAGAATTTAATTTGACGCCATAATGCAATCTTCAACTTACAGCTGTGTCAATGTGTCTGTAACCTCTGCGAAGAGCAATCTCTACTGCCTTTTCAACTTCACCAGGTGGGGATTGCCATGTGCCGAGACCAACAGCTGGAATCTTATCACCAGTGTTGAGTGTGTAGGTCTTTCTGGATAACGAGGTAGTGTGTGAGCTCATGGTACGAGTTGGCTTGAAATGGGATGTGACGGTTGCTAGTCTTCGCAGACTTCTGCTTTGACGTGAATTCATATCAGAGAGTCGATAAAGGAAGAACTTACGAGGTAACGTTTGCAGACATTTTTACGGTTTATGGATTCGCTGAATGTTCTTGAAGGGAAGATTGAAGGGACAGCAAGAAAGAAGCACTGGACTACGTGGGGGAAATGAATACTTATACCTTTACTCCTACTTGGCCGCAAGCCATGCGCAGGATGACGAAAACTTTAAGAAATTTCCACAAAATACTCTACACTCGGATAAATCTAACCCATATGGAGAAGCTTAGCCTGTTCGTATGTGTAATCCAAAGAAAATCCGCCGCACGAGGAGGGGCTCTGGTTCTGTCATTTGAGTGGAGCATGGAGGGGCAATTTCCATTCAGGCTAAATTAAATCAGAGGAAGTTCAAGATGCGCGCCAATCAGGTCTCGCAATATCGTTTGAGGCTAATCCTACGTTGGAAGCCTCTATCAAAGCTCGAAAAGTAGGCTGAACTTGTGTGCTACCGCATGTAGAAGGCGGACATTGAATTTTGTGCTGTGGGACAAAAGAAAGGTTGTAACATGAATTGAAAGAAAAGAATTTTAGCCTGCACCTTGCATTCACTCCTAGAACCTTAACGATATGAACAGAATGTGAAAAATTGTCGACTTCCGTCCTAGATTGGGAGTTTGCTCCGTGGCGGGGAAAAGGCGGGGAGTGGAAATTAATGTACACGTGACACCAATGAATTCCCGGCGCATCAAGTGCAATCTCATGAACCTAGATCACTCCGTTCCATTCGCGCGCATACATACAAAACCACAATGTCTTCCGGGTTCGTGTCAGGTGGAACAGCAGATGCTCCAACTCAGCGCAGTGATGAATGGCTAGCCGCTCAGCAAGAAATCGAAGCTAATAGACAGCGAAAAGCCATTGAAGCAAGACAGCAAGATGGAAAGAGCTTGTTCGAGATCCTAGAAGCAAATAAAGGTATGCATCTAGGACCCTTGCATTTGCAACCTTGCTATTTTCTTAGACTGATCACGTAGGGTGCGTTGAATGAACCAGCTGCCAAACAAGATGCATTCGAAGAAACCAATAAACTCAAGAACCAATTCCGATCATTAGATGAAGACGAGGTTGAATTTCTGGATTCGGTGTTAGAAAGTACGAGGGCAGAAGAAGATAGGGTGAAGAAGGAAACTGCGGAAGGGTTGGAGCTATTCAGAAAACAACAGGAAGAGGCAGACAAGAAGGCGAGAGCGGCAGAGAATGATGTAGCACAAATACAAGAGGGTTCGCCGGTGCGTGAGGATGAATGGGGTGCTACGAGCCGGAAACGTAAGCGTACAAAGGATAAAGAAGTATTGAAGGGGGTGAAGGTTAGGAGAGCTTCGTCTTCCGTAGAACAAGCTTCTTCTTCCTCGTCTGCCAAAGACTTGCCAAAGAAACCTGCGAAAGACGATTCTAGCTCTGTTGCGACGAACACTAAGCCACAGGCTCCTCAAGATTCTGCCAAAGTTCCGGAAACGCAGCCTGCAAAGGTGCCAGCTCAAACGGTGGCAAGCAAGAAGCCACCACCTTCTCCACCCAAAGCTGGACTAGGATTAGTAGATTATGGATCTGACGAGGACGATGAATGATTACTGCCAGGGACGTTTTTGCCGAATTTGATTGAAATGAATAGACATAATCTCGGTACGAAGACCAAGAACTCTCCGGTGAGCTGAGAGCTATCGCAAAATGCAGAATACACGTAGAGGGTGAACATATTTCTCAACTAAAATGTGCTCAATCATAATCGTTCATGATACGGCATGTAAGGCTATTATGGAATATAGCTATCTATAGACAAAAGGTGTCACCTGCTCGCCCACAAGAGCTCTATAAATTCTCTTCTGCTATATACTCTTCGAGCAATGCTCCAAATGAACAAAATTCCTTACAACTTGAGCCTGGCAAGGTTCGAAACCATCTCTCTACCAGTAACCCAAATAGTTCTCCACAAGGTTGGGAAATCCAAAGTACTAGTCAGAGTATCTGCGAAACCAAAACCCAACATGGGTGGGATCCAACCTCTAGCATATTCAAGAGCGAAACAAGCTGCATCCATCTTGTACTGCTTGACGGTACCGCGACGGAGATGATGAACACTTCCTTGAGGATAGACTTCAGGTTCGAAGTCTCCAGGAGTATAAGCGAGCTGGGTACCGGCTATGATATGGAAGTAATCATCAGCTGTATGACGGCCAGTATGTCCTTCAGTACCAATTGTAGTGCCTATTTCATAGTCAGTGTCTCCATTCATACTCATGGATCTGGCCATGGGAAAACAAACCAAAAATGATCAAATACTCCGTAATACCTAAAGAGTCAATTAGCACTTTGTCTCGTCGAACTATCCTAAGATCAACCCGTGACTCCCGCGGAAAACTTACTAGCATGAATAATATACATGGCACCCATAGCGCCACCAGCATTATTAAAAATCCATTCCTGATCCAAATTAATATAGCCACCCGGATGCTGCTCGCTCAATCCATCCACAATGTACTTCACAACTTGAGCCGTATCATTGCCATGAGCACCAATAGCGCGTTGGGACAGATCATGAAGTTGAGTCGGTGTGAAAATGTAAAACGATTCAAGACGCGAATCCAGAAAATAGTAGAGAGCAGTGAGGAGACCAAAGATGGCTCCGTAGGTGAGGAGCTTGGTCATGATGGGAAATTGTGAATTGGATGAGTGAGTGTATATTCCGTATTTCACTTCTTGTGAAAGAATTAAAAGTAGTGTTGATTCTTATGTCGGTCTGGCAATAAATTTAATAATTTCGCAAGCCAGGTACGGATATTTTAATGTGGAGATAGTAAATGGTAACCAATCGGATTCTCCCGTGATAGCTGGCAGCAACAGCACGCTAGGAATACTAGGAGAAGCTCCGGAAGCTTGGGAATAATTTCTGGTGGAAAAAGTAGAGAGCATTGGTTTGGATAGTCGGACAAGAAAGATACTTGAACTTATATTGTAGAGTAGGATATCATTAATACTAACATAACACCACTGCATCACCGCATCCAATTCCCCGTCTTACCAATAAAGGTACTTGTAGCCAACATTATGAGCTTCACCTCAATGTCAATGGTATAATGATAAGATCCTACAACTTAATTCCTCACTCCCGAATTAACCATCAGATTCTAACTCTCCATGGTCCTCATCATCTGCTTTCTTCTTCGACTTTTTGAACTGCTCCTTACCATCTGTAATATAAGCTTCGACCTCCTGGCCATCAAACTTCCGTCCATTCATCAACCTAACACATGCTTTCGCCGATTCTGCGTTTGCGAACCTTACGCTAGCAACTCCATCTTCCTCCAAATCGTATAGCACCACGTTTGTTACCTCGCCGAGCTTGCCACATTCATCTCGAATATCTTCCTTGATATCCAGCATTGCAGCTGGGTCCTCTTCTAGCTCCTTCAAAGTGAACATATGTTTTAATATAACGACTTTATCCCATCTCGAGCTAGTTTCCACAAGAGCCGATGGCTCATCATCACTCCAATCTGCCAGTCGCGCATCCAATTTCTGCGTTTTCTTGATAATTTTTTGCTTATCCTTCATGCTGGTCTTTGGCTTCTCTTTCTCCTTTCCTTCCACGTCTGTTTGTTGAACCTTCTTGTAACTTGCCTCTGCAGCCTGGACCCTCATTTTGATTCTCTCCTTGGATGCGCCACTTTCTATCCTAAAATCCGTATCATCCAGTAGCATTATCGCCATCTGCACAGATGGTGGTTTGAAAAATACGATAAGTGCATCACCCTTGAATTCTCCCTTTTCATCTGTATAAAGCTTAATTCTGGGTTTTCCGCTGTCGATTTCTTCTGCGATAACACCGCATTTTCTTGAAAAGACTTCGTGAACTTCCTCAACTGTGACATCCGATGGCAGACCAGTAACATAAACTGCAGTATTCGCTCGTGGAGGTAGAGGTGCTTTGGCTTTCTTTGGGGCTTTTACCATCCGACCACCCTCCTAGATAAAATTAGCATTGAAGATAATTATTGAAGTGAAGATGCAGATAAGCGCGTGAGCTCCAGATATGTTTCGCATACCGAAACAAATATAAATAGATATGAGATGCTGAAAGCGACCAATAAATGGGTGCACAATCATGGTTCTATTACTGCATGAAAGCCTAAAATTGACTTACATCCTCGCCATTGACATACTCCTTCTTCCTCTTCCTCTTCATGGCATCGACCGGCTCGCTCTCATCTACTCCGGATACCTTATAAGCCTTCTGCTGCTCCTCCAATAATGCCTCATCTAATACTGGTATCCATCGTTTGATCGCATCGTCGAATTCAAATTCCGTGCCATCGTCTTGCACGAGTAAGTATTTCTGGTCGAGCTTTGAAAATGATATGCGATCGTCAGAGTCAAATTCTTCTGGGTTCGCAGGAAATGGTGCAGCTGCACCTTCAGGATGCTGCCTCTGCTCCATGGTTGATGTTGTATGATGTTTTGTTTATGGAATAGCTGAGGTGGGGGTTGATGTGGTGATGGTCGCGAAGCTTGGAGCTTGACAAAGAGCTTCGCGAAGCGATTATCTTCTGGGTTCTCTTCTCTTAGCTATAGCATCATCAGCACAAAAGTTTATAGATTTGAACTACAAACATCACTTAAAGTTACAGGTTTTTGTATGGAAGTTTTCTTCGAAAGTTCATTGTTTCTATTCAGCCTGTAATCTTACTGGAGTCGACCGGTGAGTGTATAGTGCCTCATCTTAAATATGCGTCGAATTAGTCCCAGACAAAGACAAGCTTGAACCAATCTTCTCATATTAGTCGCCGCTGCCAGGAACAGCCTCTCATTACATTAACCTGGTGCTTTCAAATTCTATAAAATCATCATGAAGGGAGTGACAAGGTAGCAAGCTCTCTGCTAACGGATTTGACGCTTGCCATTTCGATGTAAACATTGAAAGGATCCGAAGCATGCACCTGTTGCAAAATGTACTATCTATACCTAGGTATGGGCAGCCAGCAATTATTCATTCCCTGACTCTCCTTTTTTTCTTGCTGTAGAAAAAAATCAACATTGTCTCAGTTAGAAGCAGACATTGATATCTCTGTCCCGCCCTGTTTCGGGTGATGGACGGGGGTTCCTCTGTTCACTCCTCGAGAAAGAAGCTACCATGTCTGAATTTGCACGCAGCTCTCTGTTGCACTTAAGGCGGCCGAGTGCCATATGCTCTCATTTTGCTACTGTTTGAGCGAGTATAAATACATAGTTCCAGTCGACATATTCAACAGAGACAGCAATTATTGAGCCCAAATTTAAACAACGGGGAAGGTTTCTCAGATTATATATACCAAAATATGGGCTTCTGATGAATTGAATGCGTCTAAATGTTCATTGTCTCATTCGGTACCAAGGAATTCTCAAGCCGTACTACACTCCAGTTAATGCCAAAAATACAACCTAGAGGGCCGCTGCTGTGAATTCCATAGATATTGTGCACTTTTCTTCTCATCTCCCTAATTTTTGTATTTGAGAATCACTTTCGGAGTTGTGATTACATCTCCTTTCTCCAACATACACATCCTTTCTGAAGGACGACCTTAATTATAATTTTGCTTTGCTTCACACCATCAGACGCGATAGTCGGATTGGCGACATTCAAGCTATAGCTATCGGAATCATTCACGTCCTCATATCCATTACGTTATTGTCCTTTTCTGTCCTTACCTTCGGGGATTACACTTGGTCAAGTGTTTCCGTTTGCTACTATGTTGTGTCGCCCTGCATCTTGAGCTACAACGGAGGCGCACGAAGCCATTGCTATTCATCAGCGTCCGCCATCAGGCGACTTCGACTGCTTTCTGATGCGATCATCCAGTTCGATCTGGTCTCGTCCTAAATTCTCATACAAGATCACCCATTCTACACTATGTCCTCAATTCCTCTTGAGCAGTCTGATTCTAAATAGTATGCATGCTTCCCCACAACCCAAAACGGATTTCGGTCCGTATATATTTTTCTCTTTAAGCCTCACGTTTCATTTTTTGCCGGCTTACATTTGCCGCTCCAAGTTCATAACTAGTTAAATAGATACTTTCCAAATTCAGAGAAAGACACAGCGCTGGAAAGACACAATTGGGACGACCTTAGTCTTAATACCAATGCTAGAGACAGTGCTACGCAGCGCGAAGTCAGTGGTGTCCTTGACTTTTTTCCAAGAAATCATTGGAAGGCGCGACACGTAATGGGGTCGTTGCACGGCCTAATAAACTTGAAGGCCTACATTGGGTTGATTTTACTTCGATCAGAAGAGAGGAAGTCACAAAGGCTTGTTCTAATAGATGCTTGCCAACACTTGATGTGATCAAAAGCCTTACTGATTTGTTACCGCAGCACCTCAGCGGACCAGAGCAATCATTTGAATCTATCAAGGATGTAAAACGCTACGCTTCAATGGGCCGGAATATGCGGAGCAAGACGAGACCTGGCGCCGGAAAAAGAACATTTGTTTGATTCCAACATCGAGAGCGAAGCCCAATGGGAGGCACTGAGTCTGAAGGCATATCGGGATCTGTTGGATGATTCTGACTCCGAATATGATATCTCAGAGGAGCACCCTGGCCACTATGACGGTTGTGACGATTTCTGTGGATATAGAGCTGAGTCCGACACGAATGAGGGTGAGGGCCACGATGATGCAGGTAAAGATGAGCATGAGGATTAGCTTATGTCTAGGCACATTTAGCACCTTTTATAGAGCGCCGCTAGCCATTATGGGCACTTTACTTCGGTGACATGATCTAGTCATGACAATGTGAATATAGCTATCATCAGACCCTTTTAGTCGGTCAACCCTTATACTCCCCTCTTGCATCTTGCTAAAACTCTACACAGACACCCCGGCCTTTTCCTTTCTTGGGATTTTGTAACTCTGATCTTACTATTAACTTTCATATCCGTTCGACATCGCCATCTAATGCGTTTCTCACCTTGCTTTACATCCATCAATCCTGAATGACCCCCACGGTGCTAATATTCATACCGCTACTATGATTTGAATGCGTTGTTATCTCACACCAAACCCAAAATCCTCACTTCACTCGACGACAATCAATAGTAACGATCCACGCGAACTCATCCACTTCGCGAGCTGATTTTACATAGCTAATTGATACAATGCTCTACAATACTCAACGTGAGATACAAGGTTACATAACTTTGCTTAATGCTATTGAACGACATTAATATTGCCCTAGACACTCGAAATGACCGATGGGTAAATTATATTACTGAACTTGAACTGAGCATTGTCTAGCACTGCGGTACAAAGACATCGCGTCCGATTCTGTGCTGTTTCGGCAAGTACGTACGTACCAGGGTTGTTTAGCTATGTTCGACGAGGGGGATTATAAGGAGAACACTCGAGTGACTTTTGAGATAAGCTAGACAAGAGGACGAATTATGTGAATATGAACCGAGTTTGAAGATTGGTGCACGTGGTATCCCTCCCGTCTGTTATACCGAGATGAGAATAACCTGTCTTAATATCGTCAGAGCATATCCGGACTTCCTCTAAATTAGACCAGTTCCCTCCATGAACTCCGATGAAGATACTCCGTCAAGCGGAAAGAAATATATTTAGACGGGAATAATCGCTGTTCACGCGGTAGAGAGTGTTGGTTAGGTTGTGTAATTATATAGGTCCAAGCGGCGAAGATATCATGCTATCGATACAAGTGTTGTTGTATACATACCAGGTTAAGGTCTTTGTGTATAAGAGGTTCGTTTATATGTCTATTTCATTTATGTAAGTTACTACTGGTGTGTTATTATCCCAACTCTAATTTAATTTTCATGGGATATGCATATGTTTCGGTTGTATATCTAGAGCCATTTTTGGGGGGTTTCTATATGAGAGAGAGTCTCGGGAAATATGGCTATAATCTTGTTTATTTCCCAGTCGTATTCCCTGTATTTGTTTGAATGTGCCATATCTTATACTTATAGTAAGTAGTATTATTAGTAGGCTGAGTAAGTGTACTTGAAGTTGTTGAAGTGGAGGACGAGGTGAAGGTTAATTACATGAATCAGTTGCATTGAAAGGTCAGACGATGAAGATAATCTCCCAGTTATAAAGAAATGGAAATACATTAGATATATACCTATAGTTAACAATTGCTCAGTTCCACTCCCTGGCTCCAAAGGTAGGAACCCTTTCGTTTGGATCTTTTTCGTCCAAGGTGAAACCAGTTCTCAAACAATATTATCCGGTGCTTGTTATCCTGGTACTGCGTATGTATAGTTCTTGGTCTCGGCTTATTGACGCTCCCTATATTGCTATTCGAATCTAGAGCAAATTATTACTCGTACCGGAGCCGTAGTGCCAGGGCCGTATAAACATAATGCGGACGAGACATGTGAAAGATCTCAGCATAATGCTCCAAGTTTGGGCAGGTCCCGGTCTCATCGGGCCCGCACACCAGCTGAGAGTATAACTATATGCGCTAGAATAGTGGTTTGCCGCATGAATTGAGTAAAAGATCAAGGTTCTCTGTCTCTTAGTGAAATGTGGCAGCTAGCTAGCTGTCTTGTCACCACAAATTCCAAACTCGTTCAGGCCGGTTTGTTTCGATATCATACTGTAGGTCAGCGGTTGGGGCTAACCGGATACTCTTAATATATAGCTCATCGGGACAGGAATTCGACATCTGGAAAATTCAGCTTGATAATACATATGAAACTGTCACGGTATGGTATAATGAGATCCTCATATGAGTGAAGTAGACAACAGAATAACTATTCTTGATGAAATGTTATAATCGCAGCAGTTAAACGAGACTACCCGCCCGGCATGGAATATGATGTGACATCCAACAAGAAGGACGTCCAATTGTAAAGGTTCGCATAACCTTACCTTATGTACATCAGAAATGTAAGGAAAAGTACTAGCAACAATAATCAAAGAACTTTCATTGCATCGATTGATATAGACACCAAGTTGAATTTTATAGTAAAAAGAGTCAATTCCCAATGCATTAATTAACCCAAGATGACTTTAATATGAAGTATAAATAAAGATATTATGAAAAGAGATTGGAGTGTAGTAAAATGCTCTTCTCATGTAGTCTGCCTGCAGTTAGTTTCCTTGGTCTGATACATTGATCGATAGCTCCGTAGATTTTATATCACCCCACATCTCCACTTCGTTCCCCAAACATACATACATGGCTCCCACTTTCAAAATTATTATTTTACGTCTTTGAATCACTAACTTTCCAAAGAACCACGTAAAATTGCGCAAAAGAAAAAAGAAAAAATTGAGCTTTAGCAAGTCCCAGTTTCGATCTGGGGACCTCCGGGTTATGAGCCCGGCGCGCTTCCACTGCGCCAACTTGCTTGATGCTTCTTGCATGTTTGTTGACGGAGAGGGGCAATGTTACTATATGAACTACACCACAATTTAACCCCACATCTAAAGAGACATCCGACTATGTACCGATTGCCATTCACAATCTTTCATAGACTTTAGAAGCTGTTTGCCGAAAATACAAGCTATCACAATGCTACTCCTTTCTCATATCTAATTCCAAATATGACCAAATTATACTTATTTTGCTAGAAACATGATATCCTTCGGGTAGTTTCTTGCTCATAGCTATAGGTGCGAACCAAAGCCTGAGGTAAGACATGGAATGGGACAACTACCGGTATAACCATACAGCATCTACACAATTAGATCATCTCTTTACACCTGCACCAACATGGCATTACCGAAACTAACAATACGGAATATCTCCACAACTCCACTCGAGTTAAAATCACTGGAACGATTCGAATCTGCAGATGGGAAAGCAGGCGGGGTAAATATCACCAGGATAACAAGAAATCTCACTGGCTTTATGAACATCACCAGCACTCCAAGCTCACCACAATTAGCTGAGAAAGCCCAAAGCTTTAGTCATCAAGATGTTTCTATCCCAATTGCTCCATTCGAGTCCAAAGTTACAGATATAGAAGCTAAAGGGAACCAAGTCCTACGTTTGACATTCGAGATAAAAGGCGAACGGTATCGCATTGATACTCCAACCCCTTTACATCGGTCAACCGTTCTCACACCTCTTTCGCACAATCCAACCTACGAATTCACAGGTGTATATCTACCTAAACATGCTTTCCTCGCAATTTTCTCCTCAGCGAAACTGTCATCATGGATGTCAAATTTCAAGGACGAAACTCCCTTAGCAGCTCTTAGTATACCCGGTACACACAATTCCCCAACCTGCTACGCCGCATTACCCTCTGTGCGCTGTCAGGTTGTCAGCATAAAAGATCAATTAAACAATGGAATCCGTTTTCTTGATATACGGGTTCAACCACAAGATCCAAGTAACCCTGCTGCAGAGGGTCTAATTCTGGTCCACAGTGCTTTTCCAGTTTCTTTTACAGGCAATAAATACTTCCGAGATTTGGTCAACCATGTGAAAGCATTTTTAGTTGCAAACCCTACGGAAACAGTTATTATGTCATTGAAAAGGGAAGGAATAGGGAAATCGACGGACCAACAACTCAGTCAAATTCTCAACCATCATTATACTCAGGATTCTGCTCGTTGGTTCACAGGTAATCGCATTCCAGCTCTAGGCGAGGTTCGTGGGAAGATTGTGGTTATACGTCGGTTCGGCCTAGATGACTCATTAAAAGGGGAAAACAACGGAACAGGTCTATATATCGACGCAGAGAGCTGGCCAGACAATTGTGCAGATGGCGTGTGCACCAGTGGAGAAATCCGAGTGCAGGACTTCTACGAGGTAGCCGTGTCTACGAATATCGAGAAGAAAATTGGATATTCCACAGATCAGCTGGAGAGGGCCGCGAAAGCCGTAGCCGTACTTCCTGAAGATATGGGTGCTGCGAGTACGGAATCTGCAAAACAACCTTTCTTTATGAATTTCTTGAGTGCTTCGAACTTTTGGAGAGCGAATTGTTGGCCAGATAAGATTGCTGAAAAAGTTAATCCCGTGATCGTTGATTTTCTATGTAGAAAACATAATGAATCAACTTCGAGTGAACATCCAGATGGTGCAAGTATAGGGGATGGGAGCACGGGAATTGTGGTCTGTGATTGGGTTGGGGTAGGTGGGGATTGGGACTTGGTGAGGTGTATTTTGGCAATGAATGCAAAGTTGGAGATTAGAGAGAGGGAGAAGGAGCTTCCTTTTGATTCCCCTTTATGAATAGGGCATATACTGCAAGATGTTATGATTTCAAGATTTATGATGCAAATGGATAGAACAAGGTTCAGTTACAGATATACTACATTCCGTTAGATGCTTATTCATTATTCGAATTTGATTATTCCTTAGGTTCTTCGGAAGGACCCTTTTCCTCATCTTCTAACATCATTCTTCTACCCTCAACGGCGAAGTATAAACTCTTTCCAGTTCCCTCCAAGACATTCGTAATTCCACCACCGATACCTTGTAACATGGCCACCAACTGGCCTCGTAAACCATCCAGACCTCCCTCGATACTTCCAACCCATTTTGTGCCATCAACATCAAACACTTTACCTTCTACCCTTGCTCCTAGCAACAATAACTTTTGTAACCCACTCTGAACGGTAGGATCATGCCATCCAGGATTTACCCTCTTTTTAGGAGCAGGGAACAATGGAGCACTAGGTGATAATATCGTCAAAGCCGTCTTCAAATGCTGAGGAGAGACACCGGGGATCGTTAGAAGAACAACTGGGCCCGCCAATAACGGTGATAGATCATGAGCATTTTTAGTCTTCTTAGCCGAAATAGCCTCATAAGCAGCGCTCGAAAGTGTATGTGTTAACCCATCACCCTTTGCGTTCACAATAGGCAAAGTCGCAGATGAAGGAGTTGCTGGATTCGTAGGATCTAACTTTGGAACTTGTGCATCTGGCTTATAGAATTCGACGATTCGGACTGCGGCAGCTAGGATTCCTGTTTGGACGATTTCGAGCTTAACGCCACCTGCGATATTCAGGTTGGGTTGTCCTTCTGCTTCTCGGGCTGCGTCGACCTTACGGAGGGCAATGGCAAGTTCGCGACGTATGGCTACCCATTCCCCAGCTTTGAGGTTGTTGTGTTGGAAGAGGAGCATGAGGGGTGTAGAGCGAAGTAGCGAAGCATATTTTCTGAGAAGTTGGGATTTGCGGAATTCCGGGGGTTTGTAGGATGGTGGTTGAGTTGAGGGAAAGTGAGATACGGGTGGATATGCTCTGGTCATTTGCTCGTGCGAGGCTGCTGGCGTAAATGCTGCTGCCGCAGTGGCATATTGTCGACTTCGGAGGGGAGTCCTTTTACATCGGAGGATGGAAGCTATCGCCTTTGAGGGCATATGTATTCGTGGTCGCATTCTATAAATGTCAATTAGTATGTATGACCTCCGCCAACATTTCTGTAGCACAATTAGCTGTACTCACCTGGAAAATGGACTTGTTGAACAAATATATGTAGACATATAATTTCCATGGACGAGCTTGAGAAATTCTAAAAGAGGATTAGCGCCTTTGAATTCACTGCCATAAAGTTAAGGCGAACAATTAAAGTTCATTGAGGTGACTCAAAATCAAAGTCCCTTAGCCGGAACCCGAGTACTACATGAGGTACAAAGAATATTGAAAAGTTTTCAAATATATAAACTCTTCTAGACACAACAATTGAATTTCGAGAACTCTTCGAAAATCAATCATGGCTGCTCCAACAGAGCACAATGCATACGCACCTTCTTCTCGGGATATTTCAATCACGCCCCTACTCAAACGGTTATGGCCTTCACCTGGAGATAATAATGTCACGGCATCAGAAATTGCTGTAGCAATCTCACATATCTTTACGGATTCATTATCTCCTGTTCAAACGGGTGCGTTGCTCACGTGTTTGCATTTCACGGGATGGGATCGAAAAGCAGATGTTCTTGCAAAATGTGCAGAGGCTATGAGAGAAGCTGCATCACCCGTTGATAAAGAAGCCCTAGACAAAGTTGTCGCGGCTGTTGGGAGAGCAGAAGGCGGTTACAAAGGAGGTTTGGTGAATTACCATGAGCAATTATTTTGGAATTATTTTCTGATCTATTTCTAGTGCGACATTGTGGGAACCGGAGGAGATTCACATCATACTTTTAATATTTCAACTACATCCTCCATTCTGGCCTCATCTCTCTTACTTTTGAGTAAGCACGGAAACAGAGCTTCTACTTCTAAATCAGGATCAGCAGATCTCCTCAACTCTACGTCGCCTACAGCACCAAACTTGTCGGCGGTGACACCAGATACTATCACTAAAGTCTACCAAAAAAGTAATTATGCTTTTCTCTTCGCACCAGTCTTCCATCCTGGTATGAAATATGTTGCTCCTATTCGAAAGGAGCTTGGTTGGAGGACAATCTTCAACCTCATGGGTCCTCTCGCCAATCCAGTCGAAGGCAACATTGAAGCCCGCCTTTTAGGAGTTGCTCGACGAGATATCGGACCTGTTTTCGCAGATGCCCTTAAAATGAGCGGCGCCAAAAAAGCCATGGTTGTTTGTGGAGAAGAAGACCTCGATGAAATCAGTTGCGCAGGACGGACATTTTGTTGGAGATTAGTAGATCATTCTACAGATGAATCTTCATCTTTCAACGATGTCGAGATCGAAAGCTTCACAATTTGTGCTGCTGATTTTGGACTTCCATCACATGACCTAAAGGATGTTTCCCCAGGAAAGGAACCTCATGAAAATGCCGCAATCTTGATGAATCTACTCCAAAACAAATTACCAGATAACGATCCAATTTTGGAATTTGTCCTCATGAACACTGCAGCTTTGTTTGTCGTCGCTGGAATTTGTGATGCAGATACTAGCAATATGGGTCATGGAGATGATGGGAAAGTCATTACTGAGAGGGGACCTGGTGGAGGGAGATGGAAGGAAGGTGTGCGAAGAGCTAGATGGGCTGTCAAGAGTGGTGAGGCTTACAGACAATGGAGACAATTTGTGGATATCAGCAATAGTCTCTAGATCTGAAAGGCATATCTTTGGGAGACAATTCTTGAGTGAATGTGAATAATGAATTCAAGGTCATGATATAGAGATCGGGTTCGGAAAGGTCTAATGGTTATTAGAAATGGAATGGAAAAATTCTAGCTAGATATATACAACTATTCACTTAAAGGATAATTGTATGTGAACATGGATCTTGATCCGATCTCAATTGTTTGGGATCTACAACAGTGGGTCTATGATGTTCAAATTGGTCATTAGGCTTCCCCCATTTTAGTAGTGTACAGTGATGTGACTCGGATAGAGGCATTTTCACAGCATTCCGAAGAATCGCCATTATGACATCTGCTAGAAAAGCAAGCAACGCAACCTAGTGATTGGGGGAAAATATACCTCGATACGGAAATATAGATGGGAATGGTAACTTGATTGCCGTTTTCAGTTATTGAATTGATTGATCTCCCCCACGTTTGTGTCCTCTGAACCCCCACCGAAAGTGTCTCTGTATCTACACTACACCTACCTAACAAGCTCAAGGTTTCTTTCTTGATTTACCCATTTCCCTCAGTAGGTACCCAAGTACATACATAGTCCTCTTGACATCTGGCACATTTGGTTTCAATTGTAAATACTTTCTTTACTACATCCCTTATTCACATGAGGTCTCTGCTTCCATACATCCGACAATCTAGAACGCTTATCACTCCCAATCTACGTCCACTCCTACCAGCACCGAGGGGCATCAATCTACCCCACCACAAAATACCCAGCAGCTTACACCCCTTCAACCTTTTTTGTTCTACACAAGTATCTTCAATCGTCACCATGAGTAAACCACAGATTCTTTTGTTGGGTGAAATTGACCAGTAAGTCACAATAAAGCTCCTCCTATCATAAAAATTGCTAATAAAGGTACCTTTAACAGTGCCAAGAAGGAATGGAGTGAACTTTCCAATATCGGTGAACTCATCGAACCTAAAGCTCGATCTCGTCAAGAATTCATAGAAGAGTGCAAAAATGGCGTTTACGATAAAGTGGCGGTTGCATACAGAACTTTCCCAAGTGTCTCTATTACAGGCTTGATTGACGAGGAATTGATCAGTGTGCTACCAAAGAGCTTGAAGTTCATTGCTCACAATGGTATAAATTAGACTCTGCATTCGAGAGAGGATAGATGGGGCTAATAAATGGTTGTAGGAGCTGGTTATGATCAAATAGATGTACATGCATGTACCGCACGCGATATTCGAGTTTCGAATGTCCCAACTGCTGTAGATGATGCTACGGCTGATACCAACATGTTTCTCATTTTGGGAGCATTGAGGGGGTACAATACTTGTTGGTTTATAGTCTCTCTAACCAGGAACGTAGTTAGCTAACGATCCGTAGCAATGATGGCTTTGAGGAAGAACCAGTGGAAGGGGACCTCAGTGCCACCCCTTGGTCACGATCCTCAAGGCAAAGTCCTGGGTATTTTGGGAATGGGTGGTATCGGACGAAATCTCATGAAAAAGGCAACTGCTTTCGGCATGACCTGCCAATATCACAACCGTACGAAGCTTTCGGAAGAATTGAGCGGAGGTGCTAAATACGTTAGCTTTGATGAGTTACTGGCTACCAGTGATGTTCTATCCTTGAATTTGCCTTTGAACGTGAGTTATTAGCTCAATCACAGCTTGAAGGTTCCTAGTCTAACAGCGTTATAGAAAAACACTCGCCACATCATTTCCACTGAGGAATTCAAGAAAATGAAGAAAGGTGTTGTCATCACTAACACAGCCAGAGGCGCAGTAATGAATGAAGATGCTCTAGTAAAGGCACTTGAATCTGGTCAAGTTTGGTCAGCAGGTTTAGATGTTTTCGAAGAGGAACCAAAGGTTCATCAGGGGTTGATTGACAACCCACATGTTATGTTGATACCACATATGGGAACAGTAAGTCATATTTCTTCCTCTATTATTTCGAGATCACATGAGACTAATGTTCATGTGATAGTATACTATCGAGACTCAAACCAAGATGGAGGTCTGGTGTATCGACAACGTACGAAGTGCAATTGAGAAGGGCAGGTTAATGAGCCCAGTAGGAGAACAAAAAGATATGTAGATAAGACGTAGATGAGGTCATAGAATTGGGAGGTTGCTACCATTGAAATTTATTTCAATGTGTGCATTGGTTCGATATATTTGGTACATCGCGGCCTTACCTCGCTGGAGTATTGATTCCAGATTTTGAGTAGGCTTCCATTGATTTCCTGTATTGATACCATTGCTTTCTAGAAATTAAATAGATGATCCTTCCATTTACAGGTCTACTAAACTTCTCTCTCTCTCTCCCTTCATCATGCTTCCCTATCACATCATTCGCTAGTAACCAATAACTCCTCATTAGTATATCAATATTATCCCTCCTTCAAATAAAGAAACCCAACTTTCAGATTGAAAATTAAAATTCACTATCTCGGAAATAGAGTGTCGAATCGAAGCATATCCTCCAGCGAGCCCAAAAAATTAAATGTTTACCCATCTAATATCAACCTACCTAGTACCTACTATATCAATGTTCTGGCTGTGAGTCGTGTTTTGCTGAAGCGCTGGATATATAAAATATTAAAAAGGATATTTCATATTTATATTATAAGACCTTGAGATTATTATAATGGATATCAATATTTGTGTTTAAGAACTTTTTAATAATTTTATTTTTATATATTTTATTTGTATTTTATTTGTTATTATTAATAAGTCGAGTTGTGTTTTGAGATATTATATATAGATTATAATTATAAGTAGAGTATATATACAACAAATAAACAAACAAAAACTAGTATTTATTTAATTTCCTTATTCTCTCTTCTATCACTACTCAGTTCTATAAAAGAAACACCAGCGCTTTTCATCGTTTCAAAACGAATTATCAAGAAATATAATAGATAATTAAGATGGGTTGATTCCGGGAGATGAATCGATATATTTATACATCTAAGTATCTATAATAACAATTTCCTCCTAGATACTCATAGTGCTGAAGTAAAGTGGTAAAGTTCATTAATTTATAATTACCACTAAGAAATCACCACACCACTCTATACAAGCCCTATCCCCTTCTCCTTCTTTCATTTTCACATAGAATTTATTTATACCAACTCCATATAATATAATATAATAAATAACCTCTACTCGAGTATTGTATCCAGAGTATTAATTATAAACATCAAATTAGATACGATACCTAGCTAGGTGGGTAGATTCACGGTAAAACTTTCCCTGGTGAGCAGCTCTCATCTGGAACCCAGATAGAGAACACACATACACACACACACACATATATATATAACCTTACCAAATCCGAGATATCAAACCAGCAAACTAGACCTGTGGTATGATATGATGTGATATGATAATATAAGTTATAACCAACCAGCAGAACCAACCAAGCATTAAAAAAATCCAATCTTACATACATCAACCATCAACCAAAACAGCAGACGATATCTATCACCAGCCATTCCCAAAAACGAATACCTAGTATTTTTCTCCAACAATCCATACCGTGCTATGAATGATGAGTACCCAGCAGGTATCTGCCTGTTTACTAGGTATGCCTCTCCCACCAGCCAGACTTCAAATGTCGATTATCCGAGTCATGTCTCTGACCCCCACATTCATCCAATGAGTCATGTTGTTCAACACGCAAAATAAGGCCCTACCAAGGAACTTGGACTGCTTGACCATCCAAACACCTACCGAACACCGACCCCGACTCTCAGATACTAACAACCCAATTCATGATTCCAAATTCTCCTACAAGATCTTTGACTCTGAGCACTTGCTATCTCCATCTAGTCTTGACTCTTGGCTGATTTACATAACTCAGCATTGTGTTTCACTCTTATGTTAAAATTGTTTCATATGTCAAAAAAAGTACACAAAATCAAGTCACCATACTGTATGAAGGGCCGTCCGTAACATCAAATATTATCAAAAAAAAAATTATCTTCTAATGTGAGATCAATTCCGGACTAGACTACCATCATCTCCCATCTAACTTCTGCTTTTTGTATACCATGCTGCACACAAGAGATGGCAAGAAACAGAACGTAGAAAATGGATGACACCAGAAAACGCACGCAAAAAACAAAGAGGAAGCCCCGCGGAATCATAGCGTAAACGAGATTCATAGCCATGATAAGACGTAAAGAGCTTAAATCATCATACAGTTACCACCCTTGCGCCTCTCATTGATGTGGACCGCTGAAGACACAAGAATAAGTTTGAGAGATGCACCAATGACCAATTTGGAGGAGCGGTGGAAATATGGACGTTTCGATTGGTTTTGTAGTATCTTGTAAACACAATCGTGGTATAAAGGTTGAGGATCGATGTTGTACTTAGTTGTGACCAGTCTTTCGGAGAGTCGTGGCGAGCCATTCCAATCCCTCGTAAAGACCGTCTCCAGATGTAGCGCAAGTAGATTGAATGTACTAAGAATATATTAGCAGGGATTCCATTAAAAACAGTCATTGTACATACCCAGGCGCGTTGTCTCAAGCTGTGGAGGCCCAATTTATCTGTAATTTCTGCTGCGTTCATGGCATTCTATTATTTCAGATTAGTCATCGTATGCAAATATCGAATTCCAATATACTGACTGGCAAATCTTGTTTGTTGGCAAAGACCAAAAGAATAGCATCTCTAAGTTCGTCTTCATTCAACATTCTCTGCAATTCCTCACGAGCCTCAACCACACGATCACGATCGTTGCTGTCTACAACGAAAATGATACCCTGAGTGTTCTGGAAGTAATGTCTCCACAGAGGTCTAATCTTGTCTTGTCCACCAACATCCCACACGGTAAATTGAATGTTCTTGTACTCGACAGTCTCGACGTTGAAGCCTATAAGAATAGAGTTAGTGATGATATCATAATCTACTGGTGATAGTAAAATCGATGAATGGGTACGTACCGATGGTTGGGATAGTTGTGACAATTTCACCAAGCTTAAGCTTATACAGAATTGTAGTTTTACCAGCAGCATCCAAACCGACCATCAAGATTCTCATCTCCTTCTTTCCCCAGAGACGGTCAAATAACTTCGAGAATGTCAAACCCATGGTTGCGATTTAGAGATTGTGTGTAGAGGGTGGATATGGATTTGGCCTTTTTTGCTTGGAAAATGATTCTAATCGGGAAGCACAGATATTAGCGACTGCGCGATAGATGCAAGTTGTTTATATGATGATGAACCAAAGGACAGTTTCTTAGTGGAGCCACATGTCGGTGTGAGATCCTTGATCGAATAGAGAAGAGGCTGCCGTTCTGAACAAAGGACACCTGCGTTTTTGGTATATTTCTGGAAGTTCTTTGGAACTGTATCGGTGAATGGGCACGCGCTGCGCCGTTGAAGAAGACTTGCCACACTTCCAAGGGCTACCAAGAAGGCTATCTGGATTGATGAAGATATAAATGAAAAGGATGGCATCAATACTTACAATTTTCCGTATTATTGAGATCAATACAATGACCGAGTGGAGATGGATTTGAAGTTATTAGCGAGATGTTTTTGGATTGACAAAAGATGGGGTGTGCTTGGGAATTGGGAAGGAGAAGGGGACAGCGGCGGGCGGTGATTAGAGACTCTGTTCTTTCGGAAGTTTTGACGCTAAAATCAACCACTCTAGCCTATCAGAGTTTCAAATAACTTTCATTGATCCAGATATTTAAGGCTGTTGTTAACTTTATTACTCTCCACCTGCATTTGACCATCTGGCGATAATAGTTTAATTTGGGGTAGTCCAAAAAGAACAAGAAGTCGGAAAGCTTGTGATATCAATATAGATTGATGAATCTTTGAATAAAGGAGAAATACAGATCAATTATCCATCTGCGACTTCGATTGTGAATCAATTTCATTAGTACAACAGGATTTGGTGAATTATTAGCACCATATTCATTCATATAGGTACTCGCAACTACCTACCCTCACTTCTCCATATCACGAATCCCCAAAATTACGACCAACCACCTTGTTATTGACACAGTCAACATGCGCTTCTCAACTCCAGCGATCCTTTTGACAGTCAGCAGTCTCTTTGGGGCTGCTGTAGCTCATAATATTCAACTTGCAGCTCATGGCAGAGAGTGCTTTCACGAACAGCTTCATAAAGATGATAAAATGACGGTTACATTCCAAGTTGGAGATAGAGAGTTTGGCAGCGCTGGCAATTTGGATATTGACTTTTGGGTGAGTAAGGCTAAAGTCAAGCTCACACATTTGGCGTGTTTCTGTTACGGATCTGATACTGATGGGAATTGGAATTTAGATTCAAAACCCCGCCAACGGATATGAGGCACATGAGAGAGCTGTATCTAACGGAGATCACTCATTTACTGCCAACCACGATGGCAAATACTTATACTGCTTCAGCAACGAGCATTGGTCGGCAACTAGCAAGGACGTATCTTTCAATGTTCACGGCATTGTCTATGTACCAGAGGCTGAAGCTCCATCTGATCCTCTGGAGGCGGAAGGTAAAGCTAAACCATTCATCACATCGGAAATATTTGAAGCTTACCATCGATGACAGTTCGACAATTGTCCGAGCTCCTTGCTCAAGTGAAGGATGAACAATCATACATTGTAGTGCGCGAGAGAACCCATCGAAACACGGCAGAGAGCACAAACGGCAGAGTCAAGTGGTGGAGCATCTTCCAGATGTTAGTTCTGGTTGGTGAAGGTATCTTCCAAGTATGGTGGTTGAAACGATTCTTCGAGGTAAAATAGTTACAGTACCGAACGCTTCTATGTTTTGAGCCGGTAACTGATTGACTTGCGTAGGTCAAACGCGTTGTTTAAGAATACTCAAACATCCATATTTCGTTCAACTGGTTCGGCGCAACTTTCACAATCAATGGAGTGTGATATTGGGCCCAACATTGGAAAAGCGATGTACTAACATTTTTCGATTCGAATTTCCGACTGGGGCTTATTGTATTTCATACGCGTTATTATGAGGTATTGGCCAGGCGCGCCCTTTTCCTAATTTTTCGTCGCTTCTAGGTATCATGGCAATGCACAAGGGCGGGAAGGAACTCTTTTATACGGGATATCACGCAGCAAAATCACCAGTAGTATCAGATGATCCATTACAAAATCCCACGGATTATCAACTAATGTTCATCCCAACCAAAGCCCTAGCGGCTAAATTGCAAGGCTATTTTCTTTAGATTCGTGCAGATGTCGACCCAAATCGTATTCGGATTCATATTTTCATACTATCCACGCCTCAAACCTTTCCCCATGATTGTATGATTATGTTGTATCATACAGCACAATGCCAAGCAACCATGCTCCAACGGCGTTTTTGTGTATGGTTTCAGTACAGCATAATTTTATTGTACAACAGGTACAAAGTACATTGTCTCATATATCAATATTTTGTGACCACAACATGCATTGGAAATTCTCTTGCAGGACAATTTTCTATGAGTCCTCCCTCCATGAGCTGAAGTATAGTTCGCTTGGAAGTATGTATCGGTGTATGCACTGTACAGTAAGGGATTGTCGAGAATGGCTTCGGGATTTGATCAAACAAGTATATCATTGCTTGTATATAACCGACCCTGTCAATTCTCATTCCAAAAGTGTTCTTTACTCGGAAAGCTGTTGAGCCGACGGCCAGCCCTGGCCTGGATTTGAATCGATTTACAAGGAAGACTATAGGTTATCTGAGGCGTAAGATGTTGATTTTCCTCATAAAAGTATTTGGAGATGCAGCTGGCGACCTTGAAGAGTTTTCCGTTCGTAAGGTCATACATAACTTTATACCTGCTCTGTTAACTCGATATTTGATAGTCTTATCTTCTTCTACATTATCATTTTATTGGTAAGTTTTTGGCAATTTTAATCTGATATGAAATAAAGTATTTTAACAAGATCTATAGTTATATCAACCCATTGAATAAAGTTTAGAACATTTCCTGGGGTAAACCGCGTTAAAGGGTCCACTTCACCCCAATCATGTCTGACAAACGGACGAAAGAAGCCGCCCAGTCTGCTGCGCCAGCGCTGGAAACTACCGATGACCATCTGATTAAGCACGACGAACATAAATTAACATCTCGTTCCTCCAATACCTAATGTAGCACCTATCGTTGGTGGTGCTGGCGTGGTACATGAGGACAAGGAAAAGGCAGATACGGCTGCTACCTCGTTTAAACACCATCCAAGTGAGACTCCTGCAGATCATCAATATGCATCTGAAGATCTGGAGAAAGGCTATTATGGAAATGAATCTGCAGAAACGAATGTCCGGATATTCAAAAAAGGTGGAGTTGTTGGAGGAACAGAAGAATCAAGTGGAGAAGATGATGATGAAAACCATTATATTTCTGGTGTGCTGTTGGGACTTTTGACTTTTGGTCTTTGCATGGCTACATTTACTGTGGCATTGGATAATACTAGTAAGTATTTACAATTGATACGATCGTCTAGTAAATAAGACCATCAACATCTTGGCATTGTTGGATGCATTAGCCTTGTTAGATATTTAGTTGTCTTGCAGGAAAATCTACTCTATGGCTCCACTGTTATATCCATATAACTTATCGTACATCAGGTTTATTGGTATAATAATTTAAAGATAGTAACAATCCATAGTCATCGCCACAGCTATTCCAAAAATCACATCTGTCTTTAACTCTCTAGGCGATGTCGGATGGTATGGATCCTCCTACTTACTTACAACAACCGCTCTCCAGCCATCATTTGGACGTATATATACCTATTTTGACGTCAAATGGACTTATCTTTCTGCTCTTGTCCTCTTCGAAATTGGATCTATTATCTGTGCTGCTGCGAGGAATTCAGTCACGCTTATTGTGGGAAGAGCAGTTGCCGGCGCTGGAGCTTCGCTTTATTTTCTGGCGGAATGACAATTGTAAGTTGATTTTGATTTTAGCATTGAGTTGGAATTGCTGTCTATTTTTCACAATGTGGAAGTTTGCCTCAACTAATTCGGGACTAGATCGGCTTTTCAGTGTCTTTGATTAGGCGACCATTATATATTGCCATGTTATCATCAATGTTTGCCATTTCCAGTGTCATTGGGCCTCTTCTCGGTGGTGCTTTAACTGCTAAAGCTTTATGGCGATTGTGAGCCTAGTCGTTTCTATGGTTTCGGAATTCTTGATGCAAAACTCTAAACTTCAGTCTTCAACTTCAACTTCACTTTGTCTTCTCCGTTTTTACAGCACATAGTTCTCTCCACGATCCTTTGGATAGGCTTCAGCTGACTCCTCAATGTATGCAGGTGCTTTTTCATAAATCTTCCTTGTAAGTGATGTTAGCTCTTAGATCCTATTATCTATTGTCGCACTTTTCCAACCCCTAAATCATGTACCACTTCGACTAAACAGATTTTTTATCCTCTTATTCTCTTGTACTTTCTGGCAGCGTTATTGTTCTATGATTGCAAAAACAGTTATTAACCCTCAACCACCTCCCGGCTCGCTACTCCTCTCAACCCAGGTCGAGCTCCACCAATTTACCCCCTCGCTTATCAAGCTTATCCCATCCCATCCCATACCTAACCATAAACCCTTTATATAATTTTCCCATCCCACCCCCTCCCCTCGAGCTCCCTCCTCACATCGATATCCTTACATCCTTACATCCTTACATACAAAACATCTCAAAAATTCCATTCATACATTCATAAGAAAAACAACACCGGACGAGCCACCAAGCAAAGTCAGTCGCCCGGCTAGCTCAATCGGTAGAGCGTGTGACTCTTAATCACAAGGTTGGGGGTTCGACTTCGACCCCCCCCCGGTTGGGCTCAATTCCCTTCAATCCCATTTCTTTTTTATTTTTTTAATGAATGAGTTAGTTGGTTATTAGACAAATTGAGTTTCTATAGACTTAGATGAAAAGAGAGTAGTAAAGTAGTAAAGTAAACATCTCTCGAATAGTAAATTAGATTGATAAGTAAAAAAAGAGCTTTTTTATAATCATTTCTTTCCCGGCCGGTAGAGTAAGGGGGAGGGATGATATGATCTATTATAGATAGATACTAGATATATAAACGAGATTCCACTCTCCCCCTTGCTCCTCCGCTCCATTTAGGTATCTATCTACTCTAAGACTCATCTCATTCACTCCATTCAATTCCATACTAATAGATCTATCCGTTTAGAAATAAATAAAGAAAACAAAAACAACACCTTATACGGAGTGTTTGAGTGAAGTATCAGATAGATTGTAAAATCAAATGAATATACCTTTTCTTTGAGTTATTTAGAAGTGTTATATATATGTCTCACCCAAATCAATTTAAATCTAGAAATTTTATTCAAGTAAATAGTAAATAGTTATAATATTTGATTTAAGTAATTATATAGACCAGTACGCTAATTGCTGAATGTAGAGGAGGGGGTATAACTTTAAAAGAACATTAAAAAACAAATCGCTAATGGATGGATGAACGAATGCAGGTAGGCGAAACCAACCAAGATATTTCAGCATAGATTTGCTCCGTTCGCTGAAAGCCTATTCCTAGAACGCCAACCATGGGGGTATTACCCAAAGACAAAATAGAAGCCTGTTGATAGTTCGTCATGTCGTTTCAAGAGATCTGATGCATCTCCTATGCAACCAACGCCAAACGCTGAGTCGAGAGCCGGCATTATATACAATGTCAACTTGTCATTGCTTTTTGGTTGATTCAAGTACCCAAGCATTGACAATGTGACCTTCCACCCAGCCTTGTGCTATTAATGATGCGTTTTCTTTAAGTAGCTTGCCCATGTAGTTGATTTTGACATGCTTGGGTGGAGAGACCTAGTGAAATTGATTAGCTAAATTTGGAGAGGACCTCTGAAAAATACGAACCTCGAGTTTTCGTGCAATCACTTTGACAAGTGAGCGCACAGAATCGTTCTTTCCAATCTTGAACACTATATCTCCATTGATACCATGTTGAAACCTCGCTTTTACGGCTATCATTTCTTTCGCTTTGGCTTTGCCTTTCGTTTCTCTCCTCCTTAGAACCTCCTCATCAACTTCTTCACTTTCTTCCGCTAACTCTCCTTCATCATCACTCTTCCCTGTCGTTCCCGTCGTATCGTCATCTAACAGATTCGCTGGATCAGAAACAACATGTTCAGGTACTCGATATAGTGCACCTGAACTGTCATAACATCCTCTAACTGCCATATCTCCATCAGGTAGCGTGATTTCTGCCGCATTTAAAATCATTTGCGCAGTCCCTAACCCTCCATCTTCTTCCCCAGCCCCCCCACCTTTCCACATTACTTCCAATGCAGCTTTTATGGCTTGCCATATTTCAGGTCTACCCGAAACACGAGTGTCAAAGAATTCTGCTCGTGCTCGATCAATTTCTCGCCGTGTCCATAGTTTACTTCCACTCATCCATAGGTGAGGTCGAAGGGGTTTGTTTATATGTTCATCGAGACGCACACGATGGCGATGCCGTGGAGGATTGCTAGTAGTGGAGGCATTGGTTGATGGTCTAGCTGGTCCTGATCGTGATTGAGGTCGCGATGAGGATGCGATTGCTTGGGAAGAGGATGCACCAGCTCCTGCGGAGTATTCAGTGCGGGGACGAGAGAAACAACAACCCTAAGTGAAAGATTCAGGTCAGTTTTTGAAGTGTGGCGCAACAGAGTCATACCTAGGATACCAAAGGTATATTTAATAGACTGTAAAGAGAAGTACATACCATGGCGCATCATATGCTAATCAAGTTGCAAGGTGCACGCACGTACTAATCAAGTAACTGTGTAGAATTATGTATAAATAATGAAGAAGGTGTATGAAGGTTTGAGGGTATTCCAAAAAAGAAGATGGGATACAATCAGATTACCACCGCCTGATGAATCATGAAACGGAAATTATCATTAATGTGGATGAACGAATGGGTGTACGATAAAGTATAAGAGATAGTAAGAGAGAAAGTTTAGATTATTCCATGATTGAGTACTCAGAACTTGACGACTGCATATAATTAAATTTTTGTACTTGGACGAAGTTTGTTGGAGGAGAGTACAAACACAAAGATATGGAAGGTGGAGGGATGACCTGATGTTCAAGTTGGAGTTGGAGGGAGATGAAAGTTTGTAATAAGTTGGAGAAAGTCTGGTAAGGGCTAGATGCGGAATGACAAGGATATGAATGGATAATAATTTTTGAAAGGGATTTCTGAGTCCGTGCAAGTAGAGATAGAAAGCTTAAAGCGCAAAACTTGGAGAATCAATCAATTTGAATATGATCTTCATGATATGCAAACAGGAGGATGAAGTATGTGAAGTATGTGAAGTATGTGAAGTATATGAAGTATATGAAGTATCTAGATACAACTAGAGACCATATATTATGTAAGACTGCCTATTTTTATACACTTTATATAAGAAGGAGTTCTGAGCATACCTGACCTTGTACAAAGGAGAGCCTTATCACAAACTTGAAGAATCACTCACTCATTTGATCTCCTCTCCTCTCATCTCATGCAAACAGTACTCAGGCACGGAAACAGCTGGGGGTAATTAATGAGTGTGTCATTCGAGCAAAACCGTTGGACATTTAGATAAGTTACTTGAAATTTCAAGCGCCAAGCCAATTTCCTTACTACAACACATCAGCGATACACAATACAGCTGCTCAGGTTACAGCAGGACCAACAAACATCAAACTTCCCTCTATCTAGACGAAACGGCATGCTTCATTTTAGCCGGTACCTAACCGGTACGTACCCCTCCCGTTCTTGAAATTTCATGCAGAGATATCACGATTTGGTCATAATAGGACTTTCAGGTATTAAATGAGCAAGTCTATGTGTTTGGAGACGGGAGGTATCATGTTTATCAATTAATGGTGTTCAACTGATTCCTCTCAATCTAACCAGCTAATTGTAAGCCGTATAAAAAATAAACGAATCAAAAAGGTATCTCAATACACTCGCAAGGGTGCTTGATATGCTCATGCCTTTACAAATATTGAACGAAGCTTACCTAAAACGCAATATTTCAACAATCCCACTAACCCAAAAACAGTCTAAAGCACACTCAATCAATCAGACCCCACAATAATTTATCAGCCTTTCCACTCCAAAAATTAATCCATCCATCCATCCATCCATCTATCTGTATCGCTCTTTATAACAAAATCTTCCCACCACCACATCCTCCCACCACCACATCCTCCCACCACCACCACCACAAACAAACCAAACAAACCCACCACCCAAAATGTCCGACGACTACCAAGTACCCACCTCAGTGCCCTCCACAAATGCCACCCAAGCCCCAAATCCATACAGCGCATCCGGGATCCTAGGTGATGGTCCCGCCATCAAATATCTCTGCGGCGATTGCAACGCGAGTGTTATGTTGAAGAGAGGTGATCCTATTAGATGTAAGGAGTGTGGTCATCGAGTTTTGTACAAGGAGAGGACTTCTAGGTATGTGTGATTTTGCTTCTGGGGTGGGAGTCTTGAGAGGCTTTTTGGGGGAGTTGCTGATTTTGGGTAGGATGGTGCAGTTTGAGGCGAGATGATTGGGTTTAGTGGGTGGACTATATGTTGGGTTAGAGGAAGATACTTCCGGGCTGGTATATGGAGGGACGTAGAGATATGGAGGGGGATTGCGAAATGAGGGGATTACGAAATGAGGGGATCGGGAAACGAAGAGATCTAGGAGACGATTGGGAAATGTTGATACGATTTTTGATAAGGTGGTAATGGGTACGGTACGAGACATATCTCGAGGCGCATCGGAATAAAAAGATTGTCACTACTCAATTGCCGGCGTATGATAGAGGGCCAGGGCAGAAATATAGTGTATATTGAAATACATTTGTTTTACTAAAGTTATATTTTGGTATCAAAATGCGCCACTAATGCTATACCCCCTAGGCCTAAAACTCCTTTGTCCATATCCCAAATTTGGCCCTTGTTACATTTTTATTGCATGTTCTTCATCTGACTTGCCCTGATATATCGAGTAAAGCTGTGATCATCCGCATTAGAGGGGCCGCCTCCATCTGCCAATGCTGCCTTGTACCTTGAACTTAACCCTTCAACATTATCTCCACCATCCTCATCATCATCTCCACCGGCTCCTATGTCATCATCAGAGTCTTCCATATCACTTAGCGTATCCAAATCGGTAGAGAGTTTGGCGTTTGGCGGACCCTTAGCCTTAGATGAAGGTTCTCCCGAAACCGAAATATCCTTCATCAATTTGCCCAGCTCCTTTTCCCGAATTTCTTCTTTCTCTGCATCTCTCTGCTTTCTTCGTCGTTCCAATTCTGGCTTATAATCTCTTTCGAACTCCTCGGCCTTTTCTGACACAGCCTCAAAAAACTCATCGATACCGGCACCAGTCATGGAACTGACACCCACCACACTCAAATGGCTGTAAAACTCTTCTAACATCAAACTCATGCTATTGAGTAATGATCCCATATACCCGCTACCACCACCTAATCCACCAGCACCTCCTTCTAGACCACCAAAACTTCCTGCATCCTCCTCTTCTCTAAGAGCAGCCTGGAAAGATTCAAAATCCGTCATCCATTCCTTGGCGAATTCGGCGTCCTTAACATCCGTCTTGTTGAATACCAAAATCATTGGTAATTTTGTCTTATATAAAATACTGCAAGCATACAGCATGTTACTCATAAAAGTACTAGTAGAAGATGTTCTTGGTGTATCAATGATATATGCGATAACTGTAGGAAAAGTTGAGGCCAAAGAATCCAATAAAATGCTTCCTGAAGCACTCCAAACGAAAACCTCAATTTGACCAGGCGTATCGACCAAAATATGTTTGATAGGAGTCGCATTTGGCTTCTCAGGATCGGGAGTAGTGCGCTTTTCGAGTACAGTTAATATCTGGTCGATTTTTGTGGCGAAGAGATTTAGTGATGTGAGAATTCCTCCGTTTGGTCCGAGGTTGTAACTTTTCATCACTTCTTGATAGTTGACTGAGTCGCGGATATCGATGTTACTTTCGAATGGTACGTTTCGTACAGCGGGATCGAGATTGAGAACATATGGGGCTCTTTTGCCATGTAAATGGGAGTTTATTCGTTGCATAAAGGTAGTTTTGCCAGAACCTGTCGAAGGTCAATTCATGGTCGCATTCATCAAATAAAATTTTGGAGAAACTCACCGGCCATTCCTACACATACAATAGAAACAGGCTTAGCAGCCTGTGGTTTCTTAGAATCTGCCATATCGTAGGTATTGTAAACTGACTTCAAAAGGCTTGAGTTGTAGGTATAAGATGTAAATGGAGGAATTTGGCGGGGCGAGGTGCGATGTCTTTCAAATAAATTTCATATCTAGCTAAAGTAAATACTGTATCGGCTTCTCGCTACCGGAAGACCAGGCACTTGGGGTGACCGAATATTAAAAACATCAAATCGCATCACATTTATAAACTTTACAACAATGGACGGTTTGGATGAATTCGAGAAAAGTTTGGCGGCGGAAAAGGCAGAGAGGGAGAAGAGTGAAAGAAGTTCGCGCAAAGATAAGGATCGGAAGCATCGACATCATCATAGATCACGGCATCACAGGTCTAAGGAGGACGATGATGAAGACAGAGACGATCACCGACATAAAAGATCAAGACATTCCCGACACAACGATGAAGAAGATGATGATGGAAGGAAGCGCAAACATGAAAAGTTATCGGATCCCAAGGAAGATCTACCAATTCCAGATGAAGAGGAAGCAGAAGTTCGACCAAAAGTTATTCGCGATTCTTGGATGACGGACCCTTCAGCTTTCGAATTCGATTATACCCAAAAAGGATCTAGGAAGCACACAGAGCCAAAAGTTGCACCTAGGCCAGATTACGATTTGAAGATTCATAAGAAGGAACTTAATCACTATTTACAGGATTTAAATGAAGGAGTCAAAAAGCTGGATGATATCGAGGCAGGACATGAAGTTGATTACACATTTGGAGATTCAGGAGCTCAATGGCGAATGACGAAATTAAAGGCAGTGTATACCCAGGCGGAACAAAGTGGGAAGCCCATCGACGAGGTAGCTATAGCACGGTTTGGAGGTTTACGTGAGTTTGATGATGCGCGAGAAGAACAAATTGAGCTTGACCGTCGAAGATTATATGGGAAAGGTTATGTGGGAAAAGAGAAGCCAAGCGGAGAGTTGTTTCAGGAGAGAAAGTTGGATTTAGGTATTAGGAGAGGTTCGATACCACAGCAGGATGAGCCAGCAGAGTTACCGCAGGGGAAGATTATGGAAGAAACAAGCGCACCTCCCACTCAACTCGATGCCACGGCCCTGAATCGATTAAAGGCTCAGATGATGAAAGCAAAGCTCAAGAAGTCACCCGATGCTGCGAGACTCGAGGCAGAGTATAACGCTGCAGCTTCCGCCGGATTAGCAACTACTTCAGAACCTGGTGTTGTAGTATTGGGCAAGATGGATAATAGAATGTTAGCTGGAACTCGTGGAGAAGTGAAGTCAATTGACAACAAGAGGGGTCGCGAAAGAGGTCTTGTGGAAGAGAATGAAGATATGACTATTGAAGATATGGTGCGTGAAGAACGACGCACGAAAGGGCAAGCTGGTGGTGATGGTATGCGTGCTGCTGAACGCATTGCTAAAGATGCTAAATTCGACAATGACCTCGATTACATGGACGACAACGCAAATAAGCTTGCAAAACGTGTACAAAAGTCCGAAATCAACTTGAGGAATACAGCCATAGGAGATTTCCAAAAGATGAATCGCATTCTGGACTCCTGCCAATTGTGTCACCACGAAGACAAGAATCAACCTCCCGTTGCGCCAATCGTTTCTCTAGCTACACGAGTTTATCTTACGCTCCCGACCGAGCCGGAATTGAGTGATGGCGGAGCAGTAATTGTACCCATTCAGCACCGGACAAACCTCCTCGAATGCGATGACGATGAATGGGAGGAGATTAGAAATTTCATGAAATGTCTAACACGCATGTACCATGATCAAGGACGAGATGTAGTATTTTACGAAAATGCCGCAACACCACACCGAAAGATGCACGCGGCCATGCAAGCGGTACCACTGCCCTATAGCCTAGGAGAAACTGCTCCAGCCTTCTTCAAAGAAGCCATCCTCTCTTCGGATGAAGAATGGACACAGCATAAGAAACTCATCGACACAGCAGCACGCGCACGAGACGGTCTTGGGAAACTAGCCTTTCGCCGTTCCATCGCTAAGGAAATGCCCTATTTTCACGCTTGGTTTGACCTGGATGGTGGCTTGGGACATATAGTAGAAGATGCTAATCGTTGGCCCCGGGGAGATCTTTTCGCGAGGGAAATCATCGGGGGTATGTTGGATATTGAGCCTGATGTTATTAAACGACAGGGTCGATGGAGTCGAGGAGGTGATAAAAGATTAGAGGGTTTTAGGAATCGTTGGAAGAAATTCGATTGGACGAAAGTTCTTACGGATGAGTGAGTGAGTGGGTGAGCGGGTGAGTAAGCTCAGAATTAAATTTACGAACAAATGTATCATATTCTATCTTATCATATCGTGTTATATTATGTTATATTATACAATACCCGTCTAAAGCATTCACAAGATACATCCTGTACATACACAACACTCAAATCCAAAAATCAAACCCCAGTCATATCATATCATATCATATCACATCACACAAAAACAGATCGAATTATAACAACTTATCTCCCATCTTCCTCCCCTCATATCAATCCCCAGGATACACCGGCCCGTCTCCCGTCTTCCGCTCCTCAACTAATTTTCTGCTTTTTGCTCTTTGTCAGTTTTTTGAGGGTGTTTGATGTTTGCTGTTTGCTGTTTGCTGTTTGCTGTTTGCTGTTTGTTGAATATATATTTATATATATACTATTTAGAGATATAGATAGATAGGTATATATATAAATAAATGAAATGAGTTATACGGGTAATAGGATTATACGTAGTGTGTAGATGGTAATCTTATATAGATAGATAGACAAGTCAATAGATAAATAGGTATATATAATGTCGGTTTAGATCGGTTGTACTGTATAATCCTCCATCTCTATATACAATACCCATCTGTTTGCTATATATACCAAGAACAACATAAGTTACAAAAAGCCTCAGACAAAAAAATCAAACACAAGATTGCATCTCTTCAAGCTGCAATCCATATCCGTATGCATATACATATATTTTCAAGCTCGGAAAACTGTCTTGATGACATGTGGATAAATGGTAAGTCTTGCCTAGTAGTTACCTTGGCTAGCAATGATGGCAATTGATGCTAAGGTTACACATACGCGCGATATCGGTGTTTGTTATTGGGTATATTCTATACTATACCTAGATATATATATACCTATATACCTATATTTTTGTGTATGAGTGTAGCACGGCAAGGGGATGATCTCACAAGATGTATGCGGATAGCCTGCCATTGCGTGGAAGGACTCTAGAAGATGGATTGTTGAGGTTTGTGTATGTATGTATGTATGTATGTATGTATGTGTATGTATCTTACCTTCTGATGATGATTATAGTAATTAGAACTAAGAGGTACTGGAAGTACAGCATTTTTGGACGGTTTTTGTACGCCGTCTCAAGTTTTGGCCGTTTGGGATAGGGTCCGGTAGGTATGGCATCGACGAGTACAGCATGGCTGTGACAGTTTTCGTACTCTGTTGCATTTTTTATGGCGATACTTCCGAGGGTAAAGTAGAGAGCCAAATTCGGGCGAATTAGTATTATTTTCGGGCTTTCATTCTGGAGCTTTGGTGATGAAGCTGCGAAAGAAGTCTAACAGTGTTGTAGTAGATGAATGAATGTATTCATCCTTACATCTTATCCACACCCTGGATCCTAGAATTGAAGTTCCACAACGTATTCTTTCACTTCAGCCTTTCAACTCTTAATATACCATGCACACACTCGGTCACATCCGGTAAAAAGAGAGGTAGAACCGAAGCAAGCAACTTGAGCAAGCAAGCCAGCATCATGCTTCGATTTAGGTAGGGCAGGTGCAGGTACCCATATATCCCGTTTCGAATATTTGCTGAAACGGATTGTATTAGAATTCTTGTATCCTCCTTGCTCATGTGAATACTGCAAAAATACTTTTTCGGTACATGGCAAAAGCTTGGCTCCAAAATAGGATGTCACCGTAGAAGAATGGACTGAAGATCTCACTACAATCGTTTGATTCCGAATGGATTTATCCTGTGTTATAATGAACCACGAGGCTGAGGGGTTGCGGGAGATGGCATGCATCGATTGTACGCTTGCTGTGCGTTAGACCTCCTTTTTGCTCAAATTCCGTGTACGAGATCTAAGATTAGAGTTTTGATGTGATGGGGATAATAATGCGGAGACGAAATTGAAAATTGGGTCGCGTTCAAGCTTTCTTCTTGTACGGCGTGCTCTGTAGTCTTCTAATGATTCAATTAGGTCGAAAAACTGCAGGTAATGATTAGCTAGACAAGTTGATGAGAATATGAAAATATCCTTGTATTTTATCCTATAAGGTTACTCTATGCGGTTCTCAGCCGGTCAAGGTGGTTTGTTTCGACGTTGCAGTGGCTTCAAGGTTATCTACTTAGGCTATCCAATTAGATCTTGTGAGGAGCAGTGAGGAGTAAAAACAAGGTAATTCTTTCCCCGTGTATGGAACTGGAGATCCTTCTTCCTTGCCCTCATAAAAGGGCTGTTGGTTGGTGTGGTGTAGATGTTCTGACATATTTTTGAAAGATGTGTCTGACATTACCAATATCATAGGGGATGAGTCTGAGTTCATCGAGAACGAGTAACTGATGATGAAACCCAGTATCCTCTCCTACCTTCATTGTCTATTCTCAAAGCCATGGAGGAGTAGGTAAGAGAGTGTGACTTTGAATGCAGCCATATCTCATAGGTGGAAAGGATACTACTGCCAATTTAGAATACAGCCCAACCAGCTCGCGCGTGCTACCTCTTTCGCTGCAGTCGGTTTATTGCGAAGCCCGCGAAGGTCCCAATATGCATCGAATGTTCCATAATTGTTCCATCGCTTGTTTTTAGTTAAGCCGTACCGCAATTAGATGAAATAAACGGTCATCACCCGAGTGAAGGGATCATTCAAGTGGCTGTTTCTTCGACAGGGGATCTTTATGTGTTGTGTCGTGCATGAATGGAAAAGGCGAGTTGCGTACAGTCATGTTAGTTGAAGTAAGGTAAAGTAGGAAGAAGTAAGAAGTAAGATGCGGTAGGAAATGATGATGACGAAAAGCATTTCTTGTTTTAATGGTTGGAGTTTATGAATGAATGAATTTGAAAAGGAGAATAGCCTTACTAACTTATTTATTGATGGAATAATTAAGCTGGGCGGTAGAGTAGGTGTACGTAGATACGAAGCTTAGGTAGGTGCATTTGGAAGCTGTAACTTGTGAGTAAACTTAGAACTAATAAGGTTCCCTCGAACCAGACCAGTGATTGATCGATCTTGAAGATAAATACTCTATTTGCATATAATACCTGCTAGCCTTGAACAAATGGATAATATACTTAAACTACTACCTACCTAGGTACAGAGCAGAGTGAGTAGGTAATATTTATTCGGTTATGCTTATTATGTTTATGATGATGAGTAGAAAGTAGAACTACTCACCTACTAGACTTACTCATCAGCATACTCCGCATATGAAAGTACGGAGAAGAGGAATCGAATGATCGAGTGAATTCATAATTATTTGATGCCTCGAAAATCGGGCAAATATTTTAATCTACCTATTTACTCGCTGCAAATTCAAAAACCTTTTAGAAACCAAGGACTTGCAGCTGCAACTTCTTATTCCGACCGGATCTACCTCTTTACCTTTATTTACCTACCTTGTTACCTTGTTACCTTATTATCGTTTTACCTTTTTACCTTTTTACCTTTTAACCTTTTATCTTACTCGGATTCTCTTATTAACTTTCCTTTACCAAACTTTTTCTCTCCCTTGAGAAATCTCGTCTTATTATATCTGGACCACATACGAGTTACCCAGCCTTCTTAGCCTTTCCCTAAGGTACAATCTAATCTACAAATCATATTAAATTTTGGCTCCCTTTCAAAATCCATCCCGATTTCTTTTCTCCACAACAAAACAAAACCTTCCACTTTTCTAAACTCTACCTTACCTTTCCACACTTTCTATCTTCTCCCAAAGATTAACGATTAACTCGCTTTCTGCCCGGTACAGCTCGCTTTTCGTTCCGTAAACGAGTTTCGCTAGGAACTCCTTAAGTTTTATACGGCAAGCCGAGGATATATCAAATCATTAATTGCAGATCGATTGAATTTGGAAAAGACTTGAATATTTCCAATTCAATTAAAATTCGTCGTGTTCCCTTTAACGTGGTTGATTTAGATGAGGTTTCAGAAAAAAAAAACACACATCAAATAATCAACACCGCGCGACCGTGTCATAATCCAAAATATGGCACAGCAACACAACAATAGGAATAGTCCGCATCTGAATCATTTGCAACACAACGGCTCAGCGCCCTCTTCTCCATCGATGTCTGGTTCGCAACAGGGTAATCAACAGCGGCAGCCAGTTAATTATCCCAGTCCGACTTCATACCCATCACCTTCTTTGTCGACTTCGCAATATAATTATCCGCCACCAGGTAATCAGAACGAGCCGTATCGCGCGAGTCCGACCGGAAGCAACGGCTCATTATCTCTTCCAAGTATGCGTTCCTTAGATCCTCTTCAGCAGCAGCAGCAGCAACAGCAGCAGCAAGCCGCACAACATCAGCATATGGGTTCACCTTTACCTCCACCTGTTGCTCAAATGGGCGGACCTTATTATCAAAACCAACTCCCTCATCCGTCACATCAACACCAATACCCAAATGTCACATCTGATCCCAACATGCGATACGCGCTTCCAGTAGATTCTCGAGTCATGAGTGGAGGTCGACATAAAAAGGTATGTAATATCGTAAATCATCGTTATTATCGATTTAATCGTGTCATCGCGTCATTCGAGTATCGCGTCTTGCTAACGAAATATTATTTCCATCAGGAGATCAAGCGTAGGACCAAGACGGGTTGTTTGACCTGCAGAAAGAGAAGAATTAAGGTCAGTTCTTGATGTTTTAAATTCGTCGCATTATCGAAAGAATGGATGGAAGTTGAGGTTAAGTTTCTTCGCGATGGCAATCTTTTCGTCTATATGCAAGCGAATCACCTAAGTAGGCGAAGGCACATGAGCGAGCGAGACGAGCGACCTTGATACCGGGACCCACGAGTAGAGCGAGATTATCAATTTTCACCATTGTTTTCGTTGGCAGATCAATAAAAAATCATCATTGTCGTGACCATCATCGTCATCACTATCCTTTTGAAAATTCTGCTAACCTTACTCATCAGTGCGACGAACAACACCCTGCCTGCCGAAATTGCCAAAAGTCAAAACGTGAATGTTTAGGTTACGATCCCATCTTCAAGCAACAACCAGGCCCTGCTCCCATACAACCAGCACCTAGCTCTGCACCTTCGCAAGCTTCATCGCTCGCGACCGCGAATCCTTACGGGAACCAACCGCAGATGCTGCAGACTGGTTACGGTGTCCCAGCTACAATGTCATATGATCCTGCCCTTACTGCACCAAGTGCCGCTCAACATTATGACTATTCGTCTGCAATTGATCCGAATTTGGAGGCATCTGCTCCAATTCCGGTCATCAACCCTTTTCACTCTACTCCACCAGGTATGCTCAACCTCCGCCTCCACCAAAAAAACATGCAAAGTGCAACCCCATATCCCTTTAAAGTATCCGATATTACCCACCTCAGAGGTGGCGCTGGTTCCCCCCCTTCCCCTCCAGCTACATCTTATGCGGACGAAGCGGCTGACACGACTTTTCTTCCAGCTCAACGATCCATCGATGACCTTTTAGCATTCGGTAACCCCCCTGCACCAGTCGACAGCCAAGCTCCCGATGTTTCACAATCCCCGTCGGCACTCGAAGAAGCAAAGCACCTATACTATAGCATTTATTCTCCAGGTCTAGAGAGTTTCCTCGAATCAAAGTGGTTCAGTGCCAAAGGTGCTGCAAAACTCATGAGCGATAAGCCATTACTCGAAAAATTTGGAACACTTCTCCTACAGTTCTCGAAGACGATTGTGACTGACCCTGTCGCAATAGCACACACTGCAAGTGTTGAAGCAAAAGTTGTTTGGGCTCTGGCCTGTATGGTCAAGCTTGGTGCCGAGGAAGAGAAAGAAGCCAGGGCAGAATCCAAGAGTGTGCTCCCTGCCCAAGATGATGCAGTTGAGGCCAATCACCGTTTGACGGTTTTTGAATGTCTCTTGACAGGTAAAGTTGCTGAAAGTAATCAGCTCACTGCTCCTGTCCAAGGAAGTGGAGATCACCACAGATTGAGAGAATTGGAATTCTGGTACTCATTAGCAAACTTCGTATGCCTTCGAGAAGACGACCCAAATTGTGCTAAGGATGTTGACGATACTCTTGCTACCTTGAGAAATCTCTTGGATGGCCGGGAGAATCGAGATGTCTTGTACTCAATCGCCATCATTCGAGCTATTGGACAACGTGTTTCCGAATATACACCAAGCGACACACCACTTCACTTTGATGAAAGTGATAATCGCAGTAAGCTTCTCGTTGCAAAGAAGTTCGTCCAGGATGAGGCAAGTGGTTCAGGAACAACAAATGTTATTAGAAGATTGTGTGAGCTTGCTACACGCACATGGACAACTCCAGCACCTCTTGTACCTATTCCAAAATAATTCGACACGCCTCATCTTCACAAACTTATTCAACGAATTTACTTTCTCTGACTTTTCTGGCTTTTCTGGCGTCTCAGAAGCATTGCTGTTATTTTTGCAATTGATATCAAATGCATCAAAAGTGGATGGACAGGTTTTATTTCCCATTATTTTGCGAAAGTTTTCAATGCTAGCCTTTTCTCTTAACTTTTTTTTGGCAGGCTGGCAACACATTTGAAGATTTGTGGTATCAAAAACAAAATATCCATCAAGGGTTTGGTTGGAGATTTTTCAAAAAGATCGATTGCTACAACGAAGTAGTCGAAACTGCTTGGTGGTTACCTCCATGCATGCATGTAATCTTAGGAACAATGGGTGAACTGGGATGGACTTTGCAAGATTGTATTTCTTTTTTTTTTCCATATAACTTTGACATCTCTGATCTCCCTTCTTTGCTTGCTGATATCTCGCAATAACCAATGATTTCATTCTATTATGAACAGGATAAATAAAAAGTAGATAGAGATTAGGAGGGATGGATGATTAGGTGTGGTTATGATATAGGTCTAGGTTGAGTTCATCAGTGAACTGGACAAAAACAATGGATTTGTACAGCTTGAAAGGAAAAGAAGACAAGAGAAGAGAAGAGAGAAAGAAGACAGTGAGCTAGCTTCATTATGTTATGTTATTTTATGTGATGTGGTGCGATGCGATGTGATGGAGCTACTGGTCTTTTAGTCTATTAGTCTACTATCTTGCATTTGCTTCTTTATCGTCGAGATTCGAGATGGCAATCACTGGCTGAATATTATATGAAGAATTGAAGAATACTTTTTTATATATTGTTAGTACGTGGTTTTATGGTTTTGATTTTGGTGCTGAATGTATAATGTCTGATGTGTGATGTGTGATTCTTTTTCTTCCTTATTTTGGCTTTTATTAGATGGGTATGAAATGTGATGTGAGGTTAGATATGGGTATCATTAGCTTTTTGTAATTTATTAGGTTGTAGGTAGTAGATAGGTAAATATCCATCTAATGTTCCACAGCATGATATCGATATTTATTCATTCTTTCATCTGTTTATTTCTTTCATTTCTTACCTACTCACAGATTGACTATGGCAGGCTTTATAAAGGTAGTATTGATCGGCGCGAACCTCTCTTTGAGTTGTAGTTTTATTGTAACTTAGATTTAAAAAAATATATTTAAAAAATATAAAGTATAGATTACTTTTAGATGGGTAGGTAGGTATTTTTGTCTTTGCTTTCGCTTTTGAGGGGGTTTTTGGTGTGGGGTTGGGTAGAGGGTAGATAGGTATGTATATGTATGTGTATGTGTATGTGTATATGTATATGTATATGTGTATGTATATTTGAACTATTAGTAGGTAGTTAGGTACTGGAAGTACTAGGTAAGTAAGGTAGTAAGTAAGTATACGGAACACAAAAAGGGCCGAGAATCGACCTTAACTTTCTTCCTTTCTTTTTTTTTCTTTAGGCAAATGTGGTGAAATCCGGGGAGATACAATGGGAGATGGAGATGGGAGATGTCATGTCACGGAGCTTGAGTGAGAGGGACATCTGTGGGGGAATGAGGGGTAAAGCAAGAAAACTGTATGTCTCTATTATATTGTATTTTGTTGTGTGATTTTTTATAGATTATATATGTATGTACCTATGTAGTAGATCTCCTCGCCTCCCTTGCTTCTCCTTGCGTTCGATGTTCGTGGCTATTAAGGTTACACTTTACACTATCCTTTGGTCTTGATCTAGATTCGAGATACTGTTTGTTTGTACATGTTTGAAACTGCCAGCCAGAGGAAGAGTCCATGTATAATTGTTATTATAATTATAATGATGATTTGTAGTTGTGAGGATAAGGCGTAGGTCAGAGGAAGGTGATACATAGCACGGTAAAGTAAGTAATGCTGTGGTTTATCTTCATCATTATTATTAGCATCACAAGAAATGTGAATAAATCACTCTGTATTATAGATAACTATTTATATATAAAATATTTATTCCTTCTACCAAGAAATGCTTGAAGTACTAGTGGCTAACGATGTTGCGATTTACTATGGCATTATCTTTTTATAAAATAAAAAAACTTTCCAATTTCAAAGAGATGGGAGAGGCAGTACGAAGGATATTTACTCATTCTCCCTGACTCCAACAATTGGACTTGCTCATAAATGAAAGTTCTGCTTTTATGAGAAGGCAAGACAAGGTAAGCAGTAGATTCCTCACAAGTCATGATGATAAAAGTGTGGGATCTTCCCAGGTATCCCACATCACAGAAATCCCCCTGTTGAATTCTGCTAGCATAATGCGTGCAGCAGAAGTTTCGAGAAAAAAAACGACCTTTGAAAAGTGAGCTTCTTGTGTCCACGAAATGGAGATGTTCACTATATGTTCCAATCTACGAATTATCGTTATGGTTGGTTCCACGTTACGAGACAGAAGCTGCTAAAGACCAGATGTGTTTATTGGTGAAGATTCAGTGAGCTATACGAGATTTTGAGGAGTGTTGAAAATACGGGAAGATACTAGGTATAGGTAATCTTATAATTTGCATAGGGAAAGGACAGGTAAGGTTTTGTGATAGATGTGCTTTTCTGATATTGTGGAATGACAAGTAAAAGGCCACGATAATGGCGATGAAGAAAAGCACCCGGTTACAGACATTCTCCAGCTTTTTTGACAGATAGATTCCATGCACACCATTATGATTTCTCATAAAGGTTGAAGCTCGAGGAGGTCCCCACTGGATGTATGCAGCACAAGGTAGGGAGTAGAATTCGAGATGGTTAAAGGAAATGTGAAAGTGGAAAAGAAAATGAGAAAGGAATGTGGTACATCAGATAAGCAAAGGCCTCTGGACATGCCGCCGATAATCTTTGCTATAAACTTAGAAGTAACCGCCTACGTGTGCTTGATTACGAAGTCACTCAGCTTCTGGGCTTTTACCGCCTCTTGGCAAGTTAAAGTCAAGTTGCTCGGCTGGCTTTATTTCCCGCATCTCCTGCAGGCTCATCTTTGTTCGAAATACCCCGCCGTGGAGATTGATAAATCTGTTGAGTGGTCTTCAAATATGAAACTAATTCAAAGAAGATAATCAAGTGCTGTGCTACCACTAGATGAACACAAGATCGCTCCTTAGTTCAGTCGATCTGGGAGGGAAAATGTCATGATTGTGGACGCACAGGCGGCCTTTGAGTGTATGATCGGGGATTTTCACGTGTTAGGACAAGTCAGGAGATAGTAATGTTCTAAAAATCTTTTGTATTATATCTATCTATAACTTCCACTGCCCCAACTTAAAATTAAATTCGATCTCGAGTTTCAAAGTATCTATGCAAGTTAGCTTCATGTTCTAACTATCGTTTATAGAAGGTTGAAAATGAATAACATGAGTACTATCTCAGTTCTCCAAGGTGAAATATGTGTTTCGTCAAAGGTTGACTCGGAAAGAACACAGCGAATATTTGGGTTCATCAGAGCAAAGAGTGTGGACAGGTACGTGAAAAGAAGTAGCTTACATTTTTACATAACTTTATCAGCAGCTTCAGAATAATGGATGGTCTATGTTCGAGATGATATTGTCAGCAAATGTCATCTGTAGTCGAACATCATTTCGATGGAATCAAAATGTAAGGAACCACAAGGCAAATGTCAGGCTAGAGTATTGTTAGCATTGGTCTTCTACGTTATGCGAGAGCAAAGCATACCTCATTAAATCAGATTTTTATAGTGCGTTCAGTAGCGGACATAGTCCACTTCAAACAGTGTGAATAAGTTTCATCATTTCAATGCAATGGCCCTTTGTAACAATCGAAGAGAAAATTGCAATATTTACCTAGAAGAAAGGTATGTTAGCATCAATGTTTCCATTTCGAGCGGCATATCAAAATGATCAAGAAGCAATTGAGCATTAGATCAGCTGACGAGTTCTCAACAAGCACTTCCTAACCGTCTATCCCTCACAAGGTTTGTACGCCTTGCTTGATGAGAGACAGGAGCAGGAGTGCGCAGTCTGTCCGCCCGTTCGTTCAAAGTTCGTCATGTAATGCAAGTGAATTGATTGTAAGAGGAAGTGTATGTACCTGTTGCCAATTTGTGGTTAGCTTTGGCACAGAAAAGATGTTTCAATGATAAATAGTAATGGACGATGGGTCAGACAAGGCTGAAACTTAAATGCAAAGATTCGACAGTATAATTCGGATTGAGGAATGCCTTTCCAATGTGTTTTCATCATCACCCCCAACGGTGTATAAAAAAGAGAGAATAATGAGAATGTACGAACCTTTTGAACTAAAAACCGTGCGAATGGCGGAAGAATTAAAATAGCAATTGATCTGTCTGAGATGGAAGTTAGCTGTCTGCCTAACTGCATCGCATTCGAATTGAATGATAAAAATCAAGATTGCTCAGATAGAAAATACAAATCTCCATTGTGGTGTAAGAGTTGGATTGTTCAATATGTGTTTGTGTTCATCATTGAGGCAATTGTAGCTGACAGGGGGAAAAGACCTCTTACCATATAAAAGGAATTAAATCATCATAAAAACAGAAAACAAATTCATGAGAAAGTGAAGACAATGTTTGGTTGCGAATACTGAGTGGGAAGAAATAGGCAGAGGAAGAAAAGTTTTAAAGCTCGAGATCAAAAATTTATTTCGCGCTAATCACTAGCGCATATATGGCGCTACAACCGAAAATAGTTAGCTCCTAAGCCACGCAATGATTGGTGTGGCTGGGCAGTGGCGATAACATTCCCGATAAGATCCGTCTCGACTTCAAGGTGCGAACCAATTCCCATTTACAACAATCAAAGAGTGTAAATAACTTCACAAATCAGTATTCATCATGGCGTCGTCCGGAGGCATCTGGGCACCTGTAGCCGTGAGGATGCTAAAGTAAGCTACTCCCAAATTCAACTTTCTTCACGGGAAAACCCAATGTCCCCCTTGCCGTCAATGCAATATAGATTCTAACATCTATTACAGGAGTGTAGTTCAACGAACTACGAAACTCATTAAATTACGACTCAAAGATGTTACCAACAAACCTGTCACAGCAGAGCTTCAACCAATTTTCGTAAGAAGCTCACCTCGTCATCCCATTCATCCAGCGGCCCTCCTCCGTCAAAACAAGGGACGATGGTACACAACCCAAAGTGCTGTCAATTCCGCTGTACGTCGTTTTATGAGCACCAATGGACAAGCAATTAAATATGACCGTGCTTTATTCCCAAAATCAAACACCGCAACCGCTGTATCACGTCTCACAGCACGAGCTCCATTTGCCTCAACTCTCCGACCAAACTTAACTGGTGGAGCTCTCCCTAGAACAGCAGGAGGTTATACATTAGGAGGTGGAAGAGCAGGTGCTCGATACTTTTCCCATACACCTGCCGCCCCAGCACAAGTCATTAACAATGTCTCACAAGCTGTCCGAGCATTCTTCCTTTCTGGTCAAAAAGCTCAATTCGATGGTATGACTCCTATGGGCGAGAAACGCTATAGAGCGGTTTCTTCGCTTCAAGAGGAAACAGCCCGCAAGATTCAATCTGTTTCCAGAGTTACCCCAGGCTCCTATATCGATTTCTCTGTCAACCCAACTGTCACTGCTCTATCCCCTCTCGCCGCAGCTCTTCCCTTCGGAACTCAAAAAATGTCACAAGCTGCTCCATCTCTCAACACATCCGGCTTCCTCGACATTCTCTCCGTCGATTTCTCCCGTGCTCTAAAAGATCTCGCGGCAACAATGAACGACCTTAAAAAACTGTCCTCTCTTGGCGATCTTCCAATAACCCTTGAAAACAATCACATCCTGCGAGTCCGGTTTCCTGGTTGCGATGCCGAATCTGTAGAGCGCCTCTGCGATGAAGTCGGCGTGCAACGAGGAATCATATATCAAGATGCCGATTTCGATGACGCTGTTGGAACACAGATGGCTCTTCTATTCCCTTTCGCCCCTACCGAAGCAGCATCGCCCTCGTACCCTCAATCTCATTGTCTACAAACTAGTTCCCCTTCTCCCGACCAAGATGAATATGAAGATATTCTGGAAGAATTCTCGGAAAATCCCTGGATTGAAGATTATGGAACGATGGAAGAAGATATCAGCGAAAGCGGTTCGGCATATTTTACAAAGATCAGCGAACATCAATCTGTATCAGAGGAATATGAGGGTTTAGAAGGAATATACAAGTTCCTTGAAGAATGTGATGCAAGGAGGCCTTAGATTTGGGCCTTCTACTTATCTACTGGTGGCTTACTTGCCTATTTTCCTTTTGTCATATTGGGCCATTGATTTTTGTGGATGCGTTTTGAGCGTGAGCGTGAGCGTGAGTTGTGCAAAGATGGATGATGATCTACACTCACTCCTTAAACATTGAATTTGGGATTTAGGATTTCCTTACAGCTTTTATACCATTTTAAATTACATACAAAAAATTGATACCACGCGATGTTGATATATTACCATTCTGAATGATGAGCTAGCAGCTAGTATGATGCATTGGTAGCAATAGAGTAAGCTACAAATCAACGCGACGGAATGCAATTTAAGGGTATTTCCTAACGTATGCAAAAACAGCGATTTTGACCCCATACTCCAGCGTTAATTCTAGCAATTCCCTTTCGTGCACTCCTTATAAGCCATCATTTATTTCCTACCACACTGCCACTTCATTTAATCTACCTCCAGCCTATTCCCATTGTAATCGTAATTTTAATCTCCAAACCAATTCTCAAGTAAAAAGCATTAAGCACCTACAGGCTCCTCACCCAACGGGACACTCTCAATAGGAAGCGTCACTTGCTCGCCACTGACCCAAAATGTAGCCGCCTCGATGATGTGGCATACAACTTGTAGTTCCTCTCTATTCCTCGGTGCATATATCAGAACGAATTGATCGGGGACAACTCTTGGTGAGAGCCATGCAGATAGAGATTTTGGAAGATAGGACAGGAAATTCGAAATAGCTTTTGGTGTCGAGGCACCAGCCATCGGATGTCTTTCTCCCCAACCCTTTTCCAGGATAACTTTGGCATCGTGAGGATGTAGGTTCATGTGGAAACTATTGTCGCTGTGATGCACATGACAGATTTCTCCCTTGCAGGTGGCGTTGATGGGATCGAGGGCGAAGAGTGCAAGTCCTTTCTTTTCAAAACATGATACGTCTGTCTTGAGTTTGTCCGAGTGACGGTGTGCGAGGTTGTTGAGGCTGGTGCGGAGAAGTTGGTACATGGCTCGAGAACCATATTGGCTTATTTGTCTCTGGGGAGCGATACCGGCGACTTTGGGACGTGGACCACTGCGGATGGGAAGGTGGGGACGAGCGCGTTGAATGTAACCGATCGTGGGATGTGTATCATCAGAGGCATTTGGGGGGCTGTAGGGATCGGAAAGAGCGAATATGCGGAGATATGTGATTTTGACGTATCCAAGTAGAGTAGAGGGAGTTCCTCCTGGACCTAAGGATATGAAGTTGTGATAGTCGTTGTAGATGATCCATGGTATCGGTGCCAAGGCGATGAGGGTGCAGGTTAGGGATGGCTGGAAAAGATTGATGCTGATGATGATACCTAGGATGGTGAGGATGAGACCTGGTCCAGTAAGAGTGATCTGAATGATGTCTTGTTGTGTAAGACCCATTGGTATTTCTAGGACATCGTGTGTAGGATGATGTGCTCGGATGGCTACAGCGGCCTCGGTGGTTGTGGCAGAGCCATTCATGGTCTGAATATAATTAGTAAATACGTGGTAACCGTGAGGAAAGAACTAACCATAAAGTAAGTTCTAAGTTTTGGATAGAGTCTTAAAGACAGCAGCAGCAATGCTATGCGGAAGCAATAAAGTTGAGGAGATACGATCTAATAATCACGTGTGGAACAGCAGAAATGAGGTGGATGATCTTGTGGGTGACCTCGTGAGGATAGTTGGAATGAAGTTGACGATACGGGAGTTCGTGTTGACAATCGATGAGTAGGAGTTCGGAAGAAGATTCTTGGATATTTCAAGAGAAATGTGGAAGTGCTCAATGAAATTATCGAGCTGTTGATGGAGAGGATGTGTTTTTGATTCGAAGTGTTTTTGAGGATTGAAAGAATTTATTACTTTTTGATTTTGAAGTGGTGATAAGGTTCTTATTTAAAGGTTGGGATGTTCTGTTTGCTCATTATCAGGTCTTTCAAATGACCTATCAATCAACGTCGGACCGGCATCAACATTGCATTGCTTCCTGGTCTCCTGATCTTAGCCTTGGCTTGGGTTCGTTGCGGATTGTGACCTTCAACACTTTATGTAGAAGCTAATAAAAAAAGTATATTTGAGTTTTATGAAAATAAGAGGTTGATTATTAGGTACATGAAGGATAAAGGGGAGGAAAAAAATGGTTTGATAATTACAAGAATGTAAGGAGATATGAAGTGGATAGTGATAAGTGATAGTGAGAAGCACTTTCCCACTAGAGAGAGTTTGATTTAAACCTGAAAGCGTTGGGCAAAAGTATGAAAAGTATGAAAAGTATGAAAGTGTCTCGTAGATACATAGCATCAGAAATGCAGTTGCAGCGGTATGGAATGTATTGCAGTAGTGGCTACCAAGAAGAGCTGACGTTGAAAGATGGATTTATTTATTTACGGGCCCACATTGTCTTGGAGATAACTTCCTCAAGAGTCAAAACTAATGGAAAAGTACGCACCGGTACCTGTTTTGTTACAACGGTTTGTTTGCATTGATAGATGACTGTAATTGCAGATGCCAGAAGTATTGCCACGATCCCTAATTCAGATGAGCTCATTGATTAGAAAGAACATGCAATTGTTAATTCATTGATGCAATTCAATGCAATCCAATGCAATCCAATGGAACCCAACAAAATATTGATTCGTATGAAGTCAGAGAGAAAGTGTTGTTCCTGCATCAACATATTGAATTGACCGCCATCTGCCGTGATGCTTGTCACAAGCTTGTAACACAGACATGATTTGATTGGGACACCAAGATCATCATATCAGTTGACGTGGAACGGAGTTTCCTTACCTCATGCACTCTCTGAATGGTTGCTTCAATGTATGCCATGGGGGAACATTCGCCACAGCTCAGATAGAAACGCCTTTCTTCAAAGAGTTACTGAATCGCATCAGATGGAGCTGGAGATTTTAGTTAAGAAGGAAGCTAGCGAATACAATGAGCGGTTCTACATTCGGGTAGTTTCGCTTATCATTATCCATTTACAGTAGTATATTCAATAGGCAATAAATGACAACTGAATCTTAATATCAGATCAACAAGTCAACTTGGGAAATATATCATTATTTAGCGTCTACTTATGCTAGCTGTTCCTAGCACTATCCTCGGCTTCGATCACCGAACTAATCGAGAATAACGTTTTCGATTTTTACACTAATTTATTTACCCCGGATATGTGTGGCTATTCATGGCTTGGAGATTTTCCGAGGGCTCAGGTTCTGGTAAATCAGCTGAGCAAATCCCAAGATATTGAATGCGCTTATGCACGGCTTGCATGACTCAATATGGAAGATTTAATGTTGGTATGCCTAGCCAGTGGGAATAATGGAACCATCCTCCCGGTTTCACTTGGAGTTTTCTCAATACAAAGTGTTTTGGACCCTGAATTTTTAGAGTCAGGTGGATATATCTGCATGCTTCTTCCTTCAGACCGGTATCGATAAGGTGCTTGGAATTTAGAACCCGGGATGACTGGCTAAGTTGGATTATAGGGGTAGCGAAAAAGACCTCCATACGGCCTTCCCCCTCAATATCGATTTACTAAAAGTTGGGACTAGATTGATGTGGGGAATGCTAAAAAAGTCAAAATGCACACCCATGACCCCAAAAGAGCTTTTGGAAGATAGATAAAACTCCACGTCTCAGCTGCCATCCTCAAATTCAACATTATCATTCAAGTTGAAGGTATATACAGTGGCAGCAGCATCGTACCGCCATTTTGATATTACCGAGTATTCCACGTCGCACAACATTGAATCCAATATAAAATTACGGAGAACAGATGGACACGTCAGAAGGAATGATCACTTCATATACGATAAATTGTACGAGCTTATCGGCATGCTTGCTTCTAGACGCTTTTTGTTTCTTCTCTAGCAGTAATGCGGAGTAGGTTCCCATTCGATGGAGAGATGACTGAGACAGAGACAGTGACAGGCTTGGAATCCAAAAAGAAAAGCGTCTGGAAGAAGCTTCCACCATCGGCTCCATCTTTAGTTTGATCATCGCCGCATTTTTACGGTAAGCGTAGCGTATATACCAGTTCTCGCCACTACTACACCGTAGGATTATCTCAGTCAATCGGGCAAAGGCAAAGGTTCCAGATCTTAGTACCGTAAAGATTGAAAGTCAATGGTCGTGGCAAGGATAATCGTTCGAGTATTTCGTCCACTGTTGGGTGGGTAGTAGATAAAGACCAGCCTACAAACAAATGTACGACCGACCTAGCTTTAAATATTCCGAAGTTTCTTTCACATTCGAGTCTTCCTGGAGTTCTACAGACGGAATCATGTCGAGCTATGAATATCTCCCCAGGAACTGTCGGATGCTACGTGAATTTAGGCTCAACTGAAGAGGCATAACATTCCATAGTGATAAACATCACGCAGAGGGAAGTCATTGTTCCCTTTGGATACAAACCTGACTTTCATTTGGCCCTTCGAGGTTGGAGGTTTGATTATTTACATTTATATATCTATAATGATACTGTACACTTACATTACTCGTTAAAGCCAAATGCAAGGCTGAGGCGAAGGCTGTCAAGCTTTCTTGATTCGACCCAGCGAGGATAATCGTAGTTGGTTGCCGTGCAACGGAACTTTTTCAAGTTTTGTTACCGCTATCATTATTCAGTACAATGTTATGTAAATTTACCTTGTGCTGGCGGCATATTCAAAATAGAAATATACAACAGTCCATCATATTGTATTTACAACTTCGACCAAACCTCCAACACATTTTCTCTATTTTCGTCGATTCCTGAAAAGACGCATCTCTCACAATTGCCTCATGAGCTAACCTTCAATGAGTGAGTAAATATTTTGGGCAAGCATACACAAGCATGAATTGTTACTGATCAATCATACTGCTGGATAGACATAGTATTTAATTCCGCGATAACAAATTAGACACATCCCATCGCATCGAGTTTCTTCATTTGTAAATATTGGCCAGAGCCATAATGGCGGGCTTCAATTCTTTTAATCCTCTTAAGGCCACCAAACGACATACGCAATATTCAGGCATACCTCCTGCCCAAGAAGAGCAGCCTCGAGACTATGATGCTGAGAAGTATGGGCACCATGACGAATCCGACGAAGAAGATACGGACTATTCCTCCTATCCATCATCGCCTTCCTCTTCAAGGGAGACTTCGAATTCATACCATTCCAATGCTCCGATACTGCGGAAAAGAGCAAATACAGCTACACCACGACCAGCTCCAAAAAGATTACCTCCTAAGGTTATGAGATATCTGTGTTTAGCCATGATATCTACCATTGTTATATTTATGCTAAGTTTGGTGCGAATGAGCCATATATCAACACAGAAAGTCCAAGATGGTCATGCATCAGCACCACCACCTCCTCCGCTTTGGGAATCATTCCCATTTTTATCGCGATACTACGGTGGAATAAGGACATTGGTCCCGCTTTCTGAGAATAAACCGGAGTATCCTCGTGAGGAGGATGAGTTGCCTCTACAGAATAAGACCTCAATCGAGGAGATGGCTACACCTGCGCGCGGTCTTCCGGCTAGCAAATCATTCCAGCCATATACTAACATAACATCCGGCGTTTTCAACGACGACTATGCGCCTGTTCAGGAGTGCTTCCTCGATCGCGAGAATACTGTTCGTGCGCCACGACTACAATACTACGAAGGCAGGCCGAGCGGGTTCCCGAACCATATCATGGGTTCCTATGAAGTTCTCGGCTTACCAGAAGATATTTGTTTCGAGCGATATGGCAGGTTAGGACCTTACGGTTATGGGTATGGTTTGAGATATGGAGGAACTGGAACGGGACAGCATGGAGAAATGGAAGGCGCGCAAGCTGTATGGACAGAAAATTCAAACGCCGAGAAGATGCATTCTGGTCAGGTTGACTACAGAAAGGTCGATTGGGCGGATGCTCAGAGGAGATGCCATCAAAGGAATGCGGCACGTTTTCAGCCATTCGATCCGGTCGTAAAGAAACCCACTACATTTTCAACTCTTACTGAAGAAAAAGATAGTCTCCTATTAAAAAGGGATGGCTTGCTCGAATCCGTTCCCAACACCACGTCAAACGCAGCCGATACCACCTCTAAGGTCGTCGCAACACCACCAAAAAAGTATCTTCCACGCACTGCATTTGTCATTCGACTCTGGGATGAATATGTGTGGCGAGAGGAGGACATTATGGCGCTGAGAGCATTGATATCTGAGGTCTCTATTGGTTCAGGCGGCCAATACGATGTCCATCTCTTGGTTCAAGTCAAGGACTCTGCCGTGCATCCCGTCTTCGCAGATGAAGAAATATATCAACAGCATTTGAAAGACTGTCTACCTGAAGAATTTGTTCGGATTGCGACATTCTGGAGTGAGACTCAAATGCTTATGCTCTACCAAGGCTTGTTTGACACCTTTATTCGTGGTCTACCGGTTCATGGATCCTACCGGGGACTTCAGATGGCAATGCAATGGTTTGCTCATAATCATCAGGAATACGATTTCTTCTGGGAATGGGAGGTTGATATTCGATATACTGGCCACTGGTATCACTTCCTATCAAAAATCGATGCCTGGACAAAGGAGCAGCCTCGGAAAGGACTTTGGGAGCGTAATAGTAGATACTACGTCCCAGAAGTTCATGGCACATGGGAAGATTTCAAACAAATGGTTCGTGTACAAACCGAGATTGGGACCGATAATCCAAACAACATGTGGTCAGGCATAGGCGGTCAAAAGGGCGAGAAGAGCGGACCGGTGCGCAAAGGCGAGAAACCAGTCTGGGGTCCCCAGCGTCCTTCAAATCTGGATGACTGGTTTGAGACTGAGAATGATCCCGTTCCTCCTACTAGCTACGACAAGGACAAATACACGTGGGGTGTTGGTGAAGATGCTGACCTTATTGTGTTTAACCCACTTTTTGATCCGGATGGAACTACCTGGCTTCTTGCAGACGATGTCACAGGCTATAATCTCACTGGAGGTTTACCACCTCGCCGAGCGACTATCATTGCAGCTGCGCGGATGTCTCGTAAACTACTTAATACTATGCATCGTGAAACCACATTTATGAAGCATCATGCTTTTACGGAAATGTGGGCTCCAACAACTGCCTTACATCACGGTTACAAAGCCGTCTCTGTTCCTCACCCAATGTTTGTTGATCGTGAATGGCCAACCGAGTACCTTGCAAGCATTATGAACGGAGGCAGGAATGGTGCCACCGGTGGAGCACGAACCTCTGTATTTGGCGACCGAGAACACAACCTCCGCGGGATGACTTGGTTCTACAACACCGGATTCGCACCCAATTTATGGCGAAGGTGGCTCGGTTTCAAAGTTGATAATGAAGGGGGTGAAGAATTTGAAACAACTATTAATGAAGGCAGAAATGGGCAACATGTCAATGACATGAGAGGTGGGGAAGGCCGAATGTGCTTACCGCCTATGTTATTACATCCAGTGAAGGGTGTAGAAATACCCGTGGAAGGATTACCTCGTCTAAATGAGGAACAGTTGCCGGAAAGTGACCCGACGGCATGATTTGTGCATATTGTCACATACGAGTATAAAAGCTTAATAATGCTCCATGGTGTTTTTGAAAAACTTTGAATCGCCTTTCTTTCTCCTTTTCTGCGATTGCTTGCTTGGGATAAAGGCATTACTGAGAAGCGTGGCGTTCGAGCGGCAAGAGTATGGTTTTATGAACGGAAGCAATTGCATTATGATTTTCTTTTAAGAAGAGAGGTGCTGGTAGTAGTTGTTGTTAAGAGAATAATATGGGACGGTAGTGAGGAATTCATTGAGTCAGGGTACCTAAATGATGGGCGATGAGTGAATTTGTGGTTGAATAACAGTGAAAGGGGTAATACATCACCTCATACCTCATGCCTTATGATGATGCACGAATAGAATGGTGGAGGGAACTACAGTTGAAACTTGATAGAGTAGAATACCTATATACATGAAATCCACCCTCACCTCATCCAATACTTTCAACCAAAGCAAAAATGTCACTATCCCAAACATTCTTCAAATGGTGATTTCGTCATAGTACTCTTACCACGCTTAGCTAGGGCCCCCACAAACAGAACTCCACAACCCCCCTCGCTTAACCTCAAACTCTTTAAAGAATTTTCTACCCGCTCCATGCTTAACTAGTAATATAACAGAAATTAATAATGAGTTCTTCAACAGTTAAAGCAATAGCTTTGCTAATAGCCTGCCCGGCTAGCTCAATCGGTAGAGCGTGTGACTCTTAATCACAAGGTTGGGGGTTCGACCCCCCCGTTGGGCTCAATTCCCTTCATTTATTTTTTTGGAGGTGGTTTTGGGGGGTTTTGGCTTTTTCGGGGAGAAGGGTCAGGAGATGATGAGGTGGATGGATGGGATGGATGGTTAAAGGGTGTGTGTTTTTTGTGTATGATCTAGTTTTCTTTTCTTGGTTTTTTTTTGACAGGATTTTGTTATGGTGGTGGTTGAGATTGATGCGGGTTTGGCTGCAGGTACTAGGTCTTGCGGCGGATTGGGATGTGGGTTATAAGCCAATATATATATGTGAGATCAGATTTCAAGAATTCCATTCTCTGGAAAGTTTGGATGGAGGGAAGGTTATATGTTTATAGGAGTGCTCGCTATTGTATCGGTACATGTTTGGTTGGGTATTTCTGAAGTGTTTAGATCGTAGTGTGGAATGGTTGATATCGATATGAATAAGGAGATGGAGCTTTGGGATGAGATGTTGGATGAAATGTTGAGTTTATGGATTGAAGCTGGGTTGTTTTTGGCATTGAATATTAAAGGATAACATGAGTAAAATGAGTAGATGAGGATATTGGCATGGTGGTTGCGCTCTGTTTGATTTGGAGGCACTTAAGGTTATGTGGTCGGCTTAGATCTCTTATGTGTGTATATCTTCTACCATTTTTCATTTTTGAAGCATTTATTTCATCTACCTTCAACTCTGAAGTAGAGATCCCGCATCCTGCACCCAATAAATTGCCATCCAATATATGCGGTTATTCATTCTCGTGCGGTTTCCCAGAACAAGCAATTACAATCAATGTTAAATTTGGTGGTTCCGAACTAGAAACGATCTGGAAGACAAAGTGTATCATTAAAAGTATATATCCCTCCATCATTACTAAACTAATCGTTATCTATCATGATCGTTGCCGCTCTAATGCATTCATACCTGGTATATCATGCCACTTTTTCATCCTCTACAACCAATCAATCTCCAATCGCCAACTACCAATCATTGGCTCTTCTTCTCCTTCCCTTTAAACACACTCTTGACCTTTCCGATCATCTTCCCCAGTCCTCCAAACAAACTTGCAAATCCAAAACTCCACCCTCGAATCCTCACCGTGTAGATGAAGAAATAAACCAACGCCCAATTACTAATACAGAATCCGAAGAAAATTCCAAAATACCTCCATTTATCACTCGGTGTGACATTTAACGTCGCCATGTATTCTTCTCCATTGGCATATGGACAATATCCACAATTTGTCGTGGCGTCCGGATTCGTTAAATATCCTTTTCCGGCCGAAGTAACAAAGTTACTAGCATAGGAGGAACAAGTTTGGCCCGATGGAGGATTGAAATAAGCAGCTTCGCTGGAGGCGCATTCGACTGAGACATTGGCGAGGGTAGCAGAGATAACACCGCCGACCCAATATGTGGCTGGATTAACATAGTAAAGCCAGTAGCGCCAGAAGACAGACATCTGAGAATATTGACGGACAACACCGTTGAAGAGACCGAACATTACAAAGAAGAACGGGAGGACGTTAGAGATTACGGTGAAGGAGGGTGCGAAGGCGCAGATCCATTGACCCCAGGAAGCTTGGAAGAGGAACTGTGAAGGTGTTAGTGACTTTGATAGAGAGATGAGATAAGAAGGGAGGAACCAACGAAAAGTAGTGTCATGAGGAATACATAACCCGAAGTGGAAGAGTCGCCTGGCAAACCAGCAGGCCAATACCACAAAGCCCAATAAATCACCGCTCCGACAATAGCAATTGGTATCTCGGCGACGATATTCGCAGTGCAAAATGCAACCCAACCATAAATCCTCGAAGGAAGTTCTCGGGCTTCCCAAAGTGCGCGATTCTGATAGAATTTAGGTACAACACCATTAAGGATCGTGGGAGGAATGAGAATAATCAAGTATGAGGAGAACATTCGATTCTGCATATCAATGATACCATAGCCCAATTGCCAAAATGTGAAGCCGTTGAAGATACCAATGATAACAGATGTGAAGAGCTTGCCATAGAGATATGATGGATCGCGCCAATATTGAGTAAAGAGACGTTTAGTCAATTCAATTGTTTGAAGTGTAACCGGAGAAGCGAATTCGCGTTGGGAACTAGCCTCTGGAGCTGGAACTTTGCTACGTTCAGATTTGATGCGCTGAATCTCCTGCATGACAACTTTATTTTCTTCGGAATTAAGCCATTCTTCGTTCCAGTTGAGTTTCTTGCCATCACGGCGCTTCCCGCCTTTGGCGGCAGTTTCGAGGATAAATTCTGCGACGTTCTTTTGTGGAGGGCAGTGCACACCACGATCAGCAAAGTACTTGACCACTGCAGAACCATTTTCGCCGACGGGTCCGAAGTAAAAAGCGTTTCCGCCTGGATTCAAGGCTAAAATCATGTCGAATTCTTGAATGAGGACTGAGGAGGGTTGATGAACAGTACAGACGATAGCTTGACCAGCTGCAGAAAGTTTCTTCAAAAATCGAACAATGGAATAAGCAGATTGGGAGTCGAGTCCAGAAGTAGGCTCATCCAAAAAGAGTAGGAGGTTAGGCTTTGCAGCTAGTTCCACACCAATCGTGACTCTCTTTCTCTGTTCCACGCCCAAAGATCTGACCAAAGCATCTTGCATATCCCGTAATTCGAGAAGATCAATAATCTTATCTACGTATTCAATCTTCTCCGCTTTTGGAACTGTATGTTCTTGTCGAAGAATAGCGGAGAATTCAAGGGCTTCTCGAACGGTAGCCGTGCCATCATGAAGGTCCATTTGCTCACAGAATCCAGTACCTCTCTGAAATTCAGTGCCCAATGGCCGTCCATCAACCAACATATCTCCAGTCACTACACCGGTCTTCTGGCGTTGAGAAAGGGTGTTTAGCAGCGTAGTTTTTCCAGCTCCACTAGCTCCCATTAGTGCCACCATAAGTCCAGGTTTTGCATAGCCATTGACTTTGTTGAGAATCTTGCGTTCGCCGCCAAGATATGGCACAGTGTACTCAACATTCTCCCATGTAAACACGCTTTCTGAGCCAGAGATGTCTTTGAGTGTTTCCTCTTGAGGTGGCTCTAGTGTGTCACTAGAAGAGGCGCCGCTTGTAGGAAGTTGACTGGAAGATGGGGAGTTTTCTTCGTCGGGAGTAGCATTTTCTGCTTTGACCTTGTTCTTTGCAGCCTTAGAACGCTTGAATTCGAGTGCACCACCACCAGAAGCAGTGAAATCAAACACTTCAGTGGCAATAGCAGTGACGAGGATATAGAGGACAGTCCAAGCAATAACTGGGACGCGTTAGATACCGGAACGTACGGAACGTTAAACGAAAGATTACTAATACTTACCGACACCAAAATTTCTCCAAAGATGCGACCTTGTGTAATCGAAACTTTCTTGAAGATATCTAGATCCTGATATACTCAAGTTTCCGACCTCAGCGCCGGTAGAAGCACAGCCCTGAAATTCGGGATTCGTATAACCTGGACCACTGGGCACAGTTTGTTCCGGGGCGCAAGGAATATTCTTGTTGTAAAATTCGTCTGATATGACAGCTTCGAATGAGTATGATAGAGGATTTACATAGTAAAGCCATCCAAACCAGATATAGTCAGATACTAATTGTGGTTTAGGAATCACGTATCCGGTGTAAATACTTTAAGTTGTCAACAGTGGTCATTGGGAAAATATGAGTGCGGCTTACATCAAAAGATTCAGTCCAATACCAGAAAACCTAACAGCATCATCAATCGATGGCGAGAGTGCGGCAAACATACGATATAAGGAAGTGATGCAAAATGTCGTAAGGTAAATGAACAGGAAATAGATAAAGTATTTCCCAGCATCCACTTCAAGTCCGGTGATAAAATACTATGATTGTTAGTATAATTTCCGTGCAGCTACGAAGGACCAAATACATACCACTGCAACAGAAAACGGGACAACCTGTACCAGTAGCAGCGGGAAATCTTGAACTACTCGAGCAACTACAACGGCTGATGGACGGTAGAAAGCATAATCTTTGTGTCTGGCGATGATAGGTCTACCACCGACAGCCTTCATGAGTTCAGATAGTTGAAGCCATCCCAAGAAGAGGATGGAGAAAAAGAGAGTACCGCCACGAGAGAAGTTTCCGAGTGTGTTAGATGCTTGTCCGTGAAATAAGGAACCGACAATTAAACTGTTGGAAATGATAATAAAGAATTTGGTATACAGAGTTGTCCTGTCTCCAAGAGTCAATTGAATTTCGCGCTTTGTGCAAGCAAGGACTTGACGAAAGAAAGAGACTGTGTAAGGTGACCGGGATCCAACAGTCTTGGATTTTGTCTCTTCCACGGAGGCCTTGAATTCTCGTGCATCCGCGTGGTCGGTTTCATGTAGCACCCTTTCATAAGACCCAACATCTTCCAGAAGGAGGTTGTAATCTTCGCTTTCTCTGAATGCTTTCTCAAGCTCAATAGGGCCTTTTGGGATAGAACCCATGAAGTCTTTTTGAAACCGGCGTTCGACTGGATCCGTGCAAGCCGTCAGGAAATCTGCGGTAGTCTGTCTCGGTGGGCAATAATATCCTATTCTCTCGAAGTAGTTCTTGGCGTCACCTGCTGGTCCTGAATATACCATTCTTCCCTCATCGATCACCAGTACCTTATCCATGAGCTCGTATATTTGCTCTCCGGCTTGATAGAGTGTGACAAGAGTTGTTCTGTTACTGATATCCGTCATTACTCTCAGGGAATTGGCATAGTCTAATGCAGTCGACGCATCAAGTCCACGAGTAGAATTGTCCCAAGAAACGACTGTGCTCTTGGTAGCAAGTGTCTCCGCAATGGAAACCCGCTTCCGTTCGCCACCAGAAACACCTCGGACGAAGGCCTACAAAACGGTGTTAGAAGTTATTTCCTATGATCACAACTGGAAAGGGTGAGAACTCACATCTCCAACTAGGGTATGGCGCGTGTGAGAAATACCAAACATCTTCAGAAGCGCTGTAATTATCGTGGGGATATCTCCCTTTTCATGCTTTTTTGTCTTGTTTAAAAGTGAGAATTCCAATGTTTGTTCAACCGTAAGACTCGGAAAGTGCTGGTCGTCTTCTTCGTTGTAATTGACCTCTCCTCGATAGTGCTTTGCTTGTTCTTCAGCAGAAATACCTCCGTATGAGACTTCTCCGTGGACAGCAGCGTAATCGCCCCTCTTGTTCGAAATAGCCTTGAGGAATGTGCTGCATCCAGAACCAGGTCTACCTAAGACCAGAAGCATCTCTCCATCCCGTACACAACCGGTAAAATCGTGGATTAAATCGCGTTTCTGGCCATGAGATCCAGGTTTAGGGAGTGCGGGGATAAATCGCGCCAACAGCTTATATAAGTCGGGCCCGAAAGTCTACATTGTTTAGATTAGCCTGAGAAATTAGGTGACTTTGGAACAGACATTTACTTACACCCATGATAGCAGACGGGAGAGTCTTGACATAAGTTGTAGTTGCTCCAACCCCCTGTACAGTCAAGTTCTTGTATATCACACCAACCTTTTTAGCACTTCCTCTCGTGTTACGCTTCTCAAAATGGCCATCTTTGAGGAAGTCACCCAGTACGAATTCATCCTCATCCTCATCCTCGGCTGCGGTGTCTTCATTTTCTTCGAGCTTTTCTTCTTCTTCGGATTTTCCTTCCCCTGCTTGCGCCTCTATATCCTCACCGGCAGTCGTTCGTGAGCGTCGACTAGCGTTAGTCGCGACTTTCTTCAGTGCCGAAGGTCTTCGGGCAGTACCCGCACTCTTCTGTGAACGAGTTCTCGATAAATGTGTGAGTTGCTGACGCAGTTGTTCGTAGTCTTGCATAGCAGCTGAGCGATCGACTGGTCCGCCTTGGTCATGTTCTCCCCATGTACCATCATTGTTTCCCTCCCCCTCGGAGGACGAGCGTTCTTCTGGTGGAACGACTTCTCTGTCATAATTATCCGAATGCAATGGAATTTGAGCTCCTTCACGACCATCCGCCGCCCTCTCTGCGTACATCCTCTCGCCATGTGTATCAAACATTTTGAAAGTGGTTGCACGCAAATTGCCGTGACTAAGATGGGCAATGGAGTGGAAAGTTTACAAAACGCAAATGTAAACTTGAATAGACAGAGGATATATATTGAAAAAGAAGGGCGCTTAGAATTACATGCGGAAGTACGTTAGTGGGCTAGTGAAGCGTCCATTAGCTTCAGATATTGAGAGAGATTACCAATCGACGAAAAGAAAATTATTCGAGGAGGGTAATTAGGGGTATTCTTGTCACTACCAAGCGGGCCACATGCATGCTTAGTCTCCACGGAAGAGTGCCGTGGTATGGGATCAGCGGGAATAGTATCAGATCCTGGATGCGGTGGGACTTTGCATATTTTTTGCTTCTGATCTGTACCCAGCTTATCAATCAGAGAAATAACAGAGGTTGTATAACCTGGGTCAATGGAATATCAAACCCACAGAATCTAAGATTGCCTATCGAGAGTGCAGGTGCTTCTGACTAAGGCCCTTAGAGCTCGCTCAACTGGAAATACACCTTAAAACTGTTGACTGGAATGTTAGACAGTTGTAAGGTTATGTCATCCAACGAGAGTATCAAGGCAGTCCCGAATACTTTTCGAACCTTTATTCTACCCTTGGATGAATTCTTCACATGAATAAGGAGGTACTCTGTACTAGAATACTAAATATTCAGAATAGTGGACTGGCTCATTCAGGAATGGAAAGAGTGGATTCAAAATGAAGGCTGAGCGCATGGGCGATGACGATAAGCTCCCAAGCTACTATGACACAGTGACCCCGGTGTATGATGAAAGAGTTCCCCGTTTTATAGTGGGCATATTAGCCACTAGTCGAGTTAGTGTGAAAAAAAGGAGCGCCCTTACCCGTTTGTTGGGAGATGAAAGCGGTGACTGTGATAACCTTAAAGGAACTAAGACAAAGCTAGTAAGCGAACAATCCTCAAGCGAAAACCCATCTAAGATATTCTTATCTTCTGTTTATTATACGAGTAGCAGGCAGCACTTGAAGATCTGCATGAGATTAGAAATCTGAATTCCACATTCAATTTTTATCAGATTATTGGCAGACGGATTAACTCGATCGAGTAAGAAGTCACTCTTAAGACAATCATCCAAATTCTCTCGCTCGTCATCTACCGTAAGGCCCTAGGGAAGTAATCCGAGCCTAAATCCTAATTCCGAATTGGGCTTTTTATCTCAAAGATGGAAGAATATATCCAAGGCTACTACAAACATATAGCCAATGGTAAGCGAGGACCCGGATATACCAACACGCATTTTACTAGGGACCCCTTCATTTTATAAGTGGGCATGAAAATTCCTATAACAACCTCAGGTTGGTTCTCATTTTTTCCCCAACTTTGCTTTATCATCTCTCCACGTTGCCCTGCGGGTGTTGCGGGTGAACGATTGATGAGAAATGCAACATATAAACACATCCACTGCAACGCACTGATAACGTGTTCTTTCGGCCATGGTTTTTTGGAGAAACAGTAGCCATATCAATTTTACAAATGCAGAGGCTAAAGTCCTATCTCAGCACACGTCAACACAAGTGTTCAATGTCATTATGCATAACCGGTATGCCAAAGGAAGTCTAAAGTTTCTTGTGCGAAATTTCGGCCGAAATGGTCATGCCAAGGAAAGCTTTCAATATCTCTCATTCTCCCTCACTGGAAAACTTTCAATTATATCTCTCTATTTTTTCTCATAGTAAAACTCACTGCATTTACAGTGCAACGGAATGCGTACTCAGCGACATAAAGCCCCGTGAGTCATGACTAGTTGACTGGTGAGGACTCATCGTCCCCCCGTCTTTCCAATGTAGGATCCACTCTCAAGCATTTTTTAATCTTACTGTTGGTATCACCTCGGTGATACTGTGCTATTCATAGTAGTATTTCTGTATTTATTCATGGATGATTACTATCTATCTAGAGGAGAGAGACCTAGTTATATTGAAAGGGGTACGGGCTAGAATGCACTAGTCGTACGGCTCCCTTTCGAGGTTGATCATATGATGTACCGAGACTTACTTTTCTATATCCAGACGCCTCCTTCTTTCTCAGATAGTTTACAATTCACCCCTAGAAATTTTTACATTTTTTCTGATCTGCACAGTGGACAAATGCCGTTGGTATGAAGGGATATTTTGCCGTCGACAAGCTTGAGCATTTGGATAAAATTCGGGCTGCGAGATAAGAAGAAATGAATGGAGCACCAATCCGCAATATAAAGTATCGTAGCCATCGTATTTTCCTGGGTATTTGGAATCTTAGAGCGGTGTATCAAAGAGTTCAGCCCAGACTTAACATTTCAAGTACCTTCAAACTTAGTCGATATTCGAAATGGATCTGGTATTGAAATGCCTGACATTTAAAATGGATACAATGTTTGAAATAAACACAATTGCCAATAGATCCAAGAGCCCTCTTTATTGAACTAGAGCGGAGCTTTTGGACACTCTGTCCTTCAGATATGAGCATCACATTCTATCACTTCTGTCAGGTTCCCAATAAGTAAAAGAGAAGAAATCACACTACCTTCAATGAAACGGAACATAGAACAAATCTTCAGTCCCAAACACTCCCTGGCAAGAATGGCAAGAGATGAGCGAAACACTAGATCAAAATCTCTGCTCACACTCTAACGTATCTGTAATTTTGTCTCAAAATAGGCTCTTCCAATCATATAATAGAATAATCAAATTTCATAGTCTCTTGATAGACGAAAAGTAAGAACGAGTGATTATTTCGTCTGCCACCAAAGACCAGCTTAAGTCGCAAATACCAAAACCACGCACCTGTCCAAATAATACCGATACGCCACCCTATATACATCTGGAGGGTATCCCCAAACCACTCAATCAACTTCAATCCATACCAACACCCGACTTGACTGAATACAAGGTCACACCACTACAGAAATTCAAGCCCCTTTACATAAAAATAGCAAATGCGACACCTAGACCAACAACAGCGACTGTGCCTCCGTTATTAGATAGAGATGCGGCACCACCAGTGGGGATAGCTAATATATCCGAGTTAGCGAGATAGACACCAAGATATCGAGATAAGGGGAAACAAACCTGGAGAAATGGAAGTAGCAGAGGCAACACCAGCCCCCGAAGCAGAAGCGGCTCCGCTGTCACCATTCCCAGTTCCGGTCGTCATAGCAGAGCCAGCTTCTGCTGTTGCAGTGGCGTTTCCTCCATACCCTCCTGTCCATGCCGAGGGTGAAGCCGCACCACTCTCAGCTGGTGCCTCTCCTCCCGATCCACTGGGCTGGGCTGAGCCGCTGCCAGAACCGTAGCCTTCACCAAAGCTTGCTCCGCTAGTACCCTGAGCAGCTCCGGCTCCTTCTGTGTCTTTCGACTCGTAGGACTTCTTGCGGCGGTAAGGACCGTGTACAAATCGGGCACGTACAACGGGAGTTGCACCTGTTCCGCTTGCGGCTCCTACAACTATTGGCTTGGCAGCTCCCAAGGCGCGTTTGCTCTCTGAAGTACCCTGGGATGCATTAGATGAGATGATGATTGGGTGAGGTACTAGAAGAGAGAACTAACCACTGAGCCAGAGACGGTAGCGGCGGCAAGAGCCAAGAAAAAAGCGCTTGATAGCTGCATTGCAAAGTTCGATGCCGATGTTGGACTTGCAGAAGATTGAGTAAGGCGAAGGAAGATATATATGTTTGGACTGAAATATCAGTTTTGGAAAAAGGGAGAAAAACAACTTCAAAAAATTAGTTTCGAAAAGTACCAGCTTTACAAAAGACCAGCTTCGGATTGGGAATTGAATGGATGAATAGACGATGATGATGAGAAAGAATGGGAACAACAGTGATGACAGACAACCTTATAACATATCGAAGATTCTCGGCAATGGCAACTTCATTAAGGTTACCCCAAACAGAGCATACACTCTAAAAAAGCACTAGAAGATATCCACATAATTCGCAACATACAGCATAGCATTGATCAGCTAGAGACATGTGAAATAATGTGACGTTTCCCCTCCTCACATGTCCCATATTGAGATTAATTGAACGTTCTATTCTTGGAGGTCAAAGCGACGAGAAAAAAACGGGGAGATGTGGGCGGAGGTTTATGCATATGCATCAAGTTTCCCTGCTGGAAACTATCTAAAGAATAATAGACGCCGGGAGTTACAGCACTGTGCCTAGTCATAGATGCCATTACTTATTTGACGTCTCGCACAGACGGTCTGATCAAGTCGCGATGAGGAGTACTTTTACCCTCAGACTCTGCAATGAAGCCAAGCCCAACTCTATTTATCGGACAACCAACAAGCTTTCCATTTCATAAATCCTATCTGAAGAGTATTCTGTTCTCATCCTATTTTTGCAATATCCGAAAGGGATGGGAATCTTATTTTCTCGAGCCCTGCATGAAGTATTAGTGTATTCGCGTTGAAGCCTCAACCACGTCCCATCGAAAAGGAGAAAGACGATCTCGTCTCTTTTGACTTTATTTACAAACTTGTGCATCATAATTCTGTTTCTTTAGCGGGATTCGCGTTCACAATCATTCAGATAGATGAAAAGGACACAGAGTATCAGTGTCACTGGCGTAATAGCTAGTTCTGAAACTAGACAGGTATCATGGCTGTGGCGATCGACTAGCTTGTTTTAAAGAATATATAGTCATGATTTCTGAACTGAAAGAATCAATTGAATGTTTAATCGAATGAAGATAACCGAGCAGTAATAGATATTTTCCTGGTACTAGAGTAAATGACATGCTAAGACAATGCTCCATTTCAGCCCTGCAAGAGCAGCAAGTGGCTTGGGGGCTTCTAACAGACACCCACCATGAATTAGTCCATACATGTTTGAACTTCGAAATATTAGATCACTATGTCTCACAATCAATCTGAAGATTGAACTTTAAGTTGCATCTATCAGACAACAATTGTATCTCTCTGCGGGGTTTAGTGATTTAGTAGGACTAAGGCAAAATTGCATAATTTTGAGCTACATTTGGAGGACCAACTTTGATCAACGTAATTTCGAACATTGGTGAGAAAGGTCAACATAGTTCTGCACATCCGAATTTTCGAAACCTTGTTTCACATTTTAATCTCACTTTCGACATCTAAGATGTTTCGAAGAATACTTCGGACGTCGATGGCGGTAGTACTCCCTCCTGACATAGGGAAGTTTTGTTCTAAAAAGCGTCTCCCAATAATTTCTGCATCCTCTAGGTCCTGGGCATCCTTGTTCGATATGTTTGCGGCAAGAGCTTCCGTTAGATCCTCTCCTCGAGCCGCTAATAATATTAAATCTTCGGCTCTTTCGACGATAGCAGAATCGATTCCATTCATGGCAGCACAAGAGGTACCAAAGCTTGAAGTGCTTCTACCCAGCACAAAATTGTATAAGTATGTGACTTGGTCATCAGCTAGGTCAGCTTCTTTGTTGACGTGAACCTCCATATATCCAAAGGCCAATTCAGGTCTCAGGGGCAAGAATCCATTCTCAAAAATTTCATGGAAATGTGTTGCTCCGAGTACTTTTGGGCGATGAGAATCGAGCCCAAGGAAATATTCAAATACGCCGCAAGCAAGGCCCGCTCCATCTGTCGAATTGGTGCCTTTACCAAACTCATCGATAACCACAAGGCTACGGTGAGTTGCAAGTGTTGTACAGAGCGCTACCTGTTGCAAGTCAATCATGAATGCGCTCTGGTTTCGGGAAACACTTTCGCGAGTGGTGATCCGCGTTAAGATCTTATCCGTAAGACCTACAACTGCCGTATCAGCAGGAACATAACTGCCAATGTGCGCCAAGTAAACAATCAGGGCGGTTTGTCTGAGATAGACACTCTTTCCGGAATAGTTTGGGCCCGTCATAAGAAGCATACTCGGACCTTCCATATTTTTCGACACCTGGATGGTATCTGAAGGAAGCTGTTGGTCAAGGCCAATGCCATTTCCTGACCCACCTACAAGATAACAGTCATTTGCGACGTAGGATGAGACTGTAAGCTCTTGTAGTGGATGTCGTCCGCCTTTAATATCGATTACGTTCGCTTGCGTAATAGTCGGAGGGTTGAAACGATATTTGATAGCCCCAAGAGCAAGTGCAACAAGGCTATCAAGCTCACCACATCGGTCTGACACGGTAATGAGAAGCTTTTCTTGCTCCAGTACACGTACAGTAAGTCCATGTATGATCTCGATCTCCCTGCCTAGTGGACCAGGAATAATAAGTACGTGCTACACAAAATGGTTATGCAACAACTTACCCGCAATCGTACTATACATATCACCAATGCACTCGTCCATCTCCCTCATACGTCTGTTCTTGTAATAGACTTTCTCATTGCTGACAAAAGTCTGCGTCCATTCATCTTCTTCCGTCCCCTCACCTTTGTATTTTCCTTCGCCTGTTTCGGGGTCGAGCTGTACGACAGTCAAAAAACCAAGCTGCGGAAAGTATATGCAATTCTCAACATATTGGCGGGCCCATTCAGGTATATCATCAGTAATTTTTCTTTTGACTTCCGCAAGAAAACTCTCTATGCCATCGTACGTTCTTTTCATTTCGTCCAGCTCTGGGTCTACACCTTGCCTAACCGTGATACGATGTTGCTCGGCCGATCTCTCAAAATCTATCGTCTCGGTAATTATTTGGCCAATGCCAAGAAGGTCATTAGGGCGACTTTCATTGAGGAGCTAGGATCTTGGGTCAGCTTTTGTAAGAATTAATTTGGAAGTTGCAGATATTCACACCTTGCCAGCGATCACTGTCTTGTCGCCTGCCAAATTTCGCAACGCTTCAAGTATCTTGAGCGAATGGAAGGAGAATGAACGGATGCTACCCCAGATTCCGCTTTTGACCGCTACTGCTTTACCAGAGCCTCCACTTACACCTTTCTGAAGATGTATCACCACAGTTCTGATATCTTTGATATTCTTTAGACTCTTCTGGATTTCCTGTAATAATGGTTGATTCTCGGAAATTAGGAAAGTACCTATCGTCCAGAGTCTTTCCTCGATTACCGACACATCGATACTTGGTCTCAAAAACATCTTCCGAAGCATGTGCTTACCCTGTGGCGTGCTAGCCAAATGACAGAATAGACCAAAGACGGATAAGCTCTCTTTTGATCCCGAAGTTGACTTATTCGGACCTTGCATATGCGAGTTCGGATGAGACTCGGACTGGATAATTTGAAGCGATGATAATGTATCTGCGTTTATGAACATCATATCCGACAATGAAAACATCTCAACCTTGCGAATCCTGAATGCAATCAATGCAGCCTCGTCATTAGGTAAGTAATCTATACTCCGTCGTCTTCCAAGGTAGTTAAGTACTGCACCGGCACAGCCAACCTAGAAATATGCTCGTCAGTAAAGCTGTGTGATGGTCTTGAGACTTTTTATTACAATGGCCATAGTAGGTCAATTCCATCCACTTGTTTGAATTTTCGCTGAATGCCATTAGGAGAAGAAATCGGGGCATATAACTTACCGAGATTTTGCTCTCCAAGTCGACCCAGCCTGCGAGTCTCATCAATTCCCCTCGACGACTCGCGCCACCCAAGTCTGCCTGAATATGGTTGCGATCTCCAGAAAAATCGTCTCCAGCAGTGACAAACATCATGGCCCCGTCTCTCGCGGCTCCAATATCCAAGCTGGCCAACCTATTCTTTGCTGTCTCATAATAAAACTCTGCGGCTGGTCGAGAATCGAGGATATATGAACCAAATATATCACCTGCAAAGTCAGCTCAGCGCAAGTAGTCCCTTCGAAAAAGACCTACTTCCATCCCCTCTGTCAATAACCTTGGCATCTTTACGGAGATGCTCTTCTAGTGCCTCTTCGCACCGAGTGTTTATCAAAATTACTATAACATTTTAGCATAAATGATACCTAGGGATTCTCGTGAGATCCTACTAGTAGGCTCTACATGAATCTTTAGAGTGTCAATCATGTCAAGTCCAGCCATACTGATGTCTGTCATCATACACAGCCTCTCTTCTCTTGCGACGTAATATGCACATCCAATGGTGCCACGTTCTTTCAATTCGACTGCCATGACAATTTCGTCCATCGAATCCTCATTTTCCCGTTCTTGAATATCCGAATCATTCTCTCCGCTCTCAAGGTTATCCTCATTTTGGACCGATGGTGGTGCAGCGACATGTGACGATGCTGATTTTATCGATATCCTACTTTTGAATGGAACAGGAGGGGTTTGCATTGAAGACGAACGATCCTCACCTTGAGAAACAGAGCTCGTTCTTGAAGAGCTTGACCGAAACCTTGATGATCGTCCTCTGGTAGAATGGTGATAATTAGAACCCCCAGCAGAGCCAAGCCGCCGACGCTTAAAGGATGGCATATTGATTCTTCTTCCTACGATTTCAGGGGCTATGGCAAAATGAAGAGGAAGGATATATGAATGTAACCCGGATTGTGAACAATCCTAAGGACAAGTAGAGATAAGAATTCAAAAGTGAAAGGTGAGCATTTCAAAATTGGTTTGAAGAAGCGAAAAGTGTTCCTCCCTCATTTGTCCAGCTCTACTTAACGTCCCTTAGGCAGCACAAACGGCTAGCCGAAGAAGTTTGAAATAGACAAAACGGATAAGGATTTTGGGCACCAGAAAATTCGGGATGTTCTGTTTGAATGGCATGACACATGGACTTTTGGGCCACTGAGTGATATTTATTCGCAACTCAAAACACATACCCTTCATGTGCAACATGGTCCCCGACCAAGATCATGTAATTCACAACGTCCACAGCAACAGCACCATACAGTATTCTTTCTGACCATGTTCCTCGCATCTATGACACCCGTGCTGGTGTTTGTTCCCCTCCTTCTCTAACCCACGCCGCAAATTCATATCTTTGTCTTCTAATGTCTATGAAGCTTGGTCGACTCTCAAGGACTTTAAAAGGGTTTCCAACAAAATCTTTATCCACCTCGCCATCGGCATTCATGAAACCTTTCGCTCCCTCCCGCTCAATTTTACCTGCCCAGACGCGCCATTGTATAGGTCGTAATTCAGGTGTGCCTAATACCAAGCCAAGGCAAATAATGAAAACGGAAACTATGGTTTCAATAGATATGTCGATTGGTAGAGAAACAGTGGTCGCAGCGTGAGAGGGGATAGAGGATAGATGGGCAGTTCCCGTAGATTGCAGGGCTGAGTGTTCGTGGGCAGAATAACAACTAAAGGAGTAAAATTTGTCAGTCATTGCAACATCATTTGAATTTCGGCATACACGTACGCATGCGTGAGAAACAGCAAGCCAAGGCTCGTAATTGATTTGGATAACCAAGTCATCTTTGGACAATGCAGTGTTTTTTGTTAATGGTCGTGGGTTGTCCAAGGTCCCAGCTTTGTCCCTCATTAATAAGGTGTGGCTCCTTAGGAATAGTAAGCGCGATAGAACCACCACCAGTAGTGGGCAATCGGGTTTATCTTTTACGAGAAACTCATCGAATAATCACATAAAACAATGAATTTAACACATTCATGAATCACAAGAATAATCTGCATATGAAATTTATGTATTTGTTATGATTTTTGTAATTCAATTCTATCCCAGTCCATGATTATCATCATTTCGTAAAACTTATTTTTTCTCATAATAATCTATTGACTGGTCGTAGTCAAAACCCCCATAGACAGCGTGAAATCATTTCAGGAACAGGGACGGAGCACGAATCGAAAGTAAAACTTAAGTCACAATGACGCTTTACAGCTTTTGCATGGCAGCCTATATTTATTAGCCATTATCAATATAGTCAAGGGAGGGCAGCTTACAATATCGGAAGATTGAATGTAATCATCGAACTCAGCAAGCTCCTCTTGCAAGTCATCAAGACCAACCTTGTCATCCTCAATGACCAAGTTAATCTGCAATTTCTTGATACCGAAACCAACAGCCACGAGTTTGGAAGCACCCCAGACGAGGCCGTCCTTCTCAACACTACGAACGGCAGCCTCCAATGCCACCATGTCGGTCTCATCATCTGTAAATCGGTTAGTATTATTTTCACCATTTAAGTCGAATCCCAGACTCACCCCATGGCTTGACATCCATAGTGACAACAGACTTGGCAGCAGGCTTGCTCTTGCCCTCCTTCTTCTTCTTGTACTCGGCCAAACGCTCTTCTCTGATTCTGACAGCCTCCGCATCTTCTTCTTCGTCATCGCTTCCGAAAAGATCAACCTCATCATCATCCTCTTCCTCGGCAGCTGGGGCCTTTGCTGGGTTCAAGGTAGCCTCAGTCTTCTCTGGGCCGTATGTAGTATATTCCTTGGAGGCATCACCTGGAAGGGTAGCAAATTCCTCGGTCCAGGTGTTGATGTGCTTGTACCATCTAGCAGCGTGAGGGAATTTTGCGGCATCTGGGGCGGATGACTGAGCCTTGAAGACGGCGACATCAGCTTGACTTGGGGAATATCTATGATTTCTGGTTAGTTTTCTTCCTATCATGTGAAAAACAATTGATTGTAGTGAAAATAGAGGAATCAGAGATGCACAAAGTGCTTGGTATATCGCCATAACGCGGTTCTTGAGGCCGCTCAGTAACACGGACCAATGTTGCTCATCATATTGGAGATTGTTCGAGGAGGGGTACTAATGCGCAAATAGACACATCGCAGATATTGTCTCGCAGAGAGGAATGAAAATGGATAAAAGTCGGGAACAAATAGAAATACATACCCAACGATGTATGAACGAGTCTCTAACCAACCGTTGAGTACTAAGTAATGTCAATTTCTGCGGTTTCCAAAATTCTTTTGATAGAGACTATGTCTATCATGGCGGGGGAGGAAGCTTACTGGTAAGACCAGCATCATTGACAAAGTCTGTGAATCCCATTTTGAAAGATATAGGGAGTCCTATTTCTTGATCTTTAAAAGTGAAGAATTTTTCTTTTCTTTAAAAAAAGGAGGAAAACAAGCAGAAATTGGTGATGTTGATTGTGATGAGGAGTAGTGGGGTGAGTCAAATTTTGGGAATGGAACTTTAGAAATGGTCGCTTTCCATTTTCTAGAGTGTGAAAATTTGATTGGCTTAGACTTTGTCTACAATCGCTTAAAGTGAAATTAAATTGGATAAGGTAGTGGCGGGGCGGGCCTGATCTCAGACGCCCAATGATTGCTTACATAAACTAACCTTGGAGGTAATGAATGTTAGAAAGATGGCTAATAGGGAAAACCTCGGGAATCTGAAAGCTTCAGAATGCTCGAGATTATTCTAGATAGAGTTCCTTTCCATATTCATATGTATAAGAGTTTCCGTAGAACCTTTCATTAAAGACATGTTCATTATAATTCCTTCTTTTACCTTTTCGTTTGCTCTCTTTTGCACTTACGGAGCTCACATTCACGATAAAATTAATGAGGAATATGAAAGTTTTGCGACAAATTGAGAGCTCCTCTCGTCTTTTAAGAGGAGCCCCTCTACAAGTTCGAGCCGGACGGCCATTGACTAATTTAGCTTTACGCAGTAGTCATGCTTTTACCTACAGAAGTCTTGCACCTCTTACTGCGCTTCGCACATTCGCAAATGGACGTCCACATCCTCCAGGTGGTACACATCGCATGGATATGAGTGGTGGAGAACAAAAGTCTGCCCTCGAACAATATGGTGTCGATTTGACTGCGCGAGCAAAGGAGGGAAAATTAGATCCAGTCATTGGCAGAGATGGAGAAATTAATAGGACTATTCAAGTACTGTCACGGCGAACGAAGAATAATCCGGTATTGATCGGAAGTGCAGGAACAGGAAAGACGGCTATATTGGAGGGTCTAGCACAACGAATAGTCCGAGGCGATGTGCCAGAGAGTGTGAAAAACAAAAGAGTGATATCTCTGGATCTTGGACAGCTTATTGCTGGAGCAAAGTTCCGTGGTGACTTTGAGGAAAGATTGAAGTCGGTTTTGAAAGAGGTGGGTATTCATTTTGATTACGGTAGTATCTTGTCGGCGGATGTGCCTTGTCATGTTTGTTTCTCAAGTACGCAGAACCAAGTGGTACACTTGAGACACATATCAACCAGCGATGTAGGCTTCATAGTTAGATCTGCTTACAAGGCTACACCTTCCGAACTAAAATTATATCTGCTTAAAGACCTACCATTTTTTGCTTGAAATTTGTAATTGTCTTAATTTATTCTAACATTCCTTAGGTTCAAGAGGCTCATGGTGGCGTGATTCTATTCGTAGACGAACTACACACTTTGCTGGGACTGGGAAAGGCTGAAGGAAGTATTGATGCAAGCAATCTTTTGAAACCTGCACTTTCTCGGGGTGAACTGCAATGCTGTGGAGCAACCACGCTCAATGAATATCGGCTAATTGAGAAGGACGTCGCCCTGGCAAGACGCTTTCAGCCTATCCAAGTCAACGAGCCCACGATTCAAGACACAATCAGTATCTTGAGAGGTATTAAGGAAAAGTATGAGGTGCACCATGGAGTTCGCATTACAGATGGAGCCATTGTTGCTGCCGCTACCTATAGCAATCGATATATCACAGATCGCTTCTTGCCCGACAAGGCAATAGACCTCATGGATGAAGCTGCAAGTGGCCTGAGGTTACAGCAAGAAAGCAAACCGGACGACATAATGCAGCTCGACCAAAAGATTATGACGCTTCAAATCGAACTTGAGAGTCTAAGGAAGGAAACAGATATCGCTAGTAAGGAACGGCGTGAAAAGCTCGAAAATGATCTCAAAGAATGTCAAGAAGAAGCAAAAGTATTAACAGAAAAGTGGGAGTCAGAAAGGTCCGAAATTGATGCCATCAAAAAGATAAAGGAGGATCTCGAGAAAGCTCGTGTTGAACTGGATCAAGCACAGCGGGAAAATAATTATGGTCGTGCAGGAGAGCTGCGTTATTCTATAATTCCGTCACTGGAAGCGAAGTTACCGAAAGATGGAGAGAAGGGCGTTTCTTCCGAAGGCTCTTTGATCCATGATGCCGTAACAGCCGACGATATTGCAGCTGTTGTATCACGTGTCACCGGCATTCCTGTCACGAAATTAACTTCTGGTCATGCTGAGAAGCTTATTCATATGGAAGATACTTTGCGAGAATCTGTTCGTGGTCAAGATGAGGCACTTAGATCGGTGGCAAACGCGGTTCGAATGCAACGAGCAGGCTTAAACGGCGAGAACAGACCCCTTGCATCGTTTTTCTTTCTCGGTCCAACGGGTGTGGGAAAAACTGAACTTTGCAAGAAGATGGCAAACTTTTTGTTCTCAACCGAATCAGCTGTTGTTCGGTTCGACATGAGCGAATTCCAAGAAAAGCACACAATTTCTCGGTTAATAGGTAGTCCCGCTGGATATGTTGGATACGATGATGCCGGGCAACTTACTGAAGCCGTCAGAAGAAAACCCTATGCAGTTCTCCTGTTCGACGAATTTGAGAAAGCACATAGAGATATCTCTGCTCTGCTTTTGCAAGTATTGGATGAAGGCTTCTTAACAGACAGTCAAGGCCACAAAGTTGATTTCCGCAACACGTTGATTGTTTTCACATCCAATCTTGGTGCAGACATCCTCGTTGGTCTCGACCCTTTGCATCCATACAAAGAGGAGCCCAGTGGTGATATTGCGCCTTCTGTTCGCAACGCCGTAATGGATGTTGTTCAACACAATTGTAAGCCCTTTAGACCCCAGTTCACCACTCTCTTCCACATATCACTAACAATAATAACAGATGCACCTGAGTTTCTCAACCGTATTGACGAGTTCATAATATTCAAACGCCTTTCTAACGAAGCACTCCGAGATATTGTCGATATCCGACTTAGAGAACTGCAGAAGAGACTAGATGATCGACGAATAAAACTTGAAGTAGATCAAGAGGTTCGCCAATGGCTTGCCGACAGAGGATATGATCCGAAATTTGGAGCGCGGCCGCTGAACAGACTCATATCCAAGGAGATCGGTAATGGATTGGCTGATAAAATCATCAGGGGAGAATTGAAGACTGGCGAAACAGCCGTGGTGAAGATTAATGCTGAAGGCGACGGCTTAGATGTCAGGAGCGTGGGCGCCGTGGAAGTGTAAATTATTGGGCAATGACGGTTTGGCATATGCATAATGGGTTATGAAAAAAATGATTTTAGCGACATAGTGTAGTGGATCTCTGCTTTTCGCTTTAGGCGTTGGAGGATGTATGGATATGCTTCCCTGGAAATGTGATACCTCATCTTTTGTACACTAGAACATGATATTATTTGACAAATTGGTTAAATTTTGTGTATTGAATCTATTCTGATATTCATTCCGTGTTTAAAATATTCACTCTGTGTTTGGACATTTAATTTGCGTAGAATATTCACCTTCTTTGGGATATTCACTCTTACTCACCAGACTCAAATACCAAATCCACTCATCATTCCCAGCCATATCCTCATACCAGGCCCGGAACACACGAAACTAATACTTGATTCGAAAGCACCACCCGCATGTTGCAGCTCTATCGAGCACAACTTTACGGGCCTTTATGGTGTCAGAGTGTGGACTCAGGTATTGATGTTCGTTTTCATGGGTACATTTTTTTGGCCTCTCTAGTTGGACATTGTGGCTTTGTTTATGTAGGTAGATAAGTCTGTTTGCATCGGCTGCAGTTTATCGAGTTTATGGAGTTTACTTCTGCATGTTCTTGAGAGTATCGGTCGGGATGCTCGGTTGGTGTTCGAGATGCATGATAGTTTGTTTGTGTGCAGAACACCTAAATACCTACATGTATCTGTGGATTCTTTTGGATAGGTCACTAGAGAATTCTACCTCGGACTGTCTGACCCCGATCAGGCTTTTATAATCTACAGCTTAGGTACTGCCAGTGTCGGAGTCTCCAGACTTCCACCTCATCGCACACCCAAGAGTCCTGCACACAGGACAGGGTAATGATCCATTATTATATTCAACATCTGTCAGCTACTGGAAAACGTCTGTATTTAAGAGATAAGAATGAAAGCCGAATGTCCAGGTTGTAGCCTTCTAGCCTGGTGTTTTCATTAGAATGACCGACGCATCTCCATAGGGCACCTCTTTTATGACCACAAAACCACACTTTTCATATAATCTCCGAGCTTCAGCATTATCAGACTCGACCACAATACTACATACAAACGCCCTGCTCTGTAAGGCTACTTCACCTCCTGCATATCGTAAGGCCGTTTCAATAAGCGTCTTCCCAACTCCTCGTCCACGAATCTCTGGTAGAGTAAACAAACCATTAATTCGATAATGGCCTGTTGTTTGTCTGTTGGGTGTCCCATCACCAATCGCTTGCCATGGATTTCCAAGAGCCGTCATTTCTTCCGGGCCATAAAGTAATGGACCGAGGATTGAAATAGTACCGACGATCTCATAGTCTTGAAGCGCAAAAAAAGTTGCTGCGTGTGGATTTGCAAGACGTTCGTGCCATACTTCATAAGAAAATGCGGCTTCTCTTGAGTAGTTGGAAGCAAAAGCTTCCGGTGCGACTTGCAGTGATAGAAGCCTAAAATCCTTGTACTTCCCGACATAAGAGCGCACAAGTTCTTCACTAGATATGTGTATGATCTCGAAAGTCATTTTGGTGTCTTAGGGCACGTATGCGAAGCTCAGAGTTAGAGCGCAGAGTAAGTCTGTTCGATGTACTGTAGCTACTCGTATCATTGAAAGATGCCTGGCGCCGAGGAGAACGTTGCACCATATTTGTGGTACACTGACACCACAAAACTTCAACAAAAGCGTTGCGCCTCGCCGAACCACTCTCTTGGTAACCAGTAATAAAGTTTCGATTACAGAATAATCTTTGAAGAGAAACACCAACAAGAAAGCTGTGTTGTGCTGAATGTTACCCCTGCTGATGCTCTCGCGTGACTGGTTGAAAATCAAAATGCTGAAGCTGATAATAGATAAGCGCCAACAGGGGCGAGAACGCCAAAATTTATAGCTAAACGACAACCAGTCATTCTACCAGAAAACATCAGAATACCACCTCGAACCAGGTACCCCTCTTGTTTCACAGCTCCAAAATCAGCCTTGTGCGCCGCCCACCGGCATCATCGAAAGCGCAGCACAGCGCAGCGCAGCACAGCCTATACATATAACCTCTTGAGGTTGCCCATCATGATTCCAATCTTCAGTTTTGCGCATGTCATGCTTGTGAAGCCTATACATCATGGAAAAAGACGGAATATTTGCGGACTTCGATGATCGGGCTACATATGAAGCCAGCCTCGATCGAGCGGGACACAAAAAGAGTCGCAACTTTGTTGTCGAGTTCGGTAAACTTGAGGCTCAGATAGCCTTTGATTTGAACGCAGATCAAGTGGAAAGGCTGCTAGATAAACCTTCCACGCCAGCCGAGCGCGAACGACCTCCTGTGCGGTGGATGTAAGTGGTGATGCCAAATTTTGAAGAGCGTTTGCTAATATGCTATAGCAATATCTGGGGGCCAAACCGACAGACTGATATAATCGATGTTCTTGCACGTCGATATGGCTTCTCTCCAAGGCTTTTGGCTATTATTAAAACTCTGCCACCAATCAATAACTCGAGTCGCAAGGATCATCGAGTTAGTTACAAGGAAAGATTGTTCGAAAGAGATGATATCGAAACAGGCAGAGCGAGTATGAATGTGCCCAGAGTACATGCGACTCAAGGAACTACAAGCCATTACACCATTGCGCAGCAAATGATCAACTATCAATCCGTCGATGTCGGGGCACGCTTCATGTGTGTTGGCGCAAACTGGATGCATGAGATCGACCCACCCCCAATAGGGGAAACCGATAGTCCAATAATTCAGAACTCTTTCAGAGATACAACCCAATGTAGGCTCTGGTCATGGCTTATACTTTGCGATGATAATACAGTCATAGCTGTACACGAAGATACCATACCAATTGCGAAGACGAAGAAGGATGTGAAATCAATGCGTGGAAACACTCTGAGCGTTTTGAGCCAGTTGTCTAAGTCGGGACATGAGGCAGCAGATCCAATATCTATGCAGACTGTCCGACAAGTTCTGGATTTGAACACGACTCATCCAAACAATGGTATTGAAGGAGCAAGCAACCTTTTTTACTATCTATTCGATGACTGGCGAGCTGTCTACAAAACGGTGGCTTTTTTCAGAGGAAGCTTGCAACAGTTAGAAAGTTCTATATTTGAAGACATGAGAAGAAAGTCCAACAAAGGTCCTGATATGAATATTATTCCTCATCTTCATTTCCTCAGCAAGAGAATTCGTCAGATGCAGCATTTGTACAAAGGCTACCATAACCTCATAACGCGGATATTGGAGCCCAAACCCTTTAGTACGTGGGAAACCGGCACGACTGATGGCTCTTTTACGTCTCAAAACGGGAGAAGTGGAGTTAAACTAGCGGCATCGGCAAGTCAAAGATTTGAAAGACTGGGCGACCGTTTGCAACTATTAATTTTGAGCGAAACGGGTGAATTTCTGGCTGAGAAAGATGCGCTCAGTAACACTGTAAGACCTCTTTTCCTCTATCGCCCAAAGTTTTGAAGAAGCTAACACATTTCAAGTATTTCAGCATCAATTCTCAAAAAGACTCTCAAGCCACGGCACGTCTAAATCGCTCGGCTACTTTACTCGCCAAACTTTCGGTTCTTTTCCTTCCCGTATCACTTATGACCTCTTACTTCTCTACTCAACTTAGCGATATTGAGAACAAGTATTCACTGTATGATTACTGGGTCGGTTTTGCAGTGGTGGTATCTGCATCATTTGTGTGCTTGTTCTTCTTCAGCAAATTGTTGATGTGGGTAACAGAGACATTAGATATATGGGCGAAGAACATAGGAAAGACATCTAGACATTTTTTTGTTAGTTGTCTGAGGAGCATGGATAGGAAGAAAATTAAGCCTAAGGGAGAGAGAACTATTCATGGTAAAGAGGATGATGATATGGAAGATGAATAATGTGATGTGGTCAATGATCTGGATTGGGTATATGGGTTCGAATTCTAGGCAAAATTTTCGAAAGGGAAATGGAATGGGAAATTGACATGGACTGTATTATAATTAATGGTTTGGGCTAAAAACGGCTGGGTATGGTTTTTCCTTTTCGACAGTTCGCCTATGCGATATCGATGGATTATATCCAGTGTATTGAATGTATGATAATTACCTATTTTGGCTGGGGATATAGGATATAGGTTTATATAGCAATAGATCAGAGACTCCTAATAATTACAGTCAAATTTCCTGTAAACAGCAATTTTTCCCAGGCAGGAGGATTGAGAGATAAATGAGGAGTAAAACTTTTTCTTCAGTCTCGATGGTATTCATCGCGGTAGTTGATGCAGGTGTAGTAATCATAGCCGGGAGACTTGAGAAAGCGAGTATGTATTATTTAGCACTTCACACTAGTATTCTCAAACGATATACCCGACATCAAAGATAGATGTTATTTGATTCTCTGTTCTGCTGGACGTTTAGGGGAGAAGGGTGGGAGAAGGGGGACTAAGGTAGAGGAGCAAATAATCATCTATCTATCAATCAATCAACCAAATAATCTTTGAGGTTTCTAGGATATTTTGATATTTTGATAGGTATATATATATATATATATTATTATTAATATAAAACTAAAAGCTGCTATATCAATATCCTTTTCTAATAATCCCTCTCGTTGTTGAGTTGACAGAGAGAAAAGAATAATTATGTATAGAGAAGGAAGGCTTACAGCTTGTGTATTTATTTTGGTTGGAGTGGTTGATGTTTAGATCTAGATATAAATTTAAATTTACAAAGGGAAAAAAAGGAGGCTAGATTTATAGGTGAGGGATTTCGGTTTGGGGATGCGGATGGTGAGATTTTGGGAAAAGGTTATTTATTTATTCTCAGGGGATTGAATCGGAGGTTTGGAGAGTTGGTGAGAAGTCAATATTTGAATGTGTAGAGATGGATGATGGTGGTTGTTAGGTTGTTGTAGTTTATTTGTAAATTTATTAAAGTAGTAATGATTGAATATTTCAAATAAACTCTTATGGTTTTGATTAGGTGAATCGATGACCTATCGATATATATATTCAAAATATATTCATTAATTATCTATACTATATATATTCAATGTATGAAATGAATTCAGAGAATCATGGATTATCTGATTGTAAATGATCTACTTACTATCAACTATATAATCTGTATACTAGATATCTTATTACCATTGAGCTCCCGACATCTAATCTGTAAACGGGAGGGAGTGGTATGAATTTGACTCCAGAACTCCAGGAGTCCAGATGCTGCTGGGAAGGAAACGGATATTGGTATTTGCTTGAATCGATGATAAGCATGTAGTTATGAATTGAAGAGCTCATTAATTACCCACCCCCTCATATTGAGACGGGAATATCATGAAGTATGAATGAAGATGAGGATGAGGAGATTTTTATATTCTATATTCTTTATTCTGTATTCAATGAATGATGGGATATATTTAAAACATTGATAAAAATCATTCTGTGCGCATTCTCGATTGGATATACCGCTCCATATGTGCAGATATCTCTCCTTAGATACCTATAGAGTAAACTTTCATCTACATATATTCTTAATTATCTTCTGCCCATGGGTAATACCACTGGTACGCATCTGTCAAACCATATAGGAGAATAATACGGGCATATCATGGAACATCTGAACATTAACCCTCTATCTCCTTATCTCCTTCAACTACGGAGATAGTGTAGCATCTCCGATCTCACTGCATCCTCACTGCAATCCCCCCTTACACCAAATACCAACATCATACCCACGAAAGAACTTCCTTTCGTGGCAAAAAGTACAATACAGTAGAAACATATTGTGAGGTTAAACGCATCACACATCACCCATCGCAAAACGAAGCCTCCATTCCATGCACATCACATATCCCATCAATTCAAATCTCACTTCCTAGGTAAATTCCAACACCTGTCCCCCTCCACAACCCAGCTCATCCATCCATACATAGATCAATCAATCACAAAGGCTAACTATAGCAGTACGCCGCAGAGATATCCAAGATACATATGTAACCTTATATGCACCTCGTACAAACCCACCAATCACAATCACGTCATCTTACAGCTGATTTTTTAAAACTCAGCCTTGTGGATATTGAATCATTATCTCCCTTGAAATTATGCATTCATTACGACACAATGCATCGTTGCAGATAGATATCTGTACCGAGGATTTGAAATTTGGAATTCGGAATTCGTATGTCGTCGAATGAGATGATAGATGTACATGTACATATGCTCGATGCATGCGGGAGAGACAAGCATGCATTTGCACTTGCATTTGCATTTGCATAGCGAAAACTACCTAGTAGAAATCTCGATAATGTTCTCTAGAGACCCAGTATTCAACCCGTCATCATGACTCTCCGACTAATCTCAATCAAGGATAAAAAGAATTCGGAGATCCCACAGCCATCTACCATCTACATACGGTGCACAATTGCTGATTCTAGCAATAGCATCACTAGCTGATGTGAGGCACAAACAAACCCGAAATCCCAGCATGCATGCGCAGCGAACTTCCTCTTCAAACATACAGCCAGCCCTACGCCTCATCTCCGCATACACCAACATTTTGTTCGTCTCAAATAAATAAAGTCAATAAATAAATAGATAGATAAATAAATAAATAGCTTACTGTGTTCATGTGTGGAGAGTCTCTTCCTCAGGTGTAAAGTAATATCTTGCGAGCTCGAGCTTATCATCTATTATATCATATCATATCATTCTTTACTTAAAGATTGATTGATTGAGTATTTGGGGGCTGGAATCTCACTTAATGTGGCTGCTGCATGTTAGCACGCCAACCTGTATGCTGTTGTAACTTGTCAGATCTTTTAGACCCCCTCTTCCTCGTGCTGATCCAGTGCTCCGTGGAGAGTGGCTGGTACTGACCGAAATGTGTATTAGGGTTATTTTGTTGGGATTTTCTTGGTGTTTGGTATTAAACTGAAGTATGATGGTCTGAAGTCCGAAAGTGTAGATACTATTTTGGTAGTGAATGTGTTTTATGCGCGAATTAACCTAAAGTCGGTAGAATAATCAATCTGATTGAGATCATGGGGCTGCTATATCATGGCTAGGCTAAGCAGATGAGCCATAACTTTAGAATAGTCAGCGAAATTTGCAAGAAGCAACCACTAGCCATATATATATAAATTGGAAAATGACCGCCTGTATATTCATTCAATAATATCTCCCCATCTACCTTTCTCACCTAACAATCAGTCAGTCCTCCCACTTTCGCTTTCGCTTTGCGCTCTGCAAATACTTAGATACACACCTCCCACGCATTAAACATAAAACTTCGATTAGCGCGACACGAAAGATCAAACGGTGCTACCTAGAACCTAGCACCCACCTACCGACGAAAATCCAGCCCCCAACCACCCCACAAGAAATCAGCAAATAGCTATATACGGAGTAGCAACAAACGTTCCCAACGGGTCCCCGCCAACCCAACGAACAAACCAATCAAAAACTTTTCCGAAAAAGGGATGGATAACTGTAAAGCCCGCTTATTATCTAGGATACAATAGTACTCCGTACATGCAGTAACTATTCCCCAAGAGAGGAAAATAAAGAATAACCTTAATCCCTATCCCTACAAAGCCAGCCAGCTCGCTTAGTAGCAGCGGGAAGGGGCTTGGAACTTGGGACTTTGAACTTACTTTGGCAGGTTTAGGTTTCGGCTTCGTTTCCTCACTTCACTTTCCTTTACTACGGAGGCACACTGGTACAGAAGGTAGGTACTGAATCCATGAAAAACGAATCCACTCACGGAAGAACAGGGAAGTGGATAGATGGAAATGATCCTTCCCCGTACCGTAACCTAATGGCGGTAAGGCATTGTTCGATCTTAAAGTTTGTGATTACCCTTACTCCGTAGGTATAATCCAGGTAACTTAAAATCCCGGAGGACGAGATTGGTACGAGGAACCCTGTGCTGCATTGCATGTATTTATCATCTGTGGATATATGGATGCGAACAATAGATAGAATAGAATAATAGGAAAGAAAAGCATAATTCCTTATAATGTAACCTCAATATCCAAAACGTGTATTTTGAATTCACGTACGGAGTATAGGTAGTACTTGGGTGGTGGCTAGTCGCGGGGAAAATGAAAACTGAGACCCAGGAACAAGTGCTGTGTTGTAGTGCATGGTGCTTAGCGGATCCCCCTGGATACAGGATATGTACAGATGAGTAAGCAGCGTTAACTACATTCCTACTATACTTTCCACATTAACCATTTGAAGAAAGTGCTAAATGTGCCAAGGATGGAAAGTACCATTTCTCTCCGACGGTGTTAGAAGGGAGAAAGAAATTGGCCTGTCAAGGGATATATGAGCACATTAAGAAATGAGGGATTTATGATTTTGCTTGCTGAGATGTTTATCATTGATTGTCCTTCATTCGTTTATTTATTTATTGTGTTGTTATTTATTGATCAATAATGTAACGCTAACACAAAAAACAAAAAATACAAAGGCCGAGATCTACAAGAAACTTGTAGTAAACGAAACGGCGTGCTAAGCCACCTACCTTATCCACAATTAACCGTCGAAAACCCTCGGACGGGTTTTTCCTATTACATGGTTCATCCATCCATTCATCCATTCATTCATCCATTCATTCATTTCATCGCTATAATGGATGTATCCGCTTGGAAATGGGAGAAAACATTTACATGTATGTGAATAACATCAATAAACTCCTCTATTCCGTACACTTTTCATTCCATCCATTCTATTTATTCATTTAAGCTTAATTAACCTCCAGATCGATATCCGACCCAAGTGTTAACATCGATATATATCTTTATCTAGCGTACCAAGTAATCGGGTTCGTACGTACGTAGATAGATAGACAGACATAGGCCATATTTGGAAAGGTACTACTTATTGATCGCTGTTCCAAGGTGGGTAGGTATGTATGTTACCCTAACTATATATGTTGAGCTTAAATATTTGATGGTATGGTATGGTATGGTATGTTGGCATCGATGGTTTTACGTTATATATGTGCTATGTAACCTATGAATCTGAGAAGGTATTCTGTTTTTGTATATAAAGTTACTGTGAGGAGGAGAAAGGTGGGACATTTTGTGTGTTGATGGATGAGGGAAGGGAAACATAACATATTGATGTCTGATCGTTAGAGTTGGATCTAGGATGTATGTACGTGAGGTTACAGGCGGGGTTAGTAGGAGGTTGTTGGTGATGGCTTAATAATATGTAGCTCAATGCAATAACTTAACTTTATAGCCCAGCTCAACTTCATAGCTTAATAGCTCAAGCTCATAGCCCAACTCCATCCCTCAACTCCACAGCCCAGCTAACCTAATATCCCAACTCAATATCCCCATAACTCAGCTCAACCCCTCACCTCAGCCCACCTCCCCCCAAATCATATTCCCCCTCAAATCTCCTCTCCCTCTCCCTCTCCCTCTCCCTCTCCCCTAACCCTAGAAAATCCAACTATAACACCAGCCCTCAAACCACCTCCCCCTCTAAACCACCTACAGTAATAAGCCTTACCATGGCCAATTCCTCGCTTGTGATGTATGTACGTACGTGCTAGCGCTTGGGCAAGGGGAGTCTTGGTTTTGGTGTTGTTGTATTGTTGTATTGTTGTGATGTTGTAGTTGGCATTATCTTCTCTGTGGTTTTCCGTGTGTTCAAGCAAGATTCGATATCACATCACGACGATTTTAGGAGGTACTAGGTAAATATCTTCTCATAGTAATAGTGATAGCAATAAGCATAATAAAAGCAAAAGTAATAATAACCATCACATAAATAAATATATATATAATATATAAACAACAAACAAAAAATTCATCCACATCATTCATTCCAACCAACCAACCAGAAATGGTCTCTCTCTACAGAGTACTCTACTCTCAACCCGGATTTCCAATCCAGGAAATGCATTTATAAAAAAACCATCATACATAAAACATATATATATTGCCACCGATTTTCAATAATGCGGAACGCCATTCGCTATGCTGTGAGATAATGTGCCGTCAGCCCATACCATAAGGATCCTTCCTTCCTTCCTTCCTTACTTTGCCGTTAGCCTTAACCCCGAGTACGTGAATGATCCGAACCCCACTCATTTAACCAACGCCAGGATACCCCAAAAAAAGTTCAAAGAAGAAAAAGAAGAATAAAAGAATAAAAAAGTCAAAAAGGAAAAACGAGACATTCATCATCTACCATTCAGGTAAAGGAAGAGCACCTCTCTGTATCCTCCACGCGTTACTCCTATCAACAAAACCACGACCGAGTAACCAGCCCCATCTCTCTAATAAAGGTTGTGATATCTCCCACGCCATTTCATTATAAGGATCTTCTCCCCAGATGATAACTTGACCAATATCATCCGCTTCCCCGATACAACTTCCAAAGTCCCGAATGAAGCTTTGCGCCACATCGCGCGTTAAAGTCATGAGACGATCGCGTAAAGAAGGAGAAGCAATCATATCAATAGCATAGTAGTGAGCGGTAGCGAGTTGCGACTTATTTGGCTTGAGAGCTGGAGGGAGAATATCGATCATGGAGTGAAGAAGGGCGAGATGACGATCTGGAGATGAACCATTTAAAATCGTAGGATCGGAAAGGAGCGGATGGAAAAGTTCCCGGATTTGAGTGCGACTTTTCTTGCGGTCGTAGGGCATCATGGCCATGGAGATACTTCAGACCGGTTAACACCACGAATAAGCTGCGTCGTCCATAGGGCCTACTAACTTTTGTCCTGAAGATGTCCTCGATTGTTGGTCAGTGACGTTGACACGTCCGCCGGCTTGAGAGATATTTAGAGATGGGTGTTGAAAATTGGAAGTCCCCATTGTAGTTCGGGGTGAGTACCCTGATATATCAGGTGAGCTTTGTGAGTTATGTGGATGGAGGCCGGATGGATGTACCATATTATATGGCTGAGAAGATAGAGCAGCAGAATCGGTATATGCATATGTAGATGGTGAAATCATGGCAGTCGTCATGGGCATTGAACCCATGGACATCATGTCTGAACTTAAAGAAGCTGGAGGGCTACCAGCATTTGAAATAGAAGCACCCGAAATAGATGGTGATAAAGAGTACTGTCGATGATCGGAAGAAATTGGTCCTAGTGGTTGGAGTAGGAGACCTTGTGATGTTGAACCGTAAATTTGTGCTCGGAGAGCTTCATTCTCTCTTCTGAGTTCATCATTTTGATATCTTAAACGTTCAATCTCTTCAGATTGCTCAGAGCTCTGTTCTTTTTGGGCTTGCTCGAGGTTCTTGAGATGTTCCTTTCTTCTTCGGCCTGGTAAATTCATCATTAGTTTCAATACCCGTAATGTAGATCTCAAAATGCATACGGAATTCTCTCTGTGCAAGACGATTGTACTATAACTTTTTATCAGTCCGTGTATTATAGTTGCCTAGTTGGGAGCAACATACCTCGCGCTTGCGCTCTTCTTTATCCGCTGATAAATCCATTGATGTTGTGTAAAAGTACGGCCCAGAGTTGTAAATAGTGGATGTGAATGCGGTGGTCATGGTTATGTTGGGTGATGCCTAGATGATATATAAAAAAAACGGTCTCATGGGAAAGGACACTGAGTTATACCGGTTGTTCCTTCAGGTCCGCAGTTCAGTGAGAGCATTATATCCTTGATCACTAGCATTTTCATCCTACCAAATATGCCTTCTAGGCGGGCGCATGGATGATAACCAATTCAGGAATGGGGCATGGCATCGTGCTAATCCTCAGCCTTGAATCGCTAGGACTATCCCTGGTGTTTCCAGAGGTGGGGTGTCCCGACCGCTCCAACAACAAACTTCACCCGTCAATAGTGATTAGGGGGGTGTGTAATAATATTCTGTATGGATGCCATGCGGTTGAGATTTGACTTGACTAGGATTAAAAATATAAGCGAGAAGGTCAGAAACTCAAAAGTTTCTCCATGGTTCGTTGGAAGGAACCTAAACGGAAGCTAGGTACTAGCCATTGGCTCACCAGCTCCATTCACTTCGGATCATCTAGTATCATCTGGTGCTCATTTAAAGCCAATCTGGAAAGGAACTAAGAGCCGCGTAATGATACAACACTCTTCCTGCTTGCTTTAGCTTTCTAATGTCAACTTTAGGTTTTGATCACAAAGATTGTCCCGGCATACTATTAATCACTATCCACTTTGGGGTAGTGCCATCACAACTGTGAAAGTATGCTGATGATTTACCAAGATCTAATTAATCGTTAAGATTGTTTTCCACGGAGTAGTCGATGATCATCTGGCATGAAACGCACTCACTGTGACACTTTGGAATTATAGTGCAGCACTGCCATAGCTGATGATAGCGTAGCTATCCTGCAAATGCGGAGGCTCAGGTAGTGCTATTTTCATACACCGATGTTGATCCTAAGCTTAGCATTGAGGATAGACATTTGGACAGTGATGTGTTAAGCTCCGTAAGGGTCGAAGTATGATGATCCTTCGAGATGATTTGTTGAAACGGCTTCAGCTTTGCATAGAGCTTTGAGAGTTTTAAAACGATGCAGCCAATAATAACATTATTTTAATACACTAATAAACTTACACCAGCATTTTGAAAGGAAGCTAATTTAAACTCAATGTCAAAAATCGGAAAACAAATCTTGGTGTGGCATCCCGCTGGTTTTGGATCGCTAGGGAAAGTAAGAGTGACTAGGGGTAAGCATCAGTTCCTTGGGTCAACATTTTACGGAGTACCGAGTAGACATTGAAAGTTTTGTGGAACAAAAATGATTCTGAAGTGATTGACTGAATTGAATGACAATGAATGATGATTTGTACATCCGAGCCTATATTCTTACGAGAGTCTATATCCGTTGTTGGTACCCGTACCTTGTCGGGGGCGTCCCAGAACCGTCGGTGTTTTCAACGGTACTCTCAACTAAAGGTAACCTTGCTACAGAGGATTAAATTTGCCGATTTAATTATTCTTGCTGGTATAAATGATGAGTGATATTGACGTCGAATTAACGTTGTCGCCACATAAAGTCGTGAACCCAGCAAAATTAAGACTTTATAGAGTTGCATCGGGTATTTTTAGATATTTCGTCAAATTGTTCCTGGCTCCTGGAATTTGGACCTGAATTTAACCTGAATTCACCTCACTACTACCCTACAAATACCCGATGTATACCCTACCTACCTGGCAGATGCTATCCTTAGGAGCACCAGAGTCACTGCGGAAATCCCATTCGTGTGTGGGATACAGCAATCTAACCTTCAATCTCGATCTCGATCTCACACTTTGATGTTCACGGAGGCAATGCGATGTACTCCTTACAGGACACTGTAGTTAGCATTGCGTCGAGTCAGTTGAAAAGGGATACAAGACCAAGACAAGCTGTCCCACAAAGCCACCGAGCGACAAAAATCTAAGACTGGTTTGGGGGCGCAATGGGTTGTCAGCCTTGCCTTGACGCCAGTAGGATAGTGCGCCGATGGAGGATGTGGGGTAGTGAAGTCTATAATTGATGATTGAGGTATCAAATAACAGGTGGGTGAGATTGGAAGTAGTACAAGGAAGCAGTACAAAGATGAAATGGGAAATGGATCTGTGGTCAGATCGCCACGACCGCTCATGATTAAGATTTTCAGAAGATCGTTCCGGAGTGCTGGTATGTATGGATGGCATAGTGGTATAAGCATGTCCATGCAGCTTACATACACATCACATCAGATCCAACGACAGGAACTCATTGACATGAACAGTAACATACGTATATGCAATATTGTATAGTGTTAAAGGTCACACAAACATGATACTTGTACGCGTAAATATTTTGAAACACATTCTGAGGTCAGAACCCAAAATAGGATTTTTAATCTCTGCTATTGTTCGGGCTGAGAAGCTGGATGTTTTTTGCTCTTCAAATAGGTTATTTACCTTGTTGCTGTATATGTGTTTGCGGTATTAAATAAATGTACGGAGTAGCTACTTGGATTGTACTGCTGTACCAACACCTACCTACTTACCTACCTACTTACCTACCTACTTACCTACCTACTTACCTACCTACCTACCTACCTACCTACCTACCTGAGAACCCAGTTGCTGCATGGCACTCATTGATCTGGTTAGTATCACTAGGCAACCCTTTTAACAGTTTGATTACATGAAAAGTCTAATTAGGCCATGCATGTGCATGCAGTGCATTTACCAACTGGGTAGAGTCGGCGTAACGCTCGAGACGCCGCACGCGAGTATCTACCCTAGCAAAAGAACACGGCCCATCATCTGGTTGTAGATCAAAATCTAGTGATGATACTAATCGCAAAATAGTAAGTATGGTGCGAAACTACGGAGTGGTTATTTAGAGTATGGTGTCTTCAATCTGCTCAAACTTCACCACTACTTGTCCTTCATCCCAGCTCCATGGATCAGATCATAAGCTTACAATCTTAACTAAAGTTGTGGATATACATGTGACGGGTATGCTCATTGGTACTCATTGGTACCACAGACATGAGGCCGAAGTGCGACGTACTGCCACACTAACCCTATAACAACACAAGCGAATATCAACTGCGAACTCTGGCAATCTTGTCCACCAAAGGTTCGCAAGGGATATCCAAACCAGTGAATTGTAACTATCTACGTAAATTGCTTTCTGTGTAACTACATATCCTCGTATATCGATACAAACTCCAAATAGAGTAGAGATTATCAGGTACCAAACTCAATGAATCTTGTAGTTGACCATGAGTCGCCAGACAAAAGATGGCTAAATGTAGAATGATTACAGAGTTTACAAAATAGTAGTTTAACCACCTAATCATAACAACCATCTATTCTTACCTACAACTCTAACAGGAAGATTATACTAAATACCTAGAAAATTATAATTATATTCTTATTAGACTTATTGTTTGTTTGTCTAGCTACTCCTATACTCCCATCCCTTATTATTTCATCCTCCCATCCTCCCATCCTCCCCATCCTCCCCATCCTCGCATCCCCTCATCATCTCATCCCATCACTATCCCATCCATCACACCACTATAACACATCATAACACACCACATCCATATACTCCCTTCTACTCTCCTACTATCCCATCCCATCCCATCCCATCTCGCCCCAAACTCAACCCAACCACAACCACACTCACAGTACACAATAAATAAAACCACCAAACCACCAAACCACCACCCAAACTAAAACCCCCAACGTCAAAACCAACCCAATCCAACCCAACCCATTCAATCCTAATATACACCCTACAACTAATGCTTTATTCTCTCCTTATCATCAAGTATCATCTATATCCTCAGGATCATATATATACAATATATACTTACATCTCAATATCTAGACATCTAAATCTCCAGATCTTCGTTAAATCAAAAGATATACTGGCTCTACTATCATCATACCCATTATATTTATCCCCTTTACCTACTTGTCGTTATTCCATATTCCCAAGCCATTGATAGAATCTCGCTTTTCTTCTCCTTTTTTTTCTTTTCACCTTGAATGGGAAAAAAGACATCAATCTACTGCTTCGATATGTCTCTGCAGTGATAACATACCAATTACTCATACTTCTGTTCTATTATTAAAATCGAGCTATATACTTTTAAATTTCATTAGGTATATCGAATTATTGTCGTTGAAGACTAGTCTTCTACTACTGGGCTACGCTTTTAGGCGTTGAAGCCTCGTGAATATGCAAATCGCTCTAAACAATCCCAAACCTTTTCTTTGTATTAGAAAGAATTTGTTATTTATGAATCCTGTGCCCATCTTCTCTCTCTCAAGGGCATTTCCTTGCCAGAAGCCGCTCGACTTCCATCATTCTCCTCCCTCCAAGCCCAATATTCTCCCAGTCTCATCTCTGCGTAAGCAGCATAATCAAAATCGATTTGAGATATCGTCGCCTGAATCAAGGCCCAAATTCCCCAGTAGAACCCGGGAACCGCCCGAAATATATCCACTTCGGTAAACATTTTCTCAACTTCTGCTTCTTCATCATAAGTTTGCTTCAAATGAGCAAAGTAACTTCGTATATATTCGCGAACAAAATCAAGTCTCTCTGCGCGTGAGGGCAAATATTGATATTCGCAATCAAATCCTCCCCACTCCGCGAAATGATTGGCAATATCAAATGCTGCTGGTGAAGGTGTTGCATATTCGTAATCGATGAAACTGACTGTCTCTACGGCAGGCGGGGTAGTAATGCCAGTAGATTGAGGTTGCACAATAACATTACCACTTAGAAGGTCGCAGTGGGCAAATACAAGCTGGAGAATGTTAGCACGATTCTTGGCGGCAGGGAGGCTACAGCAGGAGATGCATCGTTATGGTAGCACTACATTGCCTGCAGAGACAACTGAGGTCGCATCGGGTTTCACCAAGGTCACTCACACTATTTTCACCAAGACCCGGTCGATTGCTGAGCTCAGCAACGAGACGAGTTAATTCCTTTTGCAAAGTTGCCTGTCGAGTCTTTTCTACCTCTGATCCCACTGGAAGTGCATATATCCATTTTTGCATTACCGTCCAAACATTAGGGGCTGGCTTGCCAGGAGCGATGTTGTCAATAGCAGTTTGCAGAGCAGGATCCATTTTGCTTGATGTAGCTGGAAAAGCAAATTGCTCACTACCATTTATTTCTGTGGGTTGAACCTCACGATCTGCTGAAAGACAAGGAACAACCGCATGCCACTCTGCCAATCGTCTAGCTACTCCACGCCAAATCCTTTTCTCTCTGAGGTCTGCAGGACTGGTGACTGCTCCCCTAATGAATCGGTAAAGCATTCCATTCTTAAATCGGGCAAGCAACGCTGGTGCTAAATTGAATTGCGTAAGTAATTCGTGATTTTGTGTCTCGCGCTCTCGGTCAATGATCAAATCGGTTCCTTGACCATAAGCCCGCAGCAGAACTGCCTCATTATCAATCTCTTCCGCGGAAAGCCCAGGTTTCTTGTTGATGACCTTCAACAGGGTGTTTGTTATGCCATCCGTAAATCGTATAAACTCTATCTTTCCATCGGTTCGTCCCCAATCGGGGCGCAGTGTCAGAATTAGACGTAGGGCTGATGTTTGCGACTCGGCGGAGTTGTAAGAGAGGGGGATGAAACGAATCTTGCCAATGGAAGCATTTGGAGTTGATGTTGTGGCCATTGTGTTTTATTTTACGAAAGGAACGGGCCGCAAGCGAAAGGATGCAGAATCGACGTAGACTTTCTGTTTCAAGGCTATTAATAAATCTGCAAATGACAGGATGGGTGGACTGACCTAGTGAATCAGGGCTTATTATAGATGATAGAGCTCTGAAGCTTTTGAAGACTTGATAATACTCCTCCTACACGATTGACCCCAGCGATAACGTCAGACAAATGACAGATGAATTTCTGCAAATGGTAGAGAGTTGATGCCGCAGCTTTACCAAAACTTTCGATTATGTTAATATCCCCAAATATTAAAGGTGGGCGAAAAGGAAAAGGGGGATCTCCAAAGAATATTTTTTGTCCTGTTCAAAGTAGTTTGTTCTGTAGTTCTGGAGTAATGCAATGTAATTGAGGGTTGAAATCCTCTGGCCAATGTCTCAATGTGAATGTGCTTGAAATGGATGATGCCCTAAGGGATAAGGAACAAAATAGAATGGTTTGTGAATAAGGGAGAAGATGAATAAATGTGAGATAAGAGGAGGGGATTATGAATTTCCTTGTTATTTTCCAAAAAGGGTCTCGTGCTTTTTGGGAAGACCCTTACAATTATTCCGCTTAGGCCCAGGAACATTCCGCATAATCTCAACAATCGGGAAGGTGCGTACCCGCACTAGAGTTAAACTAGGATCAATTAGGTAATCGTTAATTATTTACATGTGATTGTGTTTGTCAGTCTAATATAAGACTCTAAGTAAAAACAATTTGACGTTTTCTGTGACACCTTCGATCGATCTAATCTAATCTAATTATTCGAGTACTAACACGTATATAATTATTTACATAATCATAAGTTTATAACAGAAACTCCAACCCGAGCTAATCGATGAATTACCAGCCAGTGCTACTACAACAGAAGCACCACCGCATGCATCAAGATATACGAATTATACAATGAACATCACCTTGCACTTTATATAGCATCAATTTATCTATTCCATTTCCTCCTTACTACTCTCACCTGCTCTTAAAAAACGATTGTATGTATACATATAAGGAAAATGCTGGCTTTGCTTGTTATATTCCCAACGCGCTCGCTCTCATGGTCACAAACGGAACTCTCAATGCTGAAATCAACCAAAAACCAACCATCCATCCAAATCCAAGCCCTACCCTACCCCACAGTGCAAAACGATAGACAAGAAATACAGATGAAAACATAGATGCATAAGTCATACAGGCCTTCATTGCTTCAATTCCTTCTCCATGCATCCCGTACAAAGCACAATAATTTCACCACCGTCCCCCTTATTTCCCCTCTGACAAGGGAAAATCTGTCCATCATCGAATCCACCCGCGCAATGCCCGCATCTAAAGCATTCATCATGCCACTCACCACCTAACGCTTGAACGTACTGGCCTAGAACGGCTTTCTTGCATTTTTTACATTTTGGGGCTTTGCGTTCCGTGCGTTTGGTCTGGCATGAAAGGCACCAGGCATATCCATCTTTTTCGATATGCGTCATTCCTTGTTCAAAAGGATCTCCACACTCGGCGCAAAAGAAATGTCCATAGTGCCAGTGCTCTCCAAGTGCAACGGCATGTTCACCGATGATGGGGGTTTTGCAATGTTTACAGCGAGGGGCATAAAGTTCGTGCCAGTCGAGATGGCAATAGAATCGTAGCCTAGCATCTCCGTCTTCGGCTTCTGTTTCACCTTCAGTATCGGGGATGATTTCTCCCTGTGCGCGGCGCTTGATACGATCGAGACGTGCTGCGCGGGAGGCGGCGGGTTCTGGGCTGATTTCGAGGTCTTGAAGAGCGGTACCACATGTGAAACATATGAAGCATTCCGGATGGAACCGCTCGGGTATACCACGAAGGGCCACTACTTTGCCTTCAATCGGCAATTGGCACTGGTGGCAAGTTGCAGTGGCTCGACTACCTACCGCAGGAGACCAGTGGCCTCGAGGAACAGGTGTAGGGGCTTGTCGTGGGTTAGGACGTTTTGAGGCAGTCTTCGGATCTGGAAGGGGCCTTGCTGTTGATTGTGACGATCCAGGCTCTGAAATTGTGGGAATCTGAGGCCTGGATTGAGATACTGGCTCGTTGATGGATGGAATATTTATCGTTGGTACAGCTGATGCTGATTTGGTTGGGCTTGACCCTGGCTCAATGATCGTTGGAACACTAGGAGCCGAAACAGAAATTTTAGGGGAATCAGGAAAGCTCATGGTAGGGACTGACGGTGTTGCTGAGAAATTTATACTGGGCACTGGAACGTTCACTTTGGACGGTGCACTAGAATCCTTGTTTGATGCGATAGGCGTCGGACCTGGTCGAGCAGGTAGGCTTTGCTTTTGGCTATTTGGGCGGCGATCGAACGGCGATCTTCTTCGCACTTCTGGCTTGTCATCAGCCTCTTGCGGCTTCCAATTTTTATCAAAGCTTACAATAGGTCGGCCAGGTTTATCACTGACTGCAGTGGGTGTGGGGAGTTTTGGACTGCGGTCACTAAGACGCATACTTGTCGCTTGACGTATATCATCACCTCTGATCTCAACACCGTTCTTTTTTTGGACATCTTCCTTCTCGGCTTCTGGTACGTTCGCCGGGGAAGGATTTGCAGTATATGCAGGATTTCTTGATTGCGTTGGTGGATTTTTATAGATCTCGGTTGTGGAAAGCTTCTTGGTGATTTCAGGAGGAGAACTATTCGATCGTTGAACATCGCCCGAAAACTGGACACGATTCAGAGGATTTCGGGGTTTGACTCGTAGAGCAGAGGCAGGGCGACCATCTAAAGTTCGACCACGATCGGAGTCGCTCGCAGTCTCTCGTTCTGGCTCCTCCCAAATCTGTTCACCGGTAAAGCTGCCTTTGATTTCTCCGCTAATATTTCTCTTACCACCACCGCTCATTTTCCTCCCGTGTTGTGGTCGGCCAACACTACCGTAAGTTTTGGTAGCCGCTTGTTGGGCCATTGCATCTCGACCAGTATCTAGAGATCCACGTAACGTTGGTTCTGCAGTAACGCCAGTCTTGATCGGGGAGGGAGGTGTTGAACTTCCAGAGCTCTTTTGTCCTTCGTCATCGCTACTGGTTGAGTTTGTCCTTGGAACTGCATCCCTAGCAAGTCCTGTAGCCATAACAAGGCCTCCATTGCGTCCAGCGCTCTGAGTCCTCGCGTGTGCATAACTGTTCTTCCTCAAGTGGTCTTTATATCGATAAGGCGCGTCAGGGTTCTTGAATTTTTCCCCAAACTGGTGCACATAGACTAACTCGGATGCTTCCTCTTGCGCGGCATTGTGGATTCGCAGTTCCTCGTCATGCTCTCCTTTCATATCCATGTCCTCCATAGCCTCTCGTAGAGCTACTGCCTCTTCCTTTTCCATCCATCTCAGGCCACGTTCTATATAGGTAGCACTGGGTACAACTTCGGAGGGTTTGAGAGGAGGCTCTTGAGATGGTGGCTGAACGAGTGATCGACCTGCTCTAGAGCTGACTGATGAATATGATCCGAGGGAATTTCGAGCTGGTCGGCGCGAAAAGGAACTTTCGGGTCGCGGTGAAAGATCGACAGAAGCTGGGATCTCTGGTGGGACCGGGGTGCTAGCTGATAATATCGACGATAGTGAATTCGATTGCCTTCGTTTACTTGGAGGGGCAGGTCTTGCACCACTCGGGCGCGTAACACGATTATTTCTTAAATCTGCTAAGTAGTCCGCTGCTGATGGTTAGCAAAGAGGCAAGACCATTTTCGAACCTCTCGAATTTCTCATGTAGGTGTAAAACCAGAAGAGAAAAATCGAGCTCACCAAATTGATCATTTGACATATATGACGGGCCAGGAGGAGAGACCTTACGGTCGGTTTGCTCTTTGGATTTTTCTCTCAACAACATGGTGAATATTGGAAGGTAGAAAAGTTTGTTCTATTCCAAACTAACAATTTTGACAAGGCAGAGAAGCTTTAAGTATGGTAGGTAGGTAGTGTAGGTGGATTCGTTGGCGGTGTGTGTTGCGTCAGAGGTTGTATCCAATGTGAAAGTTCCAAGTATTTGTGATAGCAATATTCGAGGTATGATTCGTGGGTCAATATTGGCTGGATATTGAAGATGGTGAAGGAGGGAGAGAAATTGAAGAAATTATAGAGGGGAAAGAGAGTAAAGGGAAACCAATGTTTACCAACAAAAGATATTGATTGTAGAGATTGTACGGAGTAGAGAGTGCCAAGTAGTAATAATAATAACATATACTTGTTATAGGTCTGAGATGTTATGAATTTGAGAGTAACAGGAAAGTGAGTCAAATATGTATTTTATTGTATTGTATCACTTTGTACTCTTATTTTAACCTTTTAAGTTCTCTCAGCTGTTTTCTATACAAATACATGACAATGTTTTTCTACTTTGCTTTATCGTTTATCGCGCCGGAGTCAACAATTGGCTGAGGCTAAAACAGTCGCCGCAGCAACAACGCTTGGGGAAGACATCTAAGCAGCAAGGGAAGATGTATCATGTATCATTCGTTCATTCATTCATTCATTCAATTCATTCGCTGATTTGTATCGTACCAATTGTGAAGATATATTACTTGCCTAATTCAAACCATGCAAAAGTTCGATTTCTCATAAATTAGCAAGATTCTCCAAGCTTCTGAAGGTCCCATTATTTTCTTCCTTTTTATCTGCATTTTTGGGGATCCAGTTAATGGGGATCGGGTCATGGTAGCTGCATAACAAGTTGAAAACGCATCCAGAACAACGAATACGCCGAAGCGGCTGTACTACGAGTAGAAAAGCTGATTAGTAATAAATACATGGGAACGAATGAGATGACATTTTCTCAAAAGAAGTTGGGAACCTAGGCCGAATCAATGTAAAATGACACCACTGTCCCCTCTGTTGGTGGGTGGCTATGGTGGAGGGAATCCAGGGCCAGCATTTGCTTCCTTTCTTCTTCTTCATCTCCTTCTTCTTCTTCATCTCCTTCTTCTTCTTCACCTCTTCCATCGCAACCCACCAACGTCTCCACCCACCCATAGGGGCCTCCGAATCTCACGCCTTCGTCAATGTATCAACGTCAGCCATTCTTCCATTCCTGATCCATGGCCTGCAATTGATAAAATACAATGCACATGCTGCATGCACATTGGTATCCATCCACATATGTCCATCTCATCAAGCAAAATGGTTGGTGGTGAAGGACAGCCATCGGATCTTCGGCTCCAGATTAACCATCAACAAGCTCCTGTAGGTACTCGGTAGGTAGGTATCTTGATGAAGCTTTTCTTTTTCTTATTCCCGAGTTTGTAGCGATTGGATTCTACAGACCATAACCATAGCCATAGGTGGTGACTAACTCGAGGGATTACCTACCTAGTACCTGTTAGCTTTGCGGGGAAGAGATCAGGTAAAGAAAATCCATTTCATGACTAAAATTTTCGCCCTCTTCGCCATCACTTCTTGAATCATGCGCCGGTTACGGTGAGTAGGAGATTGCTATTGGACTTACTTATCTCTATGCATTTCCTTTTATAATTTTTACCCATTTTCTTTTCTTCCTCTCTTCAAGCATATATTATCTATACTTTTCTCATCTCATTCCTTGTCATCGATTCTCCCTCATATAAAATGAGTGCCCTAAAAGATGAGCGGTCAGGAATACGGCATGACAACGAAATCAACGATGCGAATGCGGTGGGGAATGTGGACAATTATATAAGGGGCCCGTTAGATAAGACCCATCCAGTGAAAGATCAAAGACATTACACCGATGACCCCGATAGAATAGAGCACTCGAAGCCGATTGATGTACCCCCGGATGGCGGATATGGTTGGGTCTGTGTCGCATGCGTATTCTTAATCAATGGACATACTTGGGGAGTGAACAGTGTTAGTGAGAAAGCTTGGTATACTTTCCTAATGCTAATAATTCTGTCAGTCCTATGGAGTCTTTCTCGCTCACTACCTCGCGAATAATACTTTTCCTGGCGCAACTTCACTTGAATATGCATTCGTTGGTGGTTTATCCATTTCCCTAGCTCTGTTTACGGCACCGGTAGCTACCATCTGTACGCGCAAGTTTGGAACACAAATTACTCTAGCCGTTGGTATCTTATTCGAAACGGCGGGACTTCTGGGAGCTTCTTTTGCATATGAGATATGGCATTTGTTTCTATCACAAGGTGTCGCTTTTGGGTTCGGTATGGGCTTTTTATTCGTAGGTAGTGTTGGAGTCGTCCCACAGTGGTTCTCGAAGCGCCGATCTTTAGCCAATGGTATTTCAGCAGCTGGAAGTGGGCTTGGAGGTTTAATATATTCCTTGGGGACAAACGCAATGATTCAATCCATTGGATTAGGCTGGGCTTTTCGCATATTGGCCATTTTGGCTTTTGGAGTTAATACCATCTGCACAATCATGGTTAAGGATCGAAATAAAGCTGTTGGATCTGTTCAAAAAGCTTTTGACATGCAATTGTTTAAAAGGCCTGAATTTCTTCTCCTACTTGGATGGGGATTCTTCAGTATGCTTGCATACATCGTTCTTCTTTTCTCCTTGCCAAATTACGCGAGGAGTATAGGTCTCTCAGCCAAGCAAGGTTCAGTTATTGGTGCTCTCCTAAATCTCGGACAAGGTCTTGGTCGGCCACTCGTGGGAGGCTTCTCGGATGTAACCGGACGTATCAATATGGCAGGCGTGTGTACTTTCCTAGCAGGATTTTTCTGTCTCGTCATATGGATCTTTGCTAAATCCTACGGCGTTCTCATCTTCTTCGCTCTCATCGTTGGAACTGTATCGGGTACATTTTGGGCTACTATCGCTCCTGTAGGCGCTGAAGTAGTCGGTTTGAAAGTTCTTCCTTCGGCTCTTTCTCTAACTTGGCTAGTTCTTGTGATCCCTTGCACGTTTTCTGAACCAATCGGTTTAAAACTGAGAGCTTCGTCTGGGGATATATATTTACATGCGCAGGTTTATGCGGGATGTATGTATATTGGAGCGGCGATGTGTATGTGGGGTGTTAGGGCATGGAAAATTAGGGAATTGGATAATTTGAGGGATGGTGATAGGAAGGAGGAGGAAATTAGGGATGATGATGAAGTGAGGAGGGAGAGGGAGAGGGAGATGGAGAGGGAAAGAGAGTTTGATGAGGAGAACAAGGATGAGGTGGGTGTTGATGTGCCCGTGAGGAGACAAATGACGAGAACGGAGAGTGTGAAGAGGGTTACGAGGGGATTGTGGGTTTTACGGAGGGTGTAGTGAGAGTATGATAGATACATATTATGTTATGTACAATAATACAAAAAAATGATTTATAATAGATATAATAAAAGAAATATGTTATCTTTTTAAACATTATCTGAGGTCTTTGATTCTCTTTCTATGGTTGGATACAATATTCTAATTAACAGAGGCTTGGAAATTAAATGATCTTTAATAATAATGATGTATGTAGTGTCTGTCAGCAAGAAATAAGTCGTTTGGAATAATAACTTGTAAGCTGTAACTTGTAGCATTGAAGTGATTGTGTTTGTTACTTTGAGTGAGTGATAGTGATGTAATTCATAGAATGTGTTTTTTATATAATCTTATTTAGATATTTGATGATTTGTTATTTGTAATTATATAGAATAATATATATATATTAGATATATAAAAATTTGAAATAGAATAATAATGATTTTGAAGATTAGATTTATATTAAATTTATAAATTAGAATTAAATTAGGAATTTGTTGAGATGTATATTAAAATATTAAGATATTAAAATTAATTATTTATTTATTTATAAGATATTTAAATGTTTAATTATAATGTTTAATTACAAGTATGAGTTTATAGTATAAGTTTTTATATTATATATGTAATACAAGAATATAAAAAATTAATCAAGATGATTGATTGATTTATTGAAGCTTAATTAAATTCCGGAGATTCGATTTATTATAAAGAAAAAGAAATAGAAATAAAATAGAAATAGAATAAATAAACTGATTATAAATAAAGAGGAAATATTTATATATATGTAAGAATTCGATGAAAGTCTTTATTTTTTGTTGATGTTTTTTTATTTAAGTTTAATTGTTATATTATATAAATTAATAGATAGAGAAGAGAGATTTCTTAGCAATTATGACAATATTCCTACATGTCTGTTTTTCCACCCTTGGACTAGTTATTATAAAGAAAAGAAGGAAAGGAAGAAGAAGAAGAAGAAGAAGAAGAAGAAGAAGAAGAAGAAGAAGATTTAATCATTACATCTACATCTACCATACCATCAAATCTAAAACTATTCGAACTCAACAGTCGGCCACTATAGCCACCAGCAAGTACCCGATTAGACACTTAATCCCCCTAATCATCCAATAAAGGATCCTCAGTAGTCCTCCCTTTTCGTATATTTCACCTCAGTGGTTGAGGATTCTATCTTTTTAACCTTTTAACCTCCTATCCATGGCCATCCATGGCCAGTCACCGTGTTACAGGCTTTGAGTATTATCTACTAGTTAGTTATCTAGACATTTCTAGAGTTTACTCTGAGCCTGTCAGATGCTCGTATTCTCCAACGTCTCCAACGTCTCCAACTTCTCTAAATTCCTCAGAATCCCATAACCCAACAACCCCATAACCCAACAACCCCATAAGCTTTCAGCCCCTTTCACTCCTCTCGCTATTTCCCCTAATTAACTACTTCCTCGCTAAAGAAGCTAACACATAAGAATTAAAGCACCTTGTACTATACACGTACTTAACCACAATAATCCGTGAACTAATCCTCGAGCTCGTACCCTACTAAGACTTACATTCTCCACCGCATCTCATCGTACAAACTACATTGCCTCGGACTCGGTGTCGGTGATACTTATTCCTCAGCTAGATGCTAAAGGCTAGACTTGCCAAGTTTTCCGAATGCAAAGCAGGGTTTTCCTCGAGAACTCTCTCATGTTGATCATTGGGAAAGAAAATATAAGTAGAAATACTATGTTTTATTATATAGAGACTTTTCCCCTTGGCTTAGGGATAGAAATCGATGTCTTGAGTTCGAACATGGTTCGCTAGATCTCCTTCTGAAGGTATTGGAAGGATCGGACTATCTTCGTACTCTGCGGTGCAACATTTCGCTTTTGCCTTTTCTTCACTGTTTTGTTGTGGTTATTTTGCTGTGAGTAAGTTGAGCGGTGCTGTATTGGATGGGGTTGGTGTTTGCTGCTTGCTGGTGTTGACGAGGTTTGGATTGGCAAGCGATGGTTATCAGAAGTTAGATTTCGAGGATCCGGAATATATAATGGGAGTAAGAACGATTTGATTCTTAATTTCACGAGATGGATCTGCGGAGAAGGGTGAAGATTGAGAGAGAACAGCTATTTATTACTTGATACTCATATTATTTGTAATGTGAGGTAGAAACTTGAACGATTTAGCTAGAGAGGCCAAGTCAAAAGGAAGTCGTTTTGCTGAATTAGAGATTTCGAAGCTCTTGTTCGTACCGACCGTGCTTCACCAGTTAGGTCTGTTAAGTATTCCACTTTTGAAGCCGTGGTCCCATAGCGATAGAAGCGTGTTCTCTGATTTCCTGGCCTCTGATTACTATGAAGAGAGATTAAACTCAATTTCAAGATCAATACAGAAGCTCTTCAGCCGTATCAGGAGTGTAGCCTGTTTTTTTTACATGTTGTCTTGTGAAATATAGCGTCTTGACTACAAGTTGACACATACATTGTAATGTCTATGATGTTCAAAGGATTATGACAAAACAAGAAACAACTTTTGACTTATTTCAAATACTGTACAAGATCAAGTAAAAATGCTCAATATGCCTTTAACCTGAAGATTGATCCCGCCTAACCATGCATTATACATGACATCGAGCAGTGGTCAGAAGAGTCTTCAAAAAGACAAGACTGAACAAAAGAATGGACGATGAGACTTATAGCACTGCGTCAAGATCGAAGAGAAGAGCTGACGGATGGTGATATTTTGGTATTAATATATAGATAACCCGGAATCTAGAAGTAAACCAACCGAAACAAAGTATTTCAATGTCCTGAAGCCATTTCCATATTTAGGGCTATTTCTCTGTAACCATCTCAATGTCTGAGGTTACCTGAATTTATAAAGCTATCTCATTTTTAGAGGCTATGGATAATGTTTATAGCGAAAGCCATTTTATTAAACGAAAAAAATAAATGAAAGTAAAAATTGATATCGAAATCGATATCAATGTCCGCATGTAACCATTTCAATATCTGGATGTCTAGGCCACCTCAATATCTACGGCTCTTGCATTATTTGAGGTCATTTCAAGAATTGTAAGCATCTCAATCTTCTAAACCATTCTCAATATCCAAGACCAAAACCATAACCAGAACCATAAATAAGCACAACCATTTCAACATCAACATCTCTTCGAATACCACAATTGAAACTATCCAATTATCCCATCATCCAGCCATCTCGAGCTCAACATACAAATCCCAAACCCCAATTTCCCAATCAAAACCGCAACTCCCAATCTCAGCCTTGAAGATTACCTGCTCTGCTCTGCTCTGCTCTGCTCTGCTCTGCTCTGCAATACAATACAATACAATACACTATCCCGCCATCAACTCAACTGCAAAAAGATAAATAAAACTTTATATACTTTATAAGATCTTACCATTGTAAAAGAAACAAGAAAGATACACTCAAGACATAAGGCTTACCTACCTAGTATCTTATTGAATAGTATCTCACTTAATAGACAATAATAATATATCGACTAACTACCTCCCTACCAATACCTACCCAGGCCAGTTAAAAAGAAAAAAGGAAAAAAGATCCGAGCTTCCTTTCCTTTCCTTCCCTTCCTTCCTTCAGCTCACCATGCACTCACTCATTGCATTATTAGATACATAGTACATACCCGGTACAGTAAGTACTATGCATGTACTCGAAGTCCATGGTTTCTGGTATGTATGTACAGATATGTATCTAGGTCGGTATCTAGCTTCTACTCGGCAACGTAATCAAGCCTCTTGGGAAAAATAAGAAATAAGTGCAGTGACACGTCAACGCGACTCAGCTAACTTACATAGTACATACATAGTACATACATAGTACATACTGTACATACAGCAAGCAAGTACTCGGTAGGGATTCAAGGGTGCTACTCGGTCATTTTCCATCCATTTCCATTTTTGCTTGGCTTTGGCTTTCATGATTGGATTCTTCAGCTGTAGTGCGTATTCTGTGTTGGGGGGATTCTTCGAATTTATTCGATGGATGTGCATGGAATGGAATGAAATGAATGAAATGAATAGGATGAATAGGATGAATAGGATGAATAGGATGAAATGTCATCAGTGGTAGCTCGGAATACTGCAGATGGGTGGAGGATATGTACCTCCGTACCTCTCTCTGTATGCAATGGTTGGAGAAGAAATGAAATAAAATGGAGAAGAAGTGCTACAGAGTTACAGTGATGGATGGATGGCAAGCTGTAACTGATTCAAGAAAGACCCTTTATCCTGCAACTTTTGTAACTTTTATAACTTCATTATTGATATTGATATTGATATCGATATTGAGGAATTGTTCAATATTTACCTAGTGTTACAGTAGTCTTTATTAATTGATAATCAATTATTGTTATTATTCACCTATCTATCAAGCTTACTGAATAAATAAATAAATAAATAAAATCGAAACGTGTCTTGTAGCAACAAGGTACTCTCTATCTATATCAATATTATATACAATATAATTTCTTGAGCAATGTTCTTCAATGAGAGTGAGTACCTAGGTACACACCGGTATATCGCTCTTCATTTGCCCATGAACATACGACAGTATACATACATACAAAGTACAGTTGGCACAATGAGTGGATGAACATACTCATTCATTCATCTCATCACCTTCCGATAGGTATGATTCCCAGTACTTTGACAAATTGACACATTTCCCCTATATTATTATTATTATTATTATTATTATTTCGAAAACTTCAAAACTCATCCAATCATCACGAGAACCAAACGTGTCAAAAATAAACATGTGATCAATTCAATCCAATCCAGTCGCCCAATCCAAAAACTGATGAAATATCCATCCCGAGTCCGAACAAGAAAAAATAAACTGGTTGTCAATCAAAAACTTAAAACATGAAAAAAACAAACCAAAAACTTAAACATATTGAAATCGTGGGGGACAACTTTAAATCTTTATGTACGGTGCTTTGTAAAAACCCATCATCTCGGAAGCTTTTGTATCTATTCTATTATTATTGTGTGTGCGTGCATGAAATAATGAAAAATCGATATTTGATAAGAAAACAAAATGCCCGTCATCGTTTGACGCTTTTTCTTGGCGTAAGATGGGGGAAGTGTGGGTGAGGGTGAGAATGAATGTAGAGAAAAGCTTGAGTTTGCACCTGTGCAGGTGAGGTGAGCTTGAGTCGCAAATTTAAAATTAAAAACTCGCTTGTTGTATTTGGATTATGGGTGATCATATTCTGAGTACAGGATGGAGATTAGAAGTACTCCGTACGGACACGGAATTTATTTCTTTACTCGGTTGTGTCGTATTCCATCGTATTCCATCGTATTCAATCGTATTCAATCGTATCCAAATCCGAGGTATCCGTAAACTGTAGTTTCAGTATCATAAGCACAAGACAGCCTCGGGACAGAACAACCATAATGTTTGTGTTGCAATAAAGTTTTTGATATATACTTTCACGTTCACGTTCCGACCCCTTCGTTCCAAACAAAGGGATGAAAGTGTGAATGTGATTGTGGCGCTCTTTAGTATCCAAACGAGGCTGGGTTTTGATATGTCGCTTTCATCAAAAAAAAGCATGCGCCTCCTTCACTGCTGCAGTACAACAGAGCACTCAACTATGACTCATACTAAACATCCTCCAAATTATCCGCAACCAATGTATATGAAGTTATGTATCGATTAAGAGATCAATAAGATCTCAGCCTTCTCAATACGACAATGTACAAAGAGTTAATGATGCACCTTCGTCTGCATGTAATAAATGGAAAATGTCACATTCTCGTGTCGTCGTGAGGCTCAGTAAACACCATGGGATGGAAATCGTCGAGAGTCAATTTCAAGTAACAAGACGATAAATACCAAGGAGGCTAGATTGACTGGATGGAATAATGGGATAATGAAAATGATAATGGAAATGGGAATGGAAATGGGAATGACGATTTTCCAGATAAAGAGAGGGAACAAAAGGCCAGATCCAGATGATGATCATCTTTCTCTATTCTTCATTTGGAAACTATGGAGCGATAATCGGACGGGGGAAGTGCCAATTTATTGATAAAAGGTCAAAGAGAGCCCAAAGATAGATGGTAAGTGCCAAGGGTGAATTCGCTATTTGCAAATCAGTCGTAGCGCTACCGAAATGATGGAATGATGGAATGGAGGAATAAAATTTTCTTATTGGTTGATGGGTGGCGGTTAACCGATTTGTTGCCTCTTCCAAGGTTTTAGTAAATTCGGCTTCCGTAGTGCTGAGTTACTTCTTGTACTTGTCATCAATTTCTCACCTTTCTTCTTTCTATTCTGTCCTCCTTCTTTCGCCTCCTCATTAGTTTGAACTTTGTGCTCATGACAACGGGTGCCAGCTACCGTTGCTTCGACCACTTCGACCAGAGATATATACGATACGATACGATACGATACGATACGATACGATAACATCAACAGAAGGATCTTTCTCGTGACGGAGCCGATGAGGATACAAGAGAAACGAGAGGCACGATGAGAAAACGGGATATGTAGGTGTTGAACGAAGAACTTTGCAGTTCTGGTGGAAGGACGCGTCACTGCAGCATTATTGATTTGACTCCTTTTTTATTATTATTATTTACCAGGTAAACAGATGTTGGGTGGGAGTTGGTTTCAAGAGATTTCAAGTAGGGTAGATCGTTGTAAGCTGAATTTTAATTGGTCGATAACGTCGCACTTTCTCGCGCCGGACTCAAAAGAAAGGATTTTAATTATGGGTCGCGTACGGTTTTCCATAGATACCAAAGTAGTATGTTTTATATATAAGAACCACCGCGCTTTCAGAGAGAAAGTCCTGAACCCCTCTGGCCGCCTTTAGATTTTGGTTGTACGTAATCTATTTTATTTTATTTTACGATTTCAACCACAACCACAATCAATCCAACCCACCTTGAACACTAGAATAAAGTCCATATTCTAATCATACCCCTCCTCTCCTCCAAACCCACGAACATACATTGCGCTTGATTGTGCGAAGTATCATACATTCCTTTAATAAAGAATCTCGTCCTTTGCGACTCCGGTTTATCGTCGTGATTCACGTCGCGACATATCTTACCGTTGGATCTCGTCGCATAACAGCCTTGCCACTGGAAGTTCAACAAGAGAATCTTCTAAACAAGAGCTTCTTCACATCCTGATAATAATATATCAGTGAGTGATTGTTACGGCTCCGACTTTCGATCAGTATCAAGATCTTCAAGTCAGTCAAAGACATCATCGTCGTCGAGCAGAAACTGTAGGGGAGACATTGACTTGTTTATCTCCCACAAACGGTACGGCTTTTATTTACCTCGGCGGTTATAAAACAATTCTCATAGCCACATCTTCCCATCCCCAATCCCTTTTACTCTCCTACCTCATCGACGGTTGCTTTCGAGTTACGCTTTTCAAATAAAGAACGCTGTCTCGAACGCCTGTCGTACTCTATTCACTCTCGGTCCTTCCGATTCTTGAATAGAACATCTACTCTTATCGCTGTACGATTGCGATCTAACATCTACATACAAATAGATCTGCTCTCGATCCAAAACCAATTCTTCTAATAAATAACATCACCGTCACCATGGACTCCATTCAGACACATCCATCCAGTGCCGTCGAGGCTAAAGAGTTTGTCGCTATGGGCTCACTTTCATTTCCTGGCGGCGCTGCCGATGTCACCCCACCCTCCGCTAACGAGGCTGTGGCTGGCAAGCAGCAAACTATGCCTGCCGGTCCCACTACAACCTCACCACCTGCCACTCCCGCCACTACTCCCGCTGCCACCCAAGGTGTCAGTGGAATCGTTCCCACGCTACAGTATGTATAACCCTTGTGCCTCTATATTTTCCATGTGGCTTATCTTGCATGTAAAGAAATATCGTTGCCACAGTCAACTTAGACTGCCGTCTTGATTTGAAGACCATCGCACTACATGCAAGAAACGCGGAGTACAATCCAAAGGTGACTACTGATTCTAGGCTTGCTATGTAACCTTCGTTTTGCTAACCTACCCAGCGTTTCGCTGCGGTTATTATGCGTATTCGCGATCCCAAGACTACGGCTCTGATATTTGCATCGGGAAAGATGGTTGTTACTGGTGCAAAGTCCGAAGACGATTCGAAATTGGCATCCCGCAAATATGCTCGTATCATTCAGAAGCTTGGGTTTAACGCAAAGTTTACCGATTTCAAGATCCAGAACATCGTCGGTTCTTGCGATATCAAGTTCCCCATTCGCTTGGAAGGACTTGCTTCGCGCCATATGAATTTCAGCTCTTACGAGCCTGAATTGTTCCCTGGTCTCATTTACAGAATGATGAAGCCTAAGATTGTTCTTTTGATCTTCGTCAGTGGTAAGATCGTCTTGACTGGCGCTAAAGTCCGTGAGGAAATTTATCAAGCTTTCGAGATGATCTACCCTGTGCTTCAAGGTAATTATTTACAATACACACATTGTATAACAATCGCTAACATCGACCCAAGATTTCAAAAAGGTCTGATTCAGTTCAGGTGTACCACCATTTCTCTTGTACAACATTATTTTACGATCTTACGAATATTCACATGCATGGTAGGCGTATCAAAGGGGGGGAAAAGAGTCAGAGAAGGGACTCATACATTTGTGCTTTTCAGCATGTTTACGCGTTACTAGTCCTCATAGACTGCGAAACATTCTATCACCTTCGACGGATGGCATTGGTGCGCAGGTCCTACGATGCCGTCATTAATTGCTTCTTCCCTTTCCGATAGAGCAAGTATTCAAAATGGCCTTAGTTGGTACATTTTACAATAAATAATAAATGACAACATTAGTCTATGTATATCGTGCAATGTCCATGTGAAGCTTTTTATATGATGTGGCCTAAAATGAAGCCAAGTAAGATAGGGTTCCTTTTTTGTTGGCAAACCATTGTCTTATGAAAGTTGATTTTATGTTGAGGCTAATGGCAGAAATGATTTTGTTCATTGAAGTTTACTTCATCGCCTTCATGTTATAAACCATCACGTACATTACATTCTTTCTAGCATCTATATATACGCAACCTTCATATAACTCTTCTCCATCTAATCATTTCCCCGTCTGCCGATTCTGTGCTGGGAGTGATACATAAACACCATGTAGCATCTCAACTCCAACAACTGTTCAACGAAAGACAACGTATATCTCCAAAGAATTGCACATGCAAAGCCCTCGACCTACCACTCTTAAAGTTTCTCCCCTCTAGGCCCCGCCCGACTCCCATCATCCGTCATACCATCCCAGTCATCCCTCGTAACCTTCCACGCCCACTTCCCCTTCCAAACTTCATCTTTCCCCTCCATCACATCTGCAATTTTCTCTCCTAACACAGGAAGAAATTTAAATCCATGACCGCTACCGCCTGTTGCTAAAAATACACCTTTGAGACCGAGGCCGCCGCTAGATTGTGGTTTGTCGCAGTAGGTGATGAGGAATTCGCCCGACGGTGTGTCGGTATACCAGCAGATTCGCGTGTGTGAGAAGGGGCGGGGCGGAAGATCGGGGAGTAAGGTATGTAAGGCGGTTGCGGCGGAGGTTTGGAAGGCCATGGGGACGCCGTTGGTGGGGCAGTCGTAGCTTGTGAGAGGGAGGGAGACGCTGATGGTTTCGCCAGCGGAGGAGGGGTGGGGATGAGGGATTGTGGTTGGGTTTGAGTATCCGTGGGCGTGGCGTGCGATTTTTAAGATGTTGTTTCTTGGAGGGAGAATGAAGAAGCCGGAGCTCATGTTAAGGAGGACGGGAATGTTTTTGTATTTTTCTTGTTCTTCGTCTGTGATGTCGATGTAAAGCAAGCATTGTCCGCTAGAGTGCACTTGAGAACGGAGATCAAGAAATTTGGCACTCCAGGCTCCGGCTGCGAGAATTGTAAGGTCGGCGAAGTATTGGGTGCCAGATGCGGTGTTGGCTCCGAGAATAGTGCTTTGATCGGGGGAGAAGATGAGGGATGTAACTTCCGAGACGATGAATTTGACGCGGTCATCAGCAATCTTTTCAACCTCTTTTCGTAGCCAGACCAAGGAAGCTTCTGCATCAGCCCATCCTGATCGTCGGTTTATGTATCCCCATTCTCCACTTCCTGATCCTGCTTGAAAAAGTTCCTGTATAGTCTCTGCTGAGGGCAATTCTAGGACTCCCTCTGTATCTCCAGCTTGTTTCATTAATTTTTGGACATTTGAGAAGCTTGCTCGTACATATCCTTGTCCGCTATTTTCATAGGAGGTGTCGCAGGTTAAACATAAACCGCTTTCGGAGTACCGACCTTGCCCGCCGAGTTCATCATCGCCAGTTTGACGCCACTGTTTCTGAGCTGAATCTGCAAGTTCGGCATAGAGGGGATCGGAGTAATCGGCGCGAATGATGCGCGAAGAGTCCACGGAGGAGGCATCCGGGGCAGGAAAAGGGGATCGGTCCAGAAGGGTTATGGTTGTGGTTTTGTAGGCGGGCCGTTTTAAAAGAGTGAGGGCGGTGCTAAGGGAAAATACACCTGTGCCGATTATGAGAATTGAGGAAGGAGGGGTATAAGCAGTCATTATCAAGAGTGGGGGCAGGAGGAGCTTTATAGAGGGTATACTTGGAGGATGTGGGATGAGGGTAAGATGATAAGAAACGAGTTACTCAAGCTCTGCGGAGCATATCAAGATGGACGAGAAAGTTAACGAGGAGACGACGAGAAGGGAAGGAAACAAAATGTCTACAATTGCTTCCATAGTGAATCATTTATAGTGGGGGCATGATGATTGATACCGGAACCTTGAAGGGTATTTGGCAACTATACCAAATCGTAAGAAATATGACAAAGAGGAACTGGAAAATAGCGCACCAACACCCGTCTGATGTTTGAATATGTGAATGAGATCCGTACTTCGGTTCTGCAAAGATGATTCATATTCACAGCGAGAGGATGTGTAGACAGAATGTTCGTGCTTAGTTGCTCAGAATTATTGTGATGCAAGTGATGTAGCAGCTCAGACCAATAATTATCAGCAATTAAGACAAGCTGATCTTTAGTAAGCCTGAGTGAAGGGCGCATGGGTAAGCTTTATCCGATTAAACGAAATCGCAGCCTCGTCGCAACAACTTCTCACGCCTTTCCACTAACATTATTTGGCAAAATCCCCATAATCCCCTTTTCGACGATTCGTCAATACAGTCGCATATGGAATTGGAAAGTGGTGTCGCAAGATGAGTTCCAAGAAGATCATTGAGTTTCCAGATGTTTCGAATAAGCTACAAGCTCCTACCAAGAAATCATTATTTGAGAGGCAGAAAGCAGATGCGGAAGCTAAGAGATTGAGAGAGGAGGCAGAAACGAAAGCTGTATATGAGGATTTTGTGAAGAGTTTTGATGATGAAGATGATGAGCCTGCAGCTGGGGTTGGTGGAATGGGTGGGGTTGGTGGCATGGGAGGAAATAGATACTTTGGAAGAGGAGGCTTGGGTAGTGGAGTGGGAAGAGGAGCATTTGGTGAAAGTAGAGGAGGGTTTGCGCCACGAGGAGGATTAGGGATGGGTAGTGGACCGGGGAGCTTAGGGCCCTTTCCGGGTAACATGAGCAGCAATACCTTGCCAAAGAAAAGAACCTTTGAAGGTTTCGCACAAAACTCACGCAGAGACGATATAGGTCCACTTGCGTTTGAGGATTATAGCCATGATGGACCAGCAGCCAAAAGTCTTAAGACGTTCGATCATGACGAGGAGAATATGGGAGCCAGCAGAGATGAAGAGAGAGCTGTGGCCAAACCAACCTTGCGATTGGCCTCTTTGCCTCCAGGAACTTCGCCCGCTGTCATCAAAGCTTTGCTTCCTACCAACTTGACTGTCGACGCTGTTAGAATCATACCACCTTCTGGACTGACTTCCTTCACGGAAAGGAAATCCATGTCAGCGATTGTCACATTGGCCAAAGATACCCCCGCGAACGACATTGACACGACTGTAAATTCTTTACAAAACAAGTACTTGGGCTTTGGATATTATTTGAATTTGCATCGGCATTTGTCATCGGCAGCTATTTCAAATTCTACACAGGTCACAAGTATAGGTAGTGCAACGGCCTCACAACCCTTCGGCGCGAAACCAGTCAACCCACCAGCAGCTCGCGGAGGTCCGCCGCCTCACAGAGGGGGATTTGCACCTCCTACCTCTTATAACAATATACCTCAACTAAGCCGTTCCACCCTTTTTGTTCCCGTTCAGCCACCACAGGATATCAAAGAATTGAAGCTCATTCACAAAACAATCGAATCGCTTCTCACACATGGACCGGAATTCGAAGCACTCCTAATGTCACGCGCTTCCGTTCAGCGAGAAGAGAAATGGGCATGGTTATGGGATTCGAGGAGTACAGGTGGTGTTTGGTATCGATGGCGATTGTGGGAAGTATTGACAGGCTCGCAATCTAAAAGAGGACAAGGAAAGTATCTTCCATTGTTTGAAGGCTCTTCGGCATGGAAGCAACCGGATCAACCTTTGGCATATGAATATACTACACGTCTCGAGGAGTTTGTATCGGAATCTGAATACAACTCCTCTGATGAAGACGACTCCGGTGACGAAGGTGCTAGACGTCCTCCGATTGACCCCAATACATTGAATGAAGACGGAAAAGCATATCTAAACCCTCTGGAAAAGGCTAAACTTACACATCTCCTAGCCCGTTTGCCTACTAGCACAGGCAAACTAAGAAAAGGAGATGTGGCGAGAGTCACCGCATTTTCAATCTCACATGCAGGACGAGGAGCCGACGAAGTTGTCTCAGCAATCGTGTCTAATGTCGAAAGACCCTTCGCTTACACGTCTGCAAACCCGGATCGCAAAAAAGAAAAGGAGAGAGATAACAGCGGTGATGATAACGAAGATAATGCTGAGGAAGAAGATACTAGTTCTGCATCGCTGATAGGTCTATATATTGTATCTGATATTCTGTCAAGTAGTTCTACGAGTGGTGTTAGACATGCGTGGCGCTATCGACAATTATTCGAACAGGAATTGCGGAAGAAAAAGACGTTTGACGGGCTGGGTAGGATGGAACGGAAGATGAAATGGGGCAGATTGCGAGCTGAGAAATGGAAGAGAAGTGTGGGTAATGTGCTGGGTTTGTGGGAGGGTTGGTGTGTGTTTCCGCAGGAAAGCCAAGACGAATTTGGAAGAGTATTCAGAGAACCACCTTTATCGGCTGAGGAACTCAAAGAGCAAGAGCAAAAAGCTCAAGAGGAGAAAAATAAAGAGAAGAGTAAATGGAAGGCTGTGGAGGTGGCTCCAAAGGAGAAAAGTCAAGAAGAACATAATGACGAAGATGGAGCTTTGGATGGTGAACCGATGGTAGAAGATGATGAGGATGTAGATGGGGTTCCCATGGAAGACGAAGATGTAGATGGAGAACCAATGATGGATAGTGATGATGGTGATTTGGATGGAGAGCCCATGCAAGTACAAGAAGGCGAGGAAGATTCTTATGAACCTCCTCCGGCAGCGAAAACGGCAGCAGCACCGGCGTTGAAAGCAGAAGAGTCTGCGCCGCAGAGGAGAGCAAGGCCAAGAGCTGTAGATATGTTTGCTGATTCGGATGATGAGGATTAGGCCGTTGAGGTCGTCCAGATTGCGCCGCCGAGTGGGATATTCGAAAATAATTTTACATAAATATATGATACCAAATATTGTATTCGTTATTTCCCTTCTTCCATCGTACTTCTGAGCTCTGCTCGCCTCCTCATTTGTTTTACAAGCCCCATCTCCAATACTTCCTTACTACCGCTCTCCTCTATTTACTAAACCTTGCCTGATACATACTACTATCCCCCTCCCTCAATCTCAACCTCACTTCCCATTAAAATACCAGCTTTAATATACCTACCTACCTGCCTACCTACCTACCTACCTATCTATCTATTCATTATAATCCCAATCTCCTCATAACCATAAAATAAATCATCGAAAAACTCTCTAGTCTCTGTACAAACAAACAAACAAACAAACAAATAAATCCAAACCCCACCACCAATATCATCGAAATAAAAGTTATGATTATGATAATATTAATTTACACGGCTATACTTAAATGTAAAATCTTATATAAGGGGATTATTCTGTGCTAATTGCTTATGGGAATATTGAGAATGCTTATTATTTGAGAGGGAAGGAAGGGAAGGGACTTACGAGTAAATAGAGGTAGAGGTGAGAGGTGAGAGATGGTTATAAAATGCTAAAGGGAGTGTTGAGTTATATATCTAGTTACATACTAGGTAGTTCCTTGTTGTGGAATAATTCAAAATGCGATATTTTAGAAGTTGGGAATGAGGGGTTCGAAAAAGGAGTAGATGTCAGTTAATATTATGGCATGAACGTGAAAATAAATGTAAGTGTGAATGTGAATGCTATATCAATACTAAATAATTTGCACTGACCAAACCATCTTCCTCTTGCCTGTTGCCTGCGCCGTGCACCAATACCAACAACAACACCAATAACCGTTTTACCTCCCATTCAACTATTGCAAAATTCATGTATATACAGCGAGTGATTTGGTACAATACCTCGTTACCAAGATTTATCATGAACAAATGAGGTCCTACCATTTCGACCCACACTACTAGCTCTCTCCCTTTTTCCACCATGTCCATCATTGGCTACACTCCCTCTTCTCCTTAACCCACCGGCCTTTCTTCTTCTTACAATCTGATATCCTCTATCCAATTCCGTTTCCACAGCACACCTGACTTTTAGTGCTCCCACAGCCGGCCACACACTTTTCTCCCCCCTCAAGATCCAATAATCTAGACTCTCCTTAGTAGGTGTCTCTAGAAGACGAATGAAATCACCTGCGGATAGAACTGGGACTAGTGTTACAGATGCGGCAGGTATATGCTCATCTACCAGAAATCTGCGAATGGACAAAGGGAGAAGTTGCAAAGAATCGAGTTGTTCTAGTCGATGCCGAATTTCCATAGTTATGAGATGTAGCAAACCGCCTGTTAAAGAGGTGCGTCCACCGCGGGTATAGAGACGAGAAGGACCGTGCATATCGGATTGAAGAAAGGGGACGAGGTAGGGGCGCGCTTGAGAGACGATGAAGTGGTTCACGTTGAAGAGTTCGGCAATGCGGGAGAGTGGTGAGTCCCGATCAGTATAGGATGCGTGGGTCCAGGGGCGGAAGGTAGCGTCTGCAGCAGCGGACCAGGGAATTATTTTACTTGTTAAGGGATCCTTGCATTTTAGGGTGACGGAGGATCCGTAGAGAGAAGGAGTTGAGGCATTAGATGCAAGGGCGGCAGACCATATCAACTGCTTCGGTTAGTAGGGTATTTGGCAGTGGAAGAGTATACGTACAACGTTGGGTGCTGTGAGATAGTTAAGTAGATTTGGTACTCCTCCCTTTCCACTTGTGGCTACCGTGATATTCAACACTCTCTTAGTCTTGTTATACGCTTCTTCAAACGTCAAATCACCCACATTTGCCCGTACACATTCCTCGAGTACCTTCAAATCCAAGAAGTAACCTTCCCTATAAAACCTTCTAACTCTCCTCGTCAAAGTATCCCACCATCCACTCGAACCCTGGAGCCCTCTTTCCTTCCCCGCAAAAGCAGAAAGATCAATACTCTCTCCATTCAAAAACTTTGGCAACTCATCTTCCGTATGGATTCCTACCAAAGCTGCGATGAGCGCTCCGGTTGCTGTGCCCGTCACAATTCGAGGCAATAACCCCCTATTAAATAAAGCTTTCACAACCCCCAAATGACATAGTCCAAAAATCGCTCCTCCCTGTAGTACCAATGTGCTTCTCCCAAAAGCCTGTCGAGTGTCATGCAACAGGTCCAACTTCGCCTGACTGCTAAAGCCCTTTACACTCCCATCATTCCCATCAGCGCCAGGCGTCGTAGGTAAATGAGTTACATCCGCTACAGCTTGTGCAACTTGCGTAATGTAATCTTCGATCAAGAGTTTCGTACCCGCAAATGCGCGATTGAAAAGTCGGGGAGCGCATATATTTCCAAGATTACGAACGAGACCAGACCTCAGCAGATTAACCAATTGTAGAATGTCTCCTTCTTCGCGAGCTATGATGATTGATTGCAAACGCTCGTGTATCAATCGATAATCGTAGTGCTTCGATGTAGGGTTCTGGCGCCTGCCCGTGGTTGTTCAATTAGCTGTTGCTCACCGCATGTACAGAAGGTATGGAGGTGAACAGACCATAAATCATTTCCCAACAAAACATCTAATTGAAAAGCAGCTTCTTCCCATTCCTCGTAGGTCTGGGCATCTCGTAAAAGATCCGACCAAAGCCGTACTGGCTTTTTCCGAGTCATCCATTGTATGAACCTCTATTTATACAATTAGCTCAATCCGGTTTACAAAGCTTACAGACAAGCTATCGCATTCCTTACTCTTTGCCAGAAGTACAAAACCTCCAGGAGCATGCCCCATATTCCCGATATTATACCAGCCATTTTAAGAGTATTAGAAATCTTCGGATCTGGACTACATGATTGATCGAAAGTCTTTGATGAAATGTAAGGTTGGATAGTTTATTTATTTACGAAACGAGAGTTCTAAGAATGAGAATTAGCATGTGATGATACTTTCCCCAGATTGTCCGGGATGAAGCTTTGGCCATTTTTCTTTATGCAGCAGCACATGCATATGCACATCTAGCACACTGGTAAGATTACATATCACAGGCTTCATTTATATGAAGACCTTCAAGTTAAAATGTCTCATTAATTTAATCCTTCAAAATACACTGGATTGTTACACATAGTTTGGTAACTTGGTATTTTGGAATCGATTGAGGGTATGCATGCATGCCAATGTCACTTATTTGTGCAGTAGAAGCTCAACTGTTGTACAATCGTCCATAAAACGCCGGGTATGTTAAGTAAACACAAGAGATGCTTTTTCCAAATGTTTGGTATATGAGTGCAGTATCTATGATCCCTATGAGACATTTCAATTCGAGATCATTCATCATCATCATCCTCAATGATGTTACGTTTTCTTCTATTTCCACCAACTTCCGCATGTGGAGCTTGAACAACTTCATCATCGTCCAGATCAGCTTCGGCATCGGCGTCAGCATCGCTCTCTTCGGCAGGTTTCGATCTCTTTTGCTTCTTATGTCTCGGGGCCTCGTCACTTTCATCGAGAATTTCTTCGTCATCATCGTCCCCTCCACCTTCCTCAAGTTCTTCATCACTAGATGCCAAAAAGTCATCCTCTTTATCATACTCATCCTCACGGTTTCTTCCACGAGGAAGGTCATCGTCTGAATCATACTCTGGTCTGCGACGAGGACGCTTGGCTCCAGCAGGTTTGCGTGGTCCACGGCGTCCAGAACGACCATCCAAATCATCAAGGGTAAGACCTGCACCAATACCTGGACGACGTCCAGTTGATTGACTGGCTCTTTCAAGTTGAGCTTCCCGACGACGTTGGGCACGCATACGTTCCTTTTCTGCCGTTTCTGCTCGCTTCTTTTGGAGTTCGGGATCTTCGTTTTTGACGATCATATTCAAGCGTTTCTTTTCGCCTCCTTCTAGACCAGTAGCTGCAGCAAAATTTTTCTTCAACCTATTCAGAGCATCATCCTCAATATCTTTGTTTGGTCTCACTGTGTACTCGTTGGTCATGTGTCCGACGACAACAAGAATCTGTGATGTGACTGAAGGTGAAGCCATGTAATAATGCGAGTCTAATACTTCGTTATACTTGTTATCCTTGGCTGGCGCAAGAGGTTTGCTTTGTAACTCATAATGCTGATCACCAATTGCTAAAGTAGTACTTCCATCGCTCCATGTGTAGATATTCGTATTGCTTTCGAGTTTGCCAGAATCTGTCTTGCGATAGCGAATCGTTGATTCAGCTACAGTCCTCGCGGAGAAATTTGCGGATTGAGTAGTGACATGATGATCGTAGACGGGGATTTCGAAAGTTTCAGGATTATATTCTCGGGGCTCGATACCAAAGAAATTGGGTAGGCGGAACGTGTGAAACTGCAAAATTGTTAGCTCTGCGCACAACAGATGAACAAGGCGCATTTACTTCTCCATCTGAAGGCCTGGGGACTGGATGCCTGAAGATATCAGCCTCGAGAATGCGCGCATTTCGAGTATCTTCAGTGGGTAATTCTTCTTCATCTTCCTTATTTGGCGCTCTATCATCGCGTCCCTCATCGTCTCCCGAATCCAATTCCGCGTCGCTCAGCAATCGAGGTGGTGCAGTCTCTGGTTCCTCGTCGGGAACATCTCCAAATAGATCATCATCCTCCTCAACATCGGAGATGTTGTTCATAACTTCGTCTTCTGAATTGGACGCCATGTTGTGCGGTGTATGTATCTATGGGTTATGAAATAAAACAAGGGTACAAGGTCGACCGCGAGCCCCAGTCCTGATCCCTAAGTTTCGCGTAAAGCTCCCGCTACAGTATGTAGATGCAAATTGAACTTTGGTAGACACCCTTGAAAGTGACTTATTGCAATTTTGTAAGGGAAATCAATCAATCTGTTTCAAACAAAGTATGATGACCCTGTGATCTCTAATGAGCTTCGTAATTTGTCTTCAACACAGTACTTTTTTCGAGCTGTAGCATAGAATTCATAGAATTGGTGAGGACATAGACATAGCATACCAAAGATCTGATTAAAAAGTGGAGGACACAAAGTACACCGCCTTCTCGGGTTGTTAGCCAATGATTGATGAAGTTTTAGATAGACTTGGACGGAAGAACAGTAAGGAAGAACCCGACGCTAATGGAGTTACAAGACTTCCTAAGCTTTTCTCCTATTCCTACTTGATATCATATACAAACCACCATCTTTCGACCACTTCAACTCAACCATCTTTTCTTTTGATCAGGAATCTGACCTACTGGGTCCTCTTCGGATAATTTGAAAGTCAAGAAATTGCCTGATTTCGAAAGCTTCAGCAATATGTCAAACTTGTTTTCAGGAATGTACGTGGTCGGATTTCTTATTTGTTATTTGGTGCCCTTTGATATTTGAAGCCTCAGTGGTAATACTTAATAATTCACCACTTTAAATTATCTGGGTGATGAAACCTGGGGCGGGGAAAAGTGTTCCATTATGGAGGAAATTTTTTCGAGGTGTAGTGATATGAGAAGTCGGCTCATTGTCACCGCCCGATATCTCTATCGGCTCAACCGACGTATCAGCAAGCAGAGTTGCTTGAAGCTATATGATCAAATGAGAAGCATTGGGGCCGATCTTATCGTTTTGTGTCAAACCTCTTTGGCCAAGGCGATTCTTTATCAGCAAAGTGTTTCGGCTTCCCCGCCAAAAAACTCCATGGGCTCTAGCTATGTACTTCACCTCCCCAAGGTATATTTGCTTTTTATACTTATTATTGACTCACTGATCCGTCAGTGTCTGGTCTTCGGTGTTACACAAACCCCAATGCTGTGCTTCTGGCTGCTCTGATGCGAGGCTTTTTATACCTTTTGTTTCTAGTCAACCTGAGGATGAAACCTGCTGACTGTTTTGTTTTTATAGAAGTGGTCGCTTTCGCGGCAGTGGTAAGAATTCTGGCGCGAAGAGTCCGGGTGGACTTAACGGAGTTTCGCCAACCTCTCCTACAGGCAATTCCCCCGTCAATTCTTCGTCACCTGCGAGCATGGCACCCCGCATCTCGCCACTACCCAACTCGCCTTCGCTCTCACAAACCATGTCTATGGATGACCAGCACCTTCCCCCTGCAGGCAGTGATCCTCTCGCCGCTTACAACCTCCCTCGCCCTAAGCCGCTCTGGCTGAACAATGCTTATGCTAAGCACATTGTTAAGGGCAATTTTATGACATTGTCTGCCCGCCCAAAGACAGTTGAGCCTGGAGAGTGGATTGCTCACCAAGGTAAGCCAAAACAAACATTTTGACAGTCATGTGCTAAAATTCGTAGTGGTTGAACATTATCGTATCTTGTGGAACTTTGTCCGGGTAATTCACGAAAAGGAAGAAGATGGTAACACCATTTGCAACCCCCAGACTTGCCCCCGCATGTCTGCTGGCGCGTAAGTCAACAGTTTTCGAGCCTTCATCGATACAATATCTGACAAGCTATGCTAGCAATCACTCCTTTACTTGGTTAAACTCCCGTAGAGAGCCTGTAGAGGTACCAGCCCATGAGTACATCTCCCTCATGCAGCGCTGGATTTCTGGCAAGATCGACAATACCGCTATTTTCCCGACTGATCCCGCCGGCATTTCCTACTGTCACAACAGTAGCGGTCCCGAGATCGCTGGCTCAACTTATGCTTCTGGCGGAGTCAACACCCCTGGCTCAAACACACCCATTCCTGCCGGCCCAACCACACTCACAACTTCTCTCTCCCAGCTTGCCGGAGCTGGTGAGTGGATCGGCAAGAGTAGCGGATTTCCCCAAGAGTTTGTTGATGTATGCCAAACAATCTTTAGACAAATGTTCCGAGTCTATGCTCATCTGTATTGGGGACACTTTATCGAGCCTTTCTACCATCTTAATCTCGACAAGCACATGAATAGTTGCTTCAGTCACTTCGTTTTAACGGCAACTGAGATTGACATGTTGAAGCCGCATGAATTGGAGCCTATGCAACCATTGATTGACCTCTGGGCTGCTAATGGCACATTCCCGCCCGAGTCTAAAGCTTATGCTTGTGCAAATCTCAAGGCTGGAGAGAGACTTCTTCAAGCTGCTGGTTGATTAGATCTGCGCAGGTCATTGCAAGTATATAGGCGTTTAGGAAAGCGGTTTGATAGAATGGTTAATGATGTGCATGGTTGCATATGAAAGCATTTTACTTTGCGAGATATCTCAAAGATTGACGGCACGGTTCCGCGTGGTTATATTTGGGGCTGGCGTTTCTGTTTTTGTGAAGAGAATAGTGCCAGGGTTTGCAAATTCGATATTCATACGTAAATGCAATCGAGCAATATACAAAATTGATAAATGCTATTTGAAGACTTCCATCGTTCATGACTTTCCCCGCGATTCCAGCTATAAAACATGGACAAATACCCTGCAGGACTCTTTTGTCCCCAAAGATATAAGATTCTTCCTTCAGCTCAAAGCACTCCTAGAAAGTTAAGAAAAACAAATAAACCATGGTATGGAGGCTCCCTGCGAGCTTCTGAACTTGGCAAGTATCTAGAGAAAGCTTCGTAGATATGATTTAGTGAATTGATGTGGGAAAGTACTTTCCAATGAACAAGCAAAATGATTGGTTTATTTATGTTGATGAAACAAAGAAGGAGCGGACCGTGTAATTTTCCGACGTAACCCCAGTATCACAAATGATGCGCCTGTAGCAAATGCGATTAATCATTGCAAGTCAAATACAAATTTCAATCAATATCACAACTTAGAGACGATGTCAACATCTACTGGGACAGGCTGGGCACAGCTTCGCCAACAAGCTAGATCATTAGAAACACAAGTAAATCACACATACCTCCAAGACTATATTCCTCGAAACTAACAACTCCGCGCAGACGGAAACACTCTTCCATACCTACTCACAATTCGCAGCCATTTCCAACATTCCCCCCAAACCCTCAGAAGATGAACGATCCACCGAAATGAAGCTACAGGAAATCCTAGAAAAGGTATATAGTTTCTTCTCACACCAAGCTCGAGAAGTCTAAACTTACACATGTGCGTACTAGAGAGAAACCCTAATATCGCAACTCTCCCGTCTCCTCGATAGCGACTCGTCCCTTACAGCCTCCGCAACCCGTCAAAATAATCTTACCCGTCACCGCGAAATCCTCCTTGACCACCGTCGCGAACTCTCGCGCATCCGTTCCTCCATCTCCGAAGCTCGTAATCGCGCAAATCTGCTCTCGAATGTGCGTTCGGATATCGATGCTTATCATAGTAATAACCCTGAAGCTGCAGAAGCGGATTACATGTTAGGAGAAAGGAGTCGTATTGAAAATAGTCATAATATGACGGATAGTGTGCTGAGCCAGGCGTACGCGGTTAATGAGAGTTTTGGGCTGCAGAGAGAAACGCTGGCGAGTATTAATCGGAGGATTACAGGAGCAGCGAGCCAGGTGCCGGGGCTGAATAGTTTGATTGGGAGGATTAGTGCGAAGAAGAGAAGAGATGGAATTATCATGGGATCTTTCATTGCGTTTTGCTTTTTGATGTTTCTGTATTTCATGTAAAGATAGGATAGCACGGTGCATTCACGGTAATGTGAGAACGAGCATGGCGTTTGGAGTGGGATGGTCTGTGATATGACCATTTTTTGTACAGTTTAATAATGACTTATGGGTATATTCAGGAATATCATGCTCGGCGGTCAGCTTTTTCTGCACCTTTACTTCCCTTCTTTGCGGAAGCAGTGTCCCAATATTGCTGTGCACTTTGCTCAAGTCTCTTCTGCGCAAATGATGCCTTAGCATCATCCAAGAGTCGGGAAACACTCTTGACCAAAACATCCTTCTCATATTCCTCGGCAGGGCCACTTCCCACCCATCTAATCTTACATTCTCCATCTAGAATGTATGTGTACCCGACCTTACCATTCAATAGCCCTATAGCTTCTTTCATCTCATCCGTAAAGCCCTTCTGGACTACAAAATACCTCTTCCACATCCACTCCGGTAGCTTTCTCCTTAAACTCGGCCGAAAGAGCTTGATAAGCATAGCTTTCATGTAATTCTCCTCAACATTTATATGTACCATTTGTGCCAATCCTTTATTTTTTCTCACTACCTCATGTAAATACGGATTGCTCTTTTCGGACGCAAAGGTAGCCGCCTGGTTCTCTGCCCATGCACCACTGAACACGGACACCACCGACACCTTGCCCTCTAGTATGGGCGTGGTATTTTCATATAGAGTCGAGTCTGGCTCCAAGGTCCGACCGGTCAAGTTTGGAAAATAGAGCGCGCGATCGGCTTTAAAGATTCGAGGTGGTGCTAGGAAGGATTTCCCCTTGTGATATTTCATATTGCTCCATTCTCTGTAATATGGTTTGGACATTGCCGCCGTCCTGATTTATTTATATTAGTGGCCTGCACAAACCATTAAAGGCAGATAAACCTCACAATTGCTTGCGCTTTTCGAGATGTTTGTCCCAATTGACGAAATCATCCCTTTTTTGTTTCAGTGTCCTAGTATCTATCCCACTATTCTCTCCTGTTCTTGGGGGATGTGGAAGTCCAATCGCTCGATCTAAAGGCTTGGGCGTGAAGCCTTCAACTTTCTTGCCCGAAGCTCTTGGAGCTTCATCTAGTACTGACGGGGTTTCTGGCGCCGTTGATGGTGTCCCTTTCTTTTCGTCCCATCGTCGATACGTAGTGGAAAATGAACGCCATTGACAGAGCAGACATGCCGAAGCATCTAATTGCTTCCTTGCGGATCGTAGTGGTAACCGTGTAAGGATCATCTTCGTTAATGGTGAGTGAGGCCGGGTGAAAACTCCGGCTAAGAATTTATTCTGTTCCCCAGATTTTACAAAGAATCCCTGTGCTTGTGCTCGGATATTTCTCGAGCTTGCTTCTTATCTTATGCCGTTGATATCCTCCATCCCCGGATTTTGCACTTTCGCGCCCCAGTAAGTGTCATGAAAGTCCTTTTGTATTCTAAAGAAAATGTACAACAATCTTTTTTTAAAAACTGTATGAGACTTAGAAGTAAAGTCGTACAAAATGCGTTATCAATTCTATTCTAGAGTGTTGAGCAGACAATGGAACGTCTATCAGGGTCTCAATCTTTCCAAACGATCTCCAACCACACACAAATTCTTTCACGCATCTGCGAAGCGATTAGCCATTAAACCATTCATGTTGGCAGATATTGGAGAAGGTTAGAATAGTGACATGATTAAATATCTTCCTCTTACTAATTCATATTTTAGGAATCAAAGAATGTGAAATCATACAGTGGTTCGTGGAGCCAGAAGCCCGGGTGGAGGAATGGGACAAATTATGTGAAGTACAAAGTGACAAGGCTTCGGTCGAAATTACCAGTCGATTCTCCGGTGTCATAAAGAAATTGCATTATGAAGCTGGGGATATGGCACAGGTGGGAAAACCTCTCTTGGATATTGATATACAAGGAGGGGTCGAGCAAGAGGATTCAGGTGTCGTTGAGGGGTCAAGTACTGGCCAGGACTCTAAAGCCCAATCTCTGGACAGGTCATCCACAGAATACAAAGTAGATGTCCCGGGTGCTTCGCAACCAGCTGCTAAGACTCAGTCTTTCCCTCCAGCTCCTAAAGGAAAGTATGCAGCATTAGCGACACCAGCAGTACGCCATCTTACAAAAGAGTTGGATGTAAATATATTAGATGTGACAGGTACGGGGAAAGATGGCCGTGTACTCAAGGAGGATGTGCATCAATTTGCGAGACAGAGAGACAGTGCTCCGTCAACAACCCAAGAGCTCCCCGAGGAAGCGAACGGCGGGTCTCAGAAGGAGTATACTACTTCATTAACGCCTATTCAACAGCAAATGTTCAAGGTTATGACGAAGTCTCTGGCCATACCTCAATTTCTATATACTGATGAAATAGACTTCACGAAACTCTTTCAAGTACGAGATCGTATCAATAAACAACTGGCAAGCTCCCCCGTCAACGGGGTCGCCAAGCTATCCTACCTACCATTCATCGTCAAAGCTGTCTCTTTAACTCTCAATCATTACCCCATTCTAAATGCTCGGGTCGACATTGATCCCGCCACTCAAAAGCCCATATTGACAATGCGTCCTCAACACAATATCGGCATTGCAATGGACACCCCAGCAGGCCTCCTGGTCCCTGTCCTTAAACACGCCCAAACCACGTCCAGCCTCCTCTCCATAACTCAAACTCTCACCTCCCTCCAATCTCTTGCCACAACCTCCACACTCACTTCTTCCCATCTCTCTGGTGGTACCATAACCATTTCTAACATCGGCAACATCGGCGGCACTTACCTCTCTCCCGTCATCGTCGAGTCTCAGCTCGCCATCCTCGGCATCGGCAAACTACGCACCATACCTGCGTTCGACGCCGACGGGAATGTTGTCCGAAAACAAGTCATCAATTTCAGCTGGAGCGCCGACCACCGAGTGATTGACGGTGCAACCATGGCTCGCGCCGCCGAAATGGTCAGAGGATATATTGAAGATCCAGAAACCATGCTCTTGCATATGAAATGATGCACTACTGCACATCCAACCTACATGACATCATGCCCTGGTCTCGTTTTGCATACATGTATGCCTAGTAAAAGCGGCTGCAGAATCCAACACCACGAGATCGTTTTTTGCCCCAGACCACAAGATCTCATTTCACGCTGCATTCTGCATCACCTTGAGATATTTGATAGAAACACAACATACGCATTACTGTAATACCATACCCCACGGGCACAAGGATACGCATTTCTCACCCACTTCCAATTGGGTAAACGAAGTCACGAAGTCTGTTTCCACGTTGGCAACCACATCAAATGTGACTAACTCACTATAAACATCTGCGTCGCATTCGGGGTCTCAAAAGAAAGGGGGCGTTCGGGTTCAGCTTTCGGGTTCAAATGAAAGAAAAAATGGATAATGGATATTGATTGATTGCACTTGCACTTGCGAATGCGAACCCTCCCATTCCGGCGTAGCATAAAAATAAAATACAAAACAAAACAAATATACATACATACATGCATAAATCAAGAACCTATCACATCACTTCTTGGCACATAACTACGGAGCACTAGTATACCATATCTCTCTCCCTTCTCTCCCCCGTCAAAAACTCTTCCACTACCAGTACCAAAACCAATACCCAGTACCCATATGCAGCCTTGTCTCGTCGCACACGACGCAAATGAGTTAGGTAAGGTAGCTTGGTACGTAGTTGGGTAGTCTGGGCTGTGGGTGGATTATCCTGTCCGAGCTGGGCTGGGCTGGGCTGGGCTGGGGTGCATAAAGAAAAAAAAAAATTTGATTTTCCGGGTTTTTGGGGGTTTGGGATTTGGGATCGATAATACCCCGCATTTTGCATTTTGCATTTGGCATTTGGCATTTGGCATTTGCATGAGGATAAATGGTAAAATGGTAAAATGTTAAATAAATGGTAAGTAAATTGATGGTAAAAAAAAATGGTAAATAGCAAATCAGGGGGAATGATGTGGTATGATGTGATGTATGAAGGAACAAATCCCCGATGTTATGCATAGATAGATATAGAATCGTTCTACCATTTTCGAGCTGGACTGCTTGGCGTCATGAATGAATGAACGAATAAATGTATAAGAATAAAAATTGTGTCATTTCCAGATGGCTGCATGGAAGATTTTAGATGCGTGATATTCTTTATTAATCTAATTGCGTAATTGCCCAGTCATGTATTTTCTTCATCTTCTTTCCTTCATCTTCTCATCTCGCGACTTGGTCATGACGTGAACCCTACCCCTTTAGAAGAATCATGCGTATGAACAGTGTAAGTAAAACCCATATGTAGCTACGGCTAATGGAAAAAAACAGCGCCGAATCCTTTTTGCCAGCCTCTTCCAATATCCGTCCGTATGCAAATGCAGATGTAAACACATCAACTGATAAATATCCTAGCAACTCCGAATTATGTAGCCGAGGAGACATCCCCGGCCGTTAATTAAAGATGAACGATGAAAGACATCTCATCCGCCAATTGGTAAACCGAGCGCCGTAGTTGAAAAGAAAATGAACCCTTTATCTCTCCACTGGGAGCATTATCCATATTCCACTATCGGAAATGTTTAGAAATCATGAATCCCTTGCCAATTAGTTTTGTATGGTTGATTCAATCTTCGCCAACGCATCTTGCTCGACTTCTTCTATCGATCCACTGACGTCCACCTGAATTACATCTGTTTCATCTTTCGTGGGTGGTTCGAGAATACCAAATTGACTATGGACCATATTCGCTCCCATAAAATGTCCCTTTCGAGCACCAACCCTCTCTAATAATGTTTCTTCACTAGCATGCAAGTATACGAAATGAACGAGAACATTGTGGTCGTAGTAGGAAGCTACACGGATGACATCGCGGTATTTGCGTTTTAGAGCCGAGCAGGTAAGGACAACGCCTTGAGAACCTGTGTTCAAACGATTGACGGATTCGTCGCGGAGTTTGGTGAGCCAGTCCCAGCGATCGGCATCGTTGAGTGGTGTGCCTTGAGCCATTTTATCAATGTTTGATTGTGGGTGGTACTGTTTCGAAATTTGGTTAGAAATGCGTTACATGTATAGTAGATTGCGGAATTGATGTATAAATACCTCGTCTCCTTCAATATATGGCAAGTTCATAGCATTGGCAACATATTGAGCCACTGTACTTTTGCCACACCCAGCAGGACCGGTAATCAACCAAATGTGAGAATGGCCTGTCTTGGGTTGTCTTGATGAGCCGGTCAATGGATTCGAGGTAGACGACGAAGCGGATATGGGTAAATGGTCAGTCATGGCTGGAGTTGGTTGAGCCATATTCGAACGATTTTCGTAGGACAACATGATTGCTAGTTTTTGCTAGAGGTTCTTTGGTGAATAGCGCGGCGGGGTGGGTTTCTTTGTGAGTGGTATAAGAAAGGTCGGGAAAATCAAGGTCAATTTAGCTGCCGGACAAAAGGGAAGGAATTCAATGTCAATGTAAATTGTGATGTCATGTATGGATGTATAGCAACAGTAAACTGATATACACGGGAGAATATAGAATATGTATATATTTTATATATATACTTTTAGGAAGATTCGTTGATGGGCTTTGAGGTTCTTCTGATGGAATGAGGAAAGGTGGGTGGCATATGACCAATGATGAAGTAATGTAGTTAAATTCCAACAATCAATGGGAGGAAGACTCACGATGTGGGAAAGGAAGTGAGGTATATAGCAAATACTAATGAGGATCCGATCCTGGAGTAAGAAGTAGGTAATAAATGACGGCAAGTGGCGGTGGGTCGTGTGCCTACATTTCCTTATTAAAAATAGTAAGGAGACCTTGAAATGGAGACTGGGTCAACTGGGTTGGTATGTACGGCGGAGTACGAGGTAGAGCAAGTAGTTTTGGGTGACGGAAGAAAAAGAAAAAGTGTACGGAGTACCAAGAGAATTGAATCGAACTTGGCACGGTTGATGTGACCCACAGAAAGAAGTTTGGAAGGCTTAAAGAGAAGTCTCGAAGACCCTTGTGGCCGCATCTAGAAAGAAGATCTAGTCACTTCTTTCATCACCGCTTCCCAGCTGCGCGCTGTGTTGCACGGATGGGAAAAAGATTTAGAAAAAAATCGAGAATTTAAAAAATTAAAGAAAATTAAAATAATTGTGTCCCATCCCTGTTATTCAAGGTTTCCTTGTAAGCCGGCACCGGGTCATGTACCTGAGATTCCAGAAACAGAAGGATTCCAGACCAGAAAGAGAAGCAGAAGCACGAGCAGAAGCAGAAGCAAAACGAAAAGTCTGCCACTTGAGACATATAATTCGGCTAGCCTAGTGCCCTGAATTCATACGAGCCTTCGCCATTCCTGACAAGTGAAGAATGTTTAGAAGTTTTTTATGGACTCCGTTATTCATTATTGCATTGGTTGCTCGTCAGCAAAATCTCCTTAAATACGGAAAAATAATGGAAAGGCGGAGAATGTAGGTCTGAATGGTTCAATGAGATGAAGAAAAAACGTGGAAACCATCTGGATCGAAGCACTGTGATGAAAATGGAAGTTCTGCACGGCACGGTCAAAACCTCTAGGTGGTATCGCTTGAAGTCTGATACTCGATTAGGTGGAAGAGTGATACCGCAGAGATGCGAGATGATAATGATAGTCATGGCCATACGCAGTAGATGTCTCCGTGCTGTGAGCTGTATACGTAGCAGTACAGCAGATACATACCTAGTGCTGAGCAAGTCTATTACTGTCTAGGGGAAATAAAAACGATTCACGCGGGTCGTAAACGACGCAGATGCAGTGCACAAAAACGCAAGCTGGCGGACACAACTTTCAACGTTTTCATCCCGTGTCTGTGTGATTTTTTGGGGATTTGGAAACGGACAAATTGTGATATACAGAGGAGGTAGGGGTTCAATGGTTGACTGACTGTACTCCGTATTCAATTCCGGGCATTTAATATAATACACGAAGACTTCATCATTTGTGCCATCGAAAACTTCTGGCTTCTGAAGCTTAAGTTATTGTAGAGTAGAAAGCAAGGTTCGTGCGAGCTTTTTTTTTTCTCGTTGCTTTTCCTGTCATTTCATTCGTGCGACTTGGCTACAAGGTTGTATCGGCCTTGCCCAACGTCAACATCACTTCTTCTTACTGCATACCATTTCTACTATAGTCTCACTCACTAATATAAAATTATAAATGGAAGTTTGCCTAAATCCATGCCCATTCCTGCTCTTACGACATGGGTAGATAATGGCTCATACATTTTATTACCCAAAAGCTGTGGAGATTTAATTTTCTCTCCTTTTCATTCATCTCCATAATCCATCCGCCTCTTCCCACAGCCGTGGTTTAGAAGTCACGCTGATGACTTCCCTAGTCATTGTAGCGGGTCTCCGATCGGGACTCTCGCATCATGTATTGACACCCATGCTGTGGCTTACATTAGGTTTTCATGGGGATCCTCTTCGAAAGACGTGGGGGTCACCGCGGCTATGGCAAATGTGGCATCCATGATCCATCTGAGCGTTCACGAGCGTCGCTATTGACAGAAGCCAGTTCGATCAAATTTTTTAAACAATGAATTCTCACCACGTTCAATTCGTTGAATCCACAAAATCTTTTATGGTCACACCGCTGCTTATATGCATTTTTTGATCACAACAGCTGACCTTGACTCGTCTGGAGTCTAAGCTATTAAGCTTATGTGTTATGTTGTAACTTGGAAATCCGGAAGATGCAATCGGTTATCCGGTCAAAGCAGTGTCACGACCGGGCTCAAGGATGGATTTCATTTCGATGCTCTGTCCGAGGATTTTTGATGATTCTATGACAAACGGTTAAGGAATTATCCTGCATGTTTCAAATATGGGCCAGAGTCCATGTAACGAAGCATATAATGAGGGGTAGAAGGAAGAGACTTCAATTCATCGGCAACCTCTACTCTCAACTTCAACTAAGCCGAATCCAATCTGTGCTGATGCCCCGAATTTCCAAGTCAGATACGGCTAAGGCTAAGATCAACATCGCCTAGCATGCGATGATGCTAATGACGTTGGGAATACCTTCATATTTTGTATTCGGGGACACATCTCGGCTCAAGGTACGGCAAACAAGGAATAAATTCTTGTAGGGGGGATAATCTGACATGATTGAAACACCCCCCACCTGCCTTGTAAGGTACTTGCTTCCCCCGCGCCTTTCTTAGTAATTCCTTAGCTCTGTTGGGGATACAAAATTTCCATTCTTGGAACATCAATGCTGTACCACGAATGAAAATGTAAAGAATGTTACATGAGTTTCGCTCTTATTTTGAATTAGTTCATGGGTTTAATCCTCGGGAGAGTCATTCTTCCAACACGCAACAGTTGACATATATATATCCTTCTTGCGAATACGAGAGAGAAATTCTACATCAAATCATCTTTTAAATACCTAGTATCTGAAACTTATATAAAGGTCCAGTGAAGTGACCCTCGGGACAACGAAAAACGAGTTGTGCACAATCAGCCAATCATAAAATAATGAGCACCTCCCTCCCCAAAGCTTCTCAAGCAGGAACCTGTAGCAAAATGTGGGGTAGTCACGGCTGTTAGTATTTCCGATAACGCAATTCATCATCAGTATCAGTAACAGATGCGAAAAAAGACCAAAAACAGAAGTCGCTCCTGCTTCCTTTGATACCTCATGCTTGCCCGCTGTAACCCTGTTTGGAGATCTAGTTCTCTTTCGTTTCCCAAGCTGTTGAAGAGCAGATTTCTGATCAAAAGCGGACACGGTTACCATAAAATGGCTTCAATCATGCAAGAAGCAAATCGTTTGAGGAAGGTGATGGCGGAAGGAAAGGAGCCGGCAATGGGTTGTTGGCAGATGATTCCCGGTGCTAATGTGTCGAGGACCTTGGCGAGGACGGGTGTTGATTGGGTGTTGGTGGATTGTGAACATGGAAATATAGATGGTGAGTTGGCTCCATTCTGGAGTCTTTTTGATATACCTTCTAAACTGAGGATACTCCAATTGTACACGAAAGATGGTGCATGGTATAAGTACCCCCATCTATCAGATCTCCTGTTGTAGCTCTTACCTTCATGAAATGTTGGGCGTATGCAGTCATTCAGCCTAGGAAGATCTACTACACCAAGTGGCATGAGTCACCATTGTGATGTTTTGGCTCCGGACTATAGTGGACAACAAGGGAGTCTAGATTCTTGAAGCATTGAAGGTACTATGTTCCTTCGAAACAATAACTTCATTCGAGAATGGATATGTGTTCAAATATTCAAGAATTCTCGAACATTAGGAAACTCAGAATCTAGACTTCACTTGCACCAGGGTGTCCAACAGTCCAGACGAATAGGCGGAAAGTGAGTTTTTAACATCTGAAAATGATTCAATATCCGAAGTGAATTCGGCATTTTATATGGTAAGAGCACTCCAAGTACACAAAAGCTTCAAAGGATTTGAATGTTCTAAACGATTACAATATTCGAAAGAATCTTGTTACCGGAATGCTGTCTGGACTGTTGAGCACTCTGGGAGTTTGGACTAACAGAAATTCTGTCATTACCCAATACCTATTTATTACTGCGATTCCCTTTCTCATATACACTTGCCTGCCTGATCTTCAAGATCGAGAATCAATGGGATTTCAAATGACATTTTAGATAATTTGTCGCAGCTTATCTAATGCTCAGCAGATGCCGCAATGCATGATGCGGTCCCGGCAATTGCTGCTTGTGGAGTCAGCCCAATAGTCAGAATTCCTGATAATCAAGGATGGATGGTCAAACGTAAGTCACCAAGCTTTGTCCCCATATGTTTGGAGATATTAATAGCCTTAACAGGAGCTTTGGATTGTGGGGCTCATGGTGTACTTGTACCTCTCCTATACACAGCTGAGGGAGCCGAACAGCTCGTGAAAAGTGCCAAGTTTCCGCCTCAAGGCCAGAGAGGTTTCGGATCACCATTTCCTCATGAACGCTTCGATCCCGAATTGAACTCTGATGCATATTTGAAGCAAGCCAATGATAGCATCCTAACCATGGTACAAATCGAAACCAAGGAAGCGCTGGAGAATATTGATGCCATTGCTTCTGTCCCTGGTATTGATGTTCTTTTCATCGGACCTTTCGATCTTGGAAATAATATCGGTCATCCTGTCGTTGCGGGGCAAATGCATGAAAATCTCCATGCAGCAATCGCAAAGATCCTGAAAGCAGCAAATGTGGCTGGGAAGAAGGCTGGAATCTTTTGTACTAGCGGAGAGCAAGCGAAAGGATACGCCGATCAAGGGTTTCACATGATGAGTGTTGCAACAGATATGCATATCTTACCACAAGGTGTAATTGCTGCTGTCAATAAGGCAAAGGTCAAAAGATGGACCTAAGTTGACCGGTCCTTATGGTAGATAAATTGGTGGTGTGCAGATATTCTTCTTTATTTTAGCGCAGCATGACCGATTCACTTGATATCAGAATAGATCTTAGAGGTACAGTTTCAACATGGATCAAATAGAGCTCTTCCCTTCCACTTCATCCATCTTTGCCTTGACTTCTTCTTCAGTGAATCTATGCATCAATTTCCTCGCTTTAGACGCCAATTCAGACTGTTCTTCCCCAGCATCCTCCCTAGTGACGTGAATCTAAGGTAAAATGTCAGCAAAATCATATTTTTCTGTGCATCAAGTATCACTAACCACAGGGGTATCAAATTCGTATAAATCTTTCCAGTGCTTTTGTCCATCTTCCATAACAGCAATCTCTTTATACACAAATGGTCTCGTCTCTCGAACTTTAAATAATGTATCCTTGGCGTTGGTACAGAGCGAACAGTTAGCTCGCGTGAAGAGCGTGATCCGACATGTTTGGAGCAGTCGTATTGTTGGGTGCATAATGATATAGATATCTAAGTACTTCTGATGTTTTGTAAGCACCTGACTATGTATTGAGCCTCAAAAGCAGTCAACGACCCAAGGAAATAGCGGCTCCGGGGAAAGTATGATTTACTCTATACCCCGGTTAGGATAATTACCAGCGGGACGGAAAGCAAAAAGCGGTGAACAACATTCTCCACGGCAGAATCATCTAGAGCATTCTAGAAATTGGGGAAGGTAGAAAGCTGATTTCGACTTTTCCATCTGCGATACACAAGATTTAATACTCGTAGTAGAATTATTTTTACAAAGCCTCCTCGTTCTTTACCAGACCAGACTTGACCTTGATTTTATCGAAGAGGAGATTAGACAAGATGGCGCAAAAATGTGTACACCAATCTTGTGGGAAGGTTTATACTGATCCAGAGGAAGACTGTCTTTACCATCCTGGGCCACCGGTTTTCCATGAGGGCCAAAAAGGTATGCCGATTTCTACCACACATTCAAAGCGCTCTTGATTATATGTTTAATTACTAAAATATAACCAAAAATTAGGCTGGAAATGCTGCAAACCGCGCGTCCTAACCTTTGACGAATTCCTCGCCATTCCACCTTGCACAACCGGTAAACATAGCACTACAGATCACCCACCACAAGTAGAGAAGAAACCAGCTCCAGATGCATCTACAGAAGCATCTCCAGCTCCATCCCCTCCTCCTGAGCCTTCCCGCGCGCCAATTGCTCCAGCTCCTCAATCCGCTGCTACTCCCCCTCCTCCAGCAGAATCCGAAGACGATGATGCGTCCCTAGAGATTCCGGTAGGGAAAATTTGTAGGAGGAAAGCTTGTGGAAAGCAATATGAGGGGAAGGGTAGAGAGGGGGAGAAATGTGTCTTTCATCCCGGTGTGCCTATTTTTCATGAAGGTAGCAAGGGTTATACCTGTTGTAAGAGGAGAGTGTTGGAATTTGATGAGTTTATGAAGATTGAGGGGTGTAAGTCTAAAGATGCACATTTGTTTATTGGGAGTGGAGGGAAGGGGAAGTCAAAGGAGGGGGGTGAGGAGATTTTGGAGACGGTTAGGTGAGTGATTTCTGTTTATTTTTGAAATGACGTCTTGAAGAAGTTTGGAAAATGGAACTAATAATATAAATACAGATACGATTTCTACCAAACAGCAACCTCAGTAATTGCCTCATTTTTCCTAAAGAAAATCAATAAAGATAAAGCAGTGGTTTCCTTCTCCGCCTCTCAGGAACTCACACTCGATCTCCCCACCACAGATACAATTCCCAAACGCTATAAAACTATAGTTCCGCTCTTTGGCGCAATCGATACAGAAGCTTCGTCTTTCAAAATCATGGGCACAAAACTGGAAATTACCTTGGTAAAGGCAGATGGAGCCAGTTGGCCAGTATTGAGGAGTGATGAGCAGAGGACGGGAGAGATTATACAGGTTGGGAAGGCGGGAAGAGCGGTTTAGGATAGGGTTGGCGTTGAATTAGTACGTTGTGAAAGCGTTGAGCGTGGCATGATTAGATAGATGATTCTATTATGCACAACCTATGGATTATAAGAGAATAAACACTTATATACCTTCGAGATTTGTGCTACTATTTTATATGTGGTATGATATTGCATAAGGGGGATCAATATTTTAGAGGTAAAATTCGACAAAGTGATAGTTTCGATGTTTAATCTCATTGTATGGAATTCGACTCGGGACTTGGAAGAAGTAAGTATCCTGGTGTATAATGAATGCATCTAAGTCTTTGAGAAAACTAGCAAGTGGGAAATGGAAGCGGGATGTGGATGCCCGAGGGGGAGTGGGGGTGAAAGTGAATGATGGAAATGAAAAAAAGCCCCGGGGTTGGGGTGAAAAGTGATAAAAGCCATGTATAGCCGAATTAGTTGCTCAGAATACAGCTAGATCATTGGAAAATACAGAAGAGCAGAAGCATTGAACTTCAATTCGAACCTTGATTCTTCAATGTATATAATCAATACTATTTAGAAAATATAGATTCGTTTTCATCTAGTATATTCCAAATCCATCCGACACCGAAAAATATCCAACACTTTTAATCATAACTGCCACATTGAGCATTTCAGAAACAACAATGGTATAATCATCAACATAAACAGACGCCGCCCCGTTCACAAACACCAACAGGGTATATCCCCTTCCCGGTTCCCAAACATTAACACATTAACACCTCGCATTTCTAATCTAGTCCTTACACACGCATCATCCATCCATCCCTAACCCGAAACCGCCTCATCAGAACCAAATCGTCCCGAGGCAAGATTTCCCAACGTAAGACTTCTACCAAGTGTAGAATCGAGCGAGTCGCTACCCTGAAATCCGTCTACGGATAAAGAAGGGGTAGATGCACTGCACGCGTAGATACAGCACGCCCTTCGTTCCGAAACATTATACTACGGGACGTTCTCCCAGATTCTGAAACATTGGATCTTCCCACAGCAGAATCCCTATCATTATCCGCGGAATCATCCGTGGAATCATCCGTGGAATCGGTGGGAAGGCCCCCATAAATGTATATAGAGCGGCCATCCTCGGTAGTGGCAAAATGACGAGCACTCGGGTGGAGCGCGGGGGATAATTTGTTGAAGGAGATTATTGGACGGTTGTCTATGGTGAAGCCTAGGAGTTCGGCTCCTGGGATGGAGGAAGTGCCTGTTTCGGTTTCTGGGGAGGTTTCACTTTGGCTAGTGGGTGTTAGTTTGTGGGTTGTAGGTTGTTTGAGAGCAGTGTGTCCAATAGTTCGGAATAGTGGATTGAATTTGAAAGCTTTCGATGTTTGAATGGTTTGAATGTTCCAAAAGATGTGAATGCTCCAAATGGATTCAATGTTGAAAATAGTTTCAATATTCGAAAGCCTGTGATTGTCGGACCGTTTCCCGACTATTGGACACACTGTTTGGAAGGGATAGAAAGGACTTACCGTGATGAATCTATCACTCCATCCACAAAAGTCTCAAAGCTCTTTATTGTATCCTCGCTTAGCCAAGCCTTGAATAGATATTCGAATGCCACACCCAACCAAGCTATGATTAGTCCAGGTGTTCCAATTGCCACACTATTAAATAAAAAAGCCAGTTCAAACTCGACAAATCCAGATAACATAAAACATTTCAGCAAGCTTAGATACTTAGCTACTCAAACAAGATGAGATACTCAGCAAGATTGAAATTCAAAGCATTGAAGCGAAAGAAGCTTTCAATGGATGGAGGCGCCCATCCAACATTAAGCGTTCTCATAAGCACGGGGGCAAGACCAGCGGACAGAAATGCAATAGTCCTATTCACGAGAGGGATTTCCGAATGAGGCACTGGAGAGAATATCGATGAATGCTCAAAAATAGAATACATTGAAAACTAAGAGGTATCGAACAAACCAGGGTTACATACTTGACCGGAAGCGACTCCTTTCCCATACACGACCACAATTGAGCCAACACAATACCAAAAATGGCAATTGTACTCCCCACCTGCAGTAATGTTCAGCATGACAAATAGAGGAAAGCCATTTCCAATTTATGACAGAAACTGAGAGAGGATGCGGCGAAGGCTTCGAAGACTGTACAGAGGACCGCGACGATGAAACATAAGGAGGAGACGTAGATGCACCGAATTTGGGTGCGGCGATGTTTCGCTTTACTCTTGGAGAGGAGGTCTTGACAAAGGTCTCGGGAAATTGTAGGGTGAAGTTCTGCCGTTTTAATGTGCCTAAACGGTTTTGTTAATTGTTCGCCAGGGAGATCATATAGCGGATTGGGGGTCGGGGGGGAGCAGCAATGGTCAACATGACGAGTACAACCAAGAAGAGTACCCAGAAGATGCTCTTTACCTTGCTTGGACTCAGACTATGCATGAAATTGCCATGCTTAAGACACTGCTCCGATTGCATTGGATTTGTTACATTGGACGCCATGGTGATTCTCAAAATAAGTAAAAACAATAATAATAATTATAAATAATTAGACTGATTATTGTTTAGAGTAAAAGCAATTGTTTCAATTGCTTCGAAACAGACGTGGGACTGGTAAATATTTATAAGAAAATATTATGCTTTATTGTGGAAGATATTTGAAGCCGTCTCCTCGCTTGCGAAACCGGTGAACTTAGTTTACAACCAATTTTTATGAAGACACATCGTGTTGAAAAGTCTGCATTCAATTGGGTACATGTCAACTAGGTCCCACCTATATATCTATCGTCTTGACTTGCGTTTTGCGCTCGCAAAATAGTTCAGGCTACACTAAACGTTTTAAATAGCAAAGGAAGGCATTTGAAAAGTCTGCAAAGGCCGAGAGGCTCAATGATAAGCTTCCAATATCATATCTGAGCGAGTTCTGCGCTAGCGAAACCAGCAGGCCGTCAATATCGACAGATATTTAAGGTAAAGGTAATTCATCCGTACCTCCCTAAAAGCTCATCTACTCCATACCTTCCATAAGCTCCACCGCATCAAGCAACATTCCTTTATTGCCGATCCATAGTCTTAGCCGATCCCAGTCTTTACCCTCTTCTTCTCCACGCCGCCATTTTTCATGAAAACCCCATGATCCGGCGACTTTATCTATCGCAGCCCGCTCTTCTTCACGAATCCAGCGCTCCCTTAATGGCATACCAGGGGCCCAAGTTACGCGATCCATTTGATCATTAGCTGTCGTCACAGCTACCACACCAATGGTAGTCGTAAAACCCATGTATGCTAATATTCCAGCGAATGCAATGTTTGTAGCCATGCCTGGTTCCATAGTGTTTTGGAACATGGCAAGTTGTGATGCAACGCCATATGCTGCAATAGGTGCAATGGCAAGTCCAGTGGCAGGTAATAATCCTTTCCGGATAAATTTCGCACGGCGAAATGCTTTTTGCGCATACGCCGTATCAATGATATCCATAGCTACATCCAGTTCCCTCGCATCAATCGCTGTCTGTAAAGCTTGATCTGCCACGGCAATTGGGATGGCATTGTTGACCTTGTTTGGATTTGGATTTTTGAATTGTATCGGCCTGGAACCCTCAACCGGTATCGGCTTGTTCGCATATAAATAAAATACTCCTGGGAACGTCTCTGGTTTTCCTAGACATGATTGTGCGCTGATGTATAGTTCCAAAATCTCTGGTGATATGAAGATAGCCTCGTTAGAGACAATCGAAAATAGGGCTTGTGAGAGCTCATCCACTAGAAACTGGGTCTCGCGGTTTAGCTTTTGGACTCGTAACTCCCTCGAACCTCGATCAGCCAAAGAAAGTAAAGACGCCGCAGCGGTTACATCCTTCCTTACTTCTGATGATTTGGCGGGTTCCCCAGCAACATCTGCGGCAATTAAACGGCAGGTATGGAGAACATTCAGAATAGCCTTTTCTGAAGGGACAGTTTCTGAGAGTAATTTACTACAGGCCTGGACTCCATGCCTTAGTTCTTGTGCCAGTTCTGCTTCTGTAATATGCCGCCGCGATGATTGTGCATGAGCTGGATTCGAACCGGAGGGTTTTTGCGAAGAATCGAAAGGGGCGGAATTTGGTGGTTTGCTTAATCGTTTTCTTGAAGTGGTGATAAACGTACGAGGAGAAATGGTGTTAATGGCTTTCGAAAGGCAACGTTGTTGTCTCAAGGAGAGCTTTTGAGAAGTTATGAAATCGCACATGCGGCACACAGCCGACCGAGGCTTGAAAAGGCGGTTGGACATTTTATAGGGCAATGTCAAGTTTTCGTGATCTTCAATTTGAGGTTTTTCGACGAGCTGTAGTCAAGCCCGCCAAACCCGCTTCTCATCGAAACATCATAACCCTGTTCCCTGGTCCAGCCCTGTAAATTTGATGTGGCTGACTAATAAAGAAGGCTGAAGTTAATGCATGAGCCACAATTGTGACGACGAACATAATGCGTTGAATCCGAGATAACTTTCTGAGCTTCTATTTAAGCTTCTTCTTTGAAGCATTGAAACATACAATTAACTCATTCTGTTTGAACGCGCAACTCTCTTGGCTTTCATGCTTGAATGGTACCCACTACCAAATATTTGATCAAACAACTCATTCAAAAATACATTTAAAAGTCGTTCCCCCTCAACTTAATCAACTCAAACAACTGTTACTCACAAAACCATGCCACCTCCACCACCTCCACCACCACCTCCTCCACCGGGATTTGGCGGTCCTCCTCCTCCTCCGCCTCCTGGAGGAGCCCCAGGATCGATGCCATCAAGGCCACCTGCGAAAGTCGCTGCCAATAGAGTAAACACCCCGAGTTGTACAATGTTAAGTTCGAGTTGCTAACCATGTTATAGGGCGCACTTCTGTCAGATATCACAAAAGGAAGAGCACTCAAAAAAGCTGTAACCAACGACCGATCGGCACCAATAGTAGGCAAAGTATCCGGTGGTTCTGGGCAAATGCCGATAGGAGGTGCTCCGCCAGTACCTGGAATGGCAAAACCTCCTGGGGGTTTTGGCGCACCACCCGTACCTGGGGGAAATAGAGCTAGAAGTGACAGTGACCATGGGAATAGCGCGTCCACAGGAATGGAACAACCCCCGCAGTTAGGAGGGATCTTCGCAGGTGGCATGCCCAAGTTAAAGAAACGAGGCGGAGGGGTAGACACTGGCGGTAAGCTTTATGCTCTATAAAGATAGGATAGATTCTAACTCTTAACAGCAAATCGAGATTCATCATTCACATCAGAACCGGAATTTTCAGCACCTAAACCACCAGGTATGGCAGCTCCTAGACCTCCAATAAATGCAGCCCCTCCGTTACCATCAGCCCGGCCTCCTCCTCAGCCCAGTCCTTCGGCACCTACATTCGCGCCATCGGTTGCCAATTTGCGAAAAACTGCTGGCCCATCAATCTCTCGACCTGCTTCTTCAAATTCCCTCAAGGGACCACCACCTCCTATTGGCAAGAAACCTCCTCCACCTCCTGGGACTCGAAAGCCATCAGCTTTATCAGCCCCACCACCGCCATCATCATTCGCACCTCCACCCCCTTCTTCTTCAGCCCCTCCACCGCCTGCTGCACCACCGCCACCACCTTCTCCAGCTCCACGCCCTCCCAGTAACCCACCTCGAGCACATGCGCCCCCTCCTCCACCAACGTCTCCACCTTCGGTTAATGGGGGTAGCCAGAGTCTTGCTATGCAAGCAGCAATTCGTGCTGCCGGTCAAGCATCGCCAATGGGTGCACCCCCTCCACCGCCGCCACCCCCATCTAATGGGCCTCCCTCTATATTGTCACACAGAGCGCCATCTCCGCCTGCACCACCAGTGGCACCACCAGTGGCACCACCAGTGGCACCAATATCAAGAAGTCAAAGTCAACAACAAGGAAGAACTCACACCATGGATTCTAGCTCATATACTCTCTCATCAAACGGCACCTTACCGAAAACCGCCAGCTCTGATAGGAGAGTTATAATCAATGATTCTAGATGGAAATTCACCGACGAATCAGTATTCCCCAAACCTCGGGAATTTATTGGTGGACCTAAGAAATATCGGGCTGGCCGTGGGAGCAGTGTTCCGTTGGATCTGAGTGCTTTCCACTAAAGATTTTACTTACAAAGAATAGCTTTTGGATCCGTGTTTATATGTTACCATAATGATTTAGGGCGTTATAGCGGGATATCGTTTAGAATCCGGTAAGGCGGCATCAAGCTATCTGAATTGGAGTTATACGTTAGGGCAATTGACGTCGTCAAAATTCCCTTCCAAGTCGTGAGATGAGACCGTTTAATCAGAGACATGAGATCAGTGCCCTGTGTCATTGAGGAGAAGAATGAAGCTGGGATCACAAACTACGGTATAAAAAATCATGTGTGACAGCGAGCAAATCCTACAATGAAACATCAAAGTAGATAGAAAAAATAATAAACTTTTGCACACTTATTTGTCCTGCTTTGTGTGATTTTTATTTCAAGTGGCATTATAGTAACTTCTATGGTGATTATAAGTATTCAAAGTCAATTCAAAGAGCTTTGTGGATTTCATTATTCATTCTTGAAACAATTGATGAAACGATTGTATTCCATTCCGCATGTAGCAGCAGGGCTAAATGGGGTAACTCATTAGGTTTTTCGGGACCATTATCTGTCCTTTAGGTTATTCTACCGAGAATCTTAGAAAGATCTAAACTTCAAAAGGCCCAATGCACCCCCATCCCCCTTCTTCACAACTCCACCCCTTTGAATTCATACCAATTTACCCTCAGCGACTACAAGACATTTGGTGTTAATTGAAAATAACTAACTCCAGCTTCTTTAAATTCCCTTCTGCTTCTTGGTTCAAGTTCAGTAGAACTGCGACAATGTCGATACGCGGTACTGCAGGGTATAATTTGGGTGGCCAGAACTCATTTGGAGGAGGACCAAGTATGGGTGGTATGGACAAACCCAGTGAAGCCGGTGCTCTCGATGCGATAAGGGAGCAAACAAGCAAAATTGAGGATTTCTTGGATACTTTAAGTGATCCTGTTAAGCCGTATGTTCATGTCCCGCACAGGACCCCGCAGAGGACAGCTTGAGGGGTCTGTCTAAATCTGTGCTTAATTTACTCGCATTTACAATCTGCTAACTTCTCTTATTCTGCAGTTACTTGCCAGCTATTGGACGATTCCTTATTGTTGTTACATTCCTGGAGGATGCATTGAGAATAATTACACAATGGAGCGATCAATTATTATATCTGCATGATTACCGACACAGTATGCTACATATCTGTCCAAAACATGGCACAGCATGGTTAACAATCTTCTAGTCCCAAGCGGTCTCACACATCTTTTCCTAGTCGTTAACGTACTGGCAATGATTTCATGCTCTACACTAGTTATCGCACGAAGATACTCGGATTATGCTGTTGGTGGATTGATTGGCGTTGTAGTTGTACAAGCTCTCGGATATGGTCTCATTTTCGATCTCAACTTCTTCCTCCGAAATCTTTCGGTCATGGGAGGCCTATTGATGGTTTTGTCCGATTCCTGGGTCCGCAAATCAAAGGCATTTGCGGGTCTCCCAGAAATAGATGAGAAGGACCGCAAAATGTACTTCCAGCTTGCTGGTCGTGTCTTGTTGATCTTCCTCTTCGTTGGATTCGTTTTTAGTGGCACCTGGAGCCTTTGGAGAGTGATTGTGGCATTTTTCGGTCTCGTAGCCTGCGTTATGGTTGTCGTAGGCTTCAAGGCAAAGTTCAGTGCTATTATGCTTGTTCTTATCTTGAGTGTTTTCAACGTATTGGTGAACAACTTTTGGACTGTAAGTCAAGCCCTATTGCTCGCGCGAGGCAATTTACTGATTTATCGTAGCTTCACGAACACCACCCCCACAAGGACTTCGCAAAGTATGATTTCTTCCAAATTCTATCCATTGTAGGAGGCCTCCTCCTCCTTGTCAACAGCGGACCAGGGAAATACTCAATCGATGAGAAGAAGAAGGTCTACTAAGCTGTAGTGGTGAGTTTGAAACGAGATGAGAGTAGGGGGGGTCAAGGTTCAGGAAAAATTCAACAGGAAGCCGTGCATTTAAGGCGGAGTTCAATTTGATGAGGGAAATTTTTTCTATTATTGTTATGTCTTTCTTCCTCTTAAGAAGGAAGATCCAGGAGGCTTGGACGCTTGCTTTTAAGCATAGCTTCAACATCTTCCGAATGTAAATCTCGAAGCTCGCAATTTATCAAGTACATGAATGTTTTACAAGCTAAACACTGTGTTCTTCCGTGCTTCACTAAAGTGAAAAAGACTATCGTTTCAAAGTCAAATTGAAACACCTTTTGAGACTCGTAGAAAGACTAAGGTTTTACGTTTTGTGCAATCGGTCGGCTAGAGCCCTGCTACTAAATCAATATTTTCTTACCATACAAATGCAAGATGGCCTACCCACTTATTAAAGTCACAGCTGCAGACAACCTGCATTGCTAATCCCCGTAAGCCACCACCATGCAACTTTAATTTTTCTCTTCTGTTGGCCACAAGCTGATCTGTCAATTTTGTGAGCATTTTCTTCAATGATATAATTAACATTTCCATCCATGTTGTTTGCTGCTATGTTATGAACTCAATGCATCTGCCTTGAGATTGGGTATTAGCCTATTAGTTATGTAAAATCTACTTATTCTGCATATACTTATATCACGATACATACCCTTCACGTGTTCCCAGAATCTATCTCGCTCATCTCACATTACGCAACAAGCCGAGATCATGGCCGAAGTTCTCGGTACAGCTCTTTCGATCGTCGGGGCAGTTGGAGTCCTCGGTCAAATCTTCTCCGGTTGTATAACGGCGTACTCACTCTTCACGACCGCATCTAACCTCACACGAGACTCGGAGAAACTTATTTGTAAGATTAAGATTGAGGAGATGAGATTGTTGGTTTGGGGACGGGAATGGGGAGTGCTAGAAGGGAGGTTTGAGGAGGAATTGAAGAGGGAGGAGGGGATTGGGAATGAGAGGATGAGGGGATTGGCGATGGAGATTCTGAGTGAGTTGTATAGGACTATGACGGATTTTCAGAAGTTGAGGGAGAGGTATGGGGTTGTGGAGGAAAGGTCGGGAAGAGATGAAATAGAGGGGAGGGAGAATGGGGAGAGAGGGGCGGAAATAGAGAAAGGAGGGTTTGGGTTGGGAAAGCTGAGTTTGAGGAGCGAGTTGTCGAAGAGAGTCAAGTGGGTTATTGGCGACAAGGAGAAGTTCACAGTGCTTTTACAGGATCTGAAAGATTATAATGACGGGTTGGAACAGCTGTTTCCACCGTCAAGACTCGCGACCCTGCATAGGACATGGACGAATGAGCTACTACAAGGTGCGCACCGCGATTTGGGCAAGCTGAAAATGTTGGAGACGGCGAGTAGTGGGGTGTACCCAGCTTTGAATGTTTCGGCCAATCTCAAGCAATTAAGAATCAATTTAGATGAGAAGGAGACCAAGAATTTCAAGCCAACTTATACGCTTAAGATTCAACGCCATGCATTGGTAGTCAAGAATGCGAACATGGCAAGAATTCATGGACAATACAAGAATTCCTCACTAGTAGAATCACAAGAAATCATAGTGGAATGGGTGGAGTACGATAGAGAAGACCTCGACGCTCGATTAAATCATCTCCGTCGAATAGATGACCTCGCACGTATGATTCACAGTGCTTCAGATCGACACCCAGACCTCCATACGATCGATTGTCTCGGCTACACAGACGACAGTACCTCCTCCCGCTACGGACTCATCTACCATTCTCCCTCCTCTGCTTCCTCCTCCTCCACTCTCAATGCTCTCATCACTAGCAGCGATTTCCGCACCCCTGACCTAGGCGATCGGTTTAAACTCGCCCATACACTTTCTGTCGCTCTCTGGTCTCTCCATTCATTAGACTGGCTGCACAAAAATCTTTGCAGTAGCAACATCCTCTTTTTCCCCAGCGCATACACAAAAAGTCCAGGGATCTCTAAAGAAAGGGACAATGTTCCGAATATAAGTACACCATACCTCCTCGGTTTCGACGCTTCCCGCCCAGACCATATGGGTGAAATGTCCATCGCATCCCGCAACCCTACAGCAGCAGATCTCCACCGTCATCCATTGTCTCTACATTCCCCTTCTTGTCCGCGCAAACAGTATTGTAAATCCTTCGATATATACTCTCTAGGATTGATATTACTAGAGATTGGTTTGTGGAAAACATTGCAAATGTACCATAAACCGCATTATTCGGCCGAAAGGTTCAGAGATAAGATTGTAGTGCAGAATTTGGTGCCGGGGCTGGGAAGTAAAGTTGGGAGAGGGTATAAGGAGGTGGTGGAGAGATGTTTGGCGGTTAAAGAGGATTTGACTGGGGTGGAGGCGGGAGTATTGATGGAGTTTGTGGTGGGGAGGCTGGAGGGTTTGAGGGTTTGAGGCAGGGTATCTGAAGGTTTCGACTCACAAGAGCTCCCAAAATTTGAGAGGCCAACAGGACTAAGTTCTCTAGCAATGATTTCTTGTCTGGATAGATTCATTGTTCCGATTGACTTAATTGAACTACAGACGGGAATGTTAGGGCACTCTGGTTTAACGATGTAAAGACACAAGAGAAAAAGATAGAGGAGGGCTGGAAAAAGGACGAGAGCTGTATATGAATATGGTTCCATTCACTGGATAAATAGATTAGATTGTGATGACATATACGAATTTACGAATTTATGGATATTGAATCATCGCCTAGTCTTGAATTGAATAATGAGACAATTTTTGTGATCAAGCAAAGATGAGCAGTTCCAGCAAACTACTCATAGCATTGAGTTTATCGACAAAAGAGTATGAACCACGGAATCATATATCTCAACTATCTGTCCCGAATAATTTATACCTTCCAAATACCTGGTATTGAATTTTAAGCATTAAGTGAGGGATTACATACAAATATTCAATATTTCCCGGATATTAATCGCTCATATTTATTAGTATGCTAGTCAGATTGTTGGGCACCCTGCCCAAATACTCCAGTGAATAGAGTTAGCATTGCTTTGAGAGTCCATGGTTCGGTAAGTACCTAATCACTGGCTATTATTTGTGAGGGCTGTTTCCAATTTATCTCTTCTGCCTCTCATGGATTCTGAATGCCCAGGTCTAATCTGAAGGTCTAACTGTATTCCTCGCCTATGATGTTATGAGGATGTTGAATGCAATAATTAGATAGTACCGAGCAGGTAGACCCAAGCAAGTGTAAGTAGAAACAAGCGTGAAGTGTAAAATTCAATGTCTCTATCATGATTGCTTTTCAGAATGAATTCTTTTCTATCCCTGGGAAATTGGATACGAAAAAGCATCTTGCACAGAATACTGACTTGAGAAATGGGGTCGCTGTCTGATGCTATTTCTGTCGTTGTCGCTCATCTAAATGTCCTTGAGAGACGTCCTAATTCGTTAAAGGGGGACTGCAAATCAACATGTAAAGATAAGCTGTGTGAGAAGCAAATCAAGGAATCAAGCGACCCTTTTTGGCTCAGGCTACCACCCGATTCTTCATTTTCCGAAATAGATTGTGGTCAAAAGCCAATTAGCCAACCATGGACCTACCCCTCTTTATTTGCCTCCCACACTGAAATGTGGTAGCCTATCAGACACTTTTGTGGTTGTGTCGTCTAGATAGCATGAAATTGAGGATAAAATATTAGATGGTTGGCAATCAACGTCAGCTGAAGCTTATGATTGATAAATGAAGCGTGCTCAAAACAATGTAAACCAAGTCCAATACTCCGCAGTCTCTTAATATAGTAACTCAATGATCAACTTTGATTTGAATATGCGAAGCAAAATTTCAAAAGCATATTGCAAATCACTTTCTGATCACGCAATAACAATGCTATCCACAGCCATCTTAGCTATTTTGAGAATTTCCAGACAAGTTCTTATTCTCTCTCCATTGCATTGTTTAGCGGCCGAATCTGCGGTCTTCAAATCCGGAAAGTGGTCATGCTCCAGGGATCGCACACCAGCTGCTACTTGTGCATCCAATATATTATGACGAGCGTTCTGTCGTTGCTCCATCTCGGAGATGATATCTTTTAGCCCCTTATACTTGTATCCAGGTTGCTCATGACCATAAATGTCGGCTCGCAATAAAGCTCTCACGGTAGTTCGCCATTCTGCTGGTTGCATTTCTCTGTCTGCCATAGGGAATATTTCATAGATACAATTTGCTGCCTGAAAAAGTGGCTTCCGGTGCTCATATAATCCATCTGAATCATGACATCTAAAGATTTTGGTTTGACCTTTGGCAATGGCCTCAGCAGTCGCTTCATCAACCATCTTCAATAAGCGACCGTACCCATTGGCTATGATGGGTAATATGGTTCCAATAAGCATCGTGTTTTGGAAGGCTTCAATAGGAGGTACAGGTGAATTTAAAGCTATCGCACCACATGAAGGGCACCAAATGGCTTTTGATGCCACAAGACTGGCGCCACGAACGACCTTTAAAGCTTCATCAATTTCACTTGGGAATTGTTGCATTGCTGAAAGTGACAAATACATTGATGATAAGCAGCTGCACTTATCGCCTGAAACTGGAGATGGGCCATCACTTCTCTTAGGCGACGGAGATGAAGGATTTGCTCCTGTTGATGGTTCAAGCACTTGGTTGGCTAACGGTTGAGTTTCACTCGACTTATGCATATCTATATTATTGAAATCGATAGGAGGCACGCCTCGTATATCGGCATCCTCGAATTGCCATATACCCTGGCCGCCCTCTGCATCCGAGGCCCAAAGAGAATTTGGGGTGTCCAGAGGAAGAGCTTGTGTAAACTGTTGGGCATTTCCAGATTCATTGAAATTCGAATCGGTAAAATATGGTTCGGTAAAGTTGGCACCATCGAAATAGTCAAATTCATCGCCAAAGAAAGGGGGCAGTGTGCCATCATCGGGAAGAGGTTGTAGCTGGCCATGTACATTGATGGGTTCATTTGTAATAGTTTCGATGAATTGCCGCTTTCTCGGTCTTCCCATTGGTTTCTGGTCAGAATAATGGCATGTTATGTGTTCTCGCACACATCTTTCACATCCACTTGGGTCCTTTGAGCAAGCAAGTTTTCTTACTCCTACATTCGTCTCATCAGCCATTGCATGAAGGTTGACTCTTTCTAGTCCTGAGTTACTCACTGCACTCATCACAAGCCCGATGTTTTACCATGGTACCTTTTTTGTTTACCTGTTGGGTTCATTACCACAATCAATAATCAATAATCACCAAAAAAGAAATTTAACTTCAAATTGGTATAAAAATGTAAATGAAGTGAAATTTGATTCAATGCAAAGATGTTGAATAGTTGTTTCTTACCGTACTCCATGATATATTGCAATTGTTGGGAGGAGACTCCTGATGAGAAAATGCGCTAAGATAACAATGTCCGATAAGCTCTCCACCAATTTTTCTAAGAAAAAAATTCTGGAAAGCTCCAAGGTTGTAAACAATACCCAAATTATTTCAAAATGGCACCTCCAACAAATCAACGAAAGCGCAAAGCTGTTACCCGAGATTTACCTGAGATATCCGATGTGGAATCTGAAGCAGAATTTGGTGATGGAATTTTAGAAGGAATCTTGTCGCAAAGTGAAGATGAATCCGACGACAGCGCCGCGGAGGAGGATAGTGAAGACGAAGAAGATTTGGATGAGGGGGAACTCGATGCATTGGACAGTGACGAGGTACCCTCAGAGAATGGCGAAGGAGAGGAATCTGAGACAGGAGCTGCCCTCAGCAAGAACAGTGTTGGTGAAGACGATGATAAGCCCAACTACACTGTGGTAAAGGACGCCAATGGAGGAGAACGTTACGTTTATGAAGAGATAGACCCTGTGTACGACTCAGATGATTCGGATGCTCAAGAGCCAAATAATACTATTGGAAATATCCCACTGTCTTTTTACGATTCTTATCCTCATATTGGATATGATATCAATGGAAAGAAAATTATGCGACCTGCGAAGGGTGAAGCACTTGATGCATTGCTAGACAGTATCGATATACCGAAGGGATGGACAGGCCTTACTGATCCTTCTACGGGTAAACCTCTCAACTTGACTCAAGAGGAATTGGAGGTTTTGCGCAGGATACAAACAAATGAGGCTCCTGAAGATGGCTACGATCCATATCCTGTAAGCACTTTTTGCGGTATTTGTATTGTGTTATAGGACTGACTTTATATAGGATTATGTTCCATATTTCAGCGGTATCGAGGAGATTATGCCTTTGAGCTCAGCTCCCGAGCCCAAACGACGTTTCTTGCCATCCAAACATGAAGCCAAACGAGTTATGAAGATAGTCCGAGCCATTCGAGAAGGTAGAATCCTACCATACCGACCACCACAAGAGCGCGAAGAAGAGGAAGAGGAATATCATTACGACATATGGCAGAACGAGGAGGCTCAACCAGATCATATCATGAAAATCCCAGCTCCAAAGCCACCTCCACCTGGTTATGATCTTAGTTACAATCCACCTCCGGAGTATCTCCCATCTAAGGCAGAGAGAAAGGAATGGGAAGCTACAGATCCTGAGGATAGAGAAAAGGAGTATCTACCAACTGCATATGACTCTTTACGGAAGGTTCCAGGATATGACAAGTTTATTAATGAGAGGTTCGAACGTTCGCTTGATCTCTATTTGGCACCGCGCGTTCGTAAAAATAGGCTAAACATCGATCCTGCTTCTTTACTGCCAAAGTTGCCAAAGCCCGAAGAACTTAAACCTTTCCCAACCATCACGCAGACACTTTTCCGCGGTCACGAAGGTAGAGTGCGAAGTTTGGCTATCGATCCTTCGGGAACATGGTTGGCAAGCGGTGGTGATGATGGCACTGTCCGTGTCTGGGAACTTCTAACCGGAAAGCAACTTTGGAGTGCACAAATAGGAGACGAGGAGGCAGTCAACGTTGTGAGGTGGCGCCCAGCAAAAGATGCCATCATACTTTCAGCTGCAGCTGGGGAGGATATATTTCTTATGGTACCCACTATAATTGACCCTGTTGCTGAAAGTAATAGCCGAGAGCTACTGGATGCTGGGTTTGGTTATGCAACAAATGCGACTCAAGCACTCACAGCAAACGGGCAAAAGAAAGAGCCTGTGGCAACCTGGGCTCGTCCTAGCTCACGTCTACAAGATGAAGGTGTACTGATCAAGATCACGGTTAGATCTACGGTCAAAGTCATTACCTGGCACAGAAGAGGTGACTTCTTTTCTTCTGTATCTCCAACGGCCCAAAAGTCCGCCGTCGCGATTCACACACTTTCGAAACACCTCACGCAAATTCCCTTCAGACGTCTTCCCGGTATCGCACAAACTGCTCAATTCCATCCATCTCGACCCATTTTCTTCGTTGCCACTCAACGCACAATCCGCAGTTACGACTTACAAAAACAGGAATTGGTCAAAATCATTCAACCCGGTGCTCGTTGGATCTCCTCTTTTGATATTCATCCCGGAGGCGATAATCTCATTGTTGGTTCTTATGATCGTCGTCTCTTGTGGCATGATCTCGACCTTTCTACTCGCCCATACAAGACCATGCGTTTCCATAACAAAGCTATTCGAGCTGTGAAATACCACAAAGGTGGACTTCCATTATTCGCTGATGCTAGTGATGATGGTAGTTTGCAAATTTTCCACGGAAAGGTTGTGAGTGATGCTATGGAGAATGCTACTATCGTACCAGTGAAGGTTTTGAAAGGGCACAAGGTCAAGAGTGCCTTGGGTGTTATGGATGTGGACTGGCATCCAAAGGAGCCATGGCTCGTCAGTGCTGGTGCAGATGGTACGTGCAGGTTGTGGACTTAATAAGGCGGTGTTCAAAAACGGAGTATGAAGGTGTTTAAAAGGTTGTCTTGAGGTTCTGTTAGATATCATTGGTAGAAAAAGCATGAAGAATTTGATAATTTTACAACTGATCGCATTTTCATCTCGTCCTATTTGGCTTCTCGAATCAGAACTTGGAATTGTCAAATGCAGCTGGTTACTGGTCAAACCCAATATCTGATCGGCAATATTGCCGTCATGATACATATGCTTCATCTCATGTACCTTCAGGCAACTACCTGCTTACACCCCTTTCTAGGCCGCAGAATTTATGCCTACCTGTCCAACATGTAACACAGTACACGGGGAATATCCGTCTCATAACATGCAAAAGCCACAATTTCGTCATTGAGGCTCAAAACCAAAGCAACCAGCCTTATAAAAAAGGTCTCATTTCAATAACACTCGGACCACGGCGTCTCCCGAGAATCTCTCGACTCAATCACTCGGCACGGTGGTCACCAGGAGTCTTTCTACGATTGCTCAATTTACGATTTTACTGATATATTAGAGTTTTTGATATGAAGTTGGATCCAGAATTGAATAGTTCCTAGCCACTCGGACGAAAGCCGCATGGTAAGCCGGTGCTGTGCGACTTGAGGTGCATTATATTCCGCGAGTACTTGCTCAACGGACTTCAGATGCGACCATTCGCTTGATCTATTGTGGCAGTGTTGGCATCCGGGCGGAATATTTGATGTGTCTTCCCGCCGTATACATACTGTCGTACCGGAAAGCAATATTGTTAGCGATGCCGGAGGTCGAGATGTCTGAACTTGGCATGGACTAACTGCGAACGTCTGTCAAGTTTGTAAAGTCTTTGGATTATAAATGATCACGAGAGAAGCGAGTGGCGCGACGCTCAGTGGAACATATTTGATAATTTTATATAACTTCACGGTTGACATCGACCGGAATAGGGAAACTGTTCAATCTTGCGCACCGCAGCATACAGGCAATTGGTTGCTTATCCTATAACTCAATTCCTTCCCGAGAAGATGAATTTGAGCTTATGATTGGTGTCCCTTTGGCTGGTTAAAGATTGATGACAACTCATGTCACCCGAGGATAACCTTAAGCGAAACCATGGAATAACTAACACCAACCAACCAACCAACTTTACCTCTCTCACAATTCGAAGGAGCATCAATTGGAACCCATGGAGATGAACTGAGCCAATCATCATACGTTTCTTACAAAGTGAGGCAGACAGCACTGCCTCGAATGATTGGTGCCTGACGCAGTCTCGTATCGATATCATGGACTTTCATCCGCGCAGCTTCCTCCTTTATCGCAGCCTTGCGCGTAGTAGGGCGTTGGAAAAAGTTCGGCATGCAGTTCGATGTACGCTTCTCATAATGCACACACCCGTCGATTCTCATGCACTCCGATATTCGGGTACATCCAGATGACCACAAAACTTAGAGCCATGCATGAAGTTGGAAGCTATAGCTAAGCCGCCCTTTTTGCATGCCTTTATTACGAGTACTGCGGTGAAGGACTTCTGAGTAGGTCTATAAGTGTAGATGGTTTCCTCTTGTTTTCTCAGCTCCCTTTATCATCAACAGAGTTATTCTACTTTCAAGCCTTGTGATGACATTCGCACTTCGGCCAAGCATATCATACACATATATATAATTATATCATTTCAGCCTTGATTCTTTCAATCCCTGATACCCCTACATTCCCATACTGCTAGGATACTATATCAGTAGATCACCAATCTGTCTTCGTCGGTAATCACGCTCACCATTCGATCTAATCCCGTGTTGTATGTTACTCGCCTAAGCCTTGTCAGCCGCATCATATCTAAACGTTCCGATCGCTCCTTTGGGCATTAAAGATGGCTTCTCCTGCTTACAATCATCAAGAGGAAAAGGAATATCTGAATGATCTAGATGATTGGACCGTCATCTGTCAATACTGTATCAAACCCATCTCGGCAACAAGACCTCCTATCTACAATGAGGCCAATTGCAGTTGCTCACAGATTGGCAACCATGCTGCTGGAATAAACCTGGCCATACAGCCTAAGATCCAAAGATTGGAGCGAGAGATCACCGCTTGTGATCAGCCTGTCTATACATATCAAGATTCTATCCCGAGATATGGTCCTTCAGGCACCCAAGATTTGACAACAAATCACGCACCTCTTGTTCATGAAACCAGAAACAACTTTCAAGATCTCAACATCAACTGGAACAATAATAAAGTCACACAAGATCATCCGTACTCTATCCAAAACTACTCATGGCCACTTCGTTCCTGGCTGACAGAGAACGAGTCTTCATATACTCTTTCATCTATCCCTCAAAATTCATTCTATGCTCACAAATCTTCATCGACAAAGGCCAAGAAGGGGAGTAAGCGAGGAAACTCCAGTCTCTGTAGCTCTGGAAGTAGCGTGGAACCTGGATTAAAGGGATGGGGTCCCGATCCATTTACTGAAACTGGAGCATGGGCTTGCGAAATTCAGCAGGAAATCGATGGGCATCCGATGGCAATGAGTGGTATGAGCGATTCGTATGGTAAGTAGCATTGTTAGTTGGTGGTGATTTGCTGGTTCTGCATGGTATGGAGATTGTAGAGATTCGGTATCTTGGAATGGTGCTGGAATAGGTTATTCATGGTTGGATGTTATCTTGGTATTTTGATTCCTTGTTTTATGTGTTAAAATTGGGTATTGAGGTATTTGCTTGAAACGAAGGACTATAAAATGCGTGTATAGATAGATATTTGGCAATGAACTTTCGTCATGGGGTGCTGTGGCGGTTAGGAGTTAGGAGTTAAGAGGACTTGGTTAATCAATTGTTTAACATCTCACCTGGTCAAATTAGATCATTAAAGGTATAAAAAACTTTAAATTTTGAACTTGCCCTAAAACTTTTCTGTATTTCCACAATTCATTTCTTACGAACGAAGTAAAGAAGATGTTGTCCCTTCCCCATTCTTGAAATTCCCAAACCTCTCATCCACGCATTTCCTCAACTTACATCCATATTCCTACTCAGAGCGTGAAGCACGACCAACATTAAACACACAGAAAGAAAACGTTGATTACACTAAATTAGTTCCCCATCCTGCACTCCTACAACCAATTCCAACAAGCTCTTCCCCTCCAAAAAAACCATCTTGCCTCCATCCAACTTCACAACCCAATCTCAATATACCCTTCCACAGCACTAGCTTCTCCAATTCCACCTATATCACTTACCTATCTTTCCATACCTAAGTACCTACCAGACCCCCAGTAACAATAATCCAGCAAATCTAAGTCTTACAATGAATAAAAAGAACCACTAGGTAGACAAAAAGTCAAGAACTCGCTAGAAAGGCACTCCAAGATTCTTAGAGAAATGGATTCACTATTTCCAAATTATTGAATAACGTCTCCGTATATAAAAATTAACCTATTCTGATATACAACTACCTACCTACCTACGATTGCGTCATCATTAGGTTAATTAACTTCGCAAAAACTTTCAAAGCTCATAATTAGTTGGAGGTATTCCGGCTTCTTGCTATTTCCTGTTTTGAGATTCCTCTAGGGAAGCTCCTTCCACCTTTGGCCTTCCTAATTACTCTTTCTTCCTTCCTCTTCCACTACAAATACTCGCTTTTTCCATCATAAATATGTCATCTGAGCTCCTAACCCCTCATATTCCTCAACCTCGTAACCTAGGCCTTATATTTCCAACCCCTCATCAAGCAAATTAATAGAGTTCTTCTCCCACGTTAAAATTCAATCTAATTATAAGACTTACGAACAAATTGTTCGACCAAGCTCCTACATAACAACAACCCATCTCTTATAGAATAAAAGCTCCAATTACGTATACAAAGAAGAGAAATCAACCCTCCCCTCGACACCAGCACACTAGCACACCAGCACGCTCTAGCTATCTACCGTATGAAAAACCCAGCCAAATCCTCACTGGAGAAGGTCCGTTTGGCATTTGATAAAACATGAAATAATAATCATATACTACCTAGGTAGTAATATCTTATCTTATCTTATACTATTCCCTAGTTAATTATCTAAACATATGGAAAGCAAAGCAAAGCAATCCACATCCACATCCACATCCAACTCATTGTTCAAGCTCAAGCCACTTTCCCCTATCATATAGAACAATTAGATACTAGATCCTAGATACTAGATACTTAGCTCTCTATCTATATCATAACTTCACGTAAGATCTTACAAAGAGTGAACTAATATAATAGGCCATTAGTTAACTTACATAACCAACCTCTCTCCCTCCCAATCCCCCAACCGTAAAAGAGACGCATCCCCCAACACCCCGCCTCCTCCCTCTCCCCTCGGTGAACTCTCTACTATTTCCCAAAATGATCTTTTGATAAATAGATAGTTTTATAAGAGCTTTAAAATATATAACTTCATTTTTTACAAATTAATTTATAATCAATAAAGAAAAGAAAAAAAAAACCGTGACAATCTCAAGGACCCGACAGAGAATCTAGAAATCTGGACTGATAGATTAGATTAGATATAAGTTTTCAATTTGAATGAATTTAAATATCTCAAAGAAAGTCATCGGTTCAAAACTTTCCCGTTATTAGACTGTAATTCGGACGATTGGATACTCTGATTTAATATAGGGACAGTTTATTATTGATATGAATATATAGCTGGAAAGAAGATACGGAGATATTGACTTCAGGCGGAGGGATTTGGAACTGTGGAAAGTAGGCTGGACGAGACATTTACTCAAATAGGTAGATGCAAGGACGTATATGACTTGTTGTATATAATCATCGGGGCTCTCACACCTTACCAATGAACTGGGAGGCGTGTCTTCACTTGAGGTATCACAAATTTCAAACAAAGAACCGATAGCACAAAAATCATCCAGTACAAAATCATTTACATTTCCTTCATATCCATTGTCTGCCCATTTAACAAACTTTATCTCTTCCAAAACCACTCTCATCACAATTCTTTCTCCAAAATAAAGATAAAGTAAAAGTGCATCCCTATTCCAAAATACGCATCCATAGATACTATCTAGATACAATTCCTCAAAATACACCTAAATGATAGATAGCATTGATCGTACTATTACCACGCTCAAACCAAAAACTAGAAAACGCCTGAGAAACGCCAGGTCAGATTCGTATCCACTCCAAAGTAACACTCGCTCAGAACAAAGATATTGGGTATCAACTAGTAGGAGTGATGGTATGGTCAATCCAAAAGGTTGTTATGTTATAAAGGCTCTTGTGAGAGACACCTCCATCTGTGTTTTTGGAGAGCGGTTGAATTTGATAGAGATATTGCTGTTTAGGCCTTGACGACAGGTTTCTTTGGGGCAGCCGCCTTCTTGGTGACCGGCTTCTTTGGTGCGGGAGCCTGGGAAAAGAAGCCATGTTAATCAGAGAGAAATATAAGAAGACATCAAAGGTATATTGAAGCATCTGGAAGTAAGTATTTGGCATACCTTCTTCTTTGGCGCTGGCTTCTCAGCGACGGCCTCGTCGGCAGTCTCCTCATCAGGGGTCTCCTCCTCAACGGTCTCCTCCTCAACTTTCTCCTGGACTTTGTCTGCAGCCTTCTCGGCAACCTCCTCGGTTTTCTCTACAGCAGCTTCAACCTATAGAAGAATCAATAAAATAGTCCTAGATATGACAATATCTTATATACCTTGGCAGCCACTGTTGATTTCTTCTTCGGGGCGGCGGTCTTCTTAACACCAGTTGGCTTAGCTCCCTTGGTTGGAGCAACCTTCTTTCCAGTGTTTGCCTTTGGTGCGGCCTTTTTTGGCTTCGGGGCTTCGACAGGTGCTGGTACGGGTTTGGCTGGGATACTGCCTGATATAACGAATCAGCAGAGCTCTCTTTTTACGCGACTTTGCGACCGTATGCTCGATAGCTAAAGAATAGGTTTCGGAGAAAAAATATAGGAAGCAACTTACCAGTGGCGGATCTAGTTACACGAGCCATTGCTTTCTATAGAGATTAGTTAGTAAGAATGTGTGCTGTGAGAGGATAACTGAGATTGGCGCAAGATGATGAGTAGGCGCGTCCAGTCAACACTGCGATGCAGAATCGCACATAAGTATGGGATAATTGCTTACCTTGTTTGATTGAAAAGTGCTTGATAATTTAAAATGAATATACAAAGGTTTTCGTCGCGTCAAACCGTAGATCTGGTGGTTTAAATTTGAAAGATTTGTGAATTGTTGTTGTTTGTGGGAGAGGATAGGAAGGAAGATGTGCTGGGAGAGGTGTGGTGATTGGGACTGACCACGAAGCCCGCTAAGCGGAAGGAGACCTATCAAGTATTAAGGCCCAAAATAAAAGTTAGTATTTGATAGTGTATATTTTTTAATTTATTATTGTGAGTGGATGAGGCTAAATGATGGAAGAGGTTATTGATGTTTTAGTAACATCACATATAAATGTTTTTTCTTCTTTTTACATTTCCATGCTCATTCTCATTCTCATTCTCATTCTCATTCTCATTCTCAATCACTGGGTTTCTTCCATCTGTTGATCCTCTTTCCACCCATCACGTGTATATGAGAACCTGGATCTACTACCCGCTAGAAGCGAAAACATTCAATGGTGGGGCATAAGAGAAAGAGAAAGAGGGGACCAACGAACTGAAGATAAACAAAAGGCTCTAAGCTCTTAGTTAAGCAGCTTAAGCAGCGTAAGCTTAAGAAAAACAGGGGATTCCCCATCTGTCAACAGACTTTATGCACATACAGCAAATGAAATGTTCCCAAACCCTTCTTCTTTATCAATCAAGAATAGAAGGTTACATCGCAACAACCTGGTGAACCTTTTACTCCCTACAGAAAGGACAACGAATTCAGGGGTTGTGGAATGTTTCATCATCATGATGATGGTGACCTGACAATCCATCAAAATCAGGAAATGAGTATGTGAACGTTTTAACAAGAATCAAAGATATCTTACATCTGAATGAAATGATAAAGGAAGTTTAACATTTCAAATCTACAGAATATCAAGTGGTATTCTATCTCTGTTGAAAGAGTTTTATCTTTTGATTTGAGGTGACAACTTTTCAGTATCACCAAAAGAGACACTATTATTTTAACTCGCAGTTTCACAGTTTTGGTTTTGGGTTTCAATGCTTTCATCCAGCAGAAGTCATGCTATTTCCAACATTCTTATACACAGAAAGACAGTATTCCGAATTGTTACGGGAATGATGTGCATCATGGTCTTGATTCCTTGATTGGGTTCCGCTGTCATCAGCACTCAAAACTTTTTTAGCATTCCCCTATTTTCTTGTCCATATCCCAACCTTTGAGCGGCCAATCAATACAGAATGGATAAAACACGATATAAGATGCTGCATCTGACGACTGTACTGAGTGGGCTATATAGAGCTATACCTTACACATGCATGGTTGTCATCAGCTCTTTTATCAATCCTAGAATGTGCTTGTGAGCGGCAGAATGAATGTGATATCAATTTTGCCTGGTGTTCTTGGCCTTGTCAGGAACGAGAGTAAATTATGGGTTGCTTGCAGACTGGACCTTGTCTTGAGGTGGGGGTGGTAAGATGGAATGGCAGTTGGTAATAAGGGTGAAATGGAGGCTACAATGCAGAGTGATGGTTGCTATCTCGATCCAGAATCTAGTTGAAAGGGAGCTATCCACTCTCAGAAACTCAGAAAGTCGAAGGAAACAGCTTTAAGGAACTTGGACTTTGGTTACTGGGATTTGTCTGTGGGGTGGAATAATTTTCTCTCCAAACCTTTTAATCAATTCACAGATGATACTAGGGTGTGAGGGTTTAAATGTGACAGGGCTTAGAAAGATTAACCTACATTTTTACTTTATTTGAGCAAGAATAGTATGGATATTTATCTCGTCCTACCACACTGCATTATACTCCATCACTATTGACATCATTCACCTCATTTCTGCACTTCATATTCTATTTTACCTTGAGTCACTTTTGCAACTGGTCCGAAAGTGTAGAAAGATTCTGGCTAGGCGAGAAAATGTATTGGAATGAAATCTGTGAGGCTTCTTATACTAAGCTGCTGAGTATCCGGTGGTCTGATGTTGATTAACAGCTTCAACATCTCTATCGCTGAACAGTCCACCGCTTCTCCATTTTCAAAGATTTCCTCATCTTGAAAGCCAAATACCTCTCGAAACCCTTGCATCGCTATCCAAAATCCTAAATCCTTCTTACTCCAAATCTCACTCTATCTTTCTTGATTCACATAATACACTATGTGACAATTCATGAAAAGAACACGCCTGTGTGGACATCCTGTCCGTATTTTCATACTGGATTCCTGTTGATACAAATCATTATGATTCTGCTTGTAATACAGGTGTTTATATTCATTGTTTACTATAGCGATGTATATTGGTAACAATTATTCAACGATTACTTTAATAGACCCTACTTTCTAGCTTAATAGTACCCCTTGCTGCAGAAAAGTATACAACGAATGTGGTTGGACTTGCTATTTATGCTTCTCCAGGCTTACTGCCGAGGTTGGCATTTATATATGGCCATGGGCATTGTTTTAGCTGCAGGGTCTAAATCAACAGAGACCCTTGTTGACCAAATAGCGTGAGTTTTACCTCTATTTTATGATTCACAGCAAATGTTAATATACCAGAGATCGGTGTTTACTGTATTTTATACGCTGGTGACCGACTACCTTGTATAAAGTGGAGTGCTTAGATTTTTGATAATTCTCTCTATGGATATTCAGCTTGCAGTATATAAATGAAACACGAATTTATAATGTTTTACTAAGGATGTTGGCTTATAACAAGTTTGGAATATCCTTCTCTTGAATACGAATGGGAATGAGAATGGGAATGGAAATAGATCAATCCAATATTGATCTTAGTTGATGATCAAAAGTTATGAAACCCAATTGTCTTTTAATACTATTTCAGATAAATTACTAATCAAAAGTGTTTATCAAAATAAATATTACTTGAGAATAAATATTGATTTCATTGACAAAAATTACTTCTAGATCTTTTTTATTTTAATAATTATATCTTTATAATCTGTCTCGATATACTTGTTTTATTAAGTTCAATTATTATAATAATAAATAAATAAATCAATTAATAAACTTTTTATTATATTTAATCAATCACTTTTTAATTCTTTTAATTCTTTATAAATCTCTTTTTTAATTATCTTTATTGATTTTATTATTTTAATTAAAAATATAAATTTTTTTCTAAATCAATAAATTATAATAAATCATCTCGATCGATTAATATATTGTCACGGAAATCATATACTCTCATGTGATTTCACGTGATCTCCAATATCACAATACTTATTCGCTTATGTTTTCTTTATATTTAATCAATATTATATGATTATATTGATTTTATTGCTTTTTATAAACCTTTATTTATTTAATTTATTTCCTTATTAGAATGATTGTTGACTAGATAATTTATTAGATTTTATATATATATAAATGTTACGAGGGTTGCGATCTAGATCACGTGGAAGTGGCCTGGATCCTCGAATGGTTTATAACTAAGCGTCAAGCAAGGGCTTTAAGGTAATATCAATGATTGCAATTCGTAACTAATAGTAGAGTATACTAAATGATTGATCTTAAGCACGAAGCTCTACAAAAGGAATCCTTTTCTAGCTATATAGTTCTTTGTATTCTATATCCCACTTCCCCTACTGAATAGAATCGATAGGATCGATAGAAATCCTTTCCTACTGCTCCTACTGATTTAAATCAGTAGGATTAATGGGAATAGTATCATATAATAACTTGATCATACAATTCTATTGTTGTTATTGTGGTGGATCCAATATTAACAACTCTTATGCTTATTAGATCCCCACACCACCTTAATCCTATCCTAAATTGGTCAAATCGTATCTTGTAAGTACAGGAACAGTTATTGTAAGATCCGTGATCGTAACAAAAGGGAAAGAGAGAGTTGTTAGATTTGGTTATTATATTTATTTTCTTGGTGGGGGAAGGAAAGAAAAGAGAAGGGATAGATGATATATAAGATAAGATTCTGAGTATTTGTTTGGTGGATTTGTTAGATTGGTGTTTATATTGTGTTGTGAGAAAGTTGGAATTGCTGGGCCATATACGTAGAGGTTTTCGTTAGCTCAATCACATGACCTTTGTAGTTAGATATAAGGAGAGGTCTACTCCCTCCTTTCCTGAACCAATCAACCTTTTACAAACTATTTTATAACCCTATACTATAACAATCCCAAACCCATTGTGAAACTTATTTTCTCTATAAGTGACTAGTTACAATGTAATCCATTCAGCCTTCTCCTCCTATGCCTCTTCACAGCGTGCGATAGGGACGCACGTATCTCCACCTATCTCCTTTACAATATTTATATGGATTTGTATAAGAATGAATTAGAGTGATTATTCTGATTTGTATAGTTGTATAATTATATAACTTACTTATAATCAAGGGAAGGGAATAATATTATAGCTCGAATGTGATCGTGACCAGTGATGTACACTTGCTTGGATATAAGGTTATAGTGTTGTGAGGTGGGTATGGGGTATATAGTATGAAGTATGGTATATAGAAGCAATAGCAGTACAGTATTGCCTATCCTAGTGCTTCGTTGTGATGTGATGTGAATAGGAAGATGTGATACTTGATACTCTGATACTTTGTACTATTGGGTTTCAATAATATCACGTTTTCATTTCAAACTGATATCAAACACGCGCATGTGAATATGAATGTTAATATGAACGTGAAATGTGGCGAAGAACCTTGAAGTCTCGAGACAAATGTACTGGTTGCAGGTCAAAGTCAGATTCCACTAGGAACCTTGATCAGCGGACAAAAAAGAAATGGGTAACATCAAAATTGAAGACATCTTCGTGGCAGAAGTCCTCATCATGAAGGCAGACAACAAACGAATAGCCAGCCCCCAGCAAACTCAAGCCAAGTAGCCAAGTATACGTAACGTACAAAAATCCGTATTCAAGTTCGCCATCCCACGTTTTCAGACGTGATCAAAAGGTGAGGAGACGTCGACTCAGATACGTGGTAGTGAGGTGGCTTAGAGAAATCAATCATCTAACTCTCGTACATTAGGCGGGGGAAGAAGTGGATTACATCCACAATCCATCTCCGGCTGAGAATAATGAGATACCTATCAACAGCTTAGCAAGTGAGGTACGAATGATGAATGTTGATCATGGTGTCAAAAATTTACTTACAGAGTCTTACACAGCCTTCCCACCTCGGCTGAAAGAAAAATTGAGAGGAAGGGCTTGAGAATCGAGATATGTGTTTCGATATCGGCACTTTTAACTTTGTAAGTTTGTAGGAAACGTTTCACGAATGATAAGCTTAAATGTCGCACCAAGCGACTGCGCCCCCTTTTTTGCCCCGTTTCTTGCCGTTTGTGTTGCAGCGGATGTAAGCTGTATATGGCAGGTATACCGGTAATCTGAGAAAAATTTCAAGATGCAGCAGGGCGGGTGATAAGATATGAAAGCTTTTCGCCTTCTGCAGAGCCCCTTCAATGTGCCCAGCCGTGCGTGGGTGCATTTGAAAGTGCCCGAGGTAGATAAGCAAAGAGGAGGTGATTTTGATTTAGCCGAGCATAGGCTCTAAAACAAACACGGAAATTGCGGCCACCGATGATATCACAAACTATACGTAGAATCTCAGATGGCTTGAAGTTTTGAAGGATTTCTTTTGTCTGGAACTCTGAAGACGGAAACTGGCGTATCTCGGCCGAATTTTTGAGATCGCTACCAAGCATAGCCAAGAGGGGCATTGCTCTGGGCAAATTGATTGATGGGTTAAAGAGATTGTGATGATGAAAAATTGCGAATATCTAAGCGAATGAAATGTTTTATTGAGATGGTAACCATAACAAATGAAGAATGACGGCGCTTGATGAATGATGGATGGATGCCCTATGCGACGAACTTATTCATCAGGCAATTGCGGTTGAGGGATATTTGAAACGAATAGAATCTCGTGCAGTTGGAGCTAATGGCGTGCTTGATAGAGATAGAAAACATTGTGATTCGATGATTCGATGATTCGTATCTGATATGTTGATATTTACTTTGGAGAAACTCCAAGCGGGATATCATAATCCCATTGATGAATCAGTATCAGGGTATCATCAGTATCAGGGTATCATCAGTATCAGCGTATCATCAGCCTTCTCCGGGAGGTGTGGTAATCCTTGCTTGTAATGTTATTCGACCCCAAACACCCCAAATGTGAAATTTGAGGATTTTATCAAACAACATTTGTCACGATGCTGAGATTAAGAGCAAGGAATGGGAAAGTAAACATCTTTGGCTGGCACAGGTATAATTGTGGATCGATATAAATTGTGATTCAAGATTTTTGCTTGGTATTGTTCGTTTGAAAGATGTTGTTTGATGAGTAATGAATTTCTAGAAGATTTTGAAGTGGAGAAATGAATCTCTTTTATTTTTCAGTGTAAATGAAATTGGTCGTCGTCACCTGAGTGATATGACTGACATGACTGACATATACACACATATATGTTTCTCCTTAATTGATCGAATCAAGGCAATTAATCAAGGCAATTTGTGCTACCGACAACCAAAATAAGGCGACATAACTTGCATTTGTCTGTAACATGTTACCCGCATATTGGTATTACTCGGTATTATTTTGTGCGGTAATGAACAGACAGTGAGGAGGTAGGAATTACCAAGATCTCTGTTTATTCTCACGATCCGATTGAGATCCAAAAATGCCTCATGGTGATAAATCGATTGGTTCTGTGGTATGCCAGACAATTTCTTCGTTTGTCAATCAGTATGGGGAATGGAGGAGCTTGATTGGCGACAACAAATTCTGGTATTGCTTGTTTTGGCATGTTTTTGCATATTGCACTTCCCCAAGGAATTTGTATCGTCATTCTGTTGTTTTCTTTCCCCTCTTCTCGACCCAAACTATTGTAACCTTGTCGATTGTGCTGTTTTTGCATGAAGTCATAAGATACCAATTATCTCCTGACAATTTCATGATAACAGATGACGGGAGTGACGAGACATTGGAGATATGGAGACATCGAGACATCGGGACATCGGGACATCGAGACATTGGAGATATGGAGACATCGAGACATCGGGACATCGAGACATTGGAGATATGGAGACATCGAGACATCGGGACATCCAGACATCGAGACATCCAGACATCGAGACATCCAGACATCGACATTTTTTCACAGAGCATTTTGACTTTTGAGGCTGGTTAGGGGAGTCGGAGAGCGCCAGAGAGTCTAGATGTGGAGTAAATAGGCGGATATTAAATTCTGTTTCAAGCTTTCAAAGTGGAGAAGTTCCTGAGTTGCTCAATAACACTAATCCCAATTGGGGAATTTGTCAGATCATCCGGTCGTCTAGAAGTTAGAACGCCGGAACTAAAAGGCTTCTCCACAGCCCCAAAGTAGAACATGTACTACCTATATAGGACAAGATCGATGACGCTACTTAGTAATCACTTATACACAGAGTCGCTTTTGTTTTGGAAGAGGTGAGAAAACCGGCCAAGGCCATATGGCAATGAGTGGGTCTTCAATTAATACCCGTCGTTCCCAATATCAAATGCCGTTGTTTGATATGCTTTTAACTTTTACTAGGGAAGTAGTCGGTAGGATTGGATTTGTGTTATTACTAGGTATTGACCTAGGAGGTAATTCTTACTTCTCAATTCTTACATTGATATAAAATCCGTGACTTTGACTTTGACTTTGACTGTAACTTTGACTTTGATCCCGACTTCAGTAGAAAGAAACCAAAGAGCTTGTTGCTGAAATCGTGGTGCATCAAAGAACGGAAAGACAGATAAGATAGGTAGGGAGGTAGGTAAGATTACTAGCTAGGACAGTAAGAGGTTTTCTTCATCGAATCATTCATCCAAATTATCACGAAATCCTGTTAAATTCCCTATCATTTTTTTTATTAAACAAACAATTATTTAATGGTTCCGCCTTTTCCTTTTCGTTTGTAGTCCAAATGAGAGGATCCGTGGCGTATCATTTTGTTCATTGACGCTCTGGTGCAAAATAAAGTTTGCTTGCACTGCCTCAATGCAAATGCTTGGCAATCCTCTTCTGATATCTCCTGCTCCCCTTCTTACTGCTTTTCTTCATGCCTATCATAGATTACTACCGCTATCGCCTTTCATACTATTACTTTTACCGCGCACCTCCGTTACATGGGGAAAAGAAAAAGAAACATACCGTCCACAAGAGAAAAGAAAAGGAACGAAAAGAAAAGAGAAAAGTACTCGGCTTCTTTTCAATATCCCAACTCCTTACTTCAATAAATCTCCTCGACCAGAAAGATATCAACGAGCTACCAAAGCTTTGTTATCGCAAGTTCTTTTGTGAATGTAGTACCACTACCCTTTTAAACTTTCCACCATCACATTGCGCCTCCCTCTCCAGGGAATTTCAACTCACTGACCGCCATACTCATTTGATACTCAAACCAAGTGAGTTGTTAGCTGTTTGATATACGAGTCCTTGGTGAGATATCATCTTCCGCTGCTGTCCATATTCACCATTCAATAATGTTTCAATGACCCGTTCCCTCCTTCTCTTCATGAGGATTCATCTTGGATATTCTTGATCAAAAATATTCTGTGATGAAAGATTTGTGTTATTGATTCATTGAAACTCTGCATTTATTTGCTTGGCTTAAGCTCAGTTCCAGTTCAATTCCACATAACTTGGAGACCTTGGCTTATATATTCTTGACCTTCTCTAGATTTCACCTACCTTGACACAGCCACTCTTCGATGCCTACGAGTCTGAACAGCTTCATTCTATCAAATAGTCGCCAAGGTCCTGCGCCTCGGGCTGTGTTTGATTAAGACAACAAGAGAATTTTCCACCAAAGCATACTAACATGGCGGACTCAGGTGAAACTTCACCTCCAAGCTCGGGGGCGAAGAGGCAAAGAGCGTAAGTCTACATTCCTTATCACTATACATACCAACAATCCCATATCCAAAATAGCTAATGTTTCACTGCGAGCAGACCCACGATAACAATCGATACTTCTGCTGTTTCTAGCAACAGTCCACCTCAAGCTATGGATCACGACGCAGTTGCTTTGAGGGCTTTAGCAAATTCCCCCTCAACTTTACAGGGTGACATTAGCCCTGTTACATATGATGGAACAGGATCGCAAAATCGAGGCCATCGTTCCAATCAAGCAAGTCATTCATCGATACCAGAATTAAGAACAACAAATTCATTTGACAGCCGAGATAGTAGGCCAACATCACCACATAATGTGTCATCGCCAACATCGAGAGGAAATCCCGGATTCTTGGCCGTTCCTGGTCTTCGATCACGACAAAACTCCATCGAGTCTGACGATGGAAACCATTCAACTACGAGTTACGGTGGAGAAACCTGCGCCGGAACTTCCACCGCAGGACAGATGGACAAGCATAGGGAGTTGGAGGGAAATAATGATATAATGAACGATCCAGATGCTCTAAAACCGGATCTGGGGACCGAGGAGGACTTCGAAGTCGAAAACAACAATTTTGCATTTTCTCAAGGGCAACTGAACAAATTAGTAAATGGAAAGAGTTTGGCGGCTTTCTATGCTCTTGGAGGTCTTGCAGGATTAGAAAAGGGATTGCGAACGGATCGAAGAAGTGGTCTCAGTCTGGATGAGCAATCTTTAGATGGAACGATATCTTTCGAAGAAGCAACGGCTGCCGCATCTGAAAGATCGCCCGTTCTCAGCGAACAATCGAAATCTTCAAAGACCCCTGTGACCACCATTGTATCTTCGATGCCGCCAACAGGATCGGGACATGCACAATCACACGTTCAAGCGCACGGTGCTTATTCCGATCGGCAACGTATCTTCAAGGATAATAGATTACCCGAGAAGAAAGGTAAAAGCATTTTCGAGTTGATGTGGATCACTTACAATGACAAGGTTCTTATCCTGTTGTCTATCGCAGCCGCAATCTCATTGGGTGTTGGATTATATCAAACATTCGGTACGAAACATGACGCAGAACACCCTCCTATTGAGTGGGTCGAAGGTGTGGCAATTATAGTAGCTATCGTGGTTGTGGTGATTGTAGGATCTCTCAATGATTACCAGAAAGAACGCCAATTCGTTAAACTCAACAAAAAGAAAGAAGATCGCGATGTGAATGTTATTCGGTCTGGAAAAACTTTGGAAATCTCGGTTTTTGATGTTTTGGTTGGTGATGTTATGCATCTTGAACCTGGAGACATGATTCCCGTGGATGGAATTTTCATTGAAGGACACAACGTTGTTTGCAATGAATCTCAAGCAACCGGAGAATCTGATTTGATTAAAAAACGACCAGCCGACGATGTCTACAACGCAATTCAAAATCACGAAAGCTTGAGGAAAATGGACCCTTTCATTCTTTCAGGAGCCCAAGTTAGCGAGGGAGTCGGAACATTTTTGGTTACGGCTACTGGTGTTAATTCTATGTATGGAAAGACCTTGGTCGCTTTGAGGGAAGATCCCGAATCTACACCTCTTCAAACAAAATTGAACACACTAGCCGAATATATCGCAAAGCTTGGTGGAGCTGCCGGTCTTCTTCTCTTCATCGTCTTGTTCATCGAATTCTTGGTCCGCTTACCTGGCAATAACGGTACCCCGACAGAAAAAGGTCAACAGTTTCTCAGTATTTTCATCGTCACGGTTACAATTATTGTGGTTGCGGTCCCCGAAGGCTTACCACTGGCCGTCACCCTGGCTTTGGCCTTTGCTACAACTCGCATGTTGAAGGACAACAATTTAGTTCGACATCTCAAAGCTTGTGAGGTTATGGGAAATGCTACGACTATTTGTTCTGATAAAACCGGTACTTTGACTCAAAATAAGATGTTAGTGGTCGCGGGAACCCTGGGAACTAGCTCTCGATTTGGTGGTACAATAGAATCGTCTGGGAAAGATCAATCGGATAATGGCAAGCAGCCACAGCGAGAAGCTGATAACATGTCTCCGAAAGAAGTGGTATCTACTTTAGATTCAAGTGTCAAAGCAATGCTCAAGCAGGCGGTCGTTTTCAACTCAACCGCTTTTGAGGGCGAGGTTGATGGCGAAGCCAGCTTCATTGGTTCCAAGACAGAAACTGCGCTCTTACTCTTCGTCCGAGAACATTTGGGACTAAGCCCACTCGCTGAAGAACGTTCTAATGGCACCATCACACAGCTGATTCCTTTTGATTCGGGTCGAAAGTGTATGGGAGTGGTTTTACAATTGGACAATGGCACATATAGACTTTACGTCAAGGGTGCATCTGAGATTCTTCTCGAAAAGTGCACAGAAATCATTCGGGACCCAACCAAGGATACTAGCAGTGTTCAAATGACCGAGGACAACCGTCTGACTTTGACTTCCATCATTGACAACTATGCTTCCCGATGCCTCCGTCCAATCGGACTCCTCTACAGAGATTTCGAGAGTTGGCCACCCAAGGGCGCTCGCACCATTGAAGGAGAAAAAAATCAAGTTGTATTCGGTGACGTCTTCAAGGAAATGGTACTTTTAGGTATCGTTGGAATCCAGGATCCACTTCGTGATGGCGTTCCCGAAGCTGTCCGTATTTGTCAAAATGCCGGTGTGGTTGTTCGCATGGTCACCGGAGATAACATGGTTACTGCCAAAGCCATCGCTACAGAGTGTGGCATCTTCACTCCTGGCGGCATTGTTATGGAAGGACCAGCTTTCCGAAATCTGAGTCCATCGAAGAAGGAGCAGATTATCCCACGTTTGCAGGTTCTCGCACGATCTAGTCCAAAAGACAAAGAGGATTTGGTCAAGGCTCTGAAGAAACTTGGTGAAACCGTGGCAGTTACTGGTGATGGTACCAATGATGCGCCTGCTTTGAAGAAGGCCGATGTTGGATTCTCCATGGGTATCGCTGGTACTGAGGTTGCAAAGGAAGCTTCTGCCATTATTCTTATGGATGATAACTTCAACTCGATTGTCAAGGCTATGATGTGGGGACGTGCTGTTAACGATGCTGTGAAGAAATTCTTGCAGTTTCAAGTCACCGTCAACATTACTGCCGTTCTCTTAACCTTCATTTCCGCTGTCGCTAGTTCCGATGAAACATCCGTTCTTACTGCGGTTCAACTGCTGTGGGTCAATTTGATCATGGATACCATGGCAGCTCTTGCATTGGCTACTGATCCACCGACTCCCAGCATCCTGGATCGAAAGCCTGATCCCAAGTCGGCACCTCTTATCACTATGACGATGTGGAAAATGATTATTGGTGAATCAATCTATCAACTAACTATTACCCTACTCTTGTTCTTCGGCGCAGAAAGCATTCTTTCTTACCAATCCGATCGTGAAATTGCACAAATCCCAACTTTGATCTTCAACACCTTTGTCTGGATGCAAATATTCAATCAATGGAAGTAAGTGCCCTGAAAATCTCTAATTATGGATCTCAACTGACTCTATTTAGCAACCGCCGTCTTGATAACAAGTTCAACATTTTCGAAGGAGTTCATCGCAACTGGTTCTTCATGGGGATCAATGTTGTCATGGTTGGTGGCCAAGTCATGATCATTTTCGTTGGTGGCAAAGCCTTCAATGTAGTCCATCTAAATGGAGCTCAATGGGCATACTCCATTATACTTGGGTTCCTCTCCATCCCGGTCGGAGCTTGCATACGTCTCGTCCCTGATGAATTACTCATATCATTGATCCCTAGCTACTTGATGAATCGAAACAAGAACCCAGAAGTTACCATCTCGGACGAGGAAGAGCATTTCCAATTCCCCAAGCCATTGGCGGATGTCAAGGAAGAATTGACTTTCCTCAAGAAGTACAAGGGTGGTCGATTGAACAATCTAAGATTCGCCATGCAACAAACTCGCGATCAATTATTACCACGTTCAAGGAGTGGCTCCCGGTCAAGAGACAATTCTGTTGCACCAACTACCAATTCAGACGATCCCAATCGGGATAATGCTTTTGGCACGAATGGTTCATTCCAAAATCCTGAACCTCGCAAACGCGGAAGGAGCACTAGATCTCGATCTAACTCAGCATTGGGTGCTACAACTGTCATGGCAGGTATTATTGCTGGTAGTGTTGCTGGATGGTCTCCAATCGAACGGAACTATGGCGATAATGATATGTTTTCACGCACCAGAGGAAGATCAGAGTTGGAGGCCTCTGACGAAATACAAATTCACCCCGACACCAAACCTGATGATCCCGTCATCACGGAAAATCCACATCAACTCCATGGACCCCCTTCACAAAATCCCGAGATCACTCCTGCGCCAGCGTCTTCTAACGTTCCTACTTTGAAGATTCCAAATTCAACCCGAAAACCATCAAATGATGAATAATTCACCCACTCTGATCCTATTAAAACACTAGAGATATCCAATACTCATGTAGATATGTACTTTTAGCATTCACGCTTTCACGTGCGCCTTGAAACTTTTTTCTTTTCTTTTCTTTTTGGTTTTCCTCACGAAACATATTGCGTCGGTTCAACATTTGTGGGCGTTTTGATGGATGGGAAATTAAAGATACAAATATGGGGCGGTCTTCTTTTTTCAACCTTTTTGGCTTTTTAATACAATACCACAGTAAAATTGGTGCGCAAGGAGCAGAAAGTGAGCAGATGTTTCTCTTTCCCTTGATGATTCCCCGTCCATTTGGAGAGGAATGGATATGCGATGTAGATATTTGAGATGGATGGATGGATGGATGGATGAGGTGGGTGGAGTCTATGAGTTAAGAGGCGAAAGTGAGAGTGAAAGTGAAAGAAGGGAAAATAAAAAATGATTGCGTGGATGGTTCGATGGGTGCATAGATATGAAATATGAATATGAATATGGAATATGAATTGAATATGGAATATGAGTTGAATATGAATATGAATTGAATATACCCCTCTAGATGGATTGATTTTGATGTTAGTATTGATTTTGGTATTAGTATTAGTATTGTGTTTGATTAATTTGATCTGATATTTCATCACATATATATATGTGTGTCACTTGGTGATTCTTGATTCATATATTTGAATTTATATATATTACTTCGTACCTAGGTACTTTACTACCAATAAAATGACATATTAATAAAAGGAATTCCATCCATCCATCCATCCATCCATCCATCCCTCTAGCAACCCTCAAACCCCCAGGGACCTAATAAATTAAGCAAGCTGCCAGGTAACCAAGCAAGAATATGAGAAGAAAATACCACAATATAAAACAATACGCTATCCAGAACTCCTCGCTCTTCCAGTCCATATGAAACAATTTGGAATATGAAATGTGAAATGTGAAGCCTAAAGTTTGAACTATCAATTATCAAGTATGAAAACTCCGTCCCGTCCGTATGGTCCGTTCTTACGCGTACCCTATGTATGTACCCATGCATGTATTTGACTCCTAGGAAATCTATATGCGCCCACTTGCTCCGTACAATGGTCTATTTTGCGAGATTCTTTTGTCTCTTTTTTTGTTTTTCGATTTTTTCTTCGATTTTCTTCAATTTTTTCGTGCTGAGACAAATGACCATGATGATGAATTGAAAAATAGATAAAACAAGTTGATTTTCATGTCTGTTCATGATATGACATGACATGAACATAGATGGGAATTGAAAGCAGATTTAGATGTGAAAGTATCCTTCAACGCCTTGTACCGGTTGTTCGTAGAAGAAAAGTAATTTGAGATGGGGATTGGGAGTTGTGTGTTGAGTTGTGAGAGAGAGTGACCAAGAATAATTTTGTGAAGGCCATAGCTGGTGTATGGAAGGGATTGTTCATCGCTATTGGTGGGTGGCTGGTTTTCGGAAATGTGTACGTATCTCAAGTTTTTTCTTTTTCCTTTTTTTTGGGGGGTTTTTTTTGGGTATTTTTCTGCATCGATACTGTAACTGAGAACAAGCAGTGAAAATGCGTTTTAGAAAAATTAATCAATATCCATGGGCCAGCGAGTGTTCATTCTGTCTCGATCTCAGGCACAGACACAGGCACACGTGCAGGTACAGGGTGCGTTTGTTTGAATTGGTGACGATTGCTAAATCCAGGAACCGTGGTAACTTCAATCTCCTGATTTTGTGGAATCATCTCATGATCAAGGCTCCAACCTAGAGCTTTGCACAATTCCGAGACGACAACATCACATTCGCCGAGAAGGTCGATGTCAAACTCAACGTGACTTACAGGATCTCGGTTGATTTGAATTTGTGGTACGTTGCTGGGAAGATATGGCACCACCTCGCTCACAGGTGCAACCTTTAAGGATGTCCCAATAGTAATGACAAGGTCAACTTGATCCCTATCATGTTTGCTCAATCGATCGGAGAATTTGTCTGGTAGCTGTTCACCGAAGAAGGTAATATCTGGCTTCATGATGCCGGGTTGAGGAATGTCGTCTGCTTCGTTTTCATCATCATTGTTGGACCGACCCCGCTTCTTATTGCCACCATTCGAGGATCTCTTACGCTTAAGAGTTTGGTTTGCTGGAGGAGGGATTTTGCAGCCTTTGACCTTGCATCGCGGAATGTTGCCAGCTTTGATATCTGGGAAAACTTCAGTTCCCTTCACCTGATTATCACACTGTTGACATGTGGCGGTCGCAAATGATCCATGACACTGAATAATCTTCTCTGGAAGGATTCCCGCAGCGCTTTCGATGCCATCAATATTTTGCGTGTAGTTGGTGAGTAATTTGCCCTTGTCTTGTAAAACTTTAATAAATTGATGGGTTGGAGAGAAGCGTAAAACAGATGGTAGAATATCCTTGGCAATTTGGAAAAAGATTGTTGGATCTCGTTTGAAGATGTCAATATTGAATACCTCCTGAGGGTCGGAAAGACCCAAATATCCCAGCTTTGCGTACAATCCATTTGCGGATCTGAAATCGGGTATGCCGAGAGAAGTGGAGATACCAGCGCCGGTAATGACAATGATTTTATTGGCATTTTTGATGAGATTTGTAGCATCCTGGACGGTGTTGAAGTCTGGAAGTTTCAAACGCTTCATCAACTCACGACGTAAGGCGTAACTTAGAAGCTGGTAGTATTCCTCATCCGGTTGACCGTCAAGGTAGCTTGGTGGACGAATAGCAAACGCAGTCAAGAGCTTCTTAGCGGTGATAGTGTTTGATTCTACCGTAACTCGACAGAATTCTCGAGGACCAAGTCTTCGAAGATCGCGACGATAATTCTGAGCCTCTTCACGAGTACAATTCTCAGAATCAGATTCTAGTAAACTATTTTTAGCGCGTTGATGAGCAAAGGGTAGGGAATACACTTACGATTGTCCAATAAACCCTCATCAGTTAAACCATCTATAAGATCTTCACAGAAACTTTCCTCGTCATCTTCTTCTTCACCGTCACCACCACCTTCAGCTGCAAAACCCTCCGATCCATCTTCTGCACTGCTTTCATTCGCACTCAAAGCCTCCTCGAGCTCTTGTGGTACTGCATTTTGGTGGTGTGGCATGCCACGTGAAGTATCACGAGAGACTCCCTGTAACACATCACCATTTTCCGAATCTTCATCATCGGACGCCAAATTGATAATTTTTGAGGACGTAGTGACAGAGCCTACACCATTTAATGTAGCGGAACTCATGTTGGGTCCAATCTTTATTTCTGCCATGAGAGGTGGTTGAAAAGATTGGGAGATTGGGAGATTGGGAGAGAGAGATGTGGAGTTGTGGAGATATGAGGGTGAGTGAGTGAGTGAGTGAGTGAGCGAGCAAGGTTTTGCTGTTTACCGATTTGTGGGTGAAACTACAGTGTTAGTGCTAGGTTACGGTTGGTACTTAGTAAGTACTTAGTCATCATATTTGAAATGATTAGTTCCAAGTTCAAGTGGGGAATGATTGGTCAAGGGAGTCAAGACTCTTGTAGGTATATGATGAGATATAAACCAGTACTTAAGTGCCCAATGTGGATATATATATATACCTAAGTAGGTATGTAGATATCATTTCTTTTGGACTACTACAATAAATATCTACCGGGTATTTGATCGACTGATAAACCTGGTTCGCACTCGACAAGGTTCAGTCACCGTCTCTTCAGTTTGTTCTTGGGTTGAGCGTTCAAGTAGCAAATGATTGGTAGAGCAAGAGCTCATACCTGACTCGAATAGGTATAAACAAAGACCAATTGCCCAATGTGGATATTTTTGGAATTCTCCGGCATTAATGAAGCTTTTTTAAGTTCATTCATGCCGTCCAAGTGCAGTTTCCACTCAACAAATAACTTACTTGCCGTTACAATTAGGAATTAGGGACTTTCCTTACCTATGTATCATTGCCAGCCATTTGTTAACCTACTGGACCTGCTCAATTGAATTCGGATCATGTATCTGAATAGTCTCATTTGCGTCATAGTTGAGTTGTTTATTTTCCGTTTGATTAGTCACAATGGCTTCCACCACAGATAGTGGGGATAATAATCAATTATCCGTTTCATCATCACCTCACATCATTTTCACAACACCAACTTTTACACCGAGATTCGGTCGAAGAGATTCGATTACAGCTGATGATGGATCACGCATTCATCAGAGGCTTCAGAGGCATATTCATCTCAAATCAAATAATGATAGGCACATTCGAGTACAAGAGCCAGAAGGGAGTCAAGCAAAATCACCGGCTGCCAGTATATATATGGGGTCGTATACTCCGCGACGATCAAGATCTCTTGCTGGCTCAAGGCCCGGTTCTATCAAAAGTCCTCCAACGTCAAGTCCACCTTCGCCTAGAAGCAGTTTCAGCTTCAGTCATACTCACATAAGTCAATTGTCGGATCTTCTACAAGATTTCAATTTAGATCTCGAAACTTACGGTGTGGAAGAATTGAGAGATGGATTCTTTGATGCTGCATTCTTCAAGCCACAGAAGACAAGTCGTGAAGAGCTTATGAAAGATGCAGAGTTTACATTACCAGCAGCATTTATGAAGAAGCACCCGTTGTCACTCAAACATTTTTTCCCGAGGCAATGGCGTGGCATCAAGGGAATCTCTAAACAATTGGTGACTACACGAGCTGGTATCAAGCTTATCAAATCCTTTTTGCCCTTCTTCATTTCCTACGTCTTATGTTTGGTTCCCGTGATCAGAAATTGGCTCGGCCGTTACAATTATATTATGGTAATATCCGCAATCATCAATCATTCTGGACGAAGTATTGGCGCCCAGATTGATGGCACCATATCGACAATAATCGGAACTGCAGGAGGACTAGGATGGGGCGCCCTTGCGCTGTGGTTATCACATTCTACACCTGTTGCCAGAAGAGGATACGGAGGAATTCTTGCGGCCTTCCTTGTTGTCTTCATGGGAGCCATCGCGGCACTTCGTTCGTATTATATCAGATTGTACCAGATGGTTTTGTGTGCCGGCATGGCAGTTCTCTATACCTGTCTTGCAGATACTTCTACGAGCCTTGCTTGGAGAAGTCTATTCGAATATGGTATACCATGGTTATTTGGCCAGGCCATTGCTCTTTTGGTGTGTTGTACTGTAAGTATACTATCCGTAACACATAGATTTGGCAAAATTGCTTCTTGAATCATTTTGCAGCTGCGTCTTCCGTCGAGACTTACCCATATCCGGCGCGTGGTGCGGAACCCGGAGTTCCGGAACTTAATCGACCATTTACTTTCCTCCCAAGGTCTTGCTAATACAAACTAGGTTATCCCTGATGCCGGAGCAAGATCATTGGCTGTGAGCTTACACAATGCTTTTGATATTATGCAAAAAGGACTTCAACTCCCACAATCAGAACCGGTCACTGTACACAGACAATTGGCATTTACATTTGTCAATCTCTCACAAGCGTACAGAGATTTAGTCCTCGACATCTCCATCACCCGCTTCAAGCCGTCAGATGTTATGGCATTGCGAAATCTCATGCAGGCAGTGATACGATCTCTACTATCGCTCCGAATGGAATCGCATTTATTTGAAGATTCCGACAAGGATGAAGATTCTGATGTACCTTTATCACGAGCGGTCTCAGCTCTCAGTATTCGACGATTTAATTCTACTTCAGTAATCAACATTGATGGTCCACGACGCCCACAACTTTACAGAACGGATACAGAGGATCGAGCAGTAGAGTTGGTGGCCGGTAAGCTTGCAGAGCCTACATCGAATTTATTGTCGTGTTTGAAAACAGCATTACAGAGATGTGACGCTGTGTTGATGGACATGTCTGGACATAGGGTGTTTCTTGGGCCTTCCAAAGATGTTTCTTCAGATATCGTGGGTGCTATAACAAGTATTAGAAAGGCTAAGATCAAATATGACGAGGAAGAAGAGCAGTATGTATTATTCCTATTATCTTTTTTTTGCTCACGAAATCACGAAGTCATGTCATCTTTACTGGCATACCTGGGATTTCAGTAATATGGACTATAATCCAACCCAAAGAGGTTCTCAGAGGCAGCAGTTTAGTATGTTCCATCAGTCCGATACAGTGTATTTGCTGGATATATATGAGTGATGGTATCCAGTAGGTCGGACTGCAGTCCAATGATGAAAAGTTTTTGATCTCCGAATTCGTTTGAATTTTGAATTATTCAAATATTTCATAATCAGATGTCATTGGGAGTCTAAAAGCACAAATTGTTGAGATAATTAAACTTTGTCTCAAGAGTTTTGGTCTCTCAAGCGCTGAAAGCTGCCATCCGGTCTTATGATCGGGTTCATTGGATACCCTCTGTCTAGGCCTGTTTCGAAATTTAATCGAGGCAGGACCGTAGCATCCGGAATATTTGGATTGATTATTAGTGTTGGACCATATTCAGAGTTCGACCCGAAGCTTTCAATACCCGAAGATGAATGAAGTTCACTATTCAGTACTGACTAAAATAATCACAGATTGCTGCGAAATCCAAATTTACCTCCAACATATTCAGATCACCCTGAAGTTGTCGAAATATTCCTGTTTGTTCACCCTATCAGACAAGCGGCAAACAGTGCCGAAGCACTTCTCGTTAAAGTGAACGAAATGCAGCAAAGGCGTCCTGGTTGGCGGGCTTACTTGCCATCTTATCCATTTGGCAAGGCTCTGCAGCGTACAAATGAACAAGTACGACATGATCGAGGAGGTGTAACGGCAGGTTTCTTTTTCCAGAGTCAAAGAGAACTTGCCAAGACAATGAAAGGAATGGCAAACGTTTATAAGCCCGGCCCTCGAAAGAAGAGGGGCACAGAAGAAGAAGAAGATAACTACGACAATCTCGAACCTACTGAGAGTAGAGGCGCGTATGCTGAGGAGGAAGAAATCGCGATGGACAAGAATTCCCAGACTTCCAGACAAAAGCGCTTGAGATACAAAACTTGGAAAGTTATCCATCGCTTACAAGGCTTCGAGACCAGATTTGCGTTGAAAGTAGCCATAGTCACTTCTCTTTTGTCAATACCAGCGTGGCTAAATCAGAGTAGAGACTGGTGGAACAAATATGAAAGTTGGTGGGCGGTTATAATGGTTTGGATAATGATGCATCCAAGGTGAGTTTCAAATCTTAAGAGGAACCGGAAGATCAAACTAACCTTTCCCAGAGTCGGCGGAAATATTCAAGATTTATTAACTCGAGCTATTTGTGCTTTGTTTGGTGCTATATGGGGAGGTATAGCTTATGGTGCTGACAGTGGAAATCCATATGTTATGGCTGTATTTGCAACCATATTCATGATCCCTATGATGTACCGATTCACACAAAGTCCACATCCTCGATCAGGAATTGTGGGCTGCATCTCATTCGTGGTAGTTTCGTTGGGTGCATATACAGCCCCTGATAACGTCTCAGTTATCACCGTGGCATGGACTCGTGGAGTTGCTTTCATGGTTGGCACTGTGTCTGCTGTGGTTGTTAATTGGTTTCTCTGGCCATTTGTTGCGAGACATGAATTGAGGAAGGCTTTGTCGTCAATGCTCATTTACTCCAGTATAATCTATAGAGGTAAATCATATTTCACATCACCACACGCTTTACTGATAATATTAGGTGTGGTGGCAAAATACGTATATTACGAAGATGGAGAAGAACCAGGTGTGGAGGACGTGCAACAATCTGGTACGCGTATCCACTTCCCCACAATCTTGGACAAAACTGATATTCCCCGAGAAATGCTTGAAGGTCGCCTGAGAGAAGGATTCGTTAGGATACGTCAACTATTGGTATGGTTCAACTCTGTCACCTTTTTTCCTACATCCCCAGTTGACAGTTTTTAGGCTCTCACACGCCACGAAATTCGCCTTCGAGGTCCTTTTAATCCACTTCCATACTCAGCATTAATCGCTGCCTGCGAACGGTTCTTCGAGTATCTCGTCTCCGTACGACAGTCCTCACTATTCTTCCATCCACATTATGTTTCTGAAAACGAGCAAGCATCTGAATCATTACTTGCTTTCCGACGTGATGCTGTGGCCTGCATTCTAATGAATTTATATGTTTTAGCTGGAGCATTGCGAGGCGATAGAAAGGTTCCCGTAAGTCTTCCCGTTCTTTAACAGGAAACTGTTCTATTCCTAATAAGGAAAAAGAGATATCTCCCATCCGCAGCATCGGCTCGAAAACGTCTATTAGACCATATGGCTCTACTTGAATCAATGAATGTTCCTACGACATCCAGTGGTGTGTCTGTGAAGTCGAAAAGGAGTAAAAGGAGAAGCAAACGAAAGGAGAACAATAACTCAAATGAGACGGCGAGCAATTTAGCCGGGGGCAGAAAATGGTCTCAAATTTACAGCTACAGTACGTACTTGAAATTCTCGCTGCTTGAGCTCTCCAAAATTTTGAATATATCTGTTTGCTACATCAGCCTCGAAGACAAGTCCTAACACGAAGCTTTCTAGGCTACAGTCAATCCCTCACAGGTTGTGTAACGCAACTGGAACAACTATGCAAATACACCAAGGAAATCGTCGGAGAGCAAGGGTATGTATCATTTTCTACCTTTCTTCCCTTTCCCAAGCGCGGAATTCACCTAGTATCTTCATTGATACACAATGCCATCACTCACTCTAACAACTAATTCACAGCTTCGACCCCATTCTCGAAGACGAATACGAAGATATCACTAGCGATGGAGTGGGTGGTCATGGGTTTCTCAATGGTCAAATTACCCCTCGTACTACTAGAGGTTAAGAATTGGGGATCATGTTTAGAATAATAGAAGGTTCTTTTGAAAAATTGATCAATAGGACCGCTGGCGCAACGGTAGCGCGTTCGACTCCAGATCGAAAGGTTATCCGTTCAAATCGGGTGTGGTTCAATACCTCCTTCATTGATCACCTATACTTTTTGCCCGTCTTCATGCCTACCTACGATTTTAATGATATCGTTATTTAGCTCTTTTGATATTTGGTCTTGGGATGGATCATCTAGAGCGTATCAGTATGCAATTATGAACAGCATCTATTTGTTTATGAATGGGAATTAGAGGAGTTGGTGTCGGGCGGGTTTATAATGAGCACAAGTCTTGCCGTCTATCCTTACACTTGAATGGATCTCTTCGTGGTCGGTGAACATCACATTCACATTCACATTCACATACAATAATGAATACTTCGTATTTTTGACAGGAATGAGGTTAACTATATCAAAATTCGACTCCAATTCCTGAGACATGGTGCCGCTAAAACATCCACTTCTTCAGTTCGTCTTTCATATTATTGCCACGTTCCGCATCCCTGTCTAAGTTGTGGGATGCTTACAAGGGTATTGATTTGTGTAATGTGGGACGAACAGGGAAAAAGAGAACAGGGGGTCTGTGTCTAATTGCAGCTGGAAGATAATCTTCGGGAGACTTCTGAATTAGGTTTAGATCCCCAACTTGCCCGCTGATAAAATACGCTTGTCTAAGTTCGTACTTGTGTACTGGTGTACTTATGCAGAGGAAGAAATCGAAGTTTACTAGAACTTTTCGAGTAATGCATGCAATTCGATTATACTTAATCGAAATCTGATGGCTCGATCGCCCCTCACCTTGATGTTTGATTCCCTTCGCCAAGTAAATATCATACTAAATATTCATGATCATCAGAAAGTACGGATCGAAATACAGTAGACACAGTATTAATAAACCCCTGACCCCAACCTCACCTCACTCGCTAAGCCTTCCCCAGAACTCTATTCTATTCCCCAAGACCCCAAACCTCATCTCCTTAACCTTCTCCTCCATATTCAACAATTAAACCATGCCAGCCGAACCTCACAAATACATATACGACCACATCCAAAAACCCTACGACTATATCCGCACCGCGAGCATCGCGCTCATCGAGCGCGAAAATATTCACACCACCATCACCCCTCACATCCGCGGAGCGCGCATTCTCGATCTAGCATGCGGCTCTGGTTTCTACACCTCGAGTTTCGTACCTTGGGGCGCGGCCTCCGTTCTCGGCGTTGATATTTCTCCTGTCATGATTGATCGGGCGCGACAACATTCACGATTTGAGGAGGATTCCGGATCCATCTCGTTTATTCACGCGGATTGTTCGATTCCGCGGAAATATGAGGGAGGGCCGTTTGATATTGTTTTTGCGGCGTGGCTTCTTAATTATGCCCCTGATCGCGAGAATTTGGTGAGTATGTTTAGGAACGTGGAGATGAATTTGAAAGAGGGGGGGAGATTTATAGCGGTTACTTTACCACCGTCCTCGAATCCTGTCGAGTCTATTAATGCGGAGGCGAGGCTTAGACCGGGGAGTCTGGGTGGGAGTGGATATTTGGTTTATAGATATGTGAGCGATTTGAGGGATGGGATTCTTTTTCATGCGCATGGTGATACGCCGGTGGGGGATCTGGATTTTGAGTGTTTTTATTTGAGGAGGGAGGTTTATGAGGAGGCGGCTAGGGAGGCGGGTTTAAAGGGGTCTTTGGAGTGGGGGGTTACGAGGGTGCCGGAGAGTTATTTGAAGGGGAGGGAGGGTGGTGCGAGTTTGAGGGAGTTGGTTAGTTATGGGCAGGTTCCTGGTTATGGCGTTTTGGTTATTGAGAAGTAGGCAGTTGTGGGAGCGAGGGAGGTGGTCGAAAAGAATTGATCATTTTCTTTCAGTCTATGTGTATGTGCTTTTTGGATATCAATAGCGGTATACCAAAAGACTATTACGGGTCTCGCCTATCATTTAGTCGATGTCTAACTCTAATATCATTGCGTGGACCCCTTTACCCCAATGAATAAATCATATCCGAACAATGCTAAGTAAGGATCACTGATGCGGGAATTTGGCAATGGTCATTGCGGTAGAGGTTTTGTCGGTATACCAGTTTAGGTAAATTAGGAAACTTATTGGGATATATATGGAAATTGCTGATTCAGTTGAGGATGGATCGCGCAGCGGTTTTAGAGTGTGTTAGAGGTGAGAAATGAAGATTTTAGATTGGGTTTCATCATCAAAACGTCCGTGTTGAACACGGTTATTAGGATGGATATGTTTTCTCGGGGTATGGGATTTGTAGCTGTTTATTGTCTCAGAAGACTTGTGTTGAATCTGCATTGTTGCGAGGGCCGGAAATACCTCCACGTGGGAAGTTATTAGAAGGCCATGCATATTCTAGCTCCCATGAGATGATAATACGTAACTTTTTAAGCTAAATAAATGGATGATATGTAATGTGCAAAATAATCTTACGTTAGTAGATGATAAATCCGCATGCGGGTTTTCGTCATATATGGAGTAAGTACTCGTGCGGCGGTCAGAAAGTACAGATTATGCTAACCCGAAACTCTATGCACGTACCAGAAGGAGGTGAACTTCAAGAGAAATAACCTGGTTTCCCCAGCAGCCGAATCTCATACTCCTAGCAGCACAAAGTGCATACAAATGAAAAACTGCTTCTGATATCAATTAGACGTTATGTTATCCACTTGATATTGACGTCACACACAGACCGATTCTGTGCTCTTTGCATGCTCATTCTCCCGGGCCAGCTCATTTTCGCGACAATACTTTCAAAAGGATAAGATCATCAACTCCGCACAAACAAGTCTGTGCTTTTGGCAGCTGCTTGGAAACCCACCTGGTTGCGAAGGGTTAGGGTTTAAATTACGTCGCCTGTCAAAAACGTCTCAACTAGATAGCCAGACCGCAATTATAAAATTGTCGAGTGCTCTGTAAATCCACTTTTTGAAATCATACAAAAGATTTATACGGGTTAAAATCAGCTGTTAGTTATCTCTTCGCCACTGACCATATTCTGGGTCTAGCCCATCGTAACCCTTGCCAGAACCCTGGAAAAGTTCATGGAATCGGCCCCATAAGCCGCACTGTGGGTAAATATTAATTTTCTTCAAGCGAGTTTCCCGTTCGGCAAGTACCCAAGTATGGTCTAATCGGGATGCAAGATTGGTTTTGTCCCCATCCATTTATGCAATGCATGCTCTACAGAACAGTCCACTCTCGAGTAACGTGGGAAGCAATGCAGACCTTTTGGGTTCGTTCGCCGAACCACCGGAGTATCGACGAAAGGAAATAAGCTCGATTCCAGTGATATGGCAGCTTATCATACCGTGTTTTCACCCTCTTATTCCCAACGTTTTTTCCCTCTTTGTTGCTTTTTGTCTTTGCGCGTTGTTCTTTTTTCATCATGGAGGCTACTGCACAGTATGATATCGAGAAGGGAGCACCAGTCCATACTGCCATTGACAACTCCACAGACCGCGATGGCAAATCCACTATCGATGATAAAAACGATAGTGTTCGACTCCCTGACTCTGAAGGAGGCTTGAGCTCCTGGAGTGTCAAATTGGAGAAACTCTGGGGAGTGGAAGCTCGCGGCATCACTCGCGTAGCGGACGACGAGAGAAATGTGCCTCGGCCTCTTCATGACTATTTCCACATGTTCTCGCTATGGTTCAGCATTAATTTGCAAGCTATGAATATTATTGTTGGGCTTCTCGGGCCGTTGGTTTACGGGCTCGGTTGGGTGGATTGCGTCTGTATTGTTATTTTTGCCAATGCGCTCGCCTCGGCTTCAATTGCGTATATGGCGACGTACGGGCCTGAAAGTGGTAACAGGACTCAGGTATGCTTTTTCACATATCGTTGTCTGGACGGGAACTAACCTTTTTCCTTTTGCAGATTATTGGACGATATTTCATGGGTTATTGGCCATCGAAAATTGCATGCTGTTGTAACGTTGTTCAACAGGTTGGCTTTGGTACCATTGGGTGTATCATTACTGGCCAGATGATCACAGCAGTTAATGGAGGAAAATTGAGTTTAGCTGTTGGATGCGTCATTGCCGCTCTTTGCATTGGCTTAATCGCTACCTTCGGTATCGAATATGTGAACAAACTCGAGAGGTAAGCCGAGCCACGAGTGACAACTTTAATAATGTTCAAAAAGCTTATAAGACAAACAGATTCGGGTATATTCCACAAGCGATTGTCATTTTCGTACTCATTGGCTCGGCTGGCAAGAACTTCGATACCAGCGCAGTCTCGATCGGTGATTCCGGAACCATCAACGCTAACCGCGCTTCGTTTTTTGCCTTGATCTTTGCCAGTATCATTGGATTCACTGCCATCAGTGCCGACTTCTATGTTTACTATCCCAAAGATTACCCTAAATGGATAACATTTGCGTCCACGTGGTCGGGTGTCTGGGTCTCTGTAATCTTCGCCAACATTGTTGGTGTTGGTATTGCTACTGGTGTTCCAAATATCCCAGCATGGAATGATGCCTATAATGTCTCATCTGGTGCTCTTATTTACGAATGTTTTAACGGTCTCGGGGGGTTCGGTGGCTTTTGTGTCGTCATTCTTGCCCTTGGCTCCATCACCAACAATGCACCATGTAGCTACAGTGCGGCGTTGACCATACAGGTTCTTGGACGCTGGGCAAACAGAGTCCCTCGTTGGTTCTGGTGTGTTCTCATCACCGCAGTTGAGGTAAGCCTAATCAGCCCATTCCACTTCATCTTTCCATGATACTAATCCAAGCACCATAGCTCGTCCTCTCTGTTTGCGGGCGCAACAAGCTCTATACCGTCTTCGAAAATTTCCTTCCAATGATGGCATATTGGATTTGCCCTTGGATTACCATCAGTCTCGAGGAATATTTCATCTTCCACAAACTAGCGGGAAAATCGTTCGACTGGTCTATTTATGACGACAGAAGCAAGCTACCTATTGGACTCGCGGCCCTATTATCATTCCTTATTGGATTTGCTGGGGCCATCGTAGGCATGTATCAGATTTGGTACACGGGCCCTATTGCTTTAATGATTGGTGGCGAATATGGTGGTGATATTGGGGATTGGCTCGCCGTTGGCTTCACGGCTATTGTGTTCCCGCCGTTAAGATATCTAGAGCTGAAGAAGTTTGGACGGTAGAGAATTCTTTTGTATTTATTCATGACTTAATACCCACACTTTTGTACATATTCGCGGTGTTCATAACAGTAATGATTATATACTTGTACATGAGATGTTGGATGCGAAAACTTTTAACGAGTAGTTAGTAGATCCTTCTGCTGTAAACCTTTCCCACCAAAATCGAAGTCCGAGTATACATCTCTTCTTCTAGACTGTATACGTTCTCGCAGACAACTTCATCTGAAGGGCAATATCTGGAATAAATATCCCTTTCCGCTCTGCAAAAGAATTGAGTAAAATGCAGAAGAAAAACTCGACGTCGGCATGATTCGAACATGCGCCCCCGAAAGGAATTGATTTCTAGTCAATCACGTTAACCACTCCGTCACGACGCCTCTATATCAGTTCTTGATATAGAGATGACTCTTAGATTAATCAATGAATGTCGGTGTAATTGATCCCAAGATGTTGCATCAATCCCAGCTGTTTTGAAGAGATTTGGTTGGATACCAATTGAGATATATGGATCGGTGCGCGCCGCCTATGTATGCCGAGTCTGATCATACGGAGTACACTCCAAAGGTGTACCAGGCCAGGCATCAAAACACAGTAAATAGCCACCGATTATTTGCTGCTATAAAATCGACAAGATAGTGCCGACACTCTTTAATTGTATCTCTTTCAAACTTCAAGATATCCCAAATAGGGGTATTTGACAATATGTCAATGTGAAATATGACTGTTTTGTAAACGTATTTGGAAATGGTCGGCGGTTTGAGCGCCATGCCATGAGCTTAGCGACAGAAAATCAGGGTCCACAAGTCCGCAAGTCACAATGCTCGAAAATAATCGTGGAGACTTGGTGTCATGCATCTCAGGTCCTACAAGTTCTACCAAAAAAGCATTCCGAAATCAGTTTCACCAAAAATATCAATATTGGTTAGAGAGCATGGCGATATACCATAGTGAGTAGTTCTAGATCTCGGTAATGAAAAGGGGGCGAGTAAAGGCTGAAATGGGAGAGGATGGTGAGGAGGGAGAGAAGTCAGCAACAATAGAGTGTACCTAGAGTCACAACATAATTCGCGCAAGAATAAATGTTGCACTAATACTTTACGTATTTTTATATTTTCGTATGCGTCACTCTCAAACATATTTCATCGGACCACAGCCGCTACGCTTTCCCACCGGTTGGTTGCAAATGTTAACGCATATCGTCATTTTGACAAGAAAAGTGTGTCGCGTGAGTAATGTGCTGAAGCTGAAATAAGCACCATATATTCATCCTCTTGATCATACTTTGAAGGGATTTTTATCTGAGAAGAGGGTGATCAAAACCAAAAGTGACTCGAGACTCATCCACGTGTACTGATGATTGGTCGACTTAATCACTTGGGAGGGTGAAGATTAACATCTTTGGATGAGTGAGACATAAGAGAACACCTTGAGAGCTAGTTTGTCCAGAGTCAAGTACGGAGGAGCAGGTGTAGAGTAGATATAGAGGGAATGAGGGAATGAGGAAATGAGGGAACATTTCTATACATTTCTATTCCTTTTACTTCGTAGAAAATATATTCAACCAAGCGCTTTTCTTATTCATTATATGCAAACAAACATCCCACATCCAACATTCAACATCCACATCTACATCTACATCCAACGATCCATCATATTTTGAAACGATACAACACATCACAGCTTCGTCACTATTATTGTTGAGCAAAAAAAGGAAAACAAATATCTCATCTCCTCTCTCTTACGGGAAACCAAGCTTTTATACCGCACAGATACCCGCCATCTGGTCGCGAATCTTTCCATATGGGAAGCAACCAACGTCAGCTTTTTTAACCATAGAAAAAACAACAAGGAACGGGGTCATTATTTCATTATTCAACCAACCTGTTTACTTTTCAAGAATTTTAAATTCTTCTCCTAGAACCTACATACTATTCATAAGAATGACATCCTTTTCCTAAAAATATATTCCTTTTTTTCTCGTCTCTTTTTCAGTTTGTTTTCCAATATGCGTTTGAACGTATTGTGCATGGCAGTTTGTCTGCTTCAAAATTTCACTCCTATCGTTGCAAAACCCCTCGGTACAAGCCAATCGAGCCTGCAAGTGCCATTGGAGGACCTGAATCCTACACACCATCAGAAAGTTGCCTCCAAACATCTGCATGGCAGATTCCTGCACATTACAGGTGGGGTTAAATCCTTATATTGCCTTTTGTACGATGCTCATTTATTACAGATTTGCACCTAGATCCTCATTATAAAGTATTTACCTCCACCGACGAAGACGATGCTTGTCATCGAGGAAAAGGAACCGCCGGCACATACGGCGCCGAAACTACCGACTGCGATACTCCTCCTACCCTCATAGATGCGACTTTCAAATGGATCAAGGAAAATGTGAGGGATAGTGTAGACTTTGTTGTGTGGACAGGGGACAGGTTGGTTTTACCTTTGCGAAACAACCAATCGACGCAGTGATGGTATGGCTTTGTGCGAGGAGAAATGCTGATTCAGAATAGTGCACGACATGATAGCGATGAAAAGATTCCTCGAGTCCAAAGCGAAGTCCTCGACACAAATAGAAAGGTCGCAGATAAATTCTTGGAGACTTTTGGAAATGGCGACGAGCTATCGATTCCGGTTATATCAACATTTGGCAACAATGATATCCTTCCGCATAACATCTTGCTATCGGGTCCGAATAAATGGTTGAATACGTATACAGATATCTGGGACAAACTCATACCAGAAGAGCAGAGGCATGGTTTTCAGCGAGGAGGATGGTATTATGTCGAGGTGATCCCTAAGAAATTGGCCGTCTTCAGTCTCAATACTTTATACTTTTTCAGTCATAATGCCGCTGTAGATGGTTGCGCATTACGTTCGGAGCCCGGATATGAACATATGGAATGGCTGCGAATTCAACTACAATTTATGCGCGACCGTGGGATGAAAGTTATCCTTACTGGACATGTACCGCCTGCTCGAACGGACAGCAAATCGCTTTGGGACGAAAGTTGTTGGCAAAAATATACCTTGTGGCTTCAGCAGTATCGGGATATTATTATCGCAGGTTTATATGGACACATGAATATTGATCATTTCATGATACATGACACTAAAGATATCGATCTTTTATTATTTGAGGGTAAATCCACTGCGCCCCCTCGCGCGCTAATGGATGATGAGTTTACAACCCTATCCGCTGGAGATTACCTTCAAGATCTTCGAGAGGATTGGTCGGGGTTACCAAATCCAAAACATCTACCCATCTCGATGGATATTGACGAGGAACAATCGGACGACTGGGAATTGAACAATGTCTCGGATAAGAAGAAAAATAAGAAGGGCAAGAAGGACAAGAAGAGGGACAAGAAAAAGAAAGAACTGAAGAAGTTTGGAGGTCCATGGGGTGAAAGATTTGCGGTAACACACGTTGGACCGAGTATTGTACCTAATTACTTCCCTACTCTTCGCGTGATCGAATACAATATCACAGGATTGGAAGACTCGGCGACTTGGTCCGGTTCGACCATGGGAATTGATGAGCAAATTGATTGGCTCGATCAAGAAGAAGAACAATTCAAGTTCGACGCCAACGAAGATTCGACAGACTATAATCATGTGGCCGATGATGGTTTGTCTGCCGAGGAAAGGAGGAAAAAGCACGGTAAAGACAAAAAGAAGTTCAAGAACCCGACACCATCCAATCCTGTATTCATCATTCCGTCGCCTCCATCAAAAGATGCACCTCCTGGACCGGCATATTCTCCGCAAAGTTTAACGTTACTCGGGTACACTCAATATTTTGCCAATTTGACGTACATCAACAATCTTGAATTGTTATCAGAAGGATCCGATGATGGAATCGATACGGAGAAGTGGCGTAATGGTAAGCATGGCGGAAAGATTCCAAAAGACAATGATCCGAATCCACATGCCTTTCATTATCAAGTCGAATATGATACTTTCACCGATCCAATTTATAAGTTGAAGGATATGACGGTTAAGAGTTATCTCAAGCTTGCTCATAGGATTGGAAAGTATAAACCGGCAAAAGGAGATGGTGTCGAAGATGGAGAGATTCTTGAGAAACCTGAAGTTCAACAAGATGATGTGGATAGGGAGGACGATGATAAGAACCAAATCTCTATATCTAGGAACGAAAGCATCGAAGATACCGAAGATTATAACATCGATGCAGAGAAGAAAAAGGGGAAAAAACACAAGAAAAAGAAGCATCATCGCAAAGACAAGAATAGAGTTTGGCTCAGCTTCGTTCGACGTGCTTTCATCAGCACATTAGATGAGGATGATATCAAGTCTTTTGATGATGAAGGACATTTCCAAGAACCAATAATTCCTATTCCTGAAAAAGAGGATTTACATAACTTGGAGTTGTAATGCTTTCTTATTATGCACGGATTGGAGTTCGCATCGGAATTGGGTGGATGTTTGATTACTTTTTAGCTTGTCTTGCACATATATCATGGCGATGGAAATGAAAGCATGGAGTTGGAGTTGGAGTCGGAGTTTGCTATGAATTTGTACAGTCAGGAAATAAGGTTGTGATTATGCATTGTGCGGCGATTGGTTAAGAAAATTATATGATATGATACCGTTAGTATTAGTTTATGATTTTCGATGAATGAGATGAGAGTATGAATTATGTTATGTTTATTTCATTTTGTTTTATGCAGTTAAATGAATGAACTTGTTATTATGATGAAGTAAGCTTAGAATGATATTATATTGTTCATAGTGTCAACTACTCTACGTGAGTAGCTAGCTATTCTATAGAATTTTTCTCCACCGGTTCCCTCCTTTCAAGAATCTCATCTACAATCCCCATACCCAGTGCCTCCTGGGCACTCAAAAACTTATCTCTCTCCATCATCCTCTCAATCTCTTCCAAACTATGTTCCTTCGTCAAATGCCTCTTGTAAATTTCATTCAAGCCTTTCCTCACTTTCGAACTTATCCTTCAACACCTATTGAATTCACAGTAGTGATTATCATCATCATCAATATCACATCACATTATATTATATTTCCAGACCTCTAATTCAAACTGATAATTAAAGATCCCTTGAAGAAGTCTTCCGTGTGTTATAGTATCAGGTCAATGACGCTCCGCATGTTTGGACTTGTCTCTTTCTCCTTCTCACTCTGTGAACGTAGGCACTCTTCGGGAGATTTAGGTAGCACGAAATGCTTGCCATTATGCAGCAGAGCAACATTCCCCGGGTATCATTTAATAAGCTTTGCCAATTTGATTTGACCGCAACCAGAATATTTCCAAATCTTTCTTCTGATGTGGTGCCTCCTTTATTAGCTGTTAGAGGATAGTCAAGGAACCCGGTTACAAATTCGTCGGTGTGGCGAAGGACTAAAATATGCTTCGTATAGATCGCAGGCTTAAGCGTATGTAGTACACAGATCCGACGTTCGGAAGAAGGGGGGCAAGGGTTGCCATGGTCTTCGTTGTTTTAGACCCTACCACGTCGGAATTGTTCTTTTTGAGTATATTATCGGCCGCACCTCTGCGTTCGTTGGGCCAGCCGCCCTCATTTGGCCACCCCATCTTTATCCTGTATCTATATTCTTCCAGGCTGACACATGTTGACGAGGTTTGGCAGGCTGCAAATTTTCGAGCTTCTTACGTTGCTTCCAAACCAAAGAGACATGCCAAAAAAGATGCTGTTTGTTCCAAGTTAAGATTATATGTCTGAGGGTGGTATAAATCCTTGAACATTGGGCCAATATTTACCCAGTCGTTTTCAGGTGTTTTGGAACTTCTTGCACTGATGTGTACGTTGTTATTATGTTCAGACTTTTCCGCTAGTAGCAAGGCGTTCGTTTAGGGACATCGCTGTTAGTGAACAAATGCTGATCCAACGAAGCTAGGGGGAGACCAGCGAGGCTTTCTTGTCGATATGGGCTGGAATGAAAAGTAGAAATCTCCTGTTGCCATGGAACTTCGACGTCGGCATTTTTCAGAACGGAATCTGTCCGGACGTTGGTTGTGGAATGGAGGGATGGCGTTACATCTGGATATCCAATAGATTTGCCGGAATCGGTCGCAGGTTGACCATCTAGGACATATTGTGCTTCCATCTCCAATTCCCGACCCTGTGCCGCGGATTTAGCCCCCAAAAAAGACCGTTCCAAAAATTGAGGAATGGCAGGTCCATGATATCTCCTTGAAATGATAGTTGACCCCAGTTCGAGTGACATCCAGTTTAGAAAAAGGTAGCGCCCTTGAGTCTCACCTGCAAAATTGATGGCATAAGGCTCTAGATATACTTTTACCAATATTAGTTGGCAATAGAAAGGTGGAAAACTCACATGATGTTGTTTTTATTAGTGGCGTGTTAGCCACACTGCATTAATGGTCTCTATGCCAATAGGAGATCGAATTCCTCCATCGAAAGATGGATTTCCCTCGTCGGGTAATTATTGGATGGTTTGAATTAATGCCTGAACTAAAAGACTAAATGGATTATAACCATAGATCCCCGACGAACGTTGCACATGATTGATTCGTCCTAAAGCTCCTTACAACTCGGGCGAAGCTGCCAATACAGGTCTGCTTTGCAAAGGGAATACAGCAATTTCTCGCATGGATGTGCGAAACATAAAACACCTGGCTTCCTTTCTTCTTTTCAGATCTCCAATCGTTTTGACTTGGCTCTTCCAACCTCGACGCCTTGCCAATCTCCCTCCACCCGAGTAACATGGCTTCAACTTCTAGGCGAACGAATAGTCACTCCTCTCAGGCCGCTCACGACAGAAGCATGCTTGTGGCTTGACCTCCAAGGCTTCAAAATCCAACTCAAGTTCTGCCAACGAGCTGAATATGTCGGAGCTGGCTATTTGGCAGAAAGTGGAGCCCAATATCAACTACGCAAATGCAATCATTCTCATTGTCAGCCATACACAGGAGAATAATTCGCTTATAAAGTTCCTTACAATAACCCAAAAAACTGGAAAGTAAGTAATCTTTCTGATCCAAAACATATGGTTGGCCACGTAGTACACCACATAACCGACCATAGAAAGAGGTATCTCTTAGTGTGACCCCAAAAAATGCCGATTGAACGCGGATAGAGACTAAAAGCGAAAAATAAAATATCAATATCTTCAATCGAAGCGGGACCTCCACTGTGATGCTTGCGACTCCCGACTAACTACAAAATGCCTTGAAGTTTGCATCTAAGCTACAGATCAATATCATAACACATTCCACCAGCGCTCCAAGGGGTCGGAGGAAGTCGAGATCTCCCCAGGAGAGCCAGACAGGATCGATCATTCCAACGACACTTTTCATCGTTGTAAGCTGGTTCATCAGGGAGATCACTTATAACATCTCCAGCCGTATTAAGGAGGTTACAATCATGCAAAGTAACCCAATTTAGGACGCCAACGATGAGTACTTGCTCTGCATCAACAAATCGTCGACTTACTGCGACATTGAGACATGGAGGTGGGATCACCAAAAAAAGGAGAACCCACTCTATTGTCCACATTGGGGGTTATGTACTGGAGTCTTAGTAGCCTCTCCAGTCAAGGCTTGGACTTGAACAATTCAATCCCCGTCCTGACACCAGAAATTCGCGAACGAGTACAAAGAGACTTTCAAGTTTCGTCAATGAAGATGACGGCGATCAGTCTTCGGGTAGGTCTACTTCTAGAGGTCAATTTGTATGAGAGGTGGCTAAAGTTTATCGCCGGGGTTGTCGGCGCCGCAGTCGGAGTCAGTGCGGCCGTTGCCAGCTTCTCCTTCTGCTGGTTCAATGCAGGTGGCATTTGCGTTAAAGGACCTCTGGGTTTGTACTTGTCCGTAGGTTACTTTAGGATGGAGGCCTTGGGGGGTGCTTGCTTGGGTAGTGCAGTAGTGGGTCTTGCTACAGGAATTGCGGCTGGTGCTGCGGTCATTACATACCATGGGAAAAGGTTTGGGAGGTCGTGGGGTGGATACTGGGAGTGGTCAGGAACAAGATCAAGGAAGCTGCTTTCTGGGTCTGGGAAAAGCTCAAGACGTTGGTATCAGATGTTGCATTGAAGCTCAAGCAAGAACACACAGGAAATGCGTTCCATCATGTGAAGAAACCCACGAGTTTCACGCTCTGAAGGATTCCGTGTCGCAATGGAGAGTGAACTGGTTCATTTCATTACATATTGCATGTTATTTGCCTGCTGATTTTGGTTTTTTGTCTTTTGGGTTTCTTTTGGGGGTGGAATAGGAAATTGGGAAGGTGATGCTAGCTGTATGACAGTGCATCGCAATGACTTGATGAACATTTCTTACTAACGGCCTGTTGATGTTTTGAGTTTGCTAAGTTTCTTAATGAAATCATGATACGACTAAACAATTTCTGTCTGTCGGTGCGCCATCTTCAATTTTGTTGAGCAGATATTGTAGGGAGGAAGGAATGGGATGTCATTGGCGTAAGCGGGGAAAGTCGTCTTATGGTTACGTCGTTGAGCTGTACACGATGCTAACAACTAAGACCGTTTCTTGAAGCTTGTCAATAGTATTTGTTAGAGCGCTTGTGTCTCTTTTTATATTCCGACCACTGCGCGCTGTGCACGAGCGAGATCACGTGAGCAGTTTCTACTTAGAATCGCTTAGCACCAGGGTGACAGAATTCGTGTGAATTTGCCGAAAACAGCATACAATTATCCTTTAGTTACTGTTACGACGAACGTCATATTATCGTAACATATGCCTACAAAAGTAGGTTAGGGCAAACTATACAATCATTGTCTAACTTTCCAAACGTTGTAAGCTCTTTTGTTTTATAATATCTTGTCCTTTGCCTTCTATCAATTTTGTTTACATCATCTTTTTTGTTCCATACACAAACTTCCCATCTATCACGGCACATACAATTTTCACCATTCCAATCCCACTAGGTCAATGCCCCCCCTCCTTCTTCTCCTTCCTTACACTCCTCCAGTCCAATCCACAGACCGCCAGAAAACCCCCAATAGCACAAGCCGCTGAAACCCAAAATGTCGCCCTCAACCCCTCCACGTACGCCTCCAATACCTTCTCCAGTTGCCCCTCCTGCCCCCATGTTTTCAATAACACCCTAATCTCTGTAACCCCACTATCCAAAAACGCCCTCGCATCCAACCCCGGGGCCCTTTCCTCAATTCCCCCTACCAACCTATTCTGAAACAGCGTCTGCGAAACCGGCACAAAGACCGCTCCACCCAGCGTCATAAACAACGAAACACACGATATCGCCACCGGAATCCGCTTAATTGGCATCACCGTCTGCGCTACAATAATACCGCTCTCGAACCCCACACCCACGCCCAGACCTGTAAGAACTTGGAATCCCGCGTTACGCGCATACGACGTTGTGACCGAGAGCGTGGTCAGTAGCCCGGAGCCTATGGCAAATAACACCATGCAGATGATCATGATGGGGGTGTAGTACCCTAGTGCTGAGATCAGCGCCCCAGTTCCGGTTGAACTTATCGTGCATGCAATTAGCAGGGGTAGCATTTGGATTCCTGCGTGCAGGGCCGAGGAGCCTTTGATACTTTGAAAATACACAGGGAGGTAGTACGATAGACTAAAAAACCCGGCGCCAAAAAACGCCGAGAATGCAAATGCGCATACGGTATTCCGGTTTTGGAAAAGGTATGGAGGGAGTGTCCCGGCCTCGCCGAGCCGGATCTGGGTGTAGATGAATAGGAGGGTGAGACACCCCGAGGTGACGAAGAGGCCGATAATGTGGCCGCTGTTCCAAGGATAAGTGGAGCCGCCCCATTGGAGAGGGAGGAGGAGGCAGACTATGGCGGGGATGAATAGGGAGGTGCCGAGGAGATCAAGTTTTAAGATGCGTTGTTTGAGGGTTAGGGAGGAGGGGTTATTGGGGCGGTTGATGTGAAGGATGAGAGATATTACAGCGATGCAGAAGGCTCCGATGGGGAGGCTGTGGGGGGGAGGGGAGTTAGCTGGTGTTTGTTGAGGTTCTGGACTTGGGGGAGGGGTTGTTGATATCCTCACTTGATGTAGAAGCACCAGCGCCAGGAAAGTTTATCGCTGTTAGAGAAGGTTAGTGGTTTTATAGGTGGTCTATCTGTAAATGGGAGACTTACGTAAAGACGCCGCCGAGTAATGGTCCGGCGACTGATGCTATTCCCCACATGCTACTGATGATACCCATGGCCAGCGGCCTCTTGCGCAGCGGTACTTCTCAAGTCAGTTCTGCATGTCTTGAGAAGCACTTGTATGAGTGGGGAGTTGAAGCAAGCTAGAACTTACAACTATACACAACAATAATAATTGAACCCGTAAACAGACCTCCCACGCCTGCTCCAGCGATGGCTCGGCCAACGATCAGGGTATTGCTGCTGGTTGCCGTAGCGCATATTAGGGAGCTGTGTGTTGATCTGTTAGTACGTGGGACTGATAGCGCAGGTGCTGAATACTTACCCAAGCTCGAAGATGGCAATGGCAGCCAGGAACGTATATTTGATCTACCAATTCGTTAGCCAACAACCGGTTCTCTATTTGGGAAACGCGGTGCGCACACTGAAGGTAGAGTATATCCTTCCAAAACTAGGCTGCAACGCAGCTTTCGTGAGTAAGTAGCTCGACCCATACCTACAGACGTCAACAATCACTCATATACACCTCAAAGACACCAATCCATTGCCCAACACACAACGTCAACGCACTCACCAACCAATGTCCCCCGTACTCCGAAAATGATCCGTAATCTTCGGAATAGCAGTAGAAATAATTGTCTGATCCAGTGCCACCAAAAACACAGCCAAACACAGCGCTAGTATAATAGTAATGAGTTTGAGGCCCTCTGGATACTGCGGCTCGCTGCTTGCGCTTGTTGGCCGTTCTGTCGCGGCTGAGGTAGAGTCTCTAGGGGTCATGCCCACAGCAGGTTCTTTTTGGGAGAAAGAGTCGCGCGCCTCGGGTGTGTCTATCGTCTCTCCGCCTGACGAAGTGGTAGCAACGGTCGCAGCCCCATCTGAGGTTTTCACGTCGCCCATTTCCATGTCTCGCATAACTGCGGTAGGCGCTTGCTTGCACAGCCAAATTTAGTAGAGACGAATAACCCTATCTTAGGGCTCGTTGTACTAACACGTAAATCTACCGCACACTATCTAGCAATTCCTCACAGCAATACTGTTTAACACAGTGTTACGGATTTATCGCGCACAAAAGCAACCAACACCCCAATTCACAAGAACCCCCCCCAGCTCGCCAGTCGACCTTGCACCAATAGCAGGCAGTACTCCGTACATAATAGGGAATTGTATCGTATCTCTTATCGTGAAATCATAAAGCGAGTTATGCCATTTTTGTGTGCATCCGGTGCTAGTATGGGTTGAACGTCCAGGTTACTCACAAGGTACCCCTGTCGTCTGCCCTGCCCTATTCCTACTCGTGCGGCCAAGTATGTCACACTTTACTTTTAAGCACATACCACAAAATGGTAAACTACAAAGGGAATAGTGGCCCATAATTTTTTCTGGCAGCACGAGTAGGTGCAGGTTGGATTGATGAAGGGATCGCATTGTTACTCGTGCGGCCAGAAAGTACAAAACCATCCCCTTATATGTGGGCCACTATTACCCTTGTAGTTTACCATTCTGTGGTATGTGCTTAAAAGTGGATGGTTTTGGCAGCACGAGTAGCTTTTTCAGTGACTCTGGTACTTCACTGTATGTAAGTATCATACGATTTGGGCATAACCAACATGTGCGTTATTCTGTGATATTGAGGCGAGATAGATGAGCACGATTGATTGAGGGAAAATACAATATCGGAAGACAATAACGTTACAATTGAAAATGGAAGGTTCTCAGGAGCAGACGCAGCTAACCGGGGGAAACAAGCAAGGCGACGAGGGGAATGGGAAAAAAAATTGGGATGCTGCAAGGCCGCTGGAGAGAAATTTGAAGAGTCTGGATGATGAAGGTGCTCCGTTGCTAGGCGAAAACGAAGAAGAAAACGAAGAAGAAAACGATGACTGCGAAAACGCACACGTGCGCGCAAGTGAAGCAGAAGATGCCGCTCCTGAGTGGTCCGCCACCAAAGATTATGAAGGATTGAGCTGGTGGCGTCGACCGTCTGTGAGTGAGATACAATTCTTTTTCCTGCATTCAACAATCGCACCGCTTGTAAGAATCTCAGCAAGCAGTCCACACGGTTAACAGACCACCAAAGCTCTATCTCCTTCTCCCCGCCTTCTTCATCTACTCCCTCGCGTTCGGCGGTCTCATCGTCCCCAAACTCAACCTAGTCCTCTCCCTCGTCTGCCGCAACTACCTACTCCACGACGCTCCCACTAGCACCCTCATCCTCCCTGACACCGACAACCCACAATGCCGCATCCCTGAGATCCAGGCCCTCGCCTCCAAATTTATAATGTACCTCACCATCCTCACCGGCGTCTTCAGCGCGCTGATGGCCCCCTTTCTCGGCTCTATCTCCGACCGGCACGGGCGTATCCGCATTCTTATCCTTAGTAGCTTTGGCTCTTTCGCTGCTGAAATAATTTCTATCCTCGTGGCTAAGTTTCCGGACATTGTCCACTACAATTGGTTTCTGCTGGGCGCGTTTCTAGACGGCATTTGTGGCTCTTTTACCACTGAAATGGCCATCATCTACGCTTACGCCGCAGATTGCACGGCACCGCCCAAGCGTGCCGTAGCGTTTGGCTATTTTCACAGCTGTCTCTTTGCCGGTATGGGCTTGGGGCCTCTCATCGCCGCATTTCTCGCCGAAGCCACAGGCGACATAATCACCATCTTCTACTTCGCCATCAGCATCCACGCCATCTTCATGCTCTTCGTGCTCCTCCTGCTCCCCGAGTCCCTCCCAAAACAGCGGCAACAACTAGCCCGCTCCCCTACCCAGAACAGATACCACTTACTCCGCACCCTGCGACTTAGCAACCTCACTGCCCCATTCAAAATCCTCTGGCCAACATCCCCAGCATCCTCCCCCCACCTCAGAAGCAACCTCGTCCTCCTCGCCGTAGTTGACACCCTCGTCTTCGGCATCGCCATGGGCTCCGTCACTGTCATCATCTACTACAGCGGGTACCAATTTGGCTGGAGCACCGCTCAAATTAGCCTCTTCTCCTCCTTATGCAGCATCTCGCGGGTTCTTGTGCTCATCGTCGGGCTTCCCCTGTTCGTCAAATTCGCGCGGCGATACCGTCCCCGTACCCACAAGGACGCCGCGGCTGATTGGCTGGATTTGGGGATTGTGCGATTTTCCATCTCGCTTGAGGTCCTTGGGTATGTGGGATATGCGGTGGCGCGCACGGGGCCGCTTTTCATCGTGTCGGGTGTGTTAACGGCGTTGGGGGGTGTGGGCTCCCCGACGTTGCAGAGCGCACTGACTAAACATGTGCCGCCAAACAGAGTAGGCCAGTTGCTGGGTATTACTGGATTGCTGCATGCGGTGGGTCGGGTTGCATGTCCTGCGGGTTTCAATCTGATATATGCAACAACGGTGAAAAGTTTTCCGCAAGCAGTTTTTGTGACGCTGGCTGGTTCGTTCGCTGTCGCGTTGTTTTTAAGTTGGTTTATTAGACCGTATGGTGAGTTATTTGTGTTGCATGGAGTGGATGGCGAGAATGCTAATGAGTGGATAGTGATTCCCGAGACTTTGGAAGAAGCAAATGCTAGTTCGGAAGGAGAGCCAAGAGTTCCCATTTCGGAAACAATCATAGATGAGGGGATTGGTGCATATTAGAATGTCTCTTATACCTCAGAATAACGGTTGCTATTATTCACAATAAACTACCCTTCCTCTCATCCCCTCTCATTCCGTCTTTTCATCTCTTCTCGTTCGCTCTTGCACGTTCATTCGTCGCCTCATCTTCTCTCTCCCGGCTCCAAAACAGACATGACTGAAGTAGAAAAAGAAAGTAGATCATAATCATGACCAAAACCAATAGCAACACTAAATATAGTCGCACAATGTGATCAACTAATGGAAAGGGTATGTTCAGCAGATCGGGAATCTTCTTAAATAGAAAATAATAAAGTTTGATAAGTCATACCAGTAGTATATCCTTTTATATTACCAACATGTAAGTGTATGCTCGCTCTTAGGGTTGGGCCACTACATCGAGGCCCGGAATGAAACTGCTCAAAACTTCCGAGGTAAGAATTGTGAAGTAAGATGGTACTATTATTGTAAATATGTCTGACAATGATAACTGTCGGCTACGCTCTCTTGTTCAATGTGTCTTGATTCCTTAGAAAATTTATCAGCAAACTCGAATATCGTCTGTGTTTTTCAACTCAATATATCTTCATTCTTCAAGCCTCTTTCAACAATGCTGTTTCTACTCCCTAGGTGTCGCAACATTAAACACCTGGGCTTAGCACCCGATGCCGCCTTATTTCTTTGCCGTCCGCACGTGATGCTCTCCACAAACGGTCCAGGGGTGGAGTCGATTTTTCTACGACAAGAGACGTCGACAATGATGTCAACATTCGCCGTAACTATCTAAACAGCCAAGACCATAACTATTCAATTCTCCAAAACAAACAGCAATAGGGTGAGGTGCAAGCTCGACTACGAATCGCCTCACGCAAAAATGTCCGCAACGATCACGAAAATATTGATAAAAACTCATCACATGACTTCCAGAAAGAAAATATTGGCAATCACGAAAGTGGCGAAAAAGCTGGAGTGTGCGGTTATGTTGAAAACGGGGCCGCCGCTGGAGGGTGATAGTTGCGAAGGGTGTGAGTGAGGAGGCGGAGGTTGTTAAGGTGTGTGGTTGGTGTTTTTGTCTTCTGAAGGGGTGTGCGTAGCGTGTATTGCATCGGGACCGCGTTTTTCGGAACTCATGTAAATCCTCAGCAGTGAAACTAGAATAATCGAACTACGACATGCAGAGTAGGCAGAGAGTCAACGTTACATCAAACCCCAGAAATTCCGCTACAAAGACTTTGAACTCATGAAAAAAGAAGTCGTCGACAAGAGACGACTGCTCGTACCCTCAGGCACCGTTCAAGCGATCACAAGTCTAAAAGACTTCAGGAAAGAAATAGTTAAGGACGAGGTATTGGGTGCATGGTGGAGAACGGGAATGGGGTTCGTGAGTCAGGAAGAGGGAAGCGGTAACATCGTATGAATTGCGGAATTCACTTCTTTGGAGTGGTTTCATACATTGACTCTCGGGGTATGAAGCGGCTTGTCGATGGGGTACAAATATCTTGTCTTGGGGAACTGAGATTTCTTGAATATGACAAGAAATCTGAGACTACGAGATCACGATGTTGTCGATTCTTGGTGATGCAAGTAGGAAATCGGAATGCGTGGATGATTTGGTTACCACGCCTGTGCCAGGAAACATCGACGATGATGTTATTTCGCCGCTTTCTCCTCAAAAAGTTAGTGTTACCATTGTTTTCTTTGTTATGTATACTCCTTTTAGGAGGGTGTTTTTAACCTTTCAACACTTTGAGCTCAATCCCTTTTTCGAGCACGACAAAGTCCATATATTTGAGCAGCTACAACGTCTAACATTAATTATTCGCACACAGCAGCTAACTGAATCTAAATTTGCAGCTACTTCTCCAAGATCAACAACCACCAAGCTCATCATCTATCTACCCTGAAACAGCTCGTTAAATCACTTACAACCAAATCATCTATGACCAAGTCCCCTTTAGCCAAAATACTACGACCAACCCACCGACAACGAAACCACCTTCGAAGTCCCACCACTTCAGGTCCGAGAAGCACGCTCCAACGACCACCAACCCCTCCGATGAACCATACTCCGATATCCGAAGAGCACACTCCCTAATAACGCTCACCAACCCCCACCTCGCGTGGACACCCCCTGCCCGCCTCTCCCTCACACCCATTCCCCCAGCCCTCTCACCCATACCCATACCCATGCCCGCATTTCCCAAGCACCCTAGGAGAAGAGCTAAACCCTCTCCGCGACCGCCAAATACACGACGCAGAACCTCCTCTCATTTCTCCCGTCTCCCCGATCACGCCCATTCCCGTCACCGAGCCTGAGCCCATGACCGCATTGCCAAGACCAAATCTTCTACGAGCGGAGATAAATGTTCCAGCGGTGCGCGATACGAGGGCAGCGTTAACGCTAGAGTACGATAAGTTGTGGCTAGAGGTTGGAAAAAGAGGTGATCCGAAGGGGATGGGGGGGATGGAGTTGAGGGGGTCGAATAAGTGTATTGAGGGGTTGTTTGGGGAGTTGGAGGTGGAGGAGAGGGAGTTGAGAGTGGCGGAAGGGAGGTTGGGGGCTGGTGGAGAAGGGGGTTGGGGTGGGGATGGATGGATTGATGGATGGATGACTGGTATTTTGATGCTTGCTTGATGGTGAAGGTAGGGGTTTTTTTACGACAGATTCTGAAAGAACTTTTGCTCGGTTATCCTTTTACTGGATATTGTTTGGCTAGCTTTGCTTTTGCTATTTTTGCTTTATTACATTCGTTTTAACACTCTCAAAGTACCATCTGCCACAATTGTTCGTCACGTTCTTGGCTAACATGATGCTATCTACGATTGTTCTTCTTGCATAGTTCTACTAGAAGCAATGATTGTCTTGTCATGCAGCGCACTATGCATTATATCTAGCAAGCAAGCAGGCATGGGAAACACTTCACAATAATTCACAAGCGTTATATCAACTTCTTTCATTTACTGTTCGCAAACATCTAATCACTGCTATTTGTATTATATATTACGTCACCTTTCCGCCTCACCTCCATCGCAAAACCCATTTTTCCACGCATAGGGATTCTCTAAAGTTATGCGACCATTCGGTAACCTCTTCCCACATCATCTTCCTCCGCTATCTCCACCCCGCCTCCATCTTCCTCCAAATCCACAACTCCGAGTTCATCAGCGAATTAGAGGTAGATCACACAATTGGTCCCCCTCTTACCCCTCGAATCGCTATCTCTCTCACCAGAATGATCGTGTGTACTATGACTTCCTGAACCATTACCATGGGTATGAAATAGCACAAGATCGAGAACTACATCGAGAGAGCCAGCGTTTCTCCTGTGCTCGAGAGCAAATACTGCTCGAAAGGAAAGAGTTGGAGGAGCTGAGAGAGAGGCTAGAGGAATTTAGGGATATGCTGAATCACGAGTGGGGGTTTTGGAAGAGATAACTCGCGCGACGAATGGGAGAGGTGGAGATAATGAGAAAGATGGAGAGGAGAAGGAACCTTTGATGGTGGAATAGAGCGGGAGTGGGGAGGAGATAGAAGAAGTCGTTGGAGAGGAGGGTTGGGAGTGGAGGACATACTAGGACAGGGAGATAATGAGAATGGGAAATATGGAGGTGGACGGAGGAGTAACAGGATAAGAAGGGCGAGAAGGATGAGAATGGGAATGAATGGATGGATGATGGGAAATATTGGCGTAGTGGAATGGATCTCATCAAAAATAGCACATTCAGAAACTCTAGCGCAAAGGGACTGCGACGAGAATGATGATTGTTACTACTAAAATGTAAAACAAATTTAGTACCAGAAGGAAGACATTCACAAAATCTTATGCAAAGGGCTTTGAAAAGAATGCTGAATGTTACTATTGAGATACAGAAACTCCTGTCAAAACCAGCACACTCAGCAAATCTCATGCAATGCTAAAGGTGTTGGCGAGGGCGCCTGAGTGCTTGTATATGTCGTTTTGGGTTTTTTGAGAGTTGGAAGAGGTTGGTTGTGCGGGAACTTGAATTGCGATGTGGGATGTGTATACTTCGTAGGGCTGTGTTGGTAGGTTAAGATCAGATGGAGGATCTAATTGGCATGAGTAATATGAGGAAGAAATGACGTTGAGATGTCGTGTTGGTTGATTAAAATAAATACTGTACGCTCAGAGTATATCCGGTTATGCGTGGGGACTTACTACAGTATAGTTACGAGAATTGCAACCAGTTATTATACCTTTGTTGAATCCCTACTTGAAGTCTAGTCTGAACTACCTCGGGTGATCTCTATACTGTTCTATCAGAGCATAGAGGCAGCTCCCGTAACAAATAGATATTGTCCAAAATAAGCATTGCCCAAAATAGAACCGAGTCTTTTTATCCTTTATCTTCAAATTGATCAGCAGAAGTAGTGCCGGCTACGAACCTAGATTAATCTTGACTGATTTAGAATTAACAGGAATTTCATTATATCCTTGGATGCAAGAATAGCAGTATAACTTCTGTGATCCAGCAGATTTGTTACGTTGGATATTACAGGACTAGTAAAGCCTTAGGACTGTAGGCTCAATAGCTAGTAATATCTAATTTTTGTCCACGGCATGTGTTTTGCATGTGCGCTTATGTCCCTTTAAAGGGGCAAAGGACGTCAGGGCAGGAAGCGGAAAACCCCGAGATATTATCAATCAACTAGTTAATCAATCAATCAACTAGTTAATCAATCAATCAACTATCATTTGAAAATCTTTGTTCTCCAAATGCCGAAATTTTCAGATCCCGCGGGACCACGGAGAAAAGCATCTCGTATTGTGGTAGCATAAGTCATTAATATATAGATCGCGGATTTATATATAACCGGGAAATAAAGAGGGGATTCGGGATTTGATGATGGATGATGTAATGACGGGTGATGGGATGATAGAATGGAGAATGATGGAATGTGGGGTAGCTTTAGAGTTTACTTTGTACCGGGTACTTGAGTACGGGGGAACGGATAACGGGTAACGGGTAACGGGTAACGGGCTCTTTGATATTGTGTATACAAAAGGGCGAGGAGCCATTTATTAAATAGTTAGATAATTATTAGGTAAGTAATTAATACTTTAGTATGTATGTGTATTATATGTGTATTATTATTATGTTATGTGTCTATGAAAGGGCGTGGGAGGGGTTGTTTGTAAGCTTTTTGGATTAGAGGCTGTTGAATATCCCGTGGTGAATGGGCTTTACATAACATAACACTCCTACGGCTGGTTTCTAGAACGTCGCCCCTCATTCCTGATATTCTTTTGTATATAAGAGGGGTAGGTTTCGCTTTTTCAATTGACTTTTGATCTCTCTTTTATTAATGAATTGTTAATTACACACACACATACACAAACATACAAACATACAAACAACCTCCATCAAAACCATGACCTACGAACGCCAACGCGCAATCGAATCCTACGGCTGGACAGCCGTCCCCGCCTCTCTTTCCCAACTCATCCAAACCTCCTCCTCAGCCCAAACTCCCGCCCCAACCCTCAAAGTAACTGACCTCCCCTTTCCCACCTCCCAAATCATAAAAACCATCCAAGAATACGCGCGTCAAGAACTCCCCGCCGAAACCTATAACCACTCCATGCGAGTCTACCACTACGGCGTGGCCATCCTCACCCACGCATTCCCATCTTGGACCCCTATCAATCCCTCGAGTAAATTCCTCGAAAGCTATGCGCTTACAGCGCTTTTGCATGATATTGGAACTATACCCAAGTATTTGCAGGAGACTTTGATGAGTTTTGATCTTCATGGGGGATTTATTGCAGATAAGGTTTTGGGGGATGCGGGGGTGGTGAGGGAACAGAGGGAAGTGGTAGTTGAGGGGATTATTAGACATCAGGATTTGGGGGAGGTGGGTACGCAGACGAGGATTGGGGCGTTGGTGCAGTTGGCTACGGTTTTTGATAATATGGGTATGAATCCTGAGTTGGTGGGTGAGGGGACTATTGAGAATGTGGTGAAGGAGTGGCCGAGATTGGGGTGGAGTATGTTCTTTTTTCCTTTTGAGTTTCTGGGGATATATTGGTTTAAGGGAAGATTTAAACTTATGGAAACTCTTGCTAATAATATGATGGTGCAAATAGGTAAATGTTTCTCGCACACTATTCAGCAGGAAAATGCGATGAAACCTTGGGCTCATTCGACACATCTCGGTGTGAAAGATTTCCCGAATGGTGTATTGGAGAATAAGTTGATGGAGAAATGGGATTGAGTGTATCACAGGATGCAGATGGGATTGTGGGTGGGAGGAAGTGAGTAGGAGTGAGTGATATGATATGATGATGGATGGGAAGCCACGGAGGAATGAATAATGAAAAGGTAAAATTGACTTTGAAAAATTATCTGGACCCGGAAATCGGGAGGGGAGGGAGCGTGGCTTGAGAAAATGAAAAATAACATCTACTAGGGCTACGGGTGATTGCTATTTTGATGATGTCGCGGGACCAAATTGAACGGTTTCCTCGACCAAATTTATCAAATCCAGATTGATAACATAGTTAAAAAATCTCCAATTGTTCTAACTTGTTAAAGCATATGAGTACTCATATGGCCCAAGAACAAATCAATCCTATACCTATATCCTTAAGTATTTTTCCCTCTTCATATAATTCTTCAGGCCAGGTCTTATTTCTGATCTCTCGACAGTCGAGAGTTGAGAGTCAATAATATACGCATAAGATTATCTAGTAATCTTCAATGAGTAACCCTCTCCAGCAAAACTTCGCGCAGATCTCTTTACAGCCATAATCAGCGATATAAGATTACAATTGACTACCTAGATAATCAGGCAAGGCTTTCAGGTGGAGTACTTAGTATATATATATATATAATATAACTAGACATCAATTTCTTCCAGCGGCGAAAGGGAGAAGTGGGGTAGTAGATTCTAATTAATTATGTCTGGTGGGGTGTGATGTGATGGGATGGAAGGGGATGGAAGGAGATATGAGATATCATATGGAAATGAGGGAATGAGAGGTGTGAGTGGGAGGTACTCCGTAGAATGTGACAATGTGGAGTTCTGATATCGTAGTTTTTGATGCTTCATTATGGGTACGGTTGATTGTTGTAAAGATGATGTATTTCAATGCGTGTGAGTCGACGGCAGGAGTTACGTTTTGCCTACTTCATGCTAAGCTTACATGCAAAATGTTCTCATTTATCATCCTTGAGATTCTATACAAGATTTCTGCAGCCATATGCGGGTCAATACTATGCTAGCCCTCCCACCATTTCATCTTCTCCCCAAATCCACACCCCCAACCCTCCCCAAATTCCCCTCCTCTACATTCCCCTCATTCCCCTCCACCCCAAAGAACCCCTTAACCATCAACCCAACAACCTCCCTCCAAAACCCCTCCACCACACCCTTACACTCAACCCCACTCTGCGCAAAATCCGGAAACGCATTAACCTCCAACAACCAAGTATCCCCCTGCTCATCAACCAAAAAATCCAATCCAAACGTCTCAAACGCATTTGGTAATGGTTGAAAATGAATACTCATTTCCTTGGCCGCCGCCACAAAAATCTCGCTCGTTAATTTGAAAATTTGATCTTGGATTTTCTGGTGGAGAGAAGCGGGGAATGGGAGAGATGAGAGTAGATGAACAGCGTTTTTCTTCGATTCTGACGTTTGGATGCAGGTATTTGTTAGATGGGGGTTGAGGTCTATGGCTCCGGATGAGGAGGTTGGGGAATCCCAAGGAGGAATGTAAGAGGAGCTAGCGAAGAGTGCGAGCATGGGTTTGTAGACGTAGATATCTAAGGCGCCGGAAGCTAGAACGTAGGTTCTGATGTGAAATTTCGTGTTTGTAGGTGCAATAGTATCGGATTGCGGGGGGAGGAGAAGTGGTGGATGGATATATGGTTGTGCGAGGAAATGGCGGAGATGAGATGTTTGAATGTAGTCTTTCTCTTCTTCATCTTCTTCTTTCTGGGTTTCTTCATCTTCATCATCCGAATCTGGTGCATCTTCTTCCCAACCTTCGAAAATAGCAACAAGCTCTTCATAAGATGAAAATAACCTAATACCCTGTCCTCTATCACTCATCCCCGGTTTCAAAATCCACCATTCTCTGTTTTCGGCTTTACCACCATCCTCATCAACCTTTTCATTTCTTGCAAAGCTCTCCTTTAAATCCCAACACTCTACAATAGCATCATCCAAAAACTCGGCATAATCAACCTCAAAATGTTCTGCACGTTTAATGTTTGTTTTGAGAATAGATTCTGGGTTCTTAACACACCATATATGAGATGTTTCACTCAAGTAGTGCTTACGGATGAGGGCTTTCCGGATGACATAGGCGTTTGTCAAGGAGGTTGTAGGTTTTGATGTGATTTCATCAAAGGGGATCGTTTCATAAGATGAGATATGAAGATATGGTGATTCCGGTGTTGGCAGATCGGATGGAGAGGAGATAAGTGTACATGAAGATTGAGGGAACTGTTTCAGAGCCGAAAGAATTAGTGGTTGGACGTAAGAATCCTCGTAGTCGATGTAGGCGTAGAAATGGGGCTGGGTTGGCTTGGTTTGTTCTTTAAGGGAAAGATTTGATATTGATGGTATTGGATCTGAAAATGGTCTGGCGAAAGGAGTGGTCAGAGGTGCTCTACGAGGTAAATGTGGTTAAAAGGGTGGGAAGGAACTTGTATTGGTCTAACAATATCTAATGCTCTATTTAATAACTCACAACTTCAACTCTCCCTGTGTCGGCGCACTCGCATGCATGAAATTTGCTTTTAATGGTGTGACGCTATATTGATGTTAGTCCCAAGGGTGTGATTCATCTGGAGTAGAACATACCTTGTATAACCCTCCTTAACAGCCCAACCATCATTACCAGGTCCAGCTTCCTCCACACTCTTGTAGACGTCTGTAAACCTTGGCGCCCACTTGAAATGTTTATGTGTGTGCCCAGCAACCTTTTTCTCCTCTCCCTCACCTTGCTGGCCCTCCTTTTCTCTAATCTTCTCTTCCTCTTCATCAGCATCCTCATCTTTCCCATCGACTTCCTCAAAACAACTTCCTTGACCCCAATAATTCTGCAACATATTGGTCCACAAAACTTTCCTCTCTTCTACTCCTTCCACCAACGGAACATTAACCGTATATAAATCCACTCCCTCACCCCAATTATTATACAAATACTCAATAATCTTCGCACCAATCCTACTCGCACCCCCAATAATTTCTGGATCATGATTCCTCGTAAAAAAAGCATAACTCAACGCGATAGCCTTCCTCTTACAAATCGCCGCCTCCATCGCGCCGCCAATCGTTCCACTACTCAGACTAAAAACAGCCGTGCTATTTCTCCCATAGTTCGGTCCACTAACCACTAAATCCACTGGTCCCCTATCTTGGAAATAATGATATAGACCAATTTGTACACACGATGCTGGTGTGCCATCTACTAATACCCATTCTTCTGTATTGTCGCTGGAGGGGCGAGCATGTGTTGTACCGTTATCTTCATGAAGGGTTCCTGGACGGAAATAGGTGGGCTTGACGGTTTGACCAACCATGTGCGCTTTACCAATCCATGAGCGTTGTGTATGGGGAAGAACGACAGAAACAGTGTGACCGGCAGCTTGGAGAGTTTGAACGAGGGAATGGACATAGGGAGAGGATTTATTCGAGGGAGGTCCATCGTCATTTACTACCTTTTGTGGGTTGTTAATTCAAATAAGGATCATGAATACAATTTTAATTTAAACTTACGAGAATATGCATCTTGAGTGTTGGTAGCTTGAGAAGGTGTTGTATCCAAAGAGCTGTGTCTAGGCAAGTGAATTGAGGTTTTGGTGGGATGTGCGGGGGATATTTATCGATAATCTTTTTAAGCAGGGATTTAAGTTTCCGGAATACACAACCTTTACAGTACTCGTAGTTTGACACTAATTTATGGCATCATTAGCATGGCATACATGGCAATCACATCATATCACATCACATCCATTCAAGTTATGAAGTTAATAGTTTGTTAATATGCTTGATCATTTAATTTCGTAAGGTACAGTAGTAGACCCAAATCTCGCTATGCCTGAAAACTGAAAACGCCATTTCCTGGTATTTTACAAAAGAGGTGCGCAAGAAGGGGTCCAAAATTCTGCCATGTGCAATGGCCTCGAAGAGCCCATCAAATCATGCAGGGACGACCGTTAAAAAAGTAAAATGCCTCAAGTAGGTGATTAAAAGAAATAAACACTGCAAATCCCTGCAGTCAAAGAAAGCTCATAAGCAGGTGACTCAAAAAGCTCTGCAAAAACTCCCGCCCCGCCCGTCCAACGCGTTCACCAAGATGCAATCAATCTTCTTTCCAATGACCATAGAGCAAATAAGAAGCGCATGACAAGAATCCTAATGAAGGATCCTAGTTGCGTGCTCTCTTCACTTCCTCAGTAGGTCTTGCAACGGCTTCCCCATCACGCTTTTTCGCTGCGCGCTCAAAGTTGTTGTCACTCCTGGATGATTTGAATGGACTAGTAGCCTGAGATCGACCACGACGTGGAGGAGTTACTGGCGATTCGACAACGTCATATCTCTTTGTAGCGCGTGTAGCTCGTTTGATAGTTGGTGAGGAGGTTGGTCCAAATCTTGGCGCATCCGGAGTCATAAGACCTTGGGTATGGAATGGGGTACGTAGCTCAGCATCCGTGTCTGTCGCATCGGTGTCAAACTTTTCCTCGATATCAGTCAAAGCCTCCTCTTCATCTTCAGTGACTTGGACTTGTGGAATGGCGGGAGCTTGGCGATTTTTGGTGAACAGCTGGCGCCTGCATGAGCGTGTGACTGGCCCATTAGACTCGCCAGTAAAACTTTGGTCCAGAATCATGACTTCAGCACGACCCCTACTTCGAGTTGGACTATGACTTGCCGAGACATTCGAACTCTTTTTGAAGATTAGTTTACCACGGCTATAGCAGTAATAGTTAGCAAAATTAGTCTCTAGATCGGGAAGCATATGGAACTTACAAGTTGGCAACATGTCCATCCTCACGACCCGTAAGCTGCTCCATAGTTTGGTCTTCCTCTCCTGGAACGTGAATCAACTTGGGCTTTCTGCTTCTGCCTCTGGTATTCTGTGGAGGGCTACTACCAAAGAAAGGATTATCGGAATGGCTGTCGACCTCTGGAATGCGGTCCTCCGAATCGGTGAAGATAGCAATTGGTTCATCTCCTGAAGAGCTACCAAGGCCATAGTTGTCAAATCTCTTGCGGCTCTTCTTTGGTTTTGGCATGGCATCCGCCGAATTATCAGCATGGATTGAGGTAAACAAGGTACGAGAAACCGCATTAATTCCTTGTTTTAACTCCTCCGTTTGCTTGGGGTGACGTGGGGTCTTAGAAGGTGTTGGTAGCATGCCATCGCCACGAACCATTGTGCCAGGTCGCTGATGGTGGTCCATCTTATGCTCTCTCTTTTTACTTTTGGGAGTTAGACCGAGAGCTGTAGCTGCGGAGGTTGTGTTGTCGAGATTTAATGCGCCAGAAACTTGTCGCCCTTCAATTGACGTAGTCGATTGAGGTGCGCGTCGTTTTGTCGCAGTCTGAGGAGATTTAGGTACCGACGAGTGAATATGTTGTGGTGTACCGGAAAATATGACCCTTCTAGCGGCTCGAGGTGTTGATTGTGGAGTAGAAAGATTGTTGCGAATATTATGTTTGATAGTTGGAGGTGGTGGAGTTACCGCGTTCCGAATTGCTCTTGAAGCTACTCGACTTGACTTCCTGGGCGAATAAGGTTCGTAATCATCATCATATCCAAAACGTGGTGTTGATGGAGTTTTGAGGGAAGTTGAAGGTGGAGGAGTACTTGGTCGCAAAGTAGAGGTAGCCATGTTTGTTTAAAAAAGAGAACCTCGAGGGGTTTGTATGGTTGTCCGGTCGAATGTTATGTTGTGAAAACCTGCTCCCAAAAGATCGGACCGGTGGATAGAATTTTAAGATGAATATTCAACCGTCATAAAAGGTGATAGTTTATAAAAAGTGAATAAAACTCCAACTAGCTGTACACATATAGATCGGTAAAGTCAATAAAGTCAATAATTAACTGTTGATACTGTAGTTATGGTGGTAGCTATGGTGGTAGCTATTGCTGTTGATGTGGTACAAAAAAAGTGTGAATTTTGCGGGATCAAGGCGATGACGCTGAAATGCTAAGCAAAGGAATCAAACTATTCTTGTATAAATGGCAAAATTGCATAAAGGAGGGGATTAGACAAGAATAAGATTGAAGGGATTGTGATATTTGTGTTGTTTGTTGTCATGGTCTAAAAAGCAGGAGGTCGGAAGAAAGATTCCCAGCCATGTTGATTTCCTTAGGCTTTCATTAGTATCAAAACGCTCGGACGTTTTATGGCAGATTGACTGTTGACAGCTTATATTAGACCATTAGACGTGAAGTTACGTGACTTTACGCGTTAAAGCCTATTATTTAGGTTGTTTCAAGAATTTCTAGAAAGACTTTAACTTACTTTACCTCATCAACCGACTGAACTAGACCTTGACCTTGACCTTGACCTTCAACCCCAACCTTGAAATTGCATCTTGGACCATGGCTACCCCAGATATTGGCAAGCTAGACCTATCAGACTCAGACAATGAGGATCTTTTTGCATCCCCCTCCAGACCTTCAAAGTCGAAATTAAAGGCTCCAAACAAAACTGCAGAGAGCAGTGGGCCGGCGCATAGAAGTGGGGGATCAAAATATGACGCTGAAACAGCAAGGGAAGCGGCTCTACAAAAGGAATTAGAAGGAGTGCGCAATATCAATGAACTTATAGAAGGAGTACTGGGCAGCTTAGATCTTGCCAAAGGAAACATGGATGTAAGAAGAATTTGTGTATTGGTAGATATTTCGTTGTAGCTAAGAATCATTTCAGACAGTTTCACAAACGGTCACATCAGCTTCAACGCTGCTTAACACATGGATTCGCATACTATCGCAGACGGAACACAATCAAAGGTTGATCTTAAATCCAAATTGGCGAGGCGCAAGTCAGGACATTGCAGATATGGAGAATGAGCAGGTATTGAAAGCTCAAGCTGCTGAACGTCGAGCCGCAGAGGAGGAGCGAAGAAGAGAAACTGCGAGGCAAAGAGCGGAGGACGAAGAACGGCAAAGACAAGCTGGCACAACAGTTCGTGGTAGTAGGGGAGGGAGAGGAAGACCTAGAGGAGGCGTGTCAAGAACTGGAAGTGTTAGCTCATCAGGATATGGCCGTGGAAGTTCGACAGGCTCAAGCGCAGGCACTGGCAGAGGTGGGTCAGGTATTGGACGAGGTATCCCACGAGGGAGAGCACGAGGCGTACGATAAATCATTCAAATCATTCGCTGCAATGTTCTACATGATGGTATCTAGGGATGTGCCAATCCGGATCGATCTTACCCAACACCCTACCCAAATCCCGCTCCAACGCCAACTTTCCTTAAGAATAAGTACAATCATTTCTTTTTGAAAAAATCATTCATCTTCTTCATGCCACTAGTGTTGACTTTCTTTAAGTTCTTGACACCTCGACTCTCACCAGCCTTCCTCCTCCTATCCTCCTCGTCTTGTTTGCGCTTCTTTTCTGCGCGTGTCTCTATCTCTTCATCATCTCCGACCAACGCTCGCTTTCTCGAATAATCACCCATTGACCTGGCCGCCATAGCGTCTTGTCGTAATTTCGTTAAATATGCGAGGTGGCTGTCCAAGGGAGTGAAGTCAACAGGTGAGGTTGAAGATTTCAAAGACTTCTTCAGTATTTCACTGAGGTGAGGGGCTATGTAATTCGAGCAGATGAAGAAAAATGCTGTACGAATGCGCAGCAGGTCTGCGACACCGTCAGGTGCATCGATCGATGGTACGCTTATTTTCTCATCTTCAAGTGCAACAGCCGAATGGCTCGATATTAATGTTGCTGCAGTTGAAGCTTCTGAAAATGAACTTGCCACAGTATCTACAGATAAGTCTGTAGCTTGTGTATCCTGTGAGTCTGTTCGTGGTGTAGAAGTACCTGATTCTGCCGATGTGTTCGCTTCCTCTTTTAATCCTCCATGGGTTAATTCCTCTCCCCGCTTGATACTCAAAACTGGTGCGTCCAGCGCCTTTCTGACAAGTTTTTCCTCCATAGTAGCAGGCAACCCATGCCCGGCCATCCTCTTTGCTTTTTGTAAAAGTTCATTGAATAGCTTTTCCTCATTTATTCTAAACATTGTTTCGTCGCCAGCATCCACCGTGTCGCACACTGCAGCCATTCTCTTTTCTAGACGTGTTCGTAAGGGACCGGTTCTCAGGAAAGATCGAAGATGCGGTGATACAGATATTAACTTATCGATATATTCTTCGCCAGCCAGGAATAATTTCTTTGGAGGGTCCGAAACTTTGGTTGTAGATAGGGGTACAAGAGCAGGGAGGATAATGAATAAGGCGTCAATTGGGGTCGAAATGAAAAGATCTGCTCCTTTCGTGACATAACCTTTCGCCGAAGACTCTTCTTTGTCATTCGCTTCATCCTTAAGTACTCGTTCGGTCGAGGGAACGGCTGGCTCATTTTCTGGTACAAGTAACCAACTTCGAGGTGTTATTTTCGGCGCAGCTATTCGAGTAAATTCATTGAAACCTCTATTGGGGCATACAAGATATCGACTATCCTTTGCATATCTAGGATTTTCGAGTGTGACAATTCGAGCTTCCGTGCTGATATCCTTTGGTAATATAAAAACCCTCGGGGGATTGGAATCATCTGGCTGTAATTTGACTTTTTGGTCAGCGGCTTTTGAGGGCTCTGCCTCCACTACAGCAGCTTTGGTAGCTGGTCTCCCTCTAGTTTTTACCACCATATTCAGAACTATCGTATGATTATTGTTAAATTGTTCAATGAGTCGTAAGTAGTCAATTGTGTGTGTACTTGAGTTTTGAATGAATCCAAAGAGTCTACATCTACCAAGAATCGGCCACTTTAAGAAGTCGCGTCTTATCGCGTTGCATAAAATCGCGTGGGCTTAGTCAGGGCTAAGGACCAATGAATGGCTGATTTAAATTAAAGCACAAGGCTGGGAGCGCCTATTGGCCCGACAGTGCGTATTTTGAAATCCGGGGTTCTGCTTCATCATAAAGTTTCTGAATCTGAGATTGGAATTGGAGCGGACTGAGAACCCAAAATTAAACATTCAGCCAACTCAATTACCTATTTGAACCGTCTATTGCGCCAAAGAATAAGCTACACCAAAAAGGAATAAACAATATCAGTAACACGAATCATAGCTTATGCTTCCGTTGCAAATGGAAATCCTACCTTCGCCTTATAAGACCCTGCGCTCTCATCTTCGATCAACAGATGCTCTTCGTTCTTCAAGCACAGGCAGCTTCAATATTTGATTCTGTTAAACCACTGTACAGTGTACACGATAAACTTTTACAAGTTTCTACCAATTATATTTCTGGAGAACAACTTAGAACAAATCAGTACAAATCATCAATTACTCCAAGCTTCGCATGATCGATCTGCTTGGGATTCATGACAAACAACAATATTCCACGAGAATTGGTATCAAAATACCAAATTAGTTTAAGCCGCTTCATTACCTGCTTGTTTCATTGCTTGCACATTATTATTGTGCTCATTATGTCTCAAGGTATGTGCACTTTCATGCGATGTATAAAAATATGACTAATTATTAGAAAAAGGTGGTGCTGAAGAGCCTCAATGGCCACCAAGATCTCCCAGAGAAGCGCTTTTAAGTACACCCAGCGGTCGCGATCGACTGCGACGATTTGCAACAGGATTTTCCCCTACTTCATCTCCTTCGAAACGACCACCCCCTGTGTCGCCATTATCACACGAGACCGGCAAAGATCGAATGAAAGCGGATATGTTTATAGAAGAAATGGGGGGCGACGATGACGATGACGAAGAAACCTTGCAATTGAAACTTCAAGCAATTGAAGCTCGACTCCGACTAAAGAAGTTGCAGAAGAAGAGCAAGCAGAGTTCGGATTCAGAGGGCGAGAAGAATGAGAAAATCGAGGATCGCAGGCCTGCATCTGTTCTCCTAAGAGCTAATTCTGCGGCGACAAATAGGGTGCCATCAAGATTGGCAGGATTGAGAGAGAGGCAGTTACAAAGGCCAAAATCGCGCGCCGAGATTAATGTTCCAGCATCACCACCGCGCCGTGTTCAGCCTACCGAGCTCCCACGTTCGCCCGGAAGGGTTTTACTTGGTATAGACAAAGGGTTGAAAGGAACCGATGTTTCCCTGAAGAGAGCACCGAGTTTGAGGAAGAATTTAGAGTCAGAATTCAACAATTCAAGGCGAACCGGGCCATTTTTACAAAGAAGCCAGTCACAAACCGGAAATCGCGCACCTGCGTCGCAGAGTTCGAGTTTGGAGGAGAGACCTAAATCTTTTAGCGAGAGAATGGCTGCAATCAGGGCTGTGGACACCGAGCGACAGGAAAGAGCTGCTCGTATAAAGAAAACCCGCAGCTCAGCATTTGATATCGACCAAAAACAGATGGAGTCGTTCAAAAACAACGCAGTTGAATTGCCTAGCCATCCCGCGCCCACCAAAGAATTCAGTCGAGAGGAAGTCTTGAATTCCTACAATAAGTCAAACGGAGAATTGAGACGCCACAAAACTACTTCTAATTTACATTCAACAATGAAGAATGGCAAGGAGACATCTGCCAGGCCAGTTTCACGAGGCTTACAAGGTTCCTTTGACAGTTCGGGGCGTTCAGAGTCGAAGAACAGCAGCGAAATATACATTGGCTTGAGAAGAGGTTCACAGGATTCCCAAGGTTCCTTCGATACCTCTAGACGTTCAGCATTGAAAAAGAGTAACGAAATAACCACGAAGCCAAGCTCTCAGAGTTCCCAAAGTTCATTTGACTCTCTTCGCTCAGCAATAAGGAATGGCTCTGAAACAAAATTCTTGACTAGGCCGAACTCACGTGAAAAGAGACCTGATTCACAAAACAAAAATATGCAAAGTTCTTTCGATAATTTGAAAAGAACGCGCTCAAATAGCAATCCGAGCAAAGCTACATCAGAAACTTCCGATGGAGAAGCTTCGCAATTCGAACCATACTCATCATCTCACCTCTCCAAACGAATTATCCCTCACCAAGTGCTGACCCGGACCCTTCAAGGAAAGAAAACTTTCGTCATACCTGATTTACTGAGAACAGTCAAAGCGCCTGACTTTGCAGGTCCAGAAATCGAAGAAGATGTAGTTGTGTTCGCAACTATTGCCGCAAAATCTGCACCACGTGCGCACCAGGACCAAGCTAAGAATGGCGGCAAATTTATGATCCTTACTCTTACCGACCTCAAGTGGGAAATTGAACTTTTCCTTTTTAAAACAGCATTTGAAAAATTCTGGAAACTCACACCCGGAACTGTTATTGCGCTGCTCAACCCTGGATTTATGCCTCCAGCTCGAGGAAAAACGGACACGGGCAAATTTAGCCTCACACTCAACTCAAGTGACGACACTATACTTGAAATCGGCACAAATAGAGACCTAGGATATTGCAAGAGCGTCAAGAAAGACGGTAAAACTTGTGATACCTGGGTCAATAAACGACACACCGAATTCTGCGATTTTCACGTAAATCTTTCTCTTACTAAGACCCATGCAAACCGCATGGAAGTTAATACAATGAATTTCGGACCCAAGCGCAATTATGGAGGAGGGGGAGCAGAACGGAAGTACAAATCCCAGGACATGACAGGCTATATGCAACGTCGAGAAGAACTTAAGAAGGAAGAAAAGACTAAATATGATAGAGAAAGTCATAGTCAGATCTACATTGGCAAAAGAAGTGCTGTGAACTTACTGGACGATGTCGATTTCGATCCCGATGCTTTCCACAGGGGAAGCACAAAGGAAGACCGAATGACTAGACAACTCCTAGCTCAAGAGAAGGAGAGAGAACTTGGCAGGAAATTGGGGATGATGGGTGGAGGACTCGGTGCTGATTACATGAAGAAACGTAATCCGGTACAACCCAACCGACAAGATATGCAGAACAGCGGGGACAGAGAACCATCTCCACCTGATGCTAAGAAGCTTGGCCTTATTGGCACTAAGCCTTCTGTTCGATTAAGTCCTATTACTAAGCGTAAGCGAGCCAATACGATTGGTGGGATTAAAAAGAAAACTCGCTTCGTGACAGAGAAAGGAATCAGAGAGGCAGGAAGAGAGAGTTTGGGCGGTGCTGAATTGGAGATTGAATTAGATTAAGAGTTTGGAATTTTTACAATTTTTGTAGAATCTTGGACAATCAAGTGTTGGTTCTCGTAAAACGGTTTGGGAAGACTACTTTGGCGCGGTTTGGGCATTCTCGAGCATCAACATATTATATCCAGGGAGGTGATGAAGGAGTACCAGTATCATTATTGGCAGTGGAACTGGGGTTGGGATTGGGACTGGGCTGGGAAGGAAATAAATGAATTAATGAATGAATGATGATCAATGAATGCGTTTGCAACTGTATAGAATGCCAATAAATAATTAAATCGGTATAATTACTCTTAGGGCTGTATATTGAAATTTCTCGGTGCTTTGTTGTACTTGAGATATGCTGATGATTATTCCCCTGGATGTTCTTGCCTGGGCCTATGCCATCGAAGCTGGCACGATCTTAGTTTTTTTGGTTGGCAAATACTCATTTTTGACTTTACTCCCGGAAAGGAGATTTTCCTTTTATTCATCAAGCGGTACGCTCTCCTCCTTATGATTACCTTTGGTTATGGTATTAAATACATTCAGGTGTAATCTTGGTATCAGCTTCAATTTTAGAGATTGAGGACTAGATCTCGAAGATTAGTTTCGAAACTTCAAAATTATTATATTATGTGATCTATTTTTATAAGGTACTGCGCGTCATTGTTTAAACCTTTCAGCTTGTTATTTCACAGCGGTTGAAGAGAGGGAGAAAAAGTGTTAAGATATCTAAAACTCCCTGCGGCATCAAAGGTGTTCAGAGGGGAAAGAGAAAGAAGCAGTCGAAAGGATTCAAAAACTGCTTGTTCAAGTATCAAGCCATAATTGGTTCCAAGTAATACGAGTAAAGTTTGAATAAGATTCCTGCATTTTTGTAAATTCGCTCCCGGAAAAATGTTCAATCTAGATGAGGAAGTCTTGAGACATAGATATACTCTCTGATTGATGTGGTATTGGGCTTGCGATTTTTCATTTGGCGAATCTTAGCACAATTTCCCAAATTTCTTTGGCATCGTTATCGTAATCGTTGCTACGATTGTGATCTGGAAGAAGTTGTATCAAGGCTCTATCATTATCTATACACTCCTCTTCAAAAACGCGAAGTAAGGCGTGACATTCGTCTCGAATTTCTTTTGACTCTATAACCATTCACTCTGAATTTCGACTACGTGCCAAGCAATATAGTTCAAAGATTCCGAGTATCTGTCTCTGCGAAAAATGCACCTGAGATCAATCCATACGCTTTCTTGAGTTTTATTCGTTGCATTTTGGAAGCGTCTTCTTTATCGTATGAACCGTCATTTCTTCTCCAACTTTGATAGAGCTAAGGACGCGGGTGTTCATGGCTTTTTTTTCTGCTGTTGCAGTATATGTGGTATTGACGAGGCAGTCATGATTGATGAGGCTCATAGAATCATGGTAGGTAGACACCTACAGTCCTGGGGTCATTAGTGTATTTCACAGAAGGTTACCCCATCACCGAAAAAAGGTTTATTACCAAATAATTATTCTAGAGGGAGAGAATTTGTCGTTGCTCTAGTTTTGAAAACTCTTTTTAACTTTTGGACTATGGTGCTTTTGATATATGTTGATGATGGAAGATCCGAAATTGTCAAAAGGGTTTCTTGAAAGCTATTCATTTTCCTTTCTCAATGTTGAAGCTATCTCCCAATTCACTGCCTTTTCTTGGAAACTTCAATGCTAAAAGGCTTCGAGACTGAGTCACTCTTCAATTAGGTCTTAGGCGCGTCTTTGTTAGTGACGGTCCAAACATTTAGCTTCCCATTTTGCAGTTAATAGAGAATGTACCTTATAGTAATTGAATCATGACTTATGGACCTGCTTAAGAGATTTCTGCGAATCCTGAATTCCATTCTTTTTATGGACTGCAGAGCCAAATAGGCTTTACAATCAACGTGGATTACATCAAGGCAAGCCTTGATCCTTCGACATGGTGAACTGCAACTTCCGAAACCAATAATAAGGAGTTTATTGCCCTAGAATCTAAGACAAAGATTGTCCTCTACTCTGATGAAGATACCATCCTGTTTCACTTCTACCAAGGTACTTTAACAATGTTCCTTGACAGCTTCGATGGAAAATTCTCGTCCTCCTTTGTCTGCTGACACTTTGGGACAGCGTTGGAATAATTTCCAAACCACGCCAGGCGCCCACATATACAAGTATTTTTTGATCAGACTCCAAAATAAGGCATAGAATTTGGAACTATGCTGTGTAACGCAATGCGTGACTAGCATGCTTGATGATTCAATACCCCACTAGAAAATAAGTGCTATCCAGTGTCTCGTGGTAGATACTTGGAAGTTGTGCATCAAACAAATCCTTGTGTACATTCCGTTTGCAATGCAGATACTGTCTATCCTAGTTTTCAGAACAAAACCGGATGTATGGTGAGATCTTGGAGTGTGAACCATAGATTTGGACCTTAGAGTGGACTGTTCTGAGATATATCTTAATGATCTCTATCTCAATATAATTAGCAACAAAAGTCGAGCAGATTGGGAAGAAGTGCATTGATGATGTGACGATTTGCGAGGAGTTGAGTTTCTTCCTTTTTTCGAAAAAACTATGGCCAGTACTTTGAATCTCCTATACATAAAGACAGCCTCATAGCAGGAGAGGATTAGTACAAAAGGAGGACTGAGTTACTTATTCAGGATAACTACTACTGGAAAAGTATAATTGGGGTGAGACCACATAAAAAAAGGAAAACGACGAGTGAAATAAACAGATACTCGCAAATATCAAGGAAAAATAGGGAAGGATTATCATTAAAGAATAATTCTTAAATGTGAAATATATCTATTAATATCAAACATTAAATACTCCAGGGCTAAGAAAATAATAATGCTCTATCATACCAGTGCCTACTCTAACTCCATTCCAACTTTATTTAAAACTTAAATATCTAATTGCAACTCTAATTTCAATTTTAATCTCAATTGTAATTCCATCCTTAAAATCCTCAACCTAAGCTTCGCCAATGATTTCCCACTCTTCAACCGTAGCGCCTGCCTCATCTCCAAAAACTCCACAGCTACTACCTAAACACCCAGCTATACGAAGTACAGCTGTATCTCCCATATACACTAATTTATCATCAGGTAGCGTATAAGTTGTCTTGAGACCTTCCTCAAGCCTCACATCATCACCGGCGCCCTCTTCCCCATTGCCGTACGGAGAGTCCTTTGAAGACGTGATATCTGATAGTGAATCAATATCCTTGATCGTTTTTATATTTGCCACATCTGAAATTTTGAGATCAGGAAGGGGGAGCGGGAATATATGTCCTTCAGATGGATTGGTGGAATTAAAAACCACAGCAATGGCACTAGTAGGAATTCGTTGTCCCCATACCACGTTAATAATCTTTATTCTCTCGCCTTGGACCGGGCTAGTGTCAATAGAGATAGAAGACTCATTGGTGTTCTCGGGCTGCCAACTCGTTCCTACGTCCCCATCATTGACGCTCTCCGGCCAGCGATTTAGCTCGGAGGCATCGGAGGCGATGATGGAAAGACATTGAAGGAGATTATTGGGAGTGGTGAGGCCTTGCCAGTACATGTCATTCTCCAATGTATATGTCTGATTGAGAGAAAGCGTATGGTGTATTTGTGGATGGCGAGATGCAGGGAGGTTTTGCACCATCGGAACCGAAGTTGTGTTCTGAGAATTTGAGGAAGAAGGTAAAACTCCAGTAAAGGTGATATTGGTATGCGTAGTACTCATACTAGCACTGAATGTACATCCTGCCCACGTGAACTCATGCATTGTGAGGTATTTTTTGGGTGGTGGAAGGGTAGGCTGAATTGTGAGAACGTCTTGCGAGGAATCTAGGCCTAAGTATCCGTAGAAAGCGATTTGCATTGTGCCCCCGTGACCGGTCAAAAATGGAAACGCGGGAGGGTATCCTCCATTAGCATTAGTATCATCGTTCGCTTGTTCGCTCATTAAGAACCATGGAGCGCGAAGATTGGACAATACGCCCATCTTATTGTAGGTGGAAGCTGAGCAACCAGAACCTCCATATCTGAGTGTAGCGATGGTGTTAATGGCGAATGTCATGGCTGGACCATGGAGTGATTGCTTCTGTGTATAGTATTGAAGGTCTGCTTGTTTTCTTTCCAGTGTGTAATTTATGGCTTTGGATGACTCGGGGAGAGAGAGAGGATGGAGAAGTAGAGTTACGTCGGCTTGTTTGACGGTTATGTTGGAGGGCATTTCTTCATATTCGAGAGTGATACCGGAGGAAGAAACGGGTATGGTGATGTTTTCGACGATGTCGAGCCAAGTAGCTGGAATCGTCTCGTCGTATTGCTTCTTGATGGAGATAATGGAGTTCATGATCTGAAAGAAGGATGCTTGAGTGAAGGCACCATTTTTGACGTGGTTAGTCCATTCATCAGGATCAGTCATATTCCAGATATTCCATTTTCCGTGATCATCCTTCTGAAGTACTCCCTCGATAGTGTGACCTACGCTCTTTACCACTGGCCACAACTCTTCTTTGAAGTATTCCTCGTTGTTGGTAATTCTTCTATAATCCAACATCATCTTCGCCACATCTGTATTAATGTGATACTCATAGTCCAATGTGGGACCCGTCCCCGTTGCATTGCCATATCTACCCGAAGTCCAGGAATATAACACAGAATCATTATCGAATTTGTATTTTTCCTGTACATAAGCCTCCTGTGCATTGACTTTGGCTTGAGCGTACATCTTGACCCGATATTTGATCATCTGGAGAGCATAGTCAGGGTCAGTCAGAGCTATACCAGGGAACATCCAGATATCCATGTCCCAAAAAGTCATGCCACCGTACGGGTCTGCAGTAATTCCTCCAACACCAACGCCATTATCGTTGAGATTGCTATCGTCTTCTGGAAGAAGGGTCTGGAGGATCACATATCGGCTAACTGCAGCATTGATTTGATCAACCTCAGCGAGGGTATCATTTATTGGCAAATGGCCGGTGGCAGGGTTCCGATAATCGACAACCTTTCTTTCCATTCGCCGATTCCAAATCGCAGTGTGTTCGGCAAGAATTACATCCCATCCGTCATTTGTGGCATTCCTGGATGCTTGACTAGCGATCAATTGTGCGTTTGGGTATTTGTCCGTCGAGGCAATACCAACAAATTTATGGAAGGTGACTGGCTGTCCAGATTTGAGATCAAATTCCCATTCTTGTCCAATAGTCATGGTATCATCATTAGGATACACAATAGACCTTGGTGAGATAGAGTTAGTGTTGCTGCTCGAAAAATTTGCCGTAGAAACTGTCCATGCCGAGACATTTTGAAGACCATTTGGGTGGTTGGAAACATATATAGACGCAGCATCATTACCCTTCTGTCCAAGGAATGATCTGACAGCGCTTCTACCATCTAGACTATCTGTTATAGTGACTTTTTCCGTTGTTCCGTTCAATGGCGTGACGTTAAGCTGAATAGCAGCGACATTGATTCTAGCAGCACTGATGAATGCCAGGTACTCAATCTCAAAGCTTGAACTACCGTTTACAATTGGAGTCCACGTATAACTCCAACGGGCCGTGGCATCCATCAAGTTCAATGAACTGCTATAGTCTGTTATTGTAGCCAGGTCTACAGTAGCGTTAAGCACCTGCTCACCAACCGTAAAATATATGTCAGTAAAGTGAGGAATACCAGAGATGACACTCTCATCACCCCGGTCCAGAAGCTCTGGATAATTTGTTGCAGTCGTATTGTGCTGTCTATCGAAGAACCCTACAATGCCGGAAAAAGTCTGACGAGGATTAAATTCTGGCCATGGTTCCGTTGGTTGCTTCCCATCCCGACATGTTTGATTGAAATCTTTCTCGAAAAAAGGGCCAAGTGAGGCTTCAGCAAGGCCAATATAACTATTATTAAAGATTAGTGTACGCCCTCATACATAGGATAATACGTTAAAGTTATCAAAGGAAGACTAGAATCATACCCGTTTGACAAGTGCATCCTAGCGAGAAAATTCCCGAGTATTGGAACATTCGTAGTAAGCGTAAGATTCTGATCATCCCACCTACTCAAAGAATTCTCTGCAAGCACTCCGAAATCCGGTAATCGTGGCATGGTTCCGTCCGGTATCGTTTTTGTTTTGAATTGAGAAGCCGGATTGACCTCTTCGCCGTAGTCTGCCCCAAAAGCCACTGCCGGGAGAAGTGTAACGACTGCAAGGTGCGGTAACCAAGACATACACGCAGGCATATTGATGTGACTTGTTATTCTAGATACGGTCATTATTGCGAACCCTCCAGTTTTATGTAAAAAATAAATATATCATATATCAATACTTTTCTCGAAATAAAGGAGGGTAAAAGAAGTAAGAGCGGGAATGCGAAACGCTTTTCTAAGATGAAGAGTTTTTTTTATATTTGACCTGCAGTATTTCTTTTGGATGCTTTTCAATGTCCGGGCCATTGTAATCCTTTTATAACCGGAATAACTGACGCGTTTAGTCACGAACGCTATACCTTGGAAAAGACTAGTTCCTACCTAAATGTGAGTATATCTAAGTATATCTAATTAATCTACACTAACTCACTAATCACCTTAGTGAGTATCTCGAAAAAAGAGAACTTTCACCATTAACCCCCAACATCGACATGTTTGAAAATTTCCTTCCACTGTCAAAATCGATCTGCAATTAATTACAGTGCCTGCTTCTCCCCGAAACCAAAAACGACATATCAGCATTTACATATTATCAAGATTCTACAAAAACCATCATAATGCCACTACCATAAGTTAGAATTGATTCCCCGCCATAAGCTTCCCCAACAAGGACCTCAATTAATTGTGGAGAAGATGTTCGGTAGTGGAGCTCTAGAACTGAAAAGGGGCAAGCTAGCGAGTTTTTCACTGCCTCGCTAAAGTTAGAGCTGTAGAACTAACTACCTGGATTGAGCTAGCCAATATTATCGAAATGATGACTTGAACTTGAATTTTGATAATTTAGCTCCATACTATCCTATACTATTTCTGAGATTCCAATTCCCCTCAGGGAATATTCAATTAGTGCTCCATATTTTGTTTGTGAACATGTAAGAAAGAGCTATCATAAAAGAGATAACTGATTTTAATTTCAGTCATTTAAAAATTGCATCGAGCATTGCTCGTCTGTACGTGAAAGGGAAGGAGGATGTAAGATATGAATATATATTTATGAGCTGCAAGATGACAATTCCTCAACGTCTAATCTCAAAAATTCAAAAACTTCTCACACTAAAATTAAAGATAAACATAATCTAAATCTAGCAAAAGGCTTAAACAAGGCAAGTGGCGCCGATTACGCCTAGAGCCCAAAGCTAACTTGTTGATTGAACACGTGTCATAATCGATATTCCAAGCGACCAAGTGTTCTTCCCACGTGCGACTTGTACCGATTTCTCATCTCACAAGGTAATGATGACTAGCTAGTCACCAAATGCTACTTTAGCACCCAAACTGCTGTTTATCCAGCCAATGACAAGGTACATTATTTTATTCCTATCTGTCAAGTCACATCTCGTCAAATATGCCAAAAAAAAAAAAAAAAAGATTCATCCAGACTCCAGATTTCGGTGTTTCTTGAACCGGTTCCAAATCCATTTCAAAGAAACATGATACTAAATGCACAGAACCTATACCAAATATGTCCCAATTCCAGATTTTTTATCTCTTCATAAACAAATCCTCAAGATAGAAACCATCTCATAATTGGGTAACCTATACCAAATACCCAAACCAAAATCTCGATTCCCCCAGAAAACCCGAATCATGCACTTTCTTTTCGGGCACCGTACATATCTCCCAGAGAGTCATGCTCAGCCATCAATTATCTAGCTCTATAACTTTCCCAGCAAGTGCTGCTAAGTAGCCTCTATCTAGGAATCAGTAGCTCCATATGCTAGGCCTCCCCATATGGCACCGTCATAAAATATCTATCTATTGTAAAAGTGGTAGGTCGAGATACGTGCGTCCCGATAGCACGCTGTGAGGAGGGAATTGAAAGAGAAAGCTGAATTAGATTACATTGTAATACGTCACTTATAGATAAAACAGAGTTCACAATGGTTTTGGGGTTAATGTTATATAGGTTCAAATGTATATATATAGAAGATTGATTATTGTAAAAAGAAAAGATAAAAAGCTCTTTTTTTATATTTAACTATAGAAGGTCATGTGATTGATTAGTTAAAACCTTTATGTATTTGGCCTATAATTCCAACTTTCTCACACTATTCTACTAATAAATTTCTTTTTCCCTCCGTCTCTAAACTTGGATGTACTAGTACTCCTTGACTCATCTAGTCAACAAACTTTGACCTGTTGTAAACTTTACATCTCTCGATCAAATACACCACCTCCTCACAGTTTTTAAAGTCAATACCACACCACACCACACTATTCCCAATTCATCTATCTTGCAATCCGTAGTGTCATGTGTGTATCCAATATAACATCACACAATATAATTTGAGAAATATTTTTGTTCCATTGCATACATAACAAGATTATTCAGATATACACATACATTCTGCCTCCTTCAATTTCCTTCTCATATTATATAATCTATAGCAGCACATTCCTTCAACCCATCTATATCTCGGGCTCCTCAATACATCCAAATCCTACAGTACTTGCGCACAGCTATTCGTCGTTAATCAAAATCACACCAAAAATCAACATTTTATTATATTTTCAATTAAAGAAAAAACTTATATAAAATCACTATAATTAATTAAAAAATCGATATTTTTTAAATTTAATTTATTTAATTAAATTCTAATGTTATATTTTATATCATCAAATTTTTTTTTTTAAAAAGTTTACGATTTACACTTATTTTACTAATAAATTTTTATATTTTGAAATTCTTATAATTTAATTTGAAAAAATAATAAAAAAGGAAAATTTTCAAAAATAAATTATATAATTTTTTATAAAATTAAAATGGAAATAAATGAATTGATGATTAAAAAATTCATATTTTATTAATTTTAAAAAGAAAATAATTTAAGTGTTTTGTATGAGTTTTGGTGTGATTTTAATGAACGACGAACAGCTGTGCACGGGTTACTTCTCTGTCCACCGCATCCATCCCATCCCACCAATAACCCAAAAGCAATAATCAAACAAACAAACTCAAACCCAAAGACAACTCCAAATACTTATAATCATAACCATAATCATCTTTATTAATTCTTTTTTTAAATCCTCCAAAAGCTACCCCTTACCCAGCCTCAATACCATCCATACTAATTCCTCAAACTCTTTACACTTTACAATTTATTCTACATTCCACACATTCCTTCTCAAGCTCCTTCCTTAAAAAGCTTTAAAAACTCTCTCCTCTCCAGCCTTAAACTTTAAACTTTAACTATATACATCTACTATTAAAACCAAGCCAAACAAAACATCAATCAATCCAATCTATTCTATCTCACTATATTTATATATTTTATAAACTTTTATTGTATTTATTTCAATATATATTTAAAAAAAAATCTTTGAATTCTTATTCTTTACTTTTTTTATATTATTCACTTATATTTATTGTTTTATTTTTAATTATAAACAATCTATTAATATATAACACTTTAAAAGAACCTCTTATATATAAAACAAATTGAATATTTGAAAGTTTGAAATATAAAAGAGTTAGTTTACAATTTCGGATTATCAAGTCTAATCACTAGTTACTATTATTATTTTTAACAGATGTTTGAACTTTTGTTCATAGACAGATTATTCAAAAGTCTACAAATCACATCTATTGTACTAGCTTCCACATTAAGAAATGATCAATCACATAGGCACGAAATCATAAGATGTCATAATACTCATGTAAAATACCATTTTTCAATAGTACTTCCATGCCATAAAACCTATGATTCATAGCTCACTGATAACCCAACTACCTAGTTACTCTACATACCACATTCCCCACAACTGCAAGATCTAATCCTCGGTCACAGCTTCAGGTTCAGTTGTGCTCTCCACGGCACTCTCACTAACGACAGGAGGGGAATCACTTGGCTTTTCCGGCTCGACATCATTACTGTGAGCATCAGAAATGACGGCTTCCTTTTGAATATCCTCTCTTTGCTCGGATTGTATGTCCTTTTCTGCTGATGGAGAAGATGCACTCTTCTCAGCACCACTAGCAATTTCTGTAGCCTCATGAACACTTTCTCCTGCGGTGTTTGTTGCAAGAGTAGGGGTTGGAGATTCAGTTGCCTTTGTGGTAGGCGGAGCGGCTTCCTCTGGCTTAGGATCTGTCTTGGAATCTACGTGCAAGACCTCATCGAAGTCAATATACCACAATGTAGATGGTGTTGAAGTTGCTAAAGTTGCAGGGGCCGATTCTTGAGCAGCCGATGAGACAGGGGCGGCACTTTTAGCAGGTGCTCTACGGGCAGGACCTCGAGCTCTACCCTTTCTCGCATCTGACAGAGGAACCTTTTCTTTTTCCTCAACATTTTCCTCTGGCTTAGGTTCTTCTTTCTTTGGAGCTTGCGGTCCAAGTTTCAAGCGCGAATTAAGATCTGCCAGGAAACCACCCTGCAGAGCAGCGATTTTACCACCAAGCGGCCTTGAAGGAACGGGTGGCTTTGCTTTGACTGCGGCAGGAGAGCTGGCATCGGAGTCAATCGACTTTGCTGAAGAATTTGATTGGACAGTTGTCAATGGAATGTTCTCCGACGATTCACGTGCAGAGGGTTTTGCAGGACGAGCAGGAATTTGTGGCTTGGACTTCAATGGCAGAGGAGGGGCTGCATCATCCGCAGTTGGCACCTGTTTGGATTTCTGTGCGGGACGGTCAGGAATGACTGGTTGAGCTTTGTCAGGCGAATTTGATCTCGCAGGGCGAGCGGGAATACTTGGCTTGGTCATTGGAATACCAGTCGTAGCTCGGCCTTCATCTTGCGCAAGTCCCAAGCCAGCTGCTGCCTTTTCCTGATGAAATACGACAGCACCAGTGGTAGGTCTTTCGTCCAATGGGCTCGTAACGGTATCTACCTCTGGAGTTTGAGGTTTCGATACGGTCGTCTGCAATTGAAGACTGTCCGGAGTATCCTCCCAAACATCTCTGCTAGGGAATCGCTGTTGTAAATTTGGTCGTGTTTCTGCTGCAAGATGTGGTTGATGAGACCAGGCTTTCTTTTGGGGATGCAAGAAACTATCTGTACTTGTAGATTCTCTCGCGGCTAGCTCCTCCTGTCGCCTGGCAAAAGCTTGTTCTGGGGTCTCTCTTGATTTCTTGTGGGCGTCCTCATGATCCTCATCCGGATCCGGAAGTTGCGGTGTTGAAACTGTCGCAGTGTACTGCAGACTGTTGGGCGTATCTTCCCACACGTCTTGACTTGGAAATTTACGATTTTGGGTCTCTGGACGCTTCAGACGATCAGCTGCAGTTTCAGGTTTCTCCACAGCACCTGGCTTTTCATCTTCAGGGAACAATGGTTCATATTCATGTACTTCCTCCAACGGCATTGATTCTGTTGCTCGCACTGCTGGTGTATGTATGCTTGCAGGTCGGCTAGTGTGTCTGCTTCCGGGTGTGCTCCCATATGTTAGATCGTCATAGAAGCTTCTGCGTTCAATTGATGGTGAAACAGCAGGCTGCAGCTCATATCCAGATGATCTTTTTGACACTTCATCAGAAGCGAGAATCGGAGCACTATATCCATGCTCCTCACGAAGATCATCTTCTTCCCGGCCAGCTGCGGAAAATGGTCTCGATTCATTTGCCGGATCGTATATTCTACTAGAGTGACGACTCGGGTTCTCAACATGGATGATATCATCAGCATCCGCTTCGCTCTCGTAAGCACGCTCGGATTTATCACCGAGACTTTTCGATAAAGCACCCTCAAATTCTTCTTTCTTCGAACCGTCGAGATGAACGCTTTCTTTTTTCAAAGGCGACTCGACGTGGGTTTGAGATGCATTAGAATGCGCAACGTTATAGACAGAGGATTGATGACCACTAGATTGTGGACGAGGAGAAGATATGCGAGACGCATACTCTTCAGAAGCTTGAAATCCAATCTGCTCGGTAGGAGTACTCATCACTGCTGGAGATGTGCCTAATCACAATTAGAATCATGACTGGATAGCACAATCATACACCTTACCAAGACCAGCACCTCGGCTGGCAGTATCTCTAACAATCTTATTCAAGTCATCACTGCTCATCGCCCAATCCGCTCTGCCTTCGCCGAGAGGTCCGTGGTAAGAAGCAGTTTCTTTCTTGTAAAGCTGTTAAACATTATTAGAATGTGATTTGGAATAACAAGTACCATTTACGGCACTCTATCACTCAATAATGTATTATGTTTGTGCAATTTTTGGGTCGTCTGTGAAGCTGCACCTGAAGCAATCAAATTATTTCACTCATAAAACTTACCTCGGGATGTTTCTCATAGTAAGCCTTTTCAAAGCGATCGTGAGGAATAATGCCATGTCCATGAAGACCATAACTTCCCGGTGGAATATCTGCCCCTCGACCACTTATTCTACGTTCATGGTGACGATTTGATCCATCGTTGTGGAAACCAATACCAGGAGCGTAGGGGGTTGAGTACGGCGATGGCGATGGAGCTTGCACATCTCCTGCGTTTGGATACATGGGAACACGTTGACCAATTTCGGGGATGCCATGCTCATCTTCATGGCCAGTACTCGATGGGGGCCGCTCGATACCAGAAGCATTACTAGCAAAGCTTGATTTGTTCCTCAAAGATCGAGAAGCAGCATCTCTATCATCTCCAGTTCTGCCAATGCCATATGCGGCGGCTTGGCTAGAATCGGTACGAGTAACGGCAGATACCCTGGCCTTAGCGCTGGATTCGGGATGGGAAGGCTTAGGAGCATGAAGCTTCAAATCATTGGCGACATTCCTTGTTTGTGCTGGCGATGAGCTAAGATCTTCCGAAGCGCCGAAAGCCTCTGCATATTCGTTACCCTCTTGGCCGATGGAAGGAAGAGCTACACTTGCTGGACGGCGTGGAACCTCGAGCTCTGAGGTTGAGCTATTGGCACTGCTCATAGTGTACAAGGAAGACTTTCCATGATTGTTAGGAGGCATATCGTTGAGAGGCGATCGTGTGAAACTCTCAGGAGCAGGGGAAACGGAACGATCAGCACGTCGATTGGCGGGCCTTGGAGGGATTTGTGGTATATTATCACCAAGAGAAGGGCCACCAGAAGAGGTGTTCCCCTGCTCTTGAGACTTGTTAGGTCTGGGAGGTACTTGTGGAATTGCCGTCGACATATTTGTTGGAGATATAGAGCTTGTGGAAATGTAACGGCCTAGATTTCTTATATCAGTACTCGTTATATGCCATGCAAAAATAGAGGATGTCAACTGGGTTAAGCTTCGGTGAACAAGGTAATAAATAGCCAATGCCAATCCGTCAACAAGATTGTTGATGCTGATAGGCTGTGAATGCGAAGCAATAGGCTCTTGAGTGGAGTATGCAAAAATCGAGTGACATGTTTGTTGTACAGTACAATAACAGATCCAAAATGAAACTCGAACTCGTCGCCGGAAGATCAAACCCAATATAAGACAGTAGTAGACATGAAGATTGTGAGTGGAGCGGAAGTCTCTTGTATATCTGCGAATGAAGGACTCGATAGGGGTATTTAATGACAAACAGACTTACCAAGGTGAAACGGTTGAAAATAATGATATGTTAAAGTTCAATCATTGAAGCCGATATCTACCAAAATGAGGGGTGTCAAGTATCACGAACTACAAGTCGGCATGAAGTTAGTTTATTTGCGTTCTTTGATATTATTGCACGCTTGAACGCTAAGCAAGGATTCTTGGGGGAAATGTTACCCCAAGCAGTCCTTCCAAGGATCGTCATCGTTGGAGCGATAATGGGATTCAAGAAAAGATGGAAGGTTGCCGCAAGAATCTTTCAGAATTTCCTACTCGCAGTTATATTTTAAAACTTAGTTTTGTACTAGCATTGTATATCATTCCAAGATCCATATATTCTTCCCTCCAAAGTGCAGTTATTCCAATCTTGAACATCTGGCTGTACGGAGTATTTAGTATTTACCACTTCACCCGTTGCTACACACAAAAATGTATATCATAGGTGGGGTTGAGTCCTCGTGGGACATAAATGTCTATAACCAATCACATTCCTTTACAACTTGTACCTTTTTTGACGGCCTAAGGAAGGAAAACCTGCCACTATCACCCCGCTCCCCTGTGTCCAATCGCCGGCTTTCCATTTGTACTCATCTTGACAAACCGATTTGAATAAGCTTGATCGATCGTCTCCAATGCTCTGATTGGATAAATGGTGAAGTTGAGGGAAGAATGATTGTCCGAAAAGATGAGGGGCTCGGCCAGTAGTTGTCAGTAAGTCGTCAGTAAGTCGTCAGTAAGTCGTCAGTAAGTCGTCAGTATTTATTTAGTCGTTTAACCGTAGACATGACGGTTCACTTTGACGTGGTGTTCGTAATTGACTAGACGTCAGTCGAAATATTACCATCTATCCGTAATCTCAGTATGGAATAAAAGTAGACATGAGAGGAGAATTACTTCGTAATAAAAACAAGGGTCAAAATTGTAACGAGCTCAAAGTGTACCCCGTTCACTACAAACTAGATCTATATTTACGGTAAGCTCACCGGGAGCTTCCCTGGAACCTTTCAAGCCTAAGAAGGTGCTGATCATGGGTCAAAAGATATCGGCTTCACCCATAGCTTTCTTTCCCGAAACCTCCGCATCCAGCTCATTCATATTACTCTACGATGACAACTCCAAAGAGCTGTCGAAGCGACAAACAAAGACACCATGATAATGTACCACAAGCATACCACTTCCACATGATCAAAGTCATCCAGCTCTTTACAATAGCTCGTGACCTCCATCTACTACTCATTACACTCATTATTTGTTAGCACCAAGATTCAATGTTCTCACACCACTGCCAATGCGTAATTCATAAAACCAATTTCACATTCGCTCTCACAAACTCTTCCAGTCATCATACTCTCCATGTAACATAAGCTGTAAAAAGCCCCATAACTCATTTTCCATTGAATCCCGTACCTAATTATCTTCTCCCCATCAACTCCATTCGAAAAAAATCAACATATAAGAACAGGAATCCATCCAGATGCACTGATATGGTTTGCTTTGAAACGGAATGAAAGGTATAAAAGTACACCCGCAAGAAAAAGAAGTTTGAGGCCGCAAGAAACTCCAGGCTTTTCTCGGCTGAAGGAATCAACCATGAAAGCACACACACACAGCCAAAGTTAATGTGCTGCTAATCCTTGACGCCTTGCACCAATCCCACATGCTCTCTCATTTTCTCATTCCTAAATCAACTAGAAAGTTGCTCTTTATTCTCCATCTCCATGAACCAAGCTGCGCGCTGCGCTTCGAATTGCACCACTGTCCTACGCAGTTTATCTCGGAACGTTCCGAATTTATAGAATCATTTGCGCGACGCCTTGACCTCCAAGTGTTTTGCTTCCCACAAATCCCTGTCCTTTAAGACCAGCCAACGCGTAAAAACCAGCTGCGATAGTGAGGAGGACCGCAGCAGCAATGAGACTCGATGCGTCAATGATGATGCTGAGCCATTGGATAATAGCCATTCCCATGTAGATAGCGGCGCGCATATAATTAGTTGTGAATCGGCGCATGAAGGTATCGAATGTCGAAGAAGTGGGGCAGATTCGGAGAAGCAACGGGATCTCGATGAAGATGATGAGGAAAGAGCTCACACTGAGAAGAAGTTGTTAATTTTCTCAACAAATAGAGAGGCAAAGGCAAGACTCACAGGCATAGCGCACTGAAGATGATGAGCAAGCTCACATGGAAGAGATTCGCAATGCCCAAGGCGAAACATAGAAGTATGCACACCACTCCGGTCCTGTATTCTTTCGTCAGACATGATTCCGAAGATTTGTTCCACGATTCTTAAATATCCACTACTCAGTTTCCAGTGTATCCTGAATGTGCCCGCAAAGATAATATTTGACATGTATCTTCAACAATGCTTCATGATGTAATGGCTTGAGTGAAATGGATGGAGAGCTCGGAAGAGTCGCATTTTCTTACCATTGACCATAAATACCTAGAATCGAAATTAATCAAAGTCATACAAGCTCCTCGAAAAGAATACATACTGAAATTGCGCGTTGCGAATTCCTCTGCAATAGTCATGATTGCTTTGATTTGGGGATTAGCTGATAACGTTCGAATGGGTTGATGTGTAGTAAAGATCAAGTTGATGCGAAGAGCTGCACTTTGTAAATTCTTCAATGTTTGTTATTGTTTCTTTGCGAACACATAGAACACATGAATCGTTTCAAAATCCAAGTTATTTCGCTTGAGCTTTGATAGAAAAACAGTTTAAAGTGGTATGGGCCTCGGAGTTGAAAATACTGTGAATCCTACAGCTAGTTGTTTCGTGTTGTATGAATTCGAGAAGCTGCGTATGGCGCTAGTCCGCATAAAGAAAACAAAGGGCTGAAGTGCCTGAATGAGGCTGAGTCGTATAAAAGGAAAAAGGAAGAAAAATGCAAGTATTCAAAGCTGCCTAGAAAATGATTACGAAGACATTGCAGATTCCTACGTCTCCAACCAAAACTTTATATTATCATTTTCCACCTCATTGTACAATAGGTAACACTGAAGCTAGTGCAACATGAGGGGGACTGTGATTATCTCTCCATAAATATCTTGATCGGCAGATGCATGATTGATAGAGGGGAATATGAGGATCATTGAATTGTGCCGTTTTTATGTCATTTCTTATTTGATATCTTCACTACATCCCCTCTTCAATAGGAAGCTGGTATAAAGTTTTGCAAAATGGACCAACATCTCCTCTTCTCGACCACCGACCCTCATATTTACCCAACATTCCTTGCTACAAACTTATCCGAAAACCAGCTTGAAGATATCGTTGAAAATGAAATAGCTCCCAGCTCCATCTGGCATAAGCTGGAAAGCCTGGCTATAGTTCATCGGTCTTTGCTCCTCATCGACCTGGGAGAGTTGTCATTAGCGTTTGGAATGAATCACGGCACGATGGCTAATTATGTTTGCACGAGCGTATAAAAGTTTAGACTCACCAACAATGCTCCTGTGATCAAAATCAAAATTCCACCGAGATCTCCAGTTGGTTGCGCATCGAGTGTCGAAACTTGGTGCTTTACTTTCTCGAAAGGAAGAGACTGTGCCAGCCTATTTTAGGATTGATCTGCAATAAGAAGGATATTCAACGTACTACGAGCTTCTCTACGATGGCGGGAGCTCCAAGGAGAGAAGCGGACTCAAAAGTCAACATGGACGTGTCACGCTGAGATTTATCAGTAATGACCGTTTTCTAGGTAATGAAGTTACCAACGTAAAGAGGAGCCAACTGCTTCCTGTCCGCATCGAACTGGTTGTAATAGAATTCGGTGAATTGCTCTAGTAGCAGATGGCCTGATTAGCATGCTGCTCGAAGTTGCGAATAGGGCATGCATCTTCGCACAAGACACTCATGACGGCTCAATAACATTTGCTACGTCGCAGGCGCGATTAATATACTATAACTTACTTGCGACATCGTGGAAGCCTATAGAAAAGAAGTCAGCCTCGAATCACAATTACCTGGGTAAATGAATGGACAAAAGCACAAATGACAACGAAATAGACTGTATCTGTAAGACCTTTAAAATATGATGTGAAATATTATACTTACTGGCCATCTTGCTCTAATATTATGAGACTTTTTTGAGATGACTTTAAAAGAAAAGATATTTTGTGATGTTGATGTGCTTGTTTTGGAGGGGAAATTATAGAGGGGTTTCTACAGGCGATTTTGATACCAGACACACTTCACTTGAGTGGGCACACAGCAAATCATTGGGCCGATATGCGCCTTCCCTATTATAGCTTAGTCTTTTCGCTAAATAAGCTCGAAAAGTTTATCCTTCCATTTAAAAATCATTTGGTTGTCCGCGCTGATATTCTTCGATGTGTTTTCCAACCTGCATACAGCTGGGTATTCTTCTTGAATTCAAACAAAATCTTTGTCAACACTACCCGAGCATTGCTCTTGCTATTGTGGTTTCAAGATGCAGTTGTTTGCTTTTCTATTTCTGTGTTTATAACTTCTTTCTATTTATACACGATCGCTGCGTTCCAGAATTTGAGCTCAAAGGTATGTTTAATCTTCAGTCTTCCTTTGCTTTACAGCACCCCGCACATTCCATAGCATCTTTTGTATGATGACAAAACCTTCCATTAAGAACGGCCTTCTGAATAACCATGTCGATTCAATCAATATATCAAGCTCAACAGTCTGACTCTATTATCAAATTCTTTTTATCTTTGCAGAAATTTTCGAAAAGACCCAGCTAACAATCTCCGAGTCTCTCTAGGAATTCAATATCAAAACAAACATGGCTGCTACACATAGCAGCACATTTGACTTGTGACACGAAAACATGGTTTCGTCGAGGATGGCAGACTACGAGATAGCCAATTCATTTTGGATATTTGAGTCGTCGATGGGATATGAAGCAATTCTATTTTCACCTGGATGTATCATAGAATCTTCGGACATTTTCGATGCCGTACATAGGTAGCAAGATTATTTCAAGTTTTATCTGAATGAACCTCGGGAGATCTCCATAATGTTTCACGGGGTTGAAATGTAGGAATGCTTGATTTACTATGACCGACCATCAGCCAGACCACCTTTTGAAAAATGATTCCCGCTTGAAAACTTTTCAAATATGATTTAGCGGTGTGATTGATTCCTTCCATGTTCCAACACATCAATGACTCTTTTCGTGATGACAACTTGTGACTTTTTTCGTCTTGCGTGGTATTGTTGGTAGTTCATATTTCGACAAGTACTCTTGACTCTTGACTTGTGCAGTTGTTCGTCAGCCTAGCGAAACTTGTCACCCTATTAAGGGATTCATCCATTCATTCATTGTTGAACTAGAACCTCTTGCGTAGTACAGACACAGAGCATGAAATCAACCTATTTTGCTTTACTCTACAATTTGCAAATCAAGAAAACTCAAGTACTTTCTTTCTTTCTTTCTTTCTACTTGGTAAATCAGACTTCCAAAGAGTCGAAGACGAGTCATCCATCGACTTGGGTACTATATTTACTTGTACTACCTACCATTCAACATTCAAAACGCGCACGCAAACGCAAGGCTTCTGGCAACGAGATCCGCCACGCTAAGAAGCATCCAACCCAACAACTTCCGTACTTCAGCCTCTTTACAATCGGAGCTTCCAAAAGCTCGGCTTCTTCAACTTTCAACCATTCCCCACGTTCAACAACAATTTACAATACTTTTACACATCAGGCTGTGCAGCTTTGCCTGCTACAGTACTTCGGTGAGGGAAAATGCCTTGCTTCAAAGGTATTGCCGTCAGTGTCCATGCCGAAGGATCACCACTACCTGAGTATGGTGTAATTAAACAATCAAGATTCAGTCGTATTAACACATTCATCCCCGTGCCCCAACCAAAGATTCCCCGCGATTCGACCACGAACAAGCCTGAAGCCGCCAAATTTGCTATCTCAATTACGTTGTTAACACCAGGTCTTCCGATCCCTTATAGCACACCGAAAGCAACTCCTTCGAACCCTTATCCTCAACCCCAAACTGTTGCTGGCTTGCCTGGCTTTGGAGAGAAGACAAATTTCAATGGTCAAGTCGGGCCCTACATACCAATCACCAAATCGGAAAATGAAACAATCGCTGCATACATCTATTTCGATGGCAGAGCAAAAGAAGAAGTGGCAACGCTTTTACGACCAAGCGAAGAGACATGGGTAAATTCTCGATGGGTGCAGGTTCCCGATTCTGAAGGAGGGGGATTAGCTGAGCGGGAATTCTTGTTTCGTGAGGTTGGGTTAGAGCGATGGTTGAACGGACTTGATCTCGATGGACAAGATGCAGCTGCAAGGATCGAAAAGCGTCGACAAAAGTTCGAGAAGCGTCGCAGGCGCAGAAGGGAGGAGAATGGCAGTGACGACGAGCTCGCAGATATGATGACACCAAGAAAGCGATCAACAGCACGAGAGGTTTTACGATATGGAGCAGATGAACAATCGCCCGTCGAAAAAGTTTCAGATGACGACAGCTTCAGCTCTGACTCAGACGGCGATGATACCCTACCAGAAGCTGCAGGACAAATCAAAGTTGCTATGTTTCGAGTACTTGCATCTGGAGAAATCAAGCGCGGTGAATACTCTCCACAGTTCGATGCCCATGATGACGACGAGGAAGGAGAGAAGGGCAATGCAGAAGGGGGAGATGGAGCAGATGTTGATCACACCACAAGTTTTGCAAAACCAAAGACTTTGGATCCAAAATCTATTAGCACACAGACTGTCACTGGCATAGACGGGCCTGACAGACCTTTTGCGGTATTCACATTCTTCTATCGAGGCGAGCGTAAGTTTTATCACTAGTTTTATCACTGATTTTATCACGACCCCACTTTCTAACATGTTACCACAGGCCAATTGCAAAAGATGGGCATTTTACCAAATTCGAAGCAGGAAAAGATAACCAGCAGTGCTACAAAACGACGATCAAGACAATTGGACTTTGGAAATCTGGCTCCTCTGAAGTCTACTGGAACTGTTGGATTTTCCGCCTTTAGAGATAACGATACCTCCGCAAAGCGCAACAAATCTGGAAAGAAGAGTAATGGTAACACTAATTTGATGGAAGACAGTGATGATGATGACGATGACGATAACAGGGGGGTAAAGATGGAAGAAGTGGATGATAAGGATGACCCACATAAGACTTTGAGTACAGAAGACGCAAAGTTTCAAGGAGAGTTAGCAGATGGAGTCGGGCGAATCAAGGTACGGTCATCTTATTTGTTTGTGACCTGGGTATACTAACGTCGATTCTAGTTGAAACGCCAACATTCCGGCGGAAATTTGAATACCAATTTGGGCAAATCTCCTAACTCGGCCAGCAACACGTCTGGCAATGCTACTCCTGCTACCAATGGAGACAACAACAGTTTAACTTTACCAAACAGTGTACATGGAGGAAGTCTTACAAGCGACAACTTTGTGGGCAGTCCTATGAAGAAACACAGAGCGAGCCTTCTCGGTGACGAGTCTCTAGAGAAACGACTAGCAGGATACTCAAGTGGTCTTGACGTTGTAGCAGCTGCCGAAGCTGCACAGACTCCCCTTCCCGAACCAGCAATGAAGGATGTTGATGAAGAAGAATTATGATGGCTAGGGGCCACATAGGAAGGAACACAAAGGATTTTGATATAGACATCATGGCATGATGATCTCTACGCTCATGAGTGTCCCATCTACCTCTTAATCTATCTGATAGATTGGAAAGCGAAAACAAGCATGGCATGACACGCAGTGAGCGATATTTTGTTTTTGGAAGGAAAGGCAGGCTACAAATATCATCATATCACATGAAAAATATGATTTTATATTTGTTAGTCTAAGCCTTCACATAAGATACTTGTTTCTATGGATTGACTGTTTGTTTGCTACGGCGCAGCGCGTCTTGTAAAGTTGTTCTAATACCCCGCGCGCCTGCACTATGGTTTAATGACTGCCTTTAAAGATGGGTTATTCGGTGGCTGCTTGGCAACTGCTTCACAGACTGCTTCACGGCGGACGGAGGCTTGGGCGATGTTTATTACTTCTTCGAGGATGGGGATAGTAGGTATGCTGGTGATCAGACAGAAAACAGATGAGAAGAATAATATCAATAAATAAAATATGTTGTTGGTTGGATGTGAGTTGTGTGATGTGAATTTGAGCGTATTGGAATTAAAAGTAACAAGCGAGGATGGTACTATATGATGAGATACTAACGATTTTTGCAATTTGCTAAAGCTGGTCATACCGGAGAGTGGCAAGTGCCATATATCGTGTTTGCAAGGCGGGTTTTCACTGTTGCGAGTCTAGGGCTATACGAAATCTCACACTACCCGTGCGTTCTTACATCATGATAAAATGTTTGCCGTACCATTCTGCTATTGAGCGCGGTATATGGATAATGACCAGATTTGATATCACGGCGAATAACCGGGCAGTAGCACATCATTATCAAGAACCTCGCTTCTTTCCAAAACAAAATGTTCCACAAGTTGCTTGACCTTTCGAGGAATTATGGGTCTTAGACTCGGCTTTGCTTTTCATCTCTTGCGTTACATTAGTAGTGCGAACTAGTATCTTGTTGCTATCAATATCTGTCGTGCTGTGGTTTAGACGCTGAAACTATGGAGCTTGAATTCGGATTTTATGGGAAGGTTAGAGTGTGTGTAGCTTCAAATAGAGCGCCTTGTTTTCTACACTTTTGTTATCACTGGATGGATAGAGGACTTCCTGTGCGGCTTCTCCGTGCATTTAGGGCTTTGTTCGCTAGATCCGACTAGTGCTGGTCTCGGCGGCGTGCAGTATGTTTGTCAGATTGTCGGTGATAGACTGACTGTACTTCATGCCTGGCTGTGACTTCGTAGGTAACAACCTCATCACCAAAATAGTAACTGAAGTCACTACAATTTCGTATTCTGCACATAGGACTTCGACGGTGGGATGCTTGACATTCGAGTGGGGTGTAGAGCACTACTTGATGTAAGGTTACTAAAATCTCAACGCGGTACATGGTTTGAAAGCGGCTGTGGCTGCAGTACATGCGCTCGCTAGATATTTGCAGAAAAAACGTCCCCAATATCAAGAAATCAAGATTCTCCGACATGCTGAAGCTGTTTTTCTCCGCAATCAATAAGTTCCAGCTGCCTGGTTCTGCCGTTTGCTGTGATCAAATGGAGATACCAGGAATCAGGAACCTAAATTGTAAACGCCGTGTCATGATTGAGCCGCTAATTTCAACACAATACAAGCCTATGTAAGCTGGATTAAAAGGGCTATTTGCTAGTAATAACGGGGACTTTCGCTGCAATGATTTGATTTTCCAAGTTAGCAGATACAGTGGTATAGTTGTGCACGGTCTGATTGTTCTTCACCATCGGACTTGTCATGGGTAAATGTTGAGAACGCCCATAGCATATAGGCTACATTAGACTTTTCTGTTCTTTTATACTACAACAACTAATTCTACCATGCACATATAATCATATAACCTCATATTCCAAGCTGATGAGCTTCCGCTGCCCGTTTTAGTGCGGAAACCTTAACAGGACTTGCCACGTGTTTATGGATAATCCTTATGTGGGGTTAACTGTAATTACATAGACTTCATGTTTGATAATTAATTGAGTATGTATATTCGTATATCTTCCAGATGTTAACAGAATGGTGAATGTTTCCGGCGTTTAGACCTTTTCTCATCCTTTTCGGGCTTGCACTGCAACATCTGCAGAGCTGAGAAGAACAAACTCCATTCCGCTCTAATATCAGGAGAGCTGAGTTGTAACTGTAGTCTACCGGAGCTTTAGGCACCAATTGGGTGATACATTAGCATCTACTCCAGCGTGAATGGGGCTCAAGTAGTAAGTAGCGTGACAAGCCAGCTTATGGGAATTTCTCACGTCGGTCCAAGTTTCCCGATTCATATGTCTAGCTATACATGATGAGTTGCTGAACATGGTAAGGGGCACTAAAATTCTATCCCGATATGATTAAGAAAGCTATACAAAATCCATGTATCATTATGAACTCCAACGATTCAGAAGCTAAGGACTCGGGAACTAGCAAAGATGGAACCCATACTACTTCTCAACACGCTGGGTAAAACTCTTTGTCGGGACTTAGCGCTGTTTGATGTGAAGTGTTAACTGTAGTATCGGCCGCCGTCGAAGCCGATATCTACAAGAAACCAGAAGAATTTGGCCTTCCTCCTGATTCCATATACGCACCCTTCACTCCTAGAACTGCAGGCGTTGCCGAGGGAAAAAAGAATCCAAAAATGATTGAAAGTGATGCTTATGCATAGAAAATAGTAGCTGGCGTGTTGAAGAAGAGAGATGGGATCGTGTACGGCGGCAATTGGAAAACCGTGACACATATTCTTAGTTTTTTGCCGTCGTTCAGTCTGGTAAGACTTCTTTTGCTTTTTGTTGTAATTCTAAGTAAAAAGCGAAAATTAAATTACAGATGTATATCAGAGTTGAAGGCTAGACCGGTATACATATATTATCATGAGGATACGCTCTAATGTTCATTGACACATGGGACGCCCTAAAGAGTCCAGAGTCCTGACGCACGGACTTTTCGCAGGTTACGCGAGGTCTAAAGAATTCTACACCTACAAAGCGAGAGTAGAGAGAAAGGAAATCACAAACCCTCGTTTTATTATTAGCGCACCTATATATCCACTTAATCCATTCATATTCCTCAGGTATACTCTTCCCAAATATCCAGCAATCAACCCATAAATTCCTAAAATATGTATCTATATCTCTGCTGCAACGCAATACAAATTGAGCTTGCTTCTAGATATCAATTAAGTAGTGCATCTTCCAGTAATATGATACACGTATCCGACCGACCGATCAGTATAAAATGAACAATAGGTTATTCTTTCCAAAATTCTTCACCAGGAAGAAGCAATTATACAAACCATCCATTAAATAGCTAACTAGCCTATCCAAACCATAAACAAGCTAATAAATAGTAAACTAATAAACTAGCCCCAACCTAGCTAAACAAACATACAACCTACCAACCATCCAGAAATTCAAACCAGTATATAAGTTCTCACCAAGTAATTAAAAGCACAACAACGTTATTTCAACACCCTCCAGCCTTCTAAGCCTAACTGCTCCCTCACCCTCTCTTCAACATATTACTTTCGATTATTTTTAGTAATCGTGAGATACGATATCTGGAAAGTTACTATTATTAACCTCGGATTAAATTTCGAGTCGTTGATTAGTACTTTAGTGCTACGAAAGCCGTGCTACGAAAACCGTGCTACTAGCCTTGGTAACGGTATTGATAAATTAGACAATAACATATAAATGAATATCCAAATAGTAAACCATTATCAAGATAAGGAGGTTCCTGATGACTCTAGAAGTAAAAATTTATATTGCCAGGTACCTAGCTAGTAGATACTGCCTAGGTATAGCGGGTTCAAACTCTCGTATGCCAGGTTTAGACTGGGCTATATTAAGCCCAGATATATAGATGCCGTCTTGTGAAAGAAGGAGACCAAGATCGATGATATAAACAATAATAAAAGGATTCTCCTTTTCGAGACACTAAGCAAAACTCCGAAAGAGAAAGTATATGTTTAATGACCCTCACTACCAAATAACATACTTCAAATAATTTATGTGCTTGCTTGTGTATAGTCTCCAATCTTTGCTCACCAATTCCAATATCGTTCTCATTATCCGCTCCCTAATCTGCAAATATCGAAGAGTAAAAGCAAAAGAACCAAACAGCTCATATCTCAAAAAGGTATAACTACAAATCCACCCATCCACATAACGCTCTCGCTGCCTGGAATAATAAAAAATCGTAAATCCTCCTCCATTGCCCAAGTACAAGTCAAAAGTAGACAGAATATCTTGTGTGAATTGAAAAAAGATTAGAAAGAAGGGAAAAAAAGAGGAAAAATTTCATCACGCAAATGCGTACATCGCATCATCATCTCATGAGCTATCATATTCACGGAACCTCATGTCATATACCAAATCCGTATCCGATCATCACTGCCTCGGAATTATCGAGGGGCTCAACAGTTTTGTAGATAATTACTTGGTACCAAGCCGGGTCGACCATTCTTTCCAGCTACTTCTGCCTCCCACCATCCATCATCTTGATGCGTCATAACAGCAAGGATATCTCCCTTTGCGAAACTTAGTTCTACGGGGATAGCCGCTTGATACATATAGAGTGCGCGAGCTATTGAATTATTAGTATAAATTGAATTACTTGGAAGCCGCCAACTTACCAAAATGTAAAATAGGTCGACCTTGACTATTGAACTGGCGAACATCTGCAACACTCTTACTTCTGCTTCGAGCCGTCAATTGTTGATCGTTTCCACCACCATAATAGCTCATGGCTCTGGAACCAGCACTGGCTCTACTGCCGCTTCGTCCTTGAGAGCCATAACCATCATCAGGACCAGGTGCTAATTGTATTGCCATACTATTGTGTGAATGACTACTGGAAGGCCTATCTTGTTGAGCAAATGGAGCCTTGACATGACTGCTGCTAGGCCTCTCCTGTTGCTGGAAGGGAGCTTTTACATGGCTACTACTGGGTCTATCCTGCTGTGCATATGGAACCGGCGAGACACCACGAGTAGAAATACTTGGAGAATTGCGTTGATAATAAGTGTCAGAGCCCCGTTTTTGCTGAGGAGCTGACCCGGTACGAGAGTGTGTGCTTCCGGCGTATTTTGGGGAAGCAGATCTGTGGGCCTGTCTAATTTCAGCTTGTGTTCCAGGTCGAGGTGAAACACTTCGAGCAGGCGCTGGTGATGTTGCTCGAGGCATATCTGATCCCCTTGTTCCTGGGCGTGAGCCATACCCAGCTTGCTGTGAATCTGGTCTTGGTTGGGGAGCACTAAACATGTTTGCCGTTTGGTCGACATACTTTTGACGAGTTTGCTGCATTGACTTCGAGGTGAAAGCGGGCGATGGAAGGCCAAGTCTCTCAACAGGAGTTGGATCGTAAGATGGCGGGGGAGTACCGCGCATACCGGCCATCAAAGCTCCATTCACCATTTGAGATCCTATAGGTCTTGAAGTGGGTGCTGCATCAGGAGCGGGAGTAGCCACGCCGTGATATTTATCAGCAGACACCCTAGTAGACGAGGCTTTGGTGACAATTTTGAGATCAGCAAGAGCTTGAGCTATGGGGTCAGATTCCTCGACTGCTTGACCTGCGGCAGGGGCACTTTGAGCAAAATTGTTCTTCTTCTCCGGTGCTGCGACATCAAAAACATTGTTTCCAATATTCAGTTGGAAATTGGCCCGTGGATCGACGGGTTCCGGGCTATTGCTAGGTCGATCAGTTAGCATCATAGTTTGTGGTGCTGGCTGTATCATTCTTGAATTAGGTCGTCTAGATGAAGTACTCTGAACATTGGTGTTTCGACCGGACCAAGTACTGCGATTTGACGCGGCCGGTTTAGCAACAGCAGCTACTTCTTCTCCACCCTTGGTGCTCTTTCGTCGGAATGGACTATGAAAGATCCCACTCTTTCTCTTCTGGATGGGCTTCTCAATGATCGGGGCGCTTTGCTTCACCGGTGATGTTTTGCCACTTTGAGGTTCCTGGCTGGAGAATGATGTAGGGTTTGAATAATCACTTTGAGAATCCCGACTAGATGGTCTTACTGGGCTATTCGCGGGGGAGCTCATATCTGACGGTGCTGAAGGAGGCCCTGTTCGACACAACATTGTCATGCCATCCGTAGGATGAGGGTTGTGAGGCACCTGAGCAATTTGGCCTTGTTTGGGAACCAACTGGCCTTGTTGCTGTTCGTATGGCATTTGGATTGGTTTTGACCAGTCCATCTTAGGTAACCTGGAACTTTCAGGACGTTGATAATCAAGTTGGGGCTGTTGCAAAATTTGAGGAGTATATTCAAGCTGAGCTTGTTTCGGGCGTTCTTGTTGACGGTAATTAGCTTGAGCCTGAGCTTGAGCTTGAGCTTGTGCCTGCTTTTGTCTTTCGCTCTGTTGTTGTCTGTCAACTTGTTGATAATCGACGGATTGTTTCCTTTGCCTCTCTGCCTGTTGATGATTAGTGTGCACTTGCTGCCTTTGCCTTTCTGCTTGCTGATAATCTTGCGGAGGTTGCTGCCTCTGCCTTCCAGACTGCTGATAATCGATTTGAGGCTGGGCACGAGCTCGGCCCGCCCCAGCCTGAGATTGAGCTCTAGGTCTGGCCGGTTGTTGATACTCCACTTGGGGAGGTGGGGCCTGTGCAGGAGGTTCTGGTTCGTAATCCTCGACTTGGGCATGTCGTGATCTGTCCGGGGTCGAATTTGATGCCACAAGTTTCTGAGGAGTGGAGGTTGTCTCTCGACTTTTTGGCATTTCAACCTCATGAGCCAAGTCCTTAGCAAGAGCCGATTGAGGGTCGTGGTGAGACTCGTAGGTGGATGGTTGTGGTGACGAACTTCTGTAGGCTGGGTTTATAGTGCGTTGAAATTGTGCTACCGAGTAAGCATCGTCCTCGGAAGCCTCAGACTGTGAATCGGCATCACCGCGGCAGAAATTAATGTACTTTGGCGGATCTGGAATCTCCTGTCCAGTCCCACATTCAGCTATGAAAGACATGATATCTTTCTCTACCTCGCATTCTTCAAGCGCGAGGCGAACCTTCTCGCAAGAAGCATCGTCGCTTACACAAACGGTGGAAGCAATATTCGCAAAACTCCATAAGCTACTCTTCATAAAATCAAGTCTCTCCTCCTCAAGATCTTGAAACTTGTCAGCGGCCGATTTCCAGTCTCTGTTCCAGCGGCCTGTTGTTTCCTCGAGAATCTTGACTGCATTTTCGTACTCGGTATTCGACGCCGCTAAGTTCACTTGGGTTTTCTCGAGTTTGGCTTTATTTTTTCGTTCTTCCTGTCCCATTACCATATGTCCTTGAGCGAGGTATCCTTTGATCTTGAGGCATTCTTGTTCATATTTGTCTCGAGTCTGACATTGAGGTAAGTAATATTCAAGATTAAAGTTCGGGCGTCTTACTTTATTGACCTGATTTGTCTGTTGTACCTTGATTTTTAGTAATTTTTCCGTGCCATGCTGGACAATCTTTCGTCTCTCCTTCATTGCACCAGCAAAAGCCGCCAGCGGCTCCTCCAACTCGGTTTTCATTTGTGCAGCAATTGTTTGATGCGCTTTTCCCATCGCCTCAACCTCAGCCTTCAGGACATCTAATGATTTGCGCAGAGTTCCTGACTCTTGAGATCCCAATGGCTTTCGTGATAACTGGAGTAATTTACGAGCATAGTCCTCCTCCAGGGCGGCACGAGCTTCGCGATTTATCAGCTGTGCAACTCTACGCGTCAATTGTAAACATACCATTATAGAAAGATTTCAATTCATCACAAGTTTGTTTAGCATGAACCATACGCTGTATCAATGGCTCAACACCAGCGTCATCTTTCCCCCAAAAGTTATTTGCAAAACTCATGGTGACAGAGGGTCCATCTGATATTGTTCCAGGCATCTTGCCTAGTAGGTATTAACAGGTTACTGAGTTGGCCGTTTAGTAACTTTCAAACTCGGCCCTTTGAAGGGCAAAGAATTAATTAGATGTATTAGAGATGTGAGGATAAGATATTGATGAACTTGTACTCCAGGAAGTTGTCTGACAGCCTCCAGAATGATCGGTATGCAAAAAGGTGGATTAATTGCGGAGTTACCGACCGCATAATCTTAATTCTTTAACTCTGTTGATTTAACCAGCCCCCAAAATGGTTGTCATGGTGATGTGGGGATATCGGACGGGTACCTACTCGTACTCCTTTTAATTATGTAAGCACGGCGGAGAGCCTGGGTTGCGTGCAGCGGCGGGATCTGGGAGAGAGCACGGATATTTCCACTCGAAGCATTATCCGTGAAGTGATGACTAATAAGGGAATCAGAAAGAACAGAAACGCTTGCTGTTTTTGTATAGACCATTGCAAAGATGTAACATCCATCTTCTTAATCATACACTTGATAGACATGTATTCAGGTACTTGGTATGATACGTACCGCTATGTAAATGGTTACTTATGCCCATCACGGACCATCTCACGTATCAACTATGCAAGTGTTCGGTATTGCTACTCACGGTGCCGGCTGTCAGAGCAGAATCACGTCAAAAAGCTGTTGCATTGTAACCCCGCCTCCTCATTCATAATTGAACCATGTAGTAGGTACTTGCAAATCTTGCATTAGGTCTTCTCCTAATTGCAGGCAATGCCAAGCAGATGATGTGTATCAAAGCTGCCGGTACACGATTGAAGGATGAGCAGTACACCTTGGGCGTTCGCCCGCATCAAATACAATCAAAAAGACAAAATCACTGAATATCTGAATGTCTGAATGATGGTCTGGCGGACCTACTGAAAGCCACTGCCGTGAAGGCAGATTATTTGAATTTGTTCATAACGATGTCATTATCTTATGAGTAACAATGCTTCTTTCATAAGTGCAATCCTACCCAGTAGTACTTGATAGGTATCAAGCCACCGTGGGTAAAGTTGTTTTTATGACCATAGAACTTTTTGGAGTGAAGATTGATATATGTAGGCAGTTCTTTCCTATGAACATGCGATCAATCAGAATAAATAGCATTACTGTTAATATCTATATACCTAGGTATTTACTACCTAGTCGTCGCCGTGATTTATGTGTTCCTTGGATGCCTTATAACAGCCTTACCATTTACGGTTAACCGAACATCGCAATGAGAGTTGAGAACCTCCAACTTCAATTCTTGTGTAGAACTGCCCGCCCCCCACAACGAACACATCGCCTTCACAAATTCATTCCTCAACAACAAATCTTTTACCTACCTAGCACTTTCCGATTCGAATTTCAAAACTTTTAATATTGTCGCGCAAACTTAAAACACGATTCATCCATGTCCACTCCTCCCAGATAGATCACCTTTCATCTTGAACAAGATTGAGAGGTAGCTCTGCGGGAGTGGGTCTGCGCCAAAATACAACTATCTTCGATGGTCAATTCAAGAGGGGGGACTTTCACACCTTCACCGGCGCAAACAATTGTGACAGGAGTTAGTCATTCACCTCACGGCTCGCATCATAGTACATTCAGTGCTGGCGCAAGTCCATCTACAAACAGTCCAATCGGTGCCAGCGGAGTCAATAAAATTGTCGTCGCTCAGGTTTACCTATTACTCGGTACCATTAAAGAAGATAAAGATCGCACAAAGTGGGAACAGCAAGCTGAACAGCTCAGAAAGGTGTGTAAACTGAGTACCCTCGTTATTTCAACCTCCTAGTCCCATCTAACATGAAGCTTGTTGTAGCTAGTTGATGAGCACGGCATGGAAGTATTCTCAAAATACTTCAGCCGACTTGTGGTTGGCAACGCACCGCAGATATTTCCCGGCATTAATCGACCCGTTCTTAATTCAGGCAACTACCAGATCTTAGTGAATGAAGTACACAAGGTAGCCCATGATGTCGACCAGGCTGGGAAGATTGCGGAGTCCATAGAGACGGGGAATGAAGATATCTTTCGTGATTTTGACCTTTCGACCTTTATGGATCATTTTAAGCTAGATGCGCTCGAGAAGACTATTCTAGCACTTGCCTTCAAAACTGGATCAAGGTCAGATCTCAAAACAAAAGGTTACTAATTTCTTCTCCTTAACCATCCCTCCCTCTCCATCAAAAGCTAACAGCTCCGCAGCTGATGCTATCCTATCGGCCAATTACCAAGGCTTTGTCGAAGCTCTATCTCAGGTGAATCAAGGTCAAGAAGATCTTACTCCCTCCTTCCTCGCCACGATAGTCGATCGATTTATCCAAGGTCATCCACCGAATTTTGATCATCAAGCGCAAATTCTACTCTTTCGGGCAATCAACTACCGCTTTCGCGACCACCCAGAACAAGATATTCCTGCACCCACAGAAGTTCTCGCAGCGCTTTTCCTAATGTCGATAATCACAGAAGGCAACCCACTGATATTATATATACAAAATATTGGGGCTGCATTCACCTCGGATGAGGATGCATGTAGAAATCACATTCGAAACGCCGGTGATATCAACCTCGATGAAGCACAAGTAGCTGCTGCCTTACTCTATACTGCCATCAGTCGAACCCCCACATTCTCTTCGCAAGTATTGGTTAACAGTCTTCGCAAGGAGGTCCCTCCAGGGTTCAGTTGGTGTCAAGTTGTACGGCACTTTGATACACCAGACCTCAGAATATCTCCACAACAATTCTTAGCAGTGTACGAAGCTATTCGACCGATTGCCCTTGAAGATCCTGCAATTATCCCGCAACTCCTCGGTGGTGCCTGGCAAAATACTGAAACCCAGCTTTCCTTCATCAGTGCATACGCGTCACTGAGCCCGAACGAGCTTGATGCCTCCACCATTCCAAAGCTCAGGCCATCGTTCACACTAGAAGACTATGTCGATGCGAAGCCAGAGATTCGAGAACGTGCTGAATGGGCAATAAGGCATCCGCTTGTGTCCGTTATTACGCTAACATCAGTATTTATCGTTGCCCTCAGAGAGCCCCACTGCTCGGAAACTGTTGAAGCTAAACGATTGTTCCAAGAAGTGGTCGTGCCAAATTTAGACATATTCCTGGTCTCAGCATTCGGCGTACCGCGGCCGTGGCCTGATCTAGCAGTAGAGACAATCAACAACCTTTTCGAACGCTTTCTATTCAGGGTTGATGGCAACTATGACTTCGTCTTAGCAAGTTTGTGGCGAAAAGATAAGACCTGGGTGGCACAACGCTTGATGGATGCACATGTTAAAGCGCCCCTCGAGCTTCCTCTTATACTGGAGCATGCAATAAAACATGATTGGCTCCAGGAATTGGCCTCGATGCTCAATGGCTTTGGGCTCGACCTTGCTGCCCTAGCACATTCCCGCAACTTACTGGATCTCAAAGACTGGAAGGCCACAAATTCGCCACGGGAGGAAGAACTCGGCTCGGCTTTGTTGACATTCCTGAGCATCAAAGCTCAACACGAGCTTGCATATCAGCGTACCCAACGAGAACACAGTATAATGTTACCTGTCAAAACTGTATTCGCAATGTTAAATGTCTTGGAGGAAATCTTACCAAAAGAGCCTTCAGCACAATTGATCGCAGTACAGCGAACTTGTATCACTGCCTACCCTCGCCTGATTAACTATGGCCAGGATGACGAGCTAGACCGAATTATTGATAATAATGGTTCGGTAACCAACATGCTTAGCGAGGACGCACAGCACATGATGGAACAGCATTATAAGCAAATGTATAGCCAAGAGCTCAAGGTTCGACAGATTGTTGATGCATTAGCTGGATACAAATCTGCCCGTGATCCCTACCAACAAGATGTGTTTGCCTGTATGATCCATGGTCTTTTTGACGAATATACCCTCTATTCCACCTATCCATTAGAGGCTCTTGCAACCACTGCTGTCTTGTTTGGTGGAATTATTCAGGATAAGCTCATCGCCGATCTTCCTCTTGAGATTGGTCTAGGCATGATTCTTGAAGCGGTTCGAGATCACCTTCCAGAGGAATCAATGTACAAATTTGGATTGCAAGCTTTGCTCCAATTCACTCCTCGTTTACCGGAATGGCCTGGATTCTGTCATCAGTTGCTGCAAGTACCTGGTCTTGAAAATACAGAACCCTGGAAAAAGGCACAGAATGTCATCCATGACCAACAAGAAGACATGTTACGCAACGGGCACAACGACTTGATGAATGGGGGCGGAATCACAAATGGCAATATTGACGAAATGCTGGCCGCTGAGCCTGCTGCACCTCCGTTTACCTCTGTTAACGTGGATTCGCTTCCTTCCAATGCAGACTTCAAAGACCCGGACGACGATGCACAGGACAAAGTCCAATTCTTGTTAAACAACATCACTGAGCTTAACATAGGATCGAAGTTCGTCGAGTTAAAAAACGCCCTTGGTGAGACGCATCAAAAATGGTTTGCTGGTCACCTAGTTGAGGAACGGGCTAAGATTATGCCCAACTACCACGAACTATATCTTGGTCTTGTCGAACTTTTCGAAGACAAGGTTTTGTGGAAGCTGTTGCTGAGAGAGACCTTTATCAGTGTTTCAAGGCTGCTTAATGCTGAAAGCACTCTGCAGTCGTCAATAGAGCGCACGCATTTGAAGAATCTCGGTGGCTGGTTGGGCTCTATGACACTGGCAAAAGATAAGCCTATCAAACACAGGAATATCGCTTTCAAACAACTATTGCTCGAGGCTTGCGACACACAACGACTCATTATTGTCATTCCATTCGTTTGCAAAGTTCTCATTGAAGGTAGAAAATCGGTTGTCTTCAAACCTCCCAACCCGTGGCTTATGGATATCATTCACCTCTTGATTGAGTTATATCACAATGCGGAGCTTAAGCTAAACCTCAAGTTTGAAATAGAAGTTCTTTGTAAAGGGCTGAATCTGGATCATAAGAGCATCAAGCCCTCCACAGAGTTCCAAAGTCGCATCCCTCCTGTTGAGGAGGCCACCGAGACAATGGCAGTACCCGATGGCTTGGATAGATTTGAAAACCTTTCTGTGAATGGCTTAGGAGGCGGAATCGCCAGTGGCAGATTTTCTCCACAAGAGATCCTTGCTACCATGCCTGATCTTGGGCCTCTTCTTACTTACCCGCCCAGCAACGACATGGTGAACACACGCCAATTGCATGATATTCTCAAAACGGCCATTACACGAGCAGTTCATGAGATCATTTCGCCTGTTGTGGAACGCTCCGTTACTATTGCTGCTATCTCGACAGCTCAGATGATACACAAAGACTTCGCAACGGAACCCAACGAAGCTCGCGTACGCTCTGCAGCTATCAACATGGTTAAGAAGACTGCCGGTAGCCTTGCCTTGGTCACTTCCAAAGAGCCATTGCGTGCAAGCATGACAAATTACATTAGAACATTATCTGTTGAACATCAGTTACCTGAGGGAACTATAATCATGTGTGTAAATTCGAACCTCGACTTGGCCTGTAGCCAAGTTGAGAAGAAGGCCGAGGAGCGGGCTGTTCCTGAAATCGAAGAGATACTCGAGCCAGAGTTGGAAGCCCGCCGTGTTCACCATATGAGACGACCGGATGATCCATATATTGATCCACAACTAAGCCGTTGGGCGTGGACAATTCCAAGCCCATATAAGTTGCAGCCGTCAATGACTGGCCTCAATCAGGAGCAAATGGCCATATACGATGAGTTCGCTCGTCAGCCACGACTACTACCGATAGCCGATAGGGGCTCAGTAGCAGGCTCTTTGGCCGGTACCACTCATGTTGCTACAGCTTCAGATGCAACTACATCAATCACCAATGATCTCTTACGGGATCAATTTCCAGCTGTTCCAAACCTCCCAACGCCTGCTGAGACCCCTGCGATGCCACTTATCAGCAATCAGCAAGCTCCTTACAGCCAACCTTCGGCTGCTTTGTCAAATGGAAGAATGCCAAATATGGCTATGAACCCCCAAGGGCTACCAGAAAAGGTACAAAGGCTATTGGCTGACTTACAACAAACTACTGCAGATATTCCCGAGCAGCACTATATGGATCTTCCTCGACCACATCCCGTCATTGAGATTCTGGATGCTTTGTACAGCTTGATTATCAGGAGCCAGCAAGGGCAGGAACCTTATGATATCTGGATTGCAGAACAAATCTGTGGAATAGTTTTCAGTGGCAGTGAAAACACTTTGGTGATTGAGTGCTTAGTACATGTCCTCGAGAACATCATCAGAATCGGCGGTCGTTGTGCTGTCCGCGTTTCTATGATCATTGGACAGCAAGTTGGAGAAGCACTTCTCCATGTGCCATTGATCGTTGCATTAGTCAAGGCTGAGATGATCGATTGGGCACGTGTCGACTTAGCCACCTCTACAGCTTTGGCTGAGCGCAAAGAAGGAACACTAGAATTTTTTTTCTCCCTATTGGAGCAGGTTTTCTTAAACGATCGACCACTAGCATTGTATACTGATGTCGCGAAAAGTTTGGAAGTCGCTTTCGAATGGATTTCAAAAGAGCCTACTTTGGAAGTTGGCCAACAACTTAAGGAGAAGCTCGCAGGTTCTGCCCTTCCAAAAATTGTCGGTCGCAGCCAGGATTATCGTCTTGCACACCGTCAAGATCAAATGGAATATGTCTTCGAGGAATGGGTTCACTTGTTTAGCAATCCCATTGCTCCGGAAAGGGCCGCGCTTGTTTTTATATCTCACATGTACAACAGGCAGCTTATCAACGACAAAGAAGACCTGTGCCTGTTTTTACGTCTTTCAATTGACACATCGGTGGAACGTTTCGAACAGCAATTTCAAATGCATGGCTTCCTCAACGATGCCTACGTCCCTACCGATGCATTAGCAAAGCTTATATCTTTATTGATTAGGGGCTATGAGCGCGAGGGTGAAGTGAAAGGCGACAAGGCTGCTTTCCTGGAATCGATTCTGTCCGTCATAACATTAGTTTTGAATCATCACCATGTCATGCGTGGTGAAGGTTTCAATCAGAAGGTCTTCACAAGGCTTTTCTCTTCGATACTTTTTCACTTGAACACCTTCTCAGCGGACTTATCTGAAACCGAGAACCGTGAAATTATCTTGACATTTGCTGAGAAGCTCATCAAGCTTCAGCCAGCTTATTTCCCAGGCTTTGTATACGGTTGGATGACCTTGATCTCCCACCGTTTCTTCCTTGTTCCATTGTTGGGACTTCCAGATGACATGGGATGGCAGCCATTTGCGAAACTTGTTGAATGTTTGCTCTCTTACATGGGCGAACTACTGAAGCCACTACAATTATCCTCAGCAGCACGGGATATTTACCAAGCGACCCTGAAATTCTTTGTTGTATTACAACACGATTATCCTGATTTTGTAGTCGCACACTCCTCAAAGTTATGCGCCAAGGTACCAAGTCATTGCGTGCAGTTGTTGAATCTCATTCTTAGCGCTCACCCAACCATGCCTACGTTACCAGATCCATTACAGCCAGGCTTGAAGATTGAACGCATTGAAGAGATTCGCCTATCACCAGAGATCGTCAACAATGCCGACATTGAGCGTACCTTACAATCGACCGGTCTATTCGAAATCGTTGAACAAGCCTTACAAAATGGCCCTTCAGAAGATGCTGTGGCCCACATCACACACACTATACAACGTAAGCAAGCAGATGTGACCAGTGCAGGATTTGTTCCCGTCAATGTTGACTTGCAGCTGATCGAGTCTCTCGTCTTGCACATCTGTATGTACGCTGTAACAAGGGCAAGACAAAAGGGAGAGCTCAACAGTTTTGCTCGCAATTCCACTGACGCTGCCTTGATCTCGATGCTTGTTCATGAACTTAATCCAGAAGCTCGAAACTATCTTCTAACTAGCATGGTCAATCAACTTCGTTTCCCCAACGCACATACACATTATTTTGTGCAAGCGCTTCTGGAATTATTTGGGAATGATGTCAATGATCAGGAGGAGTCAGATATCAGTCAACAAATCCTTCGAGTTTTATTGGAAAGAGCATTCATCTCCCTGCCAATCCCTTGGGGCGTGCTTAACATGGTCATCGAACTCGTGAAAAACGAGAAATACACATTCTTTGACTTGCCATATATCAAGTCGACACCAGATGTAAGACCCCTCGTTCTCCCACGCTACTCAAATGACTAACAAACATCAGGTCGCTGATCGAATTGCTGTTATCGTGCAGCGATCTCTTTCAAGATAAGATTGCACACCATCAAAGATCTGGATAGTTTGGTTCTGGCACAAACATATAGATGTGTCACACCCGACATTAAAATATCCAAGATCTGTCTCCTCATTGTTACATAACCTCTCAGGTCACATTCGGCGTTCATGTTACAGATCTTTCCGGTTTGTCTACTGCATAGCGAGTGAAGGGAATTGGGATTTTGCAAGATCTGCTATACTTATGGTGGGAATAGGGAACGATAAAAACTTCTATTTAATGCATCTTACATGATTAATGTTTCCTTGCCTACCTTCTGTATGACAGAAAATTAACGGTTGGCAAAAGTTCTGGTGGCGTGGGGAAAAAGAGAGATATGGCGTGGGAATGGTTTGGCTTACTTGCTTTTATGTGGGAAGACGGCAAACCTTTTATGTATCATACAATGGAGTTCACTTATTTTTCTGGAATAATTTCATTTGTGATGATTGTTTACTCTTTCGTATGGGGGTTTGGTAGTGACATTTTCTTATGGGTCATCATTACTATGTCGAGGTGTTCAAAATGCTCTTTTCAGCTTTTAGTTCAAGTAATTGACGTAGATATTCTCATTGTAATTGGGGCTCGGAGTCTCTGAGGTGGAAGTTGAGCGTTTAGTAGCTTGGTATGCTTAGCTCTACATTCTTGCCCTGGTTTAGGTTTTCTGGGAAGGGCTGTTATACAAATCTTTACTAGATGCATGCAGTAACTCCTTTGCAATAGATTGAATATAAGCGAGTATTCAAGTTTTTTTCTTATATGAATCTCTCGATTGATGATATGGAATATCGGGGAAGGAATTACTGATATGATTGATTATATTATTATTATTAAATGAAGATGATGGGGAGATGATGAGCGGGGAAAAATATCGGCAGTGGTAGAGATGAAAAAGATGATAAAAATGTTTCTTTATAAAATAATAGATCTTTATAAAATAATATATCTTCATAAAACAATATTTTTTTATATTTATATATAACTTAGATTATATAAGATTTATTATTAATAGTATAAAGTTTCTATTTATCTTTCTTTTCTCTTCAATAAAAATAACATTAGTGATTATCTCATTGAAGAACAGCTAGGAGCAAGATAGAATTGATTGATCGCACTTAATGATTGACGTAACATTTTTCAATAAGAACCATACTACAAAGAGACAACCGTTACAAGCAACTTCCCTTGTATCTCAAAAGATATTGAAAAGTATCTTCAAGAGTAATGTTTATGTTTAGGAATTTAATGAGCCTTCGTTATCCCTTTATAATACAATATCGTACTGAGCGGCTCTCAGTGTTCGATGTTCCAAGACTCAGTAGACTGGTTATCCACAGTTAACCTTGTCTAGTGATGAAATCTCTGAATCGCTGAAGAGGCGGGTGGAGATAAAGAGAGTTCACACAATTTTAATTGTGATTTCATCAGCGAGCAGCATCTGAAAGGAGTGCAAACTCATTCAACAAAGTGTTGTTGTTGATAAGTTTCGTTCACATTATCATTGATACGATTTCTTACGAGAATTAATCAAAGCAGAATAGATTAACTCACCAGCTTACTTACTTCACGCCCTTCGCCTCAAAGCCAATATCTCGCACAACCTCACCACTCCTTTTCCACCCCATCCCGCAACTCCACTCTCTACTTCCGGTCTAATCTGCACATACCATCCCCAAGCCCTTCTATCTAACTCGTCCCTCCCGATATGTTCAACCCAACTTTCAAACAGTAAATCTAGTGCCCCCATCAGCAATCCTAGATTTTCCTCTTTCTGTTCAGCTATCGCTTTCGCACTTTTCTTCCTTTTGCTCCTCTCTTTCTCCTCCAATTCATCATCAGGAGGTGAGGCAAAAGCATTTAAAATATATCTTCTCGCACCCTCCGGTCTATGAATGGGCATACTGCTTCCAGCACTTGAAGAATTCATCGCTTCAATATCTAACCCCCATAATTGTTCTCCTCCTCCAATGTTCCCCGCTACCCTCAAGCGCTGTGATAATGCATCCTTACACACTTGTGTCATGATTCGCCAACGATCAGGCCCTAACATAACACCTCCATACCATCTGGAGACAACAAGTAAAACACCAACTATCTTATTATTCTGAAGTATCCCCAGTACATGCTTGCCACCGCCTGATTCACCATCGTCCTTACAATCTTCAATCATTCCATGATCGCCTTGGATGCGGAAAGCTGTAATATTATGGCTTGCGTCCGAAACGCTTGGATCCTTGAGGAGAGTTTGGAGGTAGGTACGAGCTTGACTAGGTGAGGATACTGATATTGAGTGGGCAATGAACTTTGAGCCTCTGGATACTATCGGAGTGGAGACAGCCCATTCGTTATTTGAATCGTTCCCAATCGCAAGTTTCTCTTCTTCTATCTTCACTTCACTCTCTGCTTCGCCTTCACCTGACCCACTGCCATATCCCCCTCTCTTTAAAACACCAATCTCCCTCCCCATGATCTTTACCTTTGGCCATCCTTTGCTTTCATCCTCATCCTTCCCCTTGCCCTTTAATCCCAAGCTCTCCGCCTTACTCTTACTATTCGCACTAACCAACGCCTGCGCCAAACTCAATCTCCCACTTAACTTTTGTCCTGGCATCGTATACTTCAAAAGCTGCAACGCCCATACCAACACCAACGGTGCCCTATTCGTATAAATTGCGGCCTTTTCAATCCTCTCTTCATCTCTCGCACTCTCTGGCAACTCCAAGCTCTTCTCTAATTCCTCCTCTGTTTGCTCAACTGGTAAAGAATACGCCGACTCGAATGTTTTAACACGTTTGGCTTCTGGTTTACTGGCAGTATCAACTTCGCCGGCTGACCGTTTGCCTGCTGTTATAGAGGCATTTTTACAAGCAGTAATTAGAGATATCGCAGCTTTCTCGTCAATAGAAAGTGCGGATCGAAGAGTATCAAGAGGTGTTGATGCGACGGCTGAGATGGATGGAATTATAGATGCAGTTTGGAGGGCTTTGACTCGCTGCATTGCTGTGAGTATGGGGATTTTGTTACGACCGGTTGTGAAGAGACGGAGAAGGTCTTGCATGTCGGTTTGTGAAGCCATTGTGGGCGGTTTTGTGTTATATGCCGGAGATTTGGGGATTGTGAGCTACTTGTTTGCGACAAGATGAGGGCTGATCAAGAGAGAGGTCGTCCCATGCTACGGCTTCTAATAGTTTCGTAGATAAAAAACCTAATTTTTTAAATCCTCATTGACCTGCAGGTTGTTTAATTTTAGCAGATTTTTGATAGTAGAATGTATCATATGAGTTGAGAAACAATTCATATTAGAATTCTGCGGCGCAATTAAGTGAATATAAGCTCACCGGGAGTCAAGCAGAGAAACTGCATGGCCGACGTCATTTCGTCACCCCAGCATTCTCAAATAAACATTATCAACCACAACCTCACAACGGAACGCGCATTCCCTCCGCACATCACCTCCAAAGATTTTCATACTCTCATATTACTTCTCTTCACAAACAATGTAATACAATAATAGATTCGCACATAACAATGGTAATTACTTTAAATCGCGTCATCGCGCACCAGTTTCCGTCCTGATTACTTCATACATTCCTCTTCATTTCTCAGACAGCTAACCATATATCCCCATTCAGGACACCATAATCCGCAAGCCAATTGCGATCGCGACCTCGAAGCCCGCCCGCAAAACGTATCTAAATACTATATTATTCCTGTCGACGTCGCTTGTACTGTTTGGATTTGCTGTGGTGGCCTATGCGGTGTTTTATTGGAGCTGGGTGCCGGCGTTGGGAGTGGAGAGGAGGGTTTGGTTGCAGTTTGCGTGCGTATCATCATATTCGAGGGTTTCTCACATGGGGGTTAGGGCTGCGACGTGTTGGTTCTTTGGAGGAGAGAAGGGATTGAGAATGGATGTGCTAACAAGTCCACAAACGCAGACCCGGCCAGCATCCCCACGGCATAGTTTCCCTCCATAATTCTGTCGTAACACGACAAGAATATGATATCCAGCTCGAACTACATATGCCCCGTTCCCCACCAAACCTGAAAGCCGGGAATTTTATGGTTCATGTGAATTTCCTTGGACCTAATCATAAAACATCAAGCTCGATACCAGTCGTCGAACATCTACTACCTTTATCAAGAATTACTAAAAATGAAGATGTTCTCTTTTCATCTCGGCGGCCTACAATTTTGACGTATGAAAGTGAGTTGATATCTGGACTGGGGAAGGTGGTAAATGCACCCCTGTATGTGCTTGGCTGGAAAAGAGAAGATGAGAAAATTACGGTGGAGATGGCGGAAAACGTCAGATTTCCGAGAGGGAATAAGAATGTTCCCAGTGCGGTAGAAGTGGTCATTGAGAAAGACTCGGGAGAAGTACAAATATATGGATGTAGAATAGTGATGAGGGCGAAATTGAGTGGCTTGAGATGGTGGATGTGGAATTGGAGGATTAGTAGTGCAATTATTGGGGTGGGCGCTTTTTGGGCAGCAGAGATGTTGGGCTGTATTTTTGGCTGGGCAATCTTGAAGTTATATTTTGGAGGGAGGAAAGAGGAAGGAGTGGTCAAGAGAAAAGGAATTGAAAAGAGTGAAGCTGCAATTAAGCAAGAGGCAACGGAGGATGAGCCGGACCTGTCAGATACCCCGAGAACGTTTCCTACTGCGAGGAGTCATACACCCTTAGTATATCCACCGGTGGGCAAAAAAAACGAAGAGGATGGAGAAGATAAGACATTGGGGGAGACGGTTATTTTGCCGCTTGCGGGGGATGCGGATGATGAGGATGACGAGGCGGAAGGGAGTTGGCAAGCCGGTAGAAGAAGTGACTCTGGTTTGGGTACAAGTTTCAGTGAAGGTGGTGCTGGAAGAATAGGACGAGTTAGTAGGAGGAGAAGTCGTGGTGGCTCGGCTAGTGGATTGTAAGGTTGGTCAAAAATCCGGAGTAAAGGAATAGGATAATGGACCTGGAAATACCCTTAAATGTACGTTTTTCGTTGAATTATTTGGAGAGGCCAGGAGTTTAGAAATGGCTGGGTGATTTGTTCATTTGCACGCGTTAATTTATACTAATTGCAGAGAATATGGAAAGGGTTCCACATGCTCAATATCTTAAGTCTTACCACCGTATAACCTTCCTTCCACGTCCTTCCTCCTTTTGACATCAGCAGACCGAAGTGTGTTTTTGATGCCCTAACTGCCCTGTGTCATCACCTCAAAAACCACACATTTAATCTCCGATCCAGGAAAGGAGGCTTCACTGCCCAAAGTCAATATCCCTTTCTTTAACGAGAATTAAAATCTGACAATGAATAATTGTTGTCGAATCAATGAATATTATTCTTGTAATACAACAGACCTACATCAACAACAACAATGGAACAAATCTATTGTGGTTTAACCATTTCCGGCAAGCTACCCGTTCTAATTCAAAAGTCACATGTTTGGCAAAAGACGATATAATCTATAGGTATGTATGTATTCAGCACGCCATGAACAACCAGCACACCGAATCTGGAGGAATATGATATTGGAAAAAATGATAAGACTTAGGATATTGTAAGGTTTATATAGTTTTCATAGCATCTAGTGTTATCCCTTTGGCTAAAGATTCTTAAGTATGAATAATGGATCGAGATACCGGAGGCCTGCGCCCCCCGGACTCCTGACTTTTCGAGAAAGTCTAATGAAAATTTAAGTTTTAAAAAGTTTATAATAAACTTAAATATTGAATATATATCAGGGTGTAGGTAGAATATCAGCTTGTTTTGAAATTTTTTTATTTTTATTTAAAAATAATAATTTTAATATTTTATATTATTATTATTATTATTATTATTATTATTATTATTATTATTATTATTATATAAATTAAATTAAATAAATAATTTCAATAGAGTTGAATAATTTTAATTGAATGATTTCAATAAAGTTGAAAAAAGTTCCAAGTTAGATTTGTTTGAGATTGTAAAATTTATATTAAACTTTTTGTTAGATTATTTACTAGAGTATTTTAGATCAATTAAATTATCAAGATTGTAACTTATTTAAATAAGTTTTTCATTTTCTATTATTTACATCAAGTAAATCTTACATATAATAAGATTATAATATTGATAAACCGATAATAATATAAAAATTTAAAAAATATAAATCTTTAATAAAATTAAATAATTTTAATAAAATTGAAAAAAGTTTTAAATCAAATTTGTTTAAAGTTATAAAGTTTATATCAAGTTTTTTGATTAGATTATTTACTAGGGTATTTTAGACCAATCAGATTATCAGGATCGCAATTCACTTAAGCGAGTTTCTTATTATCTATCATCTACAATAAATAAACCTCTTATACAACAAAGTTTTGGTGTCGGCAAGCCGATAATTAATATTTTACAAGAACTTGTATTATTCTTCATATCATTTCTAATATACCTTCCATTCACATATTCATGAGCTGTCAAACAGTAGCTTTGCATTTTTGATCCTTGAAGTACCGGTATATCTCGCTGCATCTTGTCTTAAATATACTTCTGAAGAACCAAATACATGACAAGTTTGATGTCACGCTATCTGAGAATCTGAGTGTATGTCTGCGTGGATAGCGTGAACTGTAAAAATTTTGCGCTCCAAAATACCAAGGTATTGATTATAGAATTCACTTTGTATTTAGCTATTTATGATTGGTCTATCTTTTATCTATATATACATCGAAGATTACCCTAGCTAATTCCCTCGTATGAAATTTTTTTTTTTTTACTATCTATAAAAAAATATATATTTCGTTGTTTTTTCATAAAGAAAACAACAAATGAAGAATCAAATACTTTTCAAAATTGATAATCCTAGTAACAAAGTCTTGATTGGATATAATTTTAATTATTAATTTAAATAAAAATAAATATTATTAATTATAATAACACTAACAATAATATTATATACAAATGATAATAAAGGTTATAAAAAGACATAAACAATGAAATTTTACTTCGTCGAAATAAATGAAAAACATCCAAACGATGGAAAAGGTAGATATATCATAGTGTGAATATACAATACAAAGGCCATAAAATTCCTGCAAAATTCTCTTTGATCATATAATGACGACCTCACCTCCTGAGGAAGTAACCAAATCGTGACTCGATTCCCTTAAGGCTCTTTCCCCTAAGAGAAGGCATGGTTGTTTGGACTATCTATGATTATTGATACCTTGAAAAGGGCTTGCTTTATATATTGAGGAAATACTAAGTACATTGGTAAGATATCTGAATAGTTAGCTATTTCACTTTAGTGAGTTGATATATTCACCTATATCACCTCACCTGACTAAGTACTCAATATTGATTTAAGCAACATGCATGACTTGTGGGGTCTAAACTCAGTTGTTATTGGTATATAAAGAAATCCATGAGCGTATACTTTGGAAATAAGAATTATCTAGGCAGTGTAGCAGCTTTGGAATCCGTAAAGCAATTTATGTATATCATATCTCTAGCCCTTGCTTCGAGTAATATGAAAGATCCCGTAACCTGTAGGTTGAGAGTAATCGTATTGCTTGCTAAATACTCTAAAATGATGATGAACTAGGAGTAAAACTACTGGCAGCGAAAGTTCTGGGGAATTGGGCTGGCAACACGAAGGAGCTTTACGGAACGACAAATTGACCTCAAATTCACAGAAATTGAAGGTCTTGAACAAGTTTTAGAGTATGCAAAGTATCACAATATACTAGCATTGTGATCCACCTTTACTGGCCGAATCGCCGACCATGGTATCATTCGTATGGTTGAAACTACTATGTTCATTCTGGGTTTTATACATCTATTATATTTTCTAAACGAGGAATCCACAAAATAACAGTATCAAATGGTAAATTCACCACTTTTGAACCTCTCATCACAGATCTCCACTCATAGCCGCCCGTTAGACAATTCCCTAAACGCGAAAAATCTAGAAATTTTGTATAAATACTCTCCTCTCAATACCCAAATGACTTTCAGTATGAAGCATATGAAGAGTCTCTGGTCTGCAAATCAAGAACCTGATCTTGCGAGGAGGTAAAATTTAAAGATTTAAGTCCGTTAGAAATCATTAAGGATTGTTGTCGGATTCTGTTCATATAGTGAAATAGATATAATCCTATATATCAAAACATCAGATATGGAATGAACAATGAATATCACATCAACAACAATAAAGAAGACGATGTGATAGCGATTACACGTTAAGCAGTTGAAGAATTCAGCAGTCACTTCAGCAGATTTTGCTCAATATTCATATGACTAACACGCAGCATATATCATCGCCAGTTGTTCATTCATCGTAAGTGATTATTCTCCAAAACATAGCTTGGTTCCTGTCATCAAGTGCTACATCTGCGGACTATTTGGGGGACGAACCGTAGTATGAAGCCTGTTCATTTTATATCAAGATCTCATCTCACCACTATTAACCGTGACTTGTCATGCATATCTTCAATCCATGTTATTGAGAGGTGAGTATGTACTGCAATAATTAATACATTAAAAAAACAAAAAGATAAAGAAAAAAATATAAAAAACATTTTTTTGTTAAAAAAAAAAGATCTTTATAGATATTATAATTTTATAATATTTTGTTTTATTGAGAATAAAAGACTGAATTATATTTAATTTTGATTTTAAGATTTCATATTTAATATATAAATATATTAAAAAAATATTAAAAATATTTATATTTCAACAATCTCTAGATTCGAAAATCAAATTAGACGACAATATTTATAAAAAATAAAAAACTGATAACAGCAATGCGGCGCTTTTTCACTATTCATTCTCTACTATGCTTATTATATCTCTAATTTTATTCCTATATAAGCTAAGAGGTCCAACTCTGGAAGAAACCGTACTAGCGCTATGTGATCTGCTACCTTCTTCCTTTGCGTGTCTATATATTTCACCCAACAGTTGCTGGGAGTTGTTCAAAATTTCTCTTGTTGAATTCCAATCTCCACGCTAACCAGGGTTTTTCCTGGAGCGGTTCAAACACTATATTACGCACATGCATCGGATCCGAATTCACTTTTCCCTTTCTTTCTCCATCTCCTATGGTTCTCTTCTCATTTTCCCAAATATCATCTTCAGATAGATATATCAAGGTTAGTTAAGCTCATAGTATGAGTCTATCATCAAGCTGAGCTATTCACTCGTCATCAAGATGATAGATAGTGTTAAGGATAGTTATAAAACTTACCAATTAAAATTAAGCTACAGCCTTTAGACTGATACCAACAATTTTACCATGATCACTTGAAGCATTAATCCAATAAACTCCTTTACCTAAGCTTCGATATCTTTTCGAGAATTTCTCCTGACCATTAAACGAATCGCTGGGTGCTAATGTTCATTTTCACTGATGCGGCGTTTTCACGATGACTTCCTGATGCTGGTGTTATCAAATTGATGCAATGCTGTAGGTATCCAGATACTTTGCCGGTTAATTAAATTATCCTATAAACCCTTTATGCATGCTTTGAAAATTGAACTGAGATGTCCGCAGAGCTATCGTTCATATCTAACTCAAAATCCTGATTAATAGCCAGAAAACCAAAACTTCGCATTCGAAAGAATCTATAATCAACACCACAATATATTCATTCCAATTCCGAACTGAAATCAAACTTGTGCTTCTTCCAGACCCCTCAAAAAGGTTTCAAGCAATTAGGAACTCACCCAAATGCCATTTCACAACATTGCACAACACATCTCTGGAAACCCAGATACGCAACAAACAACCGCCACCCCCGGTGAACAAAAATTGATGTTTTCCGCACACAAACCATAATTCTACATTCGGAAAAGAATACTAAAACAACCACTTGCTTATTCTAGCTGAATATTCAAGAATACTAAAACCTTGCTTCTTCCATATGTGCTCAACGATTTTGCAGATATTTGGAGTACATAAAGATACTGGAACAGAAGTTTGAAAAACAAGTAAGTGTAAGGTTAAGTTAGATCTTTTGAAAAGTTCGATATGCAACAAAATTCAATTTGAGTTTCGCTAACTCTTATTTTGTTTCAGTGCAAAAACCACATACGGTGTGTGTATTAAGTAGAATTGCACTTCTAGCTTTCATTATTATTGTTCGAATCTTGGGTAATAGTAAAGTTTTGCTTCTTCTTTGACTGTCTGAAGGGTTTAAATACACAGCGACTGCGTTTAAGGAATTTCTCATATTATTCAAAAAGGGGTGTGGAAATGAAGTGCGATGTGCAACGAAACTTTTATGGGAAAGCTTAATTTACTTAGCGGCCGATGGTGGAGGTAGAATAGGAAAGGAAGATACGAGATGAGATGTCTATCTGCGCAATAATTGTTCATTTCAAATAAAGGCTGCTTACCACTATTTTTACCTTGAGGTTTATCTTAAAATCCGACAGTAGTCTTACAACCATATATACCGAGATCCCAAGTTCCATATTCAGGTACCTATTCAACAAAGACACAACCCAATATATCACCATCATGAAATCCCAAGTTTCATTTTCCCTTTTGGTGATAAAGATTGAGGTTATCCAAATTCGCAGATACGCAACGGCAAAGAAGGTAGTAGGTGATTTTGGGAAGTAGGGACGAATATGCGTGAGAACATGAGATGACATAGAGTTCGGTGATAATATTACCGTTCAACCTAGCCTTCGATAAACACTTCATAAGACTAGGTAAGATTCTTCTTTATACCTACCTACTAGGTACCTACCTCATTATAAACTCCCAAACCTAACTTCTCCTCTTCAAAATCGAAAATTGAGATCATTAGGTTATCTATTTAGAATAGCAATAGCAGACAAGCAACAAAATAGCAAAGTCAAGAATCAAGATGAAGATGACAAGATGGGAGACAGTGAAACGGAATGAAAAGTAAATGTTTCTCAGCTTCCATCCATATGGCAAGAGAGTGAATAGGCGCGGGGAAGGGCGCGGCTGATTTTAGATACATGCCGGTGATCAACTAATTTCTGCCATGGGAGAGATCTGATGATCTTTTGTTGTGCAGCGCAGAAAAGATCCCTGGTTTGATTGATGTCCAGAAGAGGAGAAACACGCTATGGGTGGTTTGGCTCTGGAAGGGAGGAGCGCAAAGGATGTGATTAAGTGCAAAGGGTATGGACTCTGCGATCGGGTGTTTACTGGCTGTTTGGAATCTTGGGGAGTCTGAAGAGGTATGATGGGATGGTGGTTGGATGGAGTGGGATGAGAAGTCGGGAAATATTTAGCCAATATGGTAGCAAGTTTGGATGTAGCAACAGAGTGGGAGCTACTGGTAGAGCGGCTATATATTCAATCATCTGCCGTAAATGACATGGAACTACTAGCTACGAGATACTAAATACCTAGATGTGGAGTATCTTTATTCCCCAAGTCACCTCGCCTCACGTCAAACATCCATCCGCAAAACCAAGAAACTGACCAATAGATGAATCATCGCAACATTTCAAGATCCTCAAACATGTGACCAAAGATTCTCAATTTTCATCTTTCCACCCACCATCACTCCTCACGTGCAACTTTACAATAGATAAACGGGCGCATAGCATCTAGCATTGAAACATTCAGACATGCACCGAAAGTTCCTCCCTGTTCATGATTCTTATGCTCTTACATCACAAGCTGCCTTCTCTCCCGCCCGAACACTAGAACTCCACTCGCACATACGAAGAGAGCTTCAAGAGTGAATTCCTTCCTCCCTATCAACCAAAGTAAAATCTTACTTCCCATCCCAAGCTAACCTCAGCATCTCTTCCAAAAAAACAAGAAAAAATACAAAGTAAACGTTAACAAAGACATAAACCAGCAAAACCTCGAAAATACACCCTTCTATTCCTCTTTTAAAGCGCCATAAACTCTGTACGGGGAGTATTTGAGATCTCCAAACATACAAGATTCAGATCCTGTTTTCAAAATGAAAAAATTTCGGGGAACTGTCAAAAGTGAAAGAGCACTCAGATGTGCAACAAAACTTTTTGATATTGTGGTTGTCATGTGATGGCAGGTGATGAGAGGAGGGGATATTGGATGAGAATCATGGGATTAATTACCTAGAGTTGGGTTGTGCGGTGTGTGCCCACCTAGTATGCCAATGGTGCTTTCTTTTATTTGCATGTGTTAGTTGTTATTTATTGAACTCAAATGCTGCTTGTGAGATGAGGGATCTATTAGATCTCGAGGTGCTTTGATACTTTTAGGTTCTGAAGGAGAGGGTAAATGATGCAAGCTTCATTTGATGTTCTCCTCCCACATGTGATACTCCCAGTGTCACTCGCAGGTTAACCTCTCTCTTTCCAGATGCAATGCGCGGGGAATCATGTTATGGGCATTGTCATTTAATCTTGTATTTTGCTGATGTTATCTTGCTGGGTAAAGACTACTCAATACAGCTGGGTTTTCGATTCCTCTCCGTTCATGGCATTCGAGGGTCATGAGTAAGATTAACACCATTGAACAAAAACAATGTGAAGTTTCAAAAAAGTCTTCTCCTTCATGATAAAGTCCGTATATGTACCCTTTGATAGTTGCATCTCCACTAGCTTAGGTTCAAAATATACCTAGCCAACTTTCTAGAGACGTGTTTTTGAAAGGGCCATCGACAGATATGTGTGTCATTCAGCAATCCGTTGGTAAGGAAGCATTATCTGGAAACTCTAGCATGAGTCTCTTCTCCACGGAACCTGATGTATTATAGTCTCTTTCATCTCTTAAGCATTGTGAAAAATCAGCGACTCGTCGATATTTAAATAGAGACGTTGGGACTGTTTTTGAGGACTGTGGGTGTTTGCAGTGATGTTACATGGATTATAAGAATTACACATAAGCCTCAACACCATAATTAACACAGCCACCCTGCCTGCGGTGGTACAAATATCGATGTTGGTAGATAGAAGAAAATGATTCGGAAGGGTCGAGATTTCGTAAATACCTACCGAGTAAGTAAGCATCACTTGACTTGGACTGTCATCAATGTGGTTTGGTCTTATGATTCGGGCATTTCCGAGCCTTACCTTAAGGTTTAGTTGTTGTTCTAACCAAATTTCCACAATAATGAAGGATTTCCTAGCATCAAACAGTGCACAAGTGGAGCTTACAAACACCTATGATGGCATCATAACCTTATTTCTCAAAGTTTGCATGGTCAAAACTTCTTCAAACAGCTCATCGCCACAATGAAGGATATCCCGGGATACAGCAGCCTTATGAAATTTGGGCAAAGTGTGACAAGGAAGGCAATTTTATTATCATTTTCGCCACAAAGAGAAATAAATCCCTTACTGATGTTTATTTTGTTGGGGAAAAGCAGAAGATTTAATTACCTGCCTATGATTTGCGCTCGTGGCACCAAGTTTTACCGCAACATACCTCAAGCAGACCTCAGCCGCTCTATCTCATCCCACGGGCGCAGTTGAGTGACCCTGGAGTACATCGGGTTAGTGACATACCGACCGGTACGATACGATATACTAGCTGTGGAAGTGGTCACCAGCTTATACCTACATTCGCTCGTGTCGCTTTTCCCGAGTATTGTGATAATATCATGGCACTGTCTCGGAAAGTAAAAGAGATGGGTCCCCATGGTTCAGTGATTGGGCGCTCTGAGCCCGAAGATACCCAATGACGTTTAAAAGGACCCCGCCAATAAGATAGATGATAAGCCATTCCCTTCCCAACGTCTCGAGTAAGATCACTAAGGCGGGCCTTGTATCTATCAAAAAAGCTTCAAACACAGCTTGGAAACCCAAGTTACTACTAAACTATAATTGCCGTGGAGCATTGGGATTCATTGGGTTGCCTTGTGTATTAATTGATGCTTTTGATATAGATTCTAGAAGATTAAGGAAAAGTGAAGAAGATTGAAGAAGATTAAACTGGTGGGGTATATTTGATGTTCCATCCATTTTGTCGCATTTTGTCGCATCATCTCGCATCATCTCGCATCAAACTTGGAAAGTCTTCAGCTCTTGCTGCAGGCAGCTGAGCCATCCATCCAGGGCCAGGCAAATCCCCGGAAAATCCCTTAAAAAGGTAAAAAGGTCATGAAAGTAAGCAAACGAGTTCAACCGCGCGCCAAATAGAAGATGAGATATTCCTTAATTTGTGGATAATTGATCATTCTGTACAGAATCACGCATATCCGATAGAACCGCTCGAAGCAGGTTCATGCCATTATTATTACCTTAGCTTTCTGTACTCCCAACCTTCTCAAGGGAAGGCTTGTTGACTTACCAACCTACTGTGCTTGGAATCTCCAGCCACCTCCTTCGAAAAGCAAGCGCCCGTTGTAACTTGTCAACTTTGGGCTTTTAGTAACCAACCTGACCCTGTAAAATTCCCATATCTCACCGACATTCACTTCTCCTTCTGTCTGTTTCTTTTCCCCTCACTCGTCATATTCATATTACGACATTACCTTGGGGGTGTGACTGTGGTGATCTGATTCGATTTATTCCAGCAAAACCTTCACAACAAAACACAAAACACAAAACAATTATTTACCATCGTCTTATCGCCCATTTAAATCTACAGAAATACAGACATCAAGTTTAATTAAACCCTAACTCAAAAGCCTAATTATTTATTAGTGCTAATCATCACAAATCTCGGAAGTGGACAGTCAGCGAAGCATTTTCCTGTCGCAATTCGAGAATACCCCGCCATCAATCATGACTTCTTACGAATATGAGTATGAGACGGTCGAAGAACCACGTCGACATCGATCTCATCATCATCGAAAAGATGATCGCGAACCAAGATATGCTGATGAGCCACGTTACGTCGAAACTAAGGAAACTTATATTCGCTCAGCTGCTACCAAATCTCCTGTAGCTTATGCACCCGACGCCCCCATCAGAGAAAGAGAGCGAGAGAGAGAGAGAGAAGTTACTCAAACAAGAGAACTCGTGCGTCAACCTCGTCGTGAAGATAGCGATTTATCAGTCGAAGAAGTTAGAAGGGACTTTCCCCCACCAGCGGGTGGTGCCTATACTGACCAACGTACGACGGTGCGTGAGGCTAGGTACGGCCCGCCAGCCCGTCGCTCTCGATCCGTAGGGCGTGATGGCCGATACGGAGAATACCTTAGTGACAGTAGAGGTGATCCGCGACGCTCTTTCCAAGAAATCGATCGACGAGATGATTATTACGAAGATGCAGACATCGAAGATAAACGATCGCTTTCACGAAATCAAAAAATTGCTGCTGCCGTTGGGGGTGCTGCTTTAGCAGTTGGTGCAAAGGAATTATGGGATCGACGATCGGCCGAAGGTAGACCGGTCGAGCGAAACCCGTTAGCTTCTGCTATGGTCGGAGCTGCTGGAGCTTTGGCTGCATATGAAGGAACAGAACTTTACGATAAACACGGAATCAAAGAAAAGAAGGTCAAGAAGTATGCTGTTCACAGAGGTCGAAATGGTGAAGTTCAAGAGACCTATTACTCTGAAGAGGAGGAGATCAAACCCGAAAAGAAAAAGGGTCGCCGCAAGTCAATCGTCGATAGTGCCATGGCTCTTGCAGGGCTAGGTGCTGCCGCAAAGGGTGTTGAACATCATCGAGGACGCCGGGGAAGCGGTGATAGCTATTATGAGGAATCGACCTCAAGAAGAAGCAGATCCAAGTCAAGATCCGGGGAGGGAACTGCCAAATATCAACAAGCCGCCAAAGCAGCTCTCTTAGCTGGTGCTGCGGAAGCATTCCGAGTTCGAAATGAGCCTGGAGCTTGGGGTGGTGAGAAAGGAAAACGTATCCTCACTGCAGCTATCGGAGCTGGTGGTATTGATGCCGCTATTGACAAAGATGGCGATAAGAAGAGCAAGCGTCATATCCTTGAAGCGGTTGTTGGAGGTCTTGTTGGAAATCGTGCCATTAATGGATCGCGAAAGGATGTTGAAGAAGATCCTGTTACTGGACGTTCTCGATCCAGATCTCGAGCCAGATCTCGAGCACGTTCTTCATCCCGAGGTGGAGGAGGTGGTGGAACCGGTCTTGCTGCACTTGCAACTGCTGGTCTGGGGGCTATTGCTGGTAAAAAACTACTTGATCGTTCCAGATCTCGTTCCAGAGCCCGCTCCCATTCACGCGGACGCAGAGACAGTTACAGCCGCAGTCCATCACCAGATCGCAACAAGCGTAGCAGAAGTAAGAGTGTTAGTGCAATGGCAAGAAAGGGTTTGGCTGCTCTTGGTATTGGAGCCGGAGCCGGAGCTGCTGCTAATGAAGTCGGTCGCAACCGTGATCGTAGCCGCAGCCGTAATCGTGATGATTATGATGACTACAGTGATTACGATGATCGCTCAAGAAGAACTCGAGGTCAAAGAGGGGATGTATATGGTAACCCACGTTATTCTGAGTCTCGTGGAAGTGTAGACAGTCGTGGGGGTGCTAGGGCAAGGGATGGACAGAGAAACAAGAAGGTTGCTGAAGGAAAGAATGGATATGCTAGCGACGATTCTTTGATATCTTCGTCGGAGGATGAGAGGAGGGTTAAAAAGATGAAAGGTAAGCAACTTATTACAGCTGGTTTGGCAACTGTTGCCACAATTCATGCAGCACATAATGTATACTCAAGCATGGAGAAACGTGATGCGCGACACAAGGCTGTTCAGGAAGGAGAAATGACCCCAGAGGAGGCGAGAAAGCTTAGGGCAAAGGCTGCATTACAAGATGCAGCTTCTGTTGGAATTGCTGCACTCGGTATCAAAGGAGCCATCTCGGAAATCAAGGAAGCAAATGAGATCCGACACGAATGTAAAGAGTTCAGAGAAAAGAAAGGTGAACGTCATAAGAAACGTCTTGAAAGACAAAAGAAGCTTGCAGACAATGGTGGAAGAAGACAAAGAGATGATTCTCGCAGCACTTATTCTCCTCACGATCGTTACGATGATCGATATGATGAGCGCCGTTACACTCCTGGTCCTCGTTATTACGATGGAAATCCATATGCTACAGGTTTACCTGCTCCACCTGTTGGATATGAAAGATAATTCATATCCTTCAGCGCACATCGACGATTTCGTCATCCACATTCATTTTTCTGGCTTTCACACGATAAAATGCCTTTGTTCCAACTTCGCCTAAAATATAACTCCAATCGCAGATTTGGAAACAGCGAAATATCTACATAGGAGTTCTACAATGCTGGTGCATCTTTGGGGTCTTTCTTCGGCGCAAAGATGATTTAATGAGTTCATGACCATCACAAAGTTTCTCCATGCCTTGACGATTTTCATATATTTGTTTCATTTTTTTTACACATAACACCCAGACGTTTTTTTTTTATTTTGCGTTTTCATTTGTGTCGTTATCTACTATTCTTCATTCCACGCTATAGGAGATAGATGAAGAAATGTTACAACGATCTTACCCAAAAACAATTCCGAGTTCACATTTTATATTTTCCAATCTTAAATGAGAACCATAACTGATTGGTATATTTTTCCATAATAGCTCGCTCCCATCGCCATTAAGAAAAGCTAGTTCAAGAAGCTTATGCCCCCCGCGAATTAAAGTGTGATAACGTACAGAGTACAAATCCGAATCTACGAATAAACACTTGTAACGATAACGCGCGGACAACGAAGTGGAATGGAAGGATGACGATGGATTGGATGGTGTAACATTTAGTGCGGGATTTATAGGAGGATATGCAGTTGTGCACACGATTTACGAAACGATGGATAAAATTTACAAATGAATGAAATTTGGTCGGCTAGGAGATGCGATTTGATACGGCAATCTTACGAATTGATGACTAGTTTCAGCCTTCGTTTTACATCTTTCTTGTTTGTTTTTGTTATGGTTATGGATGGAGGATTTTTTTTATGCGGTTTTGAGGGATGGGGGATGGGAGGATCCTTGGTTGGTTGTTGGGAGGAGGATGAGGGATGAATGAGGGATTTAGATGCAAAGGATGCAGATGCAGGTGCAGATGCAGGTGCGATGATGAATGATGATGGCATGATGCATTTGGTGGGTAGGCGGTGAGGGAAAGAAGAGGGGTGGGATGTGAAATGTGGGATGTGGAATGGATGGATTTCTCTAACTTTTTTCTTTAGATGGTTCTTTTGATTTTTTGCTCTTTTTTATTTCCTTTTGGATTTTGTCTTTTGGATTTGGGATATGGGGTGGAGGGTAGAGGGTGGAGGATTTGGTGGATTGAATGATGATATGGTTTAGTATTGGTTATCTAGGTAGTATTGATTAGGATAGGATACGATTGGATTGGATAGTATAGGATAAGCTACTATGGAATCATATCATATCATTTATTAGAGCTTTGTGTGTTCTTATGTTCTTTACTTGTGAATGAATATTGATCGTATGATTGTGAGGGTATGAGAATATAAGAACATGTATAGTGTGATACTCGTGTAGAGTAATGTAAATAAATAAGTAAACCCCCAACATATAAATATCGATTACTCTACCAGGTCCAAGTCCAGGTCCAGGTTCAGGGGAACGTTTTTGAATGGCAGTGGATTGTGTGGTATGTACTCTGTAGTGTCGTCATTTTGGATTTTTGGGTATTGGATTATTGGAATTGTAGATGTATACGTAGGTACCAGGTAGATTGGATGTGGGATGATAAGGATAAGGATAGAGATGTAAGTTGTAAGTTGTAAGTTGGATTTGGGGGATTTGGGGATTTGATTGGAAGTGAGGATTGAGATTGGAAGTGAGATTGGTTGGTTAACTGGGTGTTGGATATAAAATATACATATAAATTATGGATATAAATTATGGATATGGATATAGATATAGATATAGATATAGATATAGATTTGATGAGGATAGGTAGGGTAGGTAGGGTAGGTAGGGTAGGTAGATGATGGAATTAATTTTATGGTATGTGTATATGTATATGTGTGTATGTATGGAGTATGGTTTACGGGTTATGGCTTGATGTTGGGTCATTTATTGGGTGGTGGTGAGATTATGGCTGCATGATGGGTGGATGGGTGGATGGGTGGATGGGTGGATGGATGGATGGATGGATGGATATGAGTTTGAAAGATGGGATATGGAATATGGGTATAGTATGAAAGGTTACGGAGTAGATGGAATAGAGAGAGAGAAGTTGTATTGTTTAGGAATGGCATTTGGGTGTATATTTATACAGGTATGAATATATATATATATATATATATATATATATATTGATGCGCTGTATGAAGTAGATAAATGGGTAGGTATGATGGAATTGGCCATGGAGAGATACTGTAATAAATCGTAAATCACGAATTCGAAAAGATGAAGCTTGACTAAATTCCAATTGATAGAATCCTTATCGTGGAAATATCATTTTCCACTATTGCGTTTCTAACCTTTCTAAATTTTCTCGTCTCCCACCTCATTTTTTGATCCTCAGTATCATTTGCCGATTCCTACTACTTTCACATGCATGTACACTAACAACTTCCTCCAATCATTTATTAGCCCTTCCAAAAAAATTCATTTTGCTCTGTTTGCTCAAAATCGTCTCTTCGCTTACTAGCTTCAGAAAAATTTCTCTCGCGCACAGACCATCCAAAAAATCTATATCACTTGAACTTCCCTCCCAACTTTTCTTTCTTCTTCATCGACAATACTGTAAGTAAAACCCTACCCCTACATTTCACATCTTTCACCAAGACACAACTCCAAACAAACATATCTCTTGCATCTCACGTATTGCATTTCATATCTCGAATACTCGCTAACATATCACTCTCCCACAGTCAAAGAATCATTTCTTTAGTAAACGTCCTTCTTCTGTGTTCTCTACAAGAGCCACAGACTCCAACCGAGACGATGAGCCGAACCTCAATATCCTAGAGTGAAACCGTTTTGCTTTCGATCTCTCTGCAAAGAGGGCGTTTTCTCTTCACAAGAGAGGAAATGTATAGAAAGTGGTGATGATCTCGACCCTTTGCTGGTTCTCTTAGGAGACTGTCTCTGGGTGGGTATTGATGGTCGTCTGATCGGTTAATACTTTTTTTCATTGCGTTCCTGGCGGTGCCGGGGTGTGAAGAAGAAATAGATGGGTTGTCAGATTGACGTGTTTTGTGCCAAGATATTTGCGGATGGATTACACGGATGAGCATTGGGCGTAGACATTTGTTGAGGATTACGTTATTGTTGGGTGGACGACTTGTTTTGTTGGGCGCAAATGCAAATAATTGACCTGAATTAAAAATATTTCATTTCACATACACTATACGGTCTTTTGAAATGAATAATCATTCTAATTACTCACTCAACTGATCTTACTTTCCCATCGTGAGCTCAATCTCGAATCTTACTTTCCATTTAAAACATGAATGCGAATTTTGCTGAAAAGTTTTCTTAGGGCATCGCATTGCCCTACATATGGGTTGTACTTGCCCACACACCCGATCCGGCAATTAGAATGATTCATTATTAATTACATTGAATCACCATAACATTCACATCAACACATACCTAAAACAATCCAATAAATCAACTTCTACATTTCCTATATTAACTCATCACTTCATTACTCAATCTCACCATCTACCCATCTCCAATTCAAAAAACTTATTATACAAAAAATTACAATGGTACCTATCTACCCACCTACCTACCTACCGACCAACCACACCCAATATAACACAACGATACCAAAAATACCTATCGATGGGATATATATCCATATATCCATCTCATCTCATCACCTATATATACCAATAGACTAGTAGATTGATATACTCTACATTGTGGGAAACAGTTATTTGCAATGTGGGGGGAGCTTAGGGTGGGAGAATGATGATGAGGATAGTGGTGAGAATACAATAATAATATTTAGTATTGAGTTTACAGGATGATACTGTTATATAAAGATTGGTTGTTGTGATTTATTGATAGCGAGGTTGATATTGGGTTTATGATTGAGGTTTGATTGGAATATTGTTATTGGTTTTTGTTTTTTGTTTTTTGTTTTTTGGTTAATTATTTGGGTGATGCTGTTGGGTTTGTGGAGACGGGTTGAGGAGTTTTGAGAGGGATTTATGGAGTGGTAGAGAGAGAGAGGCAGAGGGGTAGAATGATGGGTTGTATGTGAAAAGGTGGAGTTTGTGATTTGTTAGGTGGGTATAAGATGTTAGATATAAGATGTTAGATATATGATGTATGATATATGTTTTTGTGTATTTAGTGATAGCTGCTTTTGTGTGAAGCTTTCTCCTGCCTTGACACCTCATGCTCCGAAGTGATGTTTTAAAGTCAAATTGAGATAGAGGAATCATAGGTTATAATCATCAATGAGAGTGTCAACCTAACATCATCACAAGCAAATCCAAACACCATCATCGTCACATATCAAACACCTCAGTACGATCAAATCTCCCCTGACACCCAACACCCCAGTTCCTTCACTCAACAAACAATCCATTCTTCTTATGCCATTCCTCAATACTAAAATCACCATATCCCTCATATACCTTTTTCTTCCCCTCCGGCCATCTAACATACTCCGGTTTACTATCCCCCTTCACACAAACCATTTCCTCCACAACTGGTAATTCCGTATCAATTGCACTCGCAAAAGGATGAATCAACTCCGGCCAAGTTTTATCCCACAACCAAAGCATCGACGCACATTCCGAACAAAAGTTGCGTTCAGAGATACATTTTTTCTCAGTAGGTTTACCACGATCTGCAATTGCGTTGTATTTTCTAGTGTATTAGTTAGTTAGTTACTTCTCAAAATAGTGAGAAAATGGAAAGGGAGAGTACTTGATGTATTCTTTGCCTTTGGTAATTTGCAGTGTAGAGGCTATACCCCCTAGATTTACAGTCCCGCCGTATCCGCCGCACTTACGACAGATGGAACATGCGCAGATTTGATATGGAGCCGGAGTATGTGATTCCAAGGTGAATTCTACGAGGCCGCATTGGCAACTTCCTTGTAGGTTCCTGGGGTGGATAAGGGTGTTAGCGGGGTCGGGTGGGTTTAGAAGGGGAGGAGGGAGAAGAGTATTTTTCGATATGGAAATGTTTACATTGGCATTTTGGGCAGTGTGTTTGTGTGTGTGATTTTTAAGTTGGTGAGTATCGGAGTAGAGTAGAGAAAATATAGTTCTTAATGGATTATGTTGTCTCAAATACGTATCTTCTATATATACCATACCTCACCTCACTGACCCCTCTTTCTAACTCATCGAAAGCTTACGTCATAAAATACTTGGTACAAGTTCGCGGAACAATAGAAAATCCGCTCCTGACAGAAGTTCATCCCAATAAATCCATAACATCAGATACCTAAATTGAGATTAGATATAAATTTAACAACCATGAGTACATTTGGAAGCCCTGGTGGGCGTATGATTAATAATAAACCTTCTCCGTAAGTTGTTCTGCTGTATTATCTTCTTACTATGGAGGTTTTCGAGGAAAAGAATGCTAATTTATACATTGGGTTGTAGACCGGAAAGAGGAAGTTTTCCGCTGGATCATGATGGTATGATTTCCTTTTCTTTTCCAATTACACACCCACGGGTGTGCCTGCAAACGATATAAGGCTGGCGGGTGAATGGGATGTGGATAGAGGGAATGCCAACGAAATACTAATGCGACGATACGATTCAGGCGAATGTAAATCGGTTATGCAAAGTTATCTTAATTGCATGAAGAAGGTTCGAGGTATGAATGATCCGGAATGTAGGAATTTGGCAAAATCGTATTTATCGTGTCGGATGGATAGGTGGGTTCTTGGATTCTATTTATACATGATTTGGGTGGATAATAGGGTTGAGGACTAATGCGTCTAATGTGCTGTAGGAATTTAATGGCGAAAGATGAATTTAAGAATTTAGGCTTTGCAGATGAGGAGTCGGATTTGAAGAGTGTGGATAAGAAGCATGAGGCAAAGAATGGGGGTACGGATGCAAATAAACATAAAAATGAGTTAAGGTGGTGATGTCGGTACTAGAAGCTATTTGAGGCGAGAGGGTGCAGATGAATGAAGAGCCAAGGGCTAGCGAGATGGGTGTCTTATATCACTTGTACAATACAGCATTGGATTGGCGTTCCGGAGCGAAGATAAAGATCGAAGTCGACTATTCGAATAGGATGTTAGGGTGATTCATTCATTGTACACATCCGTACAAGGAATAAATATTATTTCAACTCTAAGGAATTATATTCTACATGAAATTGTGTTGGTGGTTCCGGAATTGGCGATACATACCAAACTACTGCCGTCTTGAACATCACTTGGTATGTCCCTGGGAAGGACAATCGACAAGCTCTATGGATTAGATGTATGGGTTACCATATTGGTTGGTTAGTTTTATCATCCTTTTGTCATTACCCTTCTATCAATGCTATATATATTTTTAGATATAAGAGTGCGAGCAGGTGCAAGTGCAGACGGTATCGCTCTTGTTTCCCTGCTTCGTCCCTATAGAGTGTATAGAGCTAAATTATGGAAAAGACATGTCTTATTTTCTATGTGTTAAATAATGGATTTCTAGCCAAGCTGCTTAATGACCTATGTCTGTACGACTTACTCTCTTTTAGAGGATTCCCGTAACGTCATTTCTTTTAAAGTTCTAGAAGGGTATGGTTCAAAGTCTCTAATTATCTTTATATTAACCTTATGAAGGATACATTTATTTAGAAAAGTTTTCCTTTAACGTTGGTTTATATTGGCATGTTAATATTTATGTTAATGATCTGAATTTTTTTGATAGTTGAGTTGCAGTCAATCAATGCAATTATTACTTTTCCTGATCTTTTTCTGTGTGCGTCTTGATGCTGTAGATTTGGGTTTATGGAGGTGGTAAAATGTTAAAATGGTTTAGAATTATTGTGAAGTAGTGAAACGGCTACAATACTGATATTATTACAAAAGCTACAAGGTGCATTAGGTGATGTGATTCTAGTTGCTCTTAGCTCAGCATACCTAGCTCAGTCTATCACAATAGTATCATTCGGATTGATGAATCACTACGGAGATGCCCAGACATACATTGACTCCTCTTACCGTGGCAATATTCTACGAGCATGTTATTATTGCATACGAGCTGTACCAGATTTAACTATTTCCTGCGCTGATACCTGGTACCTGGTACCTGTCTACGGACACTTATTATGCTCCTTGCCTATCTCCTTGACATCTTCAATCGTAGCTATAGGATCAGCGCACCATCTTATCGCCTGTTGCTTTTACTTATCAAGTAAGTAAACGATCCTATATAAACATAGATATACAACCATATATTTCATATCAGCTCCCTAGATATCAAAAAGGCTCCTTGAACTTTCCTATCTTGTACTGATCATAGCTACATTCACTAGTCTCGAAAAAGATTCGACTTGTGCTCACCATATACTTTATGACTACCGGTACGGGTCTTGAAATACTTTAAATACGATTTTATAGGTATATCTCTACTCCACCTTCTGTACCAGGCCTTCTCCTTCATATTATTTCGCCTGGTTATGTACAATATCTGTAATTTTCTGATGAATTCCTTGGGATTTTATGAGCTGCTTTGATTTTGCTTTTGCACGCAAAACTAGAGATACGTTCCTCTTGTTTTGTTGTGTGTATTTTGTAAGAGGATGGCAGTATTTTCTATAGTCTAGATATTACTGTGAAGGGGCTGATTTTATATTTGAAAATGGGGATAGATGGAATCCTTCGTAACCTGGGGCTATTTCAGGTCGGGAGTTTTGCGGATCTCTTCAGATGAGGCTCGTTAGGAGGCCTTAAATATTCTCTTGTCAGTGGAGCCTGGTTATTGGGTGCATGTGGGCTTTTTTCTCTTTGAGTCTTTGCCATGATGTTGGAAGAAATTGCTGGGAATAGAGATAGGTTTAAGGAGGGAGAATATGACCAATAGTTGGTGACTTCGAAACAACCAAATAATGATGGATGTTTGTCATTAGATTTATCATTTATTCAAATTAGACTATTTACTCAGGATATATGTTCATGAACATGCTCCCTTTTTCGTTGTAACTATCTTAGCATGGCCGTGATTTTAGCAAAGTCTAGTATCCTACTTTTCGGTCACGCCTAATCTCGACCATCTTTTTATATCAAAAATCGTGATTTTCATCTATCAATAACTTTACAATCAATCAATACGATTTAATAAAATTTGAATCGTAGATTTATTATATAATTATTAATAAATTTTGAAAATTTTAAATTTTTTGTAACTGATTTTGTTGAGATTTGGAAGATTAAATTTTTGAATTTTTAATTTATATAAAATCTATATATAAATTTGAAAAATTATTAAAATCTTGAATAACTTTTCAAAAAAATAATTTAATTATAAATTAATTATAATGTTTTTAAAGTTTTTGAATCAAATTCTATCAAATAGATCAAAATAATTTAAAAAATAATTTATAGAATTCTGATTAATCAAAATATTAAGATTTTTAATCTTTATAAAAATTAAAAATTAAAAATTAAAAATCTTAATCTATTATTTGATTTGACGATTTCTAAAAGATTTATAAATTATTTTTAATAATTTTTATTGAAAAGTTATTTCAAATTTTAATGATTTTCAAATTTGTATATAAATCTTATATAAATTGAAAATCGTAATTTCAACTTTCAATTTCTCAATCATTAAAATCGTGAAAAATCTGAAAATTTCAGAATCTATTAATAATTATATAAAAAATCTATAATTAAAATTTCAATTGATTTCATTCATTTGTTGTTGAATCATTAATGACTGAAAATGATGATTTTTGATGTAAAAGGATGGCCGAGATTAGGAGTGGCCGAAAAGTAGGGTACTAGACTTGTAGGGTGTGTACTTCAAGGTATTCATCTTGTGCTGGTGTAGGAATTTCTCAAAGATCATTACCCTTATTTGTTGTCCTTGCGTCTATCACCTCCTTAGGACTCTTTCGATCGATCACTAAATTACAGGAGTACGCAAGGCCGAGTGAGGAGAAATAAATATTGTTACAGAAGAACGAACAGAAGGTGGAGTGTGCGATATGGATCAGTAGGCTTGCGTCTCCTCAGAGCTTGGAATAAGAACTGTGGGAATCAAGGATAGTTAAGAAAGGGGAATTCGGAAATAGTGATCCATATCTGACTTTTCCTCTTTCGATATGTTCAACAAGACCTGATACCCAAGTGTAGACATATGGTATTCCCAATTATTGATCACCTAGTTAGATATCTTTAATCTAGTAGACACTCTCGGGAAATACCCTTCTCAACTTCAATATCATTTCAATTCATATTTGTGAAGAGAACTAAGACATAGAAAAGTTACAATTTCTTTAAATTGGAGATTGTAGACCTTTTGCTGCTGGTTTACCGGATATGCAAGTAAACTCAACTCATATTGTATATCATGGGACAGGATTAATATGCAACAATAGAGACAAAGTCTTCCACTTCTGTGTATTGCCAACCGGATACTTATGTCTCTTTTAAACAAAAGCATCAATCATATATTTACAGCTTTGTCTTCTCAAGCCTCAATGCCAATTTAGAAACATATGCACTCAGAATGACAATGCTATATGGAAGTAATTCTTAATGGTGATTTTTGCCCACTGAGCAATTCCTCGAAGTGGTTAGACCGCCGAGATCAGGCTATTGTTCGAGCCTGATAACTACGGCAGGAACTTCAATTTTGAAATATGTTTCCTTCAACAATTTCTGTTCAAACCTGTAGTTAATTTTTTCCAAGACTTCAAACATCTGAAATACTATTGAGGGGTGAAATTACTAAGAAGTGTGTATCAAAAGCTCGGACCAAGAAACAACGCTGCACGGGCCTCTCCAGCATGGCTTCAGACAAAGATCTCACGGCAAACAATCCAAACCAAATGATAATAAGACTCAACCTACACGTTTATATAATCCTGAGGGAAGAGTCTTTAGTATGGATAAACCAGAACCGCTTATCGATTCTGGCTTGATTGCTGTTTCTCTTGTTATTAAATCGCAAACTGGCCCACACTTTGTTTTCCACTATCCTCCTCGACCATCCTTCACTCCACCCCCACGCAATTACAGATATGGTACAGAAACTGATCAAAGTGAGGTTGAAGAACACGGAGATAGCGACGACGATGACAGCGACGAATTCTCAGAACTAGAAGAAGACGACTCAATTGCTTCGAAGCTTGGAAAATTGAATTTGAGCGGCAAAAAGGTGAACAGTGGAAATGGCAGTAGATTGCGTCACGTGGAGATTGAAGACGACGATCACCTCGAAGGTAAAGACGGTGAGCAAATCGTGCCTTGGGAGCAATTTGGCGAATTTCCCACCGTCGATCTTGCTAGTATCCTGACCCCACCACGCGCATACCATAAGAGGAAGTTTGAGTTGTCAATTGACAACCTCTACTTCGTTTCCTACCCGGTGCACATCCGCGAGGATGGATTCTGGAAAAAGCCAAGAAAGCCAAAGAAGGGTAAAGAGGTAGCAAATGATGGAGACGAATTGAAGGGCGGTCCAGTGGCTAGCAGTGCTCAGGCCAAAAAATGCAGTGGTTCGGATGACGGTGATGATCGTGGAGAAATGACAATGTTTAACGTTGTTTTTGTTGTCAGCTTGCCTAGGCATGAACAAGATGAGAGAATTGAAGAACTCTATGAGCATGTTATTAAGACTTTCAACAAGGCTCTTAATCATGCTCAAGCTCAGAGTAATTATGTTTGGAAGGAATCTGAGACCATTCTAGGTATGAAGGAGAGAGCCCGCGAAGATAGTAAGTACGCCTTAAACATGAATCCACCACATAATCTAATTGGTTGAGCAGAAAGACCAATGAGTCAACTATGGAGCCAAATCCTAATCAAATCTACATTGGCAGAAGCGATGCGCGACGTTTACGATGCTGTTGTCAACAACACCATCACAACCGTTTGCCTCGACACAAAACCTCCCATTGATCTCTCTCTACATATCCCAATTCCAACATTTTTGTTGAGCTTCCCGAATCCTAATGAAAGAGCCAAACCTGGTGTATTACTTTCCAGTGCCAACCCTCTTGTTGATGAGGAAGGTAATCCAGATCCTACGCAGCTCGATAAGCACTTTGCTCTTCTACTCCTTGAGGATGAGGTAGATGTCATCGCAGAGATAACATCAGAAGATACCGAGCTTTCTGCCCCATTGATTCAATTTATTAAATGGGCTAAACCTACTTTGTCTTTCCAGCAAGTCGCTCAAGCCAACAATGTTGGTCTCGATGAAGTTATCACTCTTGCACAACATTTGATATATTGGCGCAAAGCAATTGCTATCCCTCCTATCCATGCTCGTGACATGTTCATTGTTTCACCCAATTGCGACATGCACAAGTTAGTTCCAGCAAGTCAACAGTGGAAAAAAGCATTTCCTTTTGCTCCTTCCTTGCAAAGCTTCCTTGCACAAATCTCTTATGCTCCACGCGCCTACAAGACTTTCGTACCCTCAAAGAGTCATCGTGATAAGTATATGGAAATGCTTGCATGGCTTATTCGTGGAGGGTGGGTTACTCATCTACGAACTTTCTGTTGGATCTGGGTCTGGCCTGAGATCATTTATGAGGTCGACTATCAATTGAAAGCAGAAGCTATCGAAAAAATAAAGAATCCATCTCTTCAAACAGCACCTGGATCCCCGGAAGAAGCAAATGACGTTGAGAATGGGACACTGGCTCTCGATCCAACAGCCCCACTCACCACCGAACAAGCGGCCGAAGCTGCACGCCTTGAGAGACTCGCTGCTAAGGCAGTAGCAGAAGCTAAGGCAGCCGAAGATGAATTTGAAAAGATGCTCCTTCCAGATGCTACCGAACATCCTTCTATGAACCATGCAGAACACTTGAGAAACATGTCCTCCTATATCATTGTCGATCCTCACAAAGCTAGTCACGTCGAGACGATGTACATCGCAGCCATCGGCAAGCGTTGGACTGATCCTAAGGCAAAAGCATTATGGCCAAAGTTTGTAAAGTATTTCAATGGAACAACGGCTTTGGAGGATATTTGGGCTAAGGAAGGAATGAAGCGTAAAGAGACATGGAACATTTTATTGACTTTCCAGGAGCAGCTTCTAGTGATGAAGCATTGGTAGATGTTTGTGATTTGTATTCTCTTTTCTCATTTTCTGAAATGATCTTCTGACGGAATTAAAAGATGGGCGTTATGATGATGATTTACGATGATATTAAGGATTATACGGCGTTCTATGGACCAGGAAAGGATACGATGATACCATGGCTTTAGTGGATTTTCATGATGTGATACCCTTCCATATGATTATGCCTAAGAATTAATCAAGTTATATACTTTTATCTGATCTTACGTGTTAGCTCATGATTATATGGTAATTACGTGTATATGCACAGCAGCAATAACGAAAAGCTATATACACACTGTGAAAGCAAATACTGAAATTTGGCTATTCCTCATCCAAGTGGATGCAGCGGTAAAAGTGGAAAGCAACAACTGCACCAAAGTATGACAATAAATTAGGCAGCTAAAATAAAACGAGCGTACATCCAAGCAACCGAGTGAACTTAAGATCCAGAATATCAAATCGATCAAAAGGACGAGCTTTAGATAGCCTTACCGACGGGATTTCTGGTCACCTAAGAACTTGTTTTCGCGATGCGGATTTCCATTGCTATGGTTTTTTATTTCTAATTTGTTTCTACTTCTGCGAACAATTGCCCAGCGCAGCGTTTGCTGGCTTGAAGACTCATCTACCCATACACCCTATAGTTGGGTTTTCTATTGATGTCACCCATGGGTAAATTACTCCAGCTGTTCTTCTGCAGTCATGTTTCCTAATGGATGTATCGCGATGTTGTATTTGTTGAAGCGGGGCTTGAGTAGCGAGCATGGATGATTGAAAATCTGCGAGGTGTTCCTGGGGATTAAACTTCAAGGTGGGTGTATCATCCTAATCTTGTTAAGAGCCCAAGAAGCGAAGAAGGTTCATTGGGTTTCTTTCAGAGACTTACTTCATCCATTAAAGTGCTGAAGATTTCTTCAAAATTAAAGAATCATTTAATGCTTTGGCTGTTGAGATGTCGGATCCTACGGTAGAGTCAGCACATCCAGAATAAGAAGCTCTACAACTTCTAGACATTGAAACATTCTTGGGACAATGAATACTTAGTTAAAGTTAGGTTAACCTTCCCAAGTCCCCTTCCATTTCTTGAAAAAGAGGCCTTCGTTCCCGCAATGAATAATATATCTTTCCACACAAGGACATGCCCCAGTTAAAGAATAACTCGTGCCGCAACAATCGCTCATCGTCATTCTCAATCCCGCTCTACTCTCACCAAAACTTTCGAGATGTGGCGACATCCTGGCTTTAATCACCAATCAAATCAAACCTCATCACCAAATTGTATTCTTGGTTCTAAAAGGATAGAAAATGTCCTTGGTATCGAGTGTACTGGGAAAATTTCCACTCTTAAAGCCTTAACAATATACATCGATGAGACTACGAATATTAGAGAAACAGAACACTTCATAGCACTCAAGGAGCCATCACTCAGGCTCATTTTATAATCAGACCGAAAGTCAAATAGCAGCCGATGGACCATTTTGGGAAGATATCAAAGCAAACCTTCGACCTCGGCTATTGAAAGTCAAAACAACACTTGACCGTACCGCTCGTCTACTTCTCAGCGAATCCGGCACGAATGATCCCATGACCATACTTCTCAATCTTCTCTGATCTTCTCTCGGCAAACTTATACATTCAATGACTCAACCGTGCAGTATACGACAGATTTAACCTAGACTCCAATTAGGTAGGCTATATAAATAAGTCCCTACTAACATTTTATGTCACATCTTATGATTCACAAAACGTCCACTAAGGTTAAGTCTCATTACCAGGTAAGTTTACCAACTTCCTGATATTCACTAACCCCCTGATACACAATCCGTGGTACTCCGGTTTTCCCTTGAGGTGAGTAGACAGCCCATCGCGATATCCCCAAAATCAGTGAATAAAAGAATAGCTCCCAATGTTTCCCAGCTAAAGATGGGGTATAAAAGGAAGCTATCATTTCTACACCCTGAGTATCATAGATGAAAGAATACCGATGTTGAAGAATAAACAGGAGTAGGAGGGCCTGGGGTGTTTTCGAACATTTGGATGGTATTCTTTATGCTTTTTATTGAGCTGAGCTGTGTGTGAATTTCTCGAGGACGAAAATCGGCGGAGTAAATTAATATGCGAAAGATGGGATGATAGGGGATATTTTATTGATAGGCAGAATAGAAATCGATAGTGAGAATGTGAATATGTTAGTTATCGAGCCTGATTCGGGTTATGTACGTACGTACTGCTCTTCCACATCTATGTGTCTCATTTATAAGATGTGGTTCATGGACTGATTGGGAATTTTCTACGTTGACGTCCTCATGTGATTTTACACACAGTAGGTAGCATTATAAAGTTATATACTTGCTTGCGAGAAAACTCGTCGAGAAAAGCTGCTCAGGCAAACGTTTACCTAAATAATAAAAATAAGCCCACAGAGCTTAAGCTTGCTTGCTGGCAATTATATAGCTGACGACTAGGCCAGGATAATTAGCTTCTGCTCGCAAGGTACTAGATAGATCTTCAAATGTGGAAGCTATTAGCTCAAGGCATCCCATGGAGTTTTTAATTTCTTCTTTTTACGACTTTGGAACATCCCCTACAAATCTTTAAATCCACACTCTCTCATCCAAAACCCATATGTACAGAAAGTTTTGCCAGCAAATATGCCGTACCATATAGGTTCCGAAGTTCGAGGACGGTGACAAATAGTATTGATGGTAAAGTGATAGATACCGAATTTGAGATCGAAATATAAGAAGTTGTAAGACGATCTTACTAGCAAAGAAAAAGATACTAGAAGTTTCTATGAGTTTCTCAACAGACTTTAACTGTGCATATATGGTTAGGAAAAGGTTCGAGAGACCTCGCTATTCAACTGCTAGGCTACCTCGCGGGAAAACTTTTTTACAGGAGATACTGTCTTTTTATGTTCGATTTTTATAGCCAAAACTAGACTTTCTCAACTATCTTTTAAGCCCTATTACCTAGTTTACATACTAATCTTTTGAAAAGAAAAAAGAACAACATAGTGAATACGTAGTGGCGGGTAGTAATAACCTCCACTCCATCTCCTAACTTACTGCGAGGAATATAAAAAGGAGCAATTTAATTCACGGCAAAGAACTACGCAGTCAGCAGAGTCAGGGGCTGATTGAACGTTATCTTTAGGGAGGTCCCAGAAGTAAAGGTCCTTCGTAGCGATTATCTTGCAAGGACAATATAATAGATGACAGAAGTCTTTGGACTTTGGTTTAAAAACTATAGATATGGAAAAACGATAACAATAATAAATCATCCAAGCGGTAGCGAGTATACGCTCCCTTACTCGGAAGAGTACTCGGTGCTCATCCCGTCGCTAAAAAGACAAGAATTCGAAGGGGGAGAGCCTTTTCTCGATACAGCGAAATGTGTGTTCGGATTGTGGAGTTCGAAAAAGATGGTGTTATCTTCGAAATCTTGAGATAGCACCCCATTTTCCCATTTATAGAAGATCGTCTGTTTTGGAGTCAGAAGCTTTCCATTTCTTCGGTACTCAACTCTTGTACACCACGTGCTCAGCTTAGGGTAGGTATTTTTTTAATGCCTTTAAATGCTACCGTATAGTGAATTTAGAGCTCATCCTGCATCTCAAAGGCAGTTTACCTACCTATTTAAAGCTTATCTTCTACGAGGCATGTACGAGGAACGCTTGAAGCACGAAAAAGAAATAGAAGACATATGGAGCTCGGCGCGAAGTACTTGTTAGGAAGTTTTATTGCTTGCAGGAACATCAAGATTATGGTTTAGGGGCTTCAATATTTCTGAGTCCCTAGATGTGTTTCATGCATGAATGATCTTATCTAAAATAATGGTCGTGGAAGAGAGGACAACGTAAGTGTGTCAAAACAAGAGCAGGAAAGTATAATGAATGGCGATATTGGCTGATATGTCTGAATTGTAATTTTATTCTATGGAAATTCAGTTATAATGATGCTGTCCCAAACGATTTTCTGCTTTAAACCAAGGATATCAGCGTCGAAGCCGCCTTTATCTGGATTTCGGAGATGAAAATGTGGCCAGGCGCATATTCGCTCTCTTTCATCAGCACTATAGAGCTTGAATACTTGAAAAGCTGAGCATAGATTATGTATGTAAAGTGTATCGAAAGTACTCTTCTTTGATCATTTACGAACGCTTAAATTCCGATTCCGCAAGCATAGAGAGAATACATGCCAAAATAAATCAAGCAATTCTACAAACGCTCACTCCGTCTTGTTCATCACGAGGCAAGTGATTTGGCTTTTATACAGCTGTGAAGAATCTCACAGCTTAAAAGCCGCTTGATAATATATGCAGTAGTTAGCTAGCTTTGGCAGGATAATATGTGCTATCAAGGTAGCCCAGCAAGGACTTTAGAAATACCCTCAGTGCTGGTCAAGTTTATTTGTGGCATGGCCGATAGGAGCTACGGCTCGGTCATTGTTTTTGGAAATTCTCTCACCTAATAACGTTGAGAGAAGACAGCTAATATCTCATCCGAGCTCTTTCCTTTGACGTGTACAGAATACTCCTGGATCGTCAACGAGCACAGTTATATTGTAAAAGAGGGTGGTCGAGATATGTGCGTCCCGATAATACGCTGTAAGGGGAAATGGGAAAGAAAAACTGATTAGATTATATTATAACAAATTATTTATAAAGAAAATGGATTTCATAATAGATTTGGGATTGGAACGATTTGGGTTTAAAAGTAGATTATAAAAAGTTGATTGATTGTGAAAAGAAGAAAATGAAGGCCTTTTATATTTAACTACAAAAGGTTATGTGATTGAATCCTTGTAAACCTCTATATATATGATTTGCAACCTCAACTTTCTCACAATATTTCAGGGAGGTATACCCAAATCAGCGAGAATTCCTGTCGGGATTCATTTTTGGGGACCAAGCGAATCAAACTATACTTGGTTTGTAACTTGAACGCTTGTCCTACGTATTCATCAAGCAGAATATCAGCTTCTTCACGACCTATATGCTCGATGGTGTGCTATCCCACCGGCGTCTACTCCTGACTGGTTAGTTCACCCCTTGCAAGGTTAATCGAATGGCTATCGTGGCTATGAATATCATATACTGTAAAAGTGGTAGGTCGAGATACGTGCGTCCCGATAGCATGTTGTGAGGAGGGAATTGAAAGAGAAAGCTGAATTAGATTACATTGTAATACGTTACTTATGGGTAAAATGGGGTTTATAATAATTTTAGAATTGATATTATATAGATTCAAATATATATATATAGAAAATTGATTATTATAAAAAAAAGAGACAAAAGGCTTTTCTTTTATATCTAATTACAGAAGGTCATGTGATTGACTAGCTAAAACCTTTATGTATTTGGCCTATAATTCCAACTTTCTCACAATACCTAAGTAAGAGCCATGCATAGCAGTGATCCTGTTCAAAAAGTGAAATTTTGAGCAATACAGCTCATTGTTTTGTGCTGTACTGTACAAAGCGAGGAAAGATAAGCCAATTTTATGAGAGTCCTTGGGCTAAGTGGATCGCACTAGAGACGGTATATTATTTTTATGAGTCTAGACGTGAAGCTTACGGCATCTTGTAGTTTGCTTCCTAGTTTTATCATTCTCGTATGCGAGGGCAGAATATATATGATTTGTGATGGACTTCGACTTACTTACGCACCAGAGCCAACAACGGAAGCTTTTCAGACAGCCCAAAAATGCTTGTATGATTGACATTCCCGTCGTTCAGAGGGGAGTGAAATACAAAAAGGTGAATATGACAAAATTCCATATTTATTATTAGTACGAGTAGAAAGAAACAAAACCACAAATCAGACAACTTTGCTTTTATCGGAACAAGGGTCATCCTCCGAAACATCAATAATACAGACACATTTGGAAAAAGCACTTGACTTGAGCTTCTCTTCATCAAATACACCTAGACTTAGGGCAATTGCGAAGTCTTGCCATAGTAATACTACGGCAGAAGATCTGCTGCAGACAAAATGTCAAAAATATGTGGGATGTCCCGCTGCTTCAAAAGGTTGTTTTATTCCGAGGACATCAGAACCGCAAACTCGGCTTTATCTATCCGTGGACACTCTATCGATACATTTCGGGATTGCCACCTCGGTACTCTGTACGTACGGTATCGATAAATGCAATATCACCGTTCTTCTTTTTAATACTAGGCGGGTAAGCTGTGTCCCACTCTTGGCCCGTTGCCATTCTAGCTAATCGGCGGCATCTGATCAAGCTAATCCTCGAGCTAAAACAACTCCCTCATTTGTGCTCAACCCAAATTCCAACTCCATCAACATTTCAGCCACTGCTAAATCATAAATCCATAGCAAATTTAGCTAAGAGTCAAGGCAAGCAGTGTATAAGCTTTTTCATTATCAGACTCACGAGGAACATTTACTGCCTAGTTCATGATGCTGGTAGAATCTTTTCTACATCTTGGCCAGACTAAAGGAGCTCGCAGCTTCCTGTTCCTTATCCTATCTGTAGCTTCAACTATCGGTATAACAGCGGTAAGGATCCAAAGACCTATAGCAGTTCAAAAAGAAAAGTCCCAACATCAAGGTAGGTGTCGTAAGCTACAGAGCCATTATTGTTTGAAGTGGATCTTGATCTTCCTCAAACCCTATTGTTTGATCAAAGCCCTCTTGAAGAGACATCCCGGCACCACATCATGAGCGCGTTTCAATTATCAATCCCTTTTTCCTTTCCTCTCCTCAAAAAAGGTATGTTATCATTCTTAATCTTCCTTAAAAACTTTGCATTGCGCACTTTTTGATGTTCACTTGAAATTTCCCAAAGCTTCTTGTGTCAACATTCTTGTAAGATTACTTGTGTACCGTCTTGCTGGGTACATCGTCACATTGTCAGACAACTCTGAGAGCAGGACTCGACCTTGACTTTGATTGCTTTTCTATAAATTCTAATTAATTCCTCAATTGTTTCAAGATGGACATGTCAGATGGTATGGCCATGGGTGGTGCACCATCAGATGGCTCAGCACTGAATGATACTGGCTTCAATTTCTCGAATATGACGCAAGCTGCCGATTTTCTGGGAGAAATATTGGATGACTCTGTTTTTCAGATAAAAGGGAATGCTGCTGCCAGACATTTCTGGTATGGAGTCTGTGCGGTAATCGCTACAGCTGCTTTCTTTAACTTTGCACAGAAAGCTACCACATTTACTAGGTAAGCTCATGATTCCCATGGTGGATTACAATCATTAATTTCTTTTCATAGATTGAGGGCAGCTGCAGCAAATCGACCCCGGCCAGCATCATCATCCAACTTTCTTACAACTTCATTAGCTACAATTACCGCAATTGGCCGTGAAGCATCATATCCCCAGTTCATACCACAAAATTCAATTGCAGCAAAGTTCTTCAAGATCCCTCCTTTCGGAACCATTATCCTCTTGGTCTTGTACTTAGTGTGGGTTGTTATCCTTGAGTTCGCCAATAACAATGTTCCCGGAGCCCAACATTTTACTTCCTTAGGTGTTCGTGCATCTTGGCTTGCTGTTGCCCAGGTTCCTTTGCTAATACTTCTCGCTGGGAAGAGTAGCCCAATTGGACTAGTCAGTGGTATCTCATACGAGAGATTGAATGTTATTCACCGGTGGACTTCCAGGGTCATTTTTTTTCTTGTCACTCTTCATGTGATTTTCCTTCATTTGGCTTGGAACGCATACGACCTAGGACATTTGGAATATTCAACTGACTCATGCGTTCCAACCGGTTGGGGAGCATACGCGGTTCTGATATGGATGAACATCAGCACTTGCGCGCCTATTAGAAATTTCTCCTATGAGTTTTTCGTGGTCCAGCACATCATCACTTTCTTCGGATTCATTATTGCCGTTATTATGCACCTTCCTGACACGGCTCTATACTCTAGAGTTTACATTTATATCCCGATAGCATTGTACATCATCGATAGGATGATTCGCACCGGGAGATATGCTTGGAACAACATTCACACACCAACCGCAACCTTGACAGTTTTAGAGGGTGGTGTTACTCGGGTTTGCATCGAAAGCAAAACTGTCAAGAAATGGACACCTGGTTCTCACGTTCTTCTCTCAATACCTCAACTTGGGCTTCTCCAATCTCATCCGGCAACAATTGCTTCCACACCTTCATCGCACGAAGGCAAGCTTGTATTCTTACTTAAAGGGCATAAGGGATTCACAGGTCGCCTATTGTACGCAGCAGAATTTTCAACAGCATCAAACTCATCATGGAAAGCCCTTATTGATGGGCCATATGGTAAAACTGTCGACTATGCTGCTTTCGACACTGTTGTTCTTATTTCAGGCTCAACTGGTACAACTTATGCCCTTCCAATTCTTCTCGATATCGCATCTCGTGCACAAAGCGCCCGATTACCAGTCCGGCGAATCGTGTTTGTTTGGATCATTAAGAATACATCATGGACCTCTTGGATTGCAGAAGAGCTCACTTCAGCAGCCGAGAAGCTGAACGCGGTCGGTATCGAACTCACAATCCGGATCCACGTAACATGTGACAACAATTTCACGACCGGAGACGACAACATCGAAGCCAACTGTTGTGCTTGTGATAAAAGCCTTGGTTCTTGTTGCTGTATATCCATTGATTCTGATACTGATGACGATGAGATTACATCTATTGCTGAGAAAGGTAATAAAGTCACCTCTAAGCCAAAAACCACAAGCGCATCTAGTATCATTTCAGGAACTCGATCATCGATTCTACCATGTGCAGTGTTTCATAGCGGAAGACCTGATTTCCATCCTCTTTTAGGCGACTTGTTGGAGAAAGCCGAGGGGGAAACTGGGATTGCGGTTTGTGGACCTCCTGGGTTGAGTAGTAGTGTGAGGACTACGGTGGCGAGATGCAGTAATGATAGGGCGGTTCATAAGGGGACTGGGGCTCAGGGGATTTATTTACATGCTGAGGGCTTTGGGTGGTAGATTTTAGGATATAAGATTATATGGTGGGTTTGGGGGTTCGGAGGTGCAGAGAGGATGGATGATACCAATTTTATGATGTGTGTGTATGAAAAGTGGCGTTAAGGAAGGGTATATTATAATAAAATGGAAAGACTGTGGTTAATTTTCAAATTTTTGTTCTTAATAGCATAGTAAAGAGAGAGGTGTTATGTTAGGTCTATATAATAATATTACCATGTATATGTAGGAGTACTAGTCTAGTATCTAGTACTACCTACACCCAAAAATGATCAGGACCGGCCCGAAGATTAGCCGGTCCCGATACACATCCGCAACCCCAAGTTTTGGTAACAACACTTTACCTCTTTAGTGCTGGCTTACAAAACTCCACTCCATCGACCGGATAGCGGCGACGCGCCAAAGCATCATAATACAGTAAAGCAGCGAGTTATTGTGTTTCCACGCATGTTCCGTGCTGCTTTTCAAAATGGAGTCAGTAAATTCAGGTCTACACCAGCAGATACCCACTCCCTACAGACAACTACAGCCACAAGCCGAACAAGCTCTTCAGCATGGGCAACCTCATCTCAGTCACCACACTCTCGCATCCCAGCAGGGTCTCGATCTGTCGGGTTTGGTTCAAGATGATAACAATTCCGTCTATCCTGACTTGAGAAGCTTGCAGGATCCAAATACGGGACATTCTGTGGTTCACCAATATCCTTCTCCCATTCCTTTTGATCGAAATAATGCTCACCAACAGATGCATGTTCAAAATACCGGTAGTCCGCATACCCCACAACAGCAGCATCCTGGACAAGGTCAATTCGGAATCTTGACTGCAGGCCCTCCTCTTCATCATAATACTATTGGCAGATTGCAGCAAACTTTGCAGCAAGATGATGATTTATTCGGCACGCCAGATGAATCAGATCAAAAAAGTACGGGTCATCATTCTCACAAGATCATCCCTAATCCTCCAAATTTGGAAGCATGGAGAGAAAAGTTATTTAATGTTGATGAGATGATCACTTTGAGTGAAGAAGAGTATGTTCATAATATCTGGATCAAAATTGAGGATATGCCAACTAATTAATTTCCAGATATAACACTTATTTTCCTCATGTCGATAATGTTTATTCTCATCGATCTACTCAAAAATATAAGCGCAAGCCTTTTGTTTCTCATTATTGGGATTGTCGTCTCAAAGGTCGGCCACCAGGAACTGCCAAATCTGATGACCCGAATAAAAAGAAGCGCAAGCGCACTGCAAGAGAAAGAGATCTTTGTGATGTCAAGATTAAGATTACAGAGTACTTTCCAGGTGCTATGTTGCGAGCAGACTTTCAACCAGATGGAGGACCATCGGGAGATCCATCTCAAGCCAACAACTATTTTGCTCAAGCTGGAGCTCACCAACAACAATTTGCTCTTCCTTTAAACGGTATCAGTATCCCACCAAATCATCCAGGCGCAACAGGCCAACGATACTATACAATTCAACGTGTCAATGGGAATGGTGGCAATGGTAAGGGTGATGGTGTTGCAGGACCTCATAAGCATGATTTGAAGAGAAGTGATGAGATCAAGAAGAATAGTATTGTACGATTTCTTCAAAAGAGAGAAAAAGAGGATAAGAAGACTCAGGTAAGAGCTACTACCTATTTCACTAGTACCACTATGTAGCACTAGGGAAATGCTGCCACAAGACTTTGGGTTACTGTAGATCTCTACGTCTCGGTTACCATTTCCTCTGCCACCCTCCTAGCGGCGTGATGCATAACTACATCATTCCAATCCTCATTGTTGCATTCAAAACAGTGGATATCTTCAAAGCATGATTGTGGAGATTCACCTAAATATTCTTCTCATCCCTACAAAAGCAATAGTCTGATATTTGTTGAACAAAATGGCTAACACAACCGATGAACAGAAAACTTACCACAAGAGAGCTAGTGGTTTAGCTCTGAGCACCGTCAAGAAACATTCTAAGGAGAATGAATTGAAGTTATTTGCCAGTTGCTTTTGGTAAATCCCCATACATGCAAGCTATGTGACGTCAGTGGGACCCCACAATCAACTAACATTTCATGGCAGTCCTTTTGTTCAGCGAGTATGGATTGCTTTAGAAGCCAAGGGTATTCAGTATCAATATATTGAAGTTGATCCATATAAGAAGCCTCAATCTTTGTTAGAGGTCAATCCTAGAGGGCTGGTTCCCGCTATTCGTCATGGAGACTGGGGTTGTGGTGAAAGTACTGTCTTGATGGAATATGTAAGTTTTTCATTTACTTAGTCTCTGTATCGGAATTTGAGAAAATACTGGTCCTTGATGATTAAGTTGGAACATGCTAATATTTCAAAGCTCGAGGATCTTCAAATTGGTCCACCTCTCCTTCCGCAGGATGCTCAAGCTAAAGCTCATTGTAGACTTTGGAGTGACCATGTATGTTGGCCCAACTCTTCCTGCTTAGACCACACCACTAACAAATATCTAGATTGATCGGAAAATCGTCCCTGCATTTTATCAACTTCTCCAGAACCAAGACTTCAATAAGCAAGCTGAATGTACCAGGAAACTTCGTGATGAAATCTCTCAAATCGTTGATGTTTGCGATCCTCAAGGTCCATTCTTCCTCGGATCAACTCTTTCTTACACTGATGTACATTTTGCACCCTGGATCCTTCGCTGCAGTCGTGTTCTTAAACATTATCGAGGTTGGCAAGATCCTCAGCCAGGCAGCCGATGGGCAATTTGGTTCGATGCGATCGAGAACAATGAGTTTGTTAAGGCTACCACTAGCATGGATGAATTGTATATTGATAGTTATGAGAGATATGCGATGAACCGACCAAATACTAGTGAATTAGCTGATGCGGTTAATGGTGGTTATAATTTACCTTAGGTTGGGATGAACACGGGTTTGGATAGATGAGAGATTTTATGAAGGTTGTGCAGATGGATGGACCTATGAATGGGAGAGACCAATTAGTTAATCATACCCTGCAATGCGGGGATTACGACGTGAGTACAGTTACAGATAAGTACGGGTACCTATCTAGGTAGTGATACATACAAATACCAGCAAATTTTAACATTGTAAAGAATCTTGTGTGATTGGATTGAAGCCGGCTAATGCAATACGTGTATTATTTGCCTTGCTGTTTCTCTGGAAGTTAGATTACATACCTATCTACCTACCTCTACCTCACGGCTATTTCAATTTTTTGATTTTGAGAGAGGAGGAAAAAGGAGGTTGATTGAAAGGAAGGGGGAAGGGTTAGCGATACTGATAGAAGATTCAAATTCTTCGGTGTAGACTCAAATAGAGTGGAGTGAAATGGGATTTTTAGGCAAAGATATCTATCTAAAATTACTTATGCTATTTATCTTGGTATTTATATCTATATCTATATCTAGCTAGGTAGTTTGCAGTTGGTAGTTTGTAGTTTGTAGTTTGTAGTTTGTAGTTTGAATTGGTGTGATGTGATATTGATATGATGTGATATGATATGATATGATATGGTTATGGTGGTGGTGGTATTGTGGTATTGTGGAAGAAGAGGAGGAGGAAGGAGAGGATTGATTAATACAAATGACTGAATATGTATGTGTGTATCTGTATCTGTATGGTTATGTAATGTATATGTAAATGTAAATTCCCATTAGAGTAAATTAAATTACAACCTTTGTTTATTCATTTTCATACCTATCTTTACTTACTTAATTCATATATCAGTATCCATCCGTATATATGAATCCACTAATGCACATCCAATATACCATGACTCTCCTCACAGCTGCAGTACTTCCCCCATCCCCCATCCACTCCATCCTTACCCACCTCACTCACTAACCAACCACAAAACTAAGCAGCCATCTCCCCCGACTGAAGCGTATCCCAATACCCACTACAAAAGCATCTCCTCTGCTGCATAACCAACCACTGTAACGTAGGTCTCTGACTCAACACATCTTCCATGACCGCTGCACACCTTGCGCATCTTCTCCAGCGTTTTGGCATCGTTGTTGTAGAATTTGTGTTTCCGTTTCCGTTTCCGTTTCCGTTTACTGCTGCCCCCGGTGGTCCAAGTCCAAAGGCTGAAAATCCAGGGATTGGTACTAGGAGATTATCTCCTGAAATTACTGCTGCGGATGATGATCCATTTTCAAGGGATTTTTTGCTCGAGGAAGATTTGGAGGAAGAAGGCGGAGGGTTACTTAACCATGTTTTTCTAAAACAATCCATTGTTAGTCCCGCATTTTTTCGTCGGGCTACACATTCTTCTTCCTCTTCTACTTCTAGCATTGTGAAATCTGCGAACCAGAGGTCTGAAGGCTCAATTTCGAGACGGACGCCGGATAAATGGCCGGTTCCTGCATTATCTGTTGCTGTATCAGGCTCATCACCCTTCTTGTTATCTTGCACTCCTTTGAAGAGGTCTATGATGACGGGTTTGAACGCCGTTGGGATTTCTCCGCCAAAAAGCATTTTGATTTCGAGACCATTACGTGATGGTCCAGTGGAATTATTGCCTGAGAGTGGTGGTTTATGGTTTGCATATGCTGATTTGACTGATAAAGTTAGGGATGAGAGGAGAGTCTCGAACGTCTTGATGCGGACTATGCAGTTACTTGTCAACTGGGCAATCTGTACATAAGAGCTTCTCAAAGCGGGAGAAATGCTTTGTTGTCCTGGTCCTCCTGGTTGATTTTGAGCATTAGTGTTTGTCGCAATAGCTTTGCGAGCTACGTAGTCGAGATGTTGGAGACGACGGCAAATAGCGGTGAGGAAGCCGCGCGTAGGGGAGGAAAGGAGCAGATGGAGGGTGACATTATTTTGGGTGTGAAGATGGGCGAGGAGATCAGGCAGTGAAAGTTTGGCTGGATCTGTTAGAGATAGTTCTCCAGGTAGGCTGCTGGGAAGATCGAGGAGGGTGTCGATTATCCATGCCATGAGATCAAGAACCCAGCGAACGGAACCAGCGAGGGCACTAATTACCTCTAAAGATATTGTTAGCTGGTTGAAGTGATGGGATAGAAATAATAAATACCTGGATCATCTAGGGGTGTTGACGTTTTGTCGTGGGTTGGACCGGGAACTTTCATATTTGCAGCCATGGTTACAAGCACAACAATGTTTCTTAATTGTAGAACAAGCCATGAGAATTTTCCAGCAAATTTGCGGGGATTAAAATCTCCTCTAAAGCCTAATGAGTTTTGGATGCTAAGACATAATTGTATTGTAGTGTTTCGTATCAGCACATCGTAATGTGCTTCTTCCGAATAATCAACAGTGATCTTCAAAATCTTAGCTAACTCATTGAGCCAGTCATATGCAAGGTCTTGAATGCGTCAGTCATTGAACAGAATATTTTGACTAGACCAACGAGCTTACTGTCTTTTGTTTTTGCAAAATTATGAGCCGTCGCAATGATATCATCATAATTTATCGCCATCATAACCGACGTAGAACAAGATATGGACAGAGCAGCTATCGTCGCGGCATACCGTGCTATATCTCATTAGCAACTCTTTCACTGGAAGAACAAATAATTAACATACGATCCTCCATACTTGGACCAATCTCTCCAAGATGATAGTCTAATTGTTTCCATTTGACCTTTCCATCGTTCGTAATTTGAGCCAACGAGCAGGTACTTGGGGATAACACAACTTGTAAACCTAAAACATATTAGAAGGTCATTGAACATGATTACAATTAATACTCACAAGGCTCGTCTTCGGCGTAAGAAAATCCAATCTGAGAGAGATGAGAAACCCGATCCAAATCTCCATCATTGAACGTCTCATTCATACTAATTCGATCCCGGTAATCTACCGAACTATCGCTATATGCAAAGCAGACTATCTTTCCAAGGTATATAGTTTGCATCGCAACGACGACTTTATTGATAGTGAAACTTTCAAGCTTCTTAAGCTGTGCAGTATACTACAAATATGAGCACAATTTATATCGAATGAAGCATGTAACGTACCACAGGTTTTGCCGATTGTGGACCATCGGCACCCTTACGCGATGACAAATGCTCAAAGGCAGAATGTACAGGTTGTTGGTTTCTTTCCCTAAACTCCCACCTATCCACTGTGGAATAGACCTCCTGATTATAATGAGAGGTTGAGCCAGGTAGATAGGAACGAACGGCCACAACTATCGGGGGTGTCATATGATTCTTACTATCTCCACATGGCGATAAAAATTTGAGATGGGAAAGTTGCACCATTGAAGATTCTAGGTGTGACGGATTCAAAGTATCTCCTGGAACATCATGCATCCAACTTGTTACAGTAAGTGGCTTGATTCGAAGCGATGCGTTCAAGGATAATGTCATTTGGTTTACTTTTTCTTGTGTTTGAGGCATGCCCCAGTCTATACCAGCTCGGATTATTCGCAATTGTTTGGAACCGGTAGCAAGTGCAATCAAAAGCGAAGGTGCTGAGGAAAATATTAGTCAATTCCTCTCATGATCATACACCAGCACTTACTTCTCTCCGCACATATTGCTGCGTGCGTGATTAAGTCGTCAGATGAAACGATGCTCTCAAGTTCAGTATGTGACTCAAACCATTTATTGTTACCTTGTTGCCACAAGAGTCGTAACGATCCATTGGAAGTGACATATAAAAATGCTGATTTGGAGGGAATAGGATGGTTAGGTCCAAGTATGGGAGCTTGAGAAACATCGTACCGAAAGCCTGATGCTTCCTTAATTGCTGGACCGTGCTGCAGTCTACCGGCCTGCGTGAGAACATATTAGGACAGGAAAGAATCAGTCAAAAAAGGTTCTTACCGGGCGATTTTGGAATGGGCCTAAATTCAACCAGAAGCAACCTACAACTGCATGTAGATCATCTGCAGGCTCCGGACTACAAGGACGTATTATCCCAGGCTTGTTCAGGGAGGAGAATATTTGCAAAATGGTTACACGGCCAGCAGAATCGATGACGGCTAATTCTGAGCCAGTCGGACTCCAAGAAAGATGCTTTAATGGACCACCATCAAGATTATTCGTCAATTGAGGGATTAAAGTTGGTTTACTTAAACCCCAGGTACCATCTGTGGGATGACAACGCAAATTCCTCAACTCAAGACCATTACCATTTGGAGTTATGGAAGCAATGCTTCCCCATTTTGACCAAGCAATACCTCTTCGCATAGCAAAGTTAGTAGGGCAAAATGTTAAAGTCACGGGGTTCCTACTGGCAGCATCCACTTCCTCTCAGTTCATCAATCCTCTGGTGAAGTTCTTTTGATGGTGGTGGTCTAGAAGGTAAAGATAATCCAGCACCATCACCAAAGAGATCATCCATATCAACATCCATATTTTCAACGTCCTCCATCATGAGCGGCATCACCTTTTGGCGATAAGCTAATGGTGGTTAGATTGTGGTAGTGGATTCTTTGTGTAGATCTGGTCGAGTAATCGTGAAATGTAGGAATGAATGAATGAATGACCTTTCAACCTTTCATGGCTGCTGACAGCATGAATATCCTTCAATGCAGTCGAGAGAATATAATTAATGAATATTATGTAAAGGGGTCCCCGCAAATCAATCAAGGGTATTTGACGAATAATTAGCAGTTAGCAGTTACGCAAAAATTGTATAATAAGGCTAATGCGTGAGGATAAAAATGAGGTTTAAAGTTGTTCCAGCCTTATTTCACGTGAAGTATGAATTGAAAGTTCCACCTCGCCAAATTGCATGAAAGTAAAGAGCTAGTAAGGATTAAGCGGGTAGACTATACCAAATCTGGCTCACGAGTGGATCTGAAGATGTTGCTGGGTGAATGAAGAAAATGGAGTGAAGCGTCATAGCGAGCGAAAAAGAGAAAAACCATGATAAACAAAGCATTTGCAAACGTCAGAGAGGGGGTTGGGAACCCTAATGTTATTTTAATTACCTACCTCGATGGTCTTTGCTGATATCTGTGTAATCATCGAGGTTCGTTTCTTTTTAAGCCGATTCCTCATATTACAGTATGTCGTGGAGTGAACACCGGGTACATCAGGACGGGAGAGAAAAGAAAGAGAATTCCGTCATTTCTCGGGGCTCCAGTTGCAGTTCATGTGCTACTGCCGGTACCAAGAATGTGCATAACAGGACAGTACTAAAAATGATGGGGTAGTAAGCCAAATCATCGACCTGGGACAATGGGGACAATTGCTTTGGGACCCCATCATGGAATAAAGATAAATCCTATCAAAGTTAGAATGTTATGAAATTATGAAATTATGAACAAACGAGTGTATCTTCGATTACTCTTCCTTTACCTTGATGCATACCTAGGAATTAAATAATAAATAGGAATTTGGAGAAATCGTTCGGGTCCAAGTATTTAATCAATCCTCTACTAGACTACGACATACAATGAATGACAAAGGCTTGTCGGTCGGATTATTCCAGATTAGGCGAGACCATCCAGAATCGATTTATTATAACCAACTAGTGAGTGGCATATCAAACTTAAAGGTTCTGCACTTCCCAGATACATGCCCTTATTGTTATCTTTCTTTCTATTCCACGAAATCGAACCACCGACACCAGCATCTACCTCAACGGCACAACCCCAATCCAAATAGAACTGAGTCCTCGGTAGTATTCTCTGCATATATCGAAGAAAAGAAAATGATCACTCGGAGTCATTAGAACATCCCCCTTTTTCAATTACTTCACCTGATTCCCTACCTTCAATTACCCTGGCAGGAACGATGAACAGCTCATCGCCGCTTTCTTCGCCTCTTTCCAGCATAGGCACCATATCACAACCGCCATCACCTTCTCCAACGGCCGATTACCCTTCTCCACCATGTAGTAGTGTTCCAGATACTAGAGTACCATCTGAGGCCGGTGATGCTCCAGATTGCGACGGTCCTCCACCTGCCAAACGCCGGAAGATGACGCAACCAAAATCGACCGAGCCCAAACCCAGAACAACCGAGTATCTCGACTTGCGTAACTTTGGTGAAGGATCGGAGGAACAAATCGCACAGCAAGATGCGCAAATGAAGCGCTTGGTAAGGGTTCTGCGAGGCAAACGGAAAATTGTGGTCGTGGCTGGTGCTGGGATTTCAGTTTCTGCTGGAAGTATGTCAGCTTAATTCCTCAAACGCCAATCCTTGCTAACAACATGATAGTACCCGACTTTCGGTCCTCCACTGGCTTATTCTCTAGCCTTCGGTCTCAACACAAATTAAAATCATCCGGGAAAGAACTGTTTGACGCGTCGGTGTATAAAGACGATTCTTCAACAACCTCATTCCATTCCATGGTCCGCGAGTTATCCCACTTGACGAAAAATGCAAAAGCTACACCGTTCCACCACATGTTAGCAACACTTGCAGAAGAAGGCAGATTATTGCGACTTTACAGTCAGAATGTAGATGGAATTGATACATCACTTGAGCCACTTGCCACTAGGGTTCCATTGAATACGAAAGGGCCTTGGCCGAAGACAATTCAACTACACGGTGGGCTAGCAAAGATGGTTTGCTCAAAATGTGGTCACTTGGAAGACTTTGATGGAGCGCTTTTTGAGGGTCCGGAAGCGCCAGATTGCGGCAACTGTGTGGAAATCGACTCGGTCAGAATCGCCGCAGGTTCACGAAGGCACGGAATTGGACGGATGCGCCCTAGAATGGTGTTATATAATGAATATAATCCAGACGAGGAAGCAATTGGCGCAGTCAGTGCAGCGGACTTGAAGAAAGTAGCAGATGCAGTCATTGTTGTTGGTACGAGTCTTAAGATACCTGGCATTCGTCGTCTGGTTAAGGAAATGTGCAGCACAACGCGGGATCGTAAGAATGGGTTTACTGCCTGGATAAATCTGGATGGTGAGCCTGGTGGTCCAGAATTCAAGGATTGTTGGGATATGATTGTGCGAGGTGAGTGCGATGAGGTCGCTCGTCATGCAGGCTTGCCAAAATGGGACGACAAAGACCTTGGCCAATATACCGTCGTTGCAAACGAAGGTGGATCTGCAAAGAAACGTGGAATCGATAAGGTGCTGGTTACACCTGCTCGCACTACTGCAGCGGCGGATGCATTCCCTACACCTGGAGCTAGCCCACGAATGCAATCGCCGACACCTACAAACGCTTTCTCAAAGTTAAAGGCAATTACAAAGCCAAAGGGGACAGTAAAAAAGACAACTGCTACAAAGTCAACAAAGAGGAAGACGCCTATCGATCCGAAGGTCAAGAAACCGAGAGCACCTCCAAAGCCCAAAACGAGCTCGAAACTGAAGAAACAAATCTTACCTGGAGAAAACTTGAAGCTTTCTATGACTACTACCAAATCATTGGGTACAGGGGAGACCAAGACCCTGGGGAAGGACAATCCAAGGAAGAAATTACCCTCTAAACCAGAAATAATCGAACCAGCCAAATTAGAAAATCCATTCTTAGGATCAAGTACTTCCGCATTATTCCCAAATCTGAGACCTGCTGTACCGGTAGTAGCAATACCGTTGCCTACTACGCGTCCAGAAACTACACCAGCTAGAAAGGTTTCAACCCTACCTACTCGACGTCAAGAAAGTAATCCTCCTATAAGAGTTAAATCCTCGCGTCTATCTGACACGCATACCATTCCCGAGACGCCCAGTCCTTCTAGAAGTCCGAATATCATAACTTTTGATCGTAACGAAACGATCACTCCACCATCAATTCCCAAAAACATGGATCTTCTTATTGATCATTAAAAAGATGTTCGGTGCTGTTCAACACCTTTTAATGTTTCCTCATTTGTACATAAGACACTTTTTTGTTACATTATTCGTCCACTACAAAACTTTCACGTTTTGTACTGACACTTCTCAATTTTCCTATCATAAACCTTTATGGTTTGGAGTCTCCGGCGTTACTACGTACATGATCATACGAAATGTTACGACATAATATGGTATCGAATTACATTATACACGGCGTATTGGGTTTAATACATTCACGGGTCATACATGTGTATCGACGTAGCATGGTTTATGCATAAAAGATACAAATAATGCTGTAACCTTACATTTGATTTTTGGTGTCACTGTTCGTGGTATCGAATACATGGCGGCTTTCTAGTTTTCATTTCTTTTGGGGAGGGTTTTTCTCATGCCGATATATGAGGAAAATAGGATTGATGTTTTGCATTGCTGGGCAGTGGAGTGAAATCGCATGTTCTTATGGATGTGATGGGAGACTTTATTTTATGGATTTGGTCACATGCAAAGTTAGATGAATGGAGAGATGCAAAAGATCGAGATATAGATGCTAGTGACAAGCAAGGAAGGAGGAGAAGGACTTCAGGAAGAGGAACAATAGTATCTTCATAGTCGTAAGATACATTTGTGAAAAAAATGTCTCAGCGACACTTGTACAAACATGCTCTTGCATCTAGAGAATATTCAATGATTTCAATGTTTTTCGAAGTAGCTAGATGGAGAGTTTAAAATATCGATTATATTGAGTTCTCATATAAGATTATAAATATAGTAAGACTTCTAACCTTTCTCTTTTATCTCAGCAATCTTCTTCTCTTTCTCTTTCTTCTTCTTCTTCTTCTTTATTTCCACTTTCCTCTCCCCTTCCAGGTTCTTGAAAAGATAAACACGTGTGTAAGTGTAAGTATAAGAGAATCTACTCAGACTCGGGAAACTGAATTTTTCAATTGGTATAAAATAGGATATAGAATATATATACATATAGCTATTATATATATATATGTAGTATTAAATTCAATCTCAGATATAAACTCGAGGGGTATGGTGGATTTGTATGTTTGTGTTTATGTATATGTGTATGTGTGGATCTAAATGTAATAGGTATGGATTTTGAAGTTTGTGGGATTTTTAAAGGGGGCGGGGAGGATGGGGGCGAGGCGGGGAATAAGATAAGATAAGATAAGATAAGATAAGATGGGAGGGAGGGAAAAGAGGATGATATGGGGAAGAGGGAAGGAGTGCGAGGAGGAGTAGATGAGAAGGAGGAGATGGTTTTGAAGGTAGGGAGCGGAATTGAGGGATTAGGGATTAAGTAATGAGGAGGATGGAGAGTTTGTGAAGAGGAGATCAATAAGAGAGATGAAAAGGTTGTAGTTGTGGTTTTGGGATATAGGGATTAAGAAGGAGACCGGGCTGAATAGTGGATTATTATTATTAGTTTTATTATTGTTATGAACAGTAAAGAATTTCTTATACTTAGTATTCTTTGTATTTATTAATTGATTTATTATATTCTTTATTTATTAGATATTTAGATATTATTATTGTAAGATTTTATTTTTATCTTTTAAACTTTTTATATTCTTTTCTTTTTTTGATTTCGGATGAGATTTATAATTAAACAAGATAATTATATTATAATTTGTTTATTTATAAAGATTTTGAAATTTAAAAAATTCATAGAGATTTTCTTTATGATTGAGTTTATATTTAATCATTCTAATATCTGATGAAGTTATTAGATTAGTTTTTTTAAATTATATAATATATTTTTATAATGATGTATTTGATTTTTTTGAAATTTAAGGATTTTCAATATATATATATATATATAAAGATCTTGAATGAGATATTATATAATATAATCTTAATGAATTACAATATTTTAAATATATATATATAATATATAATATCAGGCTTTATAGTTAAAGTGAATACAGCTCTGGTAGTAAAGCACTGAAGTCTGAAGGTATAAATATCATTTAATTCTTTATGTTGATGATATTGTAGAAATAATAAGATACGAAAGCTCAGTTACGTTTATATATATGTTCTGTGACTATATACCTCGTGGAGAAATCAAAAGTGGATCTTAGGATGTGGTTTAGAATGAATAGTTTTAGATGTTTGAGGTTTCTTGGGGAGAAAAGAGAGCTATACGTATAGGTTGAATTGGTGAAAATATAAAAGATGATGACGATGCTTGTAGTGATGAAGAAGAAGATTTAAATACTAGATATGGAACTGACAGCAGAATATCATTCGATATATCAACTATACAAAAAGATCCAAAAATCCATTGCTAAATCTTATAGAATGTTTAGAAATTGAAAATATCAAGTATCAAGCTTTCGGTTACGTGAACACCTTGACTCCTTTTAGTCTTTTGTAGCTAATTACCTGTATCTAGCTCTTAAACTATTTGGTCATCGTTTATAGATACAATTTTTCTTTCTCTTTCTCAATATAAAGCCCCTATGAAAAGTTCGTTCATTCACTTATGTATAATATCATTAATTATATTTCATTTGGGTCTTTATTACACGGAAAGTATCTAAACAAAGCAAGTCATCACTATCCAATATATCACTCCTTCCTCATCAAATGTTTCCCTAAATATTGAGTATGTTTTTAGCGACGTAACATCCCCTCCCATCGAACCCTTCTTGCGATTTGAAGTATCTAAATATCTTTCAGTCACTCTCTGATAGAATATTTTAGAATGGTAATGAGTATAGGTATCTACGAGTATTGGGGCTGTAGGATGCTGATCGAGAGTTTTATGTGAGTCAATCTGTTTCTGATGTGTTAGATATGGTATGGTAGAATGATATCATTGATATATTAAAGAAAATGAATAGGTAAAAAATGAATGAAAGATATATATTAAACAACAATACTTATATCTTTCCATTTAACAACCACACATTTTATCATTATTAATTCTAATCTTTTCAACTTTGCTTTATCGATATCTTCCACCTTTCAATATATCCTACAAATTGAGTCATTTATCCTGCTCTGATCCTTACTCTTAATCTAGATCAAACATCCACCTAGCTCTAATAGTTTGCCGCTGTATTTCCCTTGTACTGTGCTTCATCTATGGAATATCAGCTATCTCTTATAAAGCCGTTGAGCAGAAAAAAAGGTGAAAATAGAAATAAAAAAAGAAAGAAAAACAAACAAGAAAAAATTCAGAAATGATTGAATAAAGTGAATATCTACCTCCCAAACCAATCGTACGGATGATCTACTTCCTACTTCTTCTATTTCTTCCCTTCCTCCTACTTCTCATTATCTATTATCTTTTTTTTCCTTCTTCTTGAAACCCGTCTCATACAGACTTAAACATAACTATTCATCATCCATTATCCCGTCATCCCATTATCAATACCCGCTGTAAATATCTTAAAACAAAAGTTTGGGTTCCTGTTCATCTAATCAAGTAGCCTATACAAAAGAGGAAAAGCACGGGATAGGAGCGAGAAGTAATCGTTTTCTGGATGGCGAAATTGAATTATATACAAGGTTTAAAGGTACATGAGAAGAAAAAGAAGAAAAGATGCAATGTGAATGCATATAATAGATGATCGAAAACTCGAGATAAATCAATGGAAAGATCTGCAAGGAGAATATAGTTATAATATAATAATATAATAAATAAATAATATTAACGAATAAAACTTTATAATAGTGATAATTATTAGTACCAGTTAAGAAGTAAGTAGACAACTAAACGATAGAGAATATAACAGGTATATTTAAGCTCTACGCATAAGGAATTAGGTGGGATCTACTCACTCTACGGAGCAAGGCAAAGTAGTATTTATATATCCAATGCTGCCATCCCATCCCATCTAACATCGGTAGACCTCCGCGCTTTCAAGCACTCATTGAACGATTAATTCTCTTTTCCTCCCTAAAAGGCTAAAAATATCATGGCACCATAAATGAAAGCTCAAACCAGATATCACAACCCCTTTGTCCCCTTCCACTCTCCGCTCAAACGACCACCATCACCGCATATGCACCACCAAAACCTCAAACAACCTCACTATTAACCTCTGTCGGCTCCACCTCATTCAATACATTCCCCTTCTCCCCGGCCCCAGCCCCCGCATGACCATGAGCCCGCCCCACCTTCTCCTTACCAGTCAACCCCATCTCCGCCGCAAACGTACTATGCGGCACCCACTTAGCACTGGTCCTCGGCGTCGTCTCCTCTAACATCCTATCGACCTGCTCCAGACTCAAACCCTTCGTCTCCGAAACAAAGAAAAATGCAAACAGTAAACTCAGCACACAAAGCGAACCCCACATAAAAAAAACCTTAGCGCCTAGATTCGCATCGCCTTTTTGTGTTCCGACGAGATACGGGGTGATGACTCCGATGATGCAGTTCCAGAACCAGTTGGAGGCGGTGGAAAGACCAACGCCGCGAGAGCGGATGGGGAGCGGGAAGATTTCTCCTACGACGACCCAGGCGGCTGGGCCCCAGGTTGTGGCGAAGGCGGCGATGTTCAGACAGATGACTTTGCGTGGGTTAGTATGATGTTTCATGATGACTAATTTATTGTGGAAGAATGAGAGAGGGGATTGTGAATTGGATACTTACAAGCGATCATAGCTGATACGGCCGAGTTGTTATGTCTGTCGGCTTCGCCGGCGGTCACACCAATGATACCAACTATGAATTGGAAAGTGATCATACAGGAAGCACCAATGAGAAGGATGGTACGACGACCAAAGCGTTCAACGGTCCAGAATGCAAGAGGGGTAGTCAACATGTTTACCAAGGAAGTGACTAGGGAGATCAAGAAGGGATTTTTGATCGTCCCGAGAGATTTGAAGAAGACATTTCCGAAGTAGAAGATGAAGTTCTACGAAATATGGATTAGTACTTGATCTACAGTGATGTGCTGATCCAACAGGTAAAACCATGTAACTTGGAAGTGCGAAATTGGCAGGTGGGCATATGACTTACAATACCAGTGAATTGTTGCATACACTGGAGCATGATACCAGTAAAGGTTCTTCGAACGTTACTGGACCCGTCGAACATGGATCCTGCATATGCGTAAGCAAAAGATAATGGTTTCGGACAACCGAAGCCACAAACCTTTGAAACAATTAGTCCATTGAGAAATGTAGGACGTTTGTGGCACGACTGAGAGTTCGTATTCATTGTTTGCGATAATTTCCGCAAGTTCGTCCTATGCCGTGTTAGGAGATGCCACATGAAAATTTCGCATGCACTTACTTGAATATATTCCGACTCAATTGGTTGACCACGAACATTGGATAGAGACTTGGCAGCATCTTCAAGACGACCTTTCTTAACATAGTAACGTGGTGATTCGGGCAGGATGAACAATCCACCTGCCAAGACAATTGCCCATAAGAACTGAAGTGCAATTGGGATTCGGTAGGAGCCAGTATCAGTCCGATTTTGTGTAGCGTAGACAACACAATTGGCGAGTAAGATTCCGATCGTTATACAGAATTGATATCCTGAGACCAGAGCACCACGCACTTTTTTCGGAGCAATTTCTGACATGTACAAGATGACTGATTGATAACTGGTTAGACAATTCGGAGCTGAAAGCTGATATTGGATGAGACTTACTGATAGCAGAAATGAATCCAACACCAGCACCAGCAATTAGACGACCTGCAACCATAAGACCAAGACCAGTGGAGGCGGTTTCCATGATACATCCGACGCAGAAGACTGCACAGCCAGTAATGATGGTCAAACGACGTCCAATTGTGTCGGCCACATCACCGGCGATAAGAGCCCCGAAGAAAGTACCACAAGAAAGGATAGAAGTTGTCAAAGATTGATTGCTAGCAGATATGGCGAATGCGTCCAAAGTTGCCTTGGGGGCATCTGCAGGAGGTTTTTGTAATCCAGTATATTGAGTAATGAAATAAGGCATTGCCAAAACACTTAAAATCATTAACATATGGGTAATTTATACCAAGGTATTGAAGAACGTACCCAGACATCCAACCTGTATCATATCCGAAGAAAATACCACCAAATGCTGCAAAAGCACACCTAGACAAGTATCAGTCATTGTTTTGAGCTCGTAGATTCGCAATTGACATGAGGAACTTACATAAAGTATGCCTTAGCAGTTACTGGCGCCTCGATCTACAATACATACTATTAGCATTGTGATACATAGATAGACATTCAATAATAATCAATGATGTGTTGCCATCGAGACAGTACCATCGAGATAGTAGCCTCGAGAACACTTGATGGATATTCAGAAGGCAATAGCAGCTAAAAGAAAACATTACTTACACGGGACGTATCCGTCGTGCCATGAACAATTGCTCCTCCGGGCATGATGAAGACTGTTGCTATTCAATTGAGAACAAAAAGTTGTTCTTGGTCTGCCTAAGAGTATGGAGATGCAGGCTTCTTCAGATCAACAGAGACCAAAAGTACTGATCGTAAAGACCGGGGAATTCTCCACACTTTATGTATGCACAGAAGATCGTAAGCTTTATCAATTGCTGAACAGTATAAGTCCAACCGGCCGTACGCTGACCAGTCAAAATGCATGAAATGAATCAAAATAATCCCTCGAGTCGGCAAGAAACAAGCCACGAAAAAGCTATCCCTGCGAGGCTGCACCCAATTTCTCATAAAATGTGCACGCGCTCTGTACGTCCGTATCCCTTTCCCAGGAAAATCTTTGGCCATGAGCTTACACCTCATACACGGTTGCCAAGTAACCAGAGATACATGATTGCTGCACTCCCCCTCCTACAAGCTCATTCGTGTTAAACCGTTTAAAGAAATTTGTGGGCTTCAAACCAAACGATACCATGCAAAATAGAATGCGGAGGTGTTGCCTCGTGGGGAAGATCGAGGTTGAGACATGCGGGGGACATGGGGTAAAGTGCTGTCACATAACTATACAATATACTAGGATAGCTGGCTACTGAACTCCTTGTAAAACGAGCAAGTCGGACCGAATTGTAGCACGTAATTTGACAAGTATAGTGGAGAGTAAAGAGATATAGGTCATTGTATAGTAGGAAAGAATAAAGCACTAGCAAAAATAGGAGTTTAGTAAGCGAGAACAAGTATAAGAATAACATTCAGTGCCGGTACAGAGTAAGTATTCATTAGCTTGACACAGTCAAGAGTCAAGAGTCAAGAGTCTTGACTGATGCAACAGAACAGATAACCGGGGTTGGCAACTTTGCGGTGGAAAAGCTTATCCCTCGATGCATCCCAATTGGCCATTAATTTACCATGCAGATTTGTGTCCATAATGCGTAGCCCGACTAAGCTTAGAACCCATTCCTCAATCCACTATGTGTGCACTTGCGTAGGTAGGATAGTAAGAAGGCTTTAAATTCTGCAAGCCTTTGCATCGATCAATTCACCGAATAGCGGTCGTATTACTATAATTGCATTATTTCTTCTTCTTCTAGCTCTAATTGAACATCTTGAGCTGAAGTACAAGTGCGGCGTAGTAATATAAGTGGCCAATACACGCGAGAAAGTATTGTACAACCCGTCAGCCCGCCCCCCAGCTCTTCATGCTGTAAGTCATAAAAAACCTCCCTTCTGTCACTTGATTCATTTAGGCTTCAATAAATTCAAATTGACATGAGTCACGCGAGATCTAGAGCTCAGCAAAGCGTGTTGGAATTAAACATACCTGGTCGTTATTGTTACCAACGAACGAAAATGTTTGAGTTCATGGCGATCAGCCAGCCAATAAGTACCCTTTAAACATTCCAACTCATACATGAATTACATTACGGATAAAGTCAAGAATTGCCAAATCCGTAGATCGTAACCCTTCCATCGACCCATCACAATGCTGTGCTTTTTATCTCCTCTGTCCCGTCATTTCATCCTCCTTTTCCATTGGCCAGTGATATTCCCAACAATGCTGGCAAAATCGATTGCAGTAAGCATCCGTTATTCGAAATTTGGCTATCGTGCCAGGGTCATATCCTATCTCACCTCATCAGCCACCCCAAGTCCCTTTTCGTACCACACGAAAATGTAACGCAGCTTGAACACCAGCTCCAGAAAGTCACCGACCTTACGGTACAGCTTGGTGAATGTATAGTGTCGTTGCACATAACTTTAGAATATGGTTCGATGATGATATATGGTTCTTATGTAAACGAATGTGAGGCCTGGAGACTTTTACTCATCTCTCATGTTGTGAATATTAGGTTTTCCAAGGTTTGTTTATCCGCCAGTGGTCTAGATGAAAAGCTATGGAGTTAAGAATGTGATGCCCAAATGTGACCGTGCACGTGTGGAGTGGAGAAATTCCCTTTTTGCGGGGATTAAGATTAGCGTAAGATGGGGTTGTTGGCTGTCCTGGGGTTAGCTTTTCATGATTATGTAATGAGATCTTACCATGTATATATTGAACCAATTGAACGAATTGAATCACTGCATTGAGATACGTATTACACTGGGACTGGGACTGGGACTGGTGGACCTCGGGAAAAGGCGACTTGTGCAATGTGAACGTGATAAATGATTACCTACTTCAACTTTCGTAGATGAGAAGAAGCGAAAGGGACCTCGCCAATATCACTTCATTTCTGAACAACTCTATTCCTGTAATAAATATGACATGTATGATATCTAGGTAATACCATCTAATCTTTTAGTCCCTTATTGAATCATATTATCAAACTCGGATCTGACATCTATCAAAACTTGTTCGCAGTTGTCTCAATGTCTGTATAAGTAGCTAGCTCTATCGTAGTCTTAAGAAGTAAAAGGTACTCGACACCTTCCATCGCTCGCACTTTTATGTACATTCTCGTGTCGTGTCGTTATCAATTAACTAGTATAAGTTTCTTGATTTTGACAAAACGCCGGTGCAATTCGCACAATGATTTCCCCTTCTCCCATGCTATGAGTTTTATCAACTCCAACCCACCATTGACCTTCCCATGATCCAGTCAACCGTACGCCAACCCATGCCGTAATTTGAGCCAGTGTAAAATATGACAATCCCATCATCTAAACGCCAATGCAACCTTCTTCAAGACATTAGATCCTCTCACTGTGAGATTAAAGCACTTCTGACATCTTCACAAATTCTCATCTTGAAGCCTCTGAATCTACCCTTTCCTTCCTGACTTTCGTGTACATAGACGCAACTGCTTGCGTGGATTGTCCTGGATTAGGCCAGTAGGTCATTACATATTCCCTAGAAAATGTTAGCAAATGCACTGTTTAAAATTTGGAAGACACGAAACTAACCACAAGCTATCCTTCAGTTTATTGTCAACTGATCCATCTTTCTTAGGCGCAGTGATAGAGTCAATGAATAGTCCAGTACTATACAGCTCCTCTTTCAAAACCCCAGCACGTTCCTTTTTGTTCGGAATGTTTTTGGCTGTGCCATTTTGGAGACGTCGAAGGCTTTCCTTGATTGGCTTGAAAAGTTTACGGAGCATTTCGTTCTGATCCGGTTCACCGTTGTCGGATTTGCGATACTTAGGACGACGTTCTAGATGTTTTTCATCGTCTCCATCGCTATACTTCCTCTTCATACCAGGCGTTGAGGAACCATAGCCTCCGCTTTCTCGACGAGAATCACGCGAATCACTAACGTTGTGGCCACGAGCTCTATCTCGCTCTCGATCACGACTGTTGTGATCGAATGGTCGAGATGCTTTCTTGATTGCCGGGGCAGGAGAAGCAGAAACAGAGCCTCTTGGCTCGGATCTTCTGGATCCGTTCCGCTCGTGCTTCTTGTTATTTCGATGGTGGTTTTCCACGGCACGCTTGGCAGCTTGATTATCAGAGTACTTGGCTTTCAAGACAGATAGAAGATAGTCTGCTCGCCTGACCAAGTGAACAGCCCCAGGAGCCTTGGCGACCTTTTCATCTGCCTTGCTTCTTTCTTCTTTCTTATCTACACGATGTTCTTCAAGGAACAACTTGTCCCCAAGACCCAAGTCGGTATCATCTCTAATCTGAGTCCAAGCACCGTAGCCATGCCTATGGATCCCAACAAGAAGCATTCCATCCTCCTTAGCGCCCCATTCACATGAGTAATGGGCACCTTTGGATGCGTCGGTGACGCGAAAGGTTTTGAAATCCGGAGTGCTTCCGACAACATCTCTTAGCATCCTCATTTCGCCTGGACGTTCCATGATGGTTTCGGCATTGACTCTCTTTACTCCGGAATAGTCAAACAATACTGCCTTTCTATCCTTCTTGGTCAATGGCTTATTGGTTGCACGCTCCAGTGCTTCGACCCTTTCGTTCTCTTCCTTTAGACGTCTGCTGCTCTCTTCGGTAAGGGCTTTCAATGTGGCTTTCATCATTTCCTCATCGCGCCCCACAAGCCGGGCTTCCTTTACAAGTTCTTCACCACGATCTTCCATTGATCCGTATCGAAGATAAGCTTTCATCAAGTTTCTTGTTTCCTTCTCATTGAGAGGGCGCTTCGGGTCCAAACGATTTGCTTGAGCTTCCCTCTTTTCCTCGAGCTCTTCTTGTTTAGCTTGGTCACGCTCACGCTTCTTGGCAAGACGTTGCTCTCGCTCGACCTCAGCTGTGTTCTTCATGGCAGCCTTACGCGGCGCATTCTCTTCCACGACCTTGGCAAGGTATTCTTCATGAGCTCGTTTTTCTTCCTCGGCTTTGATTCCCTCCAACTGATCTTTTGGGATAATGTCGTCCCATTCCAAGTCAATCTTGACGTCGGTATATTCGAAACTCCTAAGGAAATCTTCGCCACCATCTGCAACCATACCTTCTGGTACTTCAGTCTGGTGCTCTTCGGCATTCTCGAGGACAGAGTCAATGTCTAACTCTTCAAGCTTTTTCTGGTTTCCGGATTGTTCGAACATCTTCTGGCCTCTCTTTTTGAGTATACGAGAGATATCGTCGGAAGACTTGGGATCATCAATTTTACCGGCCTTGGCAGCTTTCTCGCGAAGCTCCTTTTTCTCTTTATCGGTCACACCTCGCTGTATGGTAATGAACTCTAGCATCAGCTTATTGCGAGCACGTTCAAGAATCTCTTCTTCGACAGTTTCTTTCGAGACAAGTCTGTAAATGCTCACAGGCTTCTTCTGCCCAATACGATGTGCACGAGCCATGGCTTGCAAGTCAGCTTGAGGATTCCAATCAGAGTCAAAAATCACAACAGTATCAGCGGTCATCAAGTTGATACCGAGACCTCCAGCACGAGTGGAGAGAAGAAAGCAGAAGTCATTGCTATCCTCGGCGTTGAAATGGTCAATGGCTTGACGTCTTGGGCCCGCAGCAACAGTACCATCAAGGCGTTGAAACTGATAGCCACGAAGTTGAAGATAGTCACCAAGGATATCAAGCATCTTCACCATTTGGCTGAAAATCAAAACGCGATGGTTGTCCTTTTTTAGTTTGGCGAGTAATCTGTCAAGGAGCATCATCTTCCCGCTGCTGGCAATCAAGCCCTTCAACTGATCGTCCCGCCTCTCACTACCCTTCAAAATCTTCTCCTCTGCATTGGGGAACATGTAGGGATGATTGCTAGCCTTTTTGAGTTCCATCATGATGTTTAACAAGGACTGCTTTTGGCCTTTAGAACCTTCGTTTAAGGCGGCATAATTGCGAGTAAGGATATTTTTGTAGTAATCCAGCTGAACGTCTGATAGCTCGACGCGAATGATTTTTTCGCTTTTCGGTGGCAAGTCGTTCTCCACTTTCTGCTTTGTGCGGCGGAGAATGTATGGCTGGATTTTGGTGGTAAGTGCTGCAATTTTTTCACCGGCAGCTTCATCAGTTAGGTCCATATCATCTTCGATGTCCATTTCGCCTGGCATGAGAAAATCCATGAGGGCAGAGAGCTCGCCCAAGGTGTTTTGAACCGGGGTGCCGGTAATTAACAAACGGCTGGGAGCCTTAAAATCAAGCAGTTTTACATATAACTGAGATTCACGGTTCTTCAGACGATGAGCTTCATCGACCGCCATGAACTGCCATTTGATTTGCGCCAGGAAGGCAGAGTCTGCCAGAATATACTCGTAAGAAGTGAGAAGGACGTTGAACTTTGGACGCCTGGGGTTTCCCTCGACCAGTAGTTCATACTCACGAATGACCTGGCGTGAAGATTCTTTACCATTGTACACGACATAGTTGAGACTTGGCGCCCAATTATCGAAGGTATCAGCCCAAGCAGGAATGGTAGTCAGAGGAACTACGACGAGATGTGGCCCTTCTTGGCCTCTGTCGTTGCGAAGCCAATTCATAAATGCAACAGTCTGAACAGTCTTGCCTAGTCCCATCTCATCAGCGAGAATAACATTCTTATTCTTGCACCAATTGTACGCCAGGAAATTGACACCAGTAATTTGGAAATCCCGCAATTGTCCGTTTTTTATGTAGTCTGGTTGTTCACGAATTGGAACATGGGGACCTCTGGTATCAGGGTTTGACTCTTTTCGGTCCGAGACCAAAGATCTAGAGCTGCGATCCAAAAAGTGATCGATAGCATCTTGGGCTTTCTCGCTAATGAATGAAGCAGTTTCCCATGTGCAAGATTCGTAGTAAAGACCCTTCCACTTGATGAAGTACTCGGTTTCCTCATCACCTTCTCGCGAGCCAATAACTCTCTCAACCTTTGTATAGTCCTCTAGAGCATCTGCGTCGCGCTCTCTATCAAGCATCCACTTTTCTTTCTCTTCTGGCGGTATATCGGCGCCTTGTGTCATATAAATATCCTCGAGGACAATCTTTCGGTAGTAGTTCTCGAGGCGCCTGAATCCACGAACGCCCGCCAAAGATGCTGTGGTCTCCCAGGTTGCATGGCAGTGCGACTTGCCCTGCCACTTGATGTAGTAGTCAAAATCATCCTTGGTGAGCTCTTCATCTTTTGCGTCTTTTGCATCTTTGATCTTGTGCTTCAAGACGACATCAATATATGGCGAGGTATCTTCAACATCTTCTGCCCATTGATTTGGTGTCATCATTTCAGATTCATCCTCAAGGTCGGGATCACTTTCTTGGTAAGCACCAGTCGTGACTTGTGCAGCACGTCGGCTGTTCCACCTCTTCTCTTGGTATTGCGGAGCGAGATTGCCGGATTCTAGTTGGCGACGGCGATTCTTTTTGGTGGTATTTCGTGCTCGTAAGCTACCATAGGTATCGGTTTCGTCTGTATCAGAAGCAGTTGCAGATTGCAGAGCTGGCGTCTGGCGTTTGGAAGCTGTGTACGACGTTAGCATTCTGCGACAGCCAATTTATTCATGGCAAGGAAGGCTCCTACATTGTTGGGAACGCTCTGGCTTCCTACGCTTATTTCTATGAACTGCAACTGCATCGGAATCCTCCTCTTCCTCCTCATCAGACTCGACCTATAATAATCAGTACTTATATCTAACTGTATTACATGCTGCAAAGGAATGTGATAAATCCGGACGACATACAATAGTCCGAGTTTGTACTGGACGCGCCTATAGTTACAAAAGTTTGTTAGCATTAGTTTCCGGGTATATGGAAGATAAAATGCCTTACGCTTCTTCGCAAGCCGTATAGTTCTGGATTCTCTAGCATGTACCGATCCTGATCCATGCCTCCTGACTTGCGTTTAGCAGGACGCGATGACTCGACAGTGCTCGAACGCTCCGATCGTTGGCCATTGAAAGCTGCTGCTGCAGGTGTGTCTTCTTCATCAAAATCTGCGTCATCGGATTGTTCCTGATCTTCAGGCGACGACTCCTCAGAGGCATCGGAATCTTGAGCACCAAACTCGGGTTGGCGGTTTGAGGGGGCCGGCGAGGGTTCGTCGACGGTAGGGTTGCCAACATCGGACAGTTCGGACTCGCTTTCGCCCGGAGCGTCATCATTCGACGGCGACGATCTTGCGAATAATTCATCGCGTCCATTGGACATATGTAACGGGGACATCGAGTTCATGACTTCGATTGTATCCTGCGGGGCTGCGACGACGATATTAGCTACAATGAACGTTATGAACTCATGATTGTGTGTAGTGAAAACTCTGACAATCGCACGAATGTCTAAGGAAAGAGCCGGCGATTATATATACACCGCGATTGCAGAGAACACAGCAACAACGGCATGCTGAATGTCATCGGCGCATTCTCGTGTGCTTGACGTCAATCTCGCGATGAAGGGCGATGGAATGACACCGGTCGATTGAGGCCAGCTCAGAGAGCATTTGTGTGCCAAAGTACGTGGTGAGTGGAAGAAAGTAGCAACAGAAGAGTGATTTGAGTGAAGATCATGACACTCTATATAGCCTGGAGACTGTACAAGAAGATATGGAGATGGAAATGATGGCAGTCGAGGATGGCAGATTCATTATGACATTGGATACATGTACACCACGTTTTGTGTGGAATTTGTGGGAGAACGGGAAAACTTACAAGCCATATTTAAAAAGGCCCCCCTGATATGAAATAATTAAGACACAATCGGTGAAATGAAGAGTATAAAGTTAGACAATGTTGTGGTGTTGGAGACTTCGGACGTTAAAATTGGAGAGCGGATCTGAAGGTCTACAATCAGTGATGAATTTCCACACTGATTAACATGAGCAGCTGGGTCAGGATATGGATTTAGGCTACCGTAGTAGCCGAGAGGAACTAGGCGATTATGGTGATTTCACGTGATTTCCGACTGTACTTATGCGCCGGGACTTCAGACTAAGATAGTAAACCCTACTGGAATAACACCATCGAGATCAGAAAATACATTCTTTTCATCTTAGTGATATAATATCATACCTTATCAATAGATGAAATTTATGAAAATTAGCATTACTTATAAATAAGGGAGAATTCGATATATGCATTTTAGTTTTGTATAAAAACCCTGAATGGTTGATTTGATATATAATTTTGAAAATGGGAGATGATCTTACGCAGGACATTACTACCAGGTGCTTGCTCTGTTCATTGCATTGTTCTCTAGTGGGTACAGCAGCTATTGTACCTATGAAATATGCTCTCCCCAACCAATGATATCTATTGTGTAATAATCGAAATTCAATGTGATCTAACACTAAAGACTTTTTAACCTTTCACCATCATATTAAAATACTTATCTGCAGATTGATCAGACCTCATACTCATCTGCAAGTTTCTTACCATACACCATTTTTAGTTTTCTTGCACAAGGAAACAGAAGCACAAGCTCAGCATAATCTGCAGATTTTTCACACAACTTTGTTATTTCTCTCTTCACCACAAATTTCTAGTGCTCGGCGAGAGCAACAGCATCCAAGATGTCTGACAAACTTACCCGGTATGCTGTCCTTCTCCTGCTCACAATACGATGTCAACAGTTGTTGCGCGAAATTTACATTTCCTACTTCTGCCACAGTCAAAGGCTATATATTGAATAATTTGCTGATCCGCTCACTTCTAGTATTGCCATCATCAGTACTGACAAGGTGCGACAAATTCTGCGTTGAGCTCTGCCCCACCACATACCCCGCCATATGAATATCACTGACAATATCTACCATCTAAATAGTGCAAGCCAAAGGTAAATATGCTCATTTAATCTTCCCCCCATTTTTTACAAGTTGCTAATCGTCTATTTACAGAAATGCAGACAAGAATGCAAGAAATCCTGCCCCGTCGTTCGAAGTGGTCGCCTCTGTATCGAAGTTACCCCTGAGTCGAAAATCGCCTTCATCTCGGAGAATCTGTGCATTGGATGTGGTATCTGTCCTAAGAAGTGTCCATTTGGTGCTATCAACATTATCAATTTGCCGACAAATTTGGAGTCCCACGTAACCCATCGATACTCTGCCAACAGTTTCAAGCTGCACAGACTGCCTACACCACGTCCAGGACAGGTTTTGGGATTGGTCGGTTCCAACGGTATTGGAAAGAGTACAGCGCTCAAGATTCTTAGTGGAAAATTGAAGCCAAATTTGGGTAGATATGATAACCCACCAGACTGGCAAGATGTTATCAAATACTTCCGTGGTTCTGAATTGCAAAGTATATTGCTCAAATTTCTAATGATTCCTGATATGCGCTTACACCAGTGTAGACTATTTCACCAAGATTTTGGAAGATGATTTGAAAGCGATTGTCAAGCCCCAATATGTCGACAGAATTCCAAGAGCAATTAAGGGACCAGATAAGACTGTGCGAGGTTTGATCGAAGGTGTTGCAACAATGGATAACTTCAAGGAGGTCTGCGACATTTTGGGTATGTTTTGATGCCATATATGCATTTCGGCTCTACTGACATTGCTTTAGAATTGAATCACATTATGGACCGAGACGTGAATCTTTTGTCCGGTGGAGAATTACAAAGATTTGCCATTGCGACCGTTTGTGTACAGCAAGCCGATGTGTAAGTGGTGTTCCCAGAGCTTTCATGAATTCTTACTGACATAATTAGCTACATGTTTGATGAGCCCTCTTCCTACCTAGATGTGAAGCAACGTCTTAGCGCTGCTCAAATCATTCGATCATTGTTGCGACCTAATGATTATGTCATTTGCGTTGAGCACGATCTGTCAGTATTGGATTATTTGTCGGATTTCATCTGCGTACTGTACGGAAAACCTGCCGTCTACGGTGTTGTGACCCTCCCAGCCTCTGTCAGAGAAGGTATCAATATCTTCTTGGATGGTAACATCCCAACAGAGAACTTGCGCTTCCGAGAGGAATCTTTAACATTCAAGATTGCCGAGGGTGCCGATGAATTCATGGCAGACAGATCTAGAGCGTTCCAATACCCATCCATGGAAAAGACTCTCGGAAACTTCCACTTGTCCATTGAGGCTGGAGATTTCACCGATTCAGAAATCGTCGTCATGATGGGGGAGAACGGTACTGGTAAAACCACATTTTGTAAAATGCTTGCCGGCGCTACTCAACCAGATGGCAATCAAAAGGTTCCAGGAATGAAGGTCAGCATGAAGCCTCAAAAGATAACACCAAAATTTGAGGGAACAGTCAGACAATTGTTTTTCAAGAAGATCAAGACTGCCTTTCTCTTGCCTCAATTCCAAACGGATGTCGTTAAGCCCCTTAAGCTCGAGGAATTTATCGATCAAGAAGTGAAGACCTTGTCCGGAGGAGAATTGCAACGTGTGGCTATCGTCCTCGCACTTGGTATACCCGCCGACATCTATCTCATTGATGAGCCCTCTGCGTACCTCGATTCCGAACAGCGTATTATTGCCGCCCGTGTCATTAAGAGATTCATCATGCACTCGAAGAAGACTGCTTTTATTGTCGAGCACGATTTCATCATGGCTACTTACCTCGCTGATCGTGTTATTGTCTTTGACGGCCAACCTGGTATCGATGCTCGTGCCAATACCCCCGAGTCATTACTCAGTGGTTGCAACAAGTTCTTGAAGAACCTCAATGTCACTTTCCGTCGTGACCCGACTAACTACAGACCTCGTATCAACAAGCTCAACTCCCAATTGGACCATGAACAGAAGTTGAATGGTAACTACGTAAGTATCATTGCCAATAAATCACAAGCATTGTCACTAATATTATCTAGTTCTTCTTGGACGAGGATGACAAAGCTGCTACTAGTTAAAGGCGTCTTTGAGAATGATTCGTTTCCTCCCCCTAAAAATGCATTGCATGGCGTTAAGGGGTCGGCATTTCAGGAGCCTGGGAAGAGTGATAGGCAAGGCATGGTAATGGAAGAAGGGTCTTCCGACCAGGATGATGATCCAGGCGGCTAACAAGGGCGACGACAGTCTATCCTCTTGATGCCTGGTCCTACTTTTATGATCACCAAAATTTGAAGGATATACAGCATATAGTGTGATTCATTGTAAGTAGATTGAGGGGTATTGAAAGACCGTGGATGACTGACGTCAATATGGGTGAAATCACGGATCGTAATGCTAGATGCGAACAGGCACCATGCAATATAATTGCCAAACTCAATTCATAGAATATGGCATTGAAAGACGCTTATTATTTTACATATTGAAAGATATCTGAACGTTTTTACGCAGGAAGGATATCGAGTGCGAAGAATCAATAAATAATTATAAGAAAACAATACACACCGAATTTTTCATGCTCGTCCTGTTCTTCGTTTTACCTCGCCTTGATCTCTCGTCTCCGTTGCTCAAACTCAGCAATACAACTCGTTTGCTGAATACCATGTGGTCGAAAACTGCCTGCTTGCCAATATCATCAAGCCAAAAATAGAAGTACGGTGCGTGCGGATACGTACAGTTATGGCGAATTTTCTTCAATCTAATTGGTGCATGATAACCTTGGTCATTAAAAAGAGGTCCAACTAATTCCTCTATTCTTCCTCGATTTCACCTTCCTCGCTACCCGAATGGACAGCAGGCTCTTCCTTGGCGGGTATTTTCGCAGCCGGTGGTGTCCTAGTCCTGTGACGCCGTTCACGTGGGGGAACTGGGGAGCGCTCACGTTGTTTAGGTGTGTTTTCCCTTCTGGTTCTCTGTTCTCGGAATTTACGTTAGTCTTTGAATGTAAAGAAAATAGTTTTGAGTGTACGAAGAGTAAATAACAAGACGATGTGACTGACCTTACTATCCCTACGAATATCTACTTCACTTTCTCTCCTTTTTCTCGGTGTACTTGATCGTTCATCGCCGTAAGGCAACTCATCGATGCTACCTCGAGGATCCCCACGTCTTCTGTAGAGCTTCTCTCTCTCGTCCTCGCGATCTCTCCTTTCTCGCTCGTAATGACTCATTGAATCTTCTCGTCTGCTGCGGGGTTTGTCGAGATCACGATCCCGCATCAGTCTATCACGCTCGCGTTCACGATCATGGATATCAGGATCACGCCTATCACGACGACTTGGAGAAAGCAACGTGTCAGCCATGCCACCTTTTCGGTAGTTCTTCTCGCGGTCAGCAATAGCTTTTCGTCTATCTGCTTCATATGCATCAGGCTCTGGTGAGCGGCTACGCCTATCATGCCGAGCGGAGCCACGATGTCCTCGCTCTCGTTCACGGTCTTTGTGAGTTGGACGATCGACTGAAGCTCTATCACGGCGCTTGCTACGATCCTTCTCGGCGTCTTCTTCTTTTTCTTTAAGCCGACGAATTACCTTATCAAAAGCAGAGCGCCGAAGTTCATCGGTTGGTACGGCAAGGTATTCTTCCGATCCTTCGAAACGAGAGCGAACTCGGTCATACTCATCGCCAATGCGAACAGGAGGTTCGAGATGCTTAATATAAGATCTCAAGTTATCCACGGCTCGGCGTTGATGGCGCTCTGCTTGATGCTTGTCATCTTCGTTTCTTCGAGAAATCTTTTCACGTAACTATCCAAGGTAAGCTAAGGGTCGTTTGTGGTAAGGGGAGGGTACTGACGCGATCAAATATTAGCAACAATGAGTCTCGGTCAATGTTAGCAGTTCTTCGATCATTCTGCATTAATGCTAGGAACTCTTCAAATGGAGTCTTTTGCTGGATTTCAAACCGTTTATCCTGGCAAGCGGTCAGTGGAGTTTTATCGCATTAAGAGCATACCAAACTTACATCAAGAACATCCAATACATCATTTCGTGTGCTACGCAATGCGCGTTCTTCTTCCTCAACCACATCCCAAAATAGGTCCAGAGGAGAAGATCCTGACTGACCCAACATAGCAACGTACCTGTCATCATTCTCAATCAAAGGATGAATTTGACTCCATTTTGATCCTGCCTTGATTTTGTTTCCAGCTTTAAGTTCCCGCAAAAGACCCATGAACCGATCTCGATTCTGACGCTCTCTCCTTAGCTTTTGAGTCTTCTGCTGCTGTCGAACATCATTGAATGTCTTTTCAAGAGATTTGATGTGGTTCTCAAACGCTGTCAACATATCCGATTTGCTGAGTGTCTTAAATTTCTCATCACCTTGGAAACGTGGATGTGACTGGATGATACCTTGTGCTTCTGACCATCTTGTATATGGTTCAAGATTTAACGCTTTTAAAAGATCAACAAGATCTTCCATTGCTGCCTTTCTCATTGCGGCCTCTTTTTCCATATTTGCCCTCTTAAGTTCCATGATATAACCTTGAAATAATTGTCGTCTTTCATCATCGTCATTCGAGGAACGGAAAATCGTTTCCCCTTCGATGATAGGCCGAGCTGTCTTCCATCGGGTGTAGTGTTTAATTTCTGGATGGCTTCTCAGCATAGTAGCAAAATCAGAACTGAGCTTCTCAAGCCTCTCCTTTGCACGATCCTTTTCTTGCAGCCGAACCTCAACAGCATACTTCTCAAACGCAGCCTTTCGATCCTTGGGGTCTTTGAGAGCTCGGTATTGAGGATCCTTGATAATCGATCGCATAACTTCTTCCCACGTAAGGTCAGGTTTAACATTGTGTCGCTTCAAAAGCTTGAGGAAAGCTGCTTCTGCTTCTTCAAAAGTAGAATAATCGGGATCGTTGTTAGCAGGTACAAAAGCTTGGGCGCGACTTCCATTAACATCATTGCCATATGCGATTTGACGAGCTTCTCCTAAAGGTTCTCTGTCTCGTGGTTGGTCATACTGAGATGCCGAAAAGCCACCTCCTGCGACGAAGGTTGGCACTCTATGGAATCAAAGTTAGAATGGCATCCAAAGCGTTTCTCAAGAAGTACATACGTGGCGGCAGCAACTGCTGGCGAAGCCGTCTCTTTTGACAAAGCCTCCTTGTATATATCTGGCATTTCCCATGAGCTTTGCTTCGTCTCAGTGTTGTACCAATATTTCCTCCCTCCTTCGGCCGTATACTCTTTCCATGGCTGATTCGATAGCGCACGCTGCGAAACTTGTCAGTAAAAGATATATGATAAATGATCGAATGGAGTGAAGAATTATACCTCTGCAGGTGTCATCAAATCTTCGGGCTTGGTCCATTGCGTCGCTTTCGTGATAGTGTTGTAGTAATAAACTCGTCCATCTGCATTTCTTGCTTCCTGCCAGAGCGCAGAGGCAGCTGCGTGACCATTAACACCGTTCATATTGATAAAGTTGAAGACGAAATAACGAATTCGTGGTTGAGTGTTACCAAAAGCAAGGATGAAGATCGCATTTGTCAATTCCAAAAAAGGTTCGCGGTTTTGCTCGGCCGCTATTTAGCGCCTTTTTTATGGGAAGCTACTGTAACTACCTAGGTACGCCGCCAGTACTCCTTTCAACTTTTTTAACGTCATGATAAGACACATTCAATTATTCGACAAAGTATGCGGTTAACAAATATATAATAAGTAACAATTACACATTTTATGTTTCTTTTAAAACCCCAATCACAATGATGGAGGAATTTGCGTCGCAGGAAGAGCCAGTTCCTCGCGGCAGCTTGGAGTTCACTGAAAGCTCAATTCTGGACACAATCATCCCGTTGGCTAGTGATTTGAATATAGAGGAAGCTTTGAGCGGGAGTATAGAAAAGCTCGATGAGGGCCGTAGTTCTCCATTAGCTGCCATTCCCCAAAGACACGCTCTCTATTTTGGTTAGTCCTCCGAATTACTGAAAAAGCTCTCTATCTTACTCATTCATAGATGCTAGATGAAACCGTCAATATTTATGTCGTTCTACAAACTCCTTACTTTGACGAACGATCTCTTCGATCCTATCTCAACAGACTTATAATAAATCTGGAAGCTCACGTTATAAATACGAACGCCGAGCATCAAGATGGCTCGGCGGGACGTGAGCTTATTTACAAGGGTTCTGTAGAAGATACCGACGAGCCATTGATAGTTGTACAAGGCTCAGATGAGGCTGATGGTGCCAATAATGATGGTCATATACTTTTGATTTGGAAACTTGCGGCATTTCTCGGTAGACCACGGCTACGCTTGCAGAGCCCTTCTGTGGTATTTGTGGCCACGGCAAACCTCAAAGCAGCGGAGCAAGTTGATACAGATACATTGCGGCAGGAGTATCTCCCAAGTCAGGTCCCATCCGGCTTGAATCTCCTTGAAGCTTTCAGTAGTGATGCATATCTCAAAGGTATCAAACCACGATTGTCCGCATTACGAGTCGCCAGAGTCGCACCAGCAGCGCAAATAGCTCGCGACTTAGCTCGACCTTTTAAGAATATCTCACGGCAGTCAATTAAAGTATACCCAGCTATAAATGCCCGCGTCAGATATTCGAGGCCAAATGGTACACCCAGCAATACTTCAGTAATAGCTTCGCTAGATATTGATATTACCCCTTTTGTGAATTGTGACATTATCCTCACAGATATCCAAATACAGGTGTGCGGTGGTCAAGTACAAGATTTAAATCAAATTCCGGGCCTAATACTCCCAATTACTTGTCAACCGCAAGATGATATTACCTTCCTCTATCAAATATTACCTGATGACATTGACGCTGCTAATAAGTCTCAAATTCGAGCCATCGATATTTCCATCACCGCCACGGCAAATGTCAGTAGTGTCTGTAGACCAAAGATCATGATGCAATGGTCTGCATCCCTCGATTTTACACCTCCTATTAACAACGGCTTTGGTCAACCTACAAAACCTATTCAGCGACCTCATAGACCCTCTGCACTGTCTATCGGCGCAACATTTGACAGTATTCCAACAATTTCAACTCTAACAGTCCCTCATCCCGATTCTCTTCCAACAATAGAAGCGACCGCTCCAACACGTTCTCATCATCGACATCAAAACTCTGTCCCAGATTTTGGAGTTACCATGACATTCTCCTCGCCATCTACGTCTTCAATATATCCAGGACACCCCTTCATCTGGTCTATTTTCATAGTGAATCGATCCGATCGACCCCGCAAGCTTGCTCTCCTTGTCTTACCAAAAAGACGTCGAACTGAAGCTCGTATAACACGCCCTCCTTCTGCTGGTCATGGAAGCGCACGTCGAGATCCAAAGGTTGCGGACGCTGTCCTCGATGACAACATAATATATGCCATTCAACGAAATTCCGCCATGGAATCAAGTGAAATTGTATGTCTGAGTACGGATACCCGCATAGGGCCACTTGCACCATCAGCATGCTACGAAGTTGAGCTCAAATTCATGGCATTGAAGGAAGGTATTGTGGGAGTAGAAGCAGTAAGGGTAGTAGATTTGGGAACACAAGAACATGTAGATATCAAGGATTTGCCGACGATCGTCGTTAAACCTGAGCCCAAGGAGTAAATAGTCATGGTTGGATTGTCAAATGGTATTATCGGATCAATTTGGTATAATGTGTTATGAGTTCCATAAGATGGGTTTCATATTGAATAGCAATATTTATCCTCAGTACCCTTTATACACCCATGATTGTTGTGTTGTGGTGGGTAGAGATAACAAGGTAAAGAGTATCTTGATTCGAATTATAGCAACCATTGAAGATCCTACACCATCTCATCCTATCCAATACCTACCTAAGCAAATCAAACCTTACCAATCCTCCCAATCCAACTCCAAAACTCAAAACCTGAAATCCCAAATCCAATCATCCAGCTTCATTCCAAGCAACTCTTCTTTTTGCCTGACAACCCCACACCCTTTATATCATACCACACAAATCTCATCACCCTCATCTCCTCCCCTCTTCCCTATCCCCTCTCCTTTCACATCTTCCTCTATTCCCCCCCTTATATTCATACTAAGGTATAAAACCCGTCTTCGTCCAAGTTTACTTTGTAGCACTTTAGAATAGTTAGTATTTTAGATATTAGATATTAGATATTGAACAAAAGATAAATATAAAAACAAAAACAAAAACATAATTAAAAATACTATAATTATATCCTAGACGATAACGATATACACATGTATGTGCTCCTGTACTTTTCAAATTTTTATAGCTAGCAATGAAATTATTAGCTATTAATAAAAGATTTACATTACAATATACAATATTCAAATCACTTTATAAATCATCCTTCATCCTCTGTGCTTTTTAAACTAATATCTAATAGCAAATCAGCAATATATATTATACATCCAGAATCAAAAGTCTGTATGAGAGATTTTCTTATACGGGATGATCATTTTGGAGTGGAGTGGAGAGTTGGAGAGAATATGATCTTTTTGGGGTGATGCATGTGCGGAGTTGGATTTCGTGGTGTGTTGGATGTAAGTTAAGGTTAGTAGTGTTGACTTTTTGGGATGAGGGGATGGAGGGGAGGAGACTAGAGAGGATAGTAAGTGTGAGGGGGATTTGTTGGGATAGATATGGTATTTGGAAGATTATGAGAATTTTCCTATCTATGGAGTTCGGGTGTTAATTAGTATGTTGTTTGATGCGGATATCTTTTGGGAGGAAAAGAATATGTTTGATCTATTAGTCTTATGAGATGGCTAGCGCATTGAAACACGGGAAGTGTAAAGTGAAGAGCTAAGAGCCTTAACCCGTTCACCAATCGTTTTATCATGTTTTTGACAAGCGTAGGTTAGTTGATCCAGTAAACAAGGAATGGGCCACTGAAATAGAATAATTGCCAGAAATTCATGATATTCTTTTCCTGGTTAGCTATTTAACCATTCACAGAAATCAAGTCATCTTACATACTTTCCCTCAAATCATCAGCGATGCAAGCACTTCAATATAGACAAGTCCCGCATATATCGAATAACCGAGCAGTATAAATAGGATATGAACAACCATACTCGATGCACCCTGACCCAAAACCAATAAGTATATATCCAGCAATAAAACATCCAAGCAATCCTCGAGGAGAAAATGTTTAAATGGATATAGTGACGACCGCCATGAAACGATCCATTGCCATACCCCATCCTCTATCTAGCCAATCTGCTATTGATTGTCGAGGAAGAATCCAGTGATAATGACTCCGGCTTCTATAGGCAGTGTTGATTGCACCAATTTTCTTGGTGTCCTTTCATCTTCCGTTGGACTTGGATGTTCACTGTTTGATGGGAAGAATACCTTGGAGTAAGCTATCCAGTTTTTTTGAGCTCTGGACAGAATCGTGTACTGAGGTATCATATCCATAAAGTACTATACATGATGCTGCGACGAGCAAGATATACTATGTTGCATGAGGTCGTTACTGCGGTTAAAGACATTTAACATAACATACCAATTGTATACTTGTCATCGTATCTGTCATGAATCTTGCCATTGTGGTTGACGAGAAGCGACAGCTTTTGACAATAAGAACGGGATAGGATGTGATATAGATTCCGATACTGACTAATATTAAAAAAAACCCTACAACGAAGAGTGAAAGAGTATCCAATAAAAACCAGGGAGAAATGACTGAGAAAGACTGCACAGATCAATTGCGCGCGCATCGCATTTAAAGCACGGCTGTACACATACTATGTCTGCACATGTTCATGACAGATGTAGCAAGGATGCGAAACTGCAGGCCATTTCCCGCGTCCCCCCCCTTTTGAAGTTTATAACCACAGAGCTGGTGAAGGCCAACGAAACTCAAAATGACAAACAAAGGACCAAGAAAGCAAGCAGAGCATAATTACAGCCAATAGAACTAGTAATTTCCTACATTGACCATGAAATCTGTAATCCTCCACACTTCAAAAAAGCTTTGCTTCGATGACGGATCGATTCAAATGGACACACAGCCGACGTGCAGAAAATACGGAGTTAAAGAATACCGAGGAAATGAGGGACTATTTATTCGAATTCAAATTTGAAAAACGAGAACAGTCCCGATCCTAATATCCTACCGCATGTGAATCTGCATACTATTAAAGATTTTTAAAGTTTGTACACGTGGCAGGGTGCATATATAGAATGTGGAACTGAGTCGATTTCGATACTCTGGCTTGTTTTAAACTTGATTGCCATAGCCATTGTCCGCCAATGCATTATAAGTCCTAGTTAGAGTAGGGTGTTCTAGCACAGTTCCTATGTTATATGTAATCTTTTGCCGGAGTACATATCGACTGTGGAAACTCCTAAGTCTTGCATATGTATCTACAGAATGCAATGAATGGCGGAACACACCAATATCACCACATCACATCGCAGTGTCAATACTCTACGGAGTACTCTACTCAGTAGACACAACACCCGACACCCTTCCCATCCCCTATGCCCCACAGTGGAGACAGCGAATAATGATTAGTATTTGCGGGGTTGGCGTAGCGCTCTGTGCAGAGTATTATTGCGTGCCAAAAATATATCAATCAAATACGGAGTATAAAACGTACGTTATCGTAAGAAACTCAATTACAAGAGCACCCACTAAACCCTATCCAGTAGAAGATACGCAATAGGGTAGGGCTCGGAATGAATTTTCTATTTTCGAATCCTTTTTATTTTGTATTTATAAATATTATCTTTAAATGCCGGTGCTTTGTCAACGTTTCGTCGGATTATCTGAAAATCCGTAGCCAAGTGGTTTAACCTTACTCCGTGTAAATCATATCGGTACTAACAAATCTCCGAACCCTAATCCCACTGCAGATCATTTGTCCAAAGGGTTTATTAGCGTGGGTTTTTGTTTTTAAGTCTTTTTCTACCTACTCCGTAATTTTTCGTGAAAGAGGATGTGATATTCAAAATATTGGGAGCGCCACGTGCCAGCGAACGCGCGTATTTGCATTTGAAAGGCGCCAAAATCTGCAGCTGCAGACAATTTCGGCTATTGATGTATCAACGCAAAAAGTAAGGGAGATCTTCTACATTTCGTGCAGATGCCAAGTCCTCAGTATGGAACATAGAAATCCTTTGCCAGATGATCTCGGTGTCACCGGTAGCAAGCGAAGGATGTTGTGCAGTTTGTGTTCACTTGTCAAGCATTGCCATGAGATAAAAACTCTGCATGGGAAAGAGTTGATTGATTTGGAGCCAATAAAAAACATGGCATACCATCAACAGAATGGATGTATAAGTATGTAAGACTAAACTAAATTAATTGCATGATTTTCATATGAAATGTTCTTGGTATCTTAAAAACAGGAAGATAGATAAGTGTCCTACCAGGAACAAAAACCAAACAGTGAAAAACAGAAAAAGAGAAATGAGAATTACATCCTTCCTTGGGGATGCTCCATCACCGTCACGTCTACTACTTCGCCCGGTCGCGTCTTCATATCTTCCGCAAATGCCATTATGACAATGTCCAATAGATAATCTTCCGATGTTTCATCCATATTTGATTCCAACAAAGTTATGCCTGAATAACGAGACCATGAATCAACTTCTTCCTCGCTTGGTGTATTTCTCACCAGGAGGACCTTTTTCAAGTGAGGAAAAGCCAAGCGAAATCTACCAATGTTTCCCAAAGCATTCGAAAGACGAAATGGAAGAGTCCTGTGACTTTCACCCCAAAATCGTTCAGCTAGAGCAATTGACTGGATTTGATGTTGATAAGGTAAAGATGGTGCTTGAATAGAAAAATGCTTTGCTACAGCCATAATCTCATCATCATATTGTCTCGAACTGAAAAATATCGTGTCGCAGACGGGATTGAAGTAGATCTTCCCGGGTTTCTCATCCGTACCGAAGGATTGATTGTAAAATCGAAGACCTACGTTACGAGATTCTCTATTCGTATGAAGTATCGCCGGAGGTAGACCAAGGTTGAGAAATATCTTATCGACGATGCAGTAATTCAACTCCAAAATGCGTTTGTGAAAAGCGGCAAGCTCCCAGATTTCGAGTCTCAGCTCAAAAGGCAACTCGGAGAATTGGGGAAATGCATTCAGGGTATTCGGGGGCTCCATGATTGGATGGATGAAACTACTCGAGTACGAGTGCGGTAAGGATGATATCGATAAGAGGTTTTGGTCGGTCGGTTGGTCGGTTGGTTGGTCGGTCGGTTGGTCGGTTGGTCGGTCGGTCGGTCGGTCGGTCGGTCGGTCGGAGGGTAGTAAGCAAATCCTGAGGGAGATGTTTGTTTGGAGCGGCGCGAGATGATGTTCGAGGTGTGCGATAGCCAATAAAATACAGAGGTGAAGTATATTTATATCATGTCGAATATCCTTATATGGAAATTGTTATATAAGAGTTTTGTGGTGACGTAGATTCTAATAATAAATCATAAATCATAAAATGTTTTTGATGGAGGAAGCGGGATGATCGGACCCTGGGTAGAATGAGGTTACTAGGTACGGAGTGAGTACCTTGAGTCCATTTGGCGGGGCCTGATGTCCAAACAAAGAACTAAAGCCGAGATAAGCAATAATACTAGCAAATACTAACAACTCGATGTCTTCCATTTTCATGAGCGCCATCAACCATGGAGTAGTAATCATAAACAATTGAATACTAATCACAACGCATCTCGTATTTGATATTGAAAGCTCATGATTACATATATATATATAAATAGCCACTTGCCTCAATTTAGAGTTTGCTTGTCGTCATGGTGGGTAAAAATCATTAAAAATTTCAAAGACTCTTCATCTAACAATCGAAAAATAGTCAGACAAAGCTAGCTTTTTCGAGCAGCTCTACGCCTTAGATCAATCAGATTCAGATGATGGAGTACCTAATGAGTCACGAGAATTTTGGAAAAAATGTAATAAACCAGTTCTGGATCTTCCATCACAGAAAGTGCAAAATTTGCTACCTCCCAGGTCTAAGGAACTCAATTTACCACCACCTCGAAAGGCTTATATACCGCTGCTCAAAAATATTCCTTCGTTACAGCGAAGTCAATCTGAGCCACAGGGGAATGTGAGTAAGGCTAAGAGTATGGTGAATGGCACTGCGACTGCAGAATTGTCAATACAGTCATCTGGTAAACAGTCTGAATCGCGTACTACGGTTTCTGCAAGTAGTTCTTTTGAAAAGGAGATTTCATCTTCTATAAGTGCGGATGGTTCAAGCAAAAGACCAACTATAGATCAACGCAGCATATCAAACCCAACACCAGCTAAATTGGTTCTTACTAATAGTACTGGAATAGCATCAATGCTTAGCAAAAAGAGAAAGGGAGAAGCCCTGAATAAGGGAGCGGTCAAAAAAGCCACCGGAAGGAAGGAGAAACCCCTCAAGCTTGCTCCTCCAAAAGATAGGGTCTTCGAGGGACTCAACTTTTTCTTTCTTCCTAATGATGATAAGTCACCTGTTAGACGTGCTCGTATTATCAAGGCAAGAGAGCGCGGCGCAGCATGGGTTAGAGATATCAACGAGCCCATCAACTATTTGATCATCGACAAATCATTAACACGAAAGGATGTTATTACCTACCTCAAAGTTCTGCCGGTAGGAGCCAAAATGGTAAATGAAGAGTGGTTATTGGACTGCATCGAGCAGAAATATCTCTATGATCCATCTGGGAAGAAATATCTGGTCAAAGATCCAGATGCAGTCATTGAAAAGGAACAAATACCGGTACCATCAGAGTCACAACAGTCGGACAAATCACTACAGATAAAAGCAGCTCCTAACAAACCAAATAAATGGGAATATGTACCTCCGGTAGAGACACCCGAGCGAAGTCAACATTTAATGCCAACCGTCAATCCAATCCCTTTCCCTTTAGCTCCAGTGTCTGGACAGCAATCACAACAAGGAAGTTCACACCATTTGACAGAGAAGAGCTTGCAACTCCTTGGTGAAGACTCTACTGCAAATCCAGAACAAGTAGACCCCGGCATACTGAATGAAGCTATTGAATTAGCCAGGGCAACCGAAGGTGTACTCGACCATGATAACTCTGAAGATGATTTAACATCAACTACTAGTGACTTTGACAATACTATAGATGAATCCGACTCAGAAGACGGTCGCCGATCACCTTTAAAGGCTCCCACCAAAATCCGCCGAGCAGTTCCCGCAGGAAAAGGAAGCCTCAATAACTTCCAATGCATGACGGGGGGAACCGCTTCCAAAGGACCCAATCCCAACCAACACACAATTGAAATCCTATCTCGAATGCGCGAGTACTACGAAAGAATCGGTGATCAATGGCGAAGCCGCTCTTATCTCCAAGCATGTGGCCAACTTAAGAACCAACAAACTCTCATCCGCACCTACGACGAAGCCATTCAAATTCCCAAAATCGGACAACGCATCGCCAAGAAAATCGAAGAAATCGTCCTCACAGGCCGACTCCTCCGTCTCGGAAACGCCGAAGCAGAACCCGGCGATAAAATCCTCAAATTATTCATGGGTATCTACGGCGTCAATTTCAAACTAGCTTCAAAATGGATATCCCAAGGCCATCGCACCTTTGCCGATCTAGAACAAAACATCAAACTTAGCCCCAACCAACAAATCGGCATAGCCCATTACAATGACTTGCAACTACGAATTCCCCGCACGGAAATCGAAGAATTGGGTAAACATATCATGGAAACAGCACAGTCACTCGATCCGGATATCGAAATCACAATCGGTGGATCATATCGTCGCGGTGCTAAATCATCAGGTGATATCGATATTATCATCACAAGAGCTCATACGACATCCACAACACAATTAACCCCATTTCTATCCTCCCTCGTAAAAATTCTCACAGATTCGCATTTTCTAGTAGCGGCTCTCGCTGTGCCGCATAATAATGAAGGATCAAAATGGCACGGATGTTGTGTTTTACCCCTTTCTTCTTCTTCCTCTTCTTCTTCCTCCTCTCCCACTACTCACACCAATCCTCACCCCTGGCGCCGCATCGATTTCCTCCTCGTTCCTTCCACCCAACTAGGCGCCGCGCTGATCTACTTCACCGGTGACGATATCTTTAATCGTAGCATGCGGTTATTAGCCGGGAAAAAAGGTATGCGTTTAAATCAGCGGGGGTTGTATAAGGATGTGATGAGAGGCGGGAGAGGAGCAAATGGAGGAAAATGGGAAAGTAGAAAGAAAGTTACGGATGGGATGTTGGTGGAGGGGAGAGATGAGAAGAGAATTTTTGAGATACTGGGGGTTCCGTGGAGAGAACCGTGGGAGAGGGTTTGCGGTGAGGTTTCTTTTGGGGTGAGGGAGAAATGGAAAGGGGAAGTGGGAGGGAGGTGGCGTGGTTATTGTGGGATGGGGATTGGGATTGGGATATGGATTGGGGTTACATCTGGGTATGGGGATGAGGACATGAATAATTATAGGTATAGGTATAGGACTGAGGATGGGAATACGAATCAGGCAAACGAATTAAGAATACTGGATACATGATATGGAATATGGAGTATTAAATATAAATTAGGTCGAAGTGGTAAGGTTCAGGATATTCATTTTTTCTCTTCTACCTTTTAGAGGGAGTGTGATAGAAAACTTGTTTTGATAATTTTACAGGATGGTTGGTTTACAAATCTTTTATGCCTTATACATTAATTATATGATACAAATCAAGAATCAAGAATCAAGAATCAAGAATCAAGAATCAAGAATCAAGAATCAAGAATCAAGAATCAAGAATCAAGAATCAAGATATTAAATAGAAAAGAAGTATAAAAATTCGATAGATATTCCAAATTCAATTTTCAATATTCGTTTAAAGTAGAAGTAGTAGTAGGAGTAGTATATATAATTTTAATAATTTATATACATTTATAAAAAGTATTTTTGTAAGATTATTAGATAAGTAATTTGAGATGAGTATTTTAATAATACATATTTGATACTTTAGTATATTTGATATATTTGATATAAGATCTTATAGTATGAGAAAGTTGGAATTATAGGCCAAATACATAAAGGTTTTTAACTAGTCAATCATATGACCTTCTATAGTTAGATATAAAAGAAGAGCTTTTTGCCTCTTCTTTTCACAATCTTCAACCTTCTATATATATACATTTGAACCCACATAACACCAACCCAAAAACCATTGTGAACCCCATTTTATCCATAAGTAATGTATTACAATATAATCTAATTCAGCGTTCTCTTTCAATTCCCTTTTCACAACGTGCTATCGGGACGCACGTATCTCGAGCTACCACTTTTACAATAGTATTATAATGAAGTAAAATATAATATAATATATTAATTTTTAAGTTATGATATTATATAAGATAAAATAATTTGAGAGCTTATTTGAGTATATATAACAACAAAACAATAAAGTAGATTATATCAAATCTATTATATCTATCTATCTACTTATCTATTTACCGCTCATCAAATCCCCCATCAAATCCAAGCATCTCATCTCTATCTCTCTTCCCCAAATATCCACCTCCCCTCCTCTCCCAAATCCCCACTATCGCCTCCTCCATTCTAAAAGAATTTAAAAAGTAATAAAGAACTAAAAAGCTAACAATCATATCATAAGGGGTATCAAAGAAGAGTAAGTAAGTAAGTAACCAAGTGAGCAAGAGAAGTAAATAAGAAACGAGGCCTTCTCTTTTCCTCCTCCCCTCCTCTCATCCCTCCCTCCCTCCCTCTCCTACTCTCACTTCTCCGTCTCTCCACCACCAAAAAAAACCCCGATAAAAATAAAAAATAAAAATTATGGAAACATATTACGCGAGTAAAAGCGGTAGAAGCTGCAATCAACAACTACTCAAAACCGAATCATCCTCTTACTTAAAAAAATGTCCTTCCCAGAATACCAGCTCCCAAAAATTATGGCCGTAGCGTTTTTCATTGTATATGCTCCTGTCCTGTCCATTTTCGCATTTACACCTATTTCTGGGTATTGCCCCAATTCCTTGCCGATTTTCTCTCCAGAATCAAGAAAATTTTTGGTCAAATGACAAATGATAAATTAAAAATCTTTTGGTGTACGCGATAATTCAAACGCAAGGTAGTCGTAAATCGAAATAACATAAAAAAAGGTTAAAAAAATGAATGAATGGGTATATGCTATTAAATAGCACCTTCTTCACCATCCAAAATCCTCCTCGCAGCATCTAGTCTTCGTCTCCAAATTCTAGAATCATAATTTCCCGCTTCCGTATTCTGTAAACCCGAGATACATTTTCCCAGACTAGCGACTAATCGCTCGACGAGCATTTGGTCATCGTCGGAAAGCATCTGGGTTGGTGAAGATCGTGCCTTGTTGCGATTATGTTCTAGGGATGTGGTGCGTGTTGGATGACAAATGGTACTAGAGGCGGTACCAGGTGGGGTGAAGTTATTATTGGGGAATTCTCTGACTTTGATGGAAAGAGGGAAGCTACGAGCAGTACTGTTAGAGCTAACAGAATCGAGGGAGCGATTTCTGGAGTGTAGGTCGGATCTGATGTCAATATCATATAATCCAGAGCCTCGAGCTATCCCAATGTCGTTGTAGTCATGGATTGTGGTGTTTCTCGGCAAAGAGCCAAATGTAGATCCTATGTTTCTAATAGGACCGTCTCTCCTTGAATTATAAGGGGCGATTGTGGGTGAGTCCGGAGTGTTATGATTACGTGTATCAGTATAAGGGGCTGTTGAATCGAAAGGATATTCCTCATCTTCACTACTTTCTTCATCGTCCATATTTGACTTGGCAGTCGCAAAAGTGGCTAGAGTAGAAATAGAAGCGTTACTGTCGGATCTAAGATGCACCACGGATGATCGTTGATTAGGGTCATGACCATTCTCCACAAGAGGCATTGGAGCTGTAGGTCCTCGTGTTGTTTCTACAGAATCCTCCGAGGTAACACTTCCTCTTCTTTCTCGACTAATCGTACCCATTGCGCTATGTAGGAAGAAATGTTCGTAATCAAATGCATCTTCACGATCCTCGTGTGATATCTGCTCGGTTACTGATTCGTGATAAATTGATGCGTCACTGTTGTCCTCATTGTCAAATTCATTGAATTCTTCACGGTCGTCATTGTAGCTATGGTTGCTTGAAATTTCCGACTCTTCTGAACACGTATCATAGCCCTCTTCTTCCAATATCGGTGTTTGATTTTGGCGTGCGCTCGATAATTCAGGTGACTTCATTTGGCTCTCATCCACATCTTCATATATGCTCGTAGCATCTGATTTGGCATAGTTTGGAGCTTGTCTTGTAGATGGTTGGGACGGTTGTACAGAGTACATATTCCTCGAAGGATCGTCGTTCCGCGTCCCATTCGATTGACCTTGATCTACCACTGAATCTGCCTTTGCGTCTTGGCCATTAACACCTCCATTGTACCACTGCTCTCCCGCCGTGAATGGACTAGGCGTCCGTAAACTTTGGAGACTGCGACGCCTCATATTATCATCCCTTGCACGATCTCGCAAAGCTGACAATCTCCCTTTCAGGTCATGCATTTGATGCTGTATATCCTGCATTCTAATGCTTGAAGTTGAGGAAGAACGACTCAAGCGTCCTTCTCGTACAGTTGAATAATCTCTATCAGGATTAGTCCGGCCATTAGTCCTGTCATCAAATTCGGGAACCCCATCCTCGACCAGAGGTTCAAGATGCGATGCTTGAGAGGGAGAAATCCTGTTATGTGGTGAAGATCGACCGGATCCTATTGACCTTCCGTTTCCATTACTCTCCTCCTTGATCATTGGCGGGGAACCTGGCGATGCTGGATTTGATGCGTGTGAGCCCATACTACTTCTAGCTCTATACGTAGCTGCGGCGCTTGAGGCACGAACTGGGAATGCTGTTGCTCGTGAAGGAGATATATTGTTTTCGCTCCAGACCCTCGAATGACCAGGACTCAAAGCTGCCGAACTTGTTTGGAAACTAGAAAATGATCGTTGTCTTGAAGGTACACCACTTATGCGCCGGTCGAGTTGTAAGAGAGATGGATTGGTTAAAGGACTACTGCTGTAAATCGAAGGCATGGAAATAGAAGGCGTTACATAAAGGGAACTTCGCGCTCGTGTTAAATTCCCCTCCATATTCTAAAATGCGATTGTTAGTGTATGAAGCTGGTTTGAATTTACACAACTCACATTGAGTCGACGTTTGGCATTCAATAAAATTTGTTCGGCCCTTCTACTCAAAGCAGCACTCGAATTTTGATCATCCTCCCCATCTTCAATATTTCCTTGCCTACGCGATAATCTACGTGTTTCCGTTTCCACAAGCTCTTCGCGATAAGTGTCCGTATAAGATTCCGCCACACTCTCCTCATCATCACCCTGGAAATTACTATCATCCACGCTGACTGTATCATCGATATCTTCAAACATGGCAGATTGTGGTTCTGAAGTAATAGTGCTTGCGGATTCCATAGATATTTTCCTCTCATGCGTTCCCGTCTTGGTTCCAGATCTTCTCAATTCATGCCCCAATGATACTGAGCTTACTCGCTGACCGTTTTGAAGTTGCTGCTGCTTGATAAACCTTCGTTCGGCAGGACCAGGTAATTTCTTTGCTGGTGTACTTTCCGCCTCTGTTACCTCGCCTATATCTGATAGCATTGTTCCATTCCCATATATAATTGGCGTAGTTGGTGTCTTAGACGGCAGCCCACTTTGATATTGGGAATCGGCTGGCCGTTGCCATGCATCTCCCGACATGGAAGCAAATTGAAAAGAGGTATGCGGCGAAGATGATTCAGAATCATAAGTCGTTTCATTTTGTAGGGGAAGAATCATATCTGGTTCCGTTAAAGTAGGGCTCTGTGACCCAGGTCGAGGTGGATAAGCCATGATTGTTGTAGTACTGGAGGTGTAGGATTGAGTCTGCATGATGACCTAGTAGTACCGGACGCTACCATGAGAGCAGAATAATAAGATCTTTATTTTCTGGTCTAAGATTGTGAATTGGAAAAACAAGTGTATTAAGTTTGACACTCGACCATCCAATGAAGGATTTTGCTTGTTCTTGTGGATAAGCTTTGGCGCAAGTCGTTGGTAGTACTATCAGTCGGCGATTATTGATAGGTTGATATAAAGTTCGTAAGGATTCAGGATAGGGGCCATTCGTGTTAGTATTCCTATATCATGGTCGTACGACGTTGAAGCTAATTCACATAATCATGGTGAATAGGTAGAAAAAAGGGAAAAATGGAGATGTTAGGAGGATGAAGAATATAAGACAAGACAGATGTATGTATACACAAGACCTTGGTGGTATTGATGTGAATGAATATTATTGATTGCTTATTTTCCAATATTGCATTCGCTCGCATACTGTATAGGTTACTGGTGCTTATTTGGTACTTGCTAGGTACTTGCTAGGTACTTGCTAGGTACTTGCTGTACTTACTGCACTTACTTACTACCTAGCAAATATCCCCCACGAGAAAATAAATGTCGGACATAACCTACATACGGTACCAAAATGTAAGTCTTACCAGGTACTGTGCGTATCTACTTTGTACCCAGTACGGAGTATTTAATCCTGGTCTACCCTCTAGGGAGCTATCAGCTACATCGGTGGATTTGACATTTTGAAGAACAATTCACGGATCACACACTGTACTGAGATCAGTGAGATGAGATTGGATGGAGATTTTTCTTCATTACGAGAAATCGGTTCCACAGATTAATATCTCATTTGCCAATGCCATAGTTACCATCGCAGGAGGTACGGAGTATCATACATGGTGTTGTGAAGATCTTTGCTGGAAGGGGAAGGGAAGGGAAGGGGAAGGGAAGGGGAAGGGGAAGGGAAGGGAGTGGGAGTGGGAGTGGGAGTGGGAGTGGAGGTGGAAGTGGAAGTGGAAGTAGAAGTGGAAGTGGAAATGGAAATGGAAGTGGAAGTGGAAGTGGAATATAAAGAGCGGAGTGAGATTTGATTTCATATTTATATATATCCATCCATTTCCTTCTCTCGATTGTCTATCCTCCTGAGGTATGAATATTGGCGAGTGGAGAGGATAGCAGACAGAGAGAAGTTTCTGCAACGAAATATCATCTGACCAAGCAATTTCATCAATCATATTACTTATTACTCGAATACCCATACCACAGAACCTCAACCTGTCCTGTATCCACCAAGTGACCAGCCACTGCAAGGTACAGACAGAGTACAGACAAGCACACAGGCACAAGCACCTGCCATTTCCGGGAGCCACAAATCAGCCCTTGGTGAGTGAGCATTTAAGCAGCCCTCTTCACAAATCCTTGTAAACCCACGTTGATATAAACTTATGTACGGAGTACCGCGTAATGATTTATCAGTTTGTCAACCTTAAACTCCAGAACAGTCAAGGGCCATGAAATTTGACTCCATAGAAAAATCGAAACCAAATCGAAACACAAATCTAGAACTTTACGAGAAGAAAAAAAATGAAACTTTGATCATCGTGATCATCAAATTTCTGTCAAACGTAACAAACACGTCAAAGATAATATTAATAGAAGAAACCCATCTGATAGAGTCGTATCCTTACCCAAAACTCCAAATATAAAGTTAACCACAGAACAGAACAGAACAGAATCCCTACAGCCCAAGGGAACAGACACAACGGCTTATACAATTCCCGAAATTGGGCTTAAGGTTAATAACTATAAACACATTATAGTTTAATTTGAGTAATATATCTCAGTCAAGATGAGCTCGAAAAGCTTCCATTCCTTGTGTATTACTGTTGTAAGATTGTTAAACATTTGAACATTCAGATAAACAAGCACATCACATCATATCATATCATATCAGACAATTATCCCGAATTATGGCGACATGTGTTGTTATATATAATAATAATCCACTGATGGATCGGAATAAATATAACTATAAACATCATTTCTACAAGGCTGAGTGAGAACCGAAGATCGAGCGCCGGGCTAAGGGGTAACTTCGTATGCGACGGAGTCGAAAGTCTTTCTGATGGTACGTTAATTGTACTGTATATACGACACCGATCAAAAACTGTTCGAGTTGGATGAGTGATGTTAGTAGCTCCATTGAGAGTGGGAGAGAGTCATAGATTTATAACTCCATTTACAGGCAGGTCCTACAAAATCACTTCAATATCTGTATACACGTTGCTATCTATTAATGACAAGTTTTCATCTTCATCCATTTCCCTCCTCTCCCTAAAGGTATCTATCTAGTGTACAAGTATCACTAAGAAAACCCATCCAAACCCTCAAACCCTCAACATTCAACCCCCGGATCACAAACGTCTCCGCCAAATATCTCCGCACAGCGCATACAACGACCTGAAACTTGTTGAAAATTCCACGGGGAATATAGCCGGGTGGACGCATTGGAGTCCCGCGCATAGTGTGAGTGCAGAGGAGGAAGAAGAGCAGAAGAGGGAGGAGGGAAGGGAGGAAAGGGAGAGAGGGGAGAAGGGAGAGAGGGGAGAAGGGAGAGGGGAGGTTTCCTGTGGGTTCTGTGGTGGAGACTTGTGAGGCGAAGGTTGAGGGGTGGAAGGGGTTGAGGGAGAGGTGGTTTAGGAGGGAGGATATGTATTGTTTGCCTCTCTTTTTTTCCTCTTTCTTCCTTTTTTTGGTTCATCTTCGTTTTATTGAGCCATTCCCCATTCCCTCCCATCTCCTCTTTCCTCCAGTCATCTCCTCTTTCCTCCAATCATCTCCTTTCCCCCCCAATACTCTTCCCCCCATCCCCTCTCTAACACCCCAAAACCAGTAATCTACGTCCTAACCATCTCCCCCACCTACCAAAAACTCGGTCTAGGAACCTACCTCCTAAACAGCATCCTCTCCCTCGCCGAAAGCCAATCAAAAAGTTGTTATCTAGAAGCTACTGCCGCGGGGTATCCGATATATGAGCGAGTGGGATTTAAGACGGTGGAGGTGGATATGAGGGTTTGTGGGGTGGGGAGGAATTGGGCGATGATTAGGGAGCCGGGGGTTGGTTGGGGGGGAGGGAGAGGAAAGGGAAGTAGGTGGAAAGTAGGCGGGGTAGTCAAAGAGTTAAAATGAGGGGAATTATTACGATACTCCATGATGTGCCCAATTAGATTAACATCGCAACGAAGTATATGCCGTTATTTAGCAATGCCAATTTAAACCGGGTAAGAGAATGAGAGAGCAATAATCCCATTTAATTATATACTCTAGCTAGTATCTAGCCATCTCGATACTATAATTCTATCTAAACGAATGACCAGAAACAAAATACGACAAAAGAGAAAACAAAACAAAATCTATCCCCCTGTGAGAGCCGAGCAATCCTTCCATCAAGCGCGTGATGAGTTGCTTCACGTGGCCCCCTAATCTTTTCCTTTTCCTTTTCCTTTTTCTTTTTTGATAATAATGTAACCTACTGAATAAGCAAATAAAACACTCATAGCCATCCAGCCACCGATTCGCAATAATGAATAACGAACGAATGACCAGCATCTTATCTCAACAGAAGCATCGATACACCCATTCACCTATACCATATACCTTTCGAAAAACAAAATAAACTCGCCACCGTTCCATATCTTACCAACCACCACCAAAAACAATACTACAATTCTCTCCACCTCATTCACTTTCTAATTCCTCTTACTCTCACTTTCCTCCTGTATCTCCTCCAACTCACCACCCATTCCACATCCACCTCCCTTCCCCTTCAAATTCTCCTTCTCAAGTCTCAGAGGCTCAACCCGATCAACATCCCTCCAGCCCCGCACCTCCTCTAGTCCCTCCAATCCCTCAAACCCAACTTTCTTCAAGTGACCAGTCTTCAAGCATCCCATCTTCAAATTTCCATTTCCATTTGCATACTTAATCACAGCAGCTTCCGGCTCAATAACCGTATCACCACTCAAATTTCCATGTTGCGTCAAACCAATTCCACCTCCACCAGTCACACCAGAACAACTACCCGAAGAACCCTCATGCAAACCAACAGCAGAACCCGAGCCTTTACCTTCAGCCCTCCCAAAATCACTTCCTACAACCACCGTATCCGCACTAGCATTTGTATGTCCATTCTCCTCACTAAGAACCAAACCATTTGTCCTCCTAACTGTCGCTAAATTCGCATTTGGCAATTTAAGGGTATCAATCCTGTGATCATCACTCCTCAAACGAAGAATTCCACTTCCAAGCCCACCGACCATTTGCGAATGTTCCGAAAGTGACGAATGACTCTGACTCTTAAAACATCTATTGCACAATTTACGAATCCAATTTTCCGTGCCATTGGAACCCGAACTACCACTCGCACAATTGCGACCACGGGAACAAGTGCCTAGACTACCTGAATGATCTGGTGTCAGTTGTCTCATGGGATCGTAAGCTGGAGGACTTCGGGTCCATCTTTCTCCGGCCATTGGTTTCGAATTTGCCGGTCCATTCCAAGGATAATGTCCACACATCGATGTTGGATGCTCCGTCATTCCATGTGCATCTATAATCCCGCTCACCTGCCTAAAAGGCTGGGCTTTAGGACGTGCAGCTCGATTGACACAAGTAATGATGAGGAAGACGAGGGAACCAAAACCGGCAAGAATCAGAAAGACCATGATGAGTTTGAGGCCGATATTTTTGTGTTTGACTGATTGAAGACATTGATAGTGCATATATGTGTTTCCCAGAAAACGATCGCAATCATCTTCTATTTGTGGTACCCAGTCGTCGGGCCAGAAACCTCGACGATTGTGAACTGATGAAAACTTTGTATCTTCCTGCAAAAATTTCCCACATTTGAGATTTCCTTGTAAATCATTGATGCAGTGGAAGATTTTAATGTCAATTGGTCGATCTGTGATGCTTGGTTGCGCTGGAGAATTTGATTGTTCTGTGACAGTTGCTTGTTCTGAGGCGGTTGATTGTCCTGTGACAGTCGCTTGCTCTGTGGCGGTTGCTTTTTCTGTAACAGTTGGTTGTGCTGTAGAATTCAATTGATTTGTGGTATTAAATTGCGCTGAAGCACTAGCCAAAGAATTCTGAGTTCCATGCTGGTAATCTGGTCTGTATATACACCAGCCATCAGAGGTATGAATCCAAGGCAGCTCACACGATTCAGCTTGCCAACTAGGAGCAACACCACGCTCCTCGGTTGGAATTTCACCACGTCGTTGACGTATTGGCTTGCGAGGGCGGGACAGAGGAGCTTGGGGATGCTCGCGTTGGTACTTGGGGTCAAAGAAACATCGGCCATCCATAGTACGGATCCAAGGAGGATCACACGCTCCAGCCGTGGGAAGAGCGATAACGATAGTGGTTGTGGCAGAGATAGAGGTAGACGTAGATGTAGAGTTGAAAGCAGGGCTAGAGGTACGCGCCGAAGTCAGCACCGAAGTTACTTGCGTCTTCTGGCCTCTAATTCCACCACGAGGTTGACGCTGTGGACTCGAAGGACTCGAAAAGGAAACCTCAAGGGGCTCATCATCTTGCCAATCGAAAATGCATCTGCCATCAACGTAAGTCCAAGGAGACGGACACAAATTGGCTGGATAGTCTCCGTCCATGCCTTTGACCTCACCATTCACAGCTCCACCACGAGGTTGAAGCTCTGGGCCCAGTGGCTCCGGAAAAGATCTCTTAGATGTATCTTCACTGTCTTGCCAAACATAAAAGCACCAATTATCCTCGTCATCGTGGTACCAAGGCGATGGACACCAGCGCGCCTCAGCCGGAAAGGCTATGCCGATACATTGTTCTGGCAGTTCCGACCTCATAGACTTAGGTGAATGAATTTCTGAATAAAAAGGTGAATGAACTCCAGAATAATATCCTGGTTCATCCTCATCAGCCGAAAATACGCTTCGGGGAACACATATGTCTTCAACGCTAACAAGCCAACGAAATGAATCGTTCGGATCGGCTGCGGTCATGCCTCCACGCTTGTCACTCGCAGCTACATCACGACGTTTTTGGCCTGAAGATACCAATTCCCGAGACTCAGGTCCCCAAAACCCTAACGGTCGACTAGATGAGCCACGATAATAGCACCAACCGTTGGAACGAACCCATAATTCTGGACACGAATCAGCCGGATATGGTCTAGGCTCGAGCTTAGCCTCTTCATTTACTGTCGCTTCATGGCGTCGTTGTTTCGTCGACACCAGCGTTTTAGACATGGGTGGATAAAAGTCCGGTTTATCATCGTCAGGCCCAAAGCTACTTCGATAAACACACCAGCCATCAGTGGTACGAACCCAACGAGGCTTGCATACATCAGCCTGATAAGGCTTGTAGTTGACTTTGTTCTCCTCACTTACTGCCGCTTCACGGGGCTGCTGTGCTGTATTGGGTTCGCGAGGATCTGTCTTGATTGAGATAGAAATTGGTTTGTTTTCTGCTGGCTTTTGTCCATTTACCAAACCATGAGGACACCTTCCTCCGTTCTCAACTGCACTTTCGTAAGAACAGGTGTTGATAACCTGGAGCGTGGGCGTGGGTTTGCGCGTTGACGTTGAAGATGTACTCCTTGGCTGATCGAAGTGCTTGTTGTCACGAGGTTCAGCTGAGGGAGGAGCGTAATCTTCGTTCACAATTAGAGAGCGAGACGTAAGTCGCCACTTACGGGGACCACACTTTCCGCCATACTTGCGTCGTTCTTGCCAAGAACAACGTCCAGAAATTACACGATCATCATCTCTAGTTGGGAAAATTGGTCGTGTGGGACACCTTCCTCCGTTTCTACCTTTTATCTCCGCAGAACAATGTTGCAACCGCTCAATTTCCGACTTGGCTTGGTGTGTCGAGCCACCAAGTGTATAATCACCATATTGAATACCGTCCACAGTATCATCAGTCACATGCTCGGATCGCTCAACCTGTTCGCTGGCAGAGGGATTCGTCGACTCATCCGATGTCGACTCTCGAATCCGTAATTGTTGAAAAAGTAGCTTGGCAGTTTTCACGAAGCGAATTGGAACATGGGTGACTTGGCGTTCGAGCTCGGTCGAAATATCAAAGTTGGTAGGATCTTCCAAATCTTTCACAACATGTTCGCCCAAATGCTGTCTGTGCTTATTGCGAAGTGCTACTGATGGCAGGAAAGCAATGCAAATGACGAGAGCAATCACTGTAATCTTTAAGACAACTTTAAAAGCTGTATAATAGTGTGAGTTGGCAATCCGGTGCTCTGTATCAATACGAACGGGTGCCTTTGGTTTTCTTGGCCTAAGAATGTCAGTTGGCATGGTTTGAAAATGAACATTTCCACTTACGAAAAGAACGGCGGCATCCTGAAAGCGGGCTGAAGCCAGTTCACCAGTGGAAAAGAAGTTATGATAATGTAAAATACTTTATTATAATGTTGAGAATGATATTTGTCCAAAAGTGTGTTAACAATACGACACAATTGTGTCTAAAAAGCTGCGAATGAACAGAAGAAGCATGAGATGAAAAGAAAACATGTACGGAAATAGGTGTACCCCAAAAAGTAAACAATGAATCTTTCAACGCGAGGAAAGGACGAGAAGCTCGTTGAGATGAACGGCCGGAAGTCAGCGGTCACTCTTTCCATAATAGTCGGATTTGTCTATTTTGAGAAACTTCGAGGGGCAGTGGTAGTGATGGCAATTATTTATTGAAAAACGTGTACTTTATTTCATCAGGCCAAAAACTGTGATAGTTTGCAGTCAACGTTTCATCGAGTAGTTAGATCTATTTTACAGGCCGGGCGGTCTAGCCCCATGACCAGCTCCACTAAATCCCGAGACGTCTGAATTCGAAAACATCAGGTTCATACCTGGCCACTCGTGCTCCATTTGATAAACCGTATGATCATAGCCAGTCGGTGACATATAATTTGGGCTATGACCAATGGAGGGTTCTTCCTTGACATACTGTTGGTGCTGCTGTTTCCTCATGTGTAAGCTTATGATAATTGGCTCGGCTTGAGCGTCAAAACTAGATAGAAGAGCTTTCGAATCCTCCCATCGTTGACCAAATGTCCTCAAAGTCTCCTTGATATGATTTATACAGTTAATGCTGCGGTCAATTTGACCGAGCCCAGTAACTGATGGAAGAGGCGGCGGGGAAGAAGAGCTCGTCCCACTAGTATTGCGTGATCCGTTAAATATTTGATCTTGACTGCCGGATAACACAGCCATCAATTGACTACCAATAAAATATACTCGTAGTGCGTCGTGGTAGGTATAAAATGCCTTGTTGATAGGATCCTGGCTGATGGGGAAAATCCTCTGCATATACGTTATGGCGTATTCAAAGATTAAATTCTTCGCATAGTCTGATACGACGTGGACTCGACATGACGGGGCAAGACAATAGACGTAACTATAAAGTAGTTCCAAATCAAAGAAATCCTTAAAGACGAGTGGCAGCGAATCGGGAAAGGACTCAGACCACTCTCGCATTTCTCGGCACATCTTCCAGAGATACGTCGAGCCTTGCGGTAATGGCTCTCGGCTGGACTGAAACAGCTCTTGATACCAACTCGATTGAGCACGCCTTAATTGCCACAACAGATGGGCAGATTCCATGGAATGGGGTCCAGAGACTGAATCCCTGTGATCCATTGAAGGGAGAGTAGGCGATGCGGATGGATATTCAACATTAGATGAGTCGTCCGTGAAAGAAAATGCCCTTGCGTGGACCATGCTGATGGATCTACTTTTATGAACATTCATTCTTTTGATGAGGAGGATTCACTTACCTGTCGAGCGAATAAACGCAATAAAATATCCTCCTCCTCATATCTAAGGCCTTCCTGTCAGGTTGCTGCTCTCCAGGTGGGTCCTGATGAAATCCCAAATCGACAATTGCTCGACAAGTAAAGCCCATCAACTGCCAACTGTCAAAGTGAGCTGGATCAAGCATTGCATATTGAACGAACAGAACCAGGGCCTGGATTTGGGAGACATGACCAGGCATAAGAACATGGTCAGCGTATGCAAGCGCACGGCCAGCCCAACAAACACCTTCCTCGTATTTGGAGTCTAAATGACTTCGGGATTGAGCTGTAGATGATATGGCTAGGACCATATAGAACAGCCAATGCTCGAAATCAGTGACCCGTTGACTATTGCCCGGATAAATTTTATCCAATGCATTGAATAGAGCAGTCTCGGAAACAATCGGATACAGAGCAAATATGTTGTCCAGATAATATTGGATCAATTTCGTTGCCGCAGGTCTTGGTGGCAATTGTAAAGACCAGGGCTCAGGTAATTCGTCATGATTGGCCGCTGAAAGAATAAGTCTGGCGAATGTCATGTTAGTCGTAGAGGATTCGAAGTCACGCGTAGTAGCATGCACAGATCTACAGGTCAGCATAAAACCTTCATGTAAGAGGAATGTGAATATCTCACAGAAAACCAAAATCGGAAACCAGCTCATTTACGTCAGCAGCCTCCCTCTTTCTTGCCGCCTTACCGTGAATCACGGCTCTTATCGTAGCCAGAGAGTCTTTCCGATCTGGCAGTTCCGTTGGCGTATCTAAATCATGCATCGCAACAGATGCTTTCCTTAATCTAGCATATGCCAAACGTTTTTCGAGCTTCTCGACTCGAGATTCAAGAGAAGCAACATAACTTCTGGCCGTTAGCTACAAAAAATAAAAAAATAGGGATAATCTCCTAACCTCCTCTCCTTTCCCTTCGCGAACTGATCATTTGCACTCGAACATTCGCTCGCTCGTCCAGACTTCTCACATGCACTACATGCGGGTAATTTTCCGTCGCACTATATAATTGTTAGTTGACTCCTATTTAAGGCCAGAAGTTCTAGACCTTGACTTTTGCGGCTCGACCTAGTATGTATTAGCTAGTTGCCTCAAACTGCTCGCTGAATAAACTCACATCTTGAACATGCTGAGACAGGTCTGGATACTCGTAGAAGCGGAGTATCAGCTGGTAGTTGCCTGGTTCGATGCATCCTTGGTTGAAATACCAATTTTAGGACTTCTATGCGAGAGAATCTCAGTGTAGATATCTCACAACCCCGTTACCATAAAGAAAAATGCTACAGAATAGACGCATGTCAGCGAAGTTACTACGGATGCATGGTTAAGCTAAACGCAAAAGTTTATTTAATGATGGAAAGTGCAAGTCCAAAGGGAAAGAGCCCATACTCCCAAGTACCTTCCTCAAGACCATATTGCAGATTATGCAAGCAACCACGTTGGAAGCTTCTATATTATGTAAAGTAATTGCTGCTCTTAGGAATTGATGAATATCGCAGCTGCCATAAAGAAAATGTACTAAGGAAATAGCATAGGGTAAGAGTATGTCACACACGGATGAAATCAAACATACGAATCCAAACGCAGCCACTTCGCAACGATATGGGTGCAAAGATCCACTAACACAGACAAAAGTGGAATATTTCAACCCACCTTCTGAACAAGCGCAGTTCTGACCAACGGAGTTGCCGCCTACTCGGGTAGACTGGTAGCGGAAGTAAAAGTATTTATCCGTCTGGATCGTCTCGCGGCGGTGTCCTAGGTGTGTCCAAGTGTGTAAGAAAAGTTATAGTCAAGAGGATTCATGCCCCTGTTTATCGATAGATGACTGAGTACTTCTGGCCGTCCTAATTACTCGATTTCCCGTTCCATTATATGGCCGAAGAAATATTGTTTTCAACGTCGAAAGCCGTGTTTGCTTCCACAGAATTTGAAGGTCGCCTGTTTGAAAACTACTCTTCCTCGGCCGAACTCGTCAGTAATCACGACACCAACAGCGGTAGAGGGTCTGAATCTGATGTGCTTGAGGAGACTCGGAGGCTCCGAACGACTTGCATCAATTATTCCACTGAAATGGGCACCTCGATGGTGGATTGCTGCAGAATCCTTGAGCACTCCGTACAGCCGTTCCTTCGGTAATCGGTAAATCTCACGGACAGGTAGAATTTGGCGTTTGATGATCTTTTGATTTCTACGCCCCACTAGAGCGCTGGTAAAGTCGCAGGGCAAAAATTATCAATTATTGTCAGGATAGTATAAAAGGGGAAGAAAGAAAACAAAGGAACAGACAACGGAAAGACGGCGTATTTGATTCTGCACGACCGACCAGCTTCTTATCGTGTAGAATCGTCGGATGTGCAAATCATTCTCCCGTGACCACAAACCCTACTACGGATAAACATTAGACTTATGATAGTCGACAGTATGCTGTAGAACAATTCCAGAAGCAGAAGAATGTCTACGGAGGAGTCGCCCTCTTTAGTCGATTCCAATCAATTGATAGGCTGTCAGTTCCGCCCGAAGTGCATAATTACCGAGTAGCTACATACGGAGTACAGCCTACCATCCGACGCTTCATGGTTGCGGGCATGTGTTTCAATGAGGCATGGTGATTGCTTTTCCTGCTTCGCAAAGGTAGGTATATCGGGTAGAAACAAGAAAAGATAAAGTGAAGGCGAGAGGATGGAAATGATGGCCAGGAGTTTTAATAAATAAAGAAATGTTATCTCATCCGTTCCATCAACCTCGGAACAAAATCTTTGGGAAACCTCCGAGCTCTGATATAATACATACAAACAACAACGATCGATCCTTCAACAATCCAACTCTCATCCCATGGCATAATCCGACCCTCAATGTCCTCGGAAGACAATAATTTGAAGACTAGAATTTAAACAGAGCCCCCCCCTATTTAAGGATTCTCCAAATTTCCAGCATGGGTGCACTACATGATCTATAATCTCGTTGGATTAGGTTTTATATATCTATATATATACTAGGTAGCATTTGTTACTATTCCTTCTCACCATCCATCCTCTGGTGCAATCGTCATTGATGCAGCTGGGACCTCGCTCGATTAGACTGGTGGACGGACTATCTAGGTTTTAATCGGGCTTCTCATGATATGTACGATGTTGGAAGAAGCTCTTTATCGAGAAGCTGTTAAACCAATTCTTCGTATCCGTTGGATCATTGTAGGACTAAGACTAGGACTAGGACTACGTTAACTTGTCAGGTGTCTCCTGCATTACGCAGGGCATTCCTTTGTTTCTCGAGAAAAGTTTGTAGATGATAGATCAATATTTCATGTTTCTGCAACCTCGTGGTATTGACATTGACATACCGTATCTTACTAGGTTTAACTCCGCCTGCTCCACAGGGCCACATATTGATCGCAGGGATATTTCTCAAAGTCGTCTTGCTCGGGCAGCTTTCTTAACTCGTAAAATCTTTAATAGTAATTGCCGTCCCCCCCAAACTCACCAATGCAGTAAGGGCAATCCATCCTAACGGTCAAGATTTCCACCTCTTACGATTAACGTATCTTCTCTAACGGCCATTTCTATTCGGCATACCTTTCTCTTATGGGCTTCCACGATAAGCTCTCTGACTAAAATAACGTCAGGTGTTTTTGGAGTTTCGTTCAACAATCTGGGGATGGATGGTACGATCAGTACAACTCCAATTCTGATGATGAATCCTTAACGATAACCCACCCTGACAATGATAAGCCTTGCAAAAGATTGGCGCTACCACGACCACAAAATTAACCTACTCATTCCAGCTTCTATCGTTGTCAATGGACCCAGCAGATTTATTTCGGCAAGCCTTAGGCTCTGTCAATAGAGCCCGCGATGCAAAGCTCCTTCGCGCAAGAGAGAGCTCGCACGAAAGCGAGGATGGTTCACGGAGGATCGCACATACCCTGACTGCCTGCTGTAGATGCCGCCAGGTTTGTAATACGCTCATCTTTTTACCAATTCGCGATACAAATTAAACTGACATTTTTGTCATTCTTTAGAGAAAAACAAGATGTGATCCCAATTTACCACGATGCCTGCCTTGTGAGCGTGCCGGTGCAGTATGCGAGTACTTCGATACAACGAAGGGCAAAAAGATCTCTAGGGCATATGTGATAAGGCTGCAAGACAAAGTTCGGGCATTGGAGACGGAACTTAGTCAATTGCTTGAAGAAGAAGGAAATCCCCCAAACTCGGAAGATATTGTACGTCCTGGAGGTTTGATTCGACTCAAGGAAGATGATGAGACTCCACGTTATCTGGGACCTTCAAGTGGAATTGCGATGACTCGGATAGTGATGGAGGAGGCAAAGAAATACACAGATACTAGGAGTATACGAGAGCTCGTGCCTGAAGTGCGCCAACGTCGAACTCCTGCACAATCGCCAGAGACGGTATCGGAACGAAAGAAATCTTATCCTATGATATCTGCTGTACCGGCACCAACGTTACCAAGCCGCCTTGTGACCGACAAATTGGTGGAGTTATTTAATCAGAAAGGTCAGTCAATGAGTTCTCTTCCTTTGTCGACCAGTGAAATGCTTTATTGCACTTTCGTTCGCTCAACACGACAATGGAAATTTTGAAGGATAAAGGTGAATTGATTGAGCCTCAAGGACATGCAAGTCTTTTCAAACTGCTAATTAAGGTTTGGCGAAGAAGCTTTGTCACATATAGCCGATTGTGAGCTCAATTTTGGCTTAAACCCTCATCTTCATTGTGGACTCCAACTCCTGTAATCCTCGCTGACCATCCTGCAGCACAGTACATGCTCCCTACTTTACACGAGCCTACATTCGCCAGGAATCTTCAAGAAGTCTATGATGGAGACACCGACCCATATAAGAACTTCGTTCTTCGTATGGTCCTAGCGATAAGTATGCAGAAGCTGGATGCGCAGTATGCTGGCCTTGCTGACAGCTACTATCTGGCTGCCATGGGATACATCGAAGATGTAGTAAGACCGAAAGACATCAAGACACTACAGTGCCTTGTTCTGATTGCTCAATACTCAATGCTAACTCCCACCCGTACCGCTATTTACTATATCGTGGGCCTTGCAACGAGGTTGTGCCAACAGTTAGGCCTGGCGGAAGAGAAGACGATTACTCAAGGAGTATCGCTTGGCTTAGTTGATCCACTACAACTTGATATGCGACGAAGGCTGGCTTGGATTGTCTTATCGATGGAGTTCGGTTTAGCTCAGTCGATGGGGAGGCCGAATGCTTTCGCGACTGGGAAAGACCATTTGGACATACAGTTTTTTGAAACCGTGGACGACGAGTACATCACTGCCGATGGCATACTTCCTGGTCCAATGTCGGAAAAAAAGCGGCTAGCTATCCACTTCTTTCGAATGAGACTGTTGCAAGCAGAGATCCGGAGGACGCTCTATTTGCGGAAAAGAGACGAGCCGAAGAATGAGGACCATCCTTGGTATGATCAAATGCTTCAGAAGTTGAGGGATTGGCTCGAGTCTTCTCCTGAAAATCCTTCGTGGAGTAAAATTTGGTAAGTGATACTATTCAATGCTCCAAAAACCAGCTTGGCCATTCGAATATTTTATGTTTTAAAACAAGGCCGTGCTAATATACTGTTAGGTTTACTGGGAGGTACAACACGATGATAATCTTCTTGTTTCGTCCTTCACCCCAAGTTCCCCAGCCATTTCATCGTTCGGCGATAATGTGCTACGATGCAGCTTCAAGCAATATAGTAATCCAAAGCGAGCAATTAAAAACAGGGATGATTGACTTGACGTGGCCATTTCTTCTATCACTCTTCATGGCTATAAACACAATCTTATGGTCTATTTCATATTCCGAAGTGCGCGCTCTTCACACAAAGGAAGAGCTGGAAGAACATATTGCTCTAGCTCTAGACATTGTTGCACATTCTCGCGACCGGTGGCCAGGAACCCAATTAACAGCAGAACTTTACATGACGCTCACTAAAGCCTGTGTCAAGAGCTACGAACTTGGCGATAACTTCCTTTCATCATTTTCTGCCACTTCTCCATCGCTGACTGACGCAAACTCACCTTCCGCGTCCGAATACTCTAGTGCAACCTCAGCCTCAATTGCTCACTCGCAGCATAATGCGCAACATAACAACACGTATCAGACACCCCCACAATTCGGACACGTCTTCAACCAAATGCCGGAACAAATACCTTCATATGACTACAGCCACCCTTTACCTCCGGTCCAACCTTCTTTTCGGTCCAACTCAATCTTTGTAAGTCCCTCTAGTGGGCAATCTAATCGTCGATTCAGCTACTTTCCTCCAGAATTCACACAGCCACAGCAGCCGCAGTCTTATCCTATGCCTTGGGCTCCTGTCTCAAACCCACAGCAGAATCAAATACCAGATCAAGTATCATTACCACCCATGCAACATCCATTGGTAACTAATGTATCCTATTTTTCGCAACCTGAGTACTACAACTTTCCTCCTCACTTGTTCTCACCGGACAGCTTCGATATGGGAATCAGGTCGGGTAGTCTGAGTCAAGAGCAACAAACGGAATTGATGCACAGCTTAGAGACTGAAGGGTTAACGGAGATTAACAACTTTATGAATCACGTCCCACAGTATGAGCACCCCATCAAATATGAACAACAATTTACTTGATGAATAACCTTCGTTATTAGGTTTTGACTATGAGCAGACGAGTAGATAATGATGTCTGTACCATAATCAAGCTCCGGAGGCTTGAATGTTTTATTACGCTTTTAATTTTTACTTGATATCCATGTCGACATGAGCGGACGAGCTATGAAATCATTACTAGGTGTCAGGTGTCGGGTGTCAGGTTTCACAGCGTGGCTTGACTTGATAGCGTTTTGCGTCCTTTTATCTTTAGCTAAACCTTACAGTTACAAAATGTACCACATAGTTATTCATTTAATGCATTTCAAAACAGAGATATTATTATCTGCATTTGCATATTACTGCTGTACGTTAGTGCTCATACCCTTTGTCCCCTAGCCTCAGACATCTCTACTGCTTAAAGTACTAAAGTTTTATGCATAAGCGACTTCATCCTGTAAATTCTCATAATTCTGTCCTTCATTTCACACTCCATACACAGCACCCCCAATTCAAATCCATATTATTCCTGGTAGCAGGTACCGGCTGTAGACTCCTCATCTATATGCTAGAGAATAACGATCTTACAATATCTAACTAGTTTCTGCAGGTTAGACACGCTCTAGGGGAATGCGGGTCAGGAAGGAAGGAAAATTCCTTGAGGGGTTCAAGGTTAAGGGTTTTGGTTTCGAGATCGGTGGTGAGAGGTGTGATGTGATATGGTGGTTCGGGGGAGGGAAGCGGGTGGGCAATTAAAGGTAGGCGTGGTAGGGTATTGATGGGTAAAGGGGCTTGGGATGCGCTTTTTGAAGGCGGTGTTCCGGGAGCTGGAAGGTTTGGGGGTGGTGGTGTGGTTGGTGAGGTAGGCAGGCGGCTTCCTTGGGTTCGGGGGGAAGGGGCTGGAGGTCCGTGAAGAGTCCGCCTATGAGGGGGGGAGGAAGGGTTAGTTACGTTATTCGAAGAGGTTTCCAGGTGAAGATGAGGAAGAGGAGCGGGGAGCTGGTTAGTGGTTGATATTGAGAAGATGGAAAAGATATGCCTTTTTCATCAACCAAAGTAGAATATAGGTACATCAAAAAATAATTGATAGTTTGCAATCCGTCAGTTTCCTCAGACCATTAGGACTTACTTTTCCTGCCATGTTTGTTTGATCTCATTGGTGATTTTGTCAATTCTCCTATTTCACGAGGTTATTTTCTCGACATAAATTTACAAGTAGAAGATATCATGCATGAATCAAAGACACATATTTCCCGGAAAAAATAGAAAGGAACTAAAGCATATTTATATAATCTCTCAATTTCGCTTAATATATCAAAACCCAGGTGTGATTTCTGGTCATGGGAGACCATGAAAAAATATCACGAAATATAAGATGAAATGACTACAAACTCCGCACTAAGCCAGGCGATGTACGTGATCTACAAGACTAAGTCAGTATAAGAAACATAGCGTGCTACAAAAGCAACTGAGGTTTCGAATTCGCAAGGGGAGACCCTAAGAAAGACATGGAGTTAATGAAGGGTGTCAAGCGATGCACCGCAAATCATTTGATCTATTCATCTTTTGCATAATAGACAGGGCGGGATTTTATACATGGGCTTAACACCGAAGTCTTTTTTCTCTTCGCTAATTTAATGATTGATTGATGTTCCGAATCGTGGTAATCTAAGATAAGTGTTGCCGTTTGCCTATTAGATGGCACGCATTTGGCATATAGCATATAGCAAGATGATTCTTATATGCCTCCGTTCCCCCATTCATTTGACCCCATGTCTAAATTTGTGTATATCGTAGGTCATTGCTTGTCGAAGATGATTCAACAGAGAACTGCGATTCGATTCTCTTGTATTTGTAACATAATAGTTGAATAATCATGTTTTATAAGAACAGAGGAAAGTAATTAATCGACCTCTTCTTCAATCCTCTCAAATTCTTCATTGCCTTCTGTCTCGCCATCGATCTTTATATCCTGCAAACCAGCCTCCGTTCTAATCAAGCTGCCTTTCCCCTTTCCCCTAACACCTTTCTTCTTTTTCTTTAGGCCAGTACCATCACCCCCAACAGGAGCTTCTCGGATCCATCTAACAATTGCCTGGGCCCTATCAGTACTGATAGGGTATTCCTTCCCATCCTCCTGAGCCCACCGCTTTGGCAGTTCTCTTCCCTCAGCCTTTCTAGCTTCCTCTTCCTGTCTCCTTTGTCTAGCTGCTACTGCCGCATGAAAACTTGCTTCATCGTGAACACGATCATCCTCAAGTGCTTCCATTATGGCTTGCTGTTTTAATCTTTCTTTCTTTTCCGCTGCTGTTTCTTTCTGTTGATTACTAGGAGCTTGACCCGGTAACGGTGCAGGTGCGCAAAGAGTTTCCCAAGAGGCGGCAAGAGAGATCCAGTTATCGTTGCGGCGTATTACTTCAATCCAGTCGGCACGAGATGGAGATCTTGATGCTTGAAAAACAGGATAACCGTCGCAAACACGGGCTAGTCGCGCGACCATGTGTGCGTGCCGTTGAAGTTCACGTGTGGAGGTTTGCACGAGGCAGTGACAAAGTAAAAGAGAATGGAGTGCATCTGTTAGAAGGGGGTGATAGGTAAGAGCTTCGTGGCAATCGGTTTGGGCCAGTATATGCTGGGCTGCCTCGGAATGGGACGCCCGGAGTTGCTGCTTAGTTGTTAGGGCTGTGGCTGTTTCTGGGTAAGGAGGAAGATCAGCTGGCGGGGTGGCGGAGAATAAGGATGAGATTTGATAGACCTTGGGTGGGGGTAGAGATGGTAAATCATGCGGTCGAGAAGTACTAGATTGAGGCCGACTTTTTCCGTTATGGCCAGCATGAGGTACAAGTGCATCGGAAAGTTGACCATTACTTAATGATGCGTTACTTTCCAAGTCCAGCCCTTTCTTGTTGTGATTGGTTTGAGGTTGTCGAGGGATTTTGTAACCATTCGCAGCTAAATTTACTTTGCGCACAAATTCTTCGGTGATCTCGGCTGGAAGGCCAGGGGTGTAGTCCAGATGCGACAAGTATGCTACATAATCTCTTAATGCCCTCTTAGCATTTGTCTTCACAATTTTTCGTGACTCCATACGTTTTCGATGTGCTTCTTTTTCGGCTGAGGTTATCTCGGGTGCTTCATTTGCGGCATGATGGGTACCGTTTGTCTTTCCATTAGTTTTTTCTCCATTACTTGAATCGTCATTGGAAGGCCAAGGACTTTTCATGGCCTTGTCTATATCTTCCCATGAAATTAAGTCTCCGTGGGAGGGCGTATTTGATAGAGCAGCATCAACATGTTGACAAGCGATAGTTAAGTAAACACCGGCACGGTGGAACAGGAGTTGGGTCTCAAGACTACTTGGGTGGTCCTCTTCGTCTAACTTAAATTCGTCTCTCCATCTACCACTGTGTTTTCGCTGAGCTTCAGCTGCAGCTTCACTTGCTAGCTGAATTTGCTGTCGACCTGCCTTGTGCTGGTTCTGATAATATCTACAGACTTGTAAAGCAGAAGTAAGATCTTGTGCCGCTCCCACAAAATCCTCCTTAAATATTTTTGTAACAGCTCGAGTCCTTAATATCTCGCCTTCGCTCGGCCTATCTGCTATGACTTCGTCCAAAGGTTGCAGACTTGTACATTCTGCCAGCTGCCGCGAAGGAATCTTCTCATGAAAAAAGTGAACGTATTTGGCATCCGAATCATTGGGATTTCTCTGAAGGACAAGCTGGGCTACATCCTCCAGTGTAGACGCAGATTGCATAGTCGCAACACTACATGCAATTTCATCCAGATGATATGCCTTCGATAGCTTTTGAGTGGCCTGTTCCCGCATCCGATGTTTTCGTTCTTTACTTAATTTCGCATTCCCGCCTCCTCCCCCAATCCCTAGACCTAGCGCCGTGCCGCCGTTCCCTAGTAATCCATTTCCAGCATTGAGAGAATTTGAAAGGGAAGATGATGTTACACCGCTGGCGGCGCGCACTGCCAGATTCGTAGCATCGTCAACGAGTTGGCGAATCTTAAGGATATCGAAGAAGACCGCGGGGTCAACCGGCCGGGGCCGGGGAAGGGCATAATTGTTATTTGCGAGAGCTTCTAAAACTTCTGGAGGCAATTGTAGCCACGGCCCATGGAAGGAGGAGATATAACGCCAATGCCTGCGAATAATATGTTAGTTGGACGTTTCAAATGTAAATGCGGGACGCGCATTGCGGCAAATAGTGAAAAAATATTGTTGATGCACAATTTCGCCTCATAAGTTCAGGTATAGCATCTGCGAAACCAGCAATGGCATCCGCGCATGATGTGCAATTGGATTACAGTATTGTAAATACTTGACATACTTGTTGCGACAAATAATAAGTGCAGATGTTGAGGGTTGTTGAGCGGACTTGGGATTTTTTGCTTTTGGCATTGATGTAGCTGATGCCGGTAATGGCGCAGAATCTGCGGGGATTTGGGTTTCTGGAGAATCGCCATTGCTTTCGCTCTTATTCTTCTTCTTTGCCATAGTTAAGGAATATCTTCAATGATATTGGATATGGATACTCCATGGTATTACCTCCCGAGACAAAATTGGAATGATAGCACAAGCAATTTCAACCGAGATTTTTGCACGCTATGAAGAATATGTTCATCGTTCAGACTACAGTTCCTTTCATCAAAGGAAGATTCACTGTGAAAGTACGGCAAAGCTTTTAATATCATCTTCCATTATTTCGGACGAGTAATTACGACTATATTAGACATCACGTCGTAACTTCTACTACTTTCTCGCTACTGATCTTCTGAAGCTGACTCGTGCTAGGGATATACCAGAAGATTCAACACGAGGAAAACGCCAATGCCACCACGCAACGCTATGATTTCCACCCGCTCAATGCATAAAATCTGTGGATATTAAAAGTGATAATATGATAATGAAGTTTTCCATGCCTGGTTACTGTTCAAGAACTCAGAGCAAGACATGCATCGACTGCTAGACCAACCCTAAGTGCACAATTAGTATAATATGCTTAGGATTTTTCTTCCTCAAGGATTGTTCCTTACCTTCCCTCTTTTTGAGTAACTACATCGCTAATGATTTCCCTGTCTAAATCTGGAAACATCCCTGCAAGGGTCTCTACCACATTCTCGTGCTCTGCACGTTGCAAGCGTTGTGCTTCTGCAGCCTCGGCACTCGCTTGCCTGGCAGCTGCATCCTCGGCTGTCATCCTATTTCTGATGGATTCACGCCCACTAGGCCTGCGCTGTGGGGGTTGAGCGCCCTCCATGCTCACTCGTGGGGATGGAGTCATTCCTGGTGTACTCCCAGGATTGGGAGTCCTCGCGGGCGCACTGTAAGGGGAGGGATCGTCCGAGAACATTCTACCTATAGAGGAAAGCGGTTTTTGAATAGTACGAAGGAGGCCGCTCATAGCAGCTTTCTCATCCATACCATCCCCAGCTTCATATTCGTTTGACGATGTTGACCTTCTATGACCTGATGATTCGCCTTCCATAGAATGTTGGCTTGGAGGTGATTTCTCGGAAAGTTGTGTAGGTGGACTGCTTTCGACTGGGCTTGGAGCAACCTCTGCTTGATGCTTTTCGGCAATAGCAGATACAGCCGCTTCGACATTCCGTTCGAAGTCTTCGTCACTTATGGTAAGACTTGTTCGATCCAGATTCTCGATGAATTGGACTGCACCCATCTTCATAGGCGTTAGTGGTGCAATCCCAAAAAAAACGACTTGACGTTACATACCAACGACGAAAGATAATATCCTGCCTCTCCTCCCAACTTCTCCTGGTTCCTAAACCTAAGAATATATTGAACATTTGACACGAGATGCTCGGGATTTGCTTGAAGGACAACATAAATCAAAAGAGGCATAAATGAATCTGCCGATGAATCGGTCTTCGAATGCTTAAGTAGCCCTGGTAAATTCAGTAAGAACATCAATTAAAAGGCGAGCATGGAGAGTTACCAAAAATCACTTTGCAGCAGTTGAGAACACATATTATTTTGTCCCGTGGTGCTCTGTAGGTTTTAATCTTCAATATCTCTGTTGTCACCATTAGCATTGATATTTATCTTTACACGACGCTTAATCTTACCTTGCTGTGCCAAGATCAGAAAACGTTTTCCGCTTTCGCCAACTGGTGGTATATCTAAATGTTGCTCTTTCACCCAACCATAAATGCTAACTTTCTGAGCAAGAATTTCATCTCTCTCGACATCTTCTTGGTGTTGTCCTCTTCGACCGGGACCCATGGGTCGATCAGCGCCCCGCCTTCTTGGCTTTGAGCCTGGAATGGGCTGGGGTGGAGGAATTGCCGGAGAAAATGTTTGTGTATATAGCCTGTTCATAACTAATTTCTCCATACCCTCACGCGCATTATCAAACCCTGCATCAGAGACTTCACGCCATACTTCGCATTGAGCCATTTTATTCGTGATAAAAGACAAGAAATCGCTTATTATTTTAACTTGTTCGTGTACCATCCACTGTTTCTTTGCAAACTCCTGTAGGAACGACCGTAAGAATTTCGCTACGGGATCCGCTGTCCTATGCCTCAGTTGTTCCAAAAATCGATGGAAGTCAAAAGGAAGGTCCGGCTCAGGCTCTGGCTCGGGAGGTGGGGGTCGATGTAAGGCAGGGGATAATGGGGTATCTGCAGAGGAGTAACGATCATCCTGCATTATGCCAAAGCTATGTATAGAGTCTGCTTTAGGTGGAACAGCTGGGCCGACGTCAGAATCGTTCCTGGTTCGATGGCCTGGTGAAGGAGCAGATGATATTTGCAAATCACCCATACTCTGACTTAGAACGGATGCATTTATAGGCTCCAGACTCGATTTGCGAGGCGGGTGTTGTACTGGACTGCCAAGAAGCGGGCCAGCAAACTCAAGACGAGGAGACATAACTTCCTCATGCCCTGGGCCCTGTCCATCTTCTCCGAATTGATCCATTATGCTTTGTATTTCTGATCTAGAATCTCCCTCTCGTTCGTCCTCACTCGCGGTGGTTTTTTCGTCAAACCCTGCATCGGATCTCGTAGGTGATCTATCCAACCTCTCCGCGTGAAGATGATGTGTTCCTGCAGTCGACGCAGATCTTGATGGAGGTCGAGAGGTGCCAGGTGTCTTCGGGGTAGGATCTAAATACGTTTGGTCAATTGGTGACATGTTCTGCATAGGAACATTCGGGGCAGCGGTTATTATTGGTTTCAAAGTCGCAGTAGAGGATTCCATGTCTGGTATAGATTGCTCGTTGGTGGCGGTCCGTAGTTCGTCCATATTGTTTCCTTCTGTAATTTTTCCCTTCCCCTTATCTTTCAGTGAATCCAAAGCATTATCCGTTGTCGTAGGGAAATTGTCTACTGCTGGCTCGCTTCTGTCTGCCAACACTGTCTCCTCTTCAACACCCTGGTCCTTCATATCCTTACTGGTTGGATAGGCTGGCTCAACGTCGTGGATGCCAGGCTCATCTTTTGGGATCACCACCGATGTAGGCTCCTGTAATATTCCATTTCGGGGTTCTAAAACTTCTGCCGACTGTCTAGGAGAAGACATACATCCGCGAGCGCCTTTGGTCGGCGTTTGCGAAACTGTAGAATTGGCGGGGTATTCGAGCTTCAATGTTCCGGGTATTTTTGAGCTTTGAAAGGAAGCGTGGTAAAGTCGGACAGTTTATCTTTGGAAGTATAATAGAAATAAGGCATCAATACTATTATTTCCCTTTTTACCGGACAAATAAAAGCAGTGGATTATATTTGGTGGCAAGTTTCCTCGCCCTCGACAGTGAAGCAATTCGGTTGATTCGCTAAAATGACAGCCGCGGTGCAGCCAAGCTGTTGGAGATTGATCTTGAAATAAATTTAGAAAATTTGTTTTAACCTTAACCTTATCAATGTCAATGTAAGACTGAACACCAAACAACACCACAACCTTGAATAATATATACTACCCACGGAGTACATGGATTTGCCACCATAAAAGTTTACGAATAGATTCGCAAATCAGTGATGTGTGGTATTTACGCGTCGATATCCACGCGAGGATTGCAAATTCCAAGTCATGCTTTGAAACACTCCCTTTGCAACAGAGGTCCTGATCACACGGGTTCGGCACAAACAAATTTCACTTCAAGTGATGGAACGCCATATTATTTATCTTTTTTATCAACAGTCTTAGCTTTGAGAGGAGATCACATCACTGCACAACCATTTGATGGTTCAGCCGTCATTAACGCACCTGCCCCCAATCCCGGCTCAATCCTTTGCTGGAATGGTGAGGCATGGAAGGTTGGTGGCGAGCTTGTTAATGGTAATGATGGTCAAGTCATATATGACATACTTGTAAAAGCTGTTTCAACAGCCACCTCGGCCTCAGATGCAACACTAGCTGTGCTTAAGATCTTACGAGGCATTTCTGGACCATTTGCATTTGTCTTTTGGGATAGTCTCCATGGTACTTTATATTGCGGCCGAGATCGCCTTGGTCGCAGATCTCTTCTTTACAATGTTGAAAACAAATCCGAAAATATGGGACAATCTGAATATATAGAGTTTGCTAGTACAGCAGATCCTGCTAAAGGCAACTGGAAAGAAATAGAAGCAGATGGCATCTACATATTTTCCTGTGATGATAAGACTAGCCTTTCTCTTCCCAAATCAGATTCTCATGACCTTTCTATCTCAACATCACCATTGCCATATCAAAGGTTTGAGTGGGAGGAGGATTCCGAGGCCGACGCGTCAGTGGGTATTCCTCTTGGTTGTCAAGCCTTGTCACATCGGCTGTAATTATGTTATAATAAGACTAATACTAACTCGAAAATCGCAGGCTCCCTCACTTGGCAAGTTCAACAGAACTTTCGAAGACGGAACTCATATTCTAAACCTTGATTCCCCATCAGTGATGTCATTACGGCATCATCTATGTGAGTCTCTGAGACCCAGGGTTCTGACTATTCCTACTCCCCCAAGCATAGGTCACTCTCACAATGTCAGACTAGCAATTTTATTCTCAGGTGGACTTGATTGCACAGTTTTGGCAAGATTGGCACATAATTTACTACCATTAGATCAAGAGGTTGATCTCCTCAACGTTGCCTTTGAAAATCCGCGTGTTATCAAAGCTGCGCAGAATGGACCGCGACTGAAGAAAGGGGCACAACCCTCGCCTCTAGATGCCAACGAAATTTCGGACAATATAGCTTCTCCATATGAGCTCTGCCCTGATAGAGAAACAGGGAGGAAAGCTCATCAGGAGCTTCAAAATATTTGCCCTGGCCGAACCTGGCGATTTGTTGCAGTGAGTCGACGTTCAAGTATACTTTGGAAGGGAAGAACTGAAGCAAACTAGATAAATATTCCTTACGCGGAGACAATGGAGCACAGAGCTAGAATCGTAGATTTAATTCATCCACATAATACGGAAATGGATTTGTCGATAGCCTTCGCCTTATACTTTGCTTCTCGCGGTGTTGGTCTAGCATCGACAAAAGATGGCATAGAAGAAATTCTATATACAACGCCCGCACGTGTTCTTTTATCCGGACTTGGCGCAGATGAGTTGTTCGGTGGCTATATACGTCACGCAACAGCATTCAATCGAAATGGCTTTTCTGCCCTTCTAGATGAACTAGAATTAGATGTGAATAGACTTGGCAAACGAAATCTTGGTCGAGATGATCGTGTAATATCACACTGGGGAAGAGAAGCTCGATTCCCATATTTGGATGAAGATTTAGTCAAATGGGCTGTTGAGTCTCCTATATGGGATAAATGTGGTTTTACATCTGGATCTCAAGGCCCTGAAACGCCTGAAATAGAGCCGGGCAAGAAAGTGTTAAGACTTCTAGCTTATGATTTAGGTATGAAGTCGGTTGCTACAGAAAAGAAACGCGCTGTGAGTATCTCCTCCTATCTAATTTCTTCCATTTAAACTATTACTTACACCATCAGATACAATTTGGCGCCCGAACAGCAAAGATGGAAATTGGACGAACGAAAGGAACTACATTAATTTCATAACTTCTTACATTTCTCATACATTTTCTCCTATCAGAGACAATCTACCACATCAAAATTCCACTCAATAAACATTCATTTCCACTTATTTTGTTGCGCAATGATGAAAAACCAGATACTGCTGAATCGTTCAGTGTGCCAACGGGAGCTCATTCATACATGACCTCTTCTCCAGTGTTTAAACTTTTACATTTTGTGGAGAAGTGGTAACCAGAGAGAGACATGGAATGCCGTTGGAGGTACACACTGGCTTTTATGAAGTAGTAAAGGCAAGCCTGAGCCAACTTTTTGTTTTGAGTGTTTAGATTTTTTGGGGGATAGGATGGAATGTGTAGAGTCTAGACACACTGAATGAATGAAGTCATATGTTATGGCCTCGAAGTGCTTAGCTAGTGGTTTATTTGATTGAGTACCTATGGAGGAAAGGGGGTTGTGCGAATTAATAATAGTCCTGCTTTTTTCTCGAGAGCTACTAGGTAGGTAGCTATATACGTACATACCTATCTACCTATCTATCTATACTTGAATAGCTACCTTGATTAGAAAGTCGGACTCTTAATTCAACACAAAAATTATCTTATTCAAATATCTGAATGTTCCTTTACGATAACATACCACCATCCATCCATCCATCCATCTCCTTCATCATTCATTATTCACCATCCACAACTCAAAATACACCTCATTTCTCATTTCTCAAATCTGGAAATCACTATCCTTCTTTTATCTCCTTCTCTTCTCCCTCCCTTATTCCTCCTCACTCCTCTCACTCTTCTCACAAACGCCTACTCTTCTATACAAGCAATCTCAACCCTCAACCCTCAACCCCGATTCCGATTCCGATCCTTTAACTTCTTATCTAGTTTTATATCTAGAGTATTATAATAATAATAATAATAATAAATAATTAAAAATCAGTATTTTCATAGTTTAATCTATTTATTTATATTATATATATATTTTTAATATAATATAATATAATATAATATATACTATATTACATCTTATTACAATCCATCAAGGTTTAAATAATAAGATATATCAAGATTTAATAATTTATTATTCTACTTATAAAACTAATCATTTAATCAATTCATCTACTATTTAATTTATTTCATCATTTTTATTTATTCACATCAACTGATAAAACACAAACACCTACAACACCTACAACACACTAAACACACCAAACCTCAATATAAAAATAAAACTCGATGTCAAAAGTGCCAAATTCGGTTATTTATCAATAGCTGGAAGGATAATAATCTTATAATAGAGAAATGCTAGGAGAAAGGGAAGAGATGAATCTGATGATTTCTTGTAATAGGTGGGATGATGGGATGATGTGTAATTATGTATTTGATATTGTGTGACATGTTGATGTTTAAATAATGGTTTATAGATAATTGTGTAATAATGATACGAGGAAGGTATTGTGATGAAGAGTGGAAGTATAGTAGTGAAGGGATAATTATAATTCAACGTAGGGATTTGGGATTTTAGGAAGGAATAGTAAAGGGATTATATTAGTGACTCGGGGAGTCGTAGATATATTTGCGGAATATGTTTATTATTGTTATGCTTAATCTACCTAGGGAGAAGGATAAGGAAGGAGGGGGATGAGTAAAGTATATAATAAGATTGGTGGTGATATTATTACTTTGAATAATATAATAGTATCACTATATAAAATCTAACGACGCTGAGAAGAATACAAGCTTGAATATCTTAAGTATCTACTACACCCACCAACAATGAAATCTTCTCACCAAAGTTTTTTCCTTGGAGTAGAAAGTATATCTTACTGTAACATAACATCCAGTGATACCTGAAGCTGGTACAAGACTAAAGATATTAAACCCCGAATGAGATCATATGAACAAAACTAAACCTATATCATCAGCTATTCGCCCCATTTTGAAAACCACGTTATACAATCAACCTTCCCGTCCCCAGGCTTTGGGATAAGATACACAAAATAGATTTTGGTATCACTTGCGTGTGTTGCGGGACGATCATCTCATCTTTCAGCCTCGGCACGTGCCGTGAAACTTGATGAGATGGCTTCGAGTTGAGAAGAGCGAGATCTATGATAATAGCATAATTGTGATATTATCCGGTGCGGTCACCATGTGGGGTAAGCTCTTGAAGTAAGGAGTAGCTGGTCCTTCAACTTGCAGGATGGGATCAAAGAAATAATCCTCATAATTTTGGAGCACTTGATCCAAATCGGAAAGGAGTTGAAAAAAGGGACAGAAGTAAATATACTCCATAAGGTCATAGATAAATCTCGAGCTGATACTTTGTCTAAGCCTTGTACTATTGTAGCACCATATAAAGGTTGTAACCAATAAGCTCGCACAACAATGAGACCACATCCATTCGACCTTGCTTATGGGCGCACGACAAGGTAAATTCCTAGCCCCTCTGTAACCCTTATCAACATATGAAATCTCGTGGTAATCTATGGATCTCGTGGGGGTTAAATACTCCCCTTTTCTGTTGATGCCTTATGATTATCGCGTGAAAATCCATTTCGAAGATTTTTCATGACTCGATATTTTTGGTCAGAAACATAATACGCCCGTTCAGAATACTCTTATCTCGGCCCATTTCCTTTGAGCACGGTGAAGCGGTTTAAGACTTCCAAAAATGGGAGGACCCGCCAATGAGATCCCTAAGATTGTTGGAATTCGGATATGAAGGCAACTGATGGTGCGTTGATAACTTGATAATGTCGTGGACTCGTGGCAAATGATTAAAATTCAAGTTCAAGTGGAAGCGCCCGTGTAGAAGAGGCGTAGAATGGATTTCTATTAATGAAACTACTGTAAGTTCCCGTCTCTTAAGCTTCTTTGTCGATGATCCGTTGTGGGTATTTTTGAAATTTGACTCTCCCCGGGACGTAGTATTCGCATAGATGTATGTATTCGTATACAAAGATGGTTTAATGTTTCCTAGTAGTTTCGGGCGAACATACCGAATGGAAGATGCGCCAATGGGGCAGAGTTAGCTCACACGTTTCAGCTATTCATCTGAGAAATGAATTCAACCGGTAGAATCCAACGTCTGCTTGGAGCATTATTTATGAATGCATGCATGTTGTACAGTCAAGCTGTCCCTGCTCAGCAAGTAAAAAGCCATCGTTCCTATGGTCGTATGGTATGTAGCTTTTCCAGCCTCAAGATGGTCTAAACGCGACGTTGTTCAAAGGCGATGGATGCAACTAGATGCATAATGATTCTTCAAATATGGAAGTTCTGGAAAGCGTGTGGTGAGTTTTAGTTTCAAATAAAAGTTAAAATCAAGTCATCATCCACCGTTCATACGATATTGTCCGTGCTGTATTGACCTTTCACGGAGTAGACTCTTGGACCAGCGAGATCCACTGATAAAGCTAATTGAATCCATTGATTTTCGCCCACACATTTCCCACTTATAAATGCAACTCGTCAGCAATTATAGATATCGGCTGGACTAGGCCAATTGAGATGGGCTGTGGAATATAGAATTACGGAGTGTACGCGCTTCTCATCTCGCGATATTGCTCTTCCGTTTATGATCAGAAAATCTAAAGTTATCTCTTTCATCGTTTCTTTGAGGGGGTTCAAGAAGGATGATGGATCAGATACCTGCTGCGTCTGGTGAGGTATTGAGGCTTTGAATCTGGATTGCTGACTTCTGTACAATACGTATACCCCATATACAGCCAACTCCTTTCGAAGCAGTGAGCCTCGCTTCTATCAGTCGTGGAATCATAAGGCTGTAAGAATCAGTAAGATGTGTCCCGAGGGATTGTTGTGTATTAAAAATCAAATCAATATTTAGATGTTAAATTTTAGTATGGGTAGTTGTGCAGCTGTGCAGTTGTGCAATATGGTACAAGAATATCTACCTAGTAGGAGGTACCTGGGTCCTGGGTAGCTGAGGTTGAATGGATCATATCCGATTCGCTGATTCAACTTTAGATCTACAACCTTTTCTTCCTTTCACGTCTTTTTCAAAGTTCCGAGTGCTCTACAGCATTCACATCAGGTAAATACCCCAGAAAGCTTCCCCATTCATCCACAAATCATGTTCTGGTCTCATCAGAAACATGTGAACCTTTAATGGCCCTGGCTAGATGAAGATCGTTGGCACATGTTCTTCAAGGCTGATAGTTCCCCTTAGTGTGATTTGCTCCCGATATCTTGGCGAGCCACACATACTTTAGAAGGAAAGGAAGTAAAAGACATTTCTAACCAAATTTCCACGAGGGGAATAATACCAAAAATGAACCAATCATAACAGGTACCAACGGTCGGATCTTCTTATCTAAAGCTAACTTTAAAAGGAAACTACCTCAGTTATCCCTGTATTCAATTGAGGAGCTTTGATAGGCTAGAACCGCGTAATTTGACCTTTCCTATCTTTACCTTTTTGCTCTTTTTTTGAAGGGCAGGCTGAAAATGGATTGCTACACAAGGAGGATTTTGACCAAGAAATCATTTCTTTCTTCTCTTTCTTAGATTATATGATAGAAAAGAGGAGATGGGAAAGATAACAGCGGACTTGGAAATCTTGTAAGAAGTGATTTGAAGAGAAGAGAAGAGAAGAGAAGAGAAGAGAAGAGAAGAGAAGATAAGGAATGTTCATGCTAATTTTCAACATCACTTTCAATATCGGAATTCAATCCATATACAGGAATTCCAAACCCAATGGAGGAAGGTACCGATATCTTTTATAGTGTTCTATCTAAGAAAGGTTAAGAATAAAGGTTCGGATAGATACCCCCAAACAGATAGACCAACCGTTGGTCCTTGTTGGCCATTAATTTGAAATATGAAAGATGAATGGAAAGATGAATGGAAAGACGAATCAGATGTCTGTTCAAAGCTTTTTAGTTCTGGCGTTCACTTATCTCTGGGCTGACATTCATCCTTTATTTACTTTAATAACCGTTCCTTGTCATGATACACATCCACATCCATCCCCATCGACATTCTAGGCATCTCTCTATAGCTCTAGAGTCTATCTGCAAGCACAGCCAGGCCACAGTTAGGGTAAGATGGTATGTAAGCATCGCATCGCATGGCATGGCATGGCATGGCATAGCATTGCTTTGCTTTGCATGTCATGATCAATGGCCGGTGGCTTGCTCGACCTGAATGCATAAAACTAGTTCACTCCCCCTCCGCAATCTTTTTTTCCGTTGTTGTGCTTCCCAAGGTGTCAGGGAGATACCTAGTGACTTGAGTTTTATCTGTGATTTCACAATATTAATCACTTCATTCATTTCATTTCGCATTCACCAAAACCTTCATATCAAGGCTGAGTAATCATAGAGTCACCAACAGGATTCCTCCTACATGAGCCTCACTTTTCCAACTTGCAACTATCTATTCAGATAATTTCCTCAATATAATTAATTCTCTTCCCGACCTCGCCCGTTATCTCATCCCATCTTCAATTCTGAAATCTCACAGCCCTATTCATAGCCCGGCACTCTATCCGACCTCGGCCATCTTTCGATAATACTTTCTACTATCTACAACATTCCTCCTCTTCCCTTGCAACCTCTCCATTTCGACAACCTTCGATCTGTGAGCTTCTTAGCTTCTTAGCTTCTCCGCTTCCTCACTAGCAACTACACTTAACATTCTTTTCTTCTGACCATCTACTACTTCGAGGTCAAAGCAACTACATCTTTCTTGCTGAAATAAAGTTTACTATTGGGACTGAGGTCAAATATTAAGCATGTCTTTAATAGTCGATGGCGTCGATCTTGACGCACTCAACTACACAATTCATGTTCCCTACAATGGTACCAATGCAGCTGGAGGTGATTCCTTAACTGAGGATCTCAACATCTTTTATGATGTAAGTTTTGCGCACAACACCCCTCAAATTGAACCCCAAAACTAACTCGTGCGACAGCCTGGTGATATTGCCTGGATGATCACCTCTACTGCGTTGGTCTTGCTTATGATTCCTGGTGTCGGGTATGTACTTGAGAAAATATGGATATCTATACTACAGAGACTAATCTTTTGATCTTCATAGTTTCTTCTATTCTGGTCTTGCTCGTAGAAAGTCTGCTTTGTCATTGATTTGGCTTTCAATCATGGCTACTGCAGTGGTTTCTTTCCAATGGTTCTTCTGGGGTTACTCTCTTGCTTTCTCTCACACCGCTGGAAAATACATTGGTGATTTGGAAAATAGTGAGTACAAAATCTTCTAGAACATTGCACAACAGTAAGCACTAACCACTTGATCTTCATAGTTGGCTTCCGAAATGTCCTTGCAGCACCATCAGTGGGTTCCTCCAAAATTCCTGATCTCATGTTCGCCGTCTATCAGGGTATGTTCGCTGCCATCACTGTAGCTCTTGCAGTTGGTGCTGTCGCAGAACGTGGTCGCATGCTTCCAACCATTGTTTTCATGTTCGTTTGGTCAACCATTATCTATGATCCAATTGCTTGCTGGACTTGGAATGCCTCCGGATGGGTTTTCAAAATGGGTGGTCTCGACTTTGCTGGTGGAACTCCTGTGCATATTTCTTCGGGTTGTGCAGCTCTCGCATACAGTATTATGTTGGGCAAACGTCGTGGACATGGTACTCACGAATTGAATTACCGCCCACATAACGTCACACACATTGTCATTGGAACTGTTTTCCTGTGGGTGGGATGGTTCGGTTTCAATGCTGGGTATGTTTTATCTAACTTCTTTTGCTTGACTTACTTTTGTGTGATGAGACATGTAACTTTACGTAATGTTTCATCGCAGATCACTTGGAGGGCAACACCTCTTCACCGAAATAAAGCTAACTGTAGTGTTCTTTAGTTCTGCTCTTGCAGCTAACATGCGTGCTATTATGGCCGCTGTTGTCACCAACTTAGCTGCCTGTGTCGGTGGTATCACATGGTGTGTCCTTGATTATCGTCTTGAACGCAAATGGTCCACTGTCGGTTTCTGCTCTGGTGTTATTGCCGGTCTCGTTGCTATTACTCCAGGATCTGGCTTCGTTCCTGCCTGGGCTGCCGTCATTTATGGTGTTGTCGGAGCCGCTGGTGCTAACTATGCCACCAAGCTCAAGTTTGTTCTCGGAGTCGATGATGCTCTTGATATCTTCGCTGAACACGCCGTTGGTGGAGTCATCGGTAACATTCTCACTGCTTTCTTCGCCGCCGATTACATAGCTCATCTTGATGGTTTCACCGAAATCCCAGGTGGATGGATTAACCGAAATTGGGTTCAACTCGGATACCAACTTGCTGATTCTGTTTCCGGTGGTGTTTACGCTTTTGGTGGAACATGCATTATCCTCTTTGTCATGAACCTCATCCCCGGTCTCTCTCTCCGCGCTACCGAAGAAGCTGAAATCCTTGGTATCGACGATGCCGAGATTGGCGAGTTCGCTTATGATTATGTTGAGCTTACTCGTGAAGTCTTGAACGACGTATCCGAAACTGGAAGTAAATATTCTGGTCGCGAAAATGCCGCCACACCTTCTCCTCGTCAGGAAAAAGAAGCCAGACATTCGGCTCAAGATGTGGAAGTCTAAAATTTTAGATCCTCAATTTGGATCTTTCGTCTGTCGTGTTTTTTTTCTTTTTTCTTTGTCTTTTGATAGACGTACAGCGACTTCGCGTAGACAATGGTCTTGATCAACTTCTTTGATCCTTGATCCGTAATTTATTTCGGCTTTTCTTGTTTAACCTAGGTATTACTTAGTTCTTTATGATTATACAAAATTTCAAATACCCGTTGATTCATCTTTGTGAACTACTTGAGATATTAAGATAGGTACTAAGATACTATACTATGTTTCTCTTCTGCGCTTGAGCTGCGCTTTTCGTTGTATGTAAGTTTGTATATATTAAATAAAATAAAATAAAATTAAATAAATTTCATTTCTGAATAATAATAATAATAATAATAATGATAATAGTAGTAGATGTAGTTTGGTTTATATTTATATTTATTTTGTGTAGATATAAAATAGTATTGTGAATTTGCTAAGAAGTTATGAGTTTTTGCAGAATGGAAAAATATTATGCTTCGTGGATTTGTTGATTAAAAGTGTGGAGTGGTAGGTTAGAGAGCTAGAGAACGACATATGGTTGGCTTGCTTTTAGAGCTTATACTTACTTCTTTTATAATATGTAGCAATTGGATAACTAACTAACTAACTTCTGATCAGATCGGATATAAGGTTATAGATACGGAGGAGTATAAGCCAGACTAGATGTATTATATATAACCTTCAATATTAAAACCTGTCAATAGCTCTGTCCTCTTGTATATGATATATCCATCCCACCATCAACAATCCTCCTCCCCATGCCTTACCCCTCGAGCTTCCCTTCATCCCTCCCACCCCTCACCCTCCCACCAACTTCCCCTCAACCCCTCTCAAACTCCCCATCCACCTCCCTCAACACCCCTCCCCTCAGACTAACCCCCATAAACCACACCCCAGCCCCCACCCCGACACCCACAAAACATGCCCCCCCCATCCCTGCTAAATCAATCCAAAACCTGGGTCCCAACCGCCGTCCCCGCCTTCCCAAACCAAACCCCGCACTAACTCCATATCCCAACCCTCTAATCGCAGTCGGAAAACTCTCCGCACTAATAAGTCCGATCGTTGCTCCCGGGCCCATATGACCCATCGGGGCAAAAATTCCATAGAGGACTATAAACGCAGGGAGAGAGATTGGTAGGAGTAGTGAGGGTAGAGTAGGTTGCACCTATAATGAAACTGAGGGTGATGTAGCCCGCGAAACCGAGGATACCGGTGTATTTTCTTCCGATGCGGTTGATAAGGTAGATTCCTAGGAGGACGCCTGGGATGGGGAAGATAGCGAGGATGAATTGCCAGATTGCTACTATGCGGATATTTTTTCCCGGGACGAGAATATTGATGATAGTAGCTATGACGCTCATGATATTATTTGGGAAATTGACAAAGTCGTAGAGGAAAAATGCGGTGCTGGTGCCTAGACATCTGAGTCCGTATTGCGCATGATGAAGCGCCATAGTATGGCGTGATTTTTGAGATTAGATTTTTGGAAGAGTTTTCCATCTATCATGCGGAGACGGAAGAGGATGATGAAGAGAGGGAGAATGGTACTTATGCTATAGATAGCGTGGAAAGCGACGGTGAGATTATTATTCGATGCGAGTAGAGAGAGAAGATAAACTAAGATGCATGTAGGAGAACTAGTTGTAGACATCATGGTAGAGATGAAGACTTAGATAGGACCTCTTTTTTTATTGAAATGATCGGCTGATCCTTCGAGTGCTGCGGCTGCTGAGGTGGGATATTCACCTCCTACGCCTACACCTGCAATACCTCGAGCGATGGTTAGGAACCAAAGCATGTTAAGGGAGGGCTGGACTTGGAAAGCGAGAGTGGAGAGCTGTGATGAATCACAGAGTTACTATATGCAAGATTTAGAAGAATTGGTTTCACTCGGAAATCGGAGCTAGTTCCTTTTGGAGAGCAGTGACGACAGCTTTAGCAGAGAATGATCTGGGATCCGTAATGGAAAGCTGGGTACGAATGAGCATGGCCCTAGAGACCGACTGATTCATCCATTCTGTGATTCGATCACATCCAGTTTGGATTTTGAACCATCTATCAAAAAGAATATTGTATATGATGATCTCCATTTCAAAATCTTCCAGTTTTTGCCTTTGTTCTTTTCTGTATCTTGCCTCCGCCGCTTCTCGAAGGTTCTCTACGATTGCCGAATAGTCTGGCGAGGCGTCTCTGGTGTAGAATTCGGGTTCGTCAGATTGCTTTGGGATTTCGGTTTTGCTTTCCGGATTGATATAATCCCAAACGTTGAAAACGAAAGAAAGCCATTCGAATTCCTCAAACCATTTTATCTATTTGACACAATTATCAAGGTAAACTCCCTTTCGATCTTCCCAATCCCGAAGGATAAATTGTAGGATATTCTGAAATGAAATATTTGAAATAATCAACGATGATATTGATAACCGAAAATATAATATAAATAATTGTAAAATAAAAAGAAATAATAATATAAATAACTCTATATCTGTAAATTCTATATCAAATTATATAAGCTTTTCATAAGCTTCCTTTTGAAGACACCATAGCTAAAGGGCTGCCAGGCTTATAACTATAATGAATCACAGAGATTTAGAAGAATTGGTTTCACTCCCTTTTATTGTATTACCCTACATATAGTTTATATACGTCGTAGGGTTACCACTAACCCTATTCGGGTTGGCAGATGACCGTAAGTCACCTGCCGGATGATCTATTGACCCGTGCCGGGTCTCCGGCACCCCGTTTCTTCATATAGAGAACCGATTATTACGAGCCCCCTTTCCTGAAGAATTTATCCGAGGTATAGCCTAAGATTAAAATTCCTATAACGGAGTCAATGAGAAGGGCGTTGGAAATTCGGGTTTGGATCGTGGAGGTGTAGATTTTAGTTCCTAAGAGATGATTGAATACTACATTTGTACTCGATGCCTGTGATTGTTAGATATATATGCAGTATTTTGTATAACATTGTGATATCAAAGGACTCCTAAAATTTACTAAACCTTGTTGATATCCATCTGAATAATTCGCCATTGTCTAACACTACTTTCAATACTATTCTCGAGTACTAACCGGTAGATGTAAAAACTCACCGATCCAGGAATTGTCCATATAGACCCAGCCTCGAGTTGGTAGACTCATTATCTGATTCCACATCTCTCATTTCTCCCGCCGAATTCTTCACATCTTTCTCTCCAACAGTTGGAGTATATTGCCGTCCGATGATAATCTTGTGATCCAGCCATTATCAGAAATAGCCTCACGGTTGTTGAAATTCCTTATAATCTCATTCGGCTTCCCCCAAATCTAAGCTCTTGCGAATCCTCACAGGAACCAATTATCCAAAAACTTCACTTAAAGTCAACGTCCTTCTCCTTTACTCTCACCTTCCCCTCAATCAAAAACAGAAAACAGAAAAGAAAAAACCCATCCAAATCTACATGAAATATACCCACCCATCATATAGATACCCCCTGCCCAACCTGAGGAAAATTCCTCCCAATCTCCTCATCCAATCTATTCAATCCCTCAAACCCATATCTAAGTCCCATCCACATCCACATCCACATCCACATCCAAATCCAAATCCACATTCACAATCCGATCCCACAACGTTCGCACCTCCTCGAGTAGGATCGAAAAACCATTCCACAACCTGCATATCAAAATTTAAAAAAAGCAGGTTACAAAGAAATAACTGGATCCATCTCCAATACCGCGAATTTCGCCTTCGCGACATAAAGGAGCGGGGGCCCCGAGAATTCGAATAGTATCCGACCGACGCATCTTGTATGCATATTTCCGTCTTTGGGATATTACACCTAGTGTAGTAAGATATTCTACGATGGATTGTCCCAAATATGTATGAGGTGTAGAAACGGGGATTGAAAACAACCAACTAATTACTGTAACAGCACCGCCATATTGGCAGTATTATTTCTTTTCATTATTTTGCTGATTTATTGCTACAGGAGTCACTACCACTAGTTCCATCCTTCCATCACAATATCTATGCTTCCGCAACCTCATCCGCTACTGTCCCTCATACCGCTTATACCCTTTCCCCCTAAACCCAATCCCGACTCGTCCTTTGATTATATGCATGTATTTACACCCACTCATCCATAAAACTTCTCGGATTAAACCTCTGGCTTCTTCTCCAGATCAGCCCCTCAATATCAACGCGGCACTACATTCACATCCGCACAATCAAATAGACGTCGAAAGTTTCCCCAGTTTTCCCATAAACACATATATGCTAAGAAAAACACAAACTCCCAACTCATCGCTGATGAAAATTCTCATGTTTATGTATATCCCTCATGCAATTCCGATTCAACCATTGTGCCAAACCCAATTCCTCCCAAAAGACGCTTCATGTACTGCGCTTTTCCCCAATGACCAAAAGAATAATAATACTGACAAGTGCAAATACAAAGGGAAGAGTTTTTCGTTTGAAAAGTAGAAGAAAGATATATAGTCAAAGGCAAGTACTCATCAGGACTCAATTCATAAAACTTCCCCTAGCACTGGACTGAGAGCTTCCACTATCGCTTGGTGTTTGTGGTTCGATAGAAACCTGGTTCTTAATCGCAACAATCCATTCATGTTGCAAAAGCTCCGGCGCCGAAGCACGTTTTTTGGGGTCTCTAATAAAGCATTTCTTGATGAAATCAATACCTTGTGGACTGAGCTGATCTGGTGATGGCATTTGAGGAGGGTTGCCTTGGGCAATATTGTACATAATGGCCCATTCATTGTCGAGAGACGTCCAGGGACGGCGACCTGTAGCCATTTCAAGAATAACGCAGCCGAGTGACCAGATGTCGACTGAACCAGGCCGTCCTGGATTCTCTCCTTTGATTACTTCAGGTGACATGTACATAGGGGTACCAGTCATGGATTTATTTCTGTTGGCGAGGGTGGCCGTGGTCGCGGTAACGAGAGTTTTACCTTGACGAGCAATAACCTTTGCGGCACCAAAATCTACATATTTAATCACGCCGTTATGATCAAGGAGAATATCTAGAGCCATGGTTAGATAAATGATCGTGATTTGAAGAAGGCGGGAGAAAACTTACTTTCTGGTTTAATGTCACGATGAACAATACTGCTTTCGTGAAGATATGCCAGACCTTCCAGAAGTTGCAAAGCATATACCATTATAACCTGCTCATCCTCGATTCTCCCATGCTCCAAAAGACCTGCAAGTGACCCACCAGAACAGTACTCCATAAAAATATAAACTTTGTCGCGATGAACTTCGATTCCGTGATATGAAACAACGTTGGGATGATCGAGAACCTCCAAGACGTGCATCTCATCCGATATTTGAGCAGCAATTGTTGGAATAAGATTAGGGTCTTGTAGACGAATTTCTTTCACAGCCATCAGATGACCCGAGTCCAGATTGATCGCAGCGTACACTGATCCAAAGGTACCGCCACCAACAAAATTTCCTTGTTGCCAGCGCATATTAATATTGGATGGAGAAGCAGAAAGATGTGTGAGAGATCGATCTGCCTCATTATTCTCTTCAAGAACTCTGCCAAGAGCTTGCCTTTCTGCCTCTATGACCTTTCGTTCTTCATCAAGTTCAGCTATCAGTTCAAGGCGTTGGTTCAGAACAAATGCCGCCGATTCCTCATCGTCAGCCATTCCCCTCATGTCCATCTTCCTAAATTGGCCATTCAATGTTTCCACGCGCTGTTTCTCTGCTTGAGCGGCCAGGTTTGACTTTGCACCCATAATATCGAAATGTGAAATTAACAGAGACATACATCCTGAGACTTTCGATCGAAGCCTTGTATACTCGTCCTCTCCGAGTGCTAATATATGCTGACCTTGGGTCATACCCATGGCAAATTCCAATGCAAGAACCGCCCATCTGAAAGTTTTACGATCCGTTGGAACACAGTCATCGCAAATAAAGCTCACCCAATCCAGGGCGATCTTTGTGAGCTTGATGTTGTTCATTTGTTTCCGGTTTCGATCCATGTAAGGTAAAGACCTCTGACCAAACTCAGTAGCGAAAATGAAACAGGTTTGGATAAGTTCTTGACACTCCAGCCCTTCTGTTTGTTTTCGGACAATTTCTACACTGTCCATGATCAGATTCGATAATTTATACACGACTTTCTTGATGTCAGTCAATTTGATGTGAACTTTCTTGAGATGTGATCTTTGTTCAACCACCATATCTAGATGTAAGCCGATAGAGTCTAAGAATGCCAACCGAGCATTTGATAATCTGGCTTGTGACCCGTCTGCGATAAGTCTAAGATGTCCCACTTTCAAATCTATGTTGATGTTTATCAAAGCCGAATCGACTTGACGCCCATCCCATCCTATTGGGACTTCCGGGCGAAGAACTAATATGTAAGGGTTGCTAGTATCTTCTTGTACATCTCCTGTGTGATAGCATGTTCCTAGGATTGATTGGATGTCCTGAGGTCGGTTGTACAAAGAAGGAGAGGCTATGAGGAAAATACCATCGTGCTCGATGCTCGCTGTATAAACCAAAAAGTGACCAGTTTCAATAAGCCTCGAGTACAGTTCTTGCAAGCCACTTTGCTTCATAGCAATGCTGAAATCCGTCGAGTTTTCGAAACGATCACTCAGGACCCTCGAAAATCGTTGTAACATACGCTGTCGTACACGAACGGAGTCTAGACTCTGCTTATATCGCTTTGTCATCTCGGCAGCTGTTTCCTTTGGTTTCCTCACCATTTCTTTTTCAAAAGTGGTGTTCAGACGAAAGAAGGCCTTATGGGTTAGAGAACTAAATTGCTCGGCAACCTCAACATCACCACCTTGTAGATGTCGTCCGATCTCATTAGAAAAGTCCCATTCTTGCTCAAGAACTTCTGCTTCTTTGAAAGTGTTTTTGTTTCCACCAAGTTTCCAATTGAGCATCTTGAAGTAAAACTTGAGCGCATCCAGAACTACCTGGTCAAAAGACTCATCAATACAAGGTGGTAAATCCCATCCAGGCTCAGGATTTGATATGGTAAGGTACTCCTGCTTAATCAGTATGGCAAGTTTGAGTAGTATTCTGAACTGTGAAATCATTTGCTCAGCCATCATCGCGTTTTGTTGGGTGGAATCTCGCATTTTTTTGGCATACTGCAGCCGAACCTTGATGATCTCTTCGATAAGGCGTGAAGGAAAGTTTATGAGTGTGAGTAATTCTTCGATGTAAGGAGGTAAATGACGTTTAGCGAACCCCTCCGAGTTCTCAATAAGTGTATTTTTAGCTTTCATGATGACCTCAGATACACCTAGAAGTATGCTTTTATCACCCTGCAAAGATCTCAAGCCGTCCTCCTTGAGCAACCTATCAATGAACGATGATTCATCGGAAAGTCCATGCCCTGAAGGCGAGCGCTGTCTCACTTTGTTGAAGTCGAGTTCGGGATTCCCTACCCACTTTTGTAGGATAGCAAGCTCAATGTTAATGAGTTCGGTAGTATTATGCCATGATATGACAGCATCGCAAGTGGCAGCGAATTGCGTCGACGCTGCCAATTTGCTCGCAATTTCTAAGCCAGTGCGAGATGGGTATAGACTTTCACACTTCTCAATTTTCGCGACTATGTCCCGTACTTGATCAATTGGCGACTTTCCAGCCTCACTCTCACCTTGTACCTGAAACTTAATAATCTCCTCCAGGACGGTATCGAGATTAGCCCGTGTATCTTCTAGTATTCGTCGTTGGGCTCCTAAACTTCTTCCGCATATTTTCGATCGTATCCCGAGCCAGATCTCAGTGCCAATATTCTCTGCCTTATTTTCTGAATTGCCAATAAGTCGTTTCTTCTCCTGCCTGACTACGTCTCCCGTCAAGACAGAGGCTAACATCCCATGCCATTCCAGACGTTCTCTATTTGCGGGATCTTTCAAGTCTTCTGCTGTCGGCTGTATGTCATCATTGTTGTAGAAAAGTACAGTCTCTTGGTCGAATGGGTCGGCATCGAATTGTAGCTCTGATGGCGATTCCTCCTCGGTATCTGATCCTGTTCCATATCCAAGACTTGGGGTATAAGGTTCAAAATATTCGAACGGCTCATTTTGCCGTAACCGTTGTACATAAGCCCTTTCTTGCGCACGATATGCGCCACTGGGATCCTGTCTGTTAAATCTTGAAGAGGTTGAACCAGATCGATGGCGATCCGATATTGACATATATGGAGCCTGTGGAGGTCTGCGCGCAGGCGCGTATGTACTCGAAGGAGTCCGGGCTGGTGCCGTGGGCCTCTGAGATCTGGCGGTTGCGCCATTCAACGGGGTTTGCTGTGGATTACTGAAGGCAGTTTCGCGAGCATATACTGCACCATTTGTTTCCGAATTGCTGCCTCGACTTCGTAAGCTTGAATTCATATTATTCATTTGGGGGCGCGGGTCGATGGGAAGAAAGGTATCGGGATGCACATCGTGTGCAGCATCAGGGCTTAAATGTTGAACAAAGTCCTGTGAGTCTGCAGAGGAGCCTGAGCCTGCAGAATCGCTGGTTTCAATATGTGGACGTTCCATGATCACCGAAGGTTTTAATGAATCAAATATTTGGCCGTCGTCCCCGTGTGTAAAGCGTACAGCACGAGGTGAAATCTCCGAGCTCATGACCAAGAGTGGCACTGAGTGTTTATTAGAAAAGTCAGATGCTGCGGCTTGCCAAAAAGTAATTTGCCCTTTGTCTAGCGTCGATAGGAAGTCATCCTGGTACCGATAAAGCAGGGGGTGTGTGACAGGGCAGTGGTGATTTTAGGTGAAGTGAAGTAGGACGGAGTGCTGTTTATAGTGATTGTCTAGAACTTTAAATCGAGGAAGCAGAAGAAAAGAATCAATGTTTGAGAAATTAATTAAAAACAAAAGATACTGGGTAGATATAAGAGGAAAAAAGCTGAATCGAGGGGAAGATGTAGGTGTAGGAGTAGCAGATGGATATTACCTAGTAGATAGGAATTACAGGATGGATGTAAAAGATTATACTTACCTAGGTACTTTTAGCAAGTTACTAGGTAAGGTACTAACTAAGGATTGAAAAGCTTCAAAAGAAAAGATGCAAAGGGTAACTATTGTCGGTTTAAGCTCAGGTAACAAAATATGATTGGGTGGATTGGGTTTATTGATTTTTACTGATTCATTGATTGGTACACAATCGTTGATTAGTAAGACCGATTAAGGACAAAACTATCCGGTTTTGATTTATGGATATTTTGATTTATGGATATCAATTTCATGAATGAAATATGCATCGTGAACGGATCGATATTCAGAATTTACGGAGTGCTGGAGATTATCACTACACCACTACACTAGCATTGGGTACGAACTCATCTAGTGATTTGAATTTGTTGATCGACACCCGAATACCGAAGTCTAAATGATTTGAGTGAAAGCACCAAGGTAAAGTACCAAGGGTAGATAGATAGTATAGGTACTAGGTAGTTGGCCAAATGCTCGGTATTTAATAAAGAGACTTTAATTTCAAATACTGTTTGTTTACTTGATAGGTAGCGTCTAGTAGATAGTAGATACTAGATAGATGTCCGTTCTATTTTCTTTATCAAATCCTTCTCTACCTATTCTACTTACTCTACTTACTCTACTTACTCGAGAGACAAATATGGACTATCATCACCCCAAAACAAATCAACCCCGCGACATCCTGTTCCTCTCTCTTTTGCCACTCACGCCCTACGACGATCCTGTGCCTCACTTTCTATGATACCCATTTATGAAGAGTTTCAAAGTGAATCATTTAAAGCTAAGCCACAACTTACCAAACTCTACTCGTACTCCGTATACATATAGGAACTGTACGCACCTGGCGTAATGGAAGCGAGCAAAGGGGGTGCGCTGATGTCCATGGATGTCACAATCGGGGAATCTTTACTCGAGCCTGTAAAATGTCTGATAGGATATGGATGTATCGAGGCTCGAGAATTTTGAGGCTGATGTAGCCAAATATGGACAGCACATAGAATGCTGTATTCAAGTCAGGTAGGTATGCACCGACGCCACCGAAGATGAGGATGATAAGCTCTACTCAGGGATTGTACTCCCTTGATGCTAGTTATTCCGTTCATCCATCTTAGCATTTCTAGCGCGGAGGGCTATCCTAGGGATTTGGGTGCTTGGCTTCAAAATAATAATGACAGCAATTATGAATAAGTAGGCTCTCCTTCAAGTAAACTCTCTTTCCAATCACCAAATCAACTGCTTCTATTCATTATTCTGTTATCAAGCAATTGCACAGAATTGTACGCGTAGGCTGCTTTAAATATTATCATAGTAATAATACTCGAGTACAAAGAAGAATGTTCCCAACGATCGTGCGCATGCATCGGAGAAAAGGTTCCGACACTCAAAAGTTTAAGTGCTTAATCCCTGTCAAGCTACAGTCAGTCTCGTGTGTGTGGAACGCGTGTTGGACATGGAAATATCATATTGCTAAATTGTGATTGATTGATTTTGTATACCATACCCATACCCATACCATAGCATTGTTCATCAACAACATAACTTTTCAAAACAGTTTTTGCATTGTATCAGTTAGATATCTCTGTATACAATACTTTCCTCATGATATAACAAATATCAATATTTGGGTGCGATGTCAAGTCAAGATGCATCCCTTTTGCCCGACGCGTCGATTCACCAAGCGCGTCGACGATCTGCTGTCTTGACTCCAAGCTCACAAGCAATTGGTCAAGATGATATAGCGAGTCTAGGGAGTAAGAAGCGGAAGAGAGATGGCAATTCTTTGGAGGATTTGCTTAAGGATACTTTTATTGTTAAGGTAGGCAGTATAACTGAGTGTTTTCGCGGCAATATATCTTACTATTTAAAAATAGCCATATCCATCTAAAGTCAACACTCGACCCCGGAGCCTTCAGCCTTTAATACTATTATCGCGATCACATCTACCTCTTTCGTATCTGGATATTGGATCTACAACTAGTCCATTGCCTCAATCGCGACTTTTCGAGACTCATGTTAAGATATTGGAATTGGAGGAACGAATGGGAAATCAGCCAATGGTTCTCATAGCTAGATTGGATGACAATCGTACGTTATACGCAGTCGAGAGAGAATCGCGAGGATTGTATGTCATTTTACAACTCGGTTCTTGGATCAACATACATCACTTGAAGTCTTCGGCTGTTGTCGCCCAGACCGAGCGCCCAGATGTACCGGTGAAGGGAATGCTTCTAGGCTCCGCCTATTTGGGAACCTCGACAGAGTCATTGATCACACCAGAGGGGAGCAAATATAATAAGAAGAAAAGACAAGCCATCGAAGCGATACAGTCTATGATCAAACGGCCATCCACTCCACTATTACCAGAGCCCCGACCTCGATCAGTTGCTCCTGAATCATTACACGTACCCGAGGCTGAAAATGTCTCCCAAGCAACAGTTTCTTTGCCCGCCTTGAAAACGAAAACACAAGCCACAGCTCCTGAGATATTCGATAACATCAGAAATCAGTACTTCGAATCACTCTATCTCTCAAAAACCTCACTGGCATATTTTGCCAAAGGTCCGTTATCACGAGCACGTGCGGCATTCCACCTCGACTTTGACGCAAATCTCGATATGAATGATCACATTGCATTTTTAGAAAGCCTTGTACTATCTAGTACTCTTCTCGACAAGAAGTATCGCGATGGTGTACCTGCCTGTGTCTCGGCCATTGATATCCACGATGAAAGTGCCGACGATGCGACAGTTAAACCCAAAAAAAGAAAGGGCAATAAAAAGATGAAACCTGGAAAGAATGGTTTGTACCCAAATGAGGAATCACTCATTGGAAAATGGTGGGTTGGTCATGATGAGGACATAGAGTCCGGAGCTCCGGGATCATCGAAAGACGAGATGGCAAAAACTCGCATAGCCAATTTACGTATTCGCGAAACGCAACTTCAAATGATTGTGATTCTTGAGATTCTTGCTCTACAACCTCTAGCTTCGACAACAGAGAACGTGGAGGGAGGCTTACCAAGTCTACCAAGTTATGATATTATTCAAAGCAAGGAACGAACACCCAAAACTAGAAAACAGGACCATCTCACAATGCTCATTGATGTCCATATTGATCGATTATGCATTTGGCAGTCCATTGCAACTGAAGCCATCAAAGCTCCGGAAACAAGCTCAGATCCAACAGCTGCCAAAAGCGTAAATCACACTGACAATATCCTCAAGGATTTTTGCATAGAAGTCATTGCGCCTTTCTTCTCAGCACGTCTCCCTGATCGTTGTGATGCCATAAATCGTAAACTTGGAGGACCAATTACCAAATCGGCTTCAAAACCTAGGATTCCTAAGTCTGCAAGTTTCTCAAATACACCTACTCGACCGGGGGCAGTCATTAAGCGTCCAGTTCCTGCAAAGCAAAGAAAAAGTCTTCAACGTGTGTTGACAGATGATAGAGAGAGACGTAGTATGTCAATAGGGTCAAACAGAGCCATTTCTTTAATGAGGTCTGCCACCGATCCCACCATTCCTGGTCTTAAGAGAGAGGCCAGTGAGGCACCATCCTTGTCTAGCATACCCTTTGTCGAGTTCAAACCTCTTCATGCTAACAGAGGTGGAGTTTTGAATTCGAAAAGATTTTCACAAAGAGAGATTGATATGAGTACACTTGCCCCAGACGCTAACTCAAAAGCAAAGAAGCAAGCTGCTATTGATGCAGAGTTGAAAGATGCCATTTCAGCACTCAAAAAGCCAAATCGTGAGCTAGCTGGAAAATCCTTGGTCGAGACTGCTGAACGAAGATCTGCCTTGGCTGGACATCCGCGGAAGTCCAAAAAGCCCATCAGGAACCCCTTATTCCAAGGATCTCAACCGGTACAGATCAAGGCCACACCCAAGAATAATCGTCGGAAAGATGTGTTCGGTGAATCTCAATCGACTCTTAGTGGATCGAGGGATTTTGAGCAGATGAAGGTTGGGCTCATTCCTCCATCAAGCGTACCCACCATACCACAATCCAAGGTTCGTCCAGCATACGGCCAAGATCCTTTTCGGGATTCCGTACAAGCGACTCCAAGTCGCAAATCCTTTTTTACAGCATCTATACACGCGAACAATTTCAAAAACTGTGATACCGATTATGCAATACCACCTTCTTCACCATTGCAAATGCGTCGCCCCAGCGCACAACTATTCAACAGTATTCCCGAATCTGTGGTAAAAAGACCTGTCTCAGCTGGCCCACGAGGTATTTTGGAAACACCAATAAAAAGATCTTCATCCTCCATTTTGTATAATGGCATAGAAGAAACACCACTGAGAGAAACGCCAGTCAAGGAAACACCTCTGGGGAAGATATCAGAGTGGAAATTGGGCCACACTCATCCTTTTGGCCCTTCACATCACGACCAAGAGAATTTAAGGGAAGTGCCAGTAGCACTAGAAAAGACGAAACCTACACAAATTTATAAGAAAGAGGTATCATACTATGAGGCGTTAGGGTGGAATGATGATGATATTGATGACTTGGCATGAAATGATTACATTTGACAGGAGTTTTTTCACTTGGACATAAAACCATGGCTCTGAGGATGGTTGGGTGATTGCACAGGGTTTAGCATAGCATTGGCGTATTGTATGAGCGACTCACAACTTCGTTACAATTGCACGCAAACTTACCTAGTAAGTAAATAGTTAAGAGATATGAATACATGAATACATATAAATTATAACATGTCTCTGAATATCCTTTCAACTAATGTTTGAAACAATCATTTCTGCCGCTATCTTTTACCTTTCGCGCCGACACGGGACGGATGCCTTTATTATGCTGCCCTTCCCGCTAATCGGCAAGGCAAGCAAATGGTAAGTGGAGCACCGGGAGATATTCTTCCTTCCTCGCGCATCTGATAAACAAATATAAATATGTAACCAATTTGATAATATTAATAATAATAAACAAATTTTTAAAAAGAATTCTATACATTCGTTTTTTCCTTCACTTGAAAAGGGTTTGATTTTACCCTTAGTTAGTTGGTGCGCGAGCTGGACTTTTTTTTCTAGATTGGTTGGTTTTCTGTTGCTTTTATATTTTATTTTTTTCGTTGAATACCTACTTACCTAGGTATATAAATATAAGGTTAACCTTAGTATTACTCTTCGCTTGGATATATATACTAGCACTAGGTACCTAGGTACTGTACTTCTATTGTCATCTGAACTTAAATTCATCATACTCACTGCACATACTAGGTATTTATATAGCTACCTAGATACCTAGTTAAGGAAACGAGCTACAAAACAACCAAGACAACCAAGACGAATACCTATAAAAGAGAACCCCATCGATCAATCAATCAATCCATCCATCCATCAAGAGTCTCTTCATGCGCAACTGGTAAACTCCCCGCGATAGAAAAAGACACGGCAAAAAGAGAAAGAGACAGAGGACATTGCGATTCATCGCCCTACCTAATCCAATCCAATCCAACTTTCTTCTATAAGTGTGTTCGATATCAAAATCAGAAATAAATACAAATGCCTACTCCTATTGAAAATCTCCTGCGCTTGCTTAATGGGGATATGGATATTGTTATGGAGTTTTTGAGTGATTATCCTGTGATTAATGGTATGTTCTTTTTATTTTTATTTTGGGAGGTTATTTTATGTATATTATTTATATTATATCTTCACCACTCACCCACCCCAAACTATCCAAAGAACCCAACATTCTAACCACCCCTTCCCAATAGAAATCCTCACCAACACAATCCCCTACATCCACCAAGCACACTCCCATCTCCAAACCCTCACCCCCCACCTCCGCAAAACCTACACGCAAACCCTCCACCTCCTAAACCCACTCTACCATACCCTCCTCAAGACGCTCACTCCCCTCCTAACAACCATCCAACACTTCGCCTCCCAAGCCCCCGCTATAACAGCTCTTATCGTCTTACTTGCAATAATATGGTATATATTCTGGATAATGAGTTTTATCAGGAGAGTTATGGCATGGGGCACAAGAATGGTTTTTGGTGTGCTTTTCTGGGGGGTGCTGGGGTATTTTGTGTTGGTGGTTTGGGAGAGGGGGGTTGTGAGGACCGCGGGAGAGGTTTGGGGGTGGGGTTGGTGGTGGGGAGATGTGGAGGGGGAGTATGAGGGTTTTGAGGAGGGAGGGAGAGGGAGTGAGGGGGCGGAGGGGTTTAGATGGGAGGGATGGGTGGTTATCAGTTGGGTGGATTGGCGTTTTGTGGGTGGTTTGTTTGTTTGTTTGTCTTTGATAATGAATGAAGCGGGGAATGGAAATGGAAATGGGAAACGGGAAATAAAACTAGGGGGAATTTTAGATGGGAGGAAGAGTTGGGTTGGGTTGAGTGCACGAGGAAGGCATTGGATATGAGGGGTAGATATATGCTTTACGGCATCAGCAATGAATGATAGAGCAACAGTAGAGCATCATGAAATGATTACCCTCTACCATCAGCGAGAGGACATTTTTAACCATGGATATGAAACAAAACTATACAAGAATTGGCACATTGGGAGACGGAAACATGGGACAAACTGAACAAAATATCTCGAATTTCAGGATATTTTTGAAAATCCATTTACACCTACACTAGTATTTCATGTACCAAATAAACGCCCACGCTATGCATCAAAAACCATTCCTCCGCAACTCCAAATTCCTTCTCCGAATCCGTGTCCTAACCAGCTATGCGCCTCTGTTTATATAGAAAATCGAAGTATACTTAGAAAGACCATTTGTGTAGCCATCCAAAGATTCCACATCGTAGTTCCATTTGACTATCCCCGGCAGCCAAACAAACCATTTTATTACATATCCGGCTCATCATATTCCACCTCATCATTTGGTTCCTTTGGTTCTTGCGCCTCATGAAATTGAATCGCATCGTCGATATAACTCAAGATCCCACTCACACTATCTTCACTCTGCACATCCAACCTCAAATATGACACCATACTAAAACTATCAATCAATCCCGCGACCGCCTTATTCAACCTGCGAAAACTATTCCCCTTCATCAATGTTTCCGCATCCTTTGCTTCTCCTTCCCCATCATCTTCTTCCTGATCATCATCCAATAATGATGTATCTGGATCTAAAAATCTCTTCAATTCCCTCTTCGCAAGTTGTCCTTTTACCAAATCCATCTTGGAAAGAATATTAACGTGTGGAACCTCGAGCATAATCATCGCGCTCATAGCAGATAAAGTGCCTGCGAAAAACTTGGCCCGATCAACTACAAATGTCGCTTCTAATAAATATGCCGCGCAGAGATTAATATCCAATGCGCCCGTCTTTGTCAAGAATTTCACCAACGCAGGCAAAATCGGGATATGTGTGTATAACTCTATTTGGCCCGGCATATCGATTATGATGAGATATTCTTCGGTCAAAGGCTCGATGGCTTCGGAAAGAAAATCCAGATTCTCAAGTAGGAATTCGAAACAATAGATTAGACCACCGTTGGGACCGAGTCCCATTTCTTCCATGACATCTTCGAGGGAGATGAGGTCTTTGATGTCGAGATCGGGTTCGTGGGAAAAGGTTTCGGCTGCCGGATCGAGGTTGATGTAGAAGCAGGAGCGGCGATTGTTTTGAAGGTGGTTTATTAGGCCGGTACAAAAGGTTGTCTAAAGTTAGTAAGGGGAGATTAGTATTTTTAGATAAAGTGATATTCACAAGAGTTGAGGTCTTAATGATGAATGGCTGGAGCAGAAGAAAGGCGTATAGGACTCACTTTTCCTGCACCTGCAGGTCCCATTACTAGGACGCCAAATTTACTCATTTTGACTGTTGATTTTGATTAATGGTGCCTACTATGTAATGTGAATAGTTTTTTTGTGTTAAGAGAGCAATGATGGATATCGCAGATTGTATTGGTAGATGGTGATAAGTGGGGTAGCCATCAAAAGAAAAAAATGGTTCAGCCTTCTGGGCCGAAGCGATAAAGATTTTTCGCGCAAGGCTGTGACTATAAGGTTAAGGCTGAGAATAACTTTATTACCTATGAGCCGTGCTAGGATGAAACTAGCACCTAGTGGGATATTTAGCCGGATGCATTTAGTCTGTAGTATGTACAGACTTCAGCAATCAACTAATGATGGAATTGAATAGAAGCTTCAATGAATAAATACTATGATTCCGAATTTCAAACACACGTGCAACGTGTACAGTTCCTACGTACCCCAGCTTCAGACCGGGGATATGTGAATATTCGATTCGGTGTCCGAGAGAAAATACACCTACCTAGTAGCTGAACCACTCACCCAAACCAACAAGCCAATGAACTCAACAAACTTTGCCAACTTATCTAAAACCTCATAAAGGATGCGTGAGACTTGCTTGATAAAGGATCGCTAAGAAAGGCAACTGAACTGCAAGTGGCCATATTTGATGCCTTCTGTATGGAATGCATGGGATGAATGGGATGAATCCTGCATTGGAACCTTACATACATCAACATACTAGATTCAAAGGCGGAGAGGAGAGTATTAAACATGTCGCTTGCCCTTTTCTATCGGCCAGCCTCTTTTAAGTGCAAGATATGGTGCAATTCAAATTTATAACCAATTGAATTTTGTAGCACGGACATTCTCTTTGTTAAACCCCACCTTCTTCAGAAATCCCTACCACAAACTTTTCCTTTTCTTACATCCTACTAGATCCGTTTCCCTCGACTTCTTAACTACTTCCCCTCTCCCTCCTCTTTCTCTCCCAAATCATCGTTTCTAATCAATCATCTTATTCATCTTATTCCTCTTCTCTCTTTTCAATATCTCTCCTCTTTCACTTCACCCCCTCACATAAACCAATCGCAATCATGGTTCAAACCAACGGAGTTTCTCACCACAACCAAGGAACTTTCCTTTTCACCGTAAGACGACTTTTCCTCTCGATATCGATTCTATTTACTGATCATATTCTTTCTATAGTCCGAGTCCGTTGGTGAGGGACATCCAGATAAGATCGCTGATCAAGTCTCCGATGCTATTCTCGACGCATGCTTAGCAGAGGACCCTCTCTCCAAGGTTGCTTGTGAAACTGCCACCAAGACTGGTATGGTTATGGTCTTCGGTGAGATCACCACCAAAGCACGTCTCGATTACCAAAAGGTTATCCGTGGAGCCATCAAAGATATTGGATACGATGACTCCTCCAAAGGTTTCGATTACAAGACTTGCAACGTTTTGGTTGCCATTGAAGAACAATCTCCAGATATCGCTCAAGGTCTTCACTACGAGCAGGCTCTTGAGCAATTAGGTGCTGGTGATCAAGGTATCATGTTCGGATATGCTACTGATGAGACTCCTGAATTATTCCCTTTGACCCTTCAATTGGCACACAAGCTTAACGCTGCTATGTCCGCTGCTCGCAGAGACGGAAGCTTGCCATGGCTCCGACCTGATACCAAGACTCAAGTCACCATTGAGTACAAGCACGATAACGGAGCTGTTGTCCCACAAAAGGTTCACACCGTTGTTGTCAGTGCTCAACACGACGAGAACATCACCACCGAATCTTTGAGAAAGGAGATCTTGGAGAAGATCATCAAGAAGGTTATCCCTGCTCAATACTTGACTGAGGAGACCATCTACCACGTAAGTTGCTATATTATTTCTTTCTCTATACACTGCTAACATATGTTGTCAGATTCAACCATCTGGACTCTTCATCATTGGTGGACCTCAAGGAGATGCTGGTCTTACTGGCCGAAAGATCATTGTCGACACATACGGTGGATGGGGTGCTCACGGTGGTGGAGCTTTCTCCGGAAAGGATTTCTCTAAGGTTGACAGATCTGCTGCCTACGTTGCTAGATGGATTGCCAAGTCATTGGTTAATGCCAAACTTGCCAGACGTGCTCTCGTTCAACTTTCATACGCCATCGGTGTTGCTGAGCCACTTTCTATCTTTGTTGACACATACGGTACATCTAGCAAGACTTCCGATGAACTTGTTGAGATCATCAGAGCCAACTTTGACTTGAGACCTGGTGTCATTGTCAAGGAGCTTGATTTGGCTAAGCCAATCTACTTCAAGACTGCTAAGAACGGTCACTTCACCAGTCAAGAATTCAGCTGGGAGAAGCCAAAGACCCTCAAGTTCTAAATCCAAAATTAAACTCAAAATACAACATCAGTACATGACTCAACGTCTTTGTACAACCAGGATTCCCTGAATTTCTTACGGATATCTAACGGCGCAATGATTGATGAACGGCATGGTCTCAACGACCTTTGGGGCCAAAATATGGCGGGAGTTTTTTTATGATATCATTCAATTTTTTATACATTTGTTTTCAAAGATGCTTTGAAGTTTGATAAAAGCATTATTTTTCATGTTTTCTTATTTGTTTTTCAAGGATGACGGATAACAAAAGACATAAATGAGGATAAAAGTCTTTCAACATAGACCATAGATATGGCGGGTAATGGATTATTACTCTTTGGGGGATGGGATGTGTGTGGCATACATAGCATTTCGGCGTTACGGAGAACTTCAACATCTTCATATAGTCGGAGAATACCTCGGGCATATTGTCTTTAAATGGTTTCTCAGTTGCTATTGTGTATGGAACGCAATTTGATTCGATTTGAATCAAGGATAGATAGTCATCATGATATGATGATTAGATTAGTTTTTTGGCTTTGGAGGGAATAGAATTAAGACTGTCCTTCTCTACTTTTATATAATACATATGAGTGATATGAGTGATTTGATGAGAAATCTTATTGCATTTAAAGTCTCTAATAATAGTTATCTACAGACACCAGGGAGTACATCAACATCAACTTGTACAAGGTACATATCCCATACTACACCACAATGAAATTCATTAACTCTGAAAAGTCCCTTTCTCGAAAACATGGGATTCCCACTTTCCTATCCTATTGTACTGAAAGTTTCTTTGTAGGATGTTCATATTGTTCTTTTTCTTTGTTTTTGCTGTCTGGATTTTGTATATTTGTTTCTTGTATGTCATGTGATATAATGTGAAAAGGTTGAGTGGGATTAGGTGGGATTGAGTTTGAAGTGGAAAGAGATGGATTGATTGGTAGGTAGGTGGGTAATAGGTCAAGGGGGATGAAGGATGGGTTGAGGGGTGCATGAAGATAAAAGTTTTGTGGGTTAGTGGGTTTACGGGGATGGAGGGTAGGTTGAAGGGTTGAAAGGTTGAAGGGTTAAAGATGGGGAGGAGGAGGGGAAAGGATGGGATGGGATGGGATGGGATGGGATGGGATGGGATGGGATGGAGGGGGGAAGGAGGAGAAGGAGATTTTGAAGGAATTCTGGAGAGGAGGGAGTATATTTTTATTTGGTGGTTGGTTGGTTTGGTGTTTGATTGATGTTGACATGATAGATAGAGTAATGAGTAGCATATAGATTGAAGGATTCAAAAGTTAAAGGCCCAAAAGATGAAGGAGGATAGTTTAAGGAGGGGAAGATTGATGTGAAGATGTCAATAAAGAAAGGTAGAAGAGAAAAGAAAAACTTCATGATAAGATTAGTTGAGATGAAGAATTTGGATAACCTTACATGGTATATAATTAATGAAAGTGGGAAAATGAGGGTTTTAATATGCGTGTAGAATTATAGTGATAGTGATACTGATACTGATACCTCCGTCATGATAATTCATCTGTTTATCTATCTTGTTTATATCTAGTGCTCCTCTGTAGACTGACTCTGTGGTGTAAAAGTTGTCTGGCTGTTTAAATCCCTTTTATCTACGGGCTTTAATATCTTTCCTCTTCTCTTCTCTTCTATTTCTTCTTCTCTTTTCCCCCTTATACCCACCTCACTCACTCACTCACCCACTCACCCCTCCCTCCAACCCTCTCCCTCAAAACAACCCAACATAAAATATAAATAAAGCCCCAAATAAACCCCGTGACACCAATCAAACATCACAATCACATGATCAAACCAAATAAATCAGTCTTCGTGGCTCAGTTGGTAGAGCGTTGGTCTCATATTTCTTTCTTCTTGTAAGATTGTATATATATGAGGTGGTTGTTAACAATCACTTTAGCTATCCAAAGGTCGAGAGTTCGAGCCTCTCCGAGGACAGATTGGTGATGAGATTTTTGCTTTGGAGGGAAGGGAGAAAATATGGAAGAGGGAAAAGAGGGGGTTTGGTGAGAGGATTGGGGAGGTAGATGGGGAGGAGGTGGGGTGGATTGGGATGGGAGGAGGGAGGAGATGAGAAGGGATGATGGATGAAGGGATGATGGATGAGATGAATGGATAGAGGGAAGGAAGCCACTGATGATGATGGATGGATGGATGTATGTATAAGAAGGAAGGCAATGGAAGGAACCAAGGTAGGTATATGTAACAATAATATCGGATGAGAATAAATGCAAATAATAACAAGTAATAAGAGAATGAACAATAAATAGCATTATGATCATCACACGATAATCACACATGATGAAGCAATAATCGATCGATTCATGATAAGAATATAGATCAGGAGTACGAAATAAGGATATTGAAGTTTGATGAAAGTAAAAGAGAGATATCTCTCATATCAAATAATTAGAAAATAAAACTTCCGATTTCTGTAAACTACAGAGTATAAATTGGTCTCAATCAATCAATCATATTGGTAATCTTGTTTGTTGGTCAATGGTGACCAATTCTCCTTCGATGAATGATAATTCTAAATGATTCTTCTTATGAGAAATTCTAAAAGAAAAGGTTATTTATTGTTGTGATTGATTGTTAACCTTATCATAGCTATGATTGGATCATAACTAACCCGCGCAATATGTGATGAAATCAAATATCTTGAGATTTCCATCACCATCAACTAATTATTTTTTGGTTCCGATTTTACATTTCCCGAGTTCGAGAAATCAAAAGACCAAAAAAGTACTGTACAGAGCAAGGTTAAAGGGTTAAAATACTGACAAGACAAGAAACTCTCCCAACCATGCATAGCCAATAGATCATCTAGAGTCACCTCTTCAAAAAATCAAAAAATACCTACCCAAAATCAACAGCGTCTACGGAGTATAAGCTTCACACAATACCTAGTACCCAGGAAACGCATCGAACAACCTTCCTTCTGGTGTTCTTTGACTATAGCTACCTAGCTAAAGCTCCAAATCTTCTCTCCTCTCCAATATCGGTATTTCTCAAAATGCATAAAAATTTATATTTGAAGATAGAAGATAGAAGATCTTTGCTGGTTAAGGGGGAGGCTTAGACTGTGGGGTTAATTATATATTCTTGTGCTGTTGAGGCTTGAAGCTTGAAGGAATCAAATTCCAGAAGGATAAAAATTAAAATATTTCATAAATTGGAATTTTTGGGGTTTGGGTTTTTGTTTTTGGTGGGTTTGTTACTCTGTAGTAAGTTTGGTGGAGGAGGGAGGATTGATCGGTACAGGGATGGTGATGGTGATGATGATATTGATGAGATGAGGTTTGGGGTGGAGTTACTTATGGAGTTGCCCACTGAGTGGTAATTAGCTGGTTCTTTGATATTTTGTGTTTGGGGTTTGGGGTTTTGTAAGGAGGCGGGATGTATATTATATATACTCCGTATGAAGAGAAATGGTGGAGAGAGAGGGAAAGCATGAAACTGTTGATAGTTTTTGGAAATGAGAGATTAGATGAAAGATTGCATGAATGAATAAATACATGAATGAACGAGTGGAGTTGACAGGACGGGAAAGATCTGACATATGGCGTTACATCTATGCTTATTCATACTGGTGAAAACGTTTTGATACACTGTACATGAGATTGTAAACGTGGCACAAGGGGAAGCGAGGCAGATTTGAGAATGGAGAATTTTACTCCAGTAACCTTACTACTTCTTACACAGTCAGTCAGTGTATATCCATCAGCATAATGTGACCAAATAAAACAATGAGATGAAAGCCTCTTCATCAAATTTCAAGATCTAGATGCATCAATTATCAAAGAGATGAAAAGTGGAGTTGCTTGATGGACGAGTAACTCTAAATATCGAGCTATCTACAAGGTGGATACTTCACGCTAGAACATTCTTGCTAGATGAAATGAATGTTGTGAAAGGATAATTTGCAATGATATCCTGGTTTCTCAAGTTTTGCTCCTTCTAGATATCGGGAATTAATATATGATTCACATATTAATTGAAGATCATGCATGAGAATTAGTGAAGTTGAAGCTTTTATTCATTCATATCGTTCGGGGGGTTTTAATATGGTTTGGGAGAGGTCAGGTTCACCAGGTTCGAGAAGTATGGGAAAGATTCTAGGAGTTTAGACTTTCTCGTATTGATGAAGGGGTAAAAGCGACGCTCGTGGATAGATAGGTGTGACATCAGAATATCACGGTGATATTGTATAGGATTTTAGAATGAAGGAATGTATGTTGGATGGTACCTTCGTTACTCCTCGAGTAAAGGATCAAAAGATAAGATAAAATTACCCGGAATATTTGGTGTACTGCGTAATAATAACTGTGCAAGTCTTGCATGGGATGAGATTTCGATCTGGTGGCTGTGAATCTGTGATGGACGTACAGGAGAAACGTATGGCAGCGGAAAGAGGAAAGTAATTTCCTGTGCCTGACTATCTACCGGGACGGGCTATCGAATGGTACAGTGTACAAATTAGAGAATATTTAGCGCTTATCATCAGGATGATTCATCAATGTTGTTCACTCCTCTCGGATGAGACGCCATTTAGAGATTTGCGATGGATGTAGCTTTGTACAGTAGTTTGTATAGACTCAGCACTGAGAACTCAGAGGACGGGTCATAAGAACAGAGAATTCAAGGTAAATTCTAAGAATAGTATAAACTTGATCATTCATAAGTAAACCGTGTTGAGACAAATAGTAATGGTCTTTTCTTGGTAGTAAACACCAAATTAGCTGAAGCCTCATCATGTAAGGCAATGTAAAACGTTTCACTCAAAACGGAAGTGATGGTGATTGTGCGGTTACTTTCATATTTCTTCTACGGAGAGCATGGCTTCATCAACGTGATCGGCGTCGATATAGCCGCTGTTGATGGCGCATATGCTGAGATGATATACTCACGGGGCTGAACACTTATCATAATCATCAATGATTCAATGAGGTGCATTGAAAAGGCTGGTTGGCTATTATTCGGGTGTAGGAAAAGATGAATCCAATTGTTATATGATTGGGAGATCACATAGGCCGAGGACGGACCTGGGTATTGTTCTTGATATCGGCTAAAGAAAAGTGATGATACGTATCATACGTTGTTGTCCTCGAGGGATAAGAAGGTGGCATCACTGCATCCTGCATCCTGCATCCTGCATCTGCAATTACAATCAGGGGTAATCGGGTCTACCGGCAAAAAGAAGATTTTATCTATTGGCCCTTTGTTGTTCTTCCTTACCCATCCATTTAATTATTGGTGTTCATGCCTAGGTAGGTTATGCATATTGGCGCCGCACACGCAGAAGAAGTTTCGGCAGAGAAATAACGGATGAGAACGATGATTGGTTTATTGACTTAAGATGAAGCGGTTCACGAATCACCATATACATAATTTCTGTGTAAACTATAAAAAAAGATTGGATGGGAAATCTTTTGAGGGTTTTCACTAAAAGATCCACATCACGAAACATTCAACCAATCAAAAATCAATGGTACCTGAAGTTGACTCCATTTTCACTTCACTTGTCCGCTTATCCTATCAGACTAATCCATATTTGTAATAGTCTCTTGTTTATCCGCATTTCCTAAGAGGAACCCGGCCTCTTCTACCTTCAAAGTTCATCTTTTTATATCCTTCACCCTTGTCGAACGGTGGTAAATTATAATGATTGTCTAGTATTCTACACGGTCACTACCAAATTGAGTCAAACCTTTTTCCAAATGAAGTGAAGTGAAAAGAGAAAGCACATTTCACATTTGAAGAATGATTTTGGTGAATTGGATTGTTTACTAGGTAGGTACCGTACTGTGATTGGTAAGTGTAAATCTTAATTCAAAAGTTCCCTTTAGATCTTGATATTCTTGAACAAAAAGACCGACAGACTTCTCTGAGAGCACTTACGACGCCGTAACCTCTCTTCTCTTCCCCCCTCCCTTCCCCCCAGTTACTCCTCGATTCCAAATCCTGGACATCATTAAGCCCAATCAATTATTACCGAGAACTGTGAATCCGTGATCGTTCATCTTTCACACTCGGGGGATCAACCTCTTTTGATTCTTTTGATCCATTCTTCTCCCCTCCCCATATGGGCCATAACTCATTTTCTCTCCCTTTGAACCAAACCTCTTCTAGTCTTTCCCTTGACTGCACATCTTTTTCCCTTTTCTTCTTTCGGTACCTATCTAGACCCTAATGTCTTGAGATTGCCATCTGGGCCTGATAGCAAGAATGGCGTTCGTAGAAGATATACGAGCCAAACCTCTCCCCTCAACTCCTGACTCTGAGACTCATTACGCTTCAAATAATAATAATTCATCGACTCCATCCGATCTCACGGACTCAGCTACCCCGGTCACCCATTCAAATCCACATGAAGACCAACATCGGCCAAATTCTCAACCAAAGAATCCTTCATATTCGCAGTACTCACAAACACAGTCAGCCACAGCCCGATCTCGCGCATATTCAACAGCTTCCACGTCGTCAATAAATTCCGTTCGTCGCAAACCTTTACCTGTAGGTGCCTCGCCTTTGGCAACCAGGTTTTCCACCAGGTATTCCACGGCCGAATACTTCAGTCCATCTATCGAAGAATTACCAGAACCGGATCTGCCACATTCAAGGTATACGAATGTCGCTGATAGTCCAACACTTTACGAATTTCCATCTAATTTAAAAAGCGCTGTGGCATTTTCCCCGGAAAGTTCTAGCAAAGAGAGCTCCAGCAACAGAAATTCCGTCCGAAGTTCAGTAAGAAGTTCAAGAAGCTCTAAAAGTTCTAGAAGTGCTAAAAGTGCTTCGAAACAACAAAGACCGTCATCAAAGTATGTTTACTAGTGGTTCAATACCTATGCTTACATCCGATTTCCTTATTCACTGTTTCGTATTGATGCTAACATACTTTTGTTTAGAAGATATTCCAGCGAGCAGATCGCTTGGACTACAGTGACGCCAGCGCTACCAGAACAACCATCAGAAGCCGAAGAACAAATTCTGAGCCCAAAAAGTCCGACCCTTTTAGTTCCGTCTCATACGCATTCACCAGGAGCCTCGAGGCATGCAAGATTGGTTAGCGATTCGGCTTTAAGTTCTGATTCTGAATCTACCGGTCATTGGTACGGGGATTCAAGTCCGGAAAGTCGCCCGGGTTCTTCTGCTACTATGTCCATTTTCTCTTCCAAAGCTACACCACCACATAATATTATACCTAATGCTCCGGCAAGAACCTATTCTCACGAATCTCACGACTCTACTTCGACCATACAAAAACCTAAATCACCAGGGAAGCTTGGTTCTCTATTTAGCTGGGGAGGCGCGGTATCCCCATCGAGCTCAACAACGACCTTTTCAGAAGACAAGACAGATTATTCTCCAAACTCTCCCATCCCGTCGTCAAATGCATCCCCGCATAAACTTTCGGAATTCGAAGACTCCGATATCAGGACATATAATACTAAAGCGCCACCGTCCGCGATTGATATCCCCAAAGCCAATGCAGATGCGGCCGAATATTTCGAAAACACATATCTGCAAATACCGATAGCGACACCTAGCCCCACAAACTCACTGGTTGAAGAAATGGAGCAAGAATTAAAGGATATCAGCCAAGAGCTGGCGTCTTCTATACGAAGAGAGATGGACCTAGAAGATCTTGTGGACAGGTTACAGCTTGAAGCTCAAAATTCGGGAACAAATTCCAGCAAGCGAACAAGCGATTATTTCTCAGATTCTGGAACAGGTGTAATTCCCAGATATGGGGATCCTGATCCCAAGCAGGATGAAATGGATAAAATTCAAAGGAAGACGGAACAAGAGAAGGCTTCAATTAGATTAGAACTTACAAATAAAGTACAGGATGAACGAGCTATCAGGAAACAGCTTGAAACGCAAATTCAGTCTTTGGAAGAGAGGGCAGCTCAGGTAATTCTATTGATACAATTTTTTCCCCCTCGTAACTGACATGATTCCTTAGGTTGACCTTGCAGCTCTGAATTCCCTTGATACCAATGGACGTCTGAAAGAATTGGAGAAAACTTGCGAGGATCTTCGCCACAAATTATCCGAAGAGAAACAAGTTAGGGCAAACTTTGAAGATCTCTTGACTGCACTTAAAGCAGACCTCGAAACTTCTCATAACGAACGTGATAACTTACGAGATGAGATTGTTCCTCAGTTGAAGGCTCGCGTCGAAGGGCTTGAAGCGCAAGCTGCAGAGCATGAAAAGTTGACCTATGAGCAAACCAAGATGGCCCAAGAGCTCCAAAGCCTAAAAAAGGAGAATGTCACATTGATCAACGCCCAAAGACTCCAATTGGAGATGAGTCAGTTCAATTCCGTATCGGACGAGGATAGTATAGGTAGCATAAGCAATCTACCTAAGTCTAGGTCATCCATAATGAGTATTGCCGGTATAGGTGGGCTCAGTGGAATGGGTGGATCAGGTGGTTTAGGTGGATCAGGTGGTTTGAAACGGGCCAACTCTCTTGCACATACCGGAAAAACGGCTAGATCACCTGTCGGATCGTTATCGAGGACGACCTCTGTCAGAGCCATAGAGTTCAAAGACAATTTGGCGCAAACGGTGAAGGATATTGAGCTCCAAAGAGATTCGCTACATCGTGCTCTTAAAAGCTTACTCGAACGTCACGAGCACCAAAATCGTGAAAATGAAAAGAAAATCCGCCAGCTGGAAATGGAAAGAGATCGTGCCTTGAACCAATCACCTAGGCGGCGAGGATACGATAAGGAAGTTTCCAGTTTGAGAGAAGAAATCAATATCCTTCGCCGTCGTGCGGATGAAGCAATTGAGCAAAAGTGGCAATGTGAGAAAGGACTAGGTGGCTTAAAGATGGATCTCGATCGTGCGGAACAGGAAATTGGTTCACTAAGAAGCTTGTTACAGGAGAAGGACATTTTAATCAAGCGATCGAGTATAGATTCTAGACCTGGGAGCGCACACGCAACATCTGAGACACTTGAGCGATCGTATCGGGACCTTCAATCAGCTTATGCAGCTTCTCTTGAGCGAATCAAGACTCTTGAAATCTCGGCTTCTGGTGATGAAGCTACTGCACGAGCTATGGAGCAGTTGGAGAGGAGCTTGTCTGACGCAATTTACGAAAGAGATGTCGTCAAACAAGAGCTTGAGGCGGTCAAGGAGCAATCTGAATCTTTGAGAGACTCTGAAAAGGTACATCTTCAGGAGGAGATGCAATTGGCGGATGAATTGCGTGAATCAGCCAGACGAGTTGAGGAATTGGCTGGGCAAGTTAGGCTTCAACTTGCTTCAAATAGCACTCTCAGACAACGTCTAGCTGAAGCTATTGAGCGTGGAGAAAAGGAGCAGAAAGCTAATACTCAAAAGATTACTTTCCTCCAAACTAAGCTCAAGGCTCTCGAGGATCAACTTATGGCTGCTCAGAACATATCCGAGGTGAGAATCGCTCGTCATGAAGATGAGATTCGTGATCTCAAGGATAGTCACAATTTCCAACTTCATCGAGTGAAGTCGGATCTCCGCTCTCCTCGTTCATTCGGACGAAAGACTCCTATGTCTCCATTATTCGCAAATGCTAAAAAGGTGCCACGTCTCTCCGTTACAACCTCTGGCAAAGGAATGTCTGTATCTGAGGATTTAAAAGTTGAACATTTGAAACAACAAGTTGTCAATCTTGAATCTGCTCTTGCCGAAGCCGATAGGGAAATGGAAGAAGTTGTCGGTCGTATGAATATCGCACAAATCGAAGTAATGGAACTACAGAACGAACGGGAAGAGGCAGTACGTGAAACGAAGAAATTACAGAAAATGATTGAACAAGAAAGATTGAGAGCTTTTGAGGGAAGATTTGCTACTCTGAACCCATCATCATAATGAATGGGGCATCTCGAGGTAGATGATGGTTTCAAGATTGTTTCGTCAAGCGATTTTAGCGTTTGTCACTCTGGTGGTGATTGTCTACCAGCATCTCTAATTTATTAATCATCCTACGGCCCTGGAATTTTTGGGATGGGACTGAATGGATGGGTGAACATGGAGTTATTTATTATTGATTGGCATTGATTTCTTATCATCGACAAAAATGCATCAAACGGAATGAGCCAATTGGTGGCTTATGCATCATATTATATATACTAGGGTTTAAAAATTATCTTGGTCCTGGGATGAATTGATATTATCTGATATTATTTCTCAAGGTGGTAGTGGAATGACTGATGAGTTGCGGTCAAGAAAGAAGCGTGATGGTTGTAATTATTTTGGGGATAGCGTTCGCTGAGAGTCAGGAACAAATACATATGGAGATGGGAGAAAGAGAAAACGCTCGCTTGTATGATTACTTATTGTATATTTGTATATTGTATATTGATACACTGGATTTTAGATACCAGATGCTGCTAGATGAATGAGTGAGGAGGAGAGGAGAGGAAATTAATTGCAAATAAGATCTTACTAGGTAATTTGATTTGGTCTTGAAATTGTTTGGTATTGCTTTGCTTTGTAGGTATGTGTGGATCGTGTTTGAAAAACAATCATTGCTTATTGTTGATATAAAGGTCAGTTTGTTGATATTCATACTCAAAATCATTCTTGTTCTTGAGGTGATTATTAATGAGTGAGGGTTTCCAGAATCAGAATTATACAAAAGTTGATGAATTCTAGCCTAGAATTAAAATAAGAGTAGGGTTTAGTTATATTTTTTAATAATTATTATATAATAGGTTTTTTAATTAAATGAATAATCTTTTATAATTATTGTCACATTCAAAAGTATATCATCGCTTTCTGTATATCTCCGTTGTCGAATCAAGACTTCTTTTAATGTCTCGGTTACATATTTGACAATGATTCCACCAGGTGAAAATACAATTTTATTCAAGCAAGCCAAGTAAAACACATGTGACTAACCCGTATTATTTATTTTCTAGATCCACCCATCTCCTTAGGTCTCTTCTGAACCGCGTTGATAGCTATTAATTGCTTACCTTTGCGCCCATGAAGGTTTTATAGAGCAACAGATAGCTTCTTTGCTTGAGAAGTGAGACCTTCGAGCATTGCTCACCTGATATAGGTGTTCCAACACAAGAGTCCACATTCACTGGAAGATATCGGAAGTCTTGCATTAGCATTCCAGTTTGTACTACTTTAAAATAATGATATCTTTTTGGTTTTCACGAAAAAGAGTAGACGTGCGTATAAAGTCAATTTCTTTCACGGATTGTAGAGGCACAGCAACGGCATTTTCCCAGAGTATCTCCACATTCCTCATTCTCTCCTGTTGCGCAAATCTACCTAGTTTGGGTAGAACGGGCTCGCTGATATATCAGAAGTTTGCCTAAGATAATTAGCGAGCACACCTTTTACTGTCGCCTGAAATTTATATTATGGATCCATACATATAACCATGACAGCGACATTTCGAGATATCAAGCATTATCAAATTTGATACCTTTCCATCAACGAGGAAAATTCATGGACTAGAAGAAAATACAAAGGGTAAAGATGAATTTTACTCCAAGTGACCTTACTACTAACCTTAAGCATACAAGGAAAGCTTTCACACCAAGTAATGGGCAGCACTTATATCAGAGATTTCTCCATTTAAGTTTAATACTCTACTTTTAGACCACCTCTCCCTTTTAAACTACTTTTTTCATCAAAAATAACAAAAATCAATATTTATAACTTTTTTATTTAATATAATATTTTGAAATTTTGAATATAAATTATTTATTTATCTATTAATGAATTTTGAAAATTTCTAATTTTTTATAATTTTATTAATTGGATTATTAAAAGATGAAAATATAATCATCAATTTAGACAAACAGCTACTGCGCCTCCAAAAATGTCAATCAAGAACAGTCTAATTATATTGAATTATGACTGGATGAAAAATATGAGTTTGTTTCTGTGTGCGGGTACTATAGAAGCGAGAGAACTATTTCTGCAATGAGAAAATAGAATCGAAACCCCTCTGTTTCGTCTGGCAATCTCGCAGTTGCGAGTCCTGGTATTCTTTGCTAGTGGTGGAGATTCAGAGGACGGTAGCAGTACTTTGTAGGCTTTGGATGAGGTGCCGGTTAGGAATTAATATTCCTGTCGTAGCGCCTGCTTGACTGAATATTTTGACCAAGTAATGGAGAATTGAACCGTCATTATTCGTCTTATATTGATGAATATACCAGAGAATTCTGTTGCGGAGATGAAGATCGCTTCACTTGAGAGACCTATCATAGCTCGTAACTCCCCATGCCCATGCCCCTTTATGCTTCAAAGCAAATCGACACTAGTCTGCTCTAGTCTACAACTGTAACACAATCGATTTATCCTTGAATCATTCTGCCTATCCATGGAGGAACTACAGTAGACATTAATTGTGAAGTATATATTCTTGTACCCGGCGGACTTTTTTAACAACCTATATCCATATACCAAACTCCATCACAAATGCACGCTTCGATTCCCTTATCGTCCCAACCCTTTAGCAAATAGATATTTTTCCCTTCACCCCATTTGAAAGATCCACACAACTCGAGTCTAGCTTCAATCACTATCCTCCATTATCCGCTTCATCCTCCTTCCCTTCTTCATCCTCATCAAATCTTCTTCCCCATCTATCTCTTCATCATTCCTCCTGTTCTCTCATGACCCCTTTATCTTCATCATTTTCCTGGTTCTCCATACCTTTATCCTTTATTCGATCCTTCACCATCTTCCCGCTTGACTCCCAGCTGCTTTATCCGCTGCGACTTTCTTTCTGTATGTGTTTCTCTTATCACTTTGCGTTTCGATGAATTCTGTTATCATTTATTCAAGATTAGCATGTCGTGACTCCGGCATTCTGCCACTAAGCATGTCAATTCTAGTAGAATATAAAATCGTATGCTAACTTGCAAGCTCCGCCTCCAACCTCGGTTTAAAATCTGGAAATTCTAGGTCATCTAATGCCTTGAATACATCCTGCGGCATTATCGTTTTAACACTTCGATTGTGTGCGTTCTCATTTGCACTTTGTATTCACAATTAAGTTAGCAATCTTTTCAAGCAATATTCCCTCCTTCGAATCTCTTCTCCAATTCCCCGCACAATCTCCAATTGACCTTCCCCGCAAACCCTCCCAAACCTTCGAAATAAAGAGTCCAACTCACTGCGTAGCCAAATAATTAACAAAGACCGTCGCACTCTTACTCATCGCCAACATCGCATTCCCCTGAATCTGAGTATTCGGCGGCAAAACTCCCTTCGCCAACCTCGTCACAATACTTTTCGGAAGATTAAGATCCTGTCGGCCATGAAATCCATTAGTTTGACCTCTAATTCGAGCACGAGGAGAAGAGTCAACCTCAGAGTCTCCTGGACCGGACTCGAAATATCCACATTCGGAAGAATCTAGCTAGAGAGACCGGCTGTAAGAAAAGTACGGGAAATAAACCTAAAGACAAACCTCGATACTAGTTCCCTCTCGAACTACGGTTGTCTCTTTAGTGGGTGTGGCTTCCTCGCCGGTGACGGGCTTCGCGACATCGCTTTTTCGTGGTGGCATATTGCGATCTGTGTTATGTGAAGGACAATTGGAGAGTGCGGTGGTTGTGATGTTGAGGATGTAGTTGATTTACTTTATGGCTTTGGCTCTGTTTGATATTGGCAGTTTATTTCTCCTGGGGGAAGGCGGTGAAGCGCCAAATTTCGCGAAATGCAACGCGAGAACCGTGTAAAGTCACGTGGATAATCTTGTAATAATGGGGAAGGTCGTGTTTTAGAATTTGAGATTTGTTATTTTGTACTAGATTTTCATTTTGGATGGTTGAGTTGTTGCTTTAAGGGTTAGCTTGCAGGGTCAACCTCCTTGACTGCATTAGAGAGATTAGTCCGGCTTGTTTAGATGTATGAGCACAAGCATTGAAATGTTTGGGACGATTGAGGTCGAAGCTCATTTGTATATTTATTTTACATTAGATCATATCCGCATACTAATTCATGATGCTGTGTATCTCATTTATTGCTTCAGTCAAGAGACTATCTGTATCATAACTAAGCCTCCTATCGAGTGGTGAATTTCAAATCCCTCAAAACACATGTGCCAATGATATTGCACCAGATCGACATCCTTTCCTCTGTAAGCTTTCAGACTCCACCAATATGAACAAAACCTCCTTGGTATCAATTGTAGTCCTCCATCATTTATAAAACAAACTCCGCCTGCCTCTCCAAACCCAAATAATGCAAATAGAAAAAAGACCAACTTCCAGGCCTGAGACTATGAGATAGCCAACCCAATTTCCCGATCGCTATCCCAGAAAGATGGATACGCAACTCGGGGTGGTGGCCTTGGTGATAATGGTGTGATTGGTGCTAGAGCCCCAGGGCCTGATGCCATTGCTTGAAAGGACATGTCCGATGAATCGTTGTAGTCTCTATGGTTGTAATCTCCGTGGATTCGAAAGTCGTCTTCTGGATCATACCATGTCGCTACCCTGTCGTTGGCTCTCAATTCCTTTGATTCGCCTCCATTGCCACTTTTGACACTCCACATGCTCCTCCCACTCACACTACTTCTCCTGCTCTTCGTGCGTGAATGACCTCCCGACTTCGATAGCCGTGATCTATGTCGTTCGACTGGTTTTATGAATGGTTCCGCGCCAGGCACTACTTCGTCTGTCAGACCGATTCTAGCATTTGGTGCCTGGGCGAGGAAAGTAGGGCTATCGGGTATATAGCTTGAGACGCCTGAAGGATAAAAGGGGGATCGTGTTCGAGAAGAGGTAGGAGAGGCTGTCCACGTCCATCCCGGCGAATGTGTCATTTGTATCGTATTGGATTGTGTATAATCTCGACCTCCCGTCTCTTTATCGATTACTAGGTCCTCACCCATAAACACTTTTCTCTCATTTCCCGAGCGCCGCCACGATTCAATCTCCTCGTCGTCTATCGGTGTCACTCCTCTTCCGGTAAAACTTCGATTTCTCCGATAACGAATGAAAAGATAGATAGCGATTGAGACTAAAATGATACCTAACGTACCCAAGACGGAAGCAAGGATGATGATCAGGGTGTTGCGGCTTATGCCAGAGCTTGCTGATGATCCGGCCGTAGAACTCGAAAAAGGAGCGCTCGTTGCGGCTGTTGATGTGGCTTCCCCATTTCCGGGGAGATTATCTGCTCCTGATGTGGAAGCGGCTGATAGGATAGAAGATATAGCGATTGTGTTCGTAATCATCGATGTGACTGATAACGATGTGAATGACGATTCATCCTTCCTCGAGGTCGTGGATGTTTCTGGTTTTATTGTGCTAGGAGATTCTGAAGGCGATGCTTCCGATAATGAGAAATCATTTATAGCAACTAATGTTTGGGCGGAAGAGAGTAGAAACGACATCAACGTTGCGAACAACAAGTAAATGCCCCGCATTATGATGAAGTGAGGTGCCTTGGCCGAAGAGCAAATATCAAGCTCGATTTAATGTGATCAAAACATTTTTATCAGTCGTAGACTGTCGAACCGACTGGGTTCTTTTCTTGCTTCTCACTATTTGATCTTAGTTGGGCAAAGATCGTAATGAAATAAATAGATAAAGAGAGAGAGAGAGAGGAACAATAAGGCTAGGGTAGAGAGAAATAAGAGAAAGAGACTTGAAATCAAAGGATCCCCTTAGAGACCAGCCCAATTATCCTAACGGATGCTGTTCAGGCGTGAGGGCCAAATCAACTCGAGATGCAGGCACCAACATCTATATAAGAAGATAAGTTACAATTGTCGTAACCGGTAGTTGGAGCTACTGCTCATGTGGAGAAGTCTGTGTTGGACTATGGAAAATGCGGCATAAGCGTCTTACCTGTGGTCTATGAGATCGGGGTCATTTGATGGGTGGATGCTTATGTGCTGTTGGTATCATAAACAAGCGAAGAAAGATGCGCAGGCGTGCAGAAATGCAGAATAAAACCCTTGCTCGTCTTTCCGACTTTGGTCGGCCAAGGGGGCCAGCCTACTCGAAGACCTAGGGGTACAAGTCACTATTCCTCGTGGGGAAGAGCAAACACGGAAATGAACATCTACTGGCTCCATCAAGTTCTCTGGTCCAAAAGTTAACAGTATTTGGTGATCGATGAGTGGTTGATGCTGAGCTGTTTTCGATGTAACCTGGCCAAAATCCTCGGGGAGTTTGTGTATCGAACGAATGACAGCTCGACATGATATTTGACGCCATTGCCGAAACGTGCCTCGCATATCGAGTTACAAGGTACGTGACATGGGGAAAAGGTGTGGCTAGGGTTAGACAATTCAAGAGTGGATTGAAATAAATCATAAGCTAGTAAACAAAAGGAAGGGTTCAAGCGTGATGGAGTGGTTGATATTGAAAGAACTGGGATTATAATTTGTTGACAAGGTAGAAACTAGATGGTGCAGAAACTTGCCGAGGAATCTATCAATAACCATGAACTTGTCCAATCTTCAGCGAAATTTAACCACAAAATACCACGTTCGCCGCCACAAAATATGCAATATATGCAACATATGGAAAAATAATCAAAGTGGCAAGTTTGATCGGTTCGGCTAATGCAACACAGGATAGAGTAGAGGGGCAACGGTGATAGGTAAGGTTATACCGTGGTAAGCCCATACATATCATGGGATAAAATCGGGATGCAGTAATGGATGCACTAATAACCTCCATTAATTTATATCAGCCATCAATATCTTATTATCAGTACTGTATAGGATATTCCCGAAGTAAAGGAACATGTTTCAAGCCAAAAAAAGATTATCGTAATATGTTGTTTCGACGGAACATATATTGAAGCAATGAAGCGGTGTGCAAAAAACTGAAGCATTCAGTAGTCAACGGGACGATAATCGTCAGATTTGTTAATCCTCAGTTCAATTTAAACTCCATCATGTCGATGAATCATACAAACAAGGTTTCGAATGGTGACACGAGTAATTGGAAATTTTCATCGGATCTTGGTAATGGCAGCATGGCATCCTCGACCTTGCTTGTCGTTCAAGAGTCAAGAATGGACTGACGGAGGCTTGGGACATAAAAGTTTCAACCCTAGACATGCAAGATATATGCAATCCTATACCAAAGACCAAAGTCTAATTGGATGATAAGCAGTGAATTGTCCCTGATCTACAAACTCCGACTCAAGATACTCATTTAGAATATTCTGCTTTTCGACCCTAATGTCAGCTGCATCTGATTTCCAAGGTTTGCATGTAGTACTTTCGATAGGTAAGGTTATTCCACAAAAACGTGGAACATGCGTGCTGTTGGTATGACCTTCATCCAGTGGTACTGTCAGATGAGAACGGTACCTGACATGATAGATTGGCCTACCACCTCACCTTCCCCTGATCATTTTTGTAGAAACAAGAATCTGTAAATGTAACAATAATGTTCAAACCATAACCTTCATGTCACCACCCAGAATTCCGAGTTTTCCAATCAAAATGAAAAATTCCGCATATCCACAAAGCCTGGTTACGTATATTATGATCTACGAAAGCCGTTTTGCGTTTCCTGTGCTGTTGAAGATCTCTCCGATTTGGGGGCGCACAACATCAGAACGTACGCAGCTTCATATTATTAATTTGTTGCTGGCGTTGCTGGCGTTGAACATATGAGGTGTTGAAGAAATAAACGATAAGAACCCCCTTCATTTGCAAATCTCTCGGCAATTTGCTCTTGGTCAAAATGAAAAATCCTTTCTCGAAGTTCAACCCTCTACGATATTGGAAATGTCACCAATATTGGAGTAAGCTCCTAGATCATATTTGGAGGCTTCTAAAATGTTTTTGGTCATTATCAAATCACAATCCCACGATGACGACCCGAGAAAAACAAACTTTTAGAAGCACGGCCTAGCCCGTGACCCCGCTATACCCACCAAAAATTTACTGCGTACAAGGAAATTTTGAAGGGCAACCACAGACATTTTTCCCCTCATTAAATAAGACCAAATAATCTATCTAGTCCTTTATAAGTGTGCGGATGAAGCTCGAGTACTGAAGATACTCTTTGTAACTCCATCCTGACGTACGATCCAAGACATTCAAATTAGAGTCATCTACCGCATTGTTCTATATTATGACTCTTTTCCCCTCCTTGGATTGAACTCCTGGAGGATCTAATCTTACCTCGAGAGCCTTTCAATGGTTAACCAACGAGGTCAATGTCAAGCTTAGGGCTCAGCGTTCTCACCGAGCGAAAAACCTTATTCCTATCGCAAGATTCCCAGGAAACAGGATGGCTAGCTATTTTACCTGTGTCCAGTCATTCATTCTCATCATAGCTAGACCCCAATTCGAAACACCAGGGCATTCTGTGCCGCTTCTAGTGTTGGCCAACGCACCACCCGTCTTTAGTTTCCCCATCTCAATATCTAGTCCAAGAATGATAACGTCAGAAAAGCCACTTGGGCTCTCGTATCACTTTTATCACGCTGGCAAAGTGTTGAAGGATTTTTGAGACGCGTTCTTGTCACGTCCACTATCTTCTTTCCGATAACATCATGCGATCGCTCGCACATTAAATGCATACAACCTGGTTTAACGTATCATCTATGCGTCCCAGCTTGAATTTCACTCAGGTCTGTCACTAGCAAATCCTGCACATACATAATTCTACCTCGTTTGACTAGACTGAGGTACATAATTCGTTCTGCAATATAACGGCACAGCAAAATTTCCATACACAGCGTTCGAAAAGGTACTGGCACAAAAAGATACTCCCTTGCATATGCAAGCTGCAGGCACTTGACCATTGGATATTCGCCTTCTCCTCTCCTATTTTACTGTTCACCGCTTAACTGAGAAACATAACCAATCAGGAAATATTCAATCAGATCTACTCGACTATGTCCTACAGCATCTCATTCTGGGAATATACATGAAAATACTTCGTTATAATCCCTCCACAAAATTTATGAATGTACCTACCTAGTGGTTGCTACCTATAGATTTGCACTTACATGCATAAAACACCTACATAATTCCTCCAAGCACCAAAAACATCTTCTACTAATTCTTTATTGAAATCAAAATTGGATTCAGCGCTTCCGGTTATCGGATTTTGGAATAATAATTTAAGCTCAAAACTCAAAATTTGCAGGCTTCCAATTTTGTCAAAATCTGCAAGAGATCTAAGACCATCCCGCATCGATTAGCATATCCGCATCTACCCATTTACGCGCCGAAGCTATTCTAAGATTGGTTTTTGTGCGAAGAATATTTTCACATGATAGAATGTGGGAATGATTGATCTATTGATTTTGTTCCCCCTAGAGACATTAATCAGATCTGCTCTACCTATTCTTAGCCGTATGTCTATGTCATAGAGCATACTCTCCATACTTCCATGGCCACTCCTTACATATCAGTACAGTTAACAATACGACAACAAAATGCAAATTACATCAACTATACTCTCCATATTGATCTCTTGCCCCGCTGGTTCCGATGATATGCCAGAAATCAGCCAGATTTTTAATCACCGGAGAATTTTTTTCCTGCTAATATACTTTCTTGACATTCCGATTCTACCGTCAGCGATGCGTCTTTCGCAATGGCATCTAGCACACTAGCTGGCAAACTCACACTTCAACCAATCTCCGGGGCTGTTCACCAGATTTGGTAATTGTTGAGAATTTATAGAGTGAGCCATTGTGCTAGGCATTTTATATTCGAACTTCTCATATCTTCTAGTCCACTATCGCTCGAAGTCTGTCACCTTGCATGCATATTCATATTCACATTCACATTCGAGTCCCAACCCAACTCACAGACGATATTCGCACACATTGCAGTGACTCCACCGTGAATCCATGGTCATGGGGATGAAATATTCCGATAGTCCATCCATGTTCTGTACGAAATAGAATCGGTCTCATCAACGAGAACGATACAGTTATCGAGACGGATTACAGGTGTGAAGATATCTCTATATTCATATTTCCGCACTTATATGTAGTTATTAGCAACTCTCCACCGTCTGTTTCGTGGCAGATCATCGGATCAGATTTATACCATTATTATGGATGGTATGATTCGATGTCATAATGTGCTCCACTATGTGAGTTACATGATGAAATAAGTACCAGTGCACATATCACTCGCATGGGACTTATGGGTACGAGCAGGCTCTTTTCCACCCTTTGGAACTTTGATGTGGAGTTCTCACTTTATGGGATCGTCTGTAGGGATTACAAATGGTGACTCGTGAGAGCGGAAAATTTCATGCTTCGATGAAATTAAGCCAAGCCTCTAGAGATATCCATTTGACGCGTTAAGGGCGTTCTTTGTTCAGTGCTCAAGACATTTCAATTTTCAACAAACTTCATTTGGAGGATATATATTAGTTCGCTTGTTTTCTCCTTTTCCGCTATGTGCAATGAAAGTTCTAGGATGAAGCGATCATAATGTCCAAAGTGCTGGATGTAAACGTCCGACATTGTCAAGACTGAATGGCTCTTCGTTACATATACCTGCAGCCACGCATAGCCGTTGTCTGCCAATGGGCTAGAAGTCTTCGCAGTGTTGGCTAATGACTCCCAGAATATCGTAATGGTTTCTTAGTGAAGAAATACTTCTATTCAGCGTTTGAAAAATCTTCTCCTCTCCTTCTCCCCTCTTCTCCTAAGGCCTAGGAGAAACTACTAAAATTTTATCGATTTTGAAAATATTCTTAACTTGTCTAGTCCTCAAAAAAGTCGTATCTACCCTTTCCTTCATAGGAAAATTTAATAGGTTCCATATCTGGAAACAAAATGTTATCGAAATCTGAATAACAAACAATTATGAAGGTTTTTTTAAAAAAAAATCCTCTTCCCTCCCCTTCTATCCTAAACCCTAAAAATCCCATGTAACCTGATTATATTTTTTATCCTCAACCTGCTTATCTTTCAAATTGAAGAATACTTCTTGTTTCTTAGCCTAAAAAAGGAGAGGAGGCGAGTTTTCAAACGCTGCTTTTGTTTTGTTAAAATGTTAGGGCTTTGGACCATGGTAAACTTGTGCGTTTTCTAGAAATGCTAGAACTGCTTTCTTGTCTCGATTGGAGAGGCCTGCCCGCCGATGGTTCCAGAACACCATGTCCATTTATTTGCCCAGAAAGCTCTGAAAACGATGGTCGTGCTACTGTCCCACTTTTGTCTGGCATTTCCTGAACATGAAGACATATAACCCTAGCTGGTTATACTTGACGGCCCCCTCTTGGGATACATCTAACAAAAGGCGCGTTCTGGGTGAGTCCAATTCATCCATCGATGGGTATGAAAGTTTCTTGATGGCTCAAAGTTCTATCTAATCTAAGTATTATCGAATTAAAAGGAGGTTTTACAATAACAAATAATCAATGAAGAGCAACTCGTCCAAGAGTGAATTTAATTCATCTCACTTCATCATCGTGACAACTAATTCAGATGCCACAAAACTTCAAATAGCTGAGGCTATAGTGACGCAAAAGCTCCTAAGAAATTGCGAGCTAAGATACATTTTGAAGATCATCCTTTACGAAGATGTCGTAGTTTCCATCCCGAATCAGTACAAACAGAGCATCCTTCAGCGAAATTCTGTCTTGTGGCTTACAATTTCCCTGTAAGGGGTCATCCAATTGCATCCATAGATGCATACTCATCGTTACTAAATGGAAGCATTCCAGCTCCAAATGATGGCGGCAACAGCAAAAATTCATCATCATTTGTATTTGTATTCAACGCTACTTGCAATACCCACAGCTGGCTATTATCGCAAGTTCTTCCACCCCGGGAGATTTCGCTTTCAGTGCAGCTCCTCTGACCTACCGCAATTCAAGATCCAAATTTCTCCCACACGCTCTTCTAGAGTTCGGATATTATAAGTATCCATTACTTCTATTCCGGGAAATGCTCTATATTCCACGAAAAGATCATGGAAATTTGATGTTACGAGACGTTCAGAGTGGATTTTCGGATTTAATTGCTAAGTTGAATTTCGAATTGGGAGGAAGAAGTAAAGTATTTCTTCTCCGGGTTGTAAAGTTTAAGCCAGACTAACACAGGCTTACCGTCAAGCAGGGAATGGTTCGACATTCATTATTGACCAAACTCTAGAGACAAAGAAGAAGGACATCTCACGAATTTCCATTATCAAAATAGTTTAGATCAGATATTGCCTTGCTCTGGATACCTGACCACAATCACTAATCTCTCTAATCAAGAATCGCTTCATAGTCCCCATCAAATGTACTTTCGGAACAGCCAAATATTTACTCTTAGCCTCAACACATACATCCTTTGATGAGAACTCTTCCACTATTTTGAGAAAGAACATCAATTCCATGCTCATAGATCTAGGTTATACTATTAGGTCGTGGTATTACGAGTGTGCCTGAGAATTGCCGCTTTTTCATGATGATTGTGTTCGTGTGACAGATATAGAGTGCTAGAGCATTCACTTGATAAGAACTAGATGAGTGCTTCCAAGATTTGAGCTTCTTCAGTCAAGGAAGCTTTCATTCGCTATTCCTCAATCCTTCTAGAAATAGATTGTGCGACTCTGATGGATGCATCGTCTTCACACATTTCATGGCTATTTATTTCTTAGCCACCATTTATATGCACACAAAATTTCTCGTCTGGCAGTTTGAATAAATTCACAACTCGTTGACCTCGCACAGTACCATTTTTTTCCCTCTCCTTAAAGTTCCGTCAAATCTTCCGATAAATCCCTTAGAAAAATCTTCCACCCTCGAATTCAAATGGTTTTAGTGGTTCTTTAATTTATATTGTGCCGGTGTTCTCTCTGTTCATTCTTAGAGGAGTCTCTTTACCAGGGCGAGATGAATTGTATCCAAACGATCTATAGTCCCTGATGGCATTCCACCAATCGTTTTGCTCCTTCAACTCGAAATTAAAAGTGTTTATCAATAGAGCTACGATGGAAAGCATGACACGGGCCGAAAAGTGACGACCTGGACACATATTGCGACCAAAACCCAATGGAACAAATGTTCCATCAAGTCTGCTTAACGAAAAGAATGGCTCGCCGGTCTGCTCATCATAATTCAGGAATCTTCGGCCCAAAATTCTTCAAGGGGATGCTTTTCGGCCCTTGGTCGTGTTTTCCACCGGCTCTTATCCATGTGTTTCACATGTGACGGAGTGAGAACCCTCGAGTGTTTGGGTAATGTATAAGCCCCTAATTTGTAGCCTTCCTCGACGCTTTTAGCCATGAAGATCGTGACCTCATGTCGCAAAACCTCACTAAAGACGGAGTTTAAAAATGGTTGCTTGACGAGCATACCAGAGTCGAAGCGGGGAATTGGACAGTGGCCCTCATCTGGAAGACGGGCCTTGCTCATTTCTGTCATACACTGTTTGCGAATTCTGTCATCACGTAGCAAGGCCATTAGCAGCCAACATGTGACCGGCGCAAGGTTGTCATTTGCTCTGCGGAAGACGTTAACATCAAAATCGAACTGTAGACGGAGTCAAAAGTGGATATCACGCCCAAATGACCCCAAGATCTGCCCCCGACCTTGAAGCCGGATCGAACTCACTAAATTTGTCGTACATGTTGTTTCTCAGTCTCATGATTTTCGATCCCCATAAATCATCCCATAAAGTTTCATCGGGAACTTTCCGACCTTGCGATTTCTGAACTGCAGTGGCTCTCCACCTTGTGATAGCATCAAGGCATCTTTTACGTGCCTTTGCCGCCCTTGGTCGTAACCAACTAAGGAATCCCATAAACAAGAAGTGAACGTTTTCATCAAACTCCCAAAATGCGCTGGAAAACTCTGGACTTTGCATCAGGAGATATTTCCCGCATAAGCTGTTCAGCGAAGCTTCTAGAGACAGGTCGCGCAATAAAATAAACAAATCCGATACGTCTGACCATTTGTCACCAATTTGTGAGTTCTCGACGCAACCCTCGTAACAGCTCATGTACCTTGGCATAAAGTCTCGAACACCGATGTGGGAAATGGAATTAAAGGTGCTTTCTTGCTGCGTTCTAAGGATGCGCCTGTGATCCGGGACATTACTCCTAGGAAGTGGCTCGAGCTGGGCTCCGGAAGTATCTGCTTCTATGAGCGCGACAGCTTTTGGATGTAGACCAAGAGCATATTTGATGAATCTTGGCCGAACTCGATGTGTGGTGATGGGATGCCTGTCGTTTAGAATTCCGCGTACGTTCTCTGAACCTGTGACCAATATAATTTCTGCACCAATTAAATTGAAGAGGACTGGGACATTGACTCCACAGTTCAGGCTAGCAATATTGAGAGGTTAGTAACGATCGCGAGAGTCTTGTGAAGCTTTCATATGTCATAGAAGAAATCAGTCTACTCACAGCATGACAGAAGCAAGTGCAAGACCCCCGAACGCAAAATATAAAGTATTTGACAGCCAGGGAACTGTAAATGTTGCACTTTGTGGTGTGATATGAGTTGGCTCATTTGGCTTTGGAGATTTCTTCGAAGGCTTCGGCCCCAGGATTGAGATAGGCTTAAGAGGAGCAGCACCAAGAGCGCACAGCCGGCTGGGAATGTGATAACCATTTTTTCTGTCAGTTAGTATAGGCCTCTTAGCTTGATACTTCAAACACTTAAACAAAGTGAAAAAGAAATCCAGTTCCAGTTCTACGGTTAGAATACGCCTCGCTAATTGGTTTCGAGGCCTTATGGATAGTTTTCGGGCAGATTAATAATCAATATGATCGAAAAGTACTTTGGTACAAATTGGGTTATAAAATTTACATTAATCGCAACGTTAACATGATATTCTCCTCAAGCTGGTAAAAGGTTCGGCCAGCAAGTCGATAGGAACACGAGACATGAATTTGATTGGCTTTCACCAAAAAGAAACTCTACTATTTTCAGACCTTCACTAAGACTCATCCATGTAATGAATTACAGACTGTCGTAGCGCCTTAACACTACTGCAGTTTCTGCAAGCCGGACTGGCGTATGGCTTTTAGTGTTGTGCATCTTATTCCTACAGGTACCCTATCCAAATATGCAGCAATGTGGCGACAGTACATGCTTTTGTATGCAGCCATACGAGTAAATCCAACGGTTTATAGAATAGATAAAGAAAGTGAATCCCATCGTGTAACACTGTCTGACAACGGCTGAAGATATTTATTATCTATTCTCAAACTGTGCCACGCAGGTATACATAAAAACTGCAGCAGAAGCTCCTAGGCGCGGCCAAGAGAAACGGAAATTCATTGAAGATTTATCCACACCCTGATGCTATTTAGGTTTGTGGTGGCTTTGGATGGATACAAATTCTAAAATTAGATATGCTAGAATTTTGCTGGATGAATTGTGCATGCAACCTCCAAGGGCCTCAAATCCGATATAAATGTGTGTTGGGAAACTTATTCAAATATAGTACGATTCTGATATGCGAAGAGAAGAAACGTCCAACGACTACTATTCACATGCCAAAACATGGAATTCCTTTCCAAAATGAACATCTCAATCATACGGGACCTTACTCCCACCACGACAATCCCCCCTTTCTATACACAAGTCTCCCCACTGAAATGCTTTCTCCTTAACATAATCTACATTCTCACCATTGCAGTCTCGCAGTCTTGCTACACTTCTACTTTGTGAAAGTCCAAAATGATATAGAATCGGAGATAGAAACTAGCCATGGCCAAGATTGAGAACAGATAAGATACGACGAGGCTACCATGGCAGACGTTGGAAGAGGAAGTACTATCCGGGGAGATACTTAAACCTCATTTGTAGGTGTGTTACGAGGGACTACATACACGAGGATTCATGTTTCTAAGTTTGAATAGAAGGTACGATAAGGCCCCAAGGGTTTACACACTTGGTCGCTGGTGCGTGGTTTTTCTCTTTACTGCACAGAATGTGAAGGTGATCATATAGATTGTTAATAATTGGAAAGGGGCGCCAATCTGTACCACTATCACCCAGGGCGAGGCTTGGTGGTGGTTTGGAAGTAAGCGCGCTCCGTGACATGTATGGGGGTTTAAATGGGGTTCTCTTTCCTGGACAGGTTTCAATATAGCTGAATATACACCCATTGAGTCTTCTGGTTTTGCGATAAAAGCGCCGAGAATAAAATGAAATGCTATTCGAAGAGAAAGTCTCTAACTTTGATCATCTCTACTTTACTAAATCTTTCAACGCTCCATTTGTAGAAATGGGCACGGGTAGAATGACTTTGCGCATGTATAGTATCCTTCAAAAATGTGCCATCTTTACAACCACCTAGTAGCTATTGATCACTCGTATGATTATAAAGATCAACAAAGTACAAAATCTAAACATAATAACCGTTCCTGCATACTAGACTACGGCACAAACAAGCTAGTGACTACATATATGATTAAGGAAGAAGATATGATTTGGTATATCTTGCGGCGCAATGCGGCGCAGTCAACATTGTACTACCTCGATTATCAATGAGTCTTGCCACTTGATGGTTCAATATGACAAGTGTATATTGCTTTTTCTTTCTAACACACAGCCTGTCTCATCTAGGAAAGTTTAGAGGCAAGCTACACGCGGTGAATATGCGATTCATGGACAGTAAAAACAAATATGTGACCAGTATTGTGTTTAATCATGCAGGCTAGTATTGCAGTGTCTACTCCAAAACCTTCCATTAGACTTTTTTCTTCTCCTCCGGATGATGTGCAACATAATAGTCCACGGCTCTTTGAATTCCTTCTTGCATAGAGACTAGGGGTCTGTATCCTAATCTCTGCTTTGCTTTGGAAATATCAAAGGTCCGAGTCAGTGTAAGATACTTGACCATGCGACGATTAATCATTGGCTCCTTGCGACCGAAACTGAACAACCAAATTGTCCATTCTACAATAACGGCAAATGCATAGTAGACAGATGCTGGAACAACCCATAATTTTTCTTTGTTGACTGGATGACCGGCTGCGGCACTAACAGCTCTCGTAAATTCCCAAAATGGCCATGAGTCGTCGTTCGTAGTGACAAAAGCTTCGCCATTGATCTTCTTATCATTCGGCACAGGCTCGGTAGCGTTGAACTCTGGAATAAGAGCCTTTGCTGCTAGCAGATGCGCATAAGCTGTATTTCCGATGTATGTAAAATCGTAAAGATTGGTGCCGTCTCCGACCTGAAATTTTGCACGTCCAGCTCTAGCATTCTCGACCATCTTAGGTGTAGATGTTGTATCGCCCTCGCCAAAGAGCAAAGCAGCGCGAGTAACTGCAGTATAGAGCTCGCCTTTCTTGTTTGCGCTGAGGATCAGTTGCTCAGCTACAGCTTTGGTGTGCGTGTAATACTTAGTTTGCTCGGTTCAAAGCATAAAGAATGATCTTCTGTGGCTCTGACTAGATTGGTCATGTTGTTGTAGATTACGGAGGAACTGGATGTGTAGACGATAGCGGCCGTGGCTCCGACTTCTTTGATACACGAGAGAAGTATAGCCGTACCGTTGATGTTGACATCGGTGAAAAGCTGGCGTGTGTTGGCTTGAATCATTAACTTTGGTGAGGCTGTGTGAATAATAACGCGAGGTTTGGTTTCTTGAAGTGTTTGTAGAATATGTTCGCGTGATGTGAGGCTACCGTCGATGTACTTGACACCATCAACTCGATTGCTCTGAGTGTTGATATCAAAGACAGCAATATCTGGAAACTCAGGGTCTTCAAGCGACTGTTGACGATGTGATGACCAAGACTACCACATCCGCCGATCACAAGGACGGAGTTGTGATGCGGTGAAGACATGATGATTGAAGATGGTAGTTCTTCAAAGATACCGCTAAGAACCAACGTATTGGAGAGTGTGTTTAATTTTGATGCTGGATAAAAAGGAGATCAAGCAAGTTCGATGTGCATGTAGGTAAGTTACAGGAGTCCAAGGAGTGCCGTCTGCTTGCCGAGGATTGTGGCGTTTATCCAGTGGTGCGACTTTACTTTTCCAACGATAGATTTACTAGACATTTTTACATTTCATAGATAATTAATATATTAATAAATAATCTATAGAGCTTATAAAAAACTAATAAAAATATCAAAAATAAAATCTTCGATAATAAAAACAATATAAAATAAATCTTTGATAAATTTTTTTTCCTTTTAGATATTTTTATTTTGATCTTTAAATTTGTTTAATTAAATTGTTATTTTTTTAAACTTTTATTATTAATAAATATATTTATATTACTTGAATATTATTTCCTGATTTTCTCAATTCAGTTTCAGCTTTTATTAAGTAAGATCTTATTAATTTCAATATTAATTATATACAAATATTAAATAAAATTATATTAAAAATCTTATTATTATTTTTATATAAATCTTATGTATAAAAATACAAACACAACTATATAATGAACAAAACTAAATTTTAACTCTTTAATAAAAGAAATAAATATTAATATACTAGATAGATTATAAACTTACACTCTAGATGTCTAATAAAAACAAACTAATCGAGTCACCCACCTTCAACTACAACCACACAACCACACAACCACACACTTTCACATTACGCTCACCATAATCCATTTCCAGAAAAATGCATTGAAGAAGCCAAATCCAAACGCCATTTGATTGATAACCTACAGGCACTCACTCCACAATAAACCAGATAGAGTATCCACAATACTGAGCAAAAAAGTAAAATTACACTACTAATTCCCACTTGATTGATTATCCATCTATATCGCACGCAGATATTACTCTGCCCCAACATCCGACAGTCTATATACATTTTCCATAGTTTTCATGTAAGACTTAACAGCATAACTACCATACAAACAAGAAATGTAAACCTTATATTATATAGAGAATTGTGCTCTTACTTCCTCCCCCCTTGAATCCAATAACGGCTTGTAAAATTGGTTTTTGAAAGAAAGAAGATGGATTTTTAGGCGAGTCTTATAGGCTGAATAGTTTTCTAGAGATCCTCGCTTGAGGAGCTACTTGATTGCATTTGGATAACTTTTTAGCTGCGGTATTTGTTCCGGACTAGTATGATATGCTGCATAAAAAATCGATGATGCCATGTGAAAATATGAGATTAAAGTGGAGGATTGCAGGTACCACGAGTATGTAACATCAACGAAAGAAAAGAAGGTGTTTACAAGTAGAAAGACTGTTGAGTGATGGGCGAGAAAAGATGGCAGGATAAACGTTATTGTTATGAGCATATTGGCTATGGTATCAAGAGTTTCTAGATGATAGCCACATAAAAAGATATCCCATGTAAAGAGGATGGTTCTGCCCCTATATGTCAAATTGTCATTCGACCTAACCTTCGCACGGTATTTCGTGTATTCGGAACCAAATCTAGAAGGTCATTTCATACACCAATGAGTTCATTCCACCCTGCTAATCCGTGCCCAACCTCCATAATCCATCTCCCAAGTAATGCGCATCCTCCACCACGGGTCCCTTTCCCTTCTCCTTAACATCTTTCGTACCCATACTCAAGAGTCCAACCGCACAAGCTTCCTCCTTGCCTTCTGCACAAACAACCACCGGTTCACCAGTTTCTAATTCTCTTCCTCCATACCATCCTTCTCCTTCTCCAGTTTCCCCATATACGCCCTCTTCTTCCGTATTCCCATTAGGTAATCTGCCGCCTGTAGATGTGAGACCTGGGGCCATGAGGGTAGCTCCTGAGAGAACAAACCGAATGGCGCCGCGATCAATACGGATGCTAGGGAAGCAGGTTGGGAATCTGTGGACGAGTTTGAGATGGGGAAGGATAGCATCGGTCATATGTTGGAAGAATAAGGGTGTGCTGCCAATTAGGTAGAGGGTTACTCTATCTGGACTGTATATCGAATGTCAATAAGGATTTCTAGAAATTGATTCGCAACCCAGACAATGTGGCAGAGAAGATATAGGATCGAGCAAGGTAAAAGCGCACATTTTCATAGCATCCAGCTGCTCTTTCTTTGGTATTATCTCATCGATGTGAGGAGCCAGTAATGGATATGTAGTGACAAGTTGGGTTCTTATGGCGCGTTGAACAGAGGACTTAACCTTGCTCTTTGACCCGGGAGAAATACTGCGCGAAAGATACAATTAGTATTTCTAGATTCTTGAAATTATAAAAAAAGTCAATCTTTCTTACTCTTTCTTAAACATCTTGAATCTGAATCTGGTAGTATTGTGGTGTTTGTGAGGAAGGGGAGAATTGTTTAAGATGTGCATGTGGAGAATGTGCCCCGCGATACGGATAGCTTTTGAGACCTAGAACGCACGGAGGCAAAAGCACTGGTGGAGGAGGGGTAATGTTCAAAATAGGACGATCAAACAGTAGGTTATTCAGACATCAAGCAAGTTTGCATGATACTCAACCATGGTTCCAGTCTCAGTAGATTTATATATTGTCATAAATATTCATTAAAATTCATCGGATAATACACTCTCGAAACTCAAAAGCTCTATTCCCACCATACAACCTTCTCCCTTCCTACTGATGGTTGACGTGAGAAACAGTTCCATCTTCGTTGAGATGAATGTTGAGTCTAAATTTAAGTTAATGGTTAGTATTTCGAGATTTGCACACTACATAACATGGGTGCTAACCTGTTCTCCTTGAAATCCTTTGTAACCATCGAGCCAGGCTCAATGATTCTATGCTCTTCAGGAAGATCTTGCTTTGCGAAAGTCTATCGATGAAGTGTTAGTAGAGTATATACTGAGTCGATATTACTTGACTAAAGCTCTGAATCAACATACAGTCTCATTACTAACTTCACCAATTTTCTTCCCAGCCAACTTGTTCAACCACTGTTGATTCTTATCATCGCCACCGGCAGCACTGTTGGTGATTGGATCGACGAGAGGCATATTGAGATGTGGATTGGATGAAAAGTGGATTTGTGATGTTGGTAATTTTGCTTGGATGTTTCTTCTAAGATAAGATTTGATAGAGATCATAAACAGAAAAGCAGAAAGCAGAAAGCAGAAAGCAGAAAGCAGAAATCCGAGGGTCTTTATGCTTGAACTATCAAGCCTTCTTCTTGTAACACCTCCCCAAACAAGGCTGCACTTCGTCTCACCTGCTGAATGCAGACATCTACGTCATGGCCAAGTCATCATGTGATTTAATCAGCCCGTGACCACAAGCCTTCAACTCAAGTTTTTCGCGAACTTTCATATCGACGAAAGCACTACTTGGTATGTGTTTATGTTTATTAAATATATTCTATTTATACATGTTCTATATTCTTCACAGACTCTGCTGTCGCGCAAGGTTATACTAAAATGCTACGCTGCACAACATTCATTTCTCATTGCAGCATAACGGTTATGCTGCTAACTCTAGAATTGGGAGCAGTCGGTGCATTTTCCTGTGAACCGAACTAACGCTGCGGCCCGACAGGACAGATGACCATTCCTACAGCAATACCACTCAGCACCTTGCGACTTGTTTGGAATGCATTGAGGTTTCCTTTTACCACAGCCACACAATGCCCCTCGGATGCCTGTCTGAATCTGTCTTTATGGTCTACTCGCTAACTCGGCACCGAATGCGCTGTGACTGCGACCATGTGGAGCAAAGTCATATCCACTATACTAAGTTTTCCGCAATTACGCTGCCCTCTACGCGTCCGCTTCAACGTTCATCCATTTCTTGAAGTCTTGCAATTTCAAAATACCACTAGTGCACGGATAGTATTAGTCTGGATTAGTTGCGGCTGCACTGTACATAGTTGTTCAATTGTAGCTGCAAAAGGAAAAGGGGAGGCGCATCGTTAGCCTCAAGATCTTTCAAACATGCCAGAGTCTCGTACTACTGTAACACTCGCACAAACCACCCAAACACAGTTCTTAGTGTTATCTCGGAGAGCCTTAAACATTTATCTTCAATATTTGTAGCAAACATTTTATTCATGGGTAGCTCCGAAAGCTTACTTACAGGGCTGATCCTTTAGCCTCAATCTTGACGCTTGACTTGTTCAACGTTGACTAGTGGAGTAGTAGGGAAAGATGCTACGCCTCCCTTAATATCGCGGCGGCCCCACGAGCGGAAGCTTGAAATTACGCCTCTGAGCTTAAAATAATTTCACGATATTTGTATTGTAATCATTTACTGCTCAGCATTACGAGTATGCAACGTGAAAAGCATTTTTTATACGTTTATCTATTGTTTGTATCCTCCATATCTTTTTCTTTTTCACTTTAGTTTTAGCTGATAAAATTTCTATTCATTCTTTTTCCTCTCCAGTCTTAACTCAATATCTTCCGAGAAGTTCTCTGAAATCTGCCTTAACAACTACCCAGCAAAGTTCTTCCACCATATTTCGACAAGATTCAACATGCTTCCAATTCTATTTTCCTTCTTGGCGTCTTCAGCAGCAGTTGTTTCCGCCCATGACTCCTTGAGATCACAGGGATGTATAAAAGGGAATTTCCATGATCTTGTGATCAGAGATTCCTGTGGAGATGATATGTCAATTGCCAAATGTCTCGCAGAAGACGTTGATTTAAGACACCTGGATCAAATAGAGCAATGTTTTATAGCTGGTGGATGCGATGCGATCGATTCCACTGTATCGGCGGTATGGTTTTCATATGAATGTAATGATCGCCAGGGATCGGTCGAGGAGGCTATGAAGGAAGATTTACGCAAGCGAGCTACCGAAAGCAGCTCGACTTCAGAAAGTACTACAGAATCAATAACAACGGCTTCAAGTTCAACTTTGAGTTCCGCCAGTACAACTGCAGCCACAACCACGATCTATGCTTCCACAAGCGCTTCAGCTTCAACCTCGTCTTCGACTTCAGCAGCCTCATCGACCACTACCACTTCATCATCTACAACTAGAAGCGCCTCTGCTTCTACTACCACAAGTATAACTTCTTCTACATCGGGCACAACTACCAGCGCGACGAGCAGCGGGACTGGGACTTCCACAAGCTCCCTTGCCTGCTCCACAACATCCTATTATTCTACGAGTGTATGCTCATATGGAACTGGAACATCCACGGGTGTGACTCTTGGATGTGTCACTACATCATTGGCCTCCTCGACTTGTGCACCAGGAGTTTTGTGTACGACTGCAGCATCCGGAGACGATGTATGTATGAAAATTGACAATGATCTTACCACATCTGGTTTGGCAGTCACAATATTTTTCGCAGTTAGCATTAGCGCATTTCTTATTGGACTTTTGATAATTGGATGCAAAGATCGTCGAGACGCCAAGAAGCTTCAAGCTGAGCGTGTAGCGCTCCTTGAAGCAAAGAGTAAGGAGGCAATGCAACCACGTAATCAAAAGAGATCTAAGTCGGTGGCACAACCAGATGCCTTTGGACACTCAGAAGCGGACTTGCCTTTGATTCTTGAGCCCAGCTATCAGTAGAATTGTTCGAATGAGTCGCCATACAGTGCTCCAAATGAGGCTTGAGTTAGCTTCGAAAATGTTGAAGTAGTAGGATGAGTCTTGGAGACGCACGGAGATGGAGTTTAAGGAGTTTAGTTATGGAATGTATGTGAGGCTTTGTAGTTTTATATGCTTCTGGAGTTGATAAATTTATACCCTAGTTTTCTATTTGCCTTGCCTATTGTTATGGGTGCGTAAAAACTATACCCTCTACTTGTGTTGTTCTTCAATATATTATAACAGTGTGTGGTATCGAAGTAGACATACGAAATCGTTTATCTGGTCTGGCCTCATCAACTACTAGTCTATTTGCGTTTCGAGTTGATTCAACCGATGATGGCAGTCTGCGAAATTGCCGTGACGTGATCTTGCATTGTTTGGATTTCGGATGGCCCGCACCGGATTTATTTTGAAGATGACTTGCGTTTGATGAAGATCAAGTACATGATGAGAGTTCTCTCATTTTATAGATTGAAATCTCTATCATCCTGACTTGTGAGACGGATGTGGTCTTGGAATACTCTCTTTTATGTTTGGGAGATATTAGCGATATCAATATAAACATAGGCTTTCGTTCATTAACTCTTAAGTTGTGTATTGATTAATCTCTGTCAGACAAATAAGGCTATAGAATAAGCTAACCTTAATTCCATCCCACTATTTATTTATATTCTGAGAGGGTATCTAGTTCATACACACAGAATATTCCGTTCCATTTTATATATCATGTCGGGGACAAGAGTGAATAACTCGCTCTATAAGTTTCGTAAATATCTTCGGAGAATAATACGAGAGGCATCCAACGCGAAATTCACTAGAGATATTATTACACAGGTACGTGGCGAATAACTCTATAAAATACCGAAAGCTTCATAACAAATCTCTACAAACTTTATTATCACTCTCCGCTATAATCCATGGGCTGTAGACTCCCAATGAGCGACTGCTTCTTCTATTCGGTCCCTTCATACTGATATCCCAACTACTTCATATCTTTTCTCAAGAAAAACTATTACCTTTCTCATTACCTTCACTTGTCGGACTTTCCTCTTGCTACACAGAATTTTTGTTATCGAATTCCTTCTTTTATCGATTTTTTTTATTAAGATATCAGATGAAAGAATGTGTTTCATTATTTCATACCTGTAGAATAAACCACGCCGGAAGTAATGATAGAATATATCAGTACGGAATGAACTCATAAATCTTTTCTGGGATTGGATCATAAAGAATACTGCTGACTGTTTTCAAGTATTTTATGTACTGCTAGTGCGGGAGGACTATGAATTTTAGAAGAAAAATGCAGGGTGGAAGGAGCAATGCGTTATTTTGTTGATATGTATCATAGATTTTGTTTTCTTGATATGGAATAAACCCTGCCCGAGATCGAATCCACTTCTCTGTTGACTGGTCTCCATTATTCCCTATATAATAATTGCTGTAGAAGAAGCCAAATTAATTAAATGTGAACATCCCACAGATACAACACGAAGAGTGCGGTGGGATTATTGTTGCACGGGTTCTTCGATGTAAGTCCTGGGATTCTCTATTTCATTCATAGCCTCGAGCTATATTGTGAGTAAATATGGCAAGTGATGTAAACGATTATATATTGTTGCTTTGATGGCTTTCTTTATCGCGTGATCTTTTTACTATTCTATTACTGCCAAATTAAAATGTCATCTCATCGTTATGGAGGAATAATGGTAGTCTTAGATGGAGTTTAAAAAAGGATTTATAGATCCGAATTCCAAGTGGCATTCCAAAATCGAGTATACAGGTAAACAGTGAACAGATAAATGTTATGATATACACAGGTTATCACCATAATATCTTTTTCTTCAGTTGCATAATGAAGTCTGTCTTGTTCGAAGTGGAAATTATCTGGTTTTATATCTCTGTGTGTGTGCCTTCGATATCTTATTAACATTATTGTGGAGACTTATAATTATTGGAGCTTTCAGGTGGATTTTAGAAAATCCGGAGATTATTCTGGAAAATTAGATTGGTGTGCTGTATGGTAGGGTATAAAAGTATCTAAATCGAAGTTTTTTTTAGAAATTCTGTGGTGATTGGAAATTGCTTCGTAAAATCTCAATTATGAAAGACTACGGCGAAAGCTTGATGCAAGTTGCAAGTAATGGTGGAAACATTCGTGCCGGGGCTTTGAAAGTTAAAGCAGATATCAAGGTGAAGATGATGGATCATTTTTTGACGCCGTTTTTCTTTTCTTCTCTATTTCACACTGTTTGCGTTTTTTTACTGCCATTATCAACCACCTTCTATATCTAATCCTGCACTCCATTTTTCTTTTCAGAGAGGCAACTTGAGTATATTACTACTCAATATATCAAGGTAAAACAAACAGATAAAAGATAAACATGGGAGCTCTAAAAGCTGTGTGGTGTACTCAGCATGTCTCGAACATTGAAAGTACTTGGATTGAATTGCAGCGTTTAAGGCGCAGATACTTGGTCGTGAAAGTTTTATAGTTGGCTAGCTTACTTAACCTTATCAGAAATGGGCAGTTGGAGTGAATTTCTTGGTTATAAGTGCGTGGTAATGATTTTGGGGTTCTGTGGAGATTTGTGTATCATTTATTTGAGTCGAGGGAGAGCAGGAGGATGGGAAGGAGGGTGGGGATGATCCACTAAGAGGTGAATGATCCTTTTGTTAGTATGCTCTGTTGTATATGTATTTATAAGATGAGGATCAATCTTTATTCAAACGTATCATTTACCCAATTTCTATCATCGACGTTGAGAAACTAGATATCTAGACAACCCTCAGCATACCCTGATGTTCCGTCTAGCTTTCTTCAATTCTTCACATCTGTTTATTTTCTTCTTTTTATTGTCATCACTCCTCACTATTTCCTTTTACTATCATTTATTAGATTAATACTTGTACTATTATTCTATCCTCGCATCATCTACACCAGCATGTAATCTTATTCCTCACTCATTCAACTTCACCATAATTTCTCACCTCTTTTCCTGCACAATTGAAACTTATTTTATCGCCGCATTTCCTGTGTATTACTTAACATATCTATAGCTAGACATCCATGGATATTCCTATCCAAATCTCCGATCCTGTTTGGAATTGCATATAGCAGGAAACGCGTAACCATAATTGCGGCTTTCTTTTATTATGAGAAAGTTGGAATTATAGACCACATACATAAAGGTTTTCAACTAATCAATCACATGACCTTCGATAATTAGATATAAAAGAGCCTTTATTTCTTTCTTTTATAATAATTAATCTTCTATATATATACATTTGAATTCATATAATTTCTATTTCAAAATCATTATGAATCCCGTTTTCTTTATAAATGATGTATTACGATATGATTTAATCAGCTTTCTCTTTCAATTCCTCCTCACAGCGTGCTATCGGGATGCACATATCTCGATCTACCACTTTTACATTATATTGGTAGGTTCGTTTGGATCTCGCTTAAACAGATACGTAGAGTTCTAGGGGTATGAGAGTGGTAGACTTGCTAGTCTGGTAGTATACTCGGATTCATTAATAAGCGTGGTGGTTCAGAGTGCATTTGAGATGCATAAGGGTTTTTCTGAACCTATGTAAGATTTAAGAGGGCATAGTTGTAGGTAAGTGTGAGATTGCAGCATTTTAGGGTGGAAGTTGAGATACTGAATACGGCATCCTGTCTGGAGGCCTGCTGATGTTTTTGTTTCTTTTTATCCACTATCTGATTCCTATTTAATTTTCCAAGTCTTACATTTGTGCTGAGATAGTTTGCTATGAGTTTCTTCTTTTGGCTTTTGAAGCTGCCGGTAATCGAGGGTCAGTGTGATAATAATTTTTAGTTTAGGATTGAGGTGTCGGGAAGAGTACTCATGATGCGGAATTTTTGAATGTTAACAAGGGACAAGCGAAGACACACTCGTATTTTATCCGAATGGTCTCGGTGAGTTGAACATTAATTTCTGTTTTTGCTTGGGGCAAGATAAAGAGAGGTGAAGAGAGCGTGAAGAGCTTAACACGTGAAACTGAACTACTACAGTTCCTCCTTCATAACAGTCTGTTTCGTTCCTATTATGTTGGCACTACAAGAAGTATTATGGTTTAGTTTCCGCAAAAAGGCAATTAAGATATCGCTACTGGACAAGCTATTCACGCTTTCAAGCAATCCCTTCAACTTTTCACCAAGTGCATTCATAAATGCTCCTGTCGCCACCTGTCTTGCCGGTTTTGCTTGGGTCATTCCCATATCAGCGATACTGTCTCCAGGTAGCTTGGTAGTAGGACCAATGGCTCATACTTTCATTGATAGCAACTGCAGCGTACCGACTTTCGCTGCGGCTTCATCGAACATAAGCTTCTACCAGATGGTACCGAACTCGGATCCTCCCGCTATTCAAGGGTCTAATCCTGGTATTCAAAAGCTAGCAAATCAAATATTTGCTCAAGGAACAATCTTGGATCCTGGTTCTCCTTGTGGAGCTAAAAGTTCATTCCAGCTCTCCTTTTTTGGTCCCGCTTTGCAATGCACACAGACCACGAACCCCGAGTATATGCATGAATCAGCCGATGGTTCGAACCTCTACTATGCAGAAGACTTGACAAGATTTGGTGAGGATGAAAATTCATTCATGGGAATGGATTTTACGTATTACAATCACACAAAAGAGAATTATTCATGGATTTACATAGATATGCTCTGTTCCCCTTACAACACAACCTATGAAATTTCCGTCAATTACACAAACGGTCTGCCAGACTTCTATACAAATCTAACATATAACACACCACTTTTGAACTTAAGCAGTACACAATCGACGTACCCAGAAAATTTCCCTTAGAGCTCAAATTCCGCAACACTAGTCAGAGAAGTGCACGACAATCATCTCGACGGCACATGGACGCAAGCTCCCAATCGATACTTTTCATCCCATGATACTATGATAGCGAACACAGCATTGGTCGGTGATACTGTTGACGCCAATAATGGCACAAACTCATCTCTTTAGATTGTGAATCGAGATCTCATTACTGGTATACCTGAGCTCCTAACCAACCTCACCATCTCAACACTTGCTATCAGTCCCCTGAGCACAAATACAAATTGTTCAGCATCTGTTGTAACACTGGTCTATCTGTACAGTCCAAGACTACTCCTGGTTCCGTATTCCATCGCCTTTCTCTTGAGCTTCATCGCATTTATAGCTGGTGTATGTGCTCAAAATGACTAGCATGCGTACTGGTGGAGTATTCTTCCAAATATTGGTTACGACAAGGAACCCGTTTCTGGATGTTATCACAAAGAACCATTCTCTCAGTAGCGCTGATTCGGATGTCATGAAGAATTATAAACTTAGATTAGGTAAACTTAAACGTCGCTATGGAGGGGGAAGTGGCTTCGGTGATGGGAATAATGGCGAAAGAGCTGGGCACGTGGCTTTTGGGCCTGCGGAACAGGTTGATGAACCGAATTAAGATTGCCAACGGGATTGTGAAGACTTGGTGAGAATAACTCTCGGTTCTTCAGAGCTATGCAGCGAATACGAAGAAAGAATCATTTTTAACATGGAACGGTTCACACAAAAGACACAACGATTTCTTGTTAGCTAGCATAATTTTTTGCTACTATAGAGAATTTTCACTACCTATATGAAGTGGACTGGATTTATTATTTAATATTCGACAATGTCATTTTTACATGAATTTTCAATCAATAAATGTTCCTGAATATGATTGTATAGTGAATTATTGCCGAATCTTCAAATATTGTCGCTTAATTTATGACTGTTCCCTATTCAATTGTGTTGTCATTTCTGACCATTCTCTTAGCTCATCAAAAGGTAGTAAAATCGAAGTTCTATTAATTCCATATCGAAGTATCATCTCTTCCTCGTTAGATATTTCTTACTACCTAATAAAGACATCATGGTCATTTTCTCATTTTATTTCTCTGACTCATAAAAGTTTCATACCTATCGAGATATTGATCACATGAACCACTAAAGTTGACGCTAGTGCCTCGGCAAGAGGGATCACATATCATATAGTTTTTCATTTCTATAGTTCTAGTTCTTTAAATAATCAATAAGAATATTATTTGAGATATATATTGAGAATACCTGTTTATACCAGTTGATATAGAGGTACTCTCATCTGATGTTAATATTTATAAAAGTATATTAATAACAATATCGTCTTATCACTCTCATCTATACCTGTTATTTATTATCTTGTATTATCATTCTAATGAATTTAAAACTGTTTTCGTTTATATTAAATATAAAATAATAAATTATAAGTCGTCTTTGAGTATTTATTTCAATCAGATATAATGCTCGAATTCGCAGAGCGACAGTATAGAAATTAGAATATTAAGATTCAGACTTCTTCTCCTGTGATCATTTGCAGCGGTTATTTGTTTTTCTACTCGGCCATTTTCACTACTTAACATCGCCAGGAATTTTATAGAAAGAGCAAATCGTTTTAATCTTGACGAACGATTTATAATGTTCAATAGTCAGCCATAGATAATATATTATGGTGAACCAATAGTGAATTTGTTAACAAAAGGATTTGTTAGCACTTGAGATGCGGGGTTTGAAGCTAACGCTTTTCCCTATGATGAGCCTGGCGCGGTAGTTATATAAAGCCACGGCAAATAAGGAAAGAAACTTGTGTTAAAGGCCGCTCTTCTTCTGCTCGACTGTGATTGAATTATAGTGGATTTAATTTCAAGCTATGTCACGATATACACTATACTTTTCATCATCAAATGTATTGTTGGCTCTTTGGGTTTGTCGCTCGTGAGGGCATATTCTATTACATAAATTTTTCACGGGACCAAAATCAACAGATCTAAATTACCAATCTTAGAAAGTAATCTAATTCACGTTGAAGTCAAAAAACTTTGGGGATGTACTAGCTAGCGATGATCCCAGATAATTTGTGTTCTAGAAAATTTCAGCATAGAAAAGCAAGTCTTTGTTATTGTTCTCATCCTTATACTAACTCAAAATTTTCGGTGAAATATAAATCTAAACATGACTCACATCTCATGTTATCCAGGGTCCGTGATCTAACGAGGTTATACTGAGCACATATCAAAAGTTGACCCGTCCAACAAATGTACATAAATGTTTCCCAGGCCAATTCACTAGCTAATAAGTGAAGTTTTCTTTTAGTATTTTCCCTTCTATCGGCACTTAATTCTCGTATATTCAAGTTGTGATCGTTTTGTCGAAATATGATGTGCGGGGTAAAAGTAGCTTAGCGAGAGCTGTATTTAAGGGGAGCGCATGAATGTAAAGTAAAGAGTAAACCATGCGAAATTCTCACACAGCGAAAGGCTTACATGGGCAAAACTTCTAGATGTGGAATTCTAGTAATTCGTAATCAACATAATAGAACTCAGAAAAGATGCTCTGTCGAAAATAAAGATCGACTTTATAATTTTGTCACTGTATGTCTTTGGATGATTGTGACTGCCGATCTTAACTATCATCATGTAACGATCTGGTCGAGGCAGCGGCTGCCTCAGGTTTCGTCTGGTTGGTAGTTGTAGGTTAAGGCTAATAATCACTGGTTATCTATTCGAAGGTGAATACATTACTAGATCAATTGGGATATAGGTAAACTAATTGATAACTAAATGGAACACAAAGTTCTTAAATTATAAAACTATTCTGATTATATATTAATAAATATAAAGGAGCTTTATAAAACTTTAAAGCTTCAAAAAGCTTCTAAAGCTCTAAAAGCTTTCGAAGCTTCCAAAGCTTCTTATTATATAATTAAGATCAGATTATATATCCAAACTTATTAAAGATAAAGAGATTATATAAAATGATTATTATATAAATTTATATATGAATCATTTTGCTTTTTAATAAGATCTAAACTTATATAGATATATTGATTGTTGTTTTTTAATATATTTTTATTTTAATTATAAATTATAATATTATCTCTTTTCTAATTAAATGTTATCTTAATTGTTTATAACCCTCTGGATTTCATTTAATAATTAATATTTTTTTTTCTTTTATATTTTATTTATCTTTCTTTTTTTGTTATAAACAATTCTAATTTCTTTAATAATTTAATTCGAAAAAAGAAAAAGGAATATATATATTTAATTATAATTATCGATTTTATTAATATTAAAATGATTTTTTGTTTCTATTATCAACAAAAGAATCATTGTTATATTAAAAATCTTTTTGATAAATATTGTTTATATTGTTTAGAATATATATAAAATTCTGTTTTATATGATATTAAGTTTTATTTGAAAAATGATTAAAATTGTGAAATTTTTCAAAAATATAATTGAGAAAATCTTGATTGATAAATTGATAAATTGAATATTGAAATTATTAAGTTTTTTATTAAGATTATTTGTTTTATTAAATAAAAGATATAATTCAAAAAACAATATAATAAAATATTATATTGTAAACTTAAATACTTTAATGAATTTGATATCTTTAAAGAAAAAAAAAGAAAAAAAAAAGAATAAAAAAATTTCTATAATTCTTTTATTACTTTCTAATCAATTTGATCAATTTGGTCAATTTGGTCAATTAACTCTTGATCGATTTAATTAATTATTAATTGACCTTATTAACCTCAATGAAATTCCTATAAACAAATTTGATTTTTTTGATTCTTTTTTGTAAGAAATAATGAATTCTTTTTCCTTTTAAATAAATCTGAATTCTATCAATAAAACTTTTGAAACCTCTTCAAATATTTAATTTCTTTTTCAAATTCCTATATATTTTCAAAATCGAGATAATCTTTTTATTTCATTAAATATTTGATTTTATCTTTAATATATTTATAATTTAATATCTTTTTTACTTTGTATTCGATATCTTGATTTATAGATATAATTTCTGTTTCAGAAGTTTTAAATACTTTTGAAAATATTAATTTGAATAGGAATATATAAAATATTGAATGTATATTTATACTTTTTGGTAATGTTAATTTATAATTCAAAAATCTTTTAATTTTCTTGATTTTGAATAATCCAAATTTCTTGTAATCCAATTTTACATTAAATCTTTTTGTTTCGATATTTTTTTAAAATAAATAGATTTTATTCTTTTTTTTTAATATTGATTTTTAATTATATTTTCAATTGTAATAGTATATATTTCTTTTGATAACAAATTTCAATTCTATTATTATTTCTTTATAGATTTCTTTGAATCTTTTTGTTTATATTATTATAAATTAATTCTTTATTTCTGTAATCCTTGATTTATAATATATAATCAATTTATATCTATAATTGATATAATTCGGAATAACTTACATCGCTTCCGATATTGAATTATTGTATATAAATTATACTAAAAATAAAAGTTCTATTCAATTGTTTTATTAATAATTCATATAATATCGAAGATAAACTTTAATAATTTAATTTATTCTTTTATTCCCTTCATTGATTTGTAAATAAAATATAATAAATATTTTTTTTTTTTATTTCTAACAATATTATTAAAATAATCCAAAATTTTGATATAAAAGTTTATTCTTATCAAAAATATTTTTTAATAATTTATATATTATAATAATCTCTTTTAAAAATATAAAGATTAATATTTCTATAGTTAATATTATCTAATATAATACAAGTATTAGATATTTTATTAATCTGTTTATTATAGCAAAAAGATAATTATATATTATTTCTATTATTGGATCCTTAGATTTTGATAATAGATTTATAAAATCCTATAATATTGATTTCTATAATATAAATAATATTTCGATGATGTTTATCTATTTATAAGAAACATAACAAGAAGTCTTATTTCTAATATAGATATTATACTCGATGATTATTTTATTGATTATATTACAGAGTTCTGAATTCCAATATTGTTTTTTAATTTTTAGATATATTCTTTGTATTCTTTAATATTTGTGAGTTAATAATATATATTATTCTATAATATACTCAAAAACAATATTATTTAGTAATTATATTTTATTTTTTATTCAAAGTAATCCTTCAACAATTATTAATGATTTTAACTATTTGATACCTTTTTTATTTTGTTATGCTTTTATAAGTTTATTCTTTCAGATTTTTATTGATTTATTTTCTATAATAATGATTTCTATTAGATTAGGAATAAAATCTTTATTTGGTAAAGATTTCAAGATTGTTGTTTTCTAATAGATTTTATCGTTTTCATAATTTAATGATCTATTTAAAATATCTATTTTTGTATTATCTTTTCCTTTGATATATTTGATTATCAGATCAAACCTTGTTAATTCCTCAATTTATTTAATTAATCTATAATTATTTAAAATCTTAATAATGATAAAAATTTGAAGATTTATATGATTAATATAAATGATTATTAAGAATTTAGTTTTTTGAAGATAGATCTTTCAATATTTTAATATTTTTATAATAATTATAAATTTCTTTTTATAAATATTATAATTCT